CTGAGCAGATTTCTTTGAATCCAGAGCTATGTTATCACACCCCCTCTTCCTCGCCCACCTTGTCCACTATTGGATGGAATAGGCGCCCGTGCCATGCGCATATGTACGTAGTATGTATTGTGTGCATGTGCAACAGCTTGTGCTGTTGGAAGACGGATTCATGGCGCCCGTGCTTTTCTGCCAATGCCGTTTTCCCCTTGTTGCTATTATATGCCTCCTTGCTTGTGGCTTGTCGTCTTTCTACGGCACTGACCTCGCCTGTTGTATGCGTATTTTGTCCACACGGCTCAGTTAGAGCGCAGGCTAGCTCGGATTACATGATGCTTGGCCCGGAATGTTGCGTGCTCCGTACGCTAGCCTAATTGACTGCGCAGAGCAACGTACTACATATGTAGCAGGACAGGCACGAGAAGGGGGAAGATTAGGACATGCTCGCAAAAGACCCAAAGGCCATACCATGTAGCCCGAGGGCGAAAAAGCCTTGCCCCGCTGTTCCGGGTCGCGGCTGCCGTAGTTCTGTATCCTACTATGTATTGTGGCTTGGCCAGGCAACAGCCACACTAACATGGGAGGCGGCCAGTTACTATGTAGGTGTTCTGTCCTGTGAGACCGGGCCTGGGTGCGTCAGAATCTACGAGGCCGGTGAAGCAGGTATGTGGGAAGCAGATGGGAGGAGACATGTGGAGCAGGCCGAGGGGTGTGCGAGCACGGAGTACGAGCTCGGAGTCGCTCGCAGCAGAGGTAAACCGCGCAAGGCTACATATGACCATCCGGTTGACAGCCTGAAGAGGAGACGACTCGCAGACGACTCACAGCCCGACACGACCTGCAGTCAAAAGAGATGACGAAGATGACGACGATGCGGGCGTGAGCATGACAGCAGACAAGGGCTGTCTTAGACAAAGAGCACGGGCCAGATGCAGAGTAAGATACATACATGCTACTGTGTTATGTGGTATGTAAGATACTACTCCGTATGTATCTTACAACCAGCTCAGCTTGGTGGAGCTCCCGACGTGCGATATTTGGCTCAGTGGGCCCAGTGGAGACTCGGGGGGGGCGTGAGGAGAAGAAAGTGGACAGGCCGGTCAAGAAAGCGGGCTTACGTGAGTGTTACATACGACGTAGTACGCAAAAGGCCCCAGGGTTCCAGGGTCTAAGGCTCCCGGGCTCCAGGACTCTAGGGCCCAAAGACCCCATCCAGGCCCCCGGACTGTTGTTGCTTTGTAAGATACTCCGTAATCTGCCTGGATCTCACGGTTCAGGGTGCATCTGCAGGCCAGCAGGCGATCAGTAGTATTTTTCCTGTTTCTCGCTTCCCCTGCGTCGTGGGTGACAGAGGCAGTGATGGAGACACTGCGACGTACTCCGTAAGACAGCTCGTATTATCCCACCACGCAGACGGAATAGGTGCGCGTACTACTCCGTAGGTAGACGCTCGTGCCAACCGGCCAAGCACGACCGGAACTAAATCCGGAAAGCGTAATCGTCCACCGCCACAGCAGGGCAAAAGCACGCTGCGACTACGGCGCTGGCAAGTGTCGCGCCCCAGACAGGAAAAGGCAACGTCAGTCGGGGGAGGGGCAGACCGTTATACCACACACACATGTACGGAGCAAGATACTATGTATCTTGCCATCTGGCCATCTGGCCAGCTAACTCCTTCGCTCTCGGTACTGGCTCGTCCCATCATCGTTGCAGATACTACGACGGATGGAAGAGCTCCCTTGATGCGCTAGGCCGTCTGCTCCATGTAAGACATTCGTATGTCGAGCTCTGCGGGCCAGTCAAAGAAGAGAGGGGCGCCTAACGCATGTTGCATTTTATCTTGTTTACGAGCGAGCATAAAACCAAGCCACGAGCCCTTGAAAGATATGCCCCAATTGGGAAACGGTTTGGTCGAATCTGTTGTCCTCTCTCATGTTGTCTATTTTTTTTCTTTTTCTTTTGCCCATTCATTACGACCCCTCTCTTTTGCTGGCCGCTAGACAAGGATTGTGCTCCTTCAGGCTGGTCCCTTGTTTCCCTGACTTCAGTTGCGTACTTTTTTTTTTTTTTGCTCTCGTTCTTTCCTGGCGGTTTGGCTTCTTGACGGGCTGCCATCACTACGTCGCAATATGTACAAGAGCTTGTTTTCTGGGGGTGTCGGTTTTTTCTTTATTTTTTTCTGTTAGCCTGCCGTATCCACTTGCTAGTAACATTCGATTGCAAACGGTCGGCTAACTGGACCGCTCGTTGCTTGCTGGCCTTGTCCCAAGGGCATCTTCCGCAGGCCCGACCAAGGCGAGTCAGCAAAGAGTCAGCATAAAGACTTAACTGTCTCTCTCGATCTTGATCTCGTGTAATCATTGCTACCCCGCCTAGGAGTGGGCTGCTGCACGTTTTCGGCTTCTTCAACACGACCTGTAATTTTTTTTTTTTCCTATTTAATTTTCCGCCCAAGTTTATTAGATGTTTAATAGCATTCCGGCCACTCATTTTGCACGTTGATCGTATGAGAATGTCTCCGTCCCACACCGATATCCGGCAGGGCTCGACCTCTCGCCCAGGCCCGTTTTCGCTAGACACAGCGACCCTTTCATTCCCTGCAACCCCCAAACTTCCGCACGTCAAACACGCTAGCACTGCTGTGTCGCTCTATTGCTCTGTCGCTCTCTTACGGAGTAGTGGGCTGTTTATCTATAGCAGGAAAGTCCCCGCCGGAAATAAAGCCAGAGCGCGTGGCGGTGGTCGGAGGAGTCATTTCTCCGGGTCCACACGCCGGCAAGGCATACTTGCAAGCCGAGCGCTCGAAAACAGGCAGCAAACAGCCCCGTTAAGCATATGGCGCTAGCGTGAGCCGGCCGACTGCCTGTCAACGGCGGCAGGGCAGGCGCCAGCTGGCAAGAATGGCAGGTACGATGGCCATGTTGCCATGTTGCCATGCTGCCATGTTGCCTCAAACGTATGGACTACGGAGCTCCTGCCCGCTGCCAGTCCCCCGTAGACACCCTTTGCCTCAAGCGCGCCTGTTTCCCAATTGCCGCGTTGCTCTCAGCAGAACCATCACGACAACATCGACCTCCACCAACCTCCACCAGCCTCCTCCACTGCTGTCACAATCCCCGTATACCACGTCGTATTTCTCTCCCCTTTTGATTGCCATTGATCTGTCCCCCCCGCCCCCCTCCAATTGGCTCGGGCCTGTCCTTGCAATTCTGTCAGGTGGGACAAAAAAAGAAACAAACTTCCTTGCCCTGCCAAGTGGGACCGTATGATACCGGTCCCTTTGCGCTTCCTCTGTGCCTTGACTGCTTGCTCGGTTGCTCCCGCAGGGCATCCTCTCGGTATGCCTCGCGGCCGGGAAGCACCGCCCAGCCTCGAGCGCATGGGCGCTTCGCCGAGATCTCTGCAGCCAGACACAGAGACCAGGTCGGCGGTCTAGTCATACGGACATGCAGGCAGGCAATGAACCGATCAGGCGTGCAAGCAGCAAGCAGGCAGACATACAACGAAGCCCGGCATCAGCTATGGCCATTGGCCCAAGTCGATCGAATAGGCGCTGGCTAGCAAGCTGGACTCAAGCTCCCCACAAATGAAAGCACCCCTTGTCTTGCCAGCGCCACACGTGCCATACCCCTCTCCTTTCCAGCATCTTTCGCTCTTTCGCTGTCCGGATGACAGACGTGCTTGGCCTTGCACGACAGAACACTCATGCCCTTATCTGGAATCCGGCTTCTGCCTACATCTCGGGCTTTGGCTGCTGTGCTCCCTAAACCTGTTTGATTGTTTGTCTGCCATCCTTGGTCTGCTTATCCCGTCTCTCATGATTTGAACAGCTTACACCCGTGTCCGCCAGCTGGCAGAAGATGAGTCCACCGATTCTATCCGCAGCATGATCTATATGCGTCTATGCCGCCCCTGCATGCCGGAATATATAGCACGTACCCCCCTCTACCTCACACCCTATACCCTTGTAGGCCTTTGGCAATAGCAACTAACCAGCCCTAGCCTCCCGCCCCCTGTTGTTTCTCTTTCCTCTAAATTCACCCCCCACCCCCCCTTCTTGTGTCTGCGAGAACTCGTACACATGCAATTAGTTGGCCCTACCCACCCTTTGCCCATCGCTCACTGGCATATTGCTGCTGCCGTCCCCTGCCCACAGCGCAAGTACTACATAGTTTGTACCTCTGACGCGTTCCGCTTCACTTACACGCTCTGGCCTCTCCCCGTCCTCCAATCTCTGCCTTCTACATAGTACTCTCCATCATCAGACCATTTTTGCCCTCTGTCTCTACGAGTACTCGTACGGATTCAGCTCTAACTTTCGTGTTTCAGCCCTTATATTTCCTCTGTTGTTTTTATTTTCACCGCTAAACGGAGAAGCCGGCATCGTCTTGCACATGCACTCGTCCTATCCCCATCAACCACTGGCTCTAGAAAAGGCACCTTCTGTCGGTTCCGTCCCGGCTACGGTTCCACACTTGTACCGCCGCTTTTTCGAGAAATTTAAAAACCCATCCATGCCTGCCCCTCTAGGGTCTTTTGATTGAGGCTGAGAACCTCACAACTTCGAAATTCCCATCTTCATTGCCAAAGATAGATTTAAAGTTGCCCCTCGCCTCTTGTGTCTGCCTGATCTCCCCAGTTGCACATCATCTCCCCATTCAACTTGTCTCTGTATCGGATCTAACATCCCACTCTTCTTTGAAATACTTCAACCCATCTTACACCCCCTCCTCGTCCGTCCTCCTGTCCTTATATACAGCAGCATCTCCTGCTTCTCGTCTCCCGTCCGTCAGTCAAAAAGACTCTAGACCAACCTTAGACTGCCTCCTCCTGTCTACGTCTACGAGCTCGAACATCCGACAAGGAGAGGACCAGCATCTCGTATGTGACCTTGGACAACCGTTTCTCTGTCCCTTTTGTCTTCCGTCTTTCCCCTCCTTCGTTTTAATTTCTTCTCTTTCCTTTCTTTTTTCCCTTAAATGCTCGGAATTTTTCACCCCAATCTTGCCACGATGGCTTCGTTTTTTCCCGACGATCTACAGGTGAAGAACGTGCACTCACAAAGTACCAAATCCAGGATCGCCGAAAGCAAACCTTCCTTCTCGGCTGCGCAATCATCGGAGTCTTCCTGCCTCTCGGAGCCAGCATCGTTTCTTTTTGGCGAGCAGCTGCTTGCCAATTGGTGCGTCGCCGAAACGCTCGGCGATTTCGAGAGTCTTCAGCTTTCAGAGCCACACCCACCGTCGTCTCCTCTGCCTCTCCTCTTTTCGGCACCTGCCTCATCACCTTTGATATCGCCCCCCCCCCCTCGGATGCAGCGACTATGAGGTATGCTGAACCTTGCCCTCCTGTCCTTCACGCGGTCCCTTGTGAGCTCTCTACTTACAGAACACTTTCCTCTGCAGTACCGCAGTTGCTCTCCAATTTGACCCTGTATTCGGTATGGGCAACAGATCGACCTACTCTACGTGGCCAGGTATGAGAGAGCATTCGAGCGAGGCGCGCTGGCAAGAACGAGACAAAATGGAACATCCTCTTCCCGAAGAAGGCACGCGTACTAACAGGAGCACGATTAGCCATTGAAACGAGCAACAGACCATGTCCTGATCTCGGCCCATACGCCTCTGACGTCAGCCTGTCGCCTCCGACCGGCTCAAGATCGGTTACAGCGAGCCCCCCTCACTACTCTGTGATCCTGACAACGCAGCAGCGCGAGATCAAGCGCCAGCGCGACCAGGCTCGCCGAGAATCGAAGCTTGCCTGCCGTAAAAGGGCCGGAAGCAACGAGCTGTCCGACTCTGGTATTCTGGGGATCGACGCAGTCGCCTCTTATACGACCAGCAGCCACGACAACCACAGCATCGACGGAGCTTTCATCCCGGACTCTTCGCAGTCCTCTGTCTCGTCCATCTCGATTCGCACACCTGCGCTTGGAGCATCTTCTCCCGCCTCGTTCATCCACTCTCCATCTGTCACCATGGCAGACCTGACTTCGGCACCATCTGCCTCCGCGATGCCTGTTGCCTACGTGTCGGCCTCTGCATCCCAGATCTCGCTGGTCTCGGAGCCAGTCACGACCGGACCGTCTGGCAGCATCGCTTCCGCTTACCTGGCGACTGCCCCTTACTCTCCTCCGATGCACGGCCACACAGGCCAGGGTCTGTTCTCCAGCACTTACGACGACCATCCGTACTACTCGGAAGTGGGATACGCCCACACAGCGCCGGCCTCCGTTCATTCTCAGTTCCCGTATGCTATCTTGTCTAGGCCGTTATGAAACGAGGTTACTTCTGACACTGTGCTATAGACGATCTATGCAAGACCAGACGAACATGATGTACCACATGTCACCGCCTCCACAGCCGCCAAACGCCCTCCTCAGTACAGGACCGATGCAGCAGCAGCCACAACAGCCGCAGCACCAACACCCTGCATCGTTCGGACAGTACACGCAGCCGATGCCGATGCACGGCAACACGCACATCCCTCGTCAGAATGAGACCGTGCCGCCCGGAGTGCGAGTGGTTCAGAGCCGGCCGAAGCCGCAGTGCTGGGAGCACGGATGCAATGGACGACAGTTCTCGACTTTCAGCAACCTACTGAGACACCAGCGAGAAAAATCGGGACAGGCGGCCAAGGCAGTGTGCCCCAACTGTGGTGCTGAGTTTACGAGAACAACTGCACGCAATGGCCATCTGGCACACGACAAGTGCAAGCCGCGGCGCAACTCTTGAAACGGAGGATATACGGACGAAGTCAGCACGGGTTACGGAGCCCGCACGAAGAGGGAGGGCCTGTCTGGAGCGGCTATACAAGCAACAAAAAGGTATACAAAACGGACATTCGCATTGGGATTTCACTACTATTTTTGGTTTCTGGCTGGAGTTTAATTTGGGCTCTATGGCAACGTGGATATCGGTTTTACGAAAGGGATTCACGACTTGCGGATATACTGTCGATTTTTTTTTGTTTACTTTTCATTTCTTTCTATTCACCTGACTTTGTCCTCCGGCACGGTCCTTCCCTCATTTTTACGCTACTGATTTAACAAGGTGATGTGCTTTTCTCTCCAGTGTTGGAGGCTGCTAAAGTGTTTTGTCACATTTGCTGGGTTTCTTTGCATTGCGGAATTGTTCTTGTATACCTAGGAACTTTCTTGTTCTTCATGCCTTTGATTCTGCTATCCTTACTTTTGTGCCCATTTTCGGCTATTAGAAAAGCGGAGGTCTTCCTTCCGTGGTCTATTCTTTCTGTTGGAGTTCTATGTTGCATCCTGGCTGGTGTTTTTCGAGAATGAGCTGCTACGGACCACGTCTGGTACGGGTTTCCCCTCTGCTGTTCTACAGCCCTGCACACTAGAATACAGGCAGGGCAAACGGAGTAGAGTAGCGCAATTTAAAGCAGAATGGTTAAGACATGCGACAGGCCCAATCAGGGGAGCATCGGACGCTAATGGGACTGAAATAGTGACACCTGATGTAATGCTGAACCGCTCTCAGGATGGCAAGGCGCAAGCTGTGGAGATGGGCCGTTGGACGACAACAAACAGCACATCGTCTCCCGTACTGATAACGGCGGCTAGATCGCCTGTCGGGCATGCCGACATCTTACTGAGCCGTCTGCAAGCCATCCTGCTTTCTGATCCTATTTTCCCTAATGTTCTGCCTCCTTCCTTTCCCGGTCACAAGCTATTGCCCCAACTTGCTATGGGGTCGAGCTGGGAGGATCTCGGAGTGACCGAGCATCTCGGCCCGCCCTTCTGACAAGGCTTGTCCCCGTGGTGGCAGCCTTCGGAGTAGGATGAACAGAGCAATGCGCCGGTACTTTGTGTATGCTACGTAAGTGATGGCAGCCGCCTCTTTGTTCTCCATACTACGGCCCCGGGGATAGAACGGAATGGTCGAAAAGAACCGTGGTTGCGCTCTGGCCGGTGGTGTTTGGGCAAGGGACATGTGCAGGGCGTTCGGTGAGAGTGATGCATGACGGACCCCCAGCGTCAATCTCGCCTCGAGACGGCCGGAGAAGCAGAAAGCGCCAAGATGATCAGCATCCACAGTTGGGGCCCTTGCCTCATCGAGGATGCAGCCGCTGCGAAGCAAAGCGGGCGCGCTGTTCATCCGTGGCCGTTCTAGCCTGTTTTTCTCTGTCTCCGGGCTTCTTTCTTTTCTTCCGTCTCTCTTTTGTCCATTCTTGTATTATTGTATTTTTCCTTCTACTATTTTAAATGTTTATTGGGGGAAGGAATCAGCAACCACCGCCCCGGTCCTCCTCCAAAATGCCCTAGCCTATACGCTAAGCTGGCAAGCCCCTGTATGGTGCCGCTGTGGTGCCGCCCTCCCGACCTCTTATAGCCCCACTTTCCATCTATGAACACCACTCGGGGTGTACTTCTTTTCTGTCGGAGCCGAAAGGAGCTACGGTGCGAACGTAATACTCGTCATAATGAAGCTAAGATGAACCAAGAAAACGCATCCCATTCTGCCATTCATTAGTAACTGCTATTATCACGTATCACACTATCTCGCTCGTTTTGGGTTCCTGCAGAAGCACCATTTCTCGTTCACCGGTCGGATCAAATATCGATAGGGGGGAATGCCAATCTGCTTGCACCTGACAAATGCCACCGTTTCAGGAGACACAGACACCCTTTAGCACTGTTCGGTTACACTGTAATGATGGGGATGATTGTGAGACTACGAGTACGGAGTACTAGTACGAGGTACGTAATATTGTGCACACGATTATGATGCAGGTACTCCGTAGTGTAAATGACTTCGGCATCCGGGTCCCAGATTCCACCGTCCAGTCCACGATACTCCGTACTCCATTCTCAGCCATGCATCGGGGCTTGGGCCGCCTGTGTTTGTTTCCGAATCGAGCATGGTAAATTGCGAATGTGTGCTATTTCACGGAGTGCGAGCACAAATACGGCATCCCATCCTTCTGGCCCGTGCATGCAAGGGATATCCTAGATATTCTCTGCAGTATGGGGTGAGCTCCAAAGTACGCAGTCGTACGAGCACTAGCAGGCAAACCTGGCTCTCTCGGGCCGGCTTGTCTGCTGGTCGACGGCCTGGCTGAGCGAGTCTGCCTATCGAAACGTCCAGAGTTGCATTTGGGGGCCTTTCGTGGAGATGGCGTGTATCAAGTGTAGGGTGCAGAAATGACAAGGGCAAAGTGGTGCGCGCATTGTATCTTACGGTCGTCGGTGGTGCTCGGTATCTTCTCCGGCCATCTTCCCTGCTCAATAGTATGTAGCACTTCGTTCCGCGTCCCATGATGGTCCAGACTTTTCGCAAATCTCTCTTGCATTAGATCTCGACTCTGCAGCTGCCCTTGTCCGGCCGTGGCTAATGTCTTGTGATCCCATCCAGGGCCCAGGCCACCGAACTTACGATGTCAGCCAAATAAAGTACAGCCTTCGACAGGCTTCACAGGCCTTACAGGCTTCGGACGGCCCACAACGCCCACTATTGATCGCTATCAGGTGCTAGTTCGGCCTACTGCTACGCTACCACGTTACCGCACTATCTCGCTACAACGCTACCACGTCGCTTTGCTGTCGCGCTGCCACCCTGCCATGCCTACTTCGTGCCGCTGAAGGAGTGACGTCGTACACCTTATTCAGTGGTCCGTCCGTGTGCGCACAATCGGGAACAACATGCGATGATGACGACTCATGGCCTGAGACCCAATCACTAGGACGACTGAGTCTCCTGTCCAGCTGCACGTGCATGCACCTTCTGGATGGGTGTGCCGCGTTTGGGTTGTCGAGTTGTGAAGCCATTCCTTGTGTCGTTTTCGATATTAGACGCGTAGCCTGAACGAAGCCCGGCCAATGGCAGTGCGACAAACGGTGGATATGACAGGCGCTTGCGCTTACGGGACGTGCCTTCCCCAAACATCATTGGACGCGTTCCGCCACAGCAAAGCCACAATGACGATACGCTGCCATCCAATCACAATCGCGCCTTCAACTTTCCTCGTCCAACATCACCGCCTCATTTCAAGCCAAAAAAAGCAAGATATATGCGGCAGACGGCAGAGTGGCAAGACAACAAGACCCCTGCGTCAAACCGGACCTGAACTATAAGAGGGGCCGAACGAAAGGACCTGCAGGCCAGGTAATGCGGCTATCAGGGCGCTAGCTGCTGCTTCTCGTTTGTAAACTCGCCCCGAAGGCGTGGCAGGCCGCAAGACGACGCCCGGGTGTTACATTTCTGTGTCCTAGTCGTGCTACTGTAAGAGGTGTGCCTGGAAGTGGTACTCCGGTAGCTTCGCTTATCATGGCCGACGTGAAGTGGAACTATGATACTCTGGATGAAGCTCTGAGGTGGGAACAGCATGAAGCCTTCTTAACCGTTCTTTTCCCGCTTAAATGAACGTGGTAGCTGACACAGTATCAAAAGCGACAGCGCACACGGCGGTCATCTTCTTGAGGAGCTGCCGCTGCCACTGTCGGACTGGGAGGCCCAGAAGTGGCGCATCTTCAGATCAGTTTTCCGGACAGATGCCTTGCAGCCGACGCCGGATGTGACGCCGCTCGCTGGCTCTGTAGCGGCCGCGGCCGTTTCGTCACGGACACAGGAAAACGACGACCTGATCCTGTCCGACGTGGGCGGTACTGCAGACGATGACCAGGCCAGCTTCGACCGCGCCTGGCAAGTCGTTTCAGCGCGCATTGCCCTGCCTCTGGGTGCAGCCATGGAAGACTCGTTTGGCACGCTGGCGCCCGAATCACAGCCGGAGTCGCCGGGCACGGCCGCGGCCGAGGACCACTTCCGTCAGGCACTGCGCCTCGTTCTGCACGCTGACACGCTGCTCCCGCGTGCCACCCAGACGCAGGACCTGCTCTCCTGGCACACGCAGCAGGTCCACCGCCACTATGCGCAGCATGTGTTGCCCCTGCTGTCTGCCTGCACCGAGAGTGAGCTGTCGGGCAGACAGGATGACGGCAGCGGCAGCGGGGACCACTACTACGACGACCACATGGCCGTTGTGCAGCACAGCGTCCGCACCCTCGAGGCTGCCTCTCGACTGTACTTTTACGGCCTGATGCTGATTGTCCGTGGCCTTGCATCTGATTCCGGCGACGACAGTGACAACAACAAGAAAAACAACACCGACATGGTCATTTCCCGGTTCCGACAGGATGTCCACGCCCTCGTGGCCAACTCAGCCCCACAAGGCTTGATGGTCTCGATTCGCATCATCATGACGCGCATCACGGGCGCTCTTCTCGGTGTGAGCTCGAGTCCGGAGCGATCTGCAGACAGCACAGTCAGCAAGTCGACGAGCTGGCGCGGGCATATGGCTGGCTCGCTACCCCAGCCTAAGCCGCCGGCAGAAGATGACACGGAGGTCCGGACGCTGCGCCAGCGGATGCACGAGATGCTCGCCTCGCTGCACGACGTCGGCCTGGCTGGCCGGAGCTTCCAGATCCTCTTTGCTGAGACCATGGACTGCCACATGATCAGCTTTATCGGCCAGTCGTTTGCCGGGCGCTGGACTGACCCAACGGCCGATGCTGATGCTGCTGTCACCACGGAAAAGGATGCGGCCATACGACGAAGGTCCCGCCTCTCGCGAGCCGGCGGGCCTCCGTCGACAAACATTGCCACGCTGCACGACTGGATCGAGAAGCACTTTGCTCGGCTGGCACACGAGGTCCTCGACCGTGTCGGTCGCGACCAGCGCGACACCGTCTCGCTCTCCGATGTGGCCAAGTGGAAGGAGGTCGCGCTGGGCCGGCTCTCTGCGCTGCGTATGGCGGAACTCTTTGACATTGTGCTGCACTGGCCGCACAGCAGAGGCGGCCTGGTGGATCTGCGCGTCACCGTGACCACGCCGCAGCGACGGTCGCAGCTCATCGTTGCCTTTACGGCCTCGCTGCGCAAACAGCTCCTCATCCCGGCCTGCTCGACGTTGGAAATCCTACAGACCTACATTGCCATGATCCGGACCTTTCACGCTCTCGACCCGTCCAACGTGCTGCTGAGCTCTGTCGTCGGCCAGCTGCAGATGTACATCTGCCAGAGGGATGACGCGGTGCGCATCGTGGTCGACGGCCTGCTGGCCGAACCTGACGAGGATGTGGCCACGACTGCTACGGTTGCCGAGCGAGTTGCTGCAGCTACGGCCACTGGCACGACCAGCGGAAAGCTGGTCGAGCTGGCCTCCATCCTGAACGACCCTTCACAGCAGCGCCGACGACACATTGACGAGGAGGAGCTGGACTGGGACGACATGGACTGGGTGCCTGATCCCATCGATGCCGGGACCAACTACCGGCGGCCCAAGTCGGAGGACGTCATCGGCACGCTGATCAACGCCCTCGGCTCTAGAGAGGCCTTCACCAAAGAGTTCCAGAACATCATCGCCGAGCGCCTGCTCTCGTCGCAGGCCGTCTTTGCCAAGGAGGTCAAGGTGCTCAACCTGCTCAAGAAACGGTTCGGCGAGGGCTCCATGCAGAACTGCGAGGTCATGATCCGTGACATCCAGGACTCGAACCGGCTCGACGCCCTCATACACCAGCTGCTGCGACAACAGGACCATAGCCAGGGTCAAAACCCGCTGTTGAGCCCTTGGTCACGCCAGCAGCAGAAACAGCAGCATGACGAAGATGTTCAGTACCAGGCCAAGATCCTCTCGAGGCTCTACTGGCCAGGCCTCGACCGGGAACACTTTTTGCTGCCGAGACCGGTGGCCGATATGCAGAAACGCTACGAGTCCGGCTACGAGACGCGAAAGTCCAGCCGTAAGCTGGCATGGCTGAACCAGCTGGGTCGAGCCAGCGTCGAGCTCGAACTGGCCGACCGCACCGTTTCTGTCGAGTGCAAGACATACGAGGCCACGGTGATCTACGCATTCCAGCAAGAGCCCACGAGCGACAGCCTGCCGGCGACACCGGTGCGGCGATCCGTCTCAGAGCTCGTCGACATGCTGCAGGCAGACGAGGACCTGGTCGAGACGGCACTGGCATTCTGGCAACAGCAGGGAGTGCTGCGACACGACGCCGGCGGTGGCAGCAGCGGCCGTCCAGACACATATGTTGTGGTAGAGCGCCTCGGCCAGGATGAGGAGGAAGAGGAGGAAGAAGCGGCAGCGGCGACGATGGGCTTTGCATCGGCCCCGACAACCGACGCTGACAACAGCAGCAGCAGCCGCCAGGCGCGGGCAGACGACGCACAGCGCACAGTATACTGGCAATTTATCGTGGGAATGCTGACCAACAGCGCGGCGTCGATGCCTCTGGCCCAGATCGCCATGATGATGAAGATGCTGATGGCTGAAGGCTTCCCGTGGAGCAACGAGGAACTTCTGGAGTTTCTGGGCGAGAAGGTCATGGACGGCGAGCTCGAGGTCATTGGAGGCAAATATCGGCTGGTCAAGAAATAGGCCAGGCCGCAGGCGAAGAGCCTGTAGTGCAACAGAGTCGGGAACAAGCATAACATAATTAAACCAGAGAGATCAATACACGTCTCGGACGGACAGCCGATTACGAAGCGACAAGTGTACAGAGAACACGGATGCTGACCGGCTGGTGCACATTAGATCAGAGATGGATGGAGCCAGGTGGCAGAGAGTGCTGAGTGACGGATGGCACAGCCTCAACCTTCCTTTGCCAGTTCTGTCTTGCATTAACGCATCCGGATGTTGCATCGTTCGCTGGCGGACGGCAAGGATCATGAACAAAGAAGGGCATACGACTTGCTGGGAGCAATACTATGTAACAGGGTCTTTCCGATATTGTCGCCCCTTTCTGGATGCAGGGTGACGGAACGGGTGATTCGTCCTTTCGTAAATTTTCCCATTTCCCTCGTTTGGTCGGTGTTGGCCCTTGCTTCTTATGATAGGATGAACGGGATTGGAAGGATGAGACGACGCAGCAGCCAATGGTAGCCGGCTTCTTCCAAATTGCAGTGTTGGTTGCCGATTGAAGCCAACCGGTGGCAATGGACAGAATGCTCCGTGCTCGTAGAAGTGAGGATCAGCAGATGGCGCAGATGGGCACATATACAAGCATGCGTGCAGAGTGCTGGGCGTAGAAGTCGCTTGGCAAAAAGATATAGAGGGTGGCGCCCATTCTGGTGCGTACATCTGTAGTTGCATGCCGATAGACAGGCTGGCCTGTTTCGCGGAGGCAAGAAACATGACCGGATGTGAGGGCTGCACCGGCTGGGTCCACAGTCCGTCAAGAAGCCGACCCGATGGGGGTGCCAAAAAAAAGGGGGCACTTCATTTCTTTGCGAGAAAGGTCACACCGCCAGTATTTCTCACAAGTGTCAGCAATGGGCGTACGATGTATGGTACGGACAATGCAGTCAGCCAGAAGTATCTGCCAATATAGGGAAGAGAGCAAGCAAGCAGGCAGGCAGACAAGCAAGCAGACAGTCAGACAGGTCAAGCAGGCAGGCATCAGACAATCGATCGATCGCACACGGCTACTTCTTTCTTTTTCATCCGGTGGATTGGCCATGAGCAAAAGCAGCCACAGCCCAGCTGCATGAGTTAGGCGTTACTCGGTGAGCAAAACCAGCCGCCAACAAATCTCTGAGCTGCGCCAGCCAAATGTCTTTTGGCCGTCTGCCGTCTGCCGTCGCAGGCCGGACCACTGCCCAAAGGAGGGGTGGTGCGGCGGGCTTTGCGATGACAAGGATGTTTTAGTGGTTGCATGTCTATGCTCTAGCATTCGGCACGAGCTGAAGGCAAGAGGAGCGAAAGAGAAGCGAGACATGGGCGTCCGATCGGAAAGGGAAGGGGAGCCTGCCAACGAGCCAACCAGACTGACGAGTTAGTCCTGGCGTCCAGCCGAATGTTGGGTTTCTGGTTCCATGACGCAGAAGTTAGACGTGGTGCTAGTAGATGGGCTAGGAGGAAAATAGAGCGAGTACTCCGTACGCGAGAGACAGACAAGATGGAGACAAGGGGAGACGAAGAGAGGAGAGGAGGGTGACGGGGAACAGGGGACGAGGAAAGAAGGAAAGAGCCAGGGAGCACGACCTGCGAGTACTCCGTACATAGTACGAGTGCAGGGAGGAAGGAGCAGACGCCCTCACGATCAAACACAGCTAGGCAGGCACGGAACACGGAACACGGAACACGGAACACGACAGCGCTGACGCCGAGCATTTTTAGCCTGTTGGCGCCCTCGAACAGGAGGGCAGAGGGCAAAATTGGAGCTGGCTCTGACGCCAACCCGACACGGACGGTCTATTGAAAACTACGAGAAGCGTAATGGCGGCGGCCAGATGGGCCTCAGTGTGACGTAACAGGCTCGTTTGATTTGCAGACACCAGTGCGCCTGGGCCTGAATGCAAGGAGGGGGCCACAGCGGTTCCAGCGCGCAGAAAGCACTGGGAGAGGGGCCTGTCGTCTTCTGCAGAAACGGAATGGAGTTGAGACGTTTGGCTTTATGCACCGCCCTGTTTTTATTATTGTTTTTTTTTCCCCTCCGTCTTCTATTCTTATTTGATTGTAATAATTTCTCTTTTTATTTTCTCATTATTTATTATTTGCGCACACGACCAAACTCGTAAGATACATAGTAAGGTACACTTATCTCATTGAGAGCCGGGACCCCCTTCTCCGTTGCCACTCGCACCTCTCACGACATTGTAAGAACCAGGAAAAGCCTCCGGTTGCCGCCGGCTGCTCGGCTTACGAGCATGGAGTAATGCAATATGCAGATGCACACATATGCACGCATTCGCCTTCACACAGCAACCAAGGCTAGCTCCGCTCGCAAGACGACGGCCTGCCGGGCGGTGACTGGTCGACATTCCTCCAAGTCGGCCTGGCCGACGCTCTTCTTCGTCCGCCGTCGCCGCCGTGACAACAACAGGCACGACCGCCGCCGTAGCCGGCGCCGCCCACCGGCCTGGCCAGGGTCAAGCATGAACAGCAAGTTGCGCCTGTTCGCTCGGTGGAGCCCCTGCTCGCGGCTCACTGTCCTAAGCAGGCATAAACGCTAGAAAATGCATCAGGTGAGCAACTGCTGATTGCCTCATCTGCCACAAGTGCGAAAGTACCCCGTATTGCTCGTACGCCTTTGTAAGTTACGAGACTTTGCACCGTAGAGCAGCTCTTTCGGGTGGGTCTTATCATGCATGTGCTGTCGGGCTGCTGGAACGTGAAGAAGATGCCTCCCAATGCCGTACGACTTGCCGTTCTGCGCCTCGGAGAGCGCCTTATATTACCCTTAGCAAAAAGCATCTCACCCCCTGCTGCACATGGAGGACAGAAAGACACACGGGGCCCATTTCTCGTAACAGCCGCGAGCAGGACCAGCAAATGAGAGAGGGGTCAGAGCCGGGAAATGGGAGAATGTGGTGGGCATGGCGAAAAGCGCCCCTTTCGGCCGCCGTCATTTCGTCGCTGTCGCTGCCGCTCCCCATTTAATCTTACCGCAGCGCGAGGCCGTGCCGCAAACGGAAAGACGGGGCTGGCTGGTCGGAAAAGAAGGCGCGATGCACAAGAGATCAGCACGGCGCACAAACGGAAGGCGCGAAAGAGGCTGCGGCAACACGTCCGCGAGCAGAGCCGTAGAACCAGGAGTGCAGTCTTGTCCTGCAGTCCGCGCTCTCTCTTTCCGGCCAAGGGTGCAGAAGTCCGTGCGAGACAAGTACGCCGATGAGTGACGAGGCAAGCGAACAGCACCGAAAAAGAAACCAAGCCAGACCAAGCCCGCCAAAGCAGAGCGAAAGAACAGGCCAGAGCGAGTCGCTCGCTGGTGCTCCCATATGGAGCTAGCAGCTCTTTCGCCTTGTGTTTGCTCCAAGCCCGGCTAGCCACTTTGTGACTTCTTATACGACGTGTCTGAGTCGACTTTTGCCAGGCCATTCGGTGGTCGATTAATCCACGCATTCCCCACTGCCAATCGCACCCCCCATTCGCTCTCGACCCTCTCGACCAGTGCAGAGCGGCCACAGAAACGCACGGCGTGGCGGCGTCACAGGCATGGCAACTCGCCGGGGAGTGTGTCTATTAAGCCCGTCCGCGGATTACCACAGGCTGAGTACCTCAAGGGAGACAAAGAAGACCGGGAAAAGGAGCGAGCAAGCAAAAGAGCAAAAGAGCAGCAGCGGCAGAAAGAGACGACCTAAACGACCAGGAAACAGGCAAAAAGTAATAAAAAGGGCAAAAGCAAGGAAAGCAAAGAGTAAGCTGCTCCAGATCCCTCCAATCAATCCATGCGTTTTCCACCAAGGACAGCCAAGCTTACTCTCTGTCCCAGGCCGCCCGCCATCCAACGGCCGTCTTCATCCAATACCCTCTCTCTCGCTCGCTCGCTCGCTCACTCGTCTATCCATCGGCGACAAAGTGGACCGCCCTGCCTTTGGGACCAGCCAAATCGTCATCGCACATTATCCTTCCATGCAAAAAAAGAGCTGCCTATCACTGATAACGCTGCTGCAATATTATATCGAGACCGCGGATACCTGTGCACTGTCCTTCCTGATGGTACCTTGCCTGTTGTTCGCCCTCTCGTGTGTCCTCCTTGCTGCTTCCTTCTCGTGCTCTTTCCTCGCCCATCGCCTCATCCGGAACTCCCCCTCTCCTCTGCGTGCCGTCGACTGTTTGCCGCTTGCCTCTGATCGGTTGGCCCTCTCGGCAGCCACGCATCTCCTGTACTCGCTCTGTACTCTCTCCGACTCGCTCTGCCGGGTGTCGCCCCGTGCATCGATCATCATCCAGAACCTGACGGCTCCAGAAAATACATGGCCCCCTCCCCAACCACCGCTCCGAAACCCCTCCCACCGTCATTTTCTTCACCATCCCTGCCTACGACCCTGGCTTTGGAAAACGGAACCCCTCCCGCCACATAACATAGGTCGCTTGCCCGCTTGCTTGGCTTTCCTTGTTGAGGGCCTTCCTTTCCTTCCCCATTCACTTGCTCTGGCCTTGACACACCCGTTTACTCGTGCATTGCACAGGAACCACTTAAATTCTCGTCTGCCTTACTTGTACACTCGGTCTTCGCCCCCTCCGCTATTGCCTTCCTGGCTGTTTGCCCGACCAACCTTGCCAAAGCCATAAAGTCCCACGCACCCGCTCCTCTTCGTCTTCCCGCTCTCTCTCTTTCCCGCTCTCTCCCTTTCTCCCTTTTCCCCTCTACTCTTCACACTTCAACCACTTCCTCACCACTCTATCCGGTTTCGATTCTCTGTCACGACGCAATTTCGCCGCCGATCCGGGACGCTTTGACCGGACTTCGCTGGAGCGAGTGGGAAGTGACGCCCCACCATATTTCAACTCCGAAGTCGCCCCAATCCACCACGTCCTCGTCATATCGCTCGCACAACGGGCATTCCCTGGCCTCATCACCCTATTTCCCGTAGCTTCAGTCCGCCCAGCTCGGTGCTATGGACGAGATGGATTATGACATGCACATTCCGCCCGGCGCCCAGCCACCGTCCTCTATGGCAGAGGCCCGCCCAATTCCGCGATGCCCTTATCTCTTGCCGAACCCGAGCCAGACTATGACGAACAGCAATCTATACGACCCGCTGCAGTTCTCGCCCGGCCGCCAGCCGTGGTCCGGCTTCCGCCAGCCGCTGCAAAATCCATACGGGAACTCTTCTCGCTACAACCCTACCCCCTTCTACATGATGCCGCAGCCACAGGAACAAGCGGACCGACCGCAGCCAGATGAGTTTCACCGCCAATCGCAAAGCCGAGCTATGACCTTTGGCCTGCAACCACCCTCTCTCACTCCGGCACGACCTGCGATTCCGGATATCTCACCTACCCGATCTAGCGGACTTCCGGGGGACGCCGGCAGCGGGCGGAATGCGGGAGAGTCTGCCGACAACCAGATCGATTGGGAAAGGCGTTTAGGAGGTTTTGGCGAACGGCAGCAGCAGCAGCAGCAACAGCAACAACAACAACAGCAGCAATACCGGCATCAGCTGGTACCTCCCCCCTCTACAGGCATTTGGACTTTCAGTTCCAACAACTCGACAACCAGCACGTACGGGGGAAACGCCGTCGGCATGAGAGCCGGACAGGAACAGCACGCACCAGAGCAGGGACATAGGTATCAGACACAAGGGCAACAAGTGCAGCGAGAACAAATAGAGCAGCAGCAGCAGCAGCAGCGACAGCAGCGACAGCAGCGACAGCAGCGACAGCAGCGACAGCAGCAGGATGAGGGACAGCAGGAGTACCGGGAGGAGCAACAACGCCAGGAACAAGAACACCGGCAAGACCAGCGGCTACGGGCAGGTTCTGCTCCGTTCCAACCGGGCATTCAACTACCACGAGTCTCGTCTATTCTGAACGCCCCGCTAGCCCAGGATGTACAGTCGCTGCTACAGACTGAGTTCCAAAGTAGTCCTTCGCCGTCCCATAGGTCGTCGTCTCCCGGATCTTCCGTTTCCGACAGGAGCCAAGCATCCGACCAGACACGATCTCCAGGGCGGTCGGCAGCAACCGCACAATTTGCATCTGCAGCTAATTTGGACGACCCTCCTGTTCTGTCCCATACCACCCTTGACCGGGCCTTTTGGGACACGTCTAGTCAGCGGGCGGGGCGCGATAATAGTAGAAACTCTGCGACCGGCCGACTGGAGTCGGCCCAATCGACGTCCCCATCCGGGTCGACTGTTGCTGTGCCGACGGCATCGGCAGCGTCCCTCCTCGAGCGGAGGAGCAGAACCCCCCCGAGACATCGGAGGGCCGGACACGGTAGCAGCGGTGGAAACGCACGAGCGTCTGACTTGGATAGTGACGACGATATGGACTCGATCAGTGACGAGCAGCAGGCGCTCCACCATTTCATTGATCACCTGGATGGAAACATGGCGGCGACGGCTCCTCCAAACAGCGTCTTTCCCGGAAGCGGGATTCGGGCGCGGCAAGTGCTTCGTGGTGCGGTGGCCAACAAGCGCATCGCCTCAAAGAGCGCGATTGCTTCGCTTGTCTGTGTCGAAATCGAGTCGCTCTCATCGACAGAAAGGAGTAAGCAAGACACGTATGCACATAACTCCATGTAATCGCCAAGACCGCTAACAAATCCCTTCTCCCCGTCTAGCCTGCATCATATGCTACAATGACTTTGGGGTTCCCAGCCCGGAAGGGATCAACGAGGCGCCCCTGCAGCTGCCGAAATGCAAGCACGTGTTTGGTGATCACTGCATCAAGAAGTGGTTTGAGGAGTCGGACAGCTGTCCATATTGCCGTGACAAGGTACCGTCAGAGCCGGTGATGCAATACACCCAGAGCGCATTGCAGCAGTTTATGAGAGTCCAGCACCTGCAGGCGAGCCGCCGTGGTGTTTCGATGCCTATGAACCCTCAAAGGTAGGACATCTTCATTCCAAGCGTTGTCTAGTTCTCTACTAACCCAGGCAGCATCATCGCCAGCAGCCAAGCATATGCAAGAATGCTGCATGACCGCGAGGCGGCTATGCAGGACCTGATATCGCCAGGCCCTGGCAGTAGCGGGCAGGGACGGCCGTTTGGGCTTGGCGACCGAAGAGCACCACCGGAGGAGTTTAATGAAGGTCAACGGCGGACACGTGCTCGTCACGGGACCTTTCGCACATCCACGGCCAGACCGTTTGGCATGTCGGACAGCCCACAGTCGACAGCCGCAGCTGGACCGGCCACTGGCCAAACATCATCTCGGCCTGCACCGACACAGCACCAGGCCACGCCGCCGATACCGCCGATGCCAACAATGCTTCGGCCACCTCCGCAGCCATTGCCGCAGCAGCCGATACAGTCGATGCAGATTCCACACCCGTTACCGGCACCGACACAGCAGGCCCGTGAACGCTGCCTCCTGCCGTACCAAGCACACCTCAACTACACGTGGCAGCCCCAGGGCTACTCTCACTTTGGGCCTCCTTCCCAAGGTACTTTCCACATGCCTCAAGTACCGCACTACATGCAAAATTATGCAACGGGGAACGGGTCTGGACCCGTTCCGGGAGTGGGGAATCGCATGAGTTTTCCCTCGTATCCGGCATCGATGTATGGGCCTGGGAGTGGCGAGGCCAACACATCCTTTGGGCACTCACAGGCACCAACGCTACCTCCGCCACCAGGCGCGGGTGAGGGGCGACCACATCTTCTCTCGGCGATTCCGCCGCCGCCGATGCCGTCCCTTGAACCGCCACACAACCTCCCACTGAGCCCGGTGTCTTTGCCGCAGCACCAGTCGCTGCCGCCGATATCCAGGCTGGATATGCCGAACCGGCTTTCGGGCCCGGCACCGTTATCGAACTTGCAAGATAGCAGTTTTCCGAACAGCACTGCCGGTTGGGGGCCGTGAGCAGTCCTGCGGTCACAATGAGAAGATGCTCATTTGACTGCTTGTTTTTTTTTGTGCATTTTTAGAACCCCAGCCAACCCCCTTCAAACCTCCTATTTACGCCAACAGTTTTCACGTGTCCCTGGGAAATGTTTCTGCACAATGGTGCTTATCGAGTGGGCTTTTATGTTCTGTTGCATCAGCGGGCTTTGCTTTTGACAGTAGTGAAGGAAAACAGCTCCAAGCTGCTGCTAATATGTATGTTGTCAAAGAAGACCGGGTTTTCGGCAGCATTCACTTGGCATAATGAAGACCAAATTGTATGAATGACAAGAGTAGCACTGGTGCATTTTATTATTGAGTTTGGAGATGTTTTGCTATAGCCTAGCCTTGCCGTCTGACCCGTGCAGCTCGCGAGCTTTTCCGACCAGGTCCCAGGCGAGACAGGCGAGAGGCTCACGGGAGGCAGCGTAGGAGTGGGCGACGGCTGAGCTGGCCTGACGGGCGGCGACACGGGCAGCAATACCCTGGCAGATGGCGGCCTGGCGGAAGATGTTGAAGGCGGCAGCCCAGCGCAGGTCGGAGGGCGAAGGCGACCAGCCGGCCTCGGCGGCGTAGAGGGCCGTGACCTCGTCGAGGGAGGGGAGGCCGGGGGTGGCGCCGGGAAGGAAGCCGGCATAAACAGTGTGTGAGGCACCAGTCATGTGAGCGGTGTAGTAAGGGGTCATGAGGTTGAGGAGGTCGGAGAGGGGATGACCACGAGTGGACATTTCCCAGCTGATGAGTTGAGTCAGAGGTGTGAAGGAGTGTGAAGGAGGACAATGAAGGACAGAGGGGGCTTACTCCAGAATGCCAATGACTTTCGGCTGAGTCGGATGGAAGACGAGGTTATCGATCTTGTAGTCGCCGTGGATGAGGCTGGAGCGATCGGTCGGCTGAAAGCGTTTGTCAGCGAAGAAGGCGACGATGTGGTCGAAGAAGGGCAGCTGGCCGACGGGCCGATCAGTGTCGAGGTCACGTGCAGCCGCCTGAGCCGAGCAGATGGCGCTCCAAGTGGCGATCTGGCGGGCGTAGAAGCCGGTTGGCCGGCCATAGGTCTCGAGGCCGACTTGACGCGGGTCGACACGGTGCAGACGAGCGAGCACGCGGACAGCGTCAGACCACATGGCACGACGAACGGCGGGCGATGGCAGAGCGGGCATGACGGGGTCTGTTAGGATGCGGCCATCGAGAAAGGCCATGAGGTAAAAAGGCGTGCCAACGACAGCGACGTCTTCACAGAGACACAGCGGCCGGGGCACCGGCACATCGGCGGCGCCAGCAGCCAGCGCAGCCAAGATGCGGTACTCACGCTCGACCTTGTGGGCCGTCTGGGAGACGAGCACGCCGGGTGGCTTCTTGCGCAGGACGTAGCGACGGCCATCCGGACTGGTGAGCTGGTACGTCGGGTTGGATTGGCCAAAGCCAAACTGTCACGTGAGCGAACGGAGATGGTGTCAGAGGGCGCAGTCGAGAGACCTACCTGCTTCACTTCCAGCGGGAGCTCAATCTCGGGCACAGCCTGCCGAAGATAGGCCTCCAGCTTGGCAGTGTCAATCGGTTGGCGGACAGAGCCGGCCATAGTTCGAAATGCTGAAGCAGGAGGAAGAAGAGGAAGAGGAGGCGCGAACAAGAGACGAGATGTCAAAACCCCAGATCGGCTAGATCGACGTGTAGGCCGAGGCATCTCTGAGCTAAAGGAGGGGCCGCAGGCAAACCTGGGGGAGTGGGGTGCTTAGTCAGCACTTAGGGGTTGGGCGGCAAGCAAATGGAAGAAGGCTATCTATCCTTCCGACACAGCAGTCAGATCATCACTCAAGCGCTGAATCGATTCTTCTCTCTTTTTCGGCTGGCGCCATACGGACGCAGGATAAATTCATAACAGACAGCTGCGCGACGACTACTCCTCCTCGACCGGAGGCTCGACCACATCCTCCTCGGCGTCGTCCTCGAAGCTGCCGGCCGGCACCTGGTACAAACGCAGGATGGGCTTGTTGGGGTCCTTGACCAGGACGTAGCGACCGTCTTCCTTCTTGAGGCACATGTCGGCGATGGTGCGGACGATGCCCCAGCCGTTGGACAGCGAGAGGTTCATCTGGGAGGCGAAGTCGCGGGGCTTCCAGCCGACGACACCAAGAATGACGTGCTTGTCGTTGACCTTTGGGTTTGCACGAGAGACGAAGCTGGGAGTGTTAGTCAGTGAAGGGGGGAGAAGAGAGAAGAGATGAAGGAAAGAAGAAGAAAAAGGAAAGAGAAACAAAAACTCACCCAATCTTCATAATGTCGGCCTGGGCCAAAATGCTCTGGACGGTCCAACGGGCCAGCTTGCAGGAGTTGTTCTTCATTTCGGTAGCGACGACAGCACCGCGCTGACTGACAAGCTTGGTGCGCCAGTCGAGAGCGCCGCCAGAGCCCTGAGCCTTGCTGTCGAACTCGTTGAGGGCCTTGATGGACAGGAACTGGTCCTCACCGGTGGTGGCGTTCTTCTGGACAGCGTCGAGCTCGGTGCGGACGACCAGGTAGACGGGGTCCTCGTCGTTGGTGGACAGATCGAAGCGGCGGTACTTGTACGCCTTGCTGGCCGGCGGCTCCGTCTCTTCGGCCGCGTTATAAAAGGGATTCGCGTGGGCCATGCGGACCTTGGCGCCGCCCTCGAGCACGACCTGGGTGGCAAAGTTGTGGTTGATGTAGGTGGCCTCTTCAGCGAGGGCGCCCGGCTGGTTGACGGTGTCCTTGCTGCCATCGGCCGCGTCCATGGGCGAGTCGACCGCGTTCTCATTGACCGTGACCATGTCGAGGGCTGCGCTGTCGCGCTTGTCGAGGAAGATCTTGTTGCCCTGGCGCACAATCACAATGTCCCACGAGTAGACGGACCGAGGAGCGCACATCAGCATTGACAGCACGCTGTCGGTGGCGTAGATGGTGGCCTCGCCGCGCTCGGCCAGCTCCTGGATGACGGGGTCCGACGACGTCGTGACGTTGTAGGCTGCGCGATCGAGTGCTGTCAGCCGCCGCTCGCCAGCCTTGCCAGCGCCCACAGCCGCCACAGCCGGCTTGTCGTATGCGCGGTCGTAGTAGTACAAGAAGCCGCACGAGTCCAGGTCTTCGCCCGCATCCGCGTCCAGGTTGAGCTTGCCGAGCCGGTTGAAGTCGATCTCCTCCAGCAGCTTCCAGTCGGCCCGAATGTTGATCGAGGCATCGCGAATTCGTGCTGGCTTGTCGTAGTCCTTCCACCCAAACCGCCGTCCACGCGCACCGCCACCGCCACCGCGCTGTCCGCCCCGGTCGTTGTACCCGCCGCCTTGTCCGCCACCGTACTGTCCGCCTTGCCGTCCTCCGGCGCCGCCCCGCTGCTGCATCCCGCCTCGAGGCCCGCTGCCTCCCCGGCTGTCGCCCCGGCCGCCTCTCTGCTGTCCCCGGCCACCCCGCGTGAACACCGCCCCCCGTCCGTACCGCGTCTTGACCGTGTCGCGTGCGTTGCTGACCACCGAGAAGCTCGCCTCGTCTTCTGCCAGCGGCGCCGCAAACAGCGCCACCGAGCCTGCGCCATACACTTGCTGCTCTGTTCGCCCGTCAGCATGCCTCTGGCCGTCTGTCTGCCGCTCCGCTGCCACAGCCCCCCGGCTCACCTCGTCCGTAGCGGTTGTACTGCGACCGTCCGCCCCGCCCGTCGCGTCCGTCCTTGCTGTCGACCGTCCAGTCGGCCATCCGGCCCAGCTTGTCGCCCTTGGAGAAAGGCGCGTAGGGCACGCCGTTCAGCGTCGTCTCCGTCGTCACCGGCGGGCCCCAGCCGTCGCCGTCCGGCAGCGCCGAAATGATGTTGGCGAGCGAGTCCGTCATCGTGCTGGTCCTCTGATCGGGAAAAACGAAAAAAACGGAAAAGGAGAAAAAAGAGGCTCTCGAACGGCCTACGAAAATTCGGGCTGCACATTATTTTGCTAGAAAAAAATGCTGACCGTTTGTGGGAGGCGGGGTATTACAGTGGGGCCCTCTGACAGCTGCCACCAGCTGGTGGTTGAGTCATTGGCATGCTGAATGAGATGGTGAGTCAAACAGAGAACATGTCGCTGTCTGTATTTCAATGCAATGCTGGAAAAAAGGTAAACTTGTAAACACAGGTAAGATGCGTCACCCACACCAAGATCCATCCCCAAATCAATCCGCCTTCCGCCTCTCGCCACTCAGCCTCAGCAGTCACGGCAGGCCGTACATCCGCAGCAACCTTCTTCCGGCCAATCCTTACAAAGCCATGGCGAATCCCGGGTTCGACACGGGCGAGTAGAGATCCGGCTTGGTCGAGAAGAGGTTCTCAATCGCATCCCGGGCCTCAAAGTCCTCCATGACGGCGCCGAATCTAGAGCGAAGAGATTCATGAGTTAAATGACTGCAAGAGACCAGCAGATAGACAAGGCAAGCTTCTCACCCATAGCAGCGGACCCTGTCACTCATCTCCTCGGTGACCTTTTGAAAGTCGGCCGGCGTCAGCTCGCCCAGCCGCGGGTGGGCCAGGATCATGCCCCACGCCATCACCGGCGTGATCTCGCCGTCCAGGTTCAGCTTGCTGCTGAGGTGCAGCAGCGTTGCCAGGTCGCCCTTGCTGAGATCCCACGTGCGCTGCCCCGACGCGGCGTCGCCAACGTCGACCGGCACGTTGCTGGACCCAAACGGTATGTCCGGCGTCATGTTTGCCGGCGTCTCGGGCGGGCACGATGCCATCAGTGCGTGTCCGCACGGCGTCCCGTCCATCTCGACGCTCCGCTCAAGCAGAAATGGTATGTGGGCCATGCACGGCTTCTCAAGACTATTCTCCTTGGGCGAGAGGCCAAAAAGGGGCAGGGGGTCGCCCGTTAGCACCAGCGCAACGTCTCTTTTTTCCTTTCTCGCTGTTCCTTCCACGCTCCTCTGCCGCTCTTCTTAGGCCTTTTGTTCTTTCATTTCTAGCGGGAGTGGGCATGAAAAGTACGGCGACGCGTTTAGAGTTGCCACGTGGTTTGTCGGTCCAAATTGGAGAGAATTTGCAAAAGACACCGAGAGGAGACGAGGCAGGGCGCAGAGGAGACAGAAGAGACAGGGGAGACGATATGGAGAGGGAGAAGAAGAGAGAAGGGAGAGAAGGGAGAGAAGGAAAGAGGAAGGAGAGAGGACTGAAAGGGAGGAAGAAGGTAAGAGGACGACAGCCAAAGAGGGATGGTCTCCTACGTTAAGACAAAGTCAATGCCAGCCTGCTCGTAGTCAATGCCGGGATTGCGGCCCTGCTGCTGCTGCTGGAAGCTTCCGCCGAGGTGAGGCGAGACCGAGACCGGCGGCGGCGTGAAGGCGCTGGTGTTGGAGCTGGGCGCCTGCACGTAGCTCCCCGACGCGCTGACCGAGAGGCCACCGCTCGTAGGGTTGCTGGTCGCATCGTCAGCCGTTGTGCTGCCGCCTTGCGAGAGCATCTGCCGGAGCTGCCGGTTCTCCTCCGCCAGCCGCTCCTTGTCCTGCGCCACGTTTGTGTAAATCTCCTTGAGCCGCAGCACCTCGTCCTCGAGCGCCTTGATGTACAGCTCCTTGCGCTCGCGATGCGTCCGCTGCGCCTGTCGATTTAGTTCCTGGCGCCGCGTCAGTGCCGGCCGGCTATCCGGCTTGGGCCCACGACGTTTTGCCGGCTGTCCGTCTGCGGTGAGCCGAGAGGAGACGGCCGGTCAGCGCTCATGCAACCCGACCATCCGTGAAACTGTCTTGCCCACCTACCTCGGGTCACCTTCTTCTCCGTCAGCCCCGTGATGAAGCCACTGCCGCCGCCCGAATACATTTCGCCCGATGGGCCGCTTGTCGAGCTCGACGAAGCCATCGGAACTTCTGCCACGACCAGCGAGCTCCTGCGCAAAGTGACCGTTGCCGAGGTGGGTCGACGGGACAGCGGATGTGCTGCGTGCTGGCAGCTGGCCACGGACTGCTGTTGACGACGATGAAGCCAAAAAGTCGGGTCGTCGTGATTGGCCCTCGGAGAAATGGCCGTATATCAGCAGACAATATCCGTCGGTCGTCACGGGAAAAGGTCAGTTCAGACAAAGGAAGACGCTGGCCCCAATCGACAAGCACCGTGGCCGGCTGATCGAGTCCGGACAATTAGAGCGAGAGGGAGAGAGAAGATAAAGCGCAAAGGTGAGCATCGACTTGCCAGTTTCGCTTTGGTTGAGAGGGGTATTACGGTGAGCTGCGCCTCCGCTTGGATCCTGGCCAGTACGGATGACTCAGCGCTGGAGCCCCACAGTCGATCTGTTCTCTGCTGCTTGAATCTTACCTCCCGCTTTTGACACAGAATCTGGACAGGACGGCGAGCTCCGCAAGGCCTCTCTCCTGCAGGCTTGCTGCATTGCGGAGGCAAGGAGGTTCTCGACGCTATCTTCCGTCTTCCGTCTTCCGTTGTCCGCCTACGTTTCAGTCGTCCGTCTGCATTGCATAATGTGACGGCACTACTGAAACCCGGCAAGGCCGCAGAACCGGCCATAAGACAGCTCGGAAGCTGATGAGCCTTGCGGCAAGTGGCCGGACGAGAAACAGCTGAAGTCGGCGCAGAGTTAAGAAGGCGCAACATCATACATGCTTCTCCTTCACAGCAATAGTATGATGTCTTTAATAAGCAATGACACCGCGAACGAGAAGATGAACCAAATTTGAGAACTGGATACAAATACCTGAAACATTAGTCTTTCGAACGACAGAAGGGGTTTCACAGTTCACGGCTGGCTGGCCGGATGCTGGCCGGATGCTGGCCGGATGCTATCTCGATCATCAGACCTTTTGCACGTGCCTTCTACTTTGTGTTGATTGTTGATTACGTTAAAATACTTCGCACATCTATTTATCGAACATACGGAGTACTGCTCTTGATGTTCCATGTTTCTGGCTGGCAATCGACGCTACCTGAGTGCGAAAGTACGGCACCGAGGTATGCACGACAGTGAGATACTTTGCGTCTTGCGAGTACGGCGCTGCATTTGCTGCGTTGACTGCTGACAATACTGTTGGATTTAGAGGGGAGCAGAGCACCATTTCTTTCCGTCACCGCCACACACGCCAAAAGAAGGACAAAGGGACACTGCAGATCCACAGAAAGCAGCACGAAGACAGACCATCTAGATGCTTTGAGGCATGTACACGTATGTTGAGCTGCACATAACGGCGGCCTATCAGACAACGGCTTGAGAGATGATCGGCCGGGCAGAGAAGGACGAAGCACCGAACGGAAGGGCAGCCTGTACAGAAACATACGACATCTCCCGGTTTAAGTGACAATGAGTACGGACACGGAGTACGATGCGACCTCGTCCCGATGCAAGGCAACGCAGGAAAAAAATGATTTCAATTACAGGCATAGAAGAAGCGTCTTTGCATCACGACGTAGGGCAGATTTACTAGCCTCGTCAATTCCTTCGATTCTCGCCATCCCTGAAGGCTCGAACGACTGTGCCTGAGCAGGGCCGTGACCAGCCGACATCTCCAGCTTTGTTGCAAGCTCAAAATGAACATCGCAGATGACCAGACCCATTGTCCAACCAGACCGCAAGAGAGGATGTGCATCCCTTACGTCGGCTAGGCTCCTTCTCGTCTCGTCACAATCCTGTGTATCCGAGGCATCGTCTTTCGCCTGTTAGAGAGTTATATTCTCTTGTACGAAGTACGGAGTACTCAATGCACGAAGCTGTCCACGACGCAGTTCCCGAGAGCAAGTTACTAGATAGCCAGGGCCAGCCGCGGTACCGGAGACAGCCCCCGCATGGTTCGCATATTGTCAATATGACGTGGTCGTCCTACACCCAGTCATCGGCTGACCATCCGTCCACCATGTCTGGCGCATTGGAATGCAGTAGTCGCTGACGACGGACCACGGAGTACTTTGTGTGCCAATCAGGCAAGGAGGTGGAAATCTGGATCTAGACTACTGATTGCGCTCCCATGAGGCAAAAAAAAAAGGGGGGTTCTGCTCGATGAGCACATAGGAACAGACGGCCTGAAACAGACACAATCATGTTTCTACCGGACGTAGACTGCTACAGGTGCGAAGCCGGCCGGCCGGCTATTGGCGGATTAGCTTCTGGAAGACCCGTGCTTGCATGCCACTAATGTGGAGATGTGCTCCTCTTAACACGAGAGTGCTAGTGTCAGTGGCAGCTCTGGGGCGAAATGCATTGCAGTCTGTGCAACACTTGGACCGCCTCACGTCGCCAGCCCAGAGAAGGTGTGGTGTGTCCGTGGTGGACACAGCTCTATCAATGCGCTTCCTCGCCGTCGGACAGGTTGCCGTCCGAATCGTAGTGTGTTAGTACGAGTGAGAAGACACTCGTGATACTATCTATCGTACACAGCTGCATGTCGCCACGGTAACGTTGGGGTAGCAACAGCATCACCTTATCATGTAGCAAGCAGCCAGGAGGGGGACAAGGACGTAGGGACAGGCTGGCAGTTTTGTGCCCAGCCGCAGATGAGTGCAATTCAGCTCAGAAAGAGCCAGCTATTCGGATTTGTGGCTCGGTGAACCTGTTTATCTGGCGTTGGCCTTCCTACGAGCAAGCACCCCCCGTGCACACATGCTCGTAATAGAGAATTGCCGTGCTCTCTGGCACGGTTCATAAGACCTGTCGACAGGCCAATGCAACCATGGTGGAAATACTCCGTACTCGTAGGTGGAATGGGGGGCTCAGACCAGACACAGTCCCATCTGTCTCTCCCGACCGTTCCATACTAGCGCATCCAGCTGCAGGGCTCGTCGGAGGAGGGGGTAGAGTCGGTATCGCACGTACTATGTAGTGGTGTCGAGGTGTGACGGCAGAGTGGCTTGGTCGGTCGTGTGAGAAGTGGTCCTGTTCTGCCTGGCTCGTTTGGTCAGCCAATTTTTGAAATGACTGCTAGAAGGGACTTTTGGCGTGAATGCACTACGTCCTGGTAGCGTCTATCGGGGGTCACACGCTGGCGCAGATCCATAGCGCTATGTCAGCGACGTGAGAAACAGCGGGAAACAGGAGAACTGTTTCTTGGGGGAAGCGAGAGAAGCTGGAAAAGTAAATGGCGACAAAACGGCATAGGCGACGACTCTAGCATGACCAGATACAAGCAGGAGCGCTCCTGCAAGTCGAATCACCGGACAAGCGACGACAAGTCCGTCCTCGTGCCTCAGTCTCCCCTTGTTTGGCCCCTTGTCGCTTCTCTCCCGCTTCTTCGTTTTGTTGACACCTCGAATCGACGGGCGAATCAGATCCGCCTGCAGCAGACTCGTTTCCATGGATGATCGGCAAGGGCGCTGGTTAGCATGTCCAGGTCACGCTACTTCTGCTGACTAATACTACCACCGCAAGTCCAGAGTACCACTGGCGGCCTACGGAATTGGGGGGCCCTGGCTTGATTGGCCGGTACGAGTACATCGACCACCCCGCGTTTCGGTAAGAAGTGCACTGAGCGAGGGGCCTGGAAGCCAGTAGCCGATGAAGAGCGCATGTTGCGTGTTGGCTGCTGGTCGCCAGCCGCTGGATGCTCGCAGTCGCTCTCCTGCTGTTTCATTTGGCTCTCATACGCCTGCCCTCTTTGTTTCTCTCGTTTGTTGCTATAGCACCTTTTCGTGAATCGACCCCACCTTCCAGCACATTTATCTCACCTGCGCCTACTCCCTACATATCGTATCTTACATACGGAGAACTGCGCCTTCCTTCCTCGCAGGTGAACGGCAGAGTGAGAACGGGTCTGGCCAGACAGGGGTTATCCCCATTAAAATAGTTCCCTTCCACATCGTCTCTTGCGCCTACTGGCTAGCCTGCTCATACCCTGCCCTCTTATTTCTCGGAGAGTTTCTTCGTTTACTGCCATTCGACTGCGAGATGCCCTGTTTCGTCTGCCGTAGTGGTCTTTGCAACGAGTGGTCCATGGGTCTGCGTCCCTTAATTTTTTCCCGTCTCTCCAAATAAGAAAAAACACAACATTTATTTCTAAGCGGCCCACCTTTATTCTGCCATTTCCCTCATCGCACTCATCGTCCTTTCCTCTTCTGTCGCCGTGTTCTCTCCTGCTCGTCCACATTTGCCTCAGATATTACTCTGACTCAACTGCCTGGTGCCTGAGAAACAAGATCCACGATTCCGTCCTTCTAGTCACGCCCCCTACCACCCCTGCGTTGTCTGCCGACGTCGAACATCCTCCATTCTCAATTGCGTCCTTTAGCCAGCACTGCCTACCGCCACCCTCAGTCTCCGTCAACGGCTCTTCACACTAGCGTTGCGCTGCTCTGTCCCGCGTTCCGCTGCCACCGAGAAGGGAATCGTGCGAATGCTGCCATAGCCAGTGTTGGGCACAGAGCCAGCCAGACATAATCTTGTCCTGCGGCCTGTCCTGCTTTCCGCTCTCCGGAACGGAGAGCACAAAATAAAAAAGCGGCGAGCCAAACGAGCGCAGCAACCTTCCCGGATTGCAACCTACGCTGACTGTCCACCCTTTGCGCGTACGAGACGTTCTTGGACTCCAACGCTTCTGAGAACATATCGACATGCCTCGCTCTCTCACAGAGTTCTAGCTTTGGCAGCCCGCCAAATCAGGACCTGTTCGTCCCCTTCGTCTCTCGCTCTCGATTGTGTGGACTTCTAGCACCTAAAGCTTACTGGCTTTCGCTATCATCGAAGAACTCCTTCCCTCCCTTTGTTCCGCCATAACTCTCCCGACAGCGAGATAGGCTAGCACACGAATCCTGCGGCTTCGAAGCCCACGATTAGAAGCCCTTTGATCCTGACATCTGCTCCGAAACAACTGGGCAGATCACATCACGCGTTCACAAGCAACATCAGCGGCACCACGATCCGCCCCGCAACATCCGATGCTCAAGCCTCCATTCACTGGCTCCCCGACCTGCCACAGCCATAATGGAGCCGCAGCCACAGACACAGCAGCTGGACCCCGGCCTACTTTCCCCGCCGGTCGTGTCCTCGCTCCGGGGAGACACCGCCAGCGACATGCAGCGCTCTCTCAGCCAGGACATCCGCGAAGAGAGAGATGACTTGCGTGAGGCCGCAGAGCAGACGCTCAATGCCATCATGGACCTCAACCTCGACGGCACCATACGTTGGGTCGGTCCGTCTTGGAATGATGTGCTCGGTTCCGAACCCGAGGCCGTCCAGGGCGCCCACATTTCCGACTTGATTGCTAGTGACAACAAGACTATATTTACCGACATTGTCGAGTCTATGAAGAAAGATGATTCCCAAAGCCAGATCGTCCGCTTCGCCATGACCCTGGGTCCCAAGTCAAAACTACTTCCGACGGATCGCTCTGCCGAGCCTTCGGGCACTGCCCCGCCTGATATAATCGACCTTGAGGCCCAGGGCATCATGGTCCACGATACGGGCTCGGGTGGGGAGAGTCATGTATGTCCGGCTACCTTGCACTACCAATAAACTTTCAGTTTGCTGACATTGCTACAGACTATGTGGATGATCCGTCCCTGGATGGCCCCACGCGAGATTAAGATCGACTTGCCGCGCCTCATCGTCGACTCCTTGGGATCTGGGGCCGAAATCCTCGCCAGCTACCTCACGCAACTTGCCGAATCCGGACTCGACAACCCCGGAATGCAGCCTGCCCCGCAGCCAGTTCTCTGCCGAATATGTGAACGCCATATTCCTCCCTGGTGGTTCGAGAAGCACACCGACCTGTGCTTGCAGGAGCACACAGCCGAGATGGAGGTGCAAATGGCCCAGGACAATCTGACCGAGCACCGCCATGCTATTGTCAAGGTTCTCGACGCCCTGGAGGCGCGAAAGAGCCGGTCGCTGACGGGTGACGCACCACCCGCGCTTTTGGCCGAGTACAAGGGCTTGCCAATCGGACCGCCTCCCTCGTCAAACTCCTCTTCCTCGGCAACATCTTCTCCATCACCCGCCGCTGGTCGTTCCAGGGACCGATCTTCGGCATCGTCGGGCTTTGGCCACGCGCGCGCCCGCTCCTTTGCCATTCGCAGACCACAGGCTAGAATTGTCGAGCTGCTGTTAGACCTCTGCGACACTGCCATGGAGATCAGCACGCCAGCCATCAAGGAGTCGTCTTCGCAAAACCCGGGCGAGCTGCGCACCCAGTCTCCGCAGTCCGAGTCTCGCATCTCCCAGGTCGCCCAATGGCAGTCGCCGAGCACAAACACACTCGAGCAGGAGCAGGGTCTCGCCGCACTCTGTGCGGATTCGGAAAAGGTGGCAAAAGCAAAGGTTGAAGCAGTGCTCCGCCATCGCCGCATCATCGAGTACGCAGAACGTATCCGTGTCGAGTTCTCTGTCATTGTGCAGGACTGCATTGACGATGCAATGTGCAAAGCGGCCAAAATTGCTTCTGGCAGCTTGAGCGACTCGACCGAATCTGCAGGAGACGAAGTCGCCGACGACGACTATGACGGAGCTGCTACCCCCGCCAACAACGAGGAGGCCTTCTTTACCGGCTCTTTTGATGCCCCGTCCAAGCTGGCTATGGCTCTCGAGAGGGCCAAGATCAGCGACGACCCTGAGAACCGCAGGTTGCCCTCAGCTGCAGGCTCATCGGTTGCTGAGTCGCAGAAGTCGGCAAGTCCTATGGAGTGTCCCACACCCAAATCCACGCTCGGTGCCAAATGCATCTCGGCTCAGCGCCATTCGCGGCGTGGATCGATGCTCCTCGAGAGCGATGCAGGTGACAGTGACGGCAGCATACGGTCTTCATCAGTTGTTTCACGACCGCCTCCTCGTACCGAGTCGCCTATCTCCGAATTTGGCGACCTTCGCCGCCAGGCAAGCTCAAGACAGCACCACCGCCGAAGCCTTATTCTGCCCGGAGCCATTTCTCCTCACCGACAGGAATCACCGTCTCGCACTGCGGCCCAGACCCCGTCCTCGCCTCTGAGAATTAATAAGCCGCGCAATCTCACATACCCGCCGGAAGGCGTCGTGTCTCCCGAAGCTTCACCGATGCTACCGAGCAGCGAATTTGGATCACCATATCTCATCAGCCAGTACCAACCCCAGCCGTCGCATCACTATTTGCACCATCATCGGCGACAATCATCTATCTCGGTGTCTGCATCGGGCGAGGTATCTACCCGGCCTCCCCCGTCACCGAGACTGAACGCTGTAGGAGCACCGCCAATGGCACGTGCCGTCCCCCCGTCGATCAAAGACTTTGAGGTGATCAAGCCAATCAGCAAAGGTGCCTTTGGCAGTGTATATTTATCTAAAAAGAAGTCCACGGGCGAGTACTTCGCCATCAAGGTGTTGAAGAAGGCCGACATGGTTGCCAAGAACCAGGTCACCAATGTCAAGGCCGAGCGTGCAATCATGATGTGGCAGGGCGAGAGCGACTTTGTTGCGAAGCTGTACTGGACCTTTTCGAGTAAAGACTACCTGTACCTGGTGATGGAATACCTGAGCGGTGGCGACTGCGCTTCCCTCATCAAGGTGCTGGGCTGCCTACCGGAGGATTGGGTGAAGCGGTACTTGGGGGAAGTCGTTCTTGGTGTCGAGCATCTGCATGGTCGCGGTATCGTCCACCGAGATCTGAAGCCCGACAACCTGCTTATTGACCAAAAAGGCCACCTAAAGCTTACTGATTTCGGCCTGTCGCGCATGGGTCTCGTTGGTCGCCAAAAGCGCGCCCTTAACAGCGCCACAAATGAGCCTGTGCCAGATCTTCTGAAGCAGGGCCCGTTCGCCCGGTCAACGTCGATCAACTCGTCTCGATCAACGTCGCTCGATCTTCACGGAGTCCACGCCCAGTCGCCCGGTGGCACACCCTTAATGACACCAAGCGACGCTATTGGCAGCTGTGGCCAACCCTCATACTTTAATCTAGGCAACGCCCCCCCCGAAAACCGACTCTTGTCGGGACATCGAAGCGATAGTGGTGGCAGCGAGTCACTGAGCCACATGATTAGCAACTTGTCGCTCAACGATGTCACATCTATGCCTCATCATACGGTACAGTCACCCCATGGAGAGGGAAGCGAGGGCGATAGTTACGGGTCGCCGGACCTGCCATCTCTGCAGCCGATGATGACCTACGGAAGCAGTGGCCCGGACCAAGGAGGGAAAGGAACTCCCCCACTGGCGGGCATGCCACCTCCCAACTGGGCCCTGTTTGACCCGGAAGACACGAACCGCCGTTTCGTAGGCACGCCCGATTATCTGGCGCCCGAGACCATCCGGGGCGAGCCTCAAGATGAGACGAGCGATTGGTGGTCGGTGGGCTGCATCATGTTTGAGCTGCTGTACGGCATTCCTCCCTTCAATGCCGGCGAAGCTGAGCGGGTATTTGAGAACATACTGGCTCGCCGGATCCACTGGCCGGAGGAGATGGACGACGAAGTGTCTCCAGAAGCGAAGGATCTGATCAACAAGTTGCTCTGCATGGACCCGCGCGACCGCCTCGGGGCCAACCATGATGAGAAGTATGCGTCTGGTGGCGAGGAGATTCGCAGCCATGTATGGTTTAAGGATGTCAACTGGGACTCCCTTCTGCAGGATGAAGCGCAGTTTGTGCCTCTTCTGGAGAACCCCGAAGACACGGAGTACTTTGACGCCAGGGGTGCCACGCTGCAGTCTTTCACGGAGGAGGTCGAGGACCAGTCGGCGTCCTCGGGCGGGGTGAACAGCGACTATGCTGATCGACCGCATGATGCCCTGTCTCGTGTGCGGACACAGGCGAACTCGACGAAGCGCGGGCTGATGCCGCTGCACATTCCTCCACATGTGCGTGACTTGAAAAGCCGACGCTTAAGTGAGCCGGTCGTGATAGATGATTTTGGCAATTTCGCCTTCAAAAACCTGCCAGTGCTGGAGAAGGCAAACAAGGATGTGATCCAAAAGCTCCGGGCCGAGGCCCTGGCTGCGCAGAACAAGCAGCAGCCGGCGTTGAGCCCCGGCGGAACTACTTCGATATCGTCGCCCGGACCGGCGCTCGAGGGAAGTCCAGTCCTGTCGGCGCCAGCCAACCAGCAAATTCAGAGGACAATGTCGAATGCGAAAGCATCGCAGCGGCCGCAGTCGCCGTCCAACCTCAGCCAGGCGGCTTCGTCTCCTAGCAGGGCTTCGCAGCCGTCATCGCCGTTGTTGGTGTCGTTTCACGCAGGACCTGACAGCCGACGAAAAGTTTCCAACAACAACCCGCCGAGCACACTTCAGCAGTCCAGCACGAGCAGCTCGATGCAGTCTGCTGCCGGTTACATTGAAGTGCCCCGCGTCCCGCCGAGCCTCCAGAAGGCGGCTTCTGCTGCAATGAGCCCTTCTCCAGCCGGCAAACCCCGCGGCCCGTTTCCGCCGCTGCCACAATCGCCACAGAAGACGGTGACGACACCACGTCAGACGAGCAACCCAGCTACGCGTTCGCGCTCGTTGACGGTGGGCTCCCAGGAAGGAAGCCCGATTGCGGCAGATATCCTCAACCACCGAAACCGCCGCAGCCAGGTCTTCGACATGTCACCCTCGTCTTCCGACAACGAGGGGGACAAAGCAAATGCGCTGCTTCTGCGTGTGCAGCGACGCCGCCAGAGCTCGCGTCGCATGTCGCAGATTGCGATCGACAGTGGGCCAGTGTTTCGGCCTCTGGACGTTCTCATCTGCGAAGATCATCCGGTGTCGAGAATGGTGATGGAAAAGCTGCTGGAGAAGCTGCGGTGTCGGACGATTTCAGCCGCGAGTGGCCCAGAAGCTGTCCGTTACGCCATGAGCGACATCAAGTTTGACGTCATCTTCATGGAGTACAAGCTGCCGCAGATCAGCGGCGCCGATGTGGCCCGCATGATCCGGGATACAAACAACACTAACTCGCACACGCCGCTTGTGGCGATTACGGCCTATCTGAAGGAGCTGCAAGCACGGCAACACTTTGATTCGTTGATCGAGAAGCCAATCAGCTCGTCGAAGTTGACTGAGGTTCTGGGCAGTCTCTGCCATTGGAAGCCGCCTGCTTCGTGTCAGAACATGACGCTGCCCTCTTCGTCGGCTTTGGGCCACCCGATTCCGTCTAGCTTGCGGCAGGAGAGCATTCGGCTCGAAGACAGCCCAACTTCGGTCTCTTCGGTGTCAGCAAACCGGACCACCAACAGCTTCCGGGGCTCCAGCCGGGAGGACTCTATTGGATCAAGCCTGTTTGGAGATTCGGAGTCAGTGAGCACTGACGATATCCCGATTGTGATTGGGCGTAAAGCAACTACTGGTGAATGGGACGAAGGCGGGCTGGGTATCTCGCAGGATGACAATATGCTGGGCCCAAGTGATCCGACACGGCTGCAACCTCTGTCACCGCTTGCTACTGCAGCAAATCCCGGCCCAGGCCCGGTACAGTCGGTATCGCTGTCGGCACAGCGCTTTGTCTCAGCCAGCACCTCTGCTAGCCCCGTTGTTGCCCAGCCGGGGCAGAAGTTGGTCTCGGTGCCGGATTCGATGGCATTGCACGCACCTGTGCCGGTGCCGGTGCCCCAGCGCTCGCTAGAGAAGCTGCGAGCCAAGCGGGAGGCCATCGAGAAGAGGCGGCACGATGGCAGCGTGGATTCGGCCGACGACGAAGATGACGAGCTTGGTCTGGGCACGAACAGCAGCGCAGTCAGCAGCGGCAGCTCAAGCAGCGGCAGTCCTAGCAGCGTTGGCGGGCGGCAGTCGTCAAGACAGCACTTTCGCAGCAAGTCGGTACTGCCGTCGTCCAAACTGGGCATTGAGATGATGCGAGCCAACAGCCACGACAGTGTCATCCTCCACGGCTCGGAGAACATCAAGACGGGGACGATGAATTCTTCGGCGCAGACTGCGAGGCCGACGGTGAAATTTCGCCGGATCGAAGAAGTAGACCAGACAGCTGCGGCTGCTGTTGCTACAGGTGAGCTGGACAACAGCGGGACTGGTGAAATCGACTTGGCTGAGGTTGCTGTGGAAGACTTCGACGAGATTGAAGACGTGCCGGTGGCACAGACGCCTCCCGAGCAAATCAACGTGATCGGTGCAGTGGCCGCAGAAAAAGCAGCTATTGACGGCATGGCAGACGACGAGACGCCCAAGGCGACAGACAGGCTTGGTGGGACGCTGGATGCCAGTGTTGAAGACCAAGATCCGACGCCTCGGCCGTCGTCTAAAATCGTGGACCTGGAAGAACAGACGCCTGATGGTTTTATCTAAGCCTGGACCCGCTTGCTTGTCCCGGGAGCTCGCTCTTTCACACCACATCCGCGACAATCACAAAAGGCAATGCCCTCAGCGGGCAGAAAGTGAACATTGATTTTTCGTGAATTTATTACAGCGAGGAGTTCCTGGATGCGATGCAAAGATTTGCACATCATGCTACTTTTTTTCCCTTCCCCGTCCATTTCATATGTTTTACCACCTTCTGTGTGCATATACCTTTTTTTTCATTTGTCTAGTATGGTGCTTTTTCCCTTGATTTTTCGGCTCTTTGCACGACGGCACGAAGGGCTTGACAGGCGTTTCGGACTTGCATAATCTACGACAAGCGAGACCGAAGCATTCGCCTCAGCGTTCACGATGGAAAGGGTGGCCTGGAAATGGCCGATTTGTGCCTCATGTCTGCAGACCAAACTTTGTTTTTCTTTTACCACTCGTGAGTCTTCTAGACTCGCAATATAACATCCACACTCGCTCTTCAACAAAGCAGCCCTGACGGCAGCTCTTTCACTGCCCATTTTCGCGCGGTCAAATTTGTCCTCGGGCACCGCAATAGCACACAGGTCTATCTGCTATATATTAACTGCCGATGGTTTTACTCTTGTTACGGTTAAGTGAAAAGAAATAGGGAGCTAGTCGGCCAGGCAAAAAAAAAGGAAAATAGTAAACCGGAGAAGAAAAAAAAGAAAACAAGATTGGTAAAAGCAGTACATTTGTTTCTGTGACTAAACGTTATGCTTGGGTGCGCTCAGTATGGCTTAGGTTAGACACCGGTGTTTGGTGGATTATGGCGGTAGGTGCGGCCGTCCAGATGACAAAGCCTCTCCGCTCCTTCCGTGTGAACAACGATCCCGTGCAGATGTTCCTCCTTTTCTTAGTGACAGTAGTTGAACGGGCGCATCACAGCACAAACTCATACAAAATCCGAGCGAGGCCGTACTGGTTCGATGTCTGTGCCGAACGCGCTGCAGGGTGTTTCTCCGCACGTCCGCGAGCTGCTGTCGCGGCTGCACGCCGAGTCGCTGGAGCAGGAGGCGGCCCTTGCCAAGGACGACATGAGTAACGGCCCGGCGACGGGCAGGTTGATGCGCGACAAGTTCATCGCCCTGGACGAGAACAAGGCGCACTACGTGTACCAGCTGGCGCGGGCGACTGGGGCCACGACGATCGTCGAGGCCGGCACCTCGTTTGGCGTCAGCACGATCTATCTGGCTCTGGCCGCAGCGGCGAACGCGGCCATCAACAGCAGTGGAAGCCGTGGAAGCCGTGCCCGCGTGATTGGCACAGAGCACGAGCCGACCAAAGCAGCACGGGCGCGCGAGCACTGGCGGCAGTGTGGCGATACTGTGGCCGACGTCATCGAGCTGCGCGAGGGCGACCTGCGCGAGACGCTGCGGACGGATCTCGATAAGGCCGACATGTTGCTGCTGGACAGTAAGATGGCCTGGGTGCTCCTGTTTCTGTTTTGATCTCCCTTTTTTCTTAGAGGCTCCTGCTAATCGCTGCTAAAACCCCAGTTTGGACGCCCATGGCGTTGCCTACGCTCAAGATCGTGCAGCCGAAACTGCGATATGGCGCTGTCGTCATCACCGACAACACCATCAGCTCGGCTGCCAAGTACAAGGAATATCTTGACTACATTCGGGCAACAGACAGCGGCTTCAGCAACATGACGGTGCCGTTCAAGGGTGGGCTCGAAATCAGCGTGTACCTTCCTGCAGGAGGCGGGGATGCAACATAGAGCAGCCGGAATGCAGTTTGAATAGCAGCAGTTGATTTGCATGAACTATGCAATTGCTAGACCCTGCGTGACTAAACACGGTTACCAGCCCTGGTCAGGCCCTCGAGCAGGTGCTTTTTCGTCTGCTCCCCGGCTAGCTTGGAGACGTCCCAGGAAGCATAGACAGGTCGACGGTGGTAATTCTGGCCTCCTGGGAAGCTTCCAAGACGATGAATCTGCCCAAGAAGGCGTACTTTTCATCATATATCAGCGTATCCGGGTCTCTCCATTCCGCTTCGGCTTTTGAGAGCAAACGGATCAGGGACGCACTTTCATCAAAAGGAAGCATATCGTCGGGCTTGACGCCGTCGGCGATGAGCAGAAATGTGTACGTGCCGTTGAGCTTTGTAAGGTCGTAGTTCGGCCGCTGGGTGACGAATGGATGGCCCGATAGGTTGACGGGGTTTGTCGACACGTATTGCACAAGCCGCAGACAGTCAGCCAGGTATATGGTACTTAGCAATAATGACGTGGAAGCCCCAACCAGGCCAAAGCTCCCGGTGATGGCATTGCCGAAGTTGGTGCCACCACCGGTGATGGGAACGGGTTGGCTGGCTTAGCTAAGCTTTGGGCGTGTAGATGGCGAGTTGCGGGGACTGTCCACAAAGGCTTAGCGCCCGCAAAAGACCTAGTGAATGACAAATGCAGGCTGACTAGAGCTGCAGCAGCACAGCAGCGACAACAGCAGCGCATGTTAGCCAAATCATGTCCGGAATGGCAGAAAGGAACGCATGCCGAGCGTGTGCACGATCGAAGCGCCGCTGCGGAAAGGAGCGGCCGGCGTGCCACCGATGCCAGGACCGACATCAGGACTGCGAATATCCCCCTGCCAAACTGTGCGGATTTGTGGCTGTAGAGGAGGCTTTTGGCGAGCAGTCAGTGCCAGAACAAGGCAGCCTTTTAGGAGACGATGGAAACCACAATATCATGCTAGGAGACTTTCTAAACATGCCGCTATCGGTATCCGCCGATAAGTTTCTACAGCTACGGCTGGCTCTTGGGGCTACCGGTCTGCCGTTGCTGTCGTCGCAGCTGGAACAGTCGCCACAGCCATCCTTGCCATCTCTTACGTCTCTTCCGTCACTCTACTTGCCACAATCCCCCACGATACCGCCACGATGGCCGGTGCTGTGGTTTCTCGCGCCCGAGACGTGGAAGATCGACCGCCGGCCGGAACCGATTCCGTCAGCGTACGACATGGAGCCGATCCGCGGACATATCGTCAAGATCCAGCAGTGGCTGATGCGCTGGGTGGCCACGGGAAGCTGTCCCTTTATCCATCCTTATCTGTACCGGGTGCAGCAGCCCGGCTGCGTGCAAGTGGCCTTTACGACGCTGACAAGCTACGTGTACCGGACCGAGGTGACGGCCGACATGGTGCTGCAGATCGTCGAGGACCAGGCCAGCCATCTGCTGTCAGACAACGGCGTGGCCCTGGCTGATGGGGGAGTCTATCATGTCAACGAGAGTGCTTCTGGATTCTCTCCGACCGCGACCCCTCGCACAACGTCCTCTTCGTCTGCACCACCGACAGCTGCTGATGCTGCTGCACCCGGCCTGCTCGAGCAGCTGGCCCGCACACACGCTCTGGTGGTCTACCAGACCATCAGCCTGTTCGACGGAGACATCCGGGCGCGCCACCTAGCTGAGGGCCGCCAGGCCGTGCTGAGCCGCTGGGCCGGCCAGCTGATCGAGAGCGCCCGCCTAAGCCTGGGAGTGGCCTGGCTGCAGAGCGACGGCCTGCTCACCGCGGTCGAGCAACATCCATGGTACCTCTGGATCCTCAGCGAGAGCATCCGCCGCGCCTGGATGGTCGCTAGCGCCATCGAGGCCATCTACGGAATCCTACAGCGCGGCTGGTATCCATGTCCGGGCAACATCATGTGCACGACACGCCAGGCAATCTGGAACGCTCGCTCAGCCGCCGACTGGGAGCAGTGCTGTGCCGAGACAGCCGACCGGCCAGGCCAGCTGGCCCACCGCCAGGACTTTGAGCGCTTCTTCGCCGAGTCCAGCGCCGCCGACATTGACGAGTTCATTCGTGCCCTCATGGCGTCAACCTTTGGCGACGACCGCGTGCGGCGGTGGGAGAGTGACAGCGAAGGCGTGGCCGTGGACTGAGCGAGGACACTTGGCTGTCGAGAGGGGCGGTATGTACAGAGTACAAGAGTTGCAGCTATTGTCCTGACACTTTCCCAAGCGAATAGATTCTGACCTTTGAGCGTATGCCAGTATTACTTAAACAATATACAAATGAAATCCGGCCTAAACTGTCAATTATTTCAGCTTTCCTCTTAGAAAGCGTGCCATTCCTTCAGTCTTGAAAATGAATGAAGGGCTTTGAGTCCAGGATCGTCCAGTTCGCTGGCACGGGACTGGCGGGACATTCCATTTTTATGGGGAGTTCAGTCATTTAAGAAGTTCAAACTTAGAAGACTCGCTGCAAAAATGGGAGGAAGAGTCAACCGATAGATTTCTGGCTACCGAAGAGGTGGATGGACGACGACAACAAGGATTCTGGCGCCAGCGTCAAAAGGCATATTAAAGACGCTAGAAACATTTTATTGAAGGACATGGTCAAGAAGGAGAATTGGATAACAGATGTACTCGCCCCAGTACAGTTCGTAAACAGCTCTGAGAGCATGACGGCTATTGCTCGTGTTGAAAAGTTCAAGAATAATCCGTCTTTCGCAAAACAAGTTCCCAAAACGTTCGACAAGAACCTATCAGCGTATGCATGCATCATCATAGATGAAGCCCACGAGAGGACTACCGATCTCGACGTCCTGATGGGATTACTGAAGGGCGTTGCAGCCAGCCGAAAGGACTTCAGAGTATTTGCTTTACATGATCTTGCAAGTGAGGCCAAACTGACATTGCAGAGACCAGTCTCAGAATTTCCAATGTTGTTTAAGTCGTCGACTCCGGACTCTCTAGACAGATGATCTTCCATCCCCGTCCGCTTGACTCGGTGATTCTGCAGCTGGCGGGAATTTGGGGCAGACACGTAATCGACTTCGATTGGGTCGATCCACCCCATCCAGAGACAATCTTCCGTGCTGCTCAGGATCTTCGAGATTGGTATGTATTCCAAAAGGTACTTACCTTGACTATCGAATATTACTGAGGAAAGAAAGCGTTTATAGTAGTTTACATGTTAAATTTTGGAGAGCATATGCTGACAAGCCAAACAGATTACTATTCGATACATATAACTGAGATTCGTCGTTGTTGTAGCCTATTTCCTTTGAGCGAATAGACGGGCACAAACATCCCGCAAAGTCTGCCTTCATGCCTCCTTGGTGTTTAAGCTGTCGACTTCAAAGACATCCCACCGAACAGCCCGGTCCAGTTGCAGTTTGAGCCCCCCAGTTTTCTCAGCGGTGCTTCGATGGCGATTTCAGCCCAGTGGTGATACACCCCATTTATGCCCATAATCGTGAGGAATTGCATTTCTGCGCCACCGTTCAGAGCTGCAAACGTACGGTTTCCACGCCCGACCAAATCCAGTCGAAACCATTCACCCTGGGGTACCGTAGCATTCAGACGAAAGTAGTTACCACCGGCAAACAGAGTGATGTTCGGCGTAAGCATGAGGATGGAATCTCGTCCAGTTAAGAGCGTTGCATTGGTCGGGTCTGTCAGCGAATCAACACGTAGCGATAGTGACAAGGTGTAGTTGCGACCCTTGGAGTCTAGCGGAGTTGTGACACTGCGGCTTTCCGAGACAGCAAGTGCTGTCATCGAACCGTCTTTGCCAACAGTACAGGTTGTATGAGCTGTGTAATTGTTAGGGGAACTGTCGGGGATGAAGCTCGAGTTTCGAAGGCCATCGAGCTCGTAGTTGAAGATCGTATCAGACTTGGAGGGAATTGTGCGCTCCAGATTTTGCCCAGGCGTTTTGGGCTGCAATGCGGCAAAGAGACCCGTAAAGTTTGCCTCGCTCACGTTCCCTCCCCATTGTTTGTCAGCAAGTGCGGGAATGCCCTCACGCCAGGCATAGTAAGCCTCGGAATACACGGATGCGTTAGCCCCGTAATCGTTCCATAACGGCACGATAGAGCCCAGTACATATGGGCTTGACAAAACTGGGTTATCCGATGCATTCTTCTGGTCAAAAATGTTGGGCCTCCAGTAGGTGCCGTCTGGAGAGCCGTGAAAAGTCCTTGTTAAATTGACAGCGTTGGGGTAGCCTCCTGGGTGTGACCATTTGTTCACAACGTAGAAATCGTCGTTCGAATTGACCACGGAGTAGTTGTTTAGGATGTAGTCGGTGTAAGGATTATCTGCGCCGTAGTACCAATGTTGTACAGACTGTGATTTTTCAGATTAGCGCATATCACAATGGGCAACTTGCTTTGCTATGCAAATGCGCGTACCACGTTCTGGTATACGTTTGTCCAGGTCGAGTTGTCTGATGCGATACGTTAGCACACAGCCCGCAAGCTTGCAGTACTTCCTACCACATAATTCGACTTACTATAAAGAAGTTAGCACTGGAACGCCTTTACTTAACTGCTTTCGTGTCAAACATACCAGATCGGTGGGAATGTTCCCCATATACGGATAGATTTGTTGCCGTTTGTACCAATAAATCCGTCCATGGAGTTTACAAAGTTGTTGTAGGCAGCCTCGGGGCCTTTGTATTCGTCCGCGCCGATAGAAACAGTCTTCAGGTGGAACCATGGGAGGAAGGTCTCCCAGATAGTCTTCATGGTCGGGATAGCCTCTGGGTGCGAGATATTCAACTGACTGGAGTCTGTGTCTAGGCCAAGCTCGGGCTTCCATTGAGTAATCACAAGAGCATGCCCGGGAGCCTCGATCTCCGGGATGACGGTCACACCGCGCGATGCACACTTTGTCTGGATGGTATCGAAAGTTGCTCGATCGTAGGATTCATTCGCATGAAGATTGAGCCCTGCCACAGCAGATTCCTCACTCCATAACCGGAATCGCGCGTACAGTTCGTTTGATTGCTCTTCTGTGTAGTTCGGATTGTGGTACAAGTTGTCGCTCAGATGCAGTTGAAGAGTGTTCTGTTTAAAGAAGGACATGTAGCTACACAGCTCGATAATGAACTCGGGTGGATGATAGTGCCGGCCCTCGTCGAGCATCATTCCGCGTATGGCCCATCCGGGGATGTCGAGACCGGACCCATACGGAATGGATGGCACGCCCGACTCGGCAAGCGAGAGTAGTGCTTGCTGGAGGATGGTCCGTGTTCCCCACCAAACGCCAAGCGGTGATGCGCCGATGATGGTGATACCGGATGGGCTGGTGATAAGTTTGTAAGCCTCGGAGCTTTGTTTCCCGGTCGCGTCAAGGTACTCGCCCTCTGAATCGAGTGTTAGGAAAATGTTGCCTGTAGCAGAGAAGCTTGATCCTAAAGTTGTTTGTGCTGATATGCCAAGTGTTGGCTCCAAATCATTCGCAAATATTGAAGCAAATGCAAACAACGTTGGCGGTATCAGAGTCTCTCCAGCTTCATTAACCGAAGAAGCATATCGCCAATCTACAACGATTTGTCTGACGTGGCTGAGACTAAAGCTCCCATTTTGCTTTTGAAAAGGGACAGTGGGTATTCCCGGCAGAAAGGTACTGGCAGAAACCAGGCCTGTGAGATCGATTAGCAGTTGGGCGGCTGATATGTGGTTGTATAGCACACAAACCGATAAGGCCACAAACCAGCGCCGCCAAGCTTTTCATTGTGCAGCGTATCTTCTAGATAGAGCGGCGTGTTGAGTAGGCCTATATCGAGCCCGCTCTTGTCTGCCCTGGTACAGGAACGTTTATATATACTATTGCATTATTTACAGCTTACACCTACGCAACTTTCTTGTCTTAGCAACGTTGCGCGATCATCGCCTTTCATCCTTTCACGTGTAGACGACTTGAGCAACTTATGTGTAGAATACGACGTACCAAATGGGGTGGAGACAACGATAGGATGTCTGTTAGCATGGTGTTCTCGGAAAGTACGGAGTACCGGGGTTATAACAAGGTATACGGAGTAGGCACGAATTGTTTTTCTACTTGTTAGATGCTCTCCCCATATAGTGGTAAGATACATACTCTGTACAGAGTAGAGCCGCCAATTTCCGATAAACTATAGCGGGGGCCCTATCATAAATACGGAGCGATCCAGAGTATGGAGCAGAATATTAGCACAAAACGACTAACGTAACGTACGAAAGCCCAAGGTAGAACTAGCGAAACGTTGCCATAAAGCTTAGTCGCATTGCCTGAGACTTACCTCGACTCCAATTCCTGCTCCAAGTTCAATCCCAATTCCTCCTCTCAAACTTCCAAGTTGGTGGTCAACTTGGTCGAGACACGTCGTTCGGAGTTCAGCTCGGTTTGGGCGTTGACCATAGAAGAAGGAAATATGGCTTTACCTGGCGGATTGCCCTTAAGCTGAGCTTGACTGACTGGTTGCGTTCGTCTTCTTGTTGGCAGGCTTGGTGCTATCGGCGATGACATGATAATGGCTTTTTTATGAGACGGGATCAAATGGAGTTTGGGAACTGTGTGCAAGCGACGATTGCATTTTTTTTTTTTTTGGGGGGGGGGGGGGAAATAAGCTTGAGTTTTCATATCAGAAAGGGAAAGAAACAACCGATTTACTCGTACTGCATGTTCGTAAGCTTCCTTGCTCGTGCCTGCCAAGTACGGAGTAGAGAGCAATCAAACCGGTGATCAGACAGTATTACACAACGTTAATTAATCTTTCCCCGTTGAGATCTTTCCCGGTTGAAACTTCGAAATTGCGATGTTTCTGTCGATTATTGATAGAAGTATGATCCCCAATTATCGTCGATATGAGCCATTATGTGACAACTCAGTTTACCATAACTTCGCGTATAAGAATCTAGCTCCATGGAGGTTGTTACTAAGAGATGCGATATATTCTTTAAAGGGGTAGGACTCTCCATAGTTACTCATCCTCGTGTTGTTTGCAGTATGTATGCCTGTCGTTAAGCAATGGCGCATTGCTTTTACTTGGTCCATTATGAAGTGATAGTTAGAAACGTAGAATAAAATTTCAGTAAAATCTACGCCAAAGTTACACTACATGCATCAATCTGTGTCCCCCTTTTTCAGAACACAACTCACGGCAACGAGGTCGGCTAGGCCGAAATATATTTGTAAGGGCTCATAATACAGTCTATTAGAGATTTTATTGTCAAAGAAGCAGTCGCAGCTTGTCATTGGGCCCATCAGTGCCTCCTTCGCTCAGTACATGCAAGCTGATCACCTCAAGTGAGCTCTCCAGCAAGATATCCTTTCCTGGCGTGTATATTCCATTTAAGGTAGCCACACTATCATCGGCCCGCTGTTGTATTGGAAGCGAGCCAGTCTGTGAGGTGCTCTGCAGAGCTTCCTCTGGGTCCGACAACGGACGCTGCCACCGCTTTGGCACCACCAACATGTAAATGTGTTCTCGGTATGTTTTCGCTAAGCCGAACACAATGAACAACAGCAAACCAGGCGAGACCCCTGGCATGAAGAGAATGAAGATGGATCGAGCGTGGCTGCTGCTCAAATCAGGCTTCGTGGCTGTTGCATCTTTTTTGCTGTGTTGGATTGAAGTGACCTGGAAGATAATATTGGCGACCTGGAGTACCCTTCTCAGGTCAGTTATAAAAGATTGACGGCTTGTGACGGAGCTGAGGGTCTCTCACATGAGCATCACAAACGTAACTGAAAAGCGAACGAGCAGCCACCGGTCGTAGATCTGCTTCGTCTGTGGACGTTCGGCCGGGCTGCTTTCACCCGATGTGGTGCAGCCGTGAGACCCCAACTTTGGGTCTTCATGACTACTGCTCCAGACGAGAAATTGCCGTCGAGATTTGATGTACTTGACGATGATGGAGAGTAATAGAACGCAGCAAGTAGTTAGGCCCATCATCACTGGCGCTCTGTCAGTTTTGCTTTCTGTCTATCTCGCTCAGCCCTACCTACTGCGGGCTTACTAGGGATGTCGGCCAATATGATGAAACCTATACGATTTTTTTTGACGGCCTTCACACTGAGACATGAGATTGTAATGATGGGAAAGGCAAGCGCGAAGGCCTTTCCAAAGTGGTCAATCTGGCTGAATGCCCGCCTCGAACGTTCGCTTTTTGCCAGGCCAAACACTTTTTGCGATAGCTGAATCGACCTGGCGATACGTTAGCACCCACGTAATTCAAGCAGACACCTATAACGCCACACAAAGTGACGTACCAAGACATGGCCAAGAGGGACGCTGAGTTATACACATAGAATTCTGTAACAACAATAATTAGCTCAGGGCACGACTCCGTTTTTGGAAAGCAGACATATCGCACGGATGTAAAACAGTCCCAGGTCGAGACCAGCCGGACTGTTGGCGATAACCAGCTGTGAATTGTCCGGGTGTAGCTTCAAGTTCTTAAACTGCGTCTCGACGACATCTTTCCAGTACAGTGCGTCGTGAAATTGCTGTATTATTGATGCGACAATGGCAAGACAGACGAGGTACGATAGGCAAGCAACGTCTAGAAGAGTCAGATCAAGTGCCAGAAAGAATGAGAAAGCATGGGTGGACAGTACAAGTCAGTCTTTCGTTATGTCCCCATGTCAACCAGATGACAACAAGAACGGCGAACAAGTTGATGAAGCTGTAAAACAGCACACCAGCGACCACAGATGCAATGCCGTGGGGGAGTTGGGATCCCATCATGCAGACGTTGTTGGGGCACCACATACAGCTGCTACAGCGTGGTCATCCAGACGGGCTGAAGTTGGGGGCAAGCTCGTCAATATCGATATATGTGCCGAGAAGAACACACGCAAACGCTCTGAGAGAAATATAATAGCAAGCTGCCGGATTCCGTTTTTATATACTGCTTTAAAGAGATCCTCACAAGAAAAATCTCCGGAGTGGTCTCAATTCCAAGAGCAGTGTCTGCTAGACTGAGACAGTGGAGACGCATGCAGCATCGACACTCGATCCCTCGCGTCCCACTAGCTGCAGCCCCCACAAGCTCTTGCAGCTAGATGATTGATCCTCGAACTCATAGTAGTCAATGTCGCCCCCGGTCTTTTTATCAGGTTGCTACAACTCCCTTACTTGACAGATTCTGGGCACTGTCTCGGATTTCCCGACATCAGGCCACGCCATAGCATATAGCAAGTAAGAGACGGGCCAGACTAACAGGCCGGGCTAGAGCGCCGGTAGCCGGTCGAGGGTCTGATAGTGTCCATACCTTGATTGTTGGAAGCCGTTGCTACATTAAACCTGCCAGCGCGAGACCAAACGTTATCAGTCCTCTCTCCTCTGCCCTAGTTTATTTGCTTTATTTGCTTTTTGTTATTATTATGAAATCGTGAGGCCTCAATCCATATTTCATAGTCGTCCTGCTTCCCGGATGGACGCTGGGCTATAGGGTTCTGACATTGTCTCATGGCAAGCCTGCAGCAGCGTGCATAGATAGCAGAACAACCAGGCACACGGATAGCTGATGGGGAGGCTGTAAATCCACCGGGGGTCGTCTCGTTATGATCCAGGCAAGACATGCGTCCCAGATCTGCAACCTGCATAGCAAGTGATGCTTCACACAGCTGAGAAAATGCTGCGCCCAATAGTCCTGGGCAGATAAGATGCTTTTACATACTGCGCAAATTTGCCTACATTGCATTAGCGGCTGAACCCAACACCAGAATGACTGCGCAAGGAGCTGCAGCGGGGGCTAAATAGGCGGGACTAATCCTTGCTACAGCCGCCGCTGGGACCGTAGCCTCCTGTTTACCGGGTCGTTTTCGCCCTTTTAGCGCGAGAAGAAGGGAAAAAGTACAGTGGAATTCCCAAATTCCCCTTCTTCTTACAAGTACGTCGCAACGTGACCTCCCGGGTGCTGATCGGCTTCCCGATTATCCCAAAATACAGATTCGGCTTGGTTTCTGTTGCCACAACCCAAACCGCGTCCTTCAAGTTGCTAACATCTGTGAAACGCGGGTGCGATTTTGGTCTTGCTTGGTCAATCTCTCCATGTGTCTATCCCGAATTGGAAAGCCATCAGCAGCTGTATTCGGCCGGGTAGTCGTGCGGTCATGGCTTCGTTCAGACGTCAGCACTAACATGGGCAAATTGCAGATAAGTGTAAAATATAGCCAGCTAGCGGCAGACAAAAGAGGCAAAAAGCGTTGGCATAGGGAGACATCGAAAAGGTAAAATAGTGCGCGGAAGGGGCAAAAATATGTTTTATGGAAGTGCCTGTTGAACAGGCGCATCAGGAATTGAGCCCGATGCGGGGGTCGAACCTTTAGGGTCTGTCAGCTATTGTCATGAACATCTTGTGCAGGATAGATTACTAACCCGCAACCTTGAGATTAAGAGTCTCACGCTCTACCGATTGAGCTAACCGGGCGTCTGCATTGTGGCTGACACGCCGAGAATCGGTCTACTTGGCGACAGGGTCCATTTTGTTAGCAGTCTAGCACATCGAAAAAAGCAAAGCGCATTCATGCGAGTAAAAAACACTCATAGCGATGAGGCCAATAATCGTAAAGCTTATGACTGATTACAATCTCGGCATACGGAGTACGCTTTCTTTGAATTTCTTGCTATGGTTCCCGCCACAGCGAGCCTTCCTCGGCTTCAGTGTACACCCCTATACGCCCCGTACAGAGCTTCGCGCTTCTCCTTTAAAGGTGGCCAATTAGCGAAGTGCGCACAGTCAAGGCGGTTATATATGTAAGCAGCATCAAAATAGCCGCGGCAGGCTTATGAAGATTATTTTATTTTTTTATCTACAAGGAGAAATGGCCAATCAAAGCCAGAAGAATTATTTGATTAAAGTACGAAGTATGTACAGAGTACGCATAGTATGTTATCCAGCTCAGTACCTGCCTTGATATGTTTACGATAGCAGAAAATAGTCGAGTCTATTGGCCGCGATAGCTCGGAGTTTTGTTGCTTGGTGCCTCTCGAACATTGCAGGCGTCGCACATGCTCTGTAGCCTTAGATTTTGTAAATGTTGCTCACATTACTTCGTATAGCCTAAGCTTGCATCGCAAACCTAGTTATGATCGAAGCCTAGAGCCGGACAGGGATTTGAATTGGGTCAACATTAGCGAATTCTCTGTAATCTAGATGAATATTTTACTATTAAAGGGCTCCCCAGGTCCAGAATTAATCAAAAGCTCTCGGACGAAAGTGTCAATCACAATGAAACTTTCCTCCTACGAAACCACGGGCTGGCTCGATCCCACTGAAGAAGTTCAGTGCATAGGCGTGGCTTCAAACACGACATCTTCCTTTCTCCTTCAATCCTCCCTCTTCTCCGGATATAAGAGCTCATAGAATGCCATGGCTCTCTCGATCAATTCTATTCGTAGATGCTCGTTTCGCACGCCCGAAGAAACTTTTGCTCGCTACTGAAATGTTCTTCGAGTTGACGTTCTTCCGACCCTGAAACAGGTGGACTTGTAGAAGCAATATCTGTGCCCCCCGGTACAGCTGAACTCAGCGCAGTCTCAGCGATGACAGGAGCGTTTGCTACCGATGTTTGCACTGTGGTCACATCGGCACTCAGCCCGGTAGAAGTCAGGAGTGCCAAGATCCGCGTCTGCTCTGATTCCGGCCATGAGACGCTGAGACTATATTCGATACTCGACATAAAAGGAGAAGGGCCAACACAGGGCCCGCCAGGCGGTTCACTGAGACAGACTTCGAGCAAAGGGGAGTCTGGCTTGAAGTATGCCACAGGAAGCCCATTGGAAAGGTCGGTGATGGATCCCCGACTCGCGCTACCAGGGCCCCATTCGATAATGTAACTCTCGCCGATGTCGTGGCCTATGGTGTTGCATAATACATTGGGCGCGTGGAGCACATTAGTGAGTCGGAGTGTGCCATGAGAGCTTGGGCCGCAAGCTGAGGGCGAGGTATTGGTAGGGAGATTGACACTCCCTATTCCAACTTTGATCGAGCTGCCCCCCATGACGCTGAAGACGTAAGAATCGATCGGGGTGTAATCATCTCCGAACCAGGAACGGTCTTTGGCGACACTGTAAAAGGGTCAGAAAAGAAAGCTTCATGTGCAGACTTTGTGTCTAAAGGGTGAGAGAGATAAAAATTACTGGGCGTTCGAGCCAGAAGCCCATATCCAAGAGGGGCAGGGCAGAGAACTCTCAGAATCGTATTGCGTCATGTCAATTTTTCTGCAATAAGACTTTGACGAATGCTCTTTCAGTATCAATGTAACCTTGGTGAAGTTTGAAGTCGGAGGTTTGATGCGAGAGATGTCCTGGCATCTGTCGTTGGGAATTTTGTCAAATGTGGACTACAGACCTGAACAGCCAAATGAGGAAGGCACGACATATGATAGAGGGTTGGAAGACCAGACAAGGAAGACATGCAGAAACGTACGTCAATTCAAACGACGCGACATGTCCAGCACCACATGTGGCCCGATTGCTGTCACACCTCTACCATATTCTCGGCCACATTTGCATCTTGCCTACAATCCTCCTATCTTGCAAGTGCCTATGTTCTTCAAAATTTTTACTTTATATTTCCTTCCCACCGCCACATAAAGAACTACAACTGCATGCCACCTAGGAGAGGTGCCAAGGCTCAATAAATGAGACGGATGAGAAAGCATACAGCGGCACGTCGTCGTCGCAGCAAATACTCCATCAGCGCTATTTACAACAAATATATCCAAATTTGATGCGAGTAGCACGCTTTCACATAGTGTGACACCCGCACCAGTAAGATTCCCCAAATGACCAACGACTCGATTGGTAGACCATCTCCCAGCTTACAATAACAACAAGTTAGAGAAGGAGAAGCTGCTGAACTGTCGGGGAGCTTTACGCGTGGCCTTAAATTTTGATGACTTCTCGTAATAAAATCTGTCATAGAGCAGTTCGACGGCTATTACCAGGCCATCGCAGCAATTGCTTGACAACAGCGCAAGGATCCGAGGCAAAGCATATCGTTGACATAATTTCAGTGACCCACCAACAATAACGGCATTGGCTCTTGGCGCATCTTAGTACTGATCGCATGGATGACTGAACCGAGCTAGCGGCAAAGGCTAGGTACGAATAATGTCAACATACTCCGTACGCGCTACTTTCTGTATCAGCCAGAGTCTAGACTCGAGTGCTCCTCTGGATTTTACGTATGTAAGTAGTTCTGTCCGGAGTGAACTGGTTAGCCGGTAAATGCCGCCTTAGCTCTGATTGGCTGATTCCCCTGGCAACAAGCGCCACCGATCGCCATGGTGAAGCTCTAGCCATCCAACCAGGAGCTGCGAAAGACCAGTGCAGAAGCCATCTCATCGATCACGAATATGACGTGCTTCGTCAAAGGAGAGAAATCGACGGCCAGCTCCGTCAGGAGTACCACATTATTCGGCCCACATTCGACATGCGTCTAATGCGGGAGAAAACTGCCAGATTCTCTGGCAGGAAACATTAGTTGCAGAATATCTATATCAACGTCTCCGTCCAGCCCTCATGCAGCGCACACTCTTTCCAATTCTCTCATCCAATCCTCTTCGTTACCAATTCTCGTGGTCTCCAAGCTCTGCCATCGAACGCCAGCATGGCCCGAATTGTTGTTGCTCACGCATTTGATGTGGAGCCCCCCAAAGACCAACAACATCCGGGTAAGACTTCATGTAGCACGATTATCGACCGGTCTTTTTTCAGTCGCTAACATTGGGTTCGGGTACTCTGGATGCAGTAAAATGGTATCGCTCAACATTCTATAACCTTACCATTCTCGGCCTCTGCAACTTTATGGCCCCCGGCATCTGGGGTGCCATGAACTCATTGGGTGCCGGTGGCGCAGAGTCACCGGCGCTGGTCAACACGGCCAATGCCCTGACCTTCTGTCTCATGGTACTTTCGTGCTACTACTCTGGTGCCATTGTGCACTACATTGGCATCAAGTATGCGCTCGTCATCGGAACGTGAGTCGTCTGTAGCCCCCACTGTAGCTATGATTGCTTGCGCTTTTTCTGATCGTCTTCACAGCATCGGTTACGCACCCTTCGCCGCTGGCCTGTATACCAACAACCGCTTCGACAACAAATGGCTGGTGCTTCTGGGAGCTGCACTCTGTGGCCTCTCTGCTGGCATATTCTGGATGGCCGAGGCCGCTATCGCCATCTCGTACCCTGAGCCGTGGAACAAGGGCAAGGCCCTGGGCTACTGGCTAACATACCGCCTCTGCGGACAGATTCTCGGCGGTGCCATCAATCTAGGAATCAACGCCAATAACGACAAGGCTGGCAAGGTGTCGTACCATGTATACGAGGTTTTCATTGCGCTGCAAGCTGCCGGCCCGTTTGTGGCCTTCTTCCTCAACAAGCCAGAGCAGGTGCAGCGACGCGATGGCCGGAAGGTCAACCTAGACATGACTGAAAGCCCATGGAAACAAGTCAAGCGGACAACAAGGCTCTTCTTCAGCAAAAAGTTCCTGCTCGTCGTCTTTTGGATTGGCCAGGCCGCGATTTTTCAGAGGCCGTCTATTTTACATACATTGACGGTGAGTCGCAGCACCCATTTTGCTTTGATGCTGACAGTATACTGATAACACTGTTTTAGAATGGTTCACGGTGCGCTCACGATCGCTCGGATCCTTCTTGGCTGGCATTGTCGCGGTTATTTCAGGAAACCTGGTCGGGGTAAGACACTCTGGTGGGGTACTGACTTAAACCTCACTAGCTAACGTATCGTGTAGCACTTCCTCGACCGCAGCAGTATCTCACTGCGGCTGCGCACTCGCTGGGCGTTCTGGACCATCGTCGTGCTGCAGGGCGCCTGGTGGACCTGGATTACCGTCATGGTTGCGCGCTACCGACACGAGAAGCCGACGTTAGACTGGAATGACGGCGGGTTCGGTGCCGGATTCGGCGTCTACGTGATGCTGACGATCGGCTTTCAGGTCAACTATCTATTCTTGTACTTTATCGTCACCAACCTGGCTGTGTTCGAATACGATGTGGTGCACTTTGCGGCGCTTCTTCGAGGCACCGAGTCTGCCTGGCAGGCCATCAGCTACGGTCTGACATCTCTGACCATCTTCGGCGAGGTTGGTGGCGTTTACTTCAACTTTGCGCTCTGGGCTGTGGCCGTGCTACCGGCTTGGCTCGTCCTGCGCCACTTTGGCTCAGACCAGCTACACGAAGAAGTCTCAAAAGAACCCGAAACTGACCATGAGGCTGTTCTAGAGGAAAGTGTTAAAGCAGAGAAGGAGAAGGTGGTTGACGTTGCTGCAACCAATGCAGATTGAAGAGACCGCATGTACTTCTTGTCTGCTTACTGTATCAAGTGTACTCGTGGTAAGGGAATTTTGCGTATATATAGAAGCATACAGACAAGCATATAAAGAAGCCATGTCGTTGTACAAATGACGAATGAAAGTTTTATGACGCTATCTTTTATGTGACCTACGAAATGAGATCCCTGAAAATAAAGGTAAATAAACGATGTGTCAAACCAATCTAGACTGTTCACAATTTGCGCCCTTGTCGTCTTCTAGGCAGTCGCCTGAAAGTCCTGTACGAAAACGTAGTTCATGGCCGGATCGAGAACAGGTGCAGATGCGAATGTCGGCGATAGACGGGCTTTATCGATAGCATAGGTCACGAAATTTGTCACAATCATACTGGAGGCGAAGAAATCGACCAGCTTAACGGGTAGATTGACTGTTGGATCGGGGTTGAAAGAACGCAGCCAACGAACCAATTATTTCGGCTCCACCTCGTCAAAAGCCAGACCGGCAGAGCGGAGGGCCGGAAGCACACTTGCGGTCCAGTCAAAGTAACGGCTATTCACCACGTTGGCCTTTGTGAAGGCAGATATTTCACAATGCGGTTTCGGTAACGGGTACCCACTAAGTGCGATTGCCAGGTTTTGGATATCTGAGTCGAGGTGTCTGAAATGAGATAGCCTTAAGCCCAAAATGGAGAAATGTACGGAGTACGAGCTCAATGATTCCTGATTCCAGACGTATATAACGACAGATTAATGACTAACAAACATCAAACTTGGCTACGCCTTCTCGCCGTCTAGATGAGTTACGCTCTATAGTAGCTGCAGTTTGCATGTGATAAGTGGCGCGGTGACGAATCATACCGGCAAGCTAGACTTAAGCTCACCCTCGCTCAAACATATCCAACCACCTTATCTTTTGTATCGCGGCTTTCTCACCTTTACTTTGTGTGGTCCCAGATAAAGTACCTCTACGGCCATGCCGATTTGCAATGACTGACTTGGCGCCGGCAAGCTAGAGGGTACAATACTGATAAGCACGGTCTAGCCCATCGGTACTTGTACGAGAATAGAAAGTTTAGCCTGCGGTCGATGAGCAGGTGAGCGCCCCTGCAGCTGGCTATCTCCGTCAAAGCTAGCCCAGACAAGACATCAAGACCATTATAACCAAGATCGTATCCAGCTGTAGGTATGCATCATGCAAGCGTCCTGTTTTGAGTACCACGCTATCGAATTTTGACATTTCTACTTGGCCATCTCTTAACGGACTGAAATGGAAGAGGAGAAGAAGTGCAGCTCGCTGCTAAATGTAGCCAGCTCGGGTAAGGTCGAGGAGGGCGAGACCATCATGATATTGAAAGACGAGCAGCATTTGGCCAATCTTGGCTACAAGCAAGGTTGGTACTACTTTAGGCAGCTCCAATTCCGGTGCAGCTAAGCTAAAATGAACCGCCGCTTACCAGAATTCATGCGTCATCTCGGCCTCTTTGAGAACTGGGCCGCCACGTTTACGTCCATGAACTTTGTCAGTGGCATCCCGGTCCTATTTGGTTGGGTCATGTACACAGGTGGACCAAAGTCTGCCTTTGCCAACTGGACCATGGTTGGTGGCCTGTCGTTTATCGTGTCGCTGGTCATGGCTGAGATTGCGGCCGCATTTCCCACCGCCGGCGGCATATATTTTTGGTCATATCGGCTCGGTGGCGAGAAATGGGGGCCCTTTCTGAGCTGGATGACAGCCTGGTGGAACTGGGCAGGCTGGATCTGCGTCGTTCCAGGTGTGCAGCAGGGCGCGACCAACTTTCTTCTCAGCGGTCTTCAGATCCAATATCCTGATGCTGACGTGCTGACCAAGGGTTGGTTGGCCTGGCTTCTGACGGCTATTGGAATGGTTTTTGCCACTGTGCCCAATATTATCTCGCAGCGCGTTCTGCAGCTATAATTTCGTTTCGCCATCTTCATCTTCTTCGCCCTGTTTGCGTTGTATTGGACCTGGTTTCCGGCCAAGGCCTCCGGCCACTTCCAGACCAGCACCGGGGCCTTTGACAACATTTACAATGGCATCAACGAGAGGAATTCGAATCAAGCATCGGATTCGTATTGCTGGGTCATCGGCGTCTTGTTTGGTGCCTGGGTTTTTTACGGGTGAGAGGAAGACAAGGGACGTGCAAGTAAGTTTAAATTACTAATCAACTATCAGATATGACGCCTCGGCGCACTTGGCAGAGGAGACGCACGATGCGTCCGAGGTGGTTGCCAAGGGCATGTGGATGTCCACCCTATCTTCCTGGCTCCTATCAATTCCGGTAAGAAAGTGACCTCCGGACACAACAGCCTCCCACGTCAGCTCGATCAAGTTTCTTATCCATTGCAGACGCTCATTCTCATCCTGTTCTGTATGCAAGACTTTCAAGGCATCATCTCGGCGTCTTACACCAACAACTGGGCGGAATACTTGGTGCAACTCATAGGAAAGCCAGGAGCAGTAGCTGTCCTTTCTATTCTCTGGGTCGACTTGACCTGCGCTACCGCCAGCTGCTTCATGTCTGCTCAGCGCGTGACTTTTGCCATCTCTCGCGACGGCGTCCTTCCGTTTTCGAAGTACTTTAGAAAACTCAACGAAAAGAAGATCCTCGTCCATGCCGCATATCTCGTACTTGCCCTCAGTATCGCCATTACCTGTGCCGTCATCGGCTCGACTGTCGCCTTCTCTGCTATCACAGCCACGGCCACAATTGCTACCAACTTCTCATATCTCATCCCTATCTGCGCCCGCTATACAGTCGGACGGCGCAGTTTCCAGCCCGCCAAGTGGAGCCTGGGTAGGTACAGCATCGTTTTCGGCGTGATACCCATGCTCTATATCATGTTCTTATTTGTCGTGCTTTTGCTGCCGCAGCTTTATCCTGTCACCAGTGTAAGTCACAGATTCAATCATGTGTACAATCCCCCGAACAATTTACGCATGGTTGCTAACACAAGGACTGCACCATAGGAAACGCTGAACTATGCGCCAATCTGCATCGGGATTGTCACCATCATCAGCCGTATTGGATGGATACTGCCCTTTGGCTTCGGCGGCATGCACTGGTTCACGGGCCCCAAGCGGACAATAGATGAACTTGAACACCGAGATTAGAGCGTACGGTATTAGATTTGACTGTACATAACTGCCGGCCTAAAGGTCCCAGAAAGCTACGCAGCCATTGATAGGAACAAAACTTTCCCAATATGAGCTGTTGCCCGTGCCGTTGTAACCGGCTACCATTGGGTAAACGTACAGTGGCCTGGTAAACTCGACCGTTCCGTCGTCGTCGAGATGGGACGCAATCATCATATCCGGGCTGACCCCGTTCTCCACCCAGTCCACAAGATAGCCAAGAGCATCATACGTGTCTGCTCCAGGACCCCCAGAAACGTGATTCACACCTGGCAGCTCAAAGAACTTCATGAACCCGTCTCTTCCATCATCGCCCTCTCCCATAACAGACCCTACCCGATTCCATAGATCAAGGGGGAAGCCAGGGGCGACGGCCACATCCTGCAGTCCGCCGGTCATGATAATCTTACCTCCAAGAAGCTTAAACTTGGTCATGTCTGCGACACCGCCGAATTCCAGGCTCTCAGTCTTGGACGTCTGCCGCAGCAGAGACGGGTTTGATAGATCGACACTAAATGGGGTGACCGGATCAATCGGGTCTGGCCAGAAGGCAAAATAAGAGAGAAACGACATGGAGAAGGAATACCACGCAGAAGGCTCTCCGGAAGTGGTAGCAATGTAAGTGCCCACCCAAGAATCTTCGGATCCCGGAAGCAGGCCCTCTGGGACTTGCTTTTCACCCGTCAGAGAAGAGATGGGGCCGGAGTATATTTTCTTTGCAGCCTCCAAGCCCGTCTGACTGATGCAGCTGGAATTGCTGCTCGAGTTGCTGCTCAAGTGAGAGCTGCAGAGAAGTCGATCAAAATCCGGGTGGCACAGTCTGGGGAGAGAGATGATCCCATCTACTATGCCGTCCAAGCCATCACAGTCTGCGATGGCGGTGGCGTGAAGAAGCTCCGCCTCCGCTTCTGTAATTGCTGCCGTGAAATTTGTCTCGTCGAGAAGCGCTGCGCGTGCCGTCCAGGAAATGGAAAAGGTGGTGACCCCCGTTTCATTGTACGCAGGTGCAATGGCGAAGACTCCATGGAAGTCTTCGGGGAAGCGCTGTGCCTCCACGAGGGATTGTCTGCCGCCCGTTGAGCTGCCCAGGTGATATGAGTACGATGGCTCTTTTCCGTAGTAAGCCTTGATGACTTCCTTTGACATCACGGCCGTCAGGTGAGTCGCCAGAAATCCCCAATCGATGCGCATTTGCAAATTGTTATGCATTGGCGCATAGTTGTTCGAAGAATCCGGGACACCTAGACCTCTTGTTAACTCTTATCAAGCCGTGAGTTTTCAAGAACTGCTCCGCTACTGACCCATGTCTGTTGTCGATAATGCGCTGCCATTGCTCAAAGCGCCATCAATGTCAAAGTACGTCGAGTCGAACGGGTTGTAGCCGCAGGCGCCGCCACAGCCGATCTGGACAAAGCGGCCGTTCCATTCTTCCGCCTCTGGAAGCAACATCCAGGCTCGAATGCGGCCACCTATGACTGCGGACACATTGCAGTAGGACAGATAGTCACTGGTCTTAATATCGGTCTCGGCGGACGTGATGATCCATGACTCGACATCTGCCACGCCCTGGAGGGCTGTGAGGTTTGCACAGGAGAGCGCCAGCACTGATGCTGGGCCCAGAAGCAAAGTGCTTACTCTTAGGAGCTTTCCCAACGACATAGTTGCCATGGTGTCTGACCGATACCAAGTTACACGAACCGACTTGGACTTCACCGGATTGGCCAATTCCAGACAGATACATATTTATAACTTCAATAGCCAATTGTAAGCGAACAAGCGTGGGGAGTCAGCTATGGTAAATGCAAGGTTGCTCACGTTATCTCCTGCGATAACAAATTTATGGCAGATACGTTCTCAGGAGTGGGAGGTTGATGCACTTGCTTATCGTGCTATCCCCCCCACTGCCTTACGGATGTTGCCGGCTGCTCATTTTATGAGTTCTTTAAAGCAGGCATTGGCTCGGATAATGGTATTTGGCTAGCTTTCCAACGCGCTGCGTACGCGTCGCTCTGGCCTACTTCAGTATTTAGGAATCCTTGAAAGTAGTTATAACCCCCGAATAAGCATTCGTCTATGCCATTGATACCGCGGTGGAGGGTTTTCAAGTGAACGAAATTGGTCTGGGTAGGTGGTTGATATCTTTAGTGGCCTGTGCACATCTGTAGCACCTAATGCCGCAGATGTAAAAAGTGATAAGAAGGTGGCATACTCTGTACGGAGTACTGGTATTGGGAGTGTAAGACTGAGACCGGATGTCAGTCGAATCTTCTATGCAAAACATATGCCAAATACCGGATGGAAAATAAGCCACTTTCAGCTGAAACCTGCATGAGAACTGTTGCAATCTAGACGCCGTACTCTATAGATCTTGAAAAGTGAGTAAATGAATACGCCCCACTGGCCAGTCAATGCAAGATACGCGCGGTTCTCTTACCAACAGCTGGGCCCAATTTTTTGTTGTACGTTCTCATACTATACGTCGATTTTCTCCAAACCGGATAGCCTGCATTGACCAGTTTTTGTATATCTATTATCATTGTGATAACTAGCTTGCACCTATTCAAAGGAGGAATGGGCCGTTCTCTACGAACCATGCCATGCTTTGGATCTAGATGACAAGAAGACGCTATTTTATACGCGAACCTCAGAGCAAGAGAAAGAAACGACAAACCCGCTATTTTCCGGCTATAGCACGTGTATCCAATCACACTACATCAAGGACTTTACTTCTCTTCGTTGAAAAATATGGAGAAGATGAAGAAAGACTTCCATCGGTGGTGGTCTCCCGAGTGTATGAGGCGACATGATGTAAGAACTCTGCACCTAGAAGTAAATCTAACGACATGCAACAGTCTAGGTTAGAAGGCAGGCTAGACCGGGGGTGTCAAATAATCTTAAGTCAAGATTTCGCCATCTGTCATGATTTCAAAATATCTCGCCGAATACTGGCAATTGAACTTTACCAACGTTATGCAAGCCGTCTTAACGAAGATACCGAGAGTGTCCATTCCAAGCAGGTAGACAATCGAACTCTGAACTGGCCCTTCCATTTAGATTCCAATTACTATGGCCAAGATCTGTTATCATTCGGGTGTTGAGATTATTAGTACCAGCTACGCTTTTGTGTCAAGCTAACATCAGATGCTATACTCTCTCAAAGACGACTGCACGCCATGTTAAGACCACCTGTCGCCATGATCATTCTGCCGATTGTCTGTATAAGCAGACCCTGTTAAGCGATGCCTCTTGTTCGGAAACGGTCGAGCTCTGAATATTTCTGTTTGCTGTCTCAGCGTATGCTATTACTACAAGTTCCAAGAATAAAGGGATGGAGCCAGAGCCAGCTGATGGTCGGAATCTTTCTGACGCATACTCCGTACTCCGTACTCGCTCTATGTTGCATGTGGCTAAGTCGATACGGTTTTTGGGCTGTGATAAGGACACGACAACGAAAGTCATTGGGTATAGGCAGGGTCAAACACAATACGTTCGAGTCCACGGTAATACTCCGTATACTGTTGTGCTATATCCGAAGGGCAGGAAACTGTTTACGTCAGCAATCATAAGTTCAACTGTCGTAGGGTCGGCATTAGCTTTGCACGAGTTCATTCTGGCCAGCACAAATCAAAGCACTCTGTACTCCGTACTCCGTACACTACTTTTAATTAGATGGCTGCGTGTTATAAATTTGTTATAAGTAATCATTCATGTGTACTCCGTATTGCTAGCTCTCCACGTCGGGCTACTCGCTTCGCTGTCTTGACGTGGCGGTCGTCGTTAGAATTCCAGCGCATAAGCGAGAACGGACTCTCTAAAAAAGCACGCGATGGCTAGACTTATTTGGTCTAGGCTAGTGTTTTAGTGGATGTAAAACTGACAGAATTTGAGGTTGTTGGGAGCAAGTCAACAGCCAAGCCTTTTTTCTGCTTACTAAGATAATGGTTTCCCAACGTTGTTCAGCCCTCTACTCCGAAATCCGTACTCCGTACGGTGTTGTTTAAAAACATATCCGCACCTTCAATTTTCTACGTGGAACATAAAGTCTTCTCGCCCGTCTAAGAATCAGGACAGTACGGAGTAGCATACGATGATAAGCACTTCAGACAAGCTTCTTCTTTAGGTAGGTAATAAAACCTGAGTGTTGTATGCATATGTCTGCATACCCATTGTATGCACAATGCATCATGTTGGCCTCTTCCTAGCCACTGCCGACCCTACCGACGGTCTGTTAGTCTCCGGGTCCACAAAGCCCTTCAGAGATCATGCCACGCTAGGCGTCAGTCTTCACCCCTGTAAGGGGCTTCCTCTTTAAGCTTAGCATTTGAGTTGTGCGGTGCCATAAGCAGACATAGCGTTCCCTTCGCATCGTAGGAATTTTGTTCCGAGCATCGTCCGACAAGTTCAACTGTTTCTCTCCCTCTTGTACTCCGTACGGATACTCCATATGTTCTTCTCTCTTGTATAGTTTTGGGGCCATTTCCGCCCGGCATGCGCATTCTCTGCAGTGTTCCGAGTTGAGAGGCCCACAATCGAACTGGCGGTGGCAATTTCGCTGCTACAAATACTAACGGAGTGCGGAGTATGTAACCTCGTATGGGGCGGGAGGGGGGACGATTGAAGCAAGCCCCGATAATACGACGTACAAGTAAGATACACAGCCATGACTGGGGTTGTGGACAAGAAAATAAGCTACCCCTGGGTTAATGGCACTGTCAGACGGTAACGTTGGCCAATCAGACAACCTGTAAATCATAGCACGCCGTCGATCTCTCGTATCTGCTGTGGCCAATTTTTTCCGTCGCATAACAGCGGTATGCTAATAATACGAAGACTGTGGATCGATTTCATACTAAGCGTATAGGAATAGCCCTACGGGACTTACACGCTAGAAGCATCAACCACCCCCACAGACATGGCCGATCAGTAAGGACTATTAAAGGGAGAACACTTCGCAGGAAAGTGGTGAGAGCCAGAGATTGCAGCAAGTCGCCTCTGCAACTCAATATTCATCCAGTCAAGATGCCGAGTCTATCAAGTATTTCAGCGGCTTTCCTGGTGGCGTGCCAGGTCGTCCTGGCCGACGTGCCGACGTGGCCGACGCCAAGTATTGATGAGCTCGAAGACATCCGGTTTCTCATGAACGGATATAACGCCAGGGTGAGATGGACAAGCTCAGGCGAGATGGAGCTGTCAGGGACTAAATGCTAATTGCGACTCAAATAGGGATTTAGCGACTTCGTCTCGCCATGCTCCTTTTCTTCCGGTAACATCGGCAGAATTACGGCGGCAGAGTGGATTAGGGCGGCGTATCACGACATGTCTACGGCCGATGTTGCTGCCGGCACAGGTGGCCTTGACGCTTCGATCCAGTATGAGACTGACCGAAGCGAGAACATTGGCACTGCGATGAACGACACGATGACAGCCTTCTTGGGATACTACACAGTCCGCTCCTCTATCGCAGACTTGCTTGCTCTGGGTGTCTACACCAGCGTTGTCAGCTGTGGAGGGCCTAAGATCCCATTCCGTGTCGGGCGCATTGATGCCAAGGAGGCCGGTCCGTCTGGCGTTCCCGAGCCGACGGACAACATCACAGTTCTTACGAACAAATTCGCCAAGCAGGGCTTCAACACGTCTGAGATGATTGCCCTCGTCGCTTGCGGACACACAGTCGGCGGTGTTCACGGTGTCGACTTCCCAACCATTGTGCCCGGCAGCGGCACAGCTGGCAACAACTACTCGCACTTTGACAATACCACGCACTTTGACAACGACGTCGTTATCGACTACATGTCCGATAACACGAGCAACCCACTTGTTGTCGGACCTGATGTTGGAAAGAACTCCGACTTGGCCGTCTTCAACGCCGATGGAAACAAGACCATGAACCGACTGACCGATGCTACCACCTTCCAGGACACCTGCCTCACGATGTTGGAGAGAATGATCAACACCGTTCCTAGCACGGTGAAGCTCACAGACCCGTTGACGCCGTACCCCATCAAGCCAGCCAACCTGGTGCTCAAGCTCTCGGACAACGGCGCCAACCTGACATTCTCTGGGCAAATCCGTGTCTTGGTGACAAACCGAGATTCAACAAAAATTGAATCTCTTTCCCTGCATTATCTCGCCAGAGATGGGGTGACCCCGGGCGTGATTAACGCTACCGCGGCATTGTACCAAAGCGGCTTCGCGGGAGCCTTTGGTGATTCCTTCCAGGTATGGAAATTCGGCGCTTCATTCTTACCATGCCTTCAAAACTAACCTTTGCCACAGTTTTACGAATTCGAGACGGTTCTAGACGCCAGCAGTTCTGTCTCCTCCTTTAATGTTTCCATCGCCCTCAAAGATGGCACCGTGGAGGAACACAACAACAACGGCGGCGGCTTTCCTGTGCAAAGCAGCATTCTCCTCCAGTCGTCGAGGACTTGCTACATAGCCAACTCGACCGGGTCGTACTTCAAGCTTGTTGCTGCCGTAAGTTGCTTCTCGGTTGTTTCTTAGACAAGTTCGGTGGCTAACCCAAACCAACCGATAGGTGCACGACTCGCGCAAAGCCCTACCTGCTACAGTTGTGACTTATGTGCAAAACCCGCGCATCGGCACTAAGATCCCTTCACTTGATGCGGTCAACACCTCGCTGGCTTTTGTCAACTCTACTGGAGCGTATGACTTCTTTAGCGCCACAGTCTCTCTCGGCGTCGATCAGGTATACCTTGCATATTGTGACTTGGTCAGTGGCGAGGGAGATGCCGCAGAGTCTGATCTCTTCCACAACATGGGGAACATCAAGGCATGTTGATATGTCGAACAAGTATGTGATGACGAGTTCATATGGATAATGTAGTCTAGTGCTAGGAGCCGAAAGGCGCCAACAGAGGAATGAAAATAAAGATCAAGGCAAAGGATAATGTCACAAGATCAAAGAGGCTCTTCACGGATCCGGACGAGTGATGAGTGAAAAATATGGGTCTCCTTCCAGTTGCTGAAATCAAACCCGATGTTTTCTCTACCAAAGTGCTAGTTTCTCAGGCTATGTAACACAGATCCTCATTCGTCTGAACGTCACCTTTCGAACCACTCAAGCAATTCCAGACGGCGCAGTGCCATTTCCAGTGGAGGTGCCGTTTGACGGGCTGCCACCAGAACCGCCATTAGAGCCACCGCCCACAGACGACGCTGAGTTCTCAACTCCACCGTCCGCGTATAGGTACGCAGCAGGTGTAACCGAGTCGGACAGCGTAGAGTTGATGCCAAAGGCGATCCAGGCAAAGAGACCGTTCGAGATGCTGTCACCGAGGAGGGTGTACTCCATCAGGGGGTCAACATCTTCTGTGTCTGCCTCTTCGCTCAGGATGGAGTCGTCCGCGTTGGCCGTGAGGTCCTGCGTGTTCGTGTTGTAGGGTGCCTGAAGCTCAACCTCTGTGATGAGGCTCTGGTCGAAGAATGTCTGGCCGACGTGGCTGGCATAGCTCGCAGTGCCCAGAGTGCTGTTGGCTAGCAGCGTGGCGTTGGTGTGCACCATGACGTGGATGTGAGTGGCACGGCTGGTGTAGTGGCCCGGGAAAATGGACTCAAACTCGGCCACACCGTTGTCGTCGCTCAGATGGATTCCGCGGAGCCACGTCTTGTTGATGTTGGAATCGTCCGAAGAATCACCGTTGCCGTTGGCAACGATGCTCGAGTAGACACCCGTCGCATTGCAGTGCCAGATCTCGACGTACACATTGGGAACCGGCTCACAGGTATCCACATCGATCACCTGGTAGTCGAGAGCGATGTCGACGCCTTCCCGGTCCTCAATAATATTCTCGCGGACGTATTCACCAGCCACATCTAGCACAAATTAGCCAATGAATGAACGGAATAATCGGGTCTGACAAGTACAATATGGCCCTTGCGTGACTTCAGGTGTCAAGACACAGGAGTTGTAGCCAGAAAACAGGGTGGCCGGATCCGTTGTGTTTGTGTAGCCGGCCAAGGTCTCGTTGTGGTCCGTGGCGAGGACACTGGAGAGATCACGCCTCTTGATGCCACGCTTCTGGCGCATCTTTTCCACCCGCGCGACACGACGACGCACATTCTCCACCTGCAGGTTGCGGGCCTTGAGCTTGGCGGCGCAGTGGCCAAGGGATGTGCGCTTGACCGACTGGAGATAGTCACGTCGCTCTGCGGCCTCCTGCTGCACATTATGCCCGGGATGCGCAACAGCAGCACCGCCAAGGGCAAGGCCGGTGATAATGGAGGAAAAGCGCATCTTGGGAAGCGAGAGACAAAAGAGAAGAGGCTAGAAGTTCGGTGGCACGGGTTGTGTTATGCTAAGAGTCAGAGTGAAATATTCAAGTACTTTAAAAGAAGTGATGAAGAGGAGAGTTCAAACTGTATCCAGGTGATGATCTGTCGTCAGTCTCGCATTGGCTTTATATAAGTTTCCCGGCCGAAGAAGACTCCCCGAACATACGCATCGCTCAGACCAATCTCTAAGGATATCAGGACGCATAGCTGCCTACCGACGACCAGCTGCGTATTCCTACTTCGTACTGCCGACCGTCTCCGAAACCTCTTTTTTGGGGCAATGACGCGGCACATATTGCCCAGCTGTCTACCTATCAGAGCTACACAATAACAATCAAACCAGAAGTGCCGGCACTGAAAACTATTAGGGGAGCTTTGCAGCTAATAGCGACACGCAAGCTCAGCCCTGGCAAAATCGTCTTAGGGGGCGAATACGATTTTTACCGTAATCGATTACGCCTGGCTTGATGACGAATCACGGCTCCTGACCATACAAGGGAGTAAAAGAAGCTAGTAGAGTTTGGTAATGTGGGTCGGCTGCGTTGCAATTACATGTACGAATGTTTCGTTTCAGATGGAGAAATTTACAGCTAGATCGGATCTATCTTACCATGTACTCCGTATGTACGGACGGAGTAATATAGGATCTACGGCAGTTGGGCTGGTCTGCATCGATCCACAAATTTTCCCTCACCATCGGCCGATATTCGAGCTGTATGATGAGACTACGTCGTACAGAGGGAGAGCATAAATAATCCAGGGGTTTCTACACTCTCTTCAGGGCTAGATCGTGCCGGCACGTGGCTGCGCCTCCAGCAGGACGGCCGAAGCTTACGAAGTATGCGCCCCCTTTGCTGATCTGTGGGGTTGATATTGATTTTGGGGGTCGGCGACCCATCCCTTTTCGGGGACATCTGAGCAGGCCAACAATCTTCCACTTCAACTCTAATATGGGGCCACAACGGGTTTACATTTGATGTTCAGGCACGCCACTAATGACAGTGCATACTTGTACGAGCATAACTGCCATACTTATTCTCTCAACGAACTGCAAAAATGGTGTATTATGGCAACTCCTTTCAAGCGTCTGTGGCTCTATTCAAATCCGTTTGTTCGCCTATGTTTAGATTCGTACGTAGACTATCATAGTTGTGACGGTCTCTATTTTCTGCCGTTTTCTTCCGTTTCAAACTAGGCAGGCTTCACCAATATATCTATAATATTGTTAGCGAACTAGCAGGTTTTCCATCGAGCTTCCGACCAAGCTATTATAACATGACGCGACTATGGCTATATTGACCATGTTGGCGGTGTGGCTAATTACAAAAGATAGAGGAAACACCATCATCAAGTAAAGATGACGAACGTAGTTCAATAACGCAAGCTAGTCACAACAATGGCTTTAGATGTGGACTGGGTTACATATTGTGAGAGAAGGTGGAGTGGATGCCATCCAGGCATTACATTAGGTTCCTTTGACATGCACGGTTTTAGTGTAGGCATAGATTGTCTACCGGACACGGTGCTTGCATTGCAATTCCAGATTCGCAATAACGGAATTAAGCACCTATCAGTTTTGTATCCAAGATTTGAAAGTTGAAGCTGTATAGAATACAACCATTTTATTGAAGCTATCTATGATCTATTCGCTTCAGAACGGGGAGCCAAACACAAATTCACGAATGAAGAAAAAGAGAGAGGCCAACACGGAGATCACGAATCAAAAAGAGCCCCATACGTTGGAACACCCCGGCTCTCGAGGCCGTATACGACCTTGCGGGTGACCTTCTGGTTAGAGATGATCACGACTGCCTCGCACGGGCCGAAGGCCTTCCTGGAACTTGACTGTTGGTCACTCTGGCTTTCTGTCCGGGAGCCCTTCCATACGCCATACGCAATCTTAGCTAAATCGGGGCGGCCATTTTTGCGAGTGTCGATGATGATGGCATCCGGGTCAGACTTGTAGACTGTATCAATAATTCCTTGACCAAACGTCTCTAAGGGTCTGGGGGCTGACCAAATGATTCGCACCGGGTGGTCTGGCTTTTCCACAAAGAGCGACAGGCAAGGGGCGATACCCGATCCCGTAGCGATAATGATAACCGGTTCAAACATTCCAGCTATACGAAGGACGCCGTACTGTGGAACGCCGCGCGTGAATATCCTGTCGGGTGGGTTTCTGATGATCTTCCTGGTCCAGTCGCCAGCATCTGAAATGACAACAGAAAAGCCCCTGGTCCTAGCGCATGAAAGACCCTCTCGAGCTGGCGGGGCGCTTTCAAGATCTGAAGATACTACCAGGCTCGGGATCGTTGCAAAAGCGTGCGTTTCTTTGAGCGGGGCATCCGAGAGGCGGACTGCTTGTCCGTAGTGGGCATTGCAGTAGCTGAAGAGGAGCTTAACGCAATGGTCCGATAGAGGCTCGATCTCCACTTTGCGCAGCCGGAGACGAGCCCAGGGATATACAACAAGCAGCGTAATGAATATCAGCATCCAGAAAGTCGCGTTAGTCGACAAGGATTTACAAAACGATGTAGTCGGCTGAGAGGAGAGAGTGGCAGCACCGTCGTGGACGGTATCAGCAGCCACCAGCATCACCTGAACCCAGAATAAGATAATGACGGTCCAGCCGAGGAAGCGATGAATGCCCTCGAACCAGTTGTGCATGATGACACGCAGGCGAGGGTGGGCAAAAGTAATGATGGTCACTAGAAGGAAGACGATGCTATAGCTGACCAAGAATATGTAGCAGCGGTACGGATTGAGAACTTGGCTCACGTAGGAGCGCGTGAGCTGTGTCAAGAAGGCAAAATACCAAAACGTTGCTGCAATGCTGCTGCCGCTATGAATTCCACCATAGGAGTAGATCTTGGCAAATAGTCGGCGCAAGGTAAGGGGAAAGCAGCGCGGCCAGGTTCCGAAGACAATAAATAAGACATTGACGACATGCTCGTTGCGGACGACCAAGGCTGCGAACAAGTTGGCTGCAACGGCATCTGAAGCCTGTCCGTAGGTCAATTGTGGACCACCGGTTGCCATACGAACAACCACCACTGCCACAGCCACAGCATTGGCTAGAAATACCACTGAAAATATGCCACTGTAGACAGATTCAAAATTCCATCGTAGGTAGCGGTAGGCACGGTTACCCTTCTTGTTTGGGAGTGGCGCCGACCCAGACTGCACAGTGACGAGCTGCAACGGCATATCCTTATTTATTAGCTCTTGCTTCTGCGATAGTGAGTTGCGTTGTCGGTTGCTGTCATTCGGCTCTTGTCGACGGTCGGAGAGTCTAATTAGAGCAGGCTGTGGGGTGTCGATGACTTTCATACTTTCAAGGTCGTAGATGCCGGGAGATGTAATTGCGTACATGCTGATTCCTTTCTCACCATACGTAACATAAAAGGGAGTCGGAAAATCAATGCTATGCTCGTCGAGCCATGGAACTGCTCATAGAAGAGCGCTGTCATATATATATGTTAGCAACGGTGTCTGAGGAAAACGATAGACACTAGTACGTACTTCTCTTTATAGGATTTAGCCAGTTACAGCCTTGATCAGGAATAATGCCAGATAAGCCGTTTCCAAGACCGCGTCGCTTTCGTTATTCCAATTTAGGCAGTTGGGTTCATTTCTTGATGGCAGCGCTTCTGCACGCTGACCACGGCTATAGGCGCGGGAAACTTATCCCGGGGGGGTTTACCGCACACTATTAATGGATACTTTTGTGTTCTAACATTGTTAGTTCAGAAAATATCAACAACCTTGTCCAGACAGTGAATCTAAAGTTTATCGCATGAAATGAGAGCCAAAAATAGATTTAGAGCAAAAAAAGAGGCTCTGAAGTTAAAAACACCGGCCTTGGTCCTTCTTGTGACGGTGCCCTGACGGTATTGTGCTATCTTAGTTCCCGTTTCTGTACGGAGTACTCAGCTGAATCTGGGAAGGTCCATGCAGATCACCGCGCCCGAGGGTGCTGATTAGTCGCTAACGCTTAGTTCTATCTGTAGCGTAAACATGAAGTACGACGTGGCCATCTCATATTTGTCAACCAAGGAGTGTAGTCGGCCTAGAGCATAAGAGGAAATTACCGGAGAGTGCTTCTTTGAGCCTTGTCTGGCTATTGGCGGCAGGAGAACTCGAAACGAGCTGACCATGACGCCTTTTTCAACGTCCACCTAAAATGTGACGCACGGAAGCACGGGCTTGGCTATTGTAACAGATAAGACGGTCCCGGTAAACAATCAATCTGACAGAGGGCGGCCCAGTCGTATGTATGCGGCAGAGCGGGCTATAGGAGTCTACAAATAGTAACGGAGCCCCCACGGCTTTGGTAGACCTTCGATAAATGGATAGTGCTACGGTACATTATATTGTCGAAAGGGGTCCAAAATAGCTTTATTACAACCTTACGGAGTATACGATGTAGATACCATTATTTCCGGCAAATTGCCTAATAACGTCACAAAACTGTGGTTTTTTCGCTATTTATAGTCTCATACGTGTATCACCTTTTTTTCTCCATCACTCTAAGTGGCGTGACTCTCTGTCATATATCAACATGTCGCTATTTAGTTTCTGCAACTTTTCGCAGGCTAACAACCTGCCCATCCAGACCAGGTGCCACAAGGAGCACGAGCAAGATGGCGTTGGTACCGTAGTCGTGAGCCTGCTAAGACTCATACAGTAGGTGCATGCGCTCGCACACTCGGACAGTCGAGAAAAAAATACACGATTTTGATTTTCTGTTATTACCGCCTCTCAATTGATTTGTCTATCAAGGGCGGTAAAACTGCGAGCATATGAATTAGTGGGGTAGATGGCCTCGACGGATTGAAGCACTGTTTGACTCCATAAAACCCGTTAAGGGCCGAGCAGCTCGATGAAGCACTTGCCATGCCGTAGCATGTAGCCTCCCTTCAAAGTTGGCAATATGTCAGTCCTTGCAACAATGAAGTGCACGATGATAGACGATGCGAGGTTGAAGTTGAGGTTTGCTACCTTCTAATTTAGTCAGATTTAAGACGCCGAAATCCCGTGTTTAGTTAAGTCAGCCATATAAGAAAGGAGAAAGAGCCATGATTTCATGAAAAAATTGGCAAGAGCACATTTACTATCGAAGCAAGACTTATTCTTAATTTGACGATTAAAATGGTATTGGATCTGTGGCCGTGTTTACAATTGATGGCAGAGTTTTGTTGGTATGCGTTTCGCGCATAGCTGCAATCCCGTAGGCTCATGTCGGGAGGCTGTATGATCTTACAAGAAGCAGAAGTATTGTAATACATCTATACTTCTCTTCGTAACCGCTGATTTTCGGTTTGTAACTCGTGTTTGTAGACGGTACTCCGTATCAAGGGGCGTTTATACGTCGATGATAAATCATGCTCGACTTCCCTTCGATTTTGGATGGTAGGGACGACTCAAAAAAGTAGATGATTGTTCAACCAAGATTGCCGTCTGAGAAAGTGTTGTGAAGTGCGATTGTATATGGAAAAGAGGGGCTTCTGAAGCGACGGCAGCAAGGTGACGTTCTCGACTTAAAAACAACTCCTGATTGACTAAACCAAAAGCGACCGGATTTCAATTCAGAGAGCATATAACACTGACAAAGAAAGCACAGCATATTGCGATACAAACCCTGTTCCTACACTGTAGCCTGTTCCACTAGCCTCCCGGTCATGCTATTTCTCTACCGCCTCTCCTACCTGCTGTTGCTACCACTATTGTATCCTCCCAGGCAGCCTCTGTCTGCGTAAGCTAGGTCCTAGGCCGCTGCTGCCACCGTGGTCTCAGTACTAGTGCTACCAATGTGTCGTAATTGTCTTGCCAGCAGGCGGGCTCTTAATAGGCGGAAGCACGGGCCGCTGCCTCTGTCTCCTCTGCCTTTGCTTGCACTGCCTGCGCCTCCCTTAAAAGTTTCTCTACGCGCCCTGGGCAGGTGCTACATAGTAGAGGCTGTTTCTTCGCTTACAGAATGTAGATCCGTATACAGGCCTGTACGGAGTACAAATAGCGGCCCTGCCCGCATGGCCCAACGGCCTGCTCTGCCAATGTGTATTAGTCAGCGAACCAAAGGCTGAAACTCAAAATAATACGTCGTTACTCCGTACTGGGATACGATTTCGAACCCCCTGCCGTCTATGCAGCGAACCGCCATGTTGCAACAGCCGGTTGCATAATTGGCAGGGAAGCCTTGATAACTGCTAGGCATTCAACACAATTGCGCAGCTTTCTTGCTCAAATCCATGGCCGTTGGTCTTATCTATCGTACTTTTGTGATGCGCGGCACTTTTGTGATGTATGGGAGATAGCTGCATATTTAAACGGCCTAAAAAGCAAAAGAGACTGGGATTGCAAGTGAAACATTCCTCTTTACCAAGTCATACCGAAGACTTGGCTTCTCTTGAACTTTCATTTCATCCCTCTTCGTCAAAAACAAAATCAATATCACCATGTCGGCACTTTCGTCCGACTCTGTCAGATTTATCGTCCAACAGCTCTTCCTGCCACCCCAGCTCCCCCAGCAAAAAGATCAAAAGGCTGATCTCGACACTGCACTGTTGCGACTTGTGACTGAGGCTCTTGAACGCTTCCAGAAAAATGTCCCAGTCGAGGAGCAGAAGGCTGTCTCACTCGCCGCGGCGTCAGTGTCTTTGCTTACCGCATCTCGGGATTCCAGCGGTTCGGTAAACGAAGAGTCTTTTTTGCAGGCTTTTGGTGATTTGAGCCAAGCGTCCGCAACACTGCCGGGACCAGTACTTCCGCTACACATCGAGGCCCAGAATGCTGGTCTCCTCATCACTAGATCTTCTGATGGAATACTGTTTGAGGCATTTGAGCTGGCGCCTACCAACAAAGCGGTCATGTCGACGTCTGGCCGACTCAACCGTTCCTTTCCTGGACCTACAGTGACAGTGGAGGCCAGCCATTTCACGAGTCAGGTACAGGATCTCTTGACTAAAACCTTGTCGCGAATGAGCGGCGAGGCGGCCCCAGGAATGACACCGATAACCGTCAAGGCCAAAAAGAGGCTCAACGAGATCCGTGATACAATGGACCCAGGACTGGTCACAGAACTGTTGTTTGGCTTCCTCCAGCCGATGGCTTGCTCCAAAGACACGTCTGTTGTCAGGATCGTGAAACACACACGCGAAGAGGTGCTCTGGGATCGCGCATTGTTGCCATGGCGCCGGTCGCCCCTCTGGCTCTTAGTGCGTGTTGTTGTGCAGCTGGTTTTTTCCCGTTTGCGGGGGCCGAACAGTGGCCGCAACTTGTACAAACTGTTCATGGTCCGGCTCCTTGCAGAGGTCCTCGACAGGTGCCTACAGCTCGGAAACGGCATTGAACCAGACACACTGCATTTCATGAGCGCCAAGATCACGCGCAGGCTATTAAAACTCGGCGTTTCAAGCGACAGTCCTGGAATTGTCCACGTGATCGACGTTCTGGAAAGAACCAAAGATGCACTCGATGTACGGTGGGCAGCAGCCTCACGTCAGTGCAAGAAAGACGCTCATCTCTCGCCTCTTGCATCTGTTGCTTTCAGAGAGAGCAGATCGCTTTCGCTGCCTGCTTTGGACAACTTTTTGTCCGACATCCTCCTGAAAGAGGCTTCCAACTCTGGCGCCAGGTTTCAGCCAGCTCATAGCCTCCAAGCGTTTCCAGAATACAGCTTTCCCTCGGGCCCGCTGTCCGAGCCACCACAAAACCTGGTCTACAACCTTTGCGGACTGGAGCAGTGGGTGGAGCACAATTTACAGGAGTGGATGAAAGTGAACATCAGCAATCGTGCCACATGTCCGCTTGTGTACGAGCTGATGCAGCTTTATCACAACTCGGCTAGCCCCACGTATATTGAAGATCCAGAAGCCAGCTCGTCCATGCTGCTTACCGTGCTCGAGCTTTGGGTTGCTTGCGACCGTTCTGCTGTCCAGCGGCTTCCGCTACTGGCGGAATACATCCCAGACATTCCGCTTCAGAAGCTGCAGACGCTAGTTCTGCCATGCCTTCGAGACTTGGAACGCCTTCGGCGTATCGAGGAATACGTTAAGCGAAGACAGCAGTCGGCATCGGACAGGTCTGTTTTAGCCGATTTTGGCACAGCTGGATCGTTTGCTGTGCGCTACTTCAAGCACTCCATGAAACACCAGGAGCTTTTGCAACAAATTGAAGCTGCAGCTTTACGGGATCGGCAGCGGAAACTTGCAGAGCTCGCTGAAATGAAGTCAAGGTACCAGAATCTCATGAAACTGCATTCCGAAATGGTTTGCACCACAGAGGAATTTTACGGGAGGTACGGGTGGTACGACCACCACTCGAGAGATTGTGAGAAGTGCTACACGGAAGAAACTGCCAGAGGAATGTCCATTTCTGTGCACGAGTGGCCGCTGCCAACACAATCCAACGAGAAGAAGGCAGTGGTCTTTGAGCTGGATGCTCCGGCAGAATTCTGCGCCTGGCGCGATGCCACGGTTTATCTCCTTCTCGACGTGCTGGGATCAGACTACGCCGATGCCGACCCACCTAATACGCAATACTCACTTCCGTCATATGCGGCACTGAAGCCATACTATCGGAGTCCGTCACGACGCTTGGAGCTGTCGTCCACGGCAAAACCAAATGTTGTGGCCCATTACAGAACCGTGTCCATCTCCACAGCCACAAAAGACCAAGTGTGCCTGAACAATGGGCTACGCTTCCAAGCTTTCGACACAGGAAAGAATTGCTTCGTTGTCGACATTTTCCATTCCGATGTTGTCCTTGATATGTGTACGTACCAGCTTCCCCCGGACAGTTCCTCATTGCAACCGTTTCTGAGGCGGAGCTTTGCCGACGACGGACAAGCCGATGCGAAGCCGAACATGGTGATTGCAAGTCAGTTCGAATGCCCGACTCACATGACGCTCGCCGAATACCGCAGCCTGGCCGGCCTGACGGTGGGTTACCGGCTGCCATGGCAGAACCTGCTGGTGCAGCTGGCCAGTCCATCGGTTGACTTCAAAAAGATAGAGACCGGTCTGTTTGTCCTTCAGGCGATCTACCAGGCCGGGCCGCCCGAGGCATATGTTCGCCGTGCCAGCCACCACATTCTCATCGATGACATCTTCGCCGAAAAGTTGCTGGCCACGATCGGTCAGGCGGCAGCACGCATCCAAAAGAACTGGGACTCCCTGCAGGCGCTCAGCACACTCATCGACACTACTGCTCGCGTGCTGCGGCTGACGCCGTCAATCCCTATTGCGGACAAGTGTCTGGTCATGCTGGAGCAGTTGCGTGTCATAGCCATTGATTGGACCGACGATCTGGAGAATCGCTATAACGAGGCAAAAGACGAAGACCAGAGGCAGGCCTTCCTCTGTAAGATCGTACAAATCGCCACCATCTGTGTCTGCACATTCGATGTGGACGACACCCACCTGCAGGAAGTACTGTCTGTACCCGAAAAGGCGGCAATCCTGATTCGCTGCAACATGCTCGTCTACGACAACAGCACGCAGATTGGAACCAAAGCCCATGACCGGCTCATGCGTCGGCGATGTCAGCATCTCTGCTACCGCGCATATCCCATCCTGCGGCAGCTCATCTTGAATGGCCTGGACGGCAAGCCTTTTCCCAGTCTAGACACAGTCATACAAGCTGCATGGCCTAACTATCATCGAGGAGATAGTGGCTGGCAAGCCCTACAAGGAGAATTTGACCAGTGGATCGTCACGGACATAAAAGACTTGGCCGTTGTGCACTACAATCTGCTGAAGGGTCGCCTGCTTGTCAACGGCCGACCGTTGGACCGCCTCCCTCTCGAATATACGCAGCATGAATCGTACGTAGCACTCTTCGGTCCTATCGTTTTCCGCATCCTGCCGAGCATAGTGCCAGGCATGCAGTTTTCGTCCAGGGACAGCTATCTTGAGCATAAGTTGAATTTTGGTATGGGCAGCACCGACCCCGACATGCTTCTGCAGGCCAAAAAAAACGAACAAGTGTACCACCTTGTTCCAAAGAGGGTCTTTCAGGGGGTTCTTCCGACCTCGCTCGTCCGTGACTTCGTGCACTGGTACGATGCAGAGAATGAAACTGTGGAGTTTCGCAAAAGGCGGCATATGTGGTCGACCGAAACTAAGCCGTCTTCCTGGCGCCTCAAACGAGTTCGCAAGGAATCCATTTTTTGGTGGTTGTCGAATAAACAGGGACAGTCGCTCGTGTGTCCGAGCAGCGGAGCCGGGCGGTCGTTGAGTGCCGTCTTTGCACCTCTCCAGGAGCCGTTGGACATGCTACTCATCCTACGGTCTGACAAGACAACACTCGACATTGAGCTGCCCCGGCTGCAGCTCAGCTTCCACTTGGCAGAAGGAACATCGGTGGTCAACTCTCGTCAATGTCGGGGATTTCAGGTGGACAAAGACCAGAATGTGGGAACGTTAGTTGGTTTGAAGAGCAAGCTGGTGTTGCAGAACCGGATCACGGCCGAGAGACGAGTGATAGTGCCGACGGGCTGTATCTCGTACGAACGAAAAGGTGATCATACAACCGTGTCCATATTCCCGGAAACGGCCCCGGCCTACATTTTCAAGCGCAACGACGACATGCAGCGGCTGGACGGAAGCGGAAGCCTGCAGAGCTCTCTCCTCCTCTGCTATCTGCACGCACTGACGTCGTTTTGTTTGCCCGACGTCTTCACCGGATGCACCGGCACAGAGCAGGCGCTGAACATTCTCCGAAGCGCCGCCGTCGCCTCTAACCAGTTCCTAACCAAGGCTGACGTTGACTTGCTGCGGAGAATTTCGGGATTGACTCCCAAGCGAGTTTTCTACCCAGATCATCTGCAGGTCATGCAGACGGTCTCGTGGGATCCTCACCTCCCGATGCTGGCACAGCATCCGCACTTTTTCCAGGCCGTCCAGACGTTGCTCAAGGAGAACAAAACGGCCGAGATATACTACCCAGATAGTGACAAGCAGCCGGCCAGATTTGAGTCCGGCGATGTCCAGCTCTGGACGCGAGATGCCTCCCGCACATCCACTGTGCGCATCACCGGCTATGGGGCCGAGGACCGGTTGTCTGCGTTGCACGACATTGAATATGTGTCTAGGGACCTTGGTCAGGCGTCTCAGAGAGCCGAAAGGGCTACAAAGATATCATCCATTATGTTCGAACGTACTCCTTACCTTCGCATTAGACCACTGGGCAGAGAAAGACTTTCGTCTCTTCTACTGAAAATTTTTAAAGAAAAGGGCACGGTCCTTGGAAGCGATTTCCCAACAGATGGAAAGACGAACAACTCCTGCCTACTGGACTATGCTGGTAAGTGGATGCTAAACCATGATGGACATTGGGCCGAATTGTGGTGCTGGCTACATCGCCAGGCAAAGGGGCGGAAACTATGCCCATCACAGCTGAATCTATGGCTCGCGACAATGGCATTTTCCGCCAAGGACATGGAGGTCATCCAGGCAGCCGCGTGTCTGTTTCTACTGCCAGAGGTCACTGCCATCAACCCGCCGCCTGTTGGAATGTTTCAGCTTCGCCATGGTGATACACCAGACAAGACAGAACTGACTCAGCTCCTCAGCAACGCCGAGCTCTGGAAACCACAGGATTCTTGTCCGGAGAACAACTTACCGAGATACTCCGGGGAGTCCAACAGGGACTATGGTCGGCGGCGAGAGTGTGCATGGGAGTCGAGCAAGAACCAGGCCATTTCCAGCCTTGTCGACCACCTAGCGGCACAAAAGGCCCAGCCAGTGCCTCTTCCTCCAACCGGGGTCACGAAGGAAAAGATATGCACGTACATAAAACTGCAAGACGCCATCAATGCCGTGAGGGTCAAGTTCACCCTCTGGCACCAAAACTGGTTGTTCAAGTGCTATCTGGATGAGATCGCAGACGCCATCAGTCGGACATCAGTGCAGCTGTTGCAGCTCCCAAAGATCACGACCAGTCGGCCGCTACCCGCAAGCACCATACAAATGGCCACCATTCAGCTCGCGGATGTTCTCGAAAAAGCCACAGTTCCTGAAAGTAAAGAACTGCCGCATGCTGGCATACCGAAACTGACTGTCAACGAAGCTCTACCGCTCTACAGTTTGCACCTTGGCTTTCAATCACTCACACTGCAACAGAAGCAGCCGCAAGCGGAAGCAAAAAAGCCGCGCCTGGAAGCTCTCGTAAAAAGTCTGACCGCCAGCGCCGAGTCCACATACGAGAGGGAATATGCGGGCGAGCTCCGCCACAGTCTAGATAAGCTACAGGACCAGCATCAGACCCAGCATGCGAATCTGGATGTGGATGGCGTGGATCACGTGACATCCCGCATTCGCCATCATCTTGACCAGGCAACGCGATATCTCGACGACCTATTTTCCACCATCCATGCTGGTGTGTATGAGAACGTGAGATGGGACAAGTGCTTGGCCCTGCGACTCGGTCACAGCCCTCGGCTGTCTCGCACTCTCCTTCTGCAACAGCTGGCCCGCGACGGTTGGGGCAAGCTGCAGGCCGCCTGGAAGCCATGGATTGTAGCCTATGGGCTGGCCCTGACCGAGACACAGCGGGCACAGCGAATGATGCGCCTGGTACGGGATTCTGATCAGGTGAAGACCCATATTGGTGAGCTCTTGCGCGAACTGCAGAACGAGGGCCACACCAACTGGGAAGCTTTCAAGCAGCCCGAAACCCTGTTGCTAGAGGTTGAGAGCGGCATCCTGATCCGAGCAGTGCAAGAGGACATTACAGAGAAGATGCGGTGAGTGTGATTTTTTCCCTCTTGGTCCTTTGTTACTGCTTGTTTCCCACGCTGACCTGTTAAGACAACCACCGCACGACCAAAACGCGGTGATGCAGCTGAACATGGGCGAGGGCAAGTCGTCGGTGATCGTGCCGACCGTCGTGGCAGCTCTGGCCGACGGAGCGCGGCTAGTACGCGTCATTGTGGCCAAGCCACAGTCCAGACAGATGCTGCACATGCTGGTGGCCAAGTTTGGCGGCCTGCTGAACCGTCGCGTCTTTCACCTGCCCTTTTCGCGGGCTCTCCGACTGCAGGAAGAACATGCCAAGGCCATCTTCGCCCAGTGTCGTCGCTGCATGGAAACGGGCGGTGTCCTGCTCGTCCAACCAGAGCATGTCCTGTCACTGCAGCTGATGGGCCTCGAAGCCATGGCCTCCGGTCGGGAGACGCTCGGCTGCTCCCTGCTCAAGACGCAACACCTTTTTAATACGGCCGGCCGCGATGTCGTCGACGAGAGCGACGAGAACTTTAGCGTCCGATTCGAGCTAATATACACGATGGGCACGCAGACTCCGATTGAGTTCTGTCCCTACCGTTGGTCCGTCATCCAGAACGTCCTCGAAGTCGTCCGGAACCATGTGAAAGACGTGTCCGATCAGCTGCCGCTGTCCATCGAAATTCAACCGACAACGACGACTGGACATGGAAGCTTCCCTCGCGTCCGTCTGCTCAAGTCTGATGCTGTCGAACTTCTCCTTCGCAACAAGGTGCCCCGGGAAATCTGCAACACCGGTCTTCCTGGATTCCCCATTGCGCGGCAAGCTCCGGAATCACGTGACGCTGTTCTCCGCTATATGACCGAGGCCGACCTGCAGCCAGCAGACATTGACGCTGTCGAAAGTGGCCACTTCTGGACGGCAGACACACGCGACTGTCTGCTGCTTCTACGTGGCCTGTTTGCTGGAGGCCTGCTCGCCTTTTCCTTTGGCCAAAAACGCTGGCGTGTCAACTATGGTCTCGATACCTCTCGACGACCACCGACGAAGCTTGCGGTACCATACCGAGCCAAGGACCAGCCTGCTGCACGCTCCGAGTTCAGCCACCCCGACGTGGTCATCACGCTCACCTGTTTGTGCTATTACTACCAGGGTCTGGACGACGCCGACCTGTATCTGACTTTTGCCCACCTGTTGGCCTCTGGAAATGCCGACGACGTGTATCAGATTTGGGTTCATGCCGCTAACAATCTCCCGGACGCCTTCCGTCAAGTCATGGGCGTCAATATGGAGGACCGGATCCAGTGCGAGACCGAAGTGTTCCCCGCATGTACGTCTATTACGCTGCTCGTCATATGTCGTCCTGATCGCTAACCCTTGTCTACAGTCCGTTTTACGAAACCGACGATTGACTACTTTCTAGACAACATCGTTTTTGCCAAGCAGATGAAGCAGTTTCCGCATAAATTGTCGGCCTCCGGCTGGGATCTCGGTGCGTCAAAGACTCAGCGAACTACTGGCTTCAGCGGCACCATCGATTCTCGCAAGGTCCTACCGCTTGACATGACGTACCTGGACCTACCGGAACAGAAGCACACGAACGCACTTGTCCTCGAGTATCTTCTGCAGCCAGAGAATGGTGTGCTGCCGCTGCAGCCACCGCTACCACAAGACGCCGATGCTCCTACTTCGTCTGTAGCAGAAACCCTTCTGAAACTCGTCGTGGGCCAGTCGAATGACCGGCTGCGTGTCATTCTCGACGTCGGTGCTCAGATCTTGGAGTTGTCTAACCGTCAGGTGGCCAGCCTCTGGCTCAAGATGATGCGCGAGCGCCATGCCCACGTCGAGGCTGCTGTCGAGACTGCTGTCGAGGCTGCTGTCTATTTTGACGACAGGGAGGAGCTGATGGTCCTGGACAAACGGGGCCGAGCTGAGCCACTCCGCATCTCGCCGTATGCCGACCAGCTGGACCTCTGTATCGTTTTTCTCGACGAGGCCCATACGCGCGGCACAGATCTGCGCCTGCCCTCGTCTTACCGCGCGGCCGTCACACTCGGTGCCCGTCTGACTAAGGACAGGCTGGTCCAGGCCTGCATGCGTATGCGGAAGCTCGGCCACGGCCAGTCTGTCGTATTCGTGGTGCCTCAGGATGTTCAGACTCAGATCCAGGAGTGCCGCACTCACGAGGAACAGCAGCGGGACATCAGCGTGCTAGAAGTTCTGAGCTGGGCCATTGGCGAGACTCATAATGATCTTCGCAAAAGCATGCCGTTATGGGCTGTCCAAGGTCGTCGATTTGAGAAGCAGCTGGCCCTTTGGGAGAAAGCACGGGCTGCAGGTGAAGAAGACGACATGATCGTCATGACGCACGACCTGGCTAGCGAATTTCTCGAGGACGAGGCCAAGACGCTGGAAGAACGCTATCGCCCAATGCCAGAAGGACAGACTGACAGCACAACCAACATGCGTGGCGACAGAACCAATATGCGGTTGCGCCAGATCGACGACCGCTGTGCCGAGGTGTCTAGACTCAATTTCTCTGAGACGACCCTGCACGAGGAGCAGGAGCGGGAGCTGTCCCCCGAGATCGAAGAGCAGCGCCAGATAGAGCGGCCGCCTCCAGCCACGCCAGCCACTCATTCTGTGCATCAAGACATCCGCACATTTGCTGCCACTGGACGGCTGGCTGCCTCCTCGTCCGCCGTCTTGCCTGCATTCCAGGTCCTTCGGGCTACCAATGCATCTGCCCTCCTCGATGTAGACATGTTCCCGCAGGATGTGCTCGTCACAGCCGACTTTGCCAGTACGATCGTCCCTGAGCATTTCGCCAACAAGGACCAGCAACTGGACTCCTTCCAGCGCCCTCCCCAGTGGATCCTGAGCAGTCAGCCGGTCAGCTGGGATCGGGTGGTGATCATTAGCCCATACGAGGCACAGGAGCTGCTGCCGACAGTCCGCAAGAGCCACAATACATCTTTGCATCTATACGCACCCCGTCCCAACCTGGAGGTGTCGCCGCTGGATGGCCTCGATCTTTACACCACGTCTGCTGCACGACCGCCATCGCCTGAGCGTCTACCGCTCCCACTGGCACTGCTACTCAACTTGTTCTCTGGTCAGCTGTACTTTAAGTCCTTTGCCGAGTACACAGCAATGTGCGACATGCTCCGGCTTTCGTGGCAGGAGGCCAGCGACACGCTTACCATCGAGCCGGATGGCTACATCCACCATGCCGATAATGCAGACGACATCCCAGGTTCAGAATTTACCCAGAGCCCAGTCCCGTTTCTCAAGGCGTACTGCTCAAAAATTCGCCGGGACGGTCATTCGATTGACCGCACGCATCTTGGCAAAATGCTAAGCGGGGTTCTCCTACGAGAGCTAGAACTGGACGGAGAATCGGTGAAGGGAGCTTATAGAGCTCCGAATCTTGGAGCCACCAGCATATAGTTTGATATCGCTACTATGTAAGGGCGGTCATGGCTGTTCTCTTATTTTGTACGGACAAGTACGATAGAATACGAATAGAGCAACTTCTTACAAGACACCGGGCGATACACCGCCGCGAAACGAGGCACGGGCTTCGTAAACTTGACACCAAAAGCCAACCATTACGTTATTTTGTACTCCGTACGCTTCGTTCTCGATTTACGGAGTGTTCGTATCGCATTTGTGGAGTACTCCATTGATGGTCTCGATGTATTCTCGGCGTGTCCACAAAAGGGGCAAAAGCTAAAACTGTCTGATGCCGACTGATCCAATTTATCGATGCGAGGCTTTACAGTCGAAACAAGGACGGGCAATACGAGGTTTCCTTTTTGTAGAGAAAATAAGCAACATATGTAGTTGTAGTCCGTACTCCGTGCGGAGTAGACATCCTGTTTTGGCTGCGAAAACGCCACCAGGACACGAGAATGACGTCGTGGGGCGAGTTTTTCAGCTAGACGGTGTGCGCTAGCCTCTTGGAGTGGCAATAAAGAGTGAACCGGTGACATGGGTTTTGTAGGAACTCGTGCGGAGTACTCGTATGCGGATGCGATTTTCGTGAATGGCCTCCTTTTGGGTGTTGTGCAGAGTAGTTCGTGACAATTCTTGGTAGGATGCAGATGCGCCATCGCTTGTTCCGTAGTTCGCAGATCAAATAGGGGGGAATCTCGGCGTTTGCGGAACTTGCTATATTTTTAGACAAATTCCCAAATTAACACCATCTCCACTTCCTTTCCTGCATAGGGCGATCGGCAGCCTACGGATCCGACCGGTGTGGCGTCAAAGTCACGTTACTCTAACCGTCATCAAGTCAGCAGTTATACTCTGTATGTTGTACACTGCAAAAGGCCGTCAACGTGATTGGGCTCTTGGGCAAGAAGGCGCACATACCGGGCCGAGTTATGCATGCTCAACAGCTCTTCAGCACCTTGACTGCCTGGCTTCATTGCCCACAACGTTTAGCTCCATCTCCACTAATGATCGACAGGTTTCGATCTGCATGAGCCTCAACGAAAAGACCGGGGCAGGAGGGTCAGACGGTCGTACGTCGTGGTCCAAAAGGGGAGAAGGAAGTTAAGTTTTGATTATAAAAGAAGAGTGATCTTCCCTAATTTCCATTCTTTCTTGCTTCCACCCTCACCCTCACTCTCATCTTCATCATCTGCATACTCTTTTGCCCATCCCTTCAAGCCCCGGACTTTACTCGCCCACTCTTAATATTCGTCATCATGCAGACCACTCTTCTCTCTCTTCTTGCCCTCTCGGCTGGCGCCCTCGCCGCCCCTGCAGCTTCCACCTCTGCACTCACCTGCTCGCAAAAGTCGGAGGGCTTTGCGTGGTATATCACTCGCTTCCAATACAGCGGCTCTGAAGTCTTCACCACGCCTTCCCACCAGAACGACAACGGTCAGGTGTCTTTCAACATCTCCAACCCGGCCCTTGTGCCCGGCCAAGCCTCGTCTGGGTGCTCTGCTCGCTCGTCTCAGATTCCGGACTATTTTTACGGCGACATTGTGTACGACTGCATTGACCCTCGCAACGACGCCTACACAAACACCACCTTCAAGTACAACGCTCCGAGTGGTCTCCTCAGCATCATGCAGACCTGGACTTGCTCCGACGCCAAGGATCCGGCCGTTTTCACTGCCTCCGGCTCTGTCAACCTCACACTGAGCTGCGGTGAAAGCACCTACAATAACAACAACTGGACAATTGGCCAGACCTACTCCAGCACCACCCAGGTCTGTGTGTCTCCGGACACCCCGGCTATGGCTTTCCAGATCTCTGCCGTTGCTTAAGCATGTAAAGGCCCGGCCTATTAAAGGTCATTTCTTGGGTTGTCAACCACGCGTGCTAGCGTACTTGTTCGCATTTGTACCCGTGCGAAAACGATTGGAAGCATTAGCATACACTAGATAATAATTCATATACACTGCCCAAACACAGATGCGACTATTAAAATAGTAGGAGATCCTAATAGACTAAATCGGTTTGCTGATTGGACCGAGGCACGTTTGAGTATAGAAAAGTTGTACAGAGTACTCCATAAGCGGCAGAAAGCAGAGTCTTAGTACATCTTGTCATCACGTGGCGGATCTTTTCCTGTCCTTTTGTTCATCTGACAAATTTGTTCGTCTATCCATCGCCTTATCTCTTCACTTCCTCTCGTTCGCACAATTGTCCGTCAAGGATCGAGCTTACGATGTACAACCAGTGAAGATGGCCGGTGGGCTATTAGAGGGCCTATTCGCTTTTATTTTACACTCGGGGCGCATTTGGGAGTTTTTCTTTTTACGGAGTACTGTTTGTGAGATGATGTGTAATACGTTGCGTGAAGTCTATGATACCCAATGACTAATATAAGAGACACATTTAATGGCAGTCTATAGTTCTAGGACCCAGGTGGCTTTGGACTGCCTTTCTATATATATTTTTGAACGTTGAGTAATTCGTAAAACTCTGCCTACTTACCTAATCTAGGTTCGGTAGGTTTCCTGATCACGGCTTGAGTAATTACTAATGCCGGGCTCTGAGAAAAGTGAGGAGAATGGGATATTTAACCGGTGGCTGTTGAGGGCAAATTATGCGTAACAAGGAGGACAACACCAGACCTGCACGAATGCAGTTGTCTTTTTGTAAGATGTACTTAACCCTGTCCGACTCTCTGAGCTGCTTGCGTTATTCTAATTTCTGCTTCTAATACGCTACCTGTACTCAACTACTAAGCCATCAGTCCTTATTAGTAACAGGTACAGCCACCATGAGCCCAATCAGACTACGAGCCACCTCGGCAGCTGCCAGACAAGTCGTCTCGCCTGTGTTATCGTAGGCCGGCGCCACCTCGACAACGTCTGCTCCAATGACCTTTAGTCCGATGAGGCCATCGAGGATAGTCAGAAGTTCGCGAGTAGTCCAGCCGCCTGGCTCGGCCGTGCCGGTAGCCGGGGCGTAGGCCTATTAGTCAGCAAGAGGTCGTTAAGAGGGGATGACTAGGAAGTGGAAGGCAACACGCACTGGATCTAGGACATCGATATCGACGGTGATATAGACCTTGCTGTCACCAACGCGATTCTTGAGCTTGTCTATGACACCCTGCGTGCCGAGTGCATCAATGTCGCGGGCCGTGACAATGTCGAAGCCGCATTGAACGTCGTTATTGAGATCGCGATGCTGCGTCCCAAGCGGCGCGCGGATACCGGCGTGGATGGACGAGTCATTGGAGATAAGACCCTCCTCGTGGGCAATGTGCAGAAAGGTACCGTGGTTGACGGAGGCGTAGTCGGTGATGCCGCCGCCAGAGGCGGTGGGATCCCAGGTGTCGATGTGCGAGTCAAAGTGGATCACACTTACGACACCCCAGTACTCGTAGGTGGAGCGCAGAGCGGCCAGGGTGATGGTGTGGTCGCCACCTAGCATCATGACGCGCGGAATGGTGGCAATGGAGGCATTGTTGGCTACGCGACCAGAGGTAATCTTTCAGACCAGTCAGCAGCGGCTTAGAGGACCGGGAAGCCGACAACAGGCTCTCTCTCTCTCTACACACACCTTGTGCGCTTTGACGAGCTGCTTCAGGGCCATGGTGTTGTCGACCACGGTCAGCGGTGCATTGCCGCAGTCGACCAGCTTGGCCCACTCCTTTAGCCGGTTGTGGCCCGAGTAGATGTTCCACGAGTGATTGGGACGTATGCGCCGGGAGCCATCTCGGATGCCGTGGGGACCAAAGCGGGCGCCTGGACGGTACGACGTAGCCGTGTCAAAGGGCGCGCCGAGGACGGCAATGTCGTACTTCTCGACCTCGTCGTCGGTCTTGGAGGAGAAGCACGGAACGTACGGCAGGTGGGCAAACGAGGCGAGCCCGCCGACGGGATCTGTCGTCAGGTCGACATCGTCGTCTAAATCGACGTCGGAAGTCAGATGGAACTGTGTATGAGCAGCTGGCCCTCGGATGGCGGCAACAGGTGGAAAGACGATCTCGCGGGCCTGGCTCACAGCCACGAGTAGGAGAAGGAACTTTGACATTGTGACGGGGTTGCCTCGCAATGCTACTTTGGCTGCCACACCTCTCATCAAATAGCAGCATAGACTGCCAGAAGACGGGCAGACCTGTGACGGTGGACGGTCTTTATCAGCTCTGATTTTATAAAACGCCGCAACAGCTCCGCTCCGCGGCGTTCAGATTGCCGATCTCCAAGCTGAATCCCGGCTAGTAAACCAGAATGGGTGGGGATAATGATAAGGTACCCGATGGCATGTCCATTTTGGGAGTGGCAGCCGGCCGCTAAGACGCTGTTGGCAGCGTTTCCCTAATCGACTGCAGTTGGCCGATGGGTTAGCAACATTGTATTTACGCTTTGTCTGAACAGGGTTACATTAAGTCTCTCCGCGGGTAACCCCGAGAGAAGGGAAATATACTATACTACTCCGTGCTCCGTATGTACTAAAGAATGTCGTTATCGTGCGCATATGTGCTCTATGGCGGATGTATGTCAACTCCCTGTCGGTCCATCTATGGGTACATATGGCCACTGCGAAGTCGTAGTGAGCAGATAGGCAGTTGTTCGCGTTGTTGTCAGCACCCAACGAGTGCTCGGCGTATCTGCCATAATCTGCGTGCTGGTTTCCTATATAGCTGTCGTAGATTTCCGGCTGCTTCTATTGAAGCAAGATGCAACGACAACCCGGTTCTTCCGGCTTTCTGTCACTCCGTCCTCTCGTGTTCCCCTCTCACCTCCTTGTCTCCATCCTCCTCCCCAAAGGTCCAAGCCACCGTTATGGTGTCCGAGATAGCAAGCCGGACCTGGGATGACCCCCAATGGCCACCCGGCACGGTGCGGCTGGAGCTGATCAAGGCCGACCACAGCACCGAGATCGTGCTGCAGCCACGGCCGACGTCCGACCCCAACGATCCGCTAAACTGGCCGATGTGGCGCAAATACCTCAATTTTGGCCTCGCCGCCTTCTTCGCCCTCATGGTAGCGGCCCAGGTGTCGGCCACGACGCCGACCTGGGGACCGATGGGCGACGAGCTGCACTTTAGCGACGCAGTGCTCAACGACACCTATGCCATCGGCTGTGCCACGCTGGCGCTCGGCGGCTTCATGCTGATTCCGTTTGCGCTCAAGTACGGCCTGCGGCCAATCTACGTGCTGACCTGTCTGGCCCAGCTGGGCGTGATGATCTGGGCTGCCCGCACCGAGACGGCCGGCGACTGGTGGGGCGTCAACGCGGTGCAATGCTGGCTTGGATCGCTGGGTGAGTGCATGGTGCAGATGACCATCACAGACATCTTTTTTGTACACCAGCGCGGCCTGATGAACTCCATCTACGTGTGGGCCTACAGCTTCGGCGGCAACCTGGCGCCGGTGGCGGCCGGATACATCACCTACTCGCAGGGCTGGCGTTGGGTCTGGTGGTGGTGTGCCATCTTCTTCGCCGTCGAGACGGTCATCATGGTCCTAGGCTTCGAGGAGTCCAAGTTCGACTGGACCGCCGTTCCCATCTCGGGCCGACCGCTGGACGTCGAACAGATCGTCGACGACAAGACCGACGAGAAGGGAAGGCCATCGATAGGCGTGCGAATCCCCGATCTCGAGACCGACTCGCCTGATGCTGTGCCCTCCGAGTCAGATGCCTTTGCCAATGGCACTACCGTCGAGATCAACCAATCCATCCCGCGCAAACCGTACTGGAAGCGCCTCGTCTTCACCACCACCACTAAGGGTCCCTGGCAGCTGTTCGCCCGCCACGCCTACCAGCCCTTCATGATCATGTTCACCATCCCCGGTATCGGCTATATCTGCCTCGTTTATGCCGTCCTCCTCTCCTGGGGCACTGTCATGTCCGCTGCCCAAAGCACGTACATGATTGAGCCGCCCTACAACTTCGACTCCACTCAGATCGGCCTGATGAATCTGCCGCCGTTCATCGGAAACACCATCGGCACGCTGATAAGCGGCCCCCTCAGCGACTGGATCGTGCTCAAGCTGGCCAAGCGCAATGGTGGCATCTACGAGCCCGAAATGCGCCTGTGGATTATCCTGCCATTTATTCCCCTCCAGATCGCCGGGCCGTTCTGGTTCGGCTATGCCCTCCAGGACGGACAGTCCTGGGTCTCTGTCGCCTTCGCCACAGGCCTCACAAACTTTGCCCAGGCACCCATCACTAGCGTTTTGCTGACTTACATGCTCGATGCATACAACGAGGTAAGCAAGCCAGCTGTCTTCGAAACCGGAGGTAGATAGGACTATTCAGCTAACTTTCCTCCCTCCCAGATCATCGGCGACTCTCTTGTCGCTCTCACCTTCTCGAGAAACACGTTCAGCACCGTGTACGTCTTTGCCATGACGCCATGGATAGCGGCCGTTGGCATGTCCAACGTCTTCAACACGATTGGGGCCATCGGTGTCGTCGTTCTCCTCTTTGCCGGTGTGTTCATTTGGAAGGGGAAGCACTGGCGCTACCGGTATGCAAAGCAGTACCAGTATTATTCATTGCGGCAGTTCGATCCGCGGCCGATCAAGAATTGAGATTTAGGGTCAGGTGTTTGAATGACATCTGTGCCACAGAAAGAGAAGTGGTCATGAAAAGGTCTACCCCAAGAGACATATGCATTATGACAAAATACACGTACCATTACGCAGTCCTCTGAGTCGACAGGTTTATACTGAAAGCCCAACTGACAGCGACGATCGTAGTGGGGTAGAATGGGCGGTGACGAATGGCAGAAACATTGGAAAGGCCCTGTTGAAAGGGAAAACAGAGCTCACTACTCCGTAATAATGCTAGGACGTTCTAAAATCGATCAATAGGCCTCTATCCCAGTCTTACCACCTAACGTATCACCAGAGAGACAATGTTTACGCACGAATCGGAAGTCTGAAGACAAGCTTGCCTAATTATCGCCAAGGTTGCTCCAATTACCCCGCACAAGGCTGGGCCGCTTCTTCTGCTGCCTGTTGAAAATGGCCACCAATCTGCCTTTACCAGAGCGCGACTTGCCAGCTTCGGCTCTGATTGAATACCCGTATCGCTGGTAGCACGCTGGTCACGATGCCGAAAAACACCTACATCTTCGCGCCCAACCACTCTACCACGCCTGGTGGAGTCATCTGTCTTGGCCATGTCCTGGGCGATATCTCCAAGTTTGTGCCGATTAACCGCAACGACGTTGTGCCCATTGAGAACCCCAACTCGATCGGCCGAAAGCGTGGCTTTACTATGCGCCGGGCTCGGATGGCTAGCAGCAAACTGGGTATATTTGGTCAGATCTTCAGTCAGTTGGGCGTCGGTGTCGACGTCGGGATCAGCGCTAGCCGCAAGCGCACAGACATCCTTTCGGTCAACTGTCTTGACACCGAATCGTTCGATCCCACCGATGCCTACATTTCCGATACCATCAAGCTGCCCGAAATTGCCCTATTTCTCTCCGATACGCACTACAAGTACCCTCTGTACCTCATCACGGGGCTCAAGATTGCCCGCGATGGAGGCACCAGGCGAACAGCCAAGTACAAAAAAATCGATGCCGCTGGCAGTCCCGTGGGCAGCCCGCCTATGCTTCCCGCACCGGTCGGGGAGAGCTTGGGCGACGCGTCAGGCTCCGTAGGCTCTGCCTATGCGAGCTCGACCGATTTTATTCTAGCACTACGGGTGCTGAAGATCGCGTTCAGACATGGCCAGCTGCGGCATGCACCGTATATCAAAAAGGAGAAGACTACAATATTCAACAGCGACGACAGTGCTAGCGGCGATGGCAAAGGTGGCGAGGCTGCGAACTTTATGGTGACGGACGTCTCAATTGAAGACGTGGATGACGGAGAGGTACAGATTAAAGAGGTCGATTATGGTGATGATGACGTTTGGCTGATACCTGTGGCACAATACTGCGTGGAGAGTGAGTAACGGTCTGTAGAACTTATTTGCATTGTGGCGAAATGACAGGTCGTTGGAAATCGTGATTGAGTACACGTAGATCACGTTGGAGCTATTTTCCGGGAAGAGCCGCTTCTTATGGCCACCGTCGTTGGAGGTGGCTGCGAAGAGGATCATACCGGCGTCAGCGTCGCGGGCGATTCCAATGCTTCACACTCTGTCGCAGCAGCCTAAAAGACATGTATGTGTCGCATTACTTTTCCCGTGTCCATTCTATGGCCTGTGTCTGTGAGCAAATCGAATGAAAGGGAAAGTATTGCGAAAAGGAGGAAGACAAAAACCAAGAAGCTTGCTGTCTTACTCCGTACTTTTCGAATTTGCCCACTGAATTCGCTTTTACCAGCTTACTGGGATTACATAATCCTGCCATCCATTCTCAGTGTCTGCTTCCCGCCATTTGTCCATCCCTCCGATGACTCCTTCCGGTCCTACAAACCACTGGCTGTCCTCTATTTGTTTGAGCCATTCCCGCAAAACATGGGCAAGCCGCACGTCGTGCTGCTCACCAAATGGGATGTAGCCCGGCTGGTACAGATCAGAAAATGTGTCATGGGCTTGAACTACGGTGCCGCGAGCTTCTTTATTCTCTCCGAAGCGGGCTCCATCGGCTGTCCGCGCAAATCCACGAGCACCAATGCTGTAAGGAAGCACCAGTTTCGCACCGTCTTCAAATTCTACGCCAGCTTCTCGATCCGTGTAGGTTAAATACAGTCCGGAAGGGTAGCTTGGCATGACGCTGTAGGGCCAGCTGAAGGGAGGCTCAATTCTTGTGCCGCGATTTATCGTAGGAGCGGGAGCAACAAATGGAATTGCAGAATGGAATAACAGGACAGGTGGTATTGTCATTCGGCCTTCTTCATCGTCTTCGTCGCCGTCCTCAGATGCCCGAAACGGCTGGTTCGGAAACGTTTCAGCGGTAGGCACCTCTAAACCCGGGGCAATAAAGCAGAATCGTGGCTGGTGCGCGTGGCTAAAAAACGAACGCGCAAAACCGCGGGATAGATTGGCCGCGTCCATGGCTGCATCAGACAGGAGCGGCGCACGATCAGCCGAGACTGGTGGCTGTAAGGTCGGCGGCAATCGTGCTTCGATGGCATCGACCAGGCTGTTAAAAACCTCGGCGGTCTCCTTAAGCTGCCCCTCACTGTATGGATGTAGGATCCACGGGTCGTATTTGCTGTTGGGCACATCCACATGTTCGGGAACAGCCTGTACCTTGCCACTGTCAATCATTTCCAGCCAGGCATTCAGCACATCCTCCAGAGGATACCATTTCTGGCGACCGTTCTGCGTGATGCTCATGTCGTAGATAGACATTCGCATGATGGCTGGGTTCGTCTCCTGGTCGAACCTGTACCGTATTACTCAGCATTTCATTCTTATTCCAGAGGCCAAAAGCATGATACTCACACTACGCCTTCTGGGTGGGACGCTAAATTCGTGGCCGTGTAGAGGGTCAGGTACCGATAGGGACTGTCGCTATCCTTGGCTTCTATCTCGTGGGTGGTCCACATAGATTCGGGATAGGCCAGGCCATAAGCGTAGTAGAAGAAAGCGTGACCATTCCCACTACATTTCCACGCCTGCTCGAGGAAGGCCACGAGGGACGGCGAGAGCCGATGACGGACTGCCTCAGCCTTGTCTCCATGAAAGGCAAACCAGTTCTGGCGCACTGCAGGCTCAGACGTCCCCAAGCCAGCTTGGCCGATATCGAACAGCTGGTTGTGCAAGGTGGCGCACCGATTGACGTTCATCTCGTATGTTCAATGCCCGATGAGCTCGCAAGTTACTGCAGGACAGCGGATTGCGGAGTACTTATCCACAGACCCCGCAGAGTGGAGAATCAAAGATGTGGGGGCCGTTTGCATGAAGTACAGGGTGTTTTGCGGATGGCAACTTTGAGACATGCGTTGATGCAATTAAACTCTATGACTTTTGTTTCTATTTCCTAGACAACCATATTTGCCCCAATCAGAGACGTTGCAGCTTCCACGATGCGTCCGCTTTATCCATGATTACACAATAACATGCCGATGCCACAAGGCGCCAATTCCAGAAGTAAGACACAAGGGGTACACAAAGCCCCGCGAACAAAACTGCTCTACAACGCCTGCTGTGCGGCGGTCTCGACCACCTGGGCCCAAGTGTCGGAGCGCGGCGTGATGGTGCAGGGGAACGAGTTTGGGTGGCTGGTAAGGCCGTTGGTGACCTTGACGACGGGGATGATGTCCTGGCCGTCGGGGCCTTTGGCACGGCCAATGTCGAAGGCGGCGAGCATGGTGGCGACGACGATCCAGACGTTGGCCTCGGCGAGGTGCTGACCGACACAGATGCGGCGACCGAAGCCAAATTGGCCGACTGGCAGGGGCTCACCGCGGCCGCCCTCCTCGACAGACGCAAACCGATCGGGCTCGAAGCGGTCGGGGTTCTGGTAGACGCGCTCGTCGTGGGTCATGGCGCGTGCGTTGGCATAGACGAAACTGCCCTTGGGGATGAACATGCCGTCATACACGTCGTCCTCGAGGGCGCGGTGCGGCACGCCGACCGGCGACACCGGACACCAGCGCAGCGTCTCCTGCACGATGAGGTCGATGTAGCGCAGCGCCGGCCGATCGGAAAACGTCGGCAGGCGACGGGTCTTGCCGTCAGGGCTGACGAGCACGGCATCCAGCAGGCCCTGGGCCTTGGCCTGCACCTCGGGCTGCAGCACCATGTTGAGAACAAAGACGACCAGGGTCGACCAGGTGGTGTCCTGGCCAGCCGCATAGACAGCGCCGGCTGCGCCCTTGATGTCGTCCACCGAGAGCTCTGTGTTGGCAGGAAGCACGCCGGCCTCTAGCTGAGCTTGGCGCTGCGCCAGCAGGGCCGCGATCAGGCTGTCCTTGTTGGGGGTCGTCTTTTCGGTCTTGGTCTTGGTCTTGGTCTCGGCCATGGTGCCGCCCTCCATATCGCCAGCCACGGCAGCAAAGGGCGCGTCGTGGATCTGCCGGATGGCCCAGCGCCAGTCGCGGGCAAACTGGAGAGAGCGGTCGCGCAGCAGCCAGCTGGGGAAGCTCTTGAACAGCGGGAAGAAGTCGACGAGCGTGCCGGCCGGAGCGCCGCCGTGGCCGAGGGCGTACGAGGCGTCGACGGCCATCTGCACGTACGGGTCCTTGTCGCTCTTGAGCGTGATGCCAAAACCGATGCCGAGAACGATGGCGGTGGCATAGCGACGCAGCACCTGCTCCCAGTCGGCCGGCGCGTGGAGCACGCCACGCATGGCCACGTGGGTCTCGCGCGTCTGCAGATCGCGGTAGACCTGGATGTTCGTCTTGGAAAAGGACCGCTGTAGGATCTTGCGGTGCATCCGGAACGCCTCGCCCCAGCGCAGAAACGTCAGCGTCTTGCGCCAGCCCATGACCTCGAAGAGGACAAAGCGCGGCCGGTCCGCGTACTTGGCCCCACGGCGGTCCAGCAAGTCCACCGCCGACTTGACGCTGTTGAGCACCACAATGTCCTGGCCTAGCACGTTGAAGTGCAGCACGTCCGACTTGAGTTCGCGCGCCCAGTTGGCGTATGCGTATTCTGGGTTGTCCGTCGGGATCACTCGCAGGTGGCCCAGGATTGGCTCGCCTTTGGGGCCTGGCGGCAGTGGCACGCCTTTGCGCCGGCTGCGCTGCCGTGCGGCCGCCAGTGCGAGCCAAAGCGCCGACGCCGCCACGGCCACAAGCAGCAGCACCGCCACGTTCGGCTGGCCTGGCACCATAAGCTCTTGGATGAGGGCCATGGTGTGTGGGGGTGTGTGAACGGTAGGAAGGAGGGGTCGGGAACGGAGGGAGGGGTAGGAGCACGGTGGTCTGAGCAGGACCCGAGAGTGGCCAGGTGTCGCTGCCTTGGCTTCCTCGCTGTCTGTTCGAGGTCGATTGTAGTCTGACTGCAAGTCAAAGCACGACTCAACCCTGCTGCCCCTCGCCGGAACTTGTCTTGTATTTGTTCGGTCCCCGGCCGCTGCTAGCTGACAAAATGGCCAGCATGATAGGTTTCGTCTTCCGGCAGGCAACGCGGAATGCTCAAAGTTTGCTCCAGCTGCGAAAGTTGGATAAAAGACGCCGGCTTGCGCTGCCGGGAAAGCTCCACTCGTTTCTCTGGTTCTGCCGCTTTAGTGCGTCGCCGTCGGGTGAGCAGGTGGGCTGGCAAAGGCCTCGTTGCCGACCAGCTGCCTGCCAGCTGTCTGCCGCCTCTGCCGGACTGCCGCCCCGCTTTCGTGCTCTGCCGGTCCCAATCGCCGCCCCCGCTAGCGCTGGTCCACTGTTCAGCCATTTGCCTGCCGGCTCAAGTCTTGGCTCTCGTTCTCTGCCACCACTGCGGCACGTTCGATCGTCGAGGGGGGTTACAGACGAAAGGACGGCACGCTGTGTCCGTGGTGGCCATTCGATTTTCCATTTTCGAGAGATACATATTCCCCGCAAGCCATCCGGGAGACGGCCAAGACGCCTTCAACACACTGCAAGGGAGAGTTGATTCGGTCACCATCTCATTGCCTTTCGTCATCTTTTATCCCAGCTATTTTGTCCCCATCGCTTTGCGCCCCCCTCCGCCACACACCCTCCGACCGCTGTCGTTTCGCCTGCCTTTTCCGCCCACGCACGATGCTTGGCACGTCTGCCCAGACGGCCTTTGCGTCGGAGCCGTCGGCTGCCGACCCGTACCGTTACCAGAGCGGCTTCGGCAACCGGTTTGCGTCCGAGGCAGTGCCGGGCGTGCTGCCTCGCGGCGGCCAGAACTGTCCGCAGCGCTGTCGGTTCGACCTGTATTCGGAGCAGCTCAACGGGTCGTCGTTTGTCAGCGCGCGCCAGACGCTGCAAAACGTGTGGATGTACCGCATCTGGCCGTCGGTGGCCCATGGCCCCGTGCGGCCGGCCCCCGAGATCAACCCCCATGTGCAGGCCTGTTTCCTGCCGCTGAACCCCAAGGTCGGTTTCGTGGCCGAGCAGCGGGCGTGGAACCCGTTGAGCGTGGCCGCCGCGTCGGCCGGCAGTACCGACTTTGTGGCCGGCCTGCGCACCGTGGCCGGCCAGGGTGACCCGACGATGAAGACCGGCATTGCCGTGCACGTGTATGCGGCCGACACGTCCATGGGCCGACGTGCCTTTTGCAACAACGACGGCGACATAATGATCTTGCCCCAGGAGGGCCGCCTCGACATCCAGACCGAGCTGGGCTCACTCATGGTGCGGCCTGGCGAGCTGGTCGTCCTGCAGGCCGGGATCAAGTTCCGCGTCGGCCTGCCGGATGGGCCTAGCCGCGGCTACGTGCAGGAGATCTTTGGCGCGCACTACGAGCTGCCCGAGCTCGGCCCCATCGGGTCCAACGGCATGGCTCTGCCCCACGACTTTGAGAGCCCCGTGGCCGGCTTCGCGGTCGACGAGGCCGACTGGGAGATCGTCTACAAGATGGCCGGCAGCCTGCACGCCTGCCACCAGCCGCACACGCCCTTTGACGTCGTCGCCTGGCGCGGCAACCTGGTGCCGTACAAGTACGCCACCGAGAAGTTTGTCAATGTGGCCAACGTCGAGCGCGACCAGGCCGACCCGACCGTGTACTGCGTCCTGACGGCTCGTTCGGCCATCCCGGGCGTCTCCCTGACCGACTTCCTCATCTTCACGCCCAAGTGGATTGCCACCAGCAACACCTTCCGGCCGCCCTACTATCACCGCAACATGTCGACCGAGGTCATGGGCCTGCTGTACGGCAAGTACGGTGGCAGCAGTCACGTGCTCGAGCCCGGTGGATTGTCCTATGAGGCTGCCTACATGCCGCACGGTGAGACGTACGAGACCTGGGTCGACGCGACCTCGGCTGAGCTGCGGCCTGTCCGTGTCTGCGAGGACACCGTCGCGTTCATGTTCCACATCAGCGTGCCCCTGCTGCTGACCGACTGGGCCGAGCACGGCGAGGGTGCCCGGCAGCTGCACCCCAGCCCGGCCGAGCCATGGGCCAAGGCCAAGGCGCCCTTCCTCGACCGCCTGGCCGAGGTCGACGACGTGCTCGCTGCTGCCGGTCTGCCGAAGCTGAGCAGGCCAGCCCAGGCAAAGACCAACGGGGTCAATGGGGTGAAGGCGGTTAACGGAGTAAAAGCTGCTAATGGCGTCAACGGGACGTCGTAGTGGCACGGAGAACATGGGCTGCTGTGTACTGAATACAGATTGTTAATGAAATGCATACACTTATGAGACGCATGTTATGCCCACTAGTATTGTGGAGAATTACTCGGAACTTGCCATGATCACGTGCGATTTGATTAGAGGCACCTACTTCGTACTCCTTACTCCTCTTCACATGCCCCGGGTCGTACTCCGTAATCCCGAGCCAGTACTACGTTGTATGGCAATAAGTGCAAAGATCTTGACCTCCAGTTTCATTTCCGTTATACGATGTGATTACATTGAACTAACCAGATTAGTCACGTAACTTTGCCATGCATTATGGGGCCATGTCTTACCGCCTTGGCGAAATGCACACAATTGGTTGAATGGCAGGAATGAAACTTTTGTCTACTCCGTACTTCGTACGGAGTACATCACCACTCTGACACCCCTGGGTTGCCACTTGCCGGCTGTGGGCAGTGGAGCCCTTTGACGATAAGGTTGCCGGCCGGCAATGACGGATAGCCCCCCCTGCGTGGGATGAAAGCATAGCGACCTCTCTCGAACAATGTCGACGCCCTTCGACTTATCCTCCACAACTGCAGACAGGCAAATATGCGGGCCGACGAGACTGCCGTCTTGCCAGGCTCCACGATGAGTGCATCCCCAGGTTTGAGCCAAAGCGCTGGGACCGGCACTATGACCGGCAGCGCAGCGATGGGACAGGCAGAAGTGCAGCAGGTTCGACAGGTACAGATGCATGCAAGCTATCAGCCTCAATCTCAGCCACAGCAGCTAGATTCGGTGGCTCAGGTCCAAGCTCTGGTCCAGGCCCAGGCTCAAGCTCAGGCAGAGACACAACCGCCGCGACGACGTGCGGGTGTGGCCTGCCGGCGCTGCCGCCGACAACGGACAAAGTGTCTGCATCAGCAAGGTCAGGCGCCCTGCGACTCGTGTGCGGCCGCTGGAGCAGCTGTGGCGGCGACGTGCAGCTTTCCCACGCGTGGCGAGAAGGACACGGACCGACTATTCCGGCGGCGCAACAACGGCCAGCTGATCGGCCAGGACGGCCTCGTCAGCCGGCTATCGTCGAGCCCTCCGGACCGCATGTCGACTGCATCGCCACGGCCACCGCCATCGCCACCGCAGTCGTCCTGCACGAGCACGACGTCAGCAGCCATCATCACTACCGCCACGGCCAGCACGACCGCGCCCTCCTTCCCGCCACATGACGAGATCGTCGAGGGCTGCAAGGTCTTCATGTCGTCGTACTTCCAGCTCGGCTTCCTGCCCAAGGCCGTCTTTCTCGAGCGACTGCACCGCCACCCCGAGACGGCCAGCCGGTTCCTGCTGGCCAGTATGCTGACCATCTCGTCGCGCTTCACGCCGGTGCTGGTGCGGCGCTACGGCTCGCCCGCGGCCACGACCGAGTTCTTCTTGGCGACCGCCCGTGACATGGCCGCCGCTCACGACAACATGTACCGGCCGTCGCTCGAGCGGACGCAGGCGTTCTTCCTGCTGGCCATTGCCGAGTGGGGCAACGGCGACCGTGACCGCAGCTCCGTGCACATGGGCGTGGCCGTGCGCATGGCCGCACTGCTCAAGCTGCACCGCGAAGAGGCCTACGTGCTGCCGCCGACCGCATCGTCAGACCAGATCGTGCGCGCCGAGTCGGCCCGCCGCACCTTTTGGATGATCATGAGCCAGGAGAACCTGCACGCCGGCCACATGACGCCGGCCCCGTTCGCGCGCGAGGACATCTCAGCCTGCCTTCCGTGCGACGAGGCCGACTTTGCCTTTGGCATCCTGCCGTCGGCCGCTACCCACAACGAGCGCGCCGCTCTAGCTGGCACCTTGCCAGCTCTGCGTCGTCCCGAGCTGGCTTCGCTGCCGAACCGCTGCCTCTTTGCCACCCTGATCCAGGCCCACGATCTATGGGGCCGCGTGGCGCGCTGCACCGCCAGCGAGCCGTGTCCGTGGGAGCCCGACAGCAGCTTCCGCGATCTCACCGAGGCCCTGCGCCTCTGGGAAGACGCCATCCCGGCTCGCCATCGCTGGAGCGTCTGGAATTTGCGCGGCTGGTGCGCCGAGTCCCTGCACCTCGCCTACCTCTCCGTCGTCATGGTCGTCCGACTCGGCAACATCGTCATTCGCCGCATCTACCTCGAGCGCATCATCAAGGCCCTCGATGCTGACGACGACGACAGCAACAGCGACAGGACCGCCTCTGCCTTCTGGCAGACCGTCTCTTACGACCTCTTTGCCAACGTGCTCGAGCTGCACGAGCAGGTCGACGCCTACGCCCGCATGCGCATGCGTGACGAGGGCTTTCCCGCCATCCTCGTCTTCTGCGCCTACATGTGCGGCTCCCTGACGTCCTACCTCGGCCGTCACCCCCGTCTCTGTCCGCACATCTCGCCTGCCGAGGCCCAGGACATGTCGCGTGGTGCTATCAAGGTCCTCAGCGAGCTGCAGCCGGCCTGGCCGACAAGCGCCAAGTGGCACCAGGGCCTACAGCAGGCCTCTCATGCTGACGCTGCTGCTGCTGCCGCTGCTGCTGTCGTCTTGGAAGCCCCTCCACCTTCTCCTGCAGCCGCGGCCACACGAACGAACTACGCTGGCGAGACGTCTACGTGCATTGCCACGATGCACGACGAAGGCGCCGCCCTCGAGAGACACCCCTTTTCTGTCTCTGTCGTGCAGGCACCTACGCCTCTGCCTCCGCGGCCATGGGATGGCAACACCCCACGCGAGCGCAACGGTGGCTTTGAGATTGTGCCCGGCAGCTTCTCCTTGGCTGACAACGTCAACAGCTCCTACGCCATCTTCCCACCGCTCGACCCCTTCCTCGACGATCATTTCAGCGCCGAAGTGACCGCCTTTCTTGGTGGCGACTTCCAATACGGTCTGCTGGACATGTGAGAGCACATGTGAGAGGCCATGAAACGAGAGAGACAGCGTGTTTTACTGGCGTTTAGGCGTTCAGTGACGCAAGATAGATACGGGTTACTAGACTTATACATTCACATGATTCATAATTTGGCTCAGCACGTTTTTACTTATCTAGTACGGAGTAGAAATCGGCTTGTTAACAAGTGTCAGTGTTAATGCCGACTTTAACCGTTTACAATCTGCCTTATTCTGCCTCGTGACAAACTCTATCTAGAGCCGAACTCGGCCAATGAAGCTTACGCTAATCAATTCTTGCCACAGCCTCTGGACCCGCTGTGTTGCCGGATTAGAAGCGTCTGTCGGCAGAGATTGGGCCCGCGTGTCGGCAAGTCTGCTTAGTCATCATGGAGACGAGAGAGGGCATTAAGACAACCCTGCAAGCCCCAACGTCGCTCTGCCCAGGTGCCGTCTCCGCACCTCACACACGCAACCGACGCAGACGAGATCGACCATGGCCGCCATCACGCACGAGGAGTCTGCCTCATATGCGGCGTCGGGCTACGGTGGCCGCATGGGCTGGGGCGCACGCCCGGCCCTGGTGCTGATCGACATGTGCAAGGCGTACTGGACGGCGGGCTCGCCGCTGGACCTGTCGGCCTTTGCCGAGGCCGTGGCCGTGCCGGAGAGCGCGGCGCACCTGGTGGCGGCGGCGCGGGCAGGCGGTGTGCCGGTGCTCTGGACGGCGGTCGAGTACACGGACGCCGACATGGCTGATGCCGGACTCTTCTGGCACAAGGCCAAGACGCTGGCCGTCTGGCAGGTCGGCGGCGCGCTACATCGCCGTGGCCTCGCCGACTGGGTCAGTCCGGACCTCACGCCGGGGCCCCGTGACGTCGTGGTCAAGAAAAAGTACCCCAGCGGCTTCTTCGGCACCACGCTGGCGACCGAGCTGCAGTGCCGCAACGTCGACACGGTCGTGCTTTGCGGCGTCAGCACCAGCGGCTGCGTGCGCGCAACCACGCTCGACGCCATGCAGTATGGCTTCCGTCCAATGGTATGTTGTCTTTATGGGTTCCGATTGGGAAGCATTTCCTTCCTTGTTTCCTTTTCTTGTTTCCTTTTTCTCGTTCTTCCCGCTAACAAACAGGTCGTTGCATCGGCATGTGGAGACCGCAGCAAAGCCATCCAGGAGGCCAACCTGTTCGACTTGGACTCCAAGTACGCCGATGTCGTCACCGAGGAGGACGCTGTAGCTCATCTGAAGGCAGGGTGGAAGGAGTAGATTCTAGAATAGTCTTGATTCAAAACAATACCCGACAAATCTCATATCCAATGCCAATGTTCCATTCTGTCTACTATGGTTTTAAATCCAAGTCTATATTAATCCCTGTGCTTTTATGACAACCATCATTATAATATGCCTTAGCTCAAAATGCAAATCAACCGTTCGTGTCAAACCCGTTTTTAGCTCTAAGAACTTCTACTCCATCTCCTTCGACTCCCTTTTCAGCCTCCAACGGGGTCCCATCCTCATCTCTACGTACATCAAAGGCAGGAGCAGAGTACAGATTGCTCCAAACAACACATATGTATACTCCGGCCCCAGCCGAGAAGTGGTCATCTTGTTAATGACAGCCACCAGTATAGCGGCCAGCAGGCATCGCACCAGGTTTGTCTGTCGGTCAGCATGGGACCTGGTGAGCAAGAGGGTGAAAGGAACATACGCAAGCCGTTGCTGAGGAGCTTCTCGTCTGCAGAATGTCGATGAGGAGCGTCATGGTCGTATTGAGGATGGAAATGGACGTGTAGCCGACTGGCTGGTTAGCAATGGTGGTCGATACGAGTGGATTTGCTGCCATAGCACGCTCGCGAACTTACGGACGACCTGGATGATCAGGAGGACAGCCAATGGGGCCTTGTAGCGGAGGCAGAAGCCCCAGGAGTAGACGCAGGCGGTGAAGATGACGAGGTGGATAGGCATGAGGCGCAGACGGGCGACCTCTTTGGGGAAGGGTACCTCGACGCCGGACGCATCGGAGGCAGCGTCCGTCTCACGCCTGAAGCGGGCGTGCTCACGGTCGAGCAGCTTGCCGGTCAGCGTGCTGCCGGCGATCATGCCGGCGCCGGTGGGCAGGTAGCAGAGGCCGATCTCGATCTCGGTCAGGTAGGGAAAGAGATCGGCAAAGGACGACGAGATAGTAGCAGTGATGGTATAGTTGACGGCATAGACCATGCCAGTGAAGGCAAGGCTGACGATGACGTCGGGATACGTCAGGATGACAAACGGGTTCATAGACGGGGGGCGCTGCTGCTGAAGAGTCGGTGATGGCGGCGATGGAGATCTGTTGCGGGCGACGATGGGAACGAGCGGCCGGTAGATGCCGCCAAGCTGGACACTGCCATTGCCGACGAGTCGCCGTAGGGTCTCAGGAAGGAAGCTGGCCTGTCAGGGTTGCATTCATGGCGCTGTTGCCAGACGGAGAGCACGTACCACAGGATAAAGACGAGACAGAGGGCGGCCAGAATGACGAGCGTCCAGAAGATGGCACGCCAGCCGAGCTTCTCGGCAATGATGCCGCCGATGGCGGGGCCAATGCACGGGGCAATCTGACGGTCAGCAGGTGGAGGGTAGAGTGCAGCAGACGATAGACGGTAGACATACCATGGGCCCGATGTTGAACATGCCAAAGAAGCCACCGCGCTCCTTGGGCGTGGAGATGTCGCCGACGACACCGGCGCCGAGGGCAATTGTGCTGGCACAGCCGGCAGCCTGGACGCAGCGCAAGAGGATGAGCAGCCAGAAGGCGCTGACGGGACAGAGGGCCAGGCCGATGCAGGAGCCGAGCAGGACGACCATGCAGCCCATCAGGACGGGACGGCGACCGAAGCGGTCGGACAGGGGGCCCCACAACATGGGGGCTGTTCGGTTAGCTGTGGCTGCTTCTGCGACTGCTTCCGCTTCATCTTTAGCTTACAGAGTCCCTGCATGACCAGGTAAGCCGTGACAGTCTGGTTGAGCGCGCTGGTGCTCTTGTGGAAGGCCTTGGCCATCTGCGGGATGGCTGGGAAGTAGATGTTGGCCGGCAGCGGGCTGTAGAAGCCGGCCACTGCGACCATGGCCACGAGGAACCATTTCTCGCGTCCGTTGTAGATGCTGTAGGGTGGCGCCGGCACCGGCTCCGTCTCGACCACCACGGCCGTCTCCTTGGTCTCGGACGGCATCATGTCCGACACCGGAGCCGGCCGCTCGACCGTCTCGCCAGCGACAGGCCCGTTGCTGTCGATGCTGGCTGCTGAGCCCGTGCTGGGCCTGCTCCAACCACCGCCCGTTCCGATGGATGTCCTGTTTTCTGCCATCTGGTCTGTCCGTCACATCAAGGAGGAAGGTCGGATGATGGTCGTATGGGGCCGTCGCAATGTCCTCTTTCTTCCGAACTTTTGAATCGGTCCATTTTCTTTTTCCGTCCCTCTCTCAATCTTATCCCTCTCTTTTTCTCCGTCGTCTCCATTCCCACGTTGCCCTGCCGGTCTCCGGTGAGGCCCAAGAGTGGATCCCAGAAAAAAAACAGCTGTCGGCTAGACTCCTAGCGGACCGGCAAGCCGGCAAAGCCAACGGGCAAAAGGCAACGCAAGTTTTGCCACCTCAATCCCCCCTGGCGCCTGTTATCAGTTGCCGTCCGTTTTGCTCAGCTGCAGATGGGTCCATTCGCTAGCCTTATCATGGCCCACCGACTGAGCGGAGCCGAACGCCATGCCGTATTTCTCATCCTCAGATAGACTATGACTGATTGGCAGATTGCTGTCAAAAACCACATGGCAAGCGGGCCAGGAGCATCGCAACCAGACAAGACCTGGGGACGCATAAAGACCGGACCAGGGTGTTTCCCTTCCCCTTTTTCTACTCCTCTCAACCATCAGCCCGTCCGAGCAACTCGACTCTGTTCTCATCCGTCTCTCTCTCAGACTCTTGTCTCCAAAACGGCCCATATCCTTGCTCTCCCTCGAACGACAGCCATGGGCCACTCTGAGGCTGCCGAGAAGACATCTGCGCTCAGCATGGGCCCCGACGATTCCGCCGGCAGCGCCGAGTCGGTGCGCGGCGCCCAGACGGAGCTGACCGAGAAGTCCGGCTGGATGCAGCGCGTGGCGCAGTTTGGACGCGTCCAGGACGGCGCGCCCGAGCCGGCCAACAAGACCTGGCTTCAGAAGCTGGCCTCGTTTGGCCGCGTCGAGGTCAATGGCGTCACGCCCATCCCGCTGGAAGAGCGCACCGTCACCAAGACGGTCAACATCTTCACTCTGTGGGCCTGCATGAACGCGAATATGCTGCCGTAGGTGTTTTTCATCCATATTTTTTCTTTCTTTTTTTTCTTTCTTCTTTTGTCGCTGACCTACTAGAATCTCATCTGGCATGCTGGGCCCGTCGTACGGCCTCTCCATCCGCGACTCGTCCCTCGTCATCCTCTTCTTCACTCTCCTCACCGCCGTCCTGCCGGCCTATTGTTCTACTCTCGGCCCCAAGACCGGCATGCGACAGATGATCCTCGCCCGCTTCTCCTTTGGCCGCTACCTCGTCGCCGTGCCCGTGCTGCTTAACCTGGCCACCCTCACCGGCTTCTGTGTCATCATGGTTGCCATCGGCGGCCAGTGCCTCTCAGCCGCCGGCAACGGCGACCTCAGCCCCGATGTCGGCATCGTCATTGTGGCCATCCTCGCCCTCGTCATCTCCTTCTGCGGCTTCCGCGTCCTGCACGTGTACGAAAAGTACGCCTGGGCCCCGGCCCTGATCTCCATCATCATCGCCGTCGGCTGCGGCGGTTCCGACCTCAAGAAGCAGTCCGTTGCCGAGCCTTCGACAGCTTACGGAGTGCTCTCTTTCGGCATGATCGTCGCCTCCTACATGATCCCCTGGGCTTGTCTGGCCTCCGACTTCACCACCTACCTCCAGCCCCAGACGAGCTCCCATCTGATCTTCTGGTACTCATACGCCGGCTGCGTCATCCCCACCGTCTTGCTCATGGTTCTCGGCGCTGCCATGCAGGGCGCCGTCGCCAACGTGCCCTCCTGGACTGAGGGCTACGACCAGAACAATGTCGGTGGCGTCATGGCTGCTATGATGGGCAGCACCCATCGCTTCGGCAAGTTCGTCACCGTCGTGCTCGCCTTCTCGCTGCTCGGCAACATCGCTGCCACCAGCTACTCCATCACCCTCAACTTCCAAATCCTCATCCCCATCCTCAAGAAGGTCCCCCGCTACTTCTTTGCCATTCTCCTCACTGCCATCGTCATCCCCGTCGGCATTGTGGCTGCCTCTAGCTTCTTCGACAGTCTCCAGAACTTCATCTCTATCATCGGCTATTGGGCTGCTGCCTTTGTCGCCATCATGCTGACCGAGCACGTCGTCTTCCGTCGCTGCGATTGCTCGCGCTACGATATCGACGCCTGGGACACTTCTAGTCTTCTTCCTCCCGGTATTGCTGCGCTTTCGGCCGGCGTCTGCTCTTTTGGCCTGGTCATTCCTGCTATGTCCCAGATCTGGTACACAGGCCCTATTGCTGAGACAACTGGTGATCTTGGCTTTGAGTTTGCCTTTGTCCTCAGCTCGTTACTATATGTGCCGTTCCGGCTGATTGAACAAAGGGTTTCCGGCCGTTAAACGGTGTGCAGGCGTTTGGTATTCTAATTGTAATATTGCATATGTTTAGAGGTCTTCGATTTAGAGGCATCGACATAGACGTGCTCTTTCTTAACACATTTTTGTCTGCGCAAGTCCTTTCACACGGATCGTCTCTCTGTATAGCCCTGCTAGTGATTCTGGACGTGTAAGTAGATTCACCCCATTGGCACGTTTGGCCCAGAGGTATGCATCCAACTGGATGCGATCATCTGACTAGATTTATAAGCTATCTGACAAATCGGCAAGAGTCAGGCGGAGGTGTCGCGGCCCCACTTCGCAGTCTGCGGAAGCTAGACGTAAAGAGAAGAATGCCAGCGGGATGAGACACGCCTGCGGATGCAGATCAGTGTATTGCGACGAATATAGAGAGATTAGGGATATGCATAAAAGGGCAGTACGTCGACGAGAAGTTGGAGTCGGCAGTTTCACAAAAAGCCATCCAGATCATCAATAGTATCCATATTAACTGCACACTATCAGCATACAGCTTCCACCATCATGATCGCATTAAAGGCTACCCACAGCAACACCTACGCGGCAATTGCCCCCACGCTGCCGCAGCTGTCAACGGCGGGCAAGTCTGCCTTTGTGACGGGCGGAGGTGCACGCGGAATAGGCGCTGCCATTGCCTCGTCGCTGGTGCGCTCAGGCATTACGTCGATCGGCCTGCTGGGCCGCCAGGAAGACAAGCTGCGCGAGTCAGAGGCAGCGCTACGAGTGCTTTCGCCGACGGTCGACATCCATGTCTATGCCGGCGTCGACGTGCGGGACATCGCCGCCGTGAAGAAGGCCGTGACCGACTTCGCCGCTTCGGCCAAGGGCTCGATCCCGGGCAAGATCGATATCCTCGTGACCAACGCCGGCTATATGCCGCAGCAGCTCAAGGACCTGCAGGCGTACCAGAGTGAGGTCGACCGTGCTGACTGGTGGAGCGTGTTCGAGATCAACGTGCTCGGCAACTTCAATGTCGTGCAGGCGTTCCAGCCGGTCGCTGCACCCGGTGCGTCCGTTGTGCACATCTCGTCGATGGTGGCCGATATGCCGTATGTGCCGACCAATGGCGTCTACTCGGCATCCAAGGTGGCGGCTACAAAGCTGTTCGAGTACGTGCATAACGAGAACCCGGACCTCTTCGTCGTGCAGGTCCACCCGGGCCTTATCCTGACGACAGATATGGCTGAGAGTTTCAGGGACGCAGTCCAAGGCTACACGGGCATTGATGGTATGTATTTCACCGCGTGTGTGTGTCACTGTGTGCTCCAAGCTGATTTTCACAGTCGAACTCCCCGGCGATTTTGTAAACTGGGTCGTCAGTCCAGAGGCACGCTTCCTTAATGGCCGCTTTGTCGATGCGGAGTGGGATATTGACGAGCTCAAGGCTCATGAGTCCGAGCTGAAGAAAGACCTACGCAAGTATACAGTTGGCATTCTTGGACTTGAATATTGATAGCCTATTTCATTAAATAGCTTCACTTGTAGAGTCGCCATTCTAAACCTAGATCTTCTGCATGCTTTCGGTTGGTTTAGTTACTTTGATTATTAATATGCAATAAAGTCTAGACACGGCAGGACTGTGATGTGTCGTACAATCGTTAGTCATACCTTCTGCAACACTGCTGAAGTCTTCTCTCTTTGGACGTGTGCACGCACCTGGTCTCCAAGAGCCTGCCTGTGGTGCCGGCTGTTCCCAGTAGTCAGCCTGAAGCCGGCGTACGGCCAATAACAAATTCCGATTGTGCGTCTTGGTGTATAGGCCCTCCAACAGGCTGCGGACGGTCTCCTGCTGTGCCAACGTCGTGGCATGCTGGCCAGCTCCGAACAGAGGCGTGTTAAGGCCCAGTGCCGGCGACAGACCGGACCGCAGCTGCATGCGCGTGGCCAGCTCCAGGATCTGCTGCACCGGCTGCTGCACTCGCGGGTCGTCGGATGGCCAGCCCCGGATCTCTGCCCGGATCTGCAACAGTGCGTACTGCTCGTGCACTTCATTGCAGAGCGCGAACTCGGCAATCTGCGACGGGTCCAGAGCCGCCCGGACGCTCGGTCGCAGCACCGGTGGTGTTTTCCGATTGCGCGCCATCATCCGCCGCACCTCTGTCTCCAGGTTGTCAGCCTCGGCCGCAAAGTCAGCCTCCGAGAGCAGATTGTTGGCCGGCGCCGTCCGGGACGAGCTACCACTGTTCTTGCCTGTTCCGGCTTGCTGATCTTGTTCTGCCTGCCGTTTCCTCTGTCGTCGTTCCCACGCCACAGCGCCGATGACTCGTAGTAGGTTGAATAGGTCCGTATAGCAGGCCACATGATCGTCGAAGAATACTTGGGGTGGCTCGGGCGTGTCGCCTCTCAAAGACGCCTTGTTGTAGTCGTAGTCGTAGTCCTTGTCACCGTCGCCAAGCTCCAACGCCTCGAAGCTGTTGGTCGACAGCATGGCCAGTACCTCCAGCAAGTTGTAGCGTTTCCGTAGATACCGAGCCAGCGGATTATTTCCGTTCTCTGCTTCCCCCCCTGACATCCGCCCTTTGTTGCTCTCATTGCCGCTTCGCTCGCCTCCCCGAGAACACGAAGCCGCAAAGGCAGCCCGAGCACCTTGCAAATAAATACGCCATGAGCCGTAGTCGTCGTTGCCACCGTAAAGCGTACAGAGACACAGCATCAGACTGGAACCCAAGACCACCGCCGGGCTCGTCGCCTGTCCACCAGCCATGCCTTCCTGCAGGATCCGAATGCTGCGCATGCGTGACTGCAGCTCGTCCATGTTGAGCCGCATGCGGTCGTGTGCGTCGTGTGCATATGTCGCCTGCTGCGCTGCGGCAAAAGCCGAGATGGCATACAGTAGAGCTGGCGCCATCAGGGCTGCCGGTATCAGTGCACTGCACGCCTCCTCTTGGATCTGTCGGTGTGTCAATATTGCAGCTGAGCCCTTGTGCACAAAGTAGTGCAGCTGAGCCCTGACCTGCGGCTCAATGTCCGGCCGTTCTGGCAATACTCGAGGAACAGGCACAGCCGCTGGGCTGTGCTGGTGTAGAAGCGGGCGCGGAGGTGTTTGCAGATGCTTTCTCTGACACTTCTCCGTGTCTTGCTTCGTTGAACGGACTACTTTGCCATCTTTGGCCCCATAGACAAACTTGCCTGGTTCCAACTCTTTCGGCATGTCAGTCTGCACTTGATTCGACCTGGAATACGGAGTAGAACCCTGACATACAACAATCTGCCTCTTACCAATCCTCTGTGCTCCACATTTGCCAAAAGATGATCGACTGAAGTCGCGCCCGCCCCATCGGATGTGCAGCTGGTACGCACATTTCGTTTCGGCGTCACTGCAGCGACTGCATGACGGCTGCGCCTGGTCGCACTTCTGCCGCCGCTTCCGGCACCGTCCGCAGCCACCTCGCGAGCGCCGCTTCGTTCCGCTCGTCAAAACAATGCTCTCAGGGGTGCTCATAGTGGCGGAAGGCGTGGATGGTGAAGCTGCTTGTCGGAGGTGGAGAGGGGGCGGATCCGTAACGTATTGCCGTTACCGCACGAACCACTTTCTACGCGAGATCACGTGGTTTTGGAAGCCGCTACGTTGGCACAGTGTGTATGCGCACGAATTCGCACTAATGCACAGTGGTAGTGCTTGGCAACGTGCACGGACCACCTCATTGGCAGACATTCCAGCCCATGCTTCCACTTTAGCTGTCTTCCTTAAATACAACATTCTACGCCCATCATTTTGACAATGGCTGACTTGAGATATTACTTGGAGGCTGCTTATAGCAAGCGTCCAGGACCGCTAAAACCTATTGTATCCGTGAGATGTTGGAAGGTCAATGACGGCTCCAAGAGTGACAGTGGCTATGGCTGTGGCACTGCACATTACAAGCTCAGTTTGCATAAGATACTTACTCGCTACTTTGTTTACACAAAACACGTTTGGTCTAAGTCGCGGAGGATAACTTGTGTGTTTCTTGAATCTTTTGCAATCGTATCATTAGTGCGTTATTTCAGAAGATTGGCCAATAAATGCAGCAAATTAGGAGGTGAAAGAAACTGTGAAGATACCATTCACAATGAATGCATTCATCATGCATTTACTCGTCTCCGCCAATATTGTACGGAGTACTCCGTACAACAGGTTTCGCCTTACTAGCTTACTTATCTGTGCCGACAGTAGTCTCATCTCCCGCTCTATAGGACGCTCACAGACAGCCTTTTGACCGCGGCACCATGCAATCTATCCCAGCACAATGACCAGTGCCGACTGCATAAGATCTTTATAGCGCTGAATCAGGCGGCTTTCACCGGCAAATACCGGTTTGAGGGAAGCTGATGGTGTGGAGACCCCTCACAGCCTGAGTTGCTAATGCTAATGGCGACAAGACCAGAGGGGCTATAATTGCCGTTTTACGATTAACGGCGTAAAAATAGCAGCCTCCTGCCCTTTGTGTACAGGACGGATGGTGATCGTAGAGCTGCAACACAGAAGGCAGGGCCAATAGACAGAGCAGGTGCTCGCTATGGGAGACTGAGCCCGCTTGCAGCCATTGACACACCCACGTGCTGTATTTTGGCAGCTGTTCCAATTCGGCTCCCTCGGTGTGGATCCCATTAAGAGGCTTGTGGAGGCTTAGGGCTGCCAAGCCGTTAGCTTGCTGTCAAACACCGGCAGTCATTCCCTTTCAGGAACGACCCCCTTGGCGTGGGAAAGGCCGAAATACTACCGTGAAAGCAGCCAACTTCCTAATTCTCGGTTGGCGTCGCCAACTTGGCGACCGCTCTAACAGCTGTGGTGCATAGCGCACTAACCCACCAGTCCCACGTGTTAGTCTCTGTGGATTATGTTTGCGGATACCAAGGCCGAGTTAGGTAGGAGGTAATAAAAGGGGGCGGCATCCTGGATGTATGGAGTACTCGTACGTCGTATTGGTGGGACGAGCCGCTTCTGCTGGCTGCATGGCGAGCCCTGATTATCGCATGAGTTGGATATATGCAACGAACCAGGACATACGACGATTTGTAGTGCAGAGCACTCCGTATGAGTATATGACAGCGGCCATCGCCACTGTCCTGCAGAAAGTTGCACGCATCTCTACCCAGGCAACCAAGAACGAGAATCTGCTCCTCAGCCCAAAGACAACATGGCCGTGTTTTCTCGTCTTCTCCGCAGCACGACGGCGCTGCTGGCCATCGGATCGGCCGTCGCCAACCCGGTTGAGCGCCGTGGCACTGTCGACTCGGATGCGATCGTCGGCTTCGCCCAGGCAGTCCCCAGCGGTACCGTCGGCGAGGTCTACCTGGCGTATCAGCCGTACCTTAAGGTCGTCAACGGCTGCGTGCCCTACCCGGCCGTCGATGCCGAGGGCAACACCAAGTAAGAAATGAACAACCGACGACAAGTTCGCTGGGATGAGGCGAACTGTTTGCTGACATATGGCATTAGTGCCGGCTTGAAGACGTCGGGCTCCAGCAACGGTGGCTGCTCCAGCAGCACGGGCCAGATCTACGTGCGCGGCGCCACCTACGGCAAATACTATGCCGTGATGTACTCTTGGTACGTACAGACTGGTGGATGAGGATGGGGACGAGGATGGCTGGAGATGGGAGACAGACGACAGATGACAGACTTGCTAACTTGCACAGGTACATGCCCAAGGACGAGCCCTCGGATGGTCTCGGCCACCGCCATGACTGGGAGGGTACCATTGTCTGGCTGACCAGCGGCACCAGCACAACGACTGGCAACATCGCCGCCGTCTGCCCGTCTGCACACGGAAAGTGGGATTGCACTACCGACGGCTATACCTTGTCCGGCACCAAGCCACTGATCAAGTACGAGAGCGTCTGGCCCGTCGACCACTCGTGCGGCTTGACCACCACCGTCGGCGGCACCCAGCCTATGATATCCTGGGAGGAATTGCCCACCGTGGCCCAGGACGCTCTCACCAACACCGACTTTGGCGACGCAAACGTGCCGTTCAAGGATGCCAACTTTGATACCAACCTGGGCAAGGCTACGTTTTAGGTTGGGAGTCATGAACGTTGCGAACGAGAATATTGTATCTTGTGTGCGAGCCTCAATTACTTTTATGACAGCCTAATGGATGATATGATTTCTGTGGACCTTTTGATCACGATAGGAGGGCTTCTTACTACAAGATCAACGGAGACCTGTACTGGAGGAATGCGCTTTTATTTGCCATGCTTGCCCCTCATAGCGAGTGTTTGTTTTTGCTCCTTTCCATGGGCTTCTACGAGAAAAAGTCTCTAAACGAAATCCCAGATGACTATGCTGCGGAATATTTTCTGAGATAACAGTCTGTGACAGACTTATGCACGACCAGCTCATGTAATAAGAGAACACATTTCCAGCTGCTTGCATAGAGTACCGTCGTTCGGGCTGTATTTATCGTGGGGTATTCCAGTTCCCGAGCCGAGTCCTGCAGGCACACGATGGCTTGCGTGCCACATCTCGTGCTGTGGCCTTAAGCAGATTTATTTGTCTGAGTTTAAGTGGTTCAAAATTTCTTGACAACAATTCGCATCTTAGCCGACGGATACGAGTGAGGCTTGTATGAGACGAGATGAAAGAGACAAAATGATTGTCCATGTTGAGAAATAATCACCCTAAGCTGATACAAAACCGGCTTTGAGGGTCTCGGTCCAAATAACTCAGTCGCTAGTCCGAGTAAGCTACTTTGCGATTCATTCTCACCTGCCTCTCAACTCGTGATGCACTAACAAATTGTTACTACGTCAGCTACTCAGACCTCACGATCACGCAACCCCACACGCTCGCGTCTAAATCTGGGAAGCTTTCTACAGCTGCACTCGCCAACTTTCTAACGACACGAACGTACCCAGCCTTAGCCATTGTAAGTTTTCCTGTTTCAGAGACCGCATATTCAACTGGACTAGCTAAAGCTTACCCGCCACGCTACTCAGAACTCCATTATCCGCAGTTATATTTACGTCGTAGGAGACGTGACGACTGCAAGATGACACCCGCTAAATCAAGGCCCGACAAGGATGTTTGTCTCGAGCGACTCGCTTCAACCTTCGCCTCTATCCCCGCAGACCACCCGGATGCAGAGTTTGCTCGCGAAGTTCAAGATAAGGTGCAGAAAATGCTAGACCAGAACTGCTGTTATGCCAAAACACGAATTGGTAAGCGCTTGAAACGGATGTCAATGAAAGAAGCTCTTTCGAGGGACGACCTCAGCGCAATTCGTGCCGACTTTTTCGCATCCAAGATTTTCAGCGTCCAAAATTCGCCCATATCGAGCATAATCGCACATGCGACTGCGACAGATAACATGGATCTCATTGAAGACTTGACGGGCACACCAGCCGCAGAGAACCCGATCAAATTTACCCTGACTGAGGTCGCAGCAATAGAAGTGGAACAGAAGCCTGCCAAACGGCCTCGCAACGATACGACGTCGACGTCAATTCTAGACAAAGAACGCACCGAGATCGAGGTCATGGCTCGGCTTGGAAATGATGCCCGCTTTAGAGCAGTGAGAGCAGCGCATAGGACTATTTCAGTTGCCGCTGTTCGGGGCTCTTACGGCAGCTTGAAGCAGGCATGCGCTGCCCGCGACGTCTTGGAAGCATATCTAGACGACATACGCGAACTCATGAACGAAACCAGCGCACTGAAACATGTAGTGGACGCTCGGGTGCGACATTTGGGAAAGCCGAAAGAGCCGAGCTTGACATCCGCTGTTTAACGCAGTTCCATGTGTTTCGGGTCGTTTGTTGGAAACATTGCCATAATTCGGTGTTAGGAACTAGGCTTCCCATTCATTTACTGCACAGTACGAGTACTGGTCCAAGCACAGAGCCCTTATTGGCCATGCATGGTTAATGTGAGGGCGGCAAAAGGGTAGCATTTCAGAAGTACCTGCCCTACTAGATAAGCTTCACTGTAGCCTTATAGGCCGACTGACTGACTAATGGAGGAAAGTACCAATATACACTGCATGTACAGATATCAGTTGGCCGTATCCTCTAATATTATTGGTCGGCAATATGCCAAGCATATGAAGCAGTGCCATGTAACAGCCATTATGCGGCCACATGGATTGCAGCCCGATTTTATTCATTGAGGCCTACAAGATGACGAAGCTATGACCCCGCAGCCAGCATTCTAGAACGGATAAAACCCCACGCTCGTATGGTATTTTGTTCGTGAGACCGTTTGTCTGATGGTTAACTTTGCTGCAAACTCGGCTGGAACCTATCGAGACAGTTTTGGGGTCGTTTTCAGGCCCAGCACATTTATACTCGTCTTCGTCTATATCACTAGTCACAGGCAGCATCGACTGCATCATGGATTCAGCAAATGCTGAAAAACGAACGGCCCGGCTGACCAAAGTGCTGCATACATTCATCCGAGGAACCCGACCAATTTCGACGCCGCACGATGCCAAACTCTTTTTCGAAGCCGTTTGCGGTCAGCCCAAGCCGGTGGTCTGTCTGGAGACGATCCTTGGTCAGTCCAAGGGTCTCGATACGGTGCACAAGAGCGTGAGGGCCAGTTCTAGCGCGCAGTTCATCACAGGTCAGGTGCTTCCTTTTCTCGCGTATATGGCACACCCGGACATCAAGGCGATGTACGAGGGTCAACTTCTCGACAAGATCATCGTGGCCGTCGTCGATCCACCGATGACATGGAAGGCCATTGCTCAGCTCTGGGCCGACACCGGCTTTGTCGACAAGGAGGACAATGCAGTGACGTTTGCGTGGCTGTGCCTCGAGATCGTCAGCCATGCCGGCACACAGTTGGCACTAACCGTGGTGGACATCAAGGATGCCCTTGCACAACGGTCGCTAGTCAAGCACGCCAGCAGCAAGGCGCGGAGCATCGGGTACCGCGTGCAGAAGGCGCTGCAGATCCGGTTCTCGGACCGGACGGTCGATCCGGAGTCGATGGTGACGGCTGGCGGACGTCACGACAATGACTTTGGTGACTTTCGCGACATCTCCATCTACCCGACGACGGATGAGTTCTCGTCGACGCAGCGGCCGTTTTACCGACGAGCGGCCGAGATCGCGCGCCTGGACGCGAACACGCGGGTAGGCGGCCATCTGGACAACCAATTCCGGCTCCTGCGCGAGGACATGTTGGGCGGACTCCGGGACGACATCCGCATCGCGATCGGCAAGACCAAGGGTCGGCGGCCTGCGCAGATTCTGGACGGTCTCGAGCTCAGCAGCATCGACACGGGAGACGTGCAGCGGGCCCGCATCTGTGCCGTGGACGTGCTCATCCACGGGAATGGGCTGAACATGCTGCGCAAGATGTCGCCGAAGAAGCGCAAGGAGCATCTGAGAAACACGCCCAGGCTGCTGCGAAACCAGGCGTTTGGGGCGCTCTGCTCGCAGGACGAGATCGTGGCGTTTGCTTTTATCGTCCGCGACGTCGACAAGCTTTCGATGGATCCGCCGTTGGTCGGACTGCAGTTCTCGACCAGCCAGATGCTGATGACGGCACTGTCAGCATTCCACAGCGGCAGGGAGCTGCGCTTCGTGCTGGTCGACACGCCCGTGTTTGCCTACGAGCCAATCCTGGACCGGCTCAAGAAGATCGTCCAACTGCCTCTCGAGACGGAGCTGCTGCAGCTGCAAGGTGGCGACAACGACGACGACGAGGCCGCCTTTTTCGAGGACCTGGAAGACGCCTTTGCGCCTTCCTACCATCTTTCAAGCTTTCTCGAGAGCTGCCACGCGAACTCGGACCGCGGTATGACGATCCGTGTCGATAAAAAAGACTACAATCTCGATGCTGCACAGCTCAACGCGCTTGCATATGCTTTGGAGAAGCCACTCTCTGTCATTCAAGGACCACCTGGTACGTCAAAGCCCGATAAATGAGATCGGTCTCGCTTCTAACAGTCCCTAGGCACAGGAAAGTCCTACATAGGAGCACTGGCAGCGAAGAAGCTGCTCGAAGATCCGTCAACGCGACTGCTCGTGCTCGCATACACCAACCACGCGCTCGACCAGTTCCTGGAAGATCTCATAAACATCGGAGTCTCACCTGGCATCATGACACGGCTGGGCTCCAAGTCGACGTCCACAACGTCCCATTTATTGTTCAACAACGGCGTCCGTTCGAGCGACAGCTGGCGTACCAAAGAAGCACAAAGCAGGCTGTACAAGCTGAGAACGGAGCTCAACGATGTCCGACCTGGACTAGAGAAATTGTTTGCGATTGCGAAAACACGGCCGTCGCATGATGCGATACTAAACTACCTCGAATTCGCCGAAGACGCCAGATCCCAAGCGTTCTGGGTGGCCTTTCAGGTGGAAGACGAAGACGAAGACGAAGACGAAGACGAAGACGAAGACGAAGTCGGAAACAAAGACGAAGACATATACGGTAAATTCCAGGTAGTAACAAAGACGAAGAAGCCGTTCTCGGCCGTGACTATTCTAAAAAAATGGACGAGACAGAAGACTCCAGGCCCCCTAGCAAAGCATATGAGGCTCGACAGCGAATGGATCTGGGAGATTCCGATGCAGCAGAGAAAGCAGAAAATGGTTGAATGGGCTGAGGCTGTGCGCGCAGAGAGACGGGAAGAGCTGTGCGACCGGATCGATATGTTCAACGAGATGCAGACGGAGGTCGAGACGCTGCACAACCAGGCGCGATGTGCGTACATCCAGACGATGCGGGTGATTGGCTGCACGACGACGGCAGCGGCCATGTACGCGGCGCTGTTGACGGCGGCGATGCCGACGTGCGTGCTTGTCGAGGAGGCCGGCGAGATCCTGGAGTCACACGTGCTGACAGCTCTATCGGGCACAACGCGACAGCTGATCTTGATCGGTGACCACAAGCAGCTGCGGCCCAAGTGCAAGAACTACGGCTTGAGCGTGGAGCAGGGTGGCGGCTTCGACCTGAACCGGTCGCTGTTTGAGCGGCTGATCCTGCAAAAGCACCCACATGCGACGCTCTGCACGCAGCACCGCATGGCTCCAGAAATCTCGCGATTGGTGCGCTCGATGACGTATCCGGAGCTGCAGGACGGCGCCGGAACAGCTGGCCGGCCAGCCATCCGGGGCCTCCGCAGACGGGTGGCCTTTGTCAACCATGACCACGCCGAGGAGGTTGATGCCGGGCTTCAGGACCGCAACGATGGCGGCCAGCCGACCAGCCGGCAGAACCGGTTCGAGGCCCTCATGGTACTCAAGCTGGTCAAGTACCTCGGCCAGCAGGGCTACAAGACCGACGACATGGTCGTTTTGACGCCGTATCTCGGCCAGCTGCGGCTGCTGCTGGAGATCCTATCGACGGAGAACGACCCGATGCTCAGCGATCTGGACTCGTATGAGCTGATCCAGGCCGGCCAGCTAACCGATACGGCCAGCCGCCTGGACCGGAAGAAGATCCGCATCTCCACTATCGGTTTGTGTCTAGCCCCGTGAAGAAGCAGAAAGGAAGACTGACTGACGTGGCCGACAGACAACTACCAGGGTGAAGAAGCCGACATTGTGATCGTGTCGCTGACGCGCAGCAACAGCAAGGGCGAGATCGGCTTCATGAAGGCACCCGAGCGGCTCAACGTGGTTGTGTCGCGGGCCCGCAACTGTCTGGTCATGTTTGGCAACATGGACACGTTTATGAACTCGCCACAGGGAGAGCCTGTCTGGCGGCCTTTCTTCCAGCTGCTCAAGGACGGCGACCAGCTGCGAGACGGCCTCGAGGTGCACTGCGAGCAGCACCCAGAGAACAAGGCGCTCCTGGCGGAGCCGCAGGACTTTGAACTGCGCTGTCCTGACGGTGGCTGTACCGAGCCCTGTGACGGTATGCTGAAGTGCGGGATGCACAAGTGCCATAGGCGCTGCCATCGGCTGGCGGAACACAGCAAGATCACGTGCACACAGCGGATAGACAAGACGTGCGAGAATCAGCACACGTACCAGGTGTTGTGCAGCGAGGACAAGCAGCGGTGTAAGCAGTGTGAGCGCGACGAGAACGACATGCGGCGTCGCGTGAAGCGGGATCTCGACATCGAAAAGGCGCGTCTGGACCAGCAGAAGAAGTACCAGGCCGAGCTGCAGAGCATCCAGGACGAGATCGACCACCACAAGCGTCTGCTGCGGATCGAGCAGGAGCAGAAGCAGCAGGTGGCTGATCTGGACAAGAACAAGGCTGAGCTAGACTCGCTAGTGAAGGCGAAACAGAGACGAGAAGCTGACGAGAAGAAAAAGAAGAAGGACAAGGCAGCAGCAGAAGCAGCAGCAGCAAAGCCGAAGACGGCTACGGCCAAGAAAGAGAGCGAGCCAGCCAAGCCTGGAAGTGCCCAAGAGGAGTGGGAGTACCTGAAGAGGGAGGAGCTGGCATGCAGTGACACGCTGGATTCGCTGATGAGCCTGATCGGACTCGAGGACGTCAAGCGCCAGTTTCTCGGCATCAAGCAGACCGTCGACACGGCCAGGCTCCAGGGCATCTCGACCGCGTCTGAGCGCTTCGGCTGCAGCATGCTCGGCAATCCGGGCACCGGCAAGACGACCGTGGCCCGGCTGTATGCCCAGATGCTAACGTCCATGGGCATCGTGGCCGGCACCTGCTTCCGGGAGACGACCGGGTCCAAGATGGCCAGCATCGGCGTCCCGGGCTGCCAGAAACTGCTCGACGACGTGCTGGAGCAGGGCGGCGGCGTCATCTTCGTCGACGAGGCCTACCAGCTGTCGTCGGGCGCCAATGCGGGCGGTGCGGCCGTGCTGGACTTTCTCCTGGCCGAGGTCGAGAACCTGAATGGCAAGATCTGCTTCGTCCTGGCCGGCTACGCCAAGCAGATGGAGTCCTTCTTCGCCCACAATCCCGGCTTCCCCAGCCGGTTCCCCCGCGAGATGAAGTTTGACGATTACAGCGACGTGGAGCTCCTGCGCATCTTGGAGATGCAGGCCGACAAAAAATACGGTGGGCGAATGAAGGCCGAAGACGGCCTGCGTGGGCTCTACTGTCGCATTGCTATGCGCCGGCTTGGCTCCGGCCGTGGTCGTGAAGGCTTCGGCAATGCCAGGGCCGTCGAAAACGTTCTCGCCCGCATCGGCCGCCGACAGAGCGCCCGGCTTCATCAAGAACGTCGTGCTGGCTGCAAGCCGGATTACATGATGCTGACTAAGCAAGACATCATCGGCCCCGAGCCGGCCGGTGCCCTTAGCACGTCGGCCGCCTGGACCAAGCTGCAGAGCCTCGAGGGGCTGCGCTTGGTCAAGGAGTCGGTCCAGACGCTGGTCGACAGCATCCAGACCAACTACCAGCGCGAGCTGAAGGAAGAGCCGGTGCTCGAGTATAGCCTAAACCGCGTCTTCCTCGGGAATCCCGGCACCGGCAAGACGACCGTGGCCAAGCTGTACGGACAGATTCTCGTCGACCTCGGGCTTCTGTCCAACGGCGAGGTCGTGGTCAAGAACCCGTCTGACTTTGTGGGCGCTTACATTGGGCACTCGGAGAAGCAGACAAAGGGCATCCTGGCAGCAACAGCCGGAAAGGTGCTCGTCATCGACGAAGCGTACGGGCTCCACGACGGCGGTGGTGGTGCTGGTGGCGGTGGAGGCGGCTCCTCGGGTGGATTCAAAACGGCCGTCGTCGACACGATCGTGGCCGAGGTGCAGAACACGCCTGGCGAAGACCGGTGTGTCTTGCTGCTGGGCTACAAAGACCAAATGGAGGAGATGTTTCAGAATGTCAATCCAGGACTCAGCCGGCGCTTCCCGCTGAGCTCGGCCTTTGTCTTTGAAGACTTCAACCAGGATGAGCTGGGCCGTATCCTCGACCTCAAAGCCAAGGGCCAGGGCTTCAGTCTGGCCGCTCGTGGACGCCAGGTTGCCCTCGAAATTCTCGATCGGGCACGCAACCGGCCCAATTTTGGCAACGCCGGCGAGGTCGACATCCTGCTCAACGATGCCAAGATGCGCCACCAGAAGCACCTCTCGGCCGGTCGGACGCAGCAGCGGACAACTTTGGACGCCGCCGCCTTTGACGAGGATCACGACCGGACGACACGCTCCGAGACCGACGTGGCCGCGCTCTTCCATGGAACCGTCGGCTGCGACCAGATCGTGGCCACACTGCGCGGGTACCAGCAGACGGCCCGGTCGATGAAGGAGTTTGGACTCGACCCCAAGGAGGTCGTCCCATTCACCTTCCTGTTCCGCGGGCCTCCTGGCACTGGAAAGACAACGACGGCCCGCCGTATGGGCAAGGTCTTTTACGACATGGGATTCCTGGCCAATGCCAGCGTCCTTGACACGTCAGCCTCGGACTTGATCGGCCAGTACGTCGGCCAGACCGGCCCCAAGGTTCGCCAGCTGCTCGACAAGGCTCTCGGCCGCGTCCTGCTCATCGACGAGGCTTATCGCCTGGCCGAGGGCCACTTTGCCAAGGAAGCCCTCGACGAGCTTGTCGATGCTGTCACCAAGGAGCGCTACCATAAGCGCCTGATCATCATCCTGGCCGGCTACGAGGACGACATCAACCGCCTGCTGACCGTCAATCCGGGCCTCAGCAGCCGCTTTCCCGAGGTCGTCGAGTTCAAACCGCTACAGCCCCACGACTGCTTCTCTCTGCTACAGACGACGCTGGCAAAGCAGCAGGCGAAACTGGCGAAGCAGAAGAAGAACGCCCAGGGCGCTCATCGAAACGCCAGTATGGACATGACCTGCCTCACCGACCCGGCCGCCCTGTTCAAGGCTGCTGTCATCACCCTGTTTGGCCAGCTGTCCGCCCTGACTAGTTGGGCCAACGCCCGCGACGTCGAGACGCTGTCTCGGTCCGTCTTCCAGTCCGCGCTCAAGGCCAGCTCGGAGTCGTCTAGCACGTCCATTGTCTTGTCCGAGGAAACCGTGCTCGCCGAAATAGAGACCATGCTGCGCGAGCGGAGCAGTCGAGAGAAGCTGCAAACCGTGTTCCAGAAGCCCTCCCTGCCGATTTCGGACCTGCCCATACAGCCACCACAGGCACCCCCTGCATCACATTCTGCTTCCGCCTCTACGTCTGCTGCTGCTGCTCCTCCATCTCCTCCGCCACCCCCTGCCGCAGAAGAAAAGCCCGAGGAACAAGCGTCTGGGCCAACCAGAGATGCCGGGGTCAGTGACGAGGTCTGGAACCAGCTGCAGAGAGACGCTGCAGCCGAGCGTGAGCGCGAGCAGGAGTACTTGGCAAAGCTCAAGGAAAAGGACCAGCTGGATGATGCGCTAAGAAGTGCGCTGGAAACGCGCATCATAGACGAACTGTTAGACGAGGACCTACAGAAGAGATTAGCAGAGGAGGAGCGGAGGAAAAAGAAAGCGGAGGAGGACGAGAAGCTGCGACAACGCATCGTCCAGGAGCTGCTGGAAATGGAAAAGAAGAGAGAGGAAGAGAAAAAACTCAGGGCCAAGTTGTCCAGGATCGGGCGCTGTCCGATGAATTATGCATGGATACCGCAGGCGGGCGGCTGGCGTTGTGCCGGAGGGAGTCATTTTGTCACCGACCAACAGCTGCTTTAAGAGGGAGAGTAGCTAGATGCCAGATTTTACAGCCGGGATCGTTTCGTGCCGAAGTACGCCAATGTAACTCTATTATTCGCGATCGCATATCAGTCTCGCGTCATTGGCCTAGGCGTCAAGATATACTGCTTCTAGGCACAGTCTGTCACATCCAATCGCAACGGAACTGGGTCCCGAATCCGAAACAGGAAGTCAAATCGACTTTCTGCCAAATACAAATTCGATATAGGCAATGGCGTATCACAGCCGTGGGGGTGCAGCGGCGAATTTACCGTGCAGGCTGGCGACATTGGCGACTTGAGGTATTAGCAGAGGAGGGCCGCGAGTTGATAAACGTAAAAGGTCGTTTCAAAGCATTTTGTTGGCGAGTTAGAATGGCGCAGGTCTTGGCAACTATTTCGTCACTGCCCCTTGGTATCACGTCTCGGGGGGCACGTTTAAGATTATACCGGGACAGCAGCGAAATCCGTTCAAGAACTGCATATCCATGTATTGGATTCTGTATCTTACTCCTGCATTTTCAGCGTCGTACGCAGGGTTATATGTGACTAATCGTATTTAACACCATGCCGTTCTGTTTGCAATTTCGTCATCTCATGCCGTGCTTCTAATGCATGTACAGCTACAACAGCGGACCAGCATGGTAGACAACGGGTGGCTTGGCGTCAATGGCCTCCTTGGCCACTTGTATATAATACGGCGACACAAAAGGGGTTATTGGACGATCCGACACACCTGCATGTCTATTATGTACTCCTATTGATCGTCAATAAAAGGCAATGGGGTCATTGAAGAATTTTTTCAGTGTCGGTGTTGGCGGAGAACTTGGGGCTACAGTACCTGAGAGCTCGGAAAATGTGTCTGATGGAAGCCTGAAGTATGTTGGTGAGAAGGGTGGCAACGATGCCCCGTTGACATACCAAGAGGCATCCGGCGCCCCTATTGAGCACAACTCACCTCTGGGCTATTCTGTCGGCCCAGTCACTATTGTACTCATCAACGTCACTATGATGATTGGCACCGGCATCTACTCTACGCGTAAGTGTGCACGGGTTGAGGCTTTAGTGGGAACGATTACTGACCTTTCTCAGCATCTTCCATTCTTTCGGGCACCGGCTCCGTCGGACTAGCTTTGATCTACTGGACTCTCGGCTATCTGGTACGATTGTATCTTGAATACCGTGACTATAGTCAACTGACTTGGATGTAGATATCTCTTGCATCGGGCGCCGTCTATCTCGAATTCACGGCATACTTTCCGAGCCGGTCCGGATCCGAGGTCGTCTTTCTTGAGCAGGCCTACCCACGACCAATGTGGTTCTTTCCCACGACTTTTGCTGTCCAGAGCGTTCTTCTGTCCTTTGGAAGTGCCAATGCAGTCGGTGAGTATAACCCTTCCACGCTCATTCTCAACCCAGTGCGATGCGGTGGCTGATCTGATTGCATAGTCCTGGCCAAGTACCTGTTTGCCATTTCTGGCCACGCCGGTTCCAATTGGCATGTCAAAGGTGTGGCTATTGCTGGATACACCATTGCCGTTTTGTGTAAGCGCAGCCAGCCTCAACTCGTCTTGATGTCTTTTCTAATTACACGAAGCCTTGGTCTTTAACACAAAATACGCGTTTCGCGTTTCCAATCTCATCGGCATCGTCAAGATCTCAACGCTTCTGTTCATTATCATCACTGGCTTTGTCGTCCTCGGTGGTAACACATCGGTCAAAGACCCCAAAGCCAATTTCCGCGACGCATTCAAAGGCACCGGATCGGCGGGTGCATATGGTGCCACGACGTCACTTTACCGCATTATTTTCTCCTACGGCGGATACAATAATGCATTCAATCTTGCTAATGAAGTAAAGGTATGTTGTACTTCCCGGTGATAGTTCTGCTGTCAGGTTCAATTGCCTAATCTGACATTGGTATAGAACCCTGTAAAGAAGTTAAAGGTCTATGCGACTGCTGCTCTAACCATTGTGTACATCCTGTATATGTTGGCCAATGTGGCATGGCTTTCTGCCAGTAAGACTTGTGCCATGAAACTCCGCTCGAGTCGCAGCCTGACTGATTCCACCACAGTTCCCAAAGAAGAGCTGCAGACATCCGGCCTCACAGCTGCCAGCCTCTTCTTCACAAAGGTTTTCGGAAACAGCGGCCACGTCCGAGGACTGAACTTTCTGATAGCCCTGAGTGCATTCGGAAACATCATGGCCGTCATTATCGGCTTGTCCCGCAAAATCAGAGAGTCTGGACGGTGCGTAAACTTTTGTCTTTGATTTTATGCCGGAACTGGGAGCTGACAACAGACAGACAGGGCGTTCTACCATGGACCAGCTTCTGGGTAGGGACCAAGCCCTTTGGAACACCCATTGGTCCCTACTTTGTTGTATGGGGCTTGACCATGTTGATTATTTTGGCCATCCCCTCGGGAGATGCTTTCAACTTCGGTAGGACATACAGAGAGGGAAGACTTGCAGCGAGCTGTAGTGGTATCAGCTAACAATTGAATAGTGAACGATCTGAGCACCATTCCCAGCGCCGCCTTCAACTTGGCCATGGCAGTCGGTGTTTTTGTCGTGCGATGGCGCCGCAAACGTGCTAATCTTCCTGAGCCCGAGTTCAAGGCCTACAACTTCGTCGTAATTTTCAACATCCTCGTTCAACTATACCAGCTCATCATGCCTTGGTATCCCCCCTCAGGCGGCATCAACGATGGCGACGTCAGCTTCTTCTATGCAACCTATGCAGTGACTGGAGTTGGAATGTAAGTGGACTACCTCCTGATGTGCTACTTTGTGTGCCCACCTGGTTCTAATGATGATTGATAGCCTGATCGCATGTGGATCTTACTACTACTTCTGGGTCAATCTGCTACCGAGATGGAGGGGCTACAAGCTACGCCAGGAGATTGTCACGTTCGACGATGGTGCACGGAGCCATCGGATCACCAAAGTTCCGGTCAGCGAGGCTGAGCAATGGGATGCGGATCATGATGCTACCGGGCGTCTGCGCAATACGTACGTCGCTGAGTCCGAGGGTCATGAAAAGGATTCCCATGATGCATGATTTGCAAAGCGGCGCTGCGATACAGTTCGTATTTTAGAATAAACACCTCGGTTGGAAATTGCGCCTGTGCTTTCGTTACTGAAAAGTTAGCAATCAGTATGATTAGAGCTGCAGTACGAAAAGGACTCCCCTCGAAAGCCGTATGTTGATCTTTACTCATTACATAAGCAAGAAAACCCAACACCGGTTTGTGTCATCCATCTCACCAGTTGACTTACTGACGGCTCTTCTTTATCCTACAAATGAATTGTCCGCTGTATTCTTTTACCCTATTTACCCTCTAACAATATCTTTCCCTTCCTTTTTTTTCTCCTTTGTCACGGGCGGAAAACCGAAGCGACGAAACCACGTCGACCGAAAATACGATGTGGACTCGGCAAACAGAGGCCAGTAGCGGCGCTACAACGCCGGCGAAAGAGGTAGTTCTCCCAGACTTGGCACCGCCGTCAGACGACGAGGCTAAAGGCTACTACCGTCGTCTGCCGTCATGTCCTCGATTGGTCGGACGCACATCTGGCAAGGAGCGGTGGTATTCTCCGTTCCCTGGCGAGTCGTCGCTGCCCAGCAGCGAGGAGATTTCCACCATTGGACAGCACACGATAGTGTCACTGTGGGAAGACCTTCTCGAGTCTCATGTCATGACGATCATCAAGGACCTGCCGTGGACCTCCGTGGACGTGTTGCGCATCGGGCTCAAGAGCGTTAAGAGAAGCGACAAGCCGGTCATTGTCTGGATTGGCGTCTCTACCGCCGACATACCCTGGCCGAAGATCGCTGACGTTCTGCGTGCATTCCGCGTTGTCCTCGATATGCGGGGCCTAAACGATGTCGATGTCGAGATCCGTGTTGCCACCGTGTCGCAGGCAGCAGGCCCAGCTCTCTTGCCGGCCAACAGCCTCAATATGTCTCAGATGGATGTTTATCTACGCCAGCTGTACACAACAGCGGTTGGGCAGTCGTTTGCGTCTGCAAAATCTGATAGGACCCAAGGATCACTCGGTATGTATCTTTGGGCGGCCAGATCTGGCAACTCTACCGAGCTCTTCGCCCTTACATGCCGGCATGTGGCGCTGCCAGACACAAAATTTCCAGGCAACCGCCCATACCGCAGATGCTTCCAAGGCCAGCCGGCCAACAAAATGATCATACCGGCCACCGGCAGTTGGGAAGACTGGAACGGCGAAGCCGAAATCCTTGTTGAGGAGTGCAACAAATCCCTGCAGTCCGCCCGACAGGATCCAAATGTGGAACCTGTTGATATTCAATTGGCAGAGCTCCTGCTGCGTAACGCCTCGGGCTGGAAACGGACCGTGGACTCGCTGCAACCCATCGACAATCGGGTTGTGGGCGAAGTCTTCTTCTCGCCACCCATAGGCAAGGCGTATGACAGCAACAAGGTCAACCCGGGTACTTTTACTCGGGATTGGTGCTTGGTCCGTATGGATCTCAGCAAGTTCCCAGGCCAGCAGATGCCACAAAACGTCGTCGATCTTAGGCACAGAGATTGGACCCAGATGCAAATGACGAGACTCCTGAACCCACATCCCCAGAGCCCCCACAAGTTCACCTTCCCGGAGGGTGGTCTCCTGCGTCTCTCCGGTGTGATTCCGATGGAAGATCTGTGCAAGCCCAATATGCTGGACAAGAACGGGGAGGAATGCCTCCTGGTGGGCAAGCGCGGTTCCGCCAGTGGCCTAACGTTTGGCACCGCCAACGAGATTAAATCTGTTGTGCGCGTATATCGTGGCCTGGAAGACTTCATGTCGCGAGAATGGCTGGTGGTCGGGTTCAACAAACGGAATGCGTTCTCCAAGAAAGGAGACTCCGGCTCTGTGATTTTCGACATGCACGGACGGGTAGGCGGCCTGCTGGTCGCGGGCTCCTTGGCGGGCTCCAGTACATACGACGTGACCTATGCCATACCGATGGCGCAGCTCCTGGCTGACATCAACGAGCACATGGGATACGAAGTCAAGATGGTTTAGGGAAATCAATCGACCGGCTCTCGTGCGCGTTGACGTATAGTGGGATCCGGATGTGAGGCTTATCGGTATTTGTTTTTGCCGCAAATTATTATTCGATTACCAAATGGCGGACTTGCGTCAATCTGTGTCTAATCATGGTTAGCCTGATCGCTGTCGGTCTACTTTCATGTAGAATCCCGTGAGAAAAACATAAATACCATGGTGATAACAGAGGCAAATTAAGTAAAATCAGAAAGAAACTCAAAAACATTCAATAACAATGGTAAAACAATCTGATAGATTTGCAACGACTCGCCACCAGTCCACTGCCTAAAGTCTACGGCACGGAGGGCGAAATGAAGGGGCAGGCCTTTTTTGCGGCTCAAGAGCTTGTTACGGAGTACTCCGTACGGAGTACTCCATTGAACTTCGTGTGCTAAGACGCCCGGCATTCGGAGTATCTCTTAATCCGACATCACATTGTTACAGCACGCCTTCAGTACGTCACAGCTGCATTACAAATACAGCTTGCGTCTTGCTAACCTGATTGCCTGTCGATGCCAAAGACAAAATCGACACTTACTCCTACACTCACAACTCGAACCAGTCGAGTACTGGCAGAAGGAAACCGGACTCCACTGCAACAAATACCAAACCATTTCCAAGACCACGCTGCCGCCGCCATGTCATCGCCCCACGTCCTCCTTCTCGGCGGCCACGGAAAGATCGCCCAGCTGCTCACACCACTGTTGCTGCGGCGCAGCTGGTCCGTCACCAGCATAATCCGTAACGCAGACCAGGTGGCTGCCGTACAGGCGCTTGGCAACGGCGCACCGGCCGCTGCCCGCCTTACCGTCTTGGTTCGCAGCCTCGAGGATGTGCACGTCCAGACCGACGCTCAGGCGCTGCTAGACGAGCTGCGGCCCGACTACATCGTCTGGAGCGCAGGCGCCGGCGGCAAGGGCGCTCCGGAACGCACACAGGCTATCGACCGCGATGCCGCCGTTGCATTTGTCGATGCTGCCGCCGCCACGCCGTCTGTCACCCGCTTCCTACTGGTGTCCTATCTGCTTTCGCGTCGTGGCAAGGCCTCATGGTGGGATGACGCCTCGTGGCAGAAGGGAGAGGAGGTCAACCGCTCCACTCTGGCCCGTTATTACGAGGCCAAGCTTGCTGCCGACGAGGCGCTGTACCGTGCATCCCAGAGGCGCGGCTCCGACTTCGTGGCTATTGACCTGCGCCCCGGTGTTTTGACCGATGGGCCTGCTGGCCCTGTCGAGTTGGGACGCACAGCTAAGGCTCTTGGTCCGACAAGCCGTGCCACAGTTGCCGCCATTGCGGACCTGCTCCTGGCGCACCCGCATGCGCGATCGGCCTGGGTCGACGTGCTGGACGGTACGGAGGAGCCAACCGCGGCTGTCAACAGAGTGACACGTGAAGGAGTCGATGCGGTCGAGGGTGAACCCGTGACAAAAAATTAGAAAAGAGGACTGATTGTGCTGTGCTCGGCTAGAATAGGATCAAATTGCAAATCCGTACATCTGACTTTCGGAGCCTCTCGTGCCTTCGGATAATCGGGTCGTCTTGGATAGTGATACACGTTGCTGTACAGCCCTCCGGCGTCGTCTCAGGGAAGCCGCATCACGACGCCTCCACCAGGCCCGGTCGTCCCAGCCGATCGACGACGCCTGCCTTGAGCCGTAGCCGCTGCTCAATGACGGCTGCACCCACGCCCTGCGCTCGCAGTTCCAGGATTTCCCTCAGCGTGCTGGCAGAAAGAAACTCGCGGCCCAAATTGTGTGAGCCACCACCGCCACGGCCTTTGCTTGCCACGTCGGCAGTCCGCTCGGCCGCTTGGTCATCGTGTAGTCGGCGGCGCGCCTCGAGGACCGACAGCGTCGTGTTTTTTGGACTCCGCCTCTGTATGGCGTATGCGGCCGCTGTCGAGTCTATTCCGCCGGCCGACGACTGCGGCGATGTCGGGTTGGGCGTCACGGCGCCGAGCTGGCGTAGGCGATCGGAAAAGGCGGCTGACCAATCGGGGTCGGAGCCATCGGCACGTATCACTGCCTTGTCAGCACAAAGGAAAAAAGCTCAGACAGCAAATAAGAACACACCTTCGTCCTTGGAAAAGGATGGCTGCCGCCGTTCAGGGCGCAAGGTGCTGTTCGATATATCCGTTGCTGGCCGTTCAGCCCGCTGCGACTGGTGAGCTGGTGGTCGTGTCGATCGTGCTGGCCGTGCTGCTCGTTGTGTATCGTGTGGCAGTGAAGCACCAGCTGCTCTTGTTGGATATTTACGCGGAACACCGGTGCGCGTAGCCTTTGAAGCTGAGGAGCCCATGATATTGATTTGCTACCGTTTGCGTTGGAGATGCAATGAGGCACAAAACTTCTGCGCGCGAATGTATGGCTTTGTGGCTTTGTGGCGTGTGCACAGAACGAATTGTGCACAGTGTGCAGTCACGTGTGCTTCCCTTTCAATCAGCGCTGTGTGGAATGCTGGACTCAGGCACCTTCGGCAGCGGCGTATCCTCCACGACCACGTCGTCAAACGTCAACGGTACTGATTCGAGGGCCCGCCGCCGTCCAAAGAATGGAACTCGTTCTGACAGCTTGCTCCACATCCCACGTTCTTCCACGGCTTCGAGGGCTGCCGATGTTAGTCAGCCATGGTAGCCTCTCAGCAAGGGACTGAAGACGACACGAAATCTTACCTGTCGCTACACGTTCGGTGATATCGTCGATCACCATAAGTTGCTGCAGCTTTGTCTCACCGTGGAGGAACGCCACCGGTCCGACATATTTCGTCTCCTTCTGAAACCCAAAGGCCGAGGCCGACGACGACGGTCGCCACATGTACTTCGCTGGCGTTGGATCCTCGCTGGCTGGATCCCAGACAGCTTCTGGGTCCAGCACGTCGTTCTGCTGCGTCCAATATTGCTCCACGGCAGGTGTCTGCAAGTGCACCGGCCAACGGTCTATGTGGAAGAATTGGGGCGCCAATCCGCAGACTTGTGGCAGCGCCCAGTCCCAGAGAGACCCCGATGGCCGTGGAGCAGCCGCTGTGGGCAGCGGTGTCAGAGCACGCTCAGCCTCGACGAGCAGCTTGTGGGCTATCAAATCTTGTGCATATTTTGCCGGCATGGTGCTGCTGCTCTTGGTAGCCTCAGGGTCAGCAATTCGCACAACGTCGGGAAAACCACAGTTGACGTTGTTTTTGCTCGTCATATTTTCGTATTTCTGCTGCCACGCGCTCATGCACTCCTTTACTCTGTTCTTCTTGTCGGTCTTGGTCTGGGTGGCGTTCAAGTCGTCGCTGGCGCTGTCTGCCTGCTTCCACGCGGCATCCTCCCATCTGCCACGCTCCACCATCTCCAATTGTCGTAGCGTGCGACCAAAGCGGAAGGCAAGCCCGCAGAAGAAGTCGTGCACCTCGGCTCGCAGTGGCTCCTTGGTGCGTCCGCTTGCCACCGTCTTGGCCCAGGTGTCGTCCACCTCCAGGGCTCGTTGGGGTGCACCGATGGCAATATCTGGATCCTGCTCGTCAGCCCCGGGGTGCGGCCGCATCAGCCACGACCATCCTTCTTGGCCTCCCGGTGGTTCTCTATTTTTGGCCCATATGCGGTGCTCTGGGTGCAGAGTCAGCCTTGGCCGCTGAACAATGCCACCGCCACGGTTGCCTTCTCCGGAGCCCGGCTTATATGGGCTGAACCTGCAGCGGCCGGCTTTTCGGAGGCGGTCGCAGAAGAACCGGGCGTCCCCGTAGGAAAACCGCACACGCTGCTGCTGCTGCTGCTCGTTTCCTGTTACGTCGAATGGTGCTCCATCCTCGTTCATTGTGTCCACGAGCACCTTGATCGGCACCTCCGTGTCGACTGTCTGAAAGAGCCGGATATCGCTGAGATCATCCATGAGCCCCTGAAGTCGTTGTGCAAAGCACTGGTACAACGCCTGTCCGCCTCGGTCTTCGCTGTGCCCCTCTTCTTCTTTTTCGTGTGCTTCCCGCAGGTCGGGGCCTGCTGGAAGCGGCAGCATCAGTCGACTGTTGGTCGATCCCGTCAGTAAGAAATTGAGCCACCGCGCTTCAACCTCATTGATCGGCCGAGCCACACGAAGCCTCCTAATAGCGGCGAGTCCGGTGATCACCCTCGGCTCCCAGTCGTAGAAACTGCGCAGCTGCAGCGCGCTGTCCGGCTGCGACAGTCCACGCAAGCCCTGTGCTGTGTATTTGCGTACGTTGCGAAGAAGTGGCCGCGGTGCCACCTCCAAAGCGCGCTCCAGCAGACGGGCGATGGAACGCAGCAGCACCAACATCCTGCGATCCTGCTCCATGAGTCGAGGCAGTGGCCGGCGCGGGAGGCCTCTGGGACTACCGTAGCCGAGGCTGTACGCATCGGGAAACCGAGGCAGCACCGCCCAGTCCGGCTGGTCCTGATTTTCAGACTCTGTTGCCATGCGCGCCTTCTCCACCCATTTGATCCGGTGGCGCCGGTACTCCGCCATGTAGGCTGTGTACGGATGCGTCTGCTTGCTGATAACGGGAAGCATGTTCTTCTCTTCTGTATCCCCCCGAGACCCGCCTGCCACAAGCTTCGGCACCGGCAACAGCTGTGATGCTGCCCTGGTCGATTTTCCCATCCCCGCCCCGACCTCCGCCTTTGTAGCCCACGGCCAGCAACCGCCTGCTGCTGCAGTCCGCCTATAGATGTTGCGAGCTGGTACCGGTAGTGCAACACGACACCATGGCGAGCCGTTGCTTGCAGCAGTATTTTCCGACGACGAGAATTCTACCAAAGCCAGCTGCAGTGCCGCCCTGCGGGCTCCGCGCTCGCGCGCATAACTGGTTGCATCCTGGCCGAGCATGGTGCCATCTGGAAGTCGCCTGACGTCGTGTACTGTAGCGCTGCTGCCATCTCTGCTGTATATGGCCCAGCCACGTTGAGCAATAACACTCTGGTAGAACTCTGCATTTTCCCCGTATGCGAGATTCTGACCTCCGGCCTCGGCCGCTGCGACGGCTGTCTGCGCCCGCTGCAAAATTGTGTCGATAGATTCGCCTGGTTGGGCTGGCTGGCCCATCAAATGACCATCGTCTGCAGCAAGCTGCTGGTAGTAGCTGGTCGCATCCGGGTAGTGCTTTAGAATACGGAGGATGTCGTTGGCACTGCCATCAGTTGTCTTGCGAATATCTGCATTTGGTGCAAGCTGCTGGCTTCTTGGGATTGCCGTACCCGCAGCATCACTCTTCACTCTTTCGACACATAAAAGGCTACTGAACTGCAATTCTCGTGGCTGCATCGTTGATATCGCAGCTGGGCTGTGTAGGACTGTGGCCTGCTTGGCTATATTGTACTGATGCGCTTCGAATAGTCTCTGTAGGCGCACCAGACGTCTTGCCTCCTGTACTAGCATACGTGTATTCTGGCCGTACACCGGCGGTTGGCGATTTGCCTGCGGAGGTGGCAGTGGGAGCAGACGGTCCGGACCATCGGCTTGACACTGGTCGGCCTGTGTGCTGTCCCCATCTCCGAGTGGTACCTCCTCCAGGAAGTCCAGGTGTGCCTCGATAAATTTGACTCGTACAGGCCAATCCTCATCCTTGTAGACATTTTGCTGAGACAAATATGCAACAACCTCCTTCAGACTATCACCTACTGGTGGAAGCCGCATGCCGTTGAAATAGTGGTCCTCCTGGCAGTCTTCGGTGTCCGCCTGGAGCGGGCTTTGATCCCATTTCAGCTTGTCCGCGCAAACTCTGGCGTAAACCTTGGTCTCATCATGTGCGGTGTCTCCCTTCTGTCTGCTTTTGGAATCGTGCTGTTCTTGCTCGATCCCATCTTCGTATGGTGCGTCCTGGTTGGATTGACAAAAAGTGGGAGGTGTCGTTTTCTGGTCAGCGTCGATGACTGGATGTCTTCTTGATGAGTATAAGCCCAAACGGTTGCGTCGGGAGCGCAGTGGAGTGGACAGCTTCGCAGGTAGTAGGCGAGATATTGAGGGAGTTGCTGGTACAGCCACTCCTTTCCGAGGTCTCTTCTTGCCAGCATATTTTCTCTCAAGACGTGCGTTGGTTGACATTTCTACGTTTTAAGTAACGTGTTTGGCAGTATTCCGATTCGTAACTTGATGCGGGGGTTTTTGTTTTTGTAATTCGGACCTGTAGCTGTATTGCAAGCTTCAGTATGATGTCCATGAAGGAAGTGACTGAAATTTTATTTTCTGCCTTGCCAGGGAAAGGCCTTTTTGTTCAATGGCCCCTTCCGGAAATGGCATCTTTCGGCTCCTACACGCGGGACAGAAATTAAGCTATCAAAAAGAGAGAAATTACATGCTTGGGTAACACCAACCTCGCAATAACTCTTGCTGTTTTCGTCCGTTTGGAGATTAAGATCAAGTGATGAGACAGAACAAAGGAAACCAACATCCGCAATATGGAGCGTGGGTCAACAGATGGTTGCGTACGTGTAACTGCAACCAAATATATTGATCTAGAACAAAGAGAAGAGATCCGGAAAAGGAATGGGAAGTTATAGAAGGAGGCATCGGTCAGTGCTATTTTGCAACAGTCTCAGGGAACGTGCAAGTTTATTGGGAAAAACATCCATGTCTGCGCTCTTTTTCCGTAGGAAGCAGAGGATGCTTACAGCGCATTTATTATGTGCCTTCATTCTCCGGTTGCCGCATAGTCTGTACAACCTCTGTTTCTCCTGAAGCCAAGTCTCGCTGTTTTATGCCGTGATCGCGGTCCTCGCTGCAGTTCTCATCCTCAAAATCGTGGTCGTATCCGTTTTCGTCCTCGTCCTCGTCAGCCCTTGTCCTGTCGCAATGCTTTAGCACGTCCGCAATCCACTCCCGCTCAGTCCTAGCCAGCCGGTGCAATAGCGACAGGGCTGTGTATGCTCGTGATAGACATGTCTGCCCCTCTTTTCCCTTTCCCTTGCTTTGCGCCACCTCATCCCTTGCAAAGTCGGCCAAATCTGCCTCTAGCTGCTGCACAAACATCTGGCCATCCCACTCACTCCTAAATTGGGCATGGAAGGCTGGATTCAGTGCCAATTGGGGCAGTGTGACGGCAACGAACTTTATGAGAATTTGGCGGAGCGGCCACAAAATCCCATCTACTTCTTTGCAGAGGTCTTCGTCCTCCACTCTGCTGTGGTCTCCGCTGTGGTATCTGCCCCGTGCTAGCAACGCTGATGGTTGTTCGTATAGTATCGTCAGAGCCCTTGCGCAAGGGAATGGCGAGCTTCAAAACGGAATAGTCAATGCTTGGAGAGTCGCAAAAAACGGCCGGGGTCAGATACATCTGTAGGAAGGATGTGTAGCGAGTGATGGCAGCACCAGCATAGTCCATCATGGGACTGCATGCGACTGAAGCGGCAGTAATGAACATCGCAGTGTTCGTGAGAAGGCAGTCAGCATATAGAGGCTCGGAGATACAGTAAACAGCGCCAGGGTATTCTGAATTATCAGTAAGCAACAACTGAAAGCCAGGATCGGTATATCTGGGAGTTATGGCCTACCATGGGTGTATAGGAAGCGCAGGACATTGGCAAGCTGCCCCGGGTCGTGATTGTGTAGTTCCATTATATGTAGACAGCGACTTGGCAACGCCTCCAACCCGAAATAGCTAATCACCTTGTCTCCTTCACGTGACTTCCATGGCTCTATGCGAGGAGAAAAGTATTCGCAGCGGTCGAGGATTTGTCGGTGCAAGCGCCACGAGAAGAAGCCACAGATGACCACCACGTCCCAGCCAATAGGATTGTTCCAGAGCCTTTCAAAAATCTGTCAGTTCGAAACAAAGCAAGGAGAGTAGACAGGCATATGCTCAGCGACATAGAAACTCACAAGGCGTCTCCTTGATTCAGAGCTCGCATCATAGCCTCCCTTTCCTTCCCAGCTTCGTCTGGCGATTTTTGTTGTTGAGCTACAGAAGGGTCTGCGATATCAACACTTGTGATGCCTGTGATGCCAACACTTTCTCTGGTGGCTTCGCCTTCCTTCTCGGCTGATTCTTGCCCCTCGACGTCTGCTTCAGACATCTCAATTATTGTAGGTGTGCCTTGAAGAAAATTCTTGCTGCTGGTATTGAAAAGTATTACATGAAGAGATAATTGTTAGATAATATGTGGCTGCCTGGCATAAATATCACCTCGAACATCATTATCGTCTCACTGTGAGCTTCGCTTGTATTTGCCCTCTCTCCTTCCTGTACTCGCCTCGTTCGACAGCGCGGTGGCAAACATAGCTTTATTAATTCACTTTAACTTTGAGTCGTGCTGTTCACTCAGGCGCAATGCTACTGTATGTGTTATGATTGAGGTCATCAAACAAAGTCACCTGTAGGGACTCTAAATTGAATGCCTGTCCCAAAAGTAAATGCGAGGTGCGGCCTCCTTACGATAGTTTATATTTGAGTTTTATGGCCATGTGCTTTTCTTTCAGTACAAAAACGTGAGAGAATAGAGATCATCTGTTTTTGTGAGGCTATGTTGAGGAAGAAAGGTCGTTTTAAATATTCGACAGCCTCGGAGGTTCATGCATACCAACGTCGTGCGGGGTTCATAAGCTGTTTCCGAATCGGGAAAAGTCAATAAACATGGAGGGTTAGCTCAGTGGTAGAGCGAGAGATTGCAGATCTCTAGGTCGTGGTTTCGAGTACCACACTCTCCTTGTAATTTTGCCTATTTTCTGTCACCTTCACATGGGTGTATGTTAAAGCTAGAGACACTTTTTTTGTGTACAAGTAATGCATGGCTATGTATATGCTCTTGTCGATCTCAATCTGCAATTGATCCGGCGTACAGTGTTCGCGGCTACTAGCATTAAAAGCAGTTTATTCGCGCCTAGACGAATGCTGCATCCCGAGCATCCAACGTAGTCTTCACATCTATACAATCTTCAAAATCTAATTCTATGTCTTGATCATAAAAATCTGCCGTATTGTTAACCTTGATATTCGAATCTAGGGGCGTGGAGCATAACCATACCTGCTTTAAAGCTTGAGGGTCCATAACCGCCGCTCGCTTTTGAGCAATATGCCGTCTCCGTGACATGTGACGCCCAAGTACAACAGGCAATGGCGCTGTTGCCGCCAAAGAGTCCGAAGTTGCAAGCTTGTCTCTTTTCGTCTCGGTTGATGAGTCGCCGGTGAGTGCTGCTTCTTTCCGTCTCTTCTTCTCATCTTTGTCCTTCTTATCTTTCTTGTCCTTCTTCTTCTTCTTCCTATCCTTCGTAGACTTTTCTTCGTCGGCTGTCACCTCGTTTTCGTCTCTCTTCTCCCGCCTGCTCTTCTTCGCACTTCTCTCTTCACTTCCGTCCTCAAGCTCGTCGTCGTCCCGCGCTGCCTTCCGCTTCTTCGACGCCTCCTTTTTCTCTCTCTTTTCCTTCTTTTTCTCTTCCTTCTCTTTTCGCTTCTTGTCTTTCTTCGCCTTCCTCTTAGCAGACTCATCGTCATTCGAAGAAGACTCCGGGGTAGAATCTGTGGCCTCGTTGCTGTGTGCCGTTGACGCCGTCTGTTGGCTGCCATTCTCTTCCTCTTGCATGCTGTCACCCACCAACAAACCGCCCCGTACAAACCGCATTGGTCCGAACTTGCGCTCGACGTATAGTGTCATCTTGACGCTCTCTCTTGCCTGCTGCTTCTTCTCAATCACGGCCTCTGATGTGCCGTTGAGCCGTCCTAAGAGGTCCTTAAACCCATCGAGGCCTGTACACTGGTCGCCTGAACCGCCGTTGGCCGGCTTGGCGCCGATGCCCAAGTTGTCTTCACGCAACACCGCTCTTATATATGAAGCGCTCGCTGCCGTATGAAATGCGGAGTATGCTTCGCTTTTCCTTCCGAGGTACTGGCCAGGTTCCCATCCGTGTGCGCGCAGCATCTTGTGGCCGAAGGCGTTTGTGTTGCGTGCCCATTTCGTGTTGTTGGGATCGTCTCCAATCTTGCGCTTGCTGAATACATTCTGTCAGAAAGTACGTCATATAGTGGCACATCTAGAAATCATACTTTTTTACTCCGCCGAGCCCCATCTTGACGGCTTTTCAAGAAATACTGAGTTGGAGGCTGTGTTTCTTGCGATGAAGAAATTAGCGGCAATTTTTTTTCTGCCGTCATTAAGCTTTTGTGGAGTACTCCGATAAGCGCTGATAAGTACAGCCTTCTGGCGCTACGCATTGCTTAAGCAGCCAGCCTTACCTCTGCAAAATGTATGAGCTTGTGGTAGCTTGCCTTATTTGGACTCGTATGGATTTGCTTGTAGTGATAGGTTGCATTCATTATATGTGTTCTTTCCCGTTGCGAGATTCGAATAGGTACACGGTCGTGCCTGCTGGTTTTGTATTTTTCGAAGCAAAAAATGCATGGCACCTTCCGTTTTTCTCTTTTTACTAAGAGGAAGATTTCGATGTCAGGCACGAGGACATTTGGCAGGCGGCAACATTTGTCTCTGGCCTCCGAATTCCAATCCTATATACCTCTTTAGGTTGAGAAAAACGAATCTGCACAATCCCATCATGCCGTCTAGAAAATCGGGCGCCGCCACCCAGAAACAGCACGATATTGATAATACCGTTACGTCTATCGATGTGGACCTCAGCAGTGACATAGACGAAGGTTTCAACCCCGTGCAGGCTGCGACAGACCTGAAGAAGGTGGTTGAAATAGTACGCAGAAGGATTTTTGCGTCGAGTGCACGAGATAGTCATTAACATACGAAATATTGTCGCAGCACAAAAAGCGCCGCCATGCAATGCGCAAGAAGATTGAGGCCAGATACGAGGCTCGTGTGACCGACATTGTTAGGCGCACAGAAAGGCGTTTGGCCGAGCGTGATGAGAGAATGTAAGCCAGGTGGAATCGACCCATTCGCTATCGACGTGTCTTGACGTTCCTGAACCATTCCAGCGCCGAAGTTCGTGGGGAGCAGCTGGCACGCCTGGTGGCTGCAGTGGAAGGGAAAGACACCCAGCAGCGCTCGGCTGCCGGCAAGGTGGCGCGGTTCTACGATGGCTGCATAAACCTAGCGAACGTTATAGAGAGCGTTTATACCGGGCTGGCAGCAGAAGCGAAGGCGGCAGATTTGGTAGCGTCGGTATCTGGCGAGTGACTGAGAACCGTCAGATGACAGCATGCATCGATCGGCCAAGGGCAATACAGGCAGATGGTGGAGGAAGAGAGGCAGCAGGATGTAGGCGCAGGTGTGTGGTGAGGGAATTAAGTAGCCGTGGTGAAGTTTCTCATAGTCTAACAATGTCATAGCGCTCTACCATAGCCATGGTAGCAAACAGACCTCCCAGACCAAATCCGGGTACCTCGGTTCTGCTTTCTCTCCTTGTTTTCATATTATCACTTGAGGTTGTACCCGGCCCCTTCTATACCTTAAAACCAAACCCAGCCATGCAGCTCCGGTATTGATCAACTGTTGATTTGCAATCTTGTGCCGGATCTGCGGCCTTTGAGAAAAGCATGCACTCATCACGCTTCGACTTTTCCTCTGTGCATACACAGCAAGGCTGTGATCTGTTAGCTAACAAGCGACTACCGAGAACAAGACCGGGACTGACCCTGGGCTTAGATACTGGCGCTTCCGAGGTGGCAACAGCCGACTGTGAGGAGACCGCCGATGCTGTAGGGGTTGCATTCATTAGCTTCACAATCGCGTCGCATCGCAATGGATTGTGGTGTTGCTGAACAGCCTACCCATTGGCATTGTTTGTTGCGAGGAAGACATGTCTTTTTCAATTTAAATGTAATGTGCGATCTGATCCGTAGTACACCAAAATAAGACTTCACTTATGGGCCGTTGTGTGGTGGTGTTCGTCGTGAAAAAGAAATAAGAATTCGCGAACGCTATTCAAATTGAGGCGAACGTTCAATTTGTCAGTCGACAGAAAGTTCTACTAATACGGAGTACAGCGCCTCCGATGTCAGCCGAACGCTATTGTCAGCCGATGTATTGCACGTGATCTTGTCCTAAGTCCCAAACCCAAAATGAGCACCACCGCAAGGTGGCCTCGTGATATGTTGCTATTCTTACGCAAGTCATGGATTCTGTCCGAAAAGTATTTACACTGAAATACAGTACTCGTATCAAGAGAATTGCGGATCGCATTGCGATCTTACAGGGCACACCGACTCTGGCGAGCAATGAGAGGACGTCATATCTGAAACTTGAAACCACTTTTCCGGAAATAAGTTCGCGTGGAATCTGACTGCGTCGTAGAGCAACAGAAACAGGGTTCCGTTCAAGTAAAAAGAGGAAGGTTATCAATAGAAGAAAAAACGGAATTGGTAAGAGGCATGGCAAGTGCAAATATATCTCACAAAACTCTCTTTTGCTTGCATCTCATCATATAAAGAAGGAGGGAGAGAGGAGAGGCGATAGCTTTTTACAACAAAGTTGGAATGGCGCTTTGGGATGTCTATGACGTGCAATCTGGGTGATGGTATCACGTTATAAGCGTCGTATTATGCTCGTTCCGCGTTTATCACTAGTCGAAAGGTGTGCGTATTCTATAACATGGGAGGCATAATTTGTATGCGACAATGAAGTATAAGAAAGTCAAGAACAAATTGTAGGAACCTTTTTTGCGTGTTGCTACATGCAAACATATGCACTATTTGAGTTTCTTGGCGATCTACAAAACACGCTGGACAGTTGACAATAATTTGAAGGTGGCATTAGATAATTATGGAACATGGCTTATTCCCAAGTTAGCATCTACGATCTTAAGGCTTCAGCGTCATTTATCGGAAGAGACTCGTCAAAATCGCCTTCTCGGCGGGGCTGACGACCTTGTGAGCAGACTGTAAGGACGGTGAACTGTAGAGGCTGAAGGATGACACTAAAAGGACATTTGACAGTCTCTCTGCCTTCTGTGGTTTTCAGAGGCGAAGCGTTGTTCCTGTGAAGACGTCTTCGCCCATATACCACAACACTATTACCCTATCATCTCGCCCAAGAGGAGACTGCGGTAGCTCTCCATTCCTTCGGTGAGGCGAATATACGTGCCGGCAGCCAACATCTGGACCTCATTCTCCTGTCCGTCGCCTCCAGCGCGCGTGCTTTGTAGCACCTGCATGAGCCAATCGCGCGTTTGGACCACCTCACGCGACATGTCGCGACATATTTCGCGCATTCGGCCCTCGTTCACGTCTAGCAGCGCCAGCAGCGCAAAAAGAACCGCGTGGGTTACAACAAGATCGCCCACACAGTGCGCCTGCACGCTGCTGCCCAGGAGTAGGCTCCACAGCTCGGCCGTCATGTCTGGCAGCGCCAGCGCGCCGGGACCGACTGCGTGCAGAGACACGGCCAGCGTCTTGAGATAGAGCGACAGGACAGACGGCTCAAAGAGGACATTGCGCGTGTTGCGCGCGGCGGCGGACGAGCTGGCCGCCAGCATGTGCAATGCCAGTTGGAAGCGCGCTGCTAACGGGAAGAAAATGGCGGTGGCAATGACGGGGGCTGCCGTGTTTGTTGTCGTGGTGGCCTTGGCCGTCTTTGTGGGCTTGGTGGCTTGTCTGCCAACATTAAGACGTGATGTGAAGGACGAAAGCTTCAGGAAATTTGGGCCTGTTGCTTCATCGGCTGCCTTGGCCGCGATGGGGCCCAGGAGCTTAGCTGTAAGCGAGTCGGCAATGCTGTCGAGAGCACCAGGTGGCAGGGCTCTTAGGCTTGATGACGGTGACTGGGGATTACCACCCGATCCATGGCCACTCGCAACAGGCTGGCTGTACAGCCGTTCCACTCGCTCAGGAAGTTGTTTTGTTGGAAATGTAGCTGCAGACGCGTGCTCAGAAACATCGAAGCCGGCCAGTTCTCTTGCGGCCAGGCCAAGTGCCGTGAGAATCGATGCTCGCTGCGCCAGCGAGTAGTCGCCCTCGAAAAACATCGATGCGAGCCATGGGCCAACCATCTTGGGCTGTGCAACCACAATGGAGACCATGCCTTGCAGACGCAGCCGGTGGAAGTCATCCATGTCGTAGGTGTCGTGCAAGCCGACGAGGATGGCGGCCAGATCCCGTGCGTGCTGCTGGACTTCTGTTCCAAACGTGGCCTTGCGTCGGATGAGAATAGGTGCCGTCGTGAGAGCCGACCTCTGCTTGTCGTAATTCTCTGTGTCTTGGAAGTATGTTATCAAGTCACGGATGTACACTGGCGCTTTGGGCTTGTCTCTTCGCAGCATAGTCGGATCGTCGTCTGAATCTTCGGCATCCGAGTCTGGCTTCCCGTAGGGAACTATGTCATCGTCATCATCCTCGGCACTGTCGTCTAGTTCTTCAATCACAAATCCGGAGGACTTTGGAATTGGCACCGGTCGTCTCACTGCCGCCGTTATTGTCGTCTCTTGTGGTGTTGGTTTCCTTTGCTTTGCCTTTTCAGAGCTTTTCACCGGCGGTCCTCTTGGCCGCAGTATATCAATGGGACCAACACCATCATTGGTATGCACTAATTCCTTGTACCATTTGGCCTCCTCGGACTGCATTTCCTCCATGTCGAAATTTAGCTTCTTTCCGCCATCCACCAGACCAGACAGCGCTTCTCCGACAACCATTCCCAAGAACCGGGCTCTGGTTTGTGACGCACTCAGTCGGTTGGATACGGTACTCAGATACGTGCGTGTTCTCAACAAAGCAGCGAGAGCTCGCGAATTCGTGCGGTGGACGTATCCGGCCGCAAGCAGCAATACCTGCGCCTTGGCTGCGCACAAATCTGGTCAGCATGCATGTGATCTAAGAAGGAGATGACAGCTGCATTCGAACCTTCTTGCTGCATGCTTGGCGTGTGCTTGATGAAAAGCTGGTCACCGAACTCGGCCAGCGACTTTCCCAGGATGTCCGACATGCTTTTGCTGTCATTGGCGACAACTGCCATGGCCGCGCGCCGGACATCTATCCCATTCTCCAGGCCAACACCAGGCGAGGACAATAGCCATGCGACGAGTTGTTCCTGCATCACACCACCGCCTCCCACGATTTGTTGAATCAACCCAGCCATGGCTGGTATAATCGATGCGTCTTCTACAGTAGACTCTCCAGAACTTGGTCGGCTGAATTTCTCTGGCATGAGCCCCAAAATCCCGGCAAGCATCTTCTTCTGCTCGTGTGCTGGCAGTTGTTCTAGCAGACAGCTGAATTCGGCCGCGCCGTTCTCAACATCGTCGAGGAGGTCGTACAAGAGGGTCGCAATCACAACATCTAGCCAGAGCGTCAGTACCTGACTCTCCGAGCGACAATTTACAATCAGTTCTGGTCGAAACGTACCAGGATAACCAAGCCGCATGGCCTTTACAAGCAGATCTCCACGCAGCTTCTTGTCTTCGGGGTTTATGTCCTTCGAACCCCATCGTATGATGCCACGGACAAGCCATTGGCTATAGGCTTTTCCGTCTGCTATCCAGTAGAGGACTTCGTTCTCCAGATCCCGAGACTGTTTTTGCACGATTGACGTTGCCTCTGCGGCAAGAGACATGATCCTGCCGCTGCCCACCATATTGAGGTACTCCTGGGAGAGCGGTCGTCGTTTTGTGTCGGAGACGACATCGGAAACGCTGGCGGTCCACAGCTCGGAGACAGAGGATTCGTCTGCCAGCAGCTTGCATATCACTGCTACCACAGCTCGAAGCTCCCAAGAGACGTTTGACGACTGCTCTTTCGTGGCGCTACTGGTGTTTGCCTCTGCAATCAGAGCACGAAGTCGGACAGCTAGGGCGCTGAGCCCTGTAACGCTGCGTAGGCAGGCTAGAAACAACTCCAAATCGACATGTTCTTCTTGCAAGAGCGTCCAGTAGTTCGGAAGGATGGCTGTGACTAGGACCTGGACGATTTGCGCCGAGAGAGGGGTAGGTTCGTGAACGTTGAAGCTGGTATTGTCCGTGCCCAAGAAGCGCAATGAGGAGATGAGAGAATCGTAGCCCGGCTCACTTCGGAGGATCTCGAGAGCTTCGTCGGCAGAGCTGGCACTGCTCTGCTGTCGCTCGGGCGTCTTCGATGGTGCTGCAATTGCAGGCTTCACCTTCTGGAAGAGCGGGGGCTCCTCCCTAGCCGTCTCGTCATCTTTTTCGCTCGAGCAGAACAGTAATGCGTCCATCAGATTGCGCAAGTCGATTATAGAGCTTTCATCTGCTCGTTCTAAGCTGCGTGCTAGTTTTGCTGCAGGTTGTGTATGTTGGCAGCCGTGTCGCCCAAAATGCAGGCTGGCTTCACAGCGGGGACGCCTGTTGCAGCTGCGCTTATCGATAAGCAGCCCAGCCTCGTTCGCTCCTGCTCACTCGAATATTATGCACTCGCTGCTGAATCCTCCATCGTTCAGCAAACGCAGCCATAACGCGACTCTCCTGAGTAGACATCACGACTCGAAAACGGCAAGAATAGGAGGCGGAATAGGAGCGGGAACATGGCAGCGACCGACGCCGAGACAGGCTCTGGGCGGCGATGGTGAGGACGCACGTGGTGGCATACTCTCCGGGCTTTCCTCATTTGGCTGACCGAGCTGTCTGCAGGAAGCACCTGGACCAGATACGGACGACGCCAGGACCATTCACACCGATGGAGGCCGGGTTTGACCCGGAGCAGGTGGTGCCTTTTATCGACAAGATGAAGGTGCTCGTCATCGGGGCAGGCGGGCTTGGCTGCGAGATCCTCAAGAACTTGGCGCTGTCAGGGTTCAAGGACATCCACGTGATCGACATGGACACGATCGACATCTCGAACCTCAACCGGCAGTTCCTGTTCCGGCAGTCAGACGTGGGCAAGTACAAGGCAGAGGTGGCGGCACGGTTCGTCATGCGGCGGGTGCGCGGCGTGACGATCACACCGCACAACCGACGGATCCAGGACTTTGACCAGACTTTTTACATGCAGTTTCAAGCAGTTGTGTGTGGTCTCGACAGCATCGAGGCGCGGCGGTGGATCAACGCGATGCTAGTGGACCTGGCCGAGAACGGCGATGACGACGGGGCCGGCGACGCGATCAAGCCGCTCATCGACGGCGGCACCGAGGGTTTCAAGGGCCAGTCGCGCGTCGTCATTCCGACGCTGACATCGTGCATCGAGTGCCAGCTAGACATGCACGCACCACGCGCGGCCGTGCCGCTGTGCACGCTAGCCAGCATCCCGCGGCAGCCCGAGCACTGTATCGAGTGGGCACACGTGATCGCCTGGGATCAGGAGCAGCCGTTCCCAGCTCTGGACAACGACGACCCCGAGCACATCACCTGGCTGTACCACAAGGCGCTGGGCCGTGCGGCTGAATTTGGCATCGCCGGCGTCACCTACGCCCTCACCCAGGGCGTGGTCAAGAACATCATCCCTGCCATCGCGTCCACCAATGCCGTCGTCGCTGCTAGCTGCTGCAACGAGGTCCTCAAGATCGCCACCAGCATCGCCCCCTCGCTCGGCCTCGAGGACAACTACATGATGTACTCGGGTAACGACAGCATCTACACATATACCTTCAAGCACGAGCGCAAGGACGACTGTCCCGTCTGCTCGCCCGACCAAAAGGCCCGCCCCCTGCCCACCGACCTGTCTGTCACCCTGTCCGACTTTCTCGACTCTTTCAGCGACCGCCCTGAGGCCCAGCTCAAGAAACCGTCCGTGCGCGCTGAGGGGCGCACGCTTTACATGCGCTCGCCCCCCAGCCTCGAAGAACAGACCCGTCCAAACCTTCACAAGACGCTGGCCGACCTCGGTCTCGAGCACGGCTTCGAGGTTGTCATCACCGACCCGGCCTTTCCTAGCCTCGTCTTCAGCTTCGTCCTTGTCCCAATCGCCTAGCATGGACCGGATATGTGAACAAATCAAAGAAAGAAAAGGAGACCAAAAAAACTTTCGCATTTTATGCAGGAATGATTCAAGTTCTGCTTTGCTGTGTGTAGCTATTGTTCCGCTTTCGGTTCTGGCTCGTGTGCCCCATTGATTGCTTGTGGTATCCTGGACGCCATATATGCCCATCCGCCCCTGTTTTAATACTGTATACACGTATCTAATTGTTCTCCGTAGCAGGACGAGAATGCGCCTCTCGTGATCTTCTTCCTTGCACTCTTTTCCCCCACTTATCGGATCATGTTCATGACCTGCTTCTCCATCTTCTGGCACTTGATCTTCAGCAGCCTGATGGACTCAAGAAAGAGCTCGTCGCTGTTCCACTGGCCGGTGCTCTCGATCGAGTAGATGAAGTGGTCTCTGCGGCGGCCCAGCTTCACTTTTTTCTGGAACTCGGGGTGCCGCAAGCACTCACGGCTGACAGTGTCGCGCATCGGGTCGACCACAACGGCCTTGTCGTCGCCAATGTGGTCGACGTAGGCCTCGTCCTGCGCGGCGTCCTTCCGGGTGACCTTTTCGAGGCCGATGACGCCGTCGGGGAAGCAGCTGGCAAATTTGACAGCGTCGGCGCCTAGAATAGGCTGCAGGATGGTGATCGTGGGCAGCAGCCGGTACGAAGCTGTGCACACGGGCGAGAACTTGGCGTGGTCTGAGCCGATGCCCTTATGCATATGCATCTCAATGTCGATGGCCTGGCCGGGCCGCAACTTAGCCACGAGGATGTCGGGGTTGACGGGCCGGATGGCGTTCTCGCCCGAAAAGACCGACGGCTGGTTGCCCTCGGGGACGAACTCGATGTCGCGGGCGTACACGTGGGCGTTGTGGTAGAGCTTCAACGGGTCGGTCTCGCCGGGCGCGGCGCTGCGGTTGCGCGTGCACTCGACCTGCAGCTTCAGCTTGATGGTGTTGTAATCAAACGAGGGCGGAAACTCGTTGGGGTCGGCGTCGGGACCCGGCCGCTTCCACCACTTGATAAAGTTGCGCAGGCCGTCGTATCCGCCGGTAAAAGGGATCAGGCCCAGGCGGTGTGCCAGCACCTCGTCCTGGATCACAGACGTATTGTTGTCGATGTAGGCTGTCTCGATCGCAACGGTGGGGATCTCCGAGATCATGATGCGGCGGAACGCATTCGCGATGCTGGCATCGACGCCGATGAGTGAAAACGAGGCCTCGAACTGCTCGTTCTGGTGAAACTGGATCTGGAGCTTGTTGCGAAACTCGTCGACATCCCATGCGAGATCTTCGCCCGGGTAGTTTCCCGGAAATTCAGTAGTTGAGACATTGGTGACCGTCTCGTAGTTGACGCCGACCGTCTGTAAAGTTAGAGCGTGGGATGTCTCGAGACGGAAAAGTCATCATACCTGTCGCCGCTCAAGCTCCTCTTTGGTGGGCTTCACGATGGGCGCCATTGTGCTCGCATGCTGCTTGCAGCATTGACTGAATGAAGATTCACCAGCCGATACGTTTTTTTCCAAGTTTTTTTCTTATCGGCGATAAGAGATAACCAGCAAGTTAGTAAGCCGCAGACCCATATATAAATGCATTGTCCAATGGCGTACTCCATACTTTCCTGTAATTCGTAGTATATGACTCGCTGGGAAAAGTGGACCGGCTCGGAATTTCACTCTTCCGTGATCTGGTTCTTTCCCGCAAGCTCGGATCTTGACGGGCAGCCAATGTCGAAAGGGTCCGTCTTGCCGCACCAGATCCTCTCCCCTCCTCCGGTCCGATACCTCCCCCCCCCTCCCCCCAAATCCCGTGACGGTCAACGCGGCTCCAGACGAGCTATCGGCATCGTGGAAGTGGGCTGTTCGCGAGGACAATTATCTGCTGGTGCAATTGACCCATCCGGCCTGCCAGCATTCCCTTTCGCCTGGGAAAAAAGAACACAAAATTAAAACGGGCGATTTACCCCCAACACACGACGAACGATGACGGGCATCTACCGGCTGGCCGGCCGCGGTGCCAAACGGCTCTGCCTGAGGCCGGCTGCCGCTTCCGGCGCTTCTATTGGCGGCAATCCTGCGATGCTGTGCACACGGCCAGCGACGGCTGCACGACGGACATCCTCGGTGCTCCGCGCATTCTCGACGACGGCTCTGCGCGCCAACGCCTCGCCCTACGAGGGCCAGGAAACCCGACTTATCCCGGTCGGATCGGACTTTGAGCTGCCCAGCTCGGAAAGCCTGCTGTCGAGGCAGCTGCCCCCGGATGAGGCGACGTCGAAGCGGCCGCACCAGGACTCGGTCGAGGGCCGCAAAATCCGGCATTATACGGTCAATTTTGGGCCTCAGCACCCGGCTGCGCACGGCGTGCTCCGGCTGATCCTCGAGATCAACGGCGAGGAGATTATCCGGGCGGACCCGCACGTCGGCCTGCTGCACCGCGGCACGGAGAAGCTATGCGAGTACAAGACGTATCTGCAGGCGCTGCCGTACTTTGACCGGCTCGACTACGTGTCCATGATGACCAATGAGCAGTGCTTCGCGCTGGCGGTCGAGAAGCTGCTGAACATTGAGATCCCCCAGCGCGCAAAGTACATCCGCACCCTCTTTGGCGAGATCACACGCGTTCTGAACCACCTGATGTCGGTTCTGTCGCACGCCATGGACGTCGGCGCGTTGACGCCCTTCCTTTGGGGCTTTGAGGAGCGAGAGAAGCTGATGGTGAGTCTGTGCGATCGTCCGCCGCCCTGTCTTTTTTGCTGATCGGTCCATAGGAGTTCTATGAGCGCGTGTCGGGCGCCCGTATGCACGCGGCCTACGTGCGGCCCGGTGGTGTGCACCAGGACATCCCGATCGGTCTGCTCGACGACATCTACCAGTGGGCGACGCAGTTTGGCGACCGCCTGGACGAGACCGAGGAGATGCTGACGGACAACCGGATTTGGATCAACCGGCTGCAGGGCGTCGGCGTCGTGTCGGCTGCCGAGGCCCTGAACCTCTCCTTTACCGGCGTCATGCTGCGTGGTTCCGGCGTACCGTGGGACATCCGCAAGGCGCAGCCGTACGACGCGTATGACCAGGTCGAGTTCGACGTACCTGTGGGCATCAACGGCGACTGTTACGACCGCTACCTCTGCCGCATGGAGGAGTTCCGCCAGTCGCTGCGCATCATCCATCAGTGCCTGAACCAGATGCCGGCTGGCCCCATCCGCGTCGAGGACTACAAGGTGTCACCGCCTCCGCGTGTCGCCATGAAGGAGAACATGGAGGCCCTGATCCACCACTTCCTGCTCTTCACCAAGGGCTACACCGTGCCGCCCGGCGACACGTACAGCGCCATCGAGGCGCCCAAGGGCGAGATGGGCGTCTACGTCGTCAGCGACGGCAGCGAGCGGCCCTACCGCGTGCACATCCGCGCCCCTGGTTTTGCCCACCTCGCAGGCTTCGACCACATCTCGCGCGGTCACCTGTTGGCCGACGCTGTCGCCATCATCGGCACCATGGACTTGGTGTTTGGTAAGTCCCACCGCGCACACATTTCCCCTCAGCCCTCTGACTAATCTTTGCAGGCGAGGTTGATCGGTAATGACACGACGCGGACGAGTCGGGAGGGGTTTGTGTGTAGAGGAGCGGCCCACGACTGTGAATATAGCACGGAGAGATGTAGAAACATTCAAAACGTACCTCAATGGGACGTTATTCTTTTACTACGTTTTCTTTTTGCCTGGTTTAGAGATACGTGACCGTGCAGCCACACATAGACCCGAGGCCTTCTGGAAAGCCGGTATATCCCTTGAGACAGAAGTTCTCTGTCCGAAACCTATGGTCTAGAGGTGACTTTCTGGTTTAACAATTTCTGCCCTGTAAATGAACCCAGTGTTGGCGCAGATACTCCTTCTGTTAGGCCACTTGTAGTTGAATTTGGGCGGGTTTAGCAGTTTACGCTACTTTAATGAGACATACAACCGTTCTTCTTAACAGCTTTTATATGGCTTTAGACCGTTTGCAAAAGGCAGGTGCGACTGGGCAGCGCAGAGACGATATCAAATCCTGCAAGTCGATGCCACCATTTCAGAGCATTAAAACGGTAAAGGAGAGACAACTGCACCCCATCGAAGACCGCTCCAAAGCAAGCTTACAAGAAAGCGGTGGCCATGTTGAAAATCATCGTCATTCATCACTTCTTCTCCTGGATTACGTATTCGCCAATCCTGTCTTTTTGCTTGTCATCATGCAATGCTGCATCCAGTCTCGATCTCGTCCCTTCTCGCCTATTCATCACCGCGTCCCGCCGGCGGCCTGACGCATGAGAAAGGCCTTGACCGGTTGCAAGGCGTCGACGGCGCGCAGGCCCCACGATCGCAGCGGCACCAGCGGGCCGTTCTCGACCACATACAGCTTGTGCAGCTTATCGCAGACGCCCAGAAGCACGTGATTGGCTGCATAACGTTCAGCCGGGTACGGCTCCAGCGACGAGCGCACGCCCAGGTCCTGGCCATGTGCCACGGCATAGGCGATTGCGCGTGCCAGGCTCTCGACGTCGCCCTGGCCCTGGTTGAGGCCCTGGCCGGCCAACGGATGCACCGTGTGGGCGGCGTCGCCGACCAAGGCCACCCGCTCGCCCACGTATGCGTCGGCGTGGCGCATCCGCAGCGGGAACGAAGCCACGGTGCCGGCCTGTACGCCGACGACATGGGGTGGCATGTCTGCCACATCCGGCACGCCTCCGCCCTCCTGCTGCAGCCGCCAGGCCACCTCGTCCACCTGCCCTGACGGCTGGCCGTGCAGGTATGTCAGTTCGACAGGCCGCAGCCGGAAAGCCGCATTGACCAGGGCCACAAAGTCGTCGGGCGCCAGTGATCGCAGCCGTGCCGCTCGCTCCGGCGTCGTCGACCAAACCAACGTCGCCAGCCGGCCCGGCAGCGGCAGCATGGCCACCGGACCCGTCGGCAGAAAGCGCTGGTAGGCCGTCTTACGGCCAGCACCCAAGATGGCGCTGTCCTCGTCCAGCTCCAGCGTGGCCACGACGCCGTGCCGACCGTAATACCAGCCACATGCCTCAATGTCGGCAAACGTCCGCACGGGGCTGTTGGCGCCGTCAGCACCCACCAACAGCCGTGCCAGCAACGTCTTGCCGCCGCTGACCCGAACGGCCGGCCACTCAGACAGGTCTAGGCCATCATCCGCTTTACCGTACTCAATGCTGTCCACGCGCGCGCCGTCAAACACGGCCACGCCGCCCAGCTCGTCCAGCCGACTCAGTAGGCCTGCCGTCAAATTGCTGTTCTCCACCATGTACGCCACCGTCGATCCCGTGTCCGACGGCATTGTCGCTCCCACGGGCTGGTCAAAGGCAATGCGCGCCCCCGACACGCCGTCCCACACTCGCATCGCCTCGTACGCCTGCACACGCTCGCGGCGCATGTGGGTCCAAGCACCGATGCGGTCGAGGTAGCGCGCGGAAGAGGGCGTCAGCGAGCTGCAGCGGTTAGCAAACTTCTCTGGCGCCGGTGAGTAGGCCCGCAGTTGGTCGAGGTCCTGGGCCTCCACAAGCGCCAAACGAAGTCCAGCTGTGACCGGGTTTGCGCCTGGAAGAGAGGACGATTGCGCTGGTCAGCGGCACGGCCCATTCATGTAGATGCCGCAAGAGAAACATGCGGGAGGCTTGGGTACTAACGCAAGGCCGTCAAGAGGCTCAGACCGGCCGGTCCGCCGCCAACACAGACCACGTCATAGATGTCATCCGCTTTGGCTGTCCCAGCATTTCCTGCTGCGCTGGCAAACTGCCGTCGGTACTGCCACAATTGGCCCTGTCGCTGTCCATTTATTTCAAACTGCCGCGTGCAATTCCGGCGAACAAAGCGCGCCGTTGTCGTTCGACCGAACATCATTTTGTTCTTCCGGTGTCGTGACACTCAACACGAGTTGAAAGCCGTGAAGTTGAATCACTTGCGGATTTTCATTGGGTGGAGCTTACCATATAATTGCGGGGCTCTCTCGCATGATCATATGAGTTTCCCTACCAACAACAAGTATTATGAGCCAGTGCGAGTAGAGAATCATTTTCTTCTCACTTTCCTTCATGACAACATTCTCACCTCATCAATTAGGAACACGAGAGGAACAAATAAAATTATAGACTTAACAAACATCATGCCAAACAGCGGACAACTAAAATTAATTACAAGAGTAGCAGAGCTCCATCTCTTTGCAAAGTACAATCTTGCTCTTCCTCGGATTGTATGTTGCAGCATGCGCTTGGTTACGCCGCTATACCAATCAAATTGTTACAAAGCAATGTATGCCTTATTTGATGGTTAGAGGATCCTGCCGGCTTTCAATGTCGTTGTCCACAAATGTCCCTTTGCCCCGGTCGTCTGCCTTGTCCCGGAAGCCCCCGCTGCTGACAGGACTAACACTGTCCCTGTATTTCTTGCCGCCACCCTGGACGTAGTTCTGGCCCGAGGCACCAGCCGTACTACTCTCAAAGTCGCCCGTCTCCGGCTTCCAGTCGCGGAGGTCGTCCTCGGCATCGTTGAGGATCTGGCGCGCCTGCGCGGTTGCCGTATACGGCGGACGAGTATCCCCTGGCACAACAGGCGTGTCGTCAAGCAGTCTAAGCAGGCGCCGCCCGTGTCGAGCAAGAACAATCTGCTTCTCTCCCCGTTCGATGATCGCCGCAAACTCAGCCTCATATGCCTCCTTCAGTTTCTGGCGAGTCTGGGCCGGGTCAGCGCGCTCAACATGCAGAATAGAGAAGTAGTAGGATGTGAGATAGGGCCTACTATATTGGACAACTGAGCCTCAGCGACGAGGTTTTCAGCCTCGGCGCGGACGAGCTCCTGCTCGAGCACCACGAGGCGAGGACTGTCAGACTCCCTGCTCTTGATCTTTGCGATCTCATCGGCGATCTTGGCCTTGCTATCCCGGCTCGGCTGCACGCTCTTCTCCGTGTTACGGATCACCTTCAGGATGTCGCGGCTTTCGTCAATGGCATGGGCGTATGAGTCCTCGTGGTCGCCAATCTCCGAGAGAACCACGCCAACCTTGTCGCTGACGTCGGAAATGGCATCGTCACCCGTCTGTTCGCCCCACTCGGACAGCTGCGTCGCGATAGAGACGCGCTCACGGCCAGCCGTCTCGTGAGCTGTGACGAGCGTGTTCTCTGACTTTATGAGGCGGTAGAGCCTCTTCGAGAGCTCTGGTTGCGTGGTGCCGCGCAGGGATGGAAACGAAAAGCCACGACGACCTCCCGAGGCGCTGCCGCCATTCGAGCTCGAAGTGTTTTTACCCGAGCGGATCGAGATGGAGCGGTTCCTGCGAGCCAAAGGTCAGATACAGCTCGAATTTCAGAAACAAACACTAACATGACGTACTGCTCGGAGCTAATCCGAGGCAGCCAGCCCATGTCTTGCAAAGGAGCAGGAAAAAGGAGTGAGACTGAGAAAGTAAAGACGACAAAACACAAATTGCAGAAAGAGAGAGCTGTGGTTGTCGCATGCACTCACATCATCCTGACAAACTTGAACTGGTAAACACAATCGTCTCAAGGCGTCTATGGCAGTATATGGTTGGGGAGCTAGTTGACCAATAGCTCCTTCCCAGAACTTGGGTATGTTACAATCCTTCCAAATATGTCAGGAGAGATCGAATCAGGAAGTGGCGGATGCTGCGGGAAACGAATGAACAAGACGGTTGGAAATAATAAAGCAACAGTGGAAGTAATAATGCAGAATGACTCTGGCCAAGTAAAAAGAATACTTTTATGCAATAGCTCGATAATTCAATTCTTTACAAATGTTCTCTTATACAAAGGATCCTGATGGCGACAAGGTATGCTATGACATCATAGCGCCCCGCCACCATATCGTCATCCGCTAGTAATCTATACTCCCCGTGTGTGAGACACTGTAGACTCAGCATTCCCCCAAAGCATACTAACGCCTCGCTCCTGTTTTAGTACCGTAATTGTGACAGCTGTCCTTCATGACCAATGCCTGAGTGATAACTCGTAGTACTCATACGTGGGGCAGCCGTTCGGTGGACGGACGAGTAGCTGGAACGTCCATAGACCACTTGAGCCGGCACAGCAATGCGACGCGGGACAGATACGCCATAATGCTGGTGGTGCCCATGGTGATGCCGAGCGGGAATGATCTCCTCGCGGTAGTAGTAGTTGGTGCGAAATGCAGGAATACACATTTTGGCGTGGCAGACAGGATATGGCGGGTGTGTGGACGTGTGCAGCTGCTTTTGGATAAACTGACTCTTGCTGTGATCCTGTGGTGGTGGAAAAGGATGGGAGAAACGCTGGCTATTTATTGACCGGACTAGCCGCCAGTTCGCAATTATCCTCATCTCCAATACGACAAGGCAAGTCAGTTACCCGGCCATTGTCTGTCATTTCAACCCCGTTTAGCCTTGCATCCTCTGCCTTCTCGCGTGCCAAGGTCGCCGTAAGACGATGCAGAGAAGCCCTTCTGACATGTGGTGGTGTGGGTGACGTCGGATTGGGGTTTAGCACGTCGCCTATCCTTGGGGGCTGAGCCTCGCCAGGTGATACTATTCGTGGCAGCGTCTGAATCAGCCACCTAGTGGCCTCGACCGGCTTCCGCCCATTCTCGATGATGGCTGCACGCTGACATACACTACATCAGGAGACATAGGCCAGCTGAAGGCAGTCAACTCGAACCAGTTTAGGGCCGACTATTGGCGAATAGCAACACCTTCGTATTTGACGAGTTACTTCAATGGAAGATCTAGGAACGTAGTGATTTGTAGGCCTCTCATCTTTTAGGATTCATTTGTGTTTGTATTTCGTCTCCCATTTTCTGCCCATGCAGCTCGGGTTTCCCTATGTTCGATACCTACTGCTTTTTCAGTCGCTTGTCCTCGTATAATCCCTCTCCTCGATTTGATGTTACATTGATCAGAAGCCATATAAAAGGAAAAACCCACGTTCCCCATCTATTTCCTGGCAAACTTCAGATCCACAGTTCCAATCAGCCAGGCTGTCGCAAACACGGCGAGTGCGCTGGAAAATATGATGACCGGCTTGCGCAGGCTGGACAACAGCGTGTATTCGTACGAGACGACGACCTCCCGGTCCCGAAGGTCATCCACCAGATTGTGCGCCTCAATGACCAGTGCCGTCCGGCCCAGGGTGTCCAAAAAGGTCCTGTGCAGCGTCACTTCCGACTTGTCGATCGAAGTGGTCGGGATGGAGGTATAGTACTTGACGTTCCTGTGCCGAATGTTAGTGCGCACGTTTTACTTTTACCGGCGAGCTTCACGATCTCGGGGCGGGTGGGGACTTACTCGGCTCCCTCAGGTAGTATAATCCGAAGCCGCACCTGCTCATATCCAACTCCTTCGACCTGCTTGGGACCCTCCAGGAAGGGCACCCTGAGGACATAGCTATCACCAGCGAGGCGGCGCAAGAACGTCTTCGCATCAGCGTTCCAGCCGATGGTAAAGGGAAACTTCCATCCTCCGAAGACGGGGTAGCGTGGCTTGATCTCCAGGACTGCCTCCCGCTTGTTGGACCGGAACCGGGACGTGGACACATTGCCGATCACATCTGTGTAATACGCATCTGCGCTGCCTAGACGCAGCGGGAACTTCAACTCCTTGAGTGCCGACGTCGCTGGGTTGTAAAACTGCGACTGCGCCCACTTGACGCGGTTGAACAGAGTCGACAGGTTGGCGCCGCGGTTCAGCAGCGTGTAGCGCTCTTCAAACGCCACATTGCCTCCCCAGTGGCTGACCTCAATATCGCGCTCCAGCCGGGCCACGTGGTTGACGGGCTTGGTGAACTCAAAGCGCACCTCCACGGGCAGCACAGCGCCGGCCGGCTGCTCGTCAAAGGGGCCGTACGTCAGCTTGGAGCCCTGCTTCTGCGGCTGGTCCTTGCCGTCGATAGCCGCAAGCTTGGTGTAGTCGGGCACATCGGTGGACGCGAACTTGACCTCGGTCTTCTGTTTCGACGTGGTGTAGGCTGACGGGACGTAGGCAGAGAAGCTGTAGACCAGGTACTGCTTGTCGTCCTGGGCAATCAGGGCGGGCAGCGGCCGGAAGTCGCCGATAACGTAGTAGGTGATGCCGAGAGTCTGCTGTGCGCCTGCCGCCAGCGGCTTCGGAAGGTTGATGCGGTAGTACTGGACGTCACTGGACAGGGAGAAGGAAGAGCTTGTCAGCCAAGGCGAACCACCACCGAACGAGCACAGGATGCAGGCCAGGCCCTCACCTCTCTGCGTCGACCTCCACAGCTTCCGCGACAAAGGCACCAGCACTCCCTTCCTTCCGGTCCTTCACCTCGAAGCCGCCAATGTGGGCTGCCTTTGCGGTTGGGAAGGGCAGGTAGTATTCATCTTGCGGTTTGCTGTCAATGTTCTCAATCACGACATTGATCGTCTCCTTGACAAAGCTTTTCTCGAGCGACAGCACGTGTACCAGATTGGCATTCTTGAAGACCGGGAACGGGACAAATGCTGCAGCGACAGAGGTTGAGAGGGCGAGCAGCAGCGCCGGCAAGGCTCCTGGAGTCAAGCGCATCGTCGGGGCGGAGCTCAGAAGCAGAGCTGCTCGTCAATGAGCTGCTTGATCCTACGGCAAAGATGAGTAGGAGTTGCGGTCACCAGAATGGAGAGCAGAAGGGAACGTGGGGAAGGGGGAGAGGTAAACAACGGTTGGTTCGCTGGTCGGACCGTTATCGTGGTGCGCAGGTGGGCAACGAAGCTCGAAAGGCCACACACCAAAACTGCACAACACCGTGTTCTCAGTTTCTCAGAGCCGCTGTCAAAACCGGCTCCGCACGTAATAGCTTACGTAGCCAAAGCTCCTCCCTCTCCTGGTCCGTGCACAGATAGGCAAGCCACAGTCTGGAAGGAGTGTGGCTGGTCCTGACTTGGAACTCTCGGCTTTTTTTTCGCACTCTTGGCTATTACGGGGATCCGTCAACAGCGCATACACTTTCCTAGATCTGCAGCCTGCCCCTCTCGGCAGCCATGTTGTAAAGCTCGCTGTATCTTTTGCGCATCACGCATGAAGTCGTCCTCTAATCATATGATCCTGATTCGGCTTGAGTAAGAGTGCGCCGAACATAACAACGGCTGCGACTTCCTTGCTACCCGTAGCTTCCTTCCCCTTTGAGTCCTTTTTCGCGTCGTATGTCGTCTTCCCATACGTAGATAAAATCGAGCCGCCACGGGATCGTATTGGGGGCCCTAGAGACGAATTCGCCCTGAGCAGAAAAACAGCTCAGCACACTAGACGGAGAAATTCTCGCAATTGCTCAAAACGTGCGGCGATTGTAGACCCTTGTCCTCGCCTGCATCTGGGCCAGACGATTGGCCTGACAGAGCACGGCTTATATGGTCTCGAGTTCCAACGGCATTTCCCCTTGGCTCGTATGTAGCTTGCAGCTTCGCAGCTTCCCCACCGACTAACAGTCTATTTTTACCCCTCTCTTTTGACTCTTTCTCTCTTCTCTCCGTCACTCGTCTTTTCGCCAGCTGAACAGGTCTTCCACTGAGCAACAGAACGTTCCGACCTCCTCCTACAGCTTTTAGTCCACCGGGCAGTTCGGCTCGCGCATCACACAGCACCGTCAATATGGTTGGTCTGGGTCCAAAGCCCCCCCCTTCCCGAAAGGGAACAGGTACGTGAAGTGGAAGCGCGTCGCCTTACCGATGAAACGAATGCGCGTGCGGCATGCGGCTATATGCGTACCTGCTGTTCCTGCTACTTACGACCATCCGTCTGGCCGGCCTGCTTTGTTCTGGCCGGCCGTTCTGCACCGATCGAATGCTACATCACGTTCCTCCCCGCTCGACACAACCCCATTACAAGATACATGAGCACGCGAACACACGAGCACCATCTACACCGTCTCGCTTACCCTCTCTTTCTTCTTCGTTATCCCCGGTATTACTGCACCCTTACTTGGAAGTCGTCCTATTGTTTCGATGACACACTCCGTTGTCCGGAGACATTCGGGAGACGTGCCGCCGAATGCTGTTGGCTACCAGCGATTGCTTTCCATCCACACTCGCTTTCTACATCATCCCCCCCCCACACAAGCCACACCCTCTGCGAACTTGGTTCACTGCGTCATCGGCAGTACACCGGTCGCGCTAGATCTATTATTCGCCGGACCAAGCCTGCTGCCGCTCGTTCGTACCCTGTCGTTCCCAGAGAAAGCCGACGAGCTAGTATCTTGGAAATACGGGCAGTCTGGATCCACGGCGAAGCGGACTAGGAGGGTCCGACATCTGCGGCTCTCGCTGTTACTATCACACAGGCTAGCCGACCGGCTACTGGTGCATAGTAGTGCATGGTGCTCGTCTGACCCCCCCCCTCTACTTCACTTACCCCTTGTCCTCTTTATTGCCGTCCGGCTTGTTTTGGTAGTCTCATTGAAAGCTACATATAAGCCGCGCGAACCTGAACTTGGGCTAGCAGCTTGTTCTTTGCCACCCCTTCGTGCTACCCAACATCTTCTCTTCCTTCCTTTTTACGTCAATTTCAATTTGTACATATTCTGCCACTTCTTTCTGCACATCTGTCTATATCTGGACGGTTACACCCAAGGACAATCGGACCTCGAACTTGCAAAGTTCCTCGGCTGTCCTCTGCAAAATCATGGCAGCTGTCACACCTCCTCTGACTCCCGGCCGATTGGCAGGCTCGTGGGCCAAGGAGCGCACGGAGCATGTCGAGAACATAAACTGCAAGCCTGCCGCACTCTGTCTATATAGAAGCAGGATGGACTAGAATTGTACGAAAGTGTGTGCTAATGTGTCTTGCAGGCATTTTCAACGATCTCAAGCAGGAGATCGAGAAGTTGGAGCAGATGTTTACTGTGCCGGGCGAGAAGCTCAAGGCCATCACGGCACACTTTGTGACGGAGCTGGACAAGGGCCTCAGCGTTGCGGGCGGAAGCATTGTGAGTTTGTCACTTGCTGGTGCGACCTAGGGTGGTGTGCTGACACGGCATCACACATCACAGCCGATGAATCCGACGTGGGTGATGTCGCTGCCTGACGGCTACGAAACGGGGACGTTTCTGGCACTGGACATGGGCGGCACGAACCTGCGGGTCTGCGAGATCACGCTCACGGACCAGAAGTCAGAGTTTGACATAATTCAGTCCAAGTACCGCATGCCGGAGGAGCTGAAGTCGGGTGATGCTGAGGAGCTCTGGGAGTACATCGCCGACTGCGTGCACCAGTTTGTGGAGACACACCACAGCGACGTGGCCAAGCTCGAGAAGCTGCCCCTCGGGTTCACGTTTTCGTACCCGGCGACGCAGCACTACATTGACGAGGGTGTGCTGCAGCGGTGGACCAAGGGGTTTGACATTGCTGGCGTCGAAGGCCGCAATGTTGTCCCCATGTTCGAGGCGGCTCTAGCGGCTCGTGTAAGTGCAGCATAGAGCGGATGTCTTGTGTAAGCAAGAGCTGACAGTCGAATAGGGAACACCGATCAAGATGGCTGCCCTGATTAACGACACGACCGGCACGCTGATTGCGTCGGCTTACACGGATACGAAGATGAAGATCGGCTGCATCTTTGGCACGGGCTGCAACGCCGCGTACATGGAGAATTGCGGGTCAATTCCTAAGCTGGCCGATATGAACCTGCCGCCTGACCTGCCGATGGCGATCAACTGCGAGTGGGGCGCTTTCGACAACGAGCACAAGGTGCTGCCTCGGACACCGTATGACGTCATTATTGACAACGAGTCGCCGCGTCCCGGACAGCAGGCTTTCGAGAAGATGATTGCCGGCCTGTACCTGGGCGAGATCTTCCGCCGGACCTTGGTGGATCTGCACGACAACCACGAAACGCACATTTTTGCAGGCCAGGACGTTTCCAAGCTGCGCCGTGCCTACACGCTAGACTCGTCTTTCCTGTCGGCCATTGAGGAGTACGTTGGCGCCACTCGTCCCATGACTTGATTCATGTTTATTCATTTTAATCTATTTGCACCCTTCTGTCTGGCATCCTGCGGCTAATACTCAACCCCCTCTTTCTAGTGATCCGTGGGAGAACCTGCAGGAGACATTTGATCTGTTCCGGGACAAGCTCGGCCTCAGCCCCAACCTACCGGAGCTGGAGCTGGCACGCCGGCTAGCAGAGCTGATCGGCACGCGGGCAGCACGGCTCTCGGCATGCGGTGTGGCTGCCATTGCGACGAAGAAGGGATACAAGACATGCCACGTCGGCGCCGACGGCTCTGTGTTTAACAAGTACCCACACTTTAAGGCGCGGGGTGCCCAGGCTCTTCGGGAGATTCTTGACTGGCCGGAGAAGACGGACCCGACGGAGGAGGACCCGATTGAAATTCTGGCGGCCGAGGACGGAAGTGGTGTGGGGGCGGCACTGATTGCGGCTCTGACGCTGAAGCGGGTGCAGGAGGGCAACCTGTCGGGGATTTTGCACCCGGAGAACTTCAAGTGAAAGGGATGAAAACTAGATGCTATCCCCTTCCGTGTTCTCTGGCACGATTGGATGACAAGTGTAATTTAGGTGCGAGATAACACAGCAAATGAATGTGTGTGCCAAATCTTGGAGAGAGAGAGAGAGAGAGAGAGCGTGAGAGAGAAGGACGAGGTTCAGCCATCAGCCCATGAACGTGCAGACGGGCAGACGGTATTCTGTATGAGGTCAGCAGGTGGTTTCCTTGGGAGCTTGGAGGGATTCAAAGGCGACGAGCTTACTGTCTAGGGTCCAATAGGGACGGACGATGCCTTCCCAGGCACCCTTTCCAGGAGCATCAAGTCCATCATCAGCCAAGGCAACGTCGACATCGTGCCAGGTGACGTCGAAGCCAGCTTCGGAGAGATGCATTTCAACGACGCGGGTATAGACGTCGTAGCAGATGCGGCGATCGGCGCCGAGACCGTGGAAGAAACCAAAGACGCCGTCGTCGTGCAGCAGGCCGGGGATGTAGTCGGAGAAGAAGCGGTGCAGCTGGGCGTAGTCCTCGCCAAAGGTGTCAAAGTAGATCGCGTCATAGAGCTCGCCCTGGGCCAGCAGGACAGGGCAGAGATCCTGCCAGCGGCCGCGATGGACCTTGAAGGCGCCCGGCTGTGGTCCTGTGGCCTCCCAGGCAACGCCAAAGTCAGCCGCGTGGTCATGGCTTTCATCCTGGGCCTCTGCTGGCCGGTCCAATCGTGCGAGCACGTCTGGATGCGCCTCGATGATGTGATGGCGGGCCGGACGGCGGGCGGCCAGCATGCTGTCGATGATGCCGAGGCCGAAGCCGATGTTGAGCACGCGCTTTCCCTCGCCAGCATCACCCAACAGCCCGTCGACGCTGCGGCGCATAATATCCGTCTCCCAGGCCATCATGACGCCGTTGCCGGCCGCGTCGACGAGCTTGCCGTCGGTCAGCGTCAGGTGCGACTCGAGATAGGGCGCCTCGGCCTTGGTCTCTTCGGTCTCGGCATCCGTCTTCTCGGCCTCGACCACGACCACATCCTCCTCGACCAGCACGTCCTCCTCGGCCGTCGTCCCCTCCTCCTCGACCATCACGCCCTCGTCGTCCTCGTCCTCGTCGCCCGAAGAGAGCTCCTCGTATCCGCCCAGAACGGCAAACAGCATCTCGGCCCGCACGCCCGCGTTGACGCACAGCTCGTACAGCGCCGGCCGGCCCAATCGCCAGGCCACGCAGCCGGGTGTCTCGTTGTGGTCGTCCACGTCGTTCCAGATGGCCCCCGCCGTCAGCAGCTGCCGCACCGTCGCTTCGGCCGCCGTCATGTCCATCTCCTCGTCCGACCCGCTTCCCGCACCCATCGACCGGATCGCTGCATGCAGCGGGCTCTCGCCTGTCGCCGGGTCCCGGCAGTTGGCCTTGCCCAGGCCCTTGAGCAGCGGCTTCAGCGCCGCAGTGTCGTGGCACCAGGCCGCTCGCAGAACCGCCTGCACGTCCTGCGGACAGTCCGGCGAGATGCGCGCATCGATGGCATCGGCGTCCGCCATCGTCTCGGATTCTGTTCTGGGGATCTTCCTTTGGTGGCGGGGTGACTTCATATTCGGTGCAAGCTCGTTGAGTCTCAATTTTCCTTTTCCACTGAAGATAAGATACCAGTTTTGTCGTCCCACTATTATCGAACGCAACCAGCCAATCACAGGTGTGCGCCTGCTCGCAACGAGCCTGCAGATTCTTTTTGATCACGTCCAACACATGTGAAATAAAAAATGCTCTTGCAGACTGCAACCTTGTTGAAACACGTGCGTCTAGTGAGCTCTAACAGCTGGCAGGTGCCAGGCTACCGTCGTCCGGATGCACTCCGCTATACTCCGTGCTCCGTACTTCGTAATGGTGAACGAATTGCACAGCAACCAGAAACCCCGCTATTACGCACCCTATTGGCCCCACAGCCTGATCTGAGTCTGGGGCGACAATGATCCACCCTGCAGTGCCTGCATTGACCAATCACAACTCTCGAATGGCCAACGTGGCTCGCTCGAGGTAAATACCTCGCAATCTGGAGCCTCGCTAAGTACCTAAGCAGCATCAGCTCCAGAGCTCCTACCACCCTTTTCGCAGTCTGAGGCTGTTTTTCGTCCTCATCGTTGGCAGCCCGTTTCCCTCGACTCTGCGCAATCAGAGCCACCGCGCCCTTGTTCGTGTTCCCATCGCTCGTTTTTTCCGGTACGTTTCATCTCCTGGTACGACTGACTTTTCTGCCGGTCTGTCTCGCTTTTGCTTTTGGCGGCCGCTATTCCAAGCGACTGCAAAACACACATTTGCGCTCCCTCTGGCAGCTGCTCGGGCTCCGCTGACCCTCGTTCACAAGCTATTCTTGCTGATTCGTGCTCTGTGCCATATATGCTGTTCGTTCTTCCCGCCCCCTGACGTTTTCTATTTTGTCCTCGTCTTGTCGTCCTTTTCCCTTCACACCGTCTACCAACAGCACTGTCTCTCGTCCATAAAACACTAGCTTTTGTTGCGACCTTGGCACTAACATATTTCCTCATGCTGGTCATCGAAGACCTCAAAACGCACAAGAAGACGTGGCAGTCTACTCCTGATCGACGGCGTAGCGCAGTCAGCAGCAATACCGTTCCCTCCTCGACCATTAGCAGAAAACACAGGCCACTCCGACGAAAAAAAGAAGTTTGCCAGCAGTTGGCGTGCGCCGCCCGGAATCGTCGTTATGAAGTTCGGCGACCAGCTGCGGTCCAGCATCATTCGCGAGTATGAATGGTCCTATCTGGACTACGAGGGCCTGAAGGACAAACTGCGGACGCCCAGCGGACCGCTTGTTGCAGTCGACGCAGCCGAACAGCAAGTGTCAGCGGGCGACAATGGCGGCAAGAAGGCGGCGAAAAATAAGAAGCAGCAGCAGCAGCAGCAGCAGCAGCAGCAGGTATTTCCACAGATGCGGCGGGAATGGACCGAGGAAGACGAGGCCGGGTTCGTGACAGTGCTGGAGAACGAGTTGGAGAAGGTGCACCAGAAGCAGCAGGTGAAGGCCATCGAGATCCAGCGGATGATTGCGGTCAGCGAGCGTGAGGTCAACGATGTGGTCAACCGGTTGCGCGAGCGTGGTACTGGGCCGGGGCCAGCCGAAGAGGAGTTTATACTGCTCGAGGAAGACCTCAGCGACATCATTGCCGACGTGCACGACCTGGCCAAGTTTGTGCAGGTCAACTACACTGGCTTCTACAAGATCATCAAGAAGCACGATGTGAGTCTGCTGTCCTTCCTGTTCTCCCGCACGGTTTCCGGTCCTCTAATGCGAATAGAAAATGACGGGATGGCACCTGCGGCCAGTGTTCGACACGCGATTAAAGGCCAAACCGTTCTACAAGGAGAACTACGACGCGTCGGTGGTGAAGCTGTCAAAGCTGTACGACCTGGTGCGGACACGCGGCAACCCGGTGACAGGCGACAGCAGCGCGGGCGGGTCGCAGGCGAGCTTCATCCGCCACACGACCAAGTACTGGGTGCACCCGGACAACGTGACGGAGCTGAAGCTGATCATCCTAAAGCACCTGCCGGTTCTGGTGTTCAATGCGAGCAAGGAGTTTGACCAGCAGGACTCGGCGATCACGTCGATCTACTACGACAACCCCGAGAGTTGGGACCTGTACGAGGGCCGGCTGAAGAAGACGGAGGGAGCAGAGGCGATCCGGCTGCGGTGGTACGGCGGGATGCGGACGGAGACCATTTTTGTGGAGCGCAAGACGCACCGAGAGGACTGGACGGGCGAGAAGTCGGTCAAGGCGCGGTTTGCGATCAAGGAGAAGAACGTGAACGCCTACATGCGGGGCGAACTGCTGCCAGCGGCGATCTTTGAGAAGGCGCGCAAGGAGGGACGCAAGTCGAAGGCGGCGATCGCAGAAGACGAGCGGCTGGCAGCCGAGGTGCAGTACTCGGTGCTGAAGAAGGGGTACCGGCCGGTTTGCCGGTCGTTTTACAACCGGACGGCATTTCAGCTGCCGGGCGACGCGCGTGTGCGAATCTCGCTGGACACGGAGCTGACGATGGTGCGGGAGGACAACCTGGACGGGGTGCAGCGATCGGGCGAGAACTGGCGGCGAATGGACATTGGGATCGACTATCCATTCTCACAGCTGCCGCCGGCCGACGTGGAGCGGTTTCCATACGCAGTGCTGGAGGTGAAGCTGCAGACACAGACGGGCCAAGAGCCGCCCGAGTGGGTGCGGCAGCTGATCTCGAGCCATCTGGTGGAGGCGGTGCCCAAGTTTGGCAAGTTTATCCACGGCGTGGCGACGCTGTTTCCGACGCGCATCCACCTGCTGCCGTTCTGGCTGCCGCAGATGGACGTGGACATCCGCAAGCCGCGGTCGCACGACTTTGGCATCCGGCGAACCGGACACTCGGCGACGACAGTGACGTCGGAGTCAGACGACGAGGACTTTGACTCGGATGACGAAGACGACAGCAACGAGACGGCGGTGGTGTCAACACGTCGGCAGGTGGGAAACGGAAACGGCAGCAGTTCGCAAGCCGACGCGAGAGTGGACGTGGAGGACCAGACAGCCGACGGAAGTCCAGGCACGGCGACAGCTGGTGGCAGCGGACTGCGGGATCCGTATCCGGTGTACGAGTCGGAGGACGAGGAGGATGGCGAAGAGGATGGCGAAGAGGACGGCGAGGCAACGGCGCTGGAGGAGGCACGGCGTGTCGGTGGCTGGACGTACTGCTCGGCACTGCTGTCAGCGTATGGACGAGCAGCTGGCCGGAACGCGGCAGCAGTGGCTCATGCGCTGGTGCCACATCCACGTGGATCGGCCATCCCGCAGAACGAGCGGCTGCGGCAGCTCTTTGGCACGGCCGACGTGCAGACGAAGCGGTTTCGCGCGCCCAAGGGCAAGAAGATTTACGTTCCTGTGCGGGTCGAGCCCAAGGTGTATTTTGCGGCAGAGCGGACCTTTTTAGGATGGGTGAGTTTGATTTTGTTTTTGTCCTCTCGTTTGTCTTTCTTTTCTCTCCCACCTACCCCTACTAATCCTCCCAGCTCGAATACTCCATCTACATTGGCACAATCGCGGCCACGCTGCTCAACTTCGGCTCCAAGCCCAACAGCCTCTCGTTTGTGGTCGCCGGTGCCTTCACCTTGCTGGCCGTTGCATGCCTCGTCTACTCGTCCGGCATGTACTTTTACCGCAGCCAGGCGATCCGCACGCGGCGTGCGTCGGCCAAGTTCTACGATCGCGTCGGTCCGTCGGTGCTGTGCGGCGCCCTGCTGGTGGCCGTGATGCTGAACTTTGCCTTTGAGGGTCGGTCACGGAAGTTGTGGTGATGGTCACGTGTTTGTGTTAGTATAGATTGGGTTATGGAAGTCGTGATTCAATTCAGAAATTCAGATACTGTCTGCTCGTCCGTCTAGGCGCAATCAACCCTGATCCGTTCCATTCCAAGTCTCCTATCCGACCCGGTTCAGCCGCCGAATGGTCCGACGGGCGCCCTCGCCGCTGACGGAGACGGATCCGTCCATCTCGAGACTGCGCACGCACTCGGCCAGGTCAGACGGCTCGACCGGCACGGATGCGGTCTCCGCCAGACGACGGGCGAGATCTGCATAGCGCATAGTGAGCGGGCCAGCACCAGGACCGGCGCCCTGGCCCTGCTGATGCTCGTCGAGCAGGCGGACGACGGCGACGCGCAAATCAGCGCGGCGCTTTCGCTCGGCAGCGCTGGTGCCTTCTGTCAGCAAGGACATGTCGATGCGGCCCTGGGCGTCGGTAGCGGCGGTCTTGAGGGCGGACTGGATGAGGCGATGGGCCTCGCGGACATCGGCAGCAGTGACGGTGGTGGCGAGACGCATCTTGGCGTGGGCCTCGGCGAGACGAACCATGCTCTCGAGCTGGCGCGTGGTGGCAGTGATGCGCTTTTCGGCTGCGCGCACGTCCTGGCCGAGACGGCGCATCTCGACGTAGGCCTCGACCAGAGCAGAGCCTGCCTCGGCCGAGAGCACCGGATGCACGTGGGCGCGCGCAAAGGAGATGTACGAGGTCAGAAACTCGACAGGCAGCAGCTCGCTGGCCGATCGGGCCGACTGCGGCTTGTCCTCGAGGTACATTGACAACAGATGGCGAGCCAGCCGACGGTCGGCCTTGTCGTCGGCACGGTCCAGGATCAGGTACACCAGGTCAAACCGCGACAGCAGCGTCGGCGGCAGGTCAATGTTCTGCGGCACCGGCAGGTCTGGGTTGTATCGGCTGCCAATCGGATTCGCCGATGCCAGGATGCTCGTGCGCGCGTTCAGCGTCGTGATGATGCCTGCCTTGGCCACCGATACCGTCTGCTGCTCCATCACCTCGTGCAACACCGACCGGGTCGACTCGCTCATCTTGTCAAACTCGTCAATGCAGCAGACGCCGCCGTCCGACAACACCAGCGCACCTGACTCCAATACGAGCTGTCTCGTCTCCGGGTCACGTGACACATACGCCGTCAAACCCACCGCCGACGACCCTTTGCCGCTCGTGTAGACGCCGCGTGGCGCGATCTTGTGCACGTAGCTGAGCATCTGCGACTTGGCTGTCGACGGGTCGCCGCACAGCAGCACGTTGATGTCGCCGCGGTATCGCGGACTGCCGCCCTTTTGGAACGTCTTGTTGGTGCCGCCAAACAGCTGCAGCAGGATCCCCTTCTTGACGTCGTCCAGCTCGTAGATCGATGGGGCCAGCGAACGTGCCAGAAGGTCGTAGAGGTCCGCCCGTCCTGCCGTCGCCCGGATCTGCGCTTCTTCCTCGGCCGTCCACGACCGCGTCTCCTCCATGCGGTTGGCCATTCCGGCTTCACCGCCCGTTGCTGCTGCTGCTGCCGCATCGACATCCTGGCCGTTGCTCTCTTGACCGCCGGCCTCGCCGTCCAGCGTCGATGGGTCGGCACCCAGCCGCCGCGCGTCCACCTTCTGGATGTGCAGCACGTCTACGTACGTCTTGTGCACGCTCATCACCGTACGCTGCCGCGGGTTCACGCGCACCGGATTGACCCGGAATATGCCGGTGATTAGTACCCGGTCACCGGCCTTGCAAAAGTCCACCAGCTCGTTGTACACGCACACCGACACCGAGTGCGGCGTCTGGCCGGCCGGCACGGCATCCGGCGTCTCTTGCAGCTTGATCACCTGCTTGTCCTCGAAGATGCACCGGTTGTGCACGATCTGCATCGAGTTGCTTGTCCCGCACGTCGGCCGTGGACACCGTGTCGGTTCGCGGATCTTGCCTCGGTCCAAGCTCACCGTCACCGAGTGATTGCATGCCTGGCATTTGAAAAAGGCGTCCTTCATGTCTGGGATCACCGGCGTCGTCCGGATCACCAGCCCCTTCACCGCGATCAGTCGGTCCATGTCTGACGGGTTCAGCTCCCGCAGGTTCGTCGACGTGTCTAGCCCAAACGGCCGCACAATGTACACCGTCTTGCTAACGTCATCTTCCAGTGTCGATGCTGCTGCTGCTGCTGCTGCCGCTGCTCCTCCATTCTGCGATGGCCGAGGCGTCTCCGGCGGCTCTGAGCCACGCTCCGAGCTGGGAAAGTGGACGTCCGAGCTCTGACTGCCCGCAGCTGCCGCCCTGGACTGCGATGTCTGCGACGAAGAGGCCGACGCTGCCGCTGCTGCTGCTGCCTTCTGCCGGTTGGCCTCGCCGTGAGCCAGTTCCGACATCAGATCGTGCACCGACTGGTCCATGATCGGCACGATTTCCTGCGGGTATGCCTGTGCCTGGTACCACAGCTTGTTCGTGCGCGGGTACGCCTTGAGGTCGCGGATGTCGACGTAGAGCCGCGTTGTTCCCAGCAGCAGCATGTTTTGCATCGTCTCCCAGTACGGTCGCGACTCGGCGTCAGCCCGGCCAGCCGTTTCGGCTTCGCTCATGCCGTCCAGCCAGAGCCGGTACTTGCGTGTAAAGTTGCGTAGAAAGTCCTTGAACGACGCAAACGTGTCGTCAATCGACACTGTCGTGCCCCAAATCAGGCTCTGGCTGTGGCCGCCCAGTGCCTGTGCTTCTGACGTGTCCAATCCGTGAGCCGCAAACGAGCCGGCCTCGGACCCGGGCGTCGCCGCCTCGCTCATCACCCGCCCGGCGTCGTCCAGCATGATGCGGCGAGGCGGACCCCGCGGCGTGCGAGACAGCGCGTCCGAATGGATGTCGCCCCGCCGCGAGCGTCCAGGCCCGGCCGATCCCGACCGCTGCTCGACAAAGAGTCCGCTGCTCTCGCTGCGCAGATCCGACTGCAGCAGGTTTCGTCCCGGACTCGAGCTCGGATCGTACCGGATTGGAGACGACCCGCCAACGCCCAGAAAAGCACTCGCCCGCGGTGTTCGCTCGCCTGCTGAGACGCTCTGTGTGTCGCTCATCTGCCGCAGCGGTGAACTTGGTGGGATGGGGATCGTGCTCTGCGTGTTGCTCATCTGCCGCAGAGGCGATGACGGTGCCATCGGCGCCTCCTCAGCCGCCGGTGATGACGATTGGTAAAAGAGCGGGCTCGATGCCACCGGAGCTGCTGCTGCTGCTGCTGTTGCAGTTGTTGCTCTGATGGCTCGAGGAGTGCCTGCCTGCGAGCTTCGCGTCGAGCGACGACGTGCCGGAGACGACATGTCGCTGATTGTGTCGGGTGTCGGTGCGTGTGAATGCGGTATTGGCCTTGCTGCTCTGTTGTCGGTTGAGAGATGCGTCAAGGGAGCCAGATGTGGAAACAAGTGGAGGATCGGTGAAAAAACGCGACTTTAATTGAGACGCGTTGAAAGGGGGGGTAAGGGGCGTCCGTCGCGTAAAGTGTTCTTTGCCCTGGGGACCCACTGTGATTGTGGCTTACTTCTGCACCGCCACACCCCGTCGAGCCGGTAGCAAAGTGTCCGCCCAAACAGACGACACCTCTCCAATCCGACAGAACGGCATCGCATCGACTCTTCCGATCCCGCGCCCCTCCTTCTGCTCTCCGTGTCCCCGACCCGCCACCATGTCGCCCGGACTGTCTCTATACTCGGTCAAGGCGGTCATCATCTTGGCCGACGACGGCTCCCGGATATTCGCCAAATACTACACACCGCCCCACGTCGTTCCAGGAGGTAAGAAGGAAGATGAAAGAGTAGATGCGCGAGAGCCAGCTAACCGTCTCCGTCTCAGCCCCGTCTGCTTCCATCGGCAACCCATTCCACGACGTCAAGTCGCAAAAAGCCTTTGAGAAGGGTCTCCTCGAGAAGACGGCCAAGCAGAATGCCGACATCCTGCTCTATGACAGCCACATTGTGCTCTACAAGACCGAGTCCGACGTGACCATGTATGTGGTCGGCGATCTGGACGAGAACGAGGTGCTGCTGTACAATGTCATCCTGGCCATTCGCGACTCGCTGCACCTCCTCTTAAAGTGGGTTACCCTGTCCTGTATCCGCCCGCCTGCTGCTCCCAACCGCTAACTATCCAGACAATCGATCGACAAGCGCACGCTCATTGAGTGCTACGACCTGCTCGCCCTGGCCATGGACGAGATCATCGACGACGGTGTCATCCTCGAGACCGACCCCAGCATCATCATCACCCGGGTCAGCAAGGCGCCCAGCAAGGACGTCGACCTCAGCCGCATCGACCCCTTCAGCGAGCAAGGCGTCAACAACCTGGCCCAGCTGGGAAGGGCCAAGCTGACCGATTGGCTGCGCCAGGGGTTGTAGGAGCGGTGGTAGAAAGAGCTGATCGCTCGCTTCTTTCTTCGTTCTTCGTTTTGGGCCAGGCTCCTGTACTGCCAGCTGTCTCTTGTCTAGGGAATAAAAGGGTGTCTGTGAAAGCCATGAGATCTACCATTTGTCGCCCGAGCTGTCTACATGCATGAGATCTGTCTGTTCGCCCATGCTGCCTGGGTCACCGCACTTCAGAGGCCGCCTTGCGCAGCCGGTTCATCACCGCCGCCGCAATGTCGTCTGCCCGGTCATCCAGGCCCTCTACCAGGATCACGTCGGCACCGCGTGCGTCCAGGTCTCGCAGCCCCGAGAACAGCCCGTGCGCCACGCTGGCCTGATCGCGCCCGAGATCCAGCTCCAGCACTGTGGCCGCTGTCGTGCCGTCCAGCGCAAACGCCTCGAGCCTGTAGGTGGCAGTGTGGCCTGGCGCCTGTTCTGTCTTCTGCCCCCTATTTCCGCCGATTGGCCCAATTGGCCGCAAGAGTTGTCCGAGTGCCGGCCAGGTCGTTGTGCGGATGACTCCGACGACCAGCGACCGGGTTGCGCCCTCGTGCTGGCTGCCAGCCTCCCGGACCTCCTGTACGCTGCGAATCTCCCGCACCACATCCTGCACCATGCCGCCGTCACCGTGATTGCTGCTGCCTGTCGCCTCGTATAGCACCACCCGCGCCTTGGGGCTGTAGTGCTTGTACTTCATGCCAGGAGCTCGTGGAGCCGTCGCTGTCGTCCCGTCTACCGGCTGTCCCGCGCTTTGGTCTCGGTACGCCCGCTGCACCTTCTCCCAGCCCGGCACCGAGCGCAGTTGTGCCATGCTGATGCCACCCGGTCGAAGCACCACGGGCGGCTCGCACAGCCCGTCCACCACGGTGCTCTCGACACCCACCGCACAAGGCCCACCGTCCAACACCGCCACGATGCGGCCGTCTAGATCGTCTACCACGTGCTGCGCCGTCGTCGGCGATGGCCGCGTTGACGCGTTGGCCGATGGAGCCGCCAGCGGCGCCTGTGCCAATCGGATGAGCGTCCGTGCCAGCGGTGAGTCAGGCAACCGGCATCCAAACGTCCGCAGACCGGCTGTCACTTCGGGCGCGAGCGTCCAGCGGCCAGACCCTGAATCCGGAACGTCCAGCAAAATCGTCAAAGGCCCCGGCCAGAACCGCTCCACCAGCGGCCGGTAGATCGCTGGCAGCTCCCTCGGCTGTCCGTCTTCGCCCGTCCCCAGAAGCCCGCGCACCATGTCGAGATCGCACACATGCACAATCAGCGGGTTGTCTGACGGCCGCCCCTTGACCGAGAAGATGCCGCGCACCGCGCTGCTCCGCGTCACATCTGCCGCCAGCCCGTACACTGTCTCTGTCGGAAATCCCACTGGCACGTCCGTCTCGCGCAGATACCGCGCCGCCGTCGCCACAGATTCTATACTGGCCGCATCGGCTTCGCCAGCCGCCGCTGCTTCCCAGTGGTCAAGCGAATTGGCCGGCTCAAAACGGCCCAGCGAGCCCGCATCGGCCACCGGCAGAGTTCGCGTGCTGAGTGTCATTGCGCCGGAAGCTGACGAAAAGCAAGAGGAAGGCGAGAAGAAATGGTACAGCCGCTTTGACAGGAACACCGGCCGTTTGGCCGTCCAGCGGGCGACGAGGCGATAAGAAAGTGCCGCCGTCGTGTGTGCCGAAATTGTGTGCGCCAGTGATACAGGTTTGCAGGCGCAAGAATACAGACAAGGACACTACAGAATTGGCTTGCCGAAAGTTGCTCAGACACAACGACAACCAGCGTCTTGTCCCTGCTTACAGGAGATGTCGTCAAATTGGGAAAATAAAGTTTGTGAACAGGATCGGATCTTAGCCTAAAAGAGATGCAAGAAATCGCTAAAATCTAATTATGTAGCTGCCGGTTTTAATCAGTGTCTGTTCACGTGAAAGCAAACGTCCTTATAGCACGCAATTTTTTTACTCAAATGTATGTATATTGGTTTAATCACCACTTTATGCAGGCATGGGTCTCCATATGTATCACAATTGACAGAGAATAATATATTGGAGTATTCACCTCTCAGGCTAGATTTTTATCTGCACGTCTACTAAGCCGGATCACGTAAGATATTACACGGACGACTGCAAGGATGCATCCTAAAAGAAGATCGATTACTGCTAGTACAGGGAACCTAGGCTTATGTACTGTGGGTGGTGTATGCAGGTCTGGACGAGAATATAAGGCAATTCGGCAGGGAGGCCGGTATCTTGGCTGCACATGCATCTGGCAAATCTTGTAATCCTCTTGACATGTAAAGCGTCTCTCTCTTTGCCATACTCGGCCATACGATCGGCACATATGCCATCAATACAAACATTTGGCCAACAACACCTAGCTTATATTGCTCCAGTCGTTGCAACCTGTTCTTCTGATTCCTCCGCAGCCGTGCAGCCACTGACAATATGCAACGTACACCGTGATTGTATATACCGGGAAGAAGAACCAGTCCCCAAGGTGCTGTACATAAGGCATATGATGGTCTATCCCACCATTACATAAAAGACGTGGCAACATCAAGATCTGAAAAAAGAAAGTACACAACCCCCATTTCATCAGCTGCCACGGAACAAGAATTGCAGATCTTCAGGGGTCAACGACTCCATGGCAGCATCATCAGAGTTGATAGTCGAGTTGATCATCTTCGTCTTCTTCTCCTGCAACATGACCATTCGGCTCTCTACCGAGTCCTCGATACACAATCGGGTAACAACGCAAGGCCTGGTCTGGCCAATGCGGTGGCAACGATCGGCCGACTGCCACTCTGCGGCAGGATTCCACCAGCTGCGGGCACAATTAGTTGATGTCAGGCCGAAAACGGGCAAGACAAAGGGTACTTACGGATCCACAATAAAGACTCGAGACGCTTCAGTCAAGTTCAGGGCAACGCCACCAGCTTTGAGCGACACAAGGAAGCACTCGACATCGACATTCTCTTTAAAGTACTCAATGGATGCCTGTCGCTGTGCAGGCGTCATGCTTCCATCCAGCATCACGGTCGTGATGCCAGCACGGCGGAGACGCCATTCGATAAGCTGCAGCATGGTCGTGAACTGAGAGAAGATAATCGACTTGTGCGACGCCTTGTCTGACCGCAGACGGTAGAGATTGTGCACCAAAAGCTCGATTTTGGAAGAAGACGTCCAGTTTTCCATGCGAATGCGGTTGATGATGGACGATTTCTTCACCTTGATCTCGTCCTGTTCCATTTCCGGCTGCTCCAGGTCGATGGAGAGTGAGATGTGGCAACGCGGGCAGTCCGGCTGCTCGGTTGCGTGCAGATAGCTCTTAGCGCACTCCCGACAGAAGTCGTGTTTGCACTTGGACCGAATCGCCTCCTCGGCCGGTTCGTCGCAGATGCAGCAGATCAGAACGTTCTGGCTGCCCTCTGCATTTTTGCGCAAAATGAGGTCTGGATGGTCTGCAACCTGGCGCATCTGCATGATCAGGCCGAAAATGTTGGCGTAGTTGTTAAGCATCACTCGATTTTCGACGTACGTCGTGAACTGGCGTTGTGTGTTTGACATGATGCTGTTGGCAAAATCCGTTTCCACTTCGCTGAAAAACTGGCGGTCCACTACAACTTCCTTGACCGGCAGTTCCATAGAGTCTGTATTGTCTTTCTTCAGACGCCGAAGCATGATTCGGTCTGTCAGGAGGCGCAGATTCCTGAAAGCAGATTGTCCGGGACCAAGGTTTCCATAACGCTGGATCGGATTGAGAAGCTCCTGGTTGAAAACGGATAGATGCCGCATACCTCTGTGCTTGCCTGCAGGAGATGTATTAGCGAGATAAAAATGTCAGGCGCAAACCCATAAACTACAGACTCACAATGTCTACAGTAGTTGTTTTCGTCCACAGACCACTCGAGCTTGGAACATTTGCAGTCTCGACATATATAGTTCGAAAACGGCTCGACTACCAAAAATCGGAGAAGAGAGAAAAACTCCCCGATGCGGTTCTGGAGCGGAGTTCCGGTGAGACACCAGCGAAAGTCCACATTCAGAGCAAAACAAGCCTTGGCTGTCATCGTGCTTCGTGTCTAAGCATGGTCAGATTAGGGAACAGAAAGGAGGTGAGCATGCGCCATACCTTGATACAGTGAGCTTCATCGAGAATGACCCGGTGGAAACTCGTCTGGTGAATGACACTCTTTTCCTTGTAAACTCCCTTTACGCGGACGAAGCCTTTTTCCTGTTTTCTGTACACAGATTCCAAGCTGTTGTATGACATGATTATGACGTCGTACTGCTTGATATCCTTCACTGTCATGCCTTTCGTCTTGGCGTTGGTGCCATGGTAGATGAACGTTTTGAGGCGTCCGTCAGTGTACGATGCAATTTCAGTCGTCCATTGCATCAACGCCACGGGTGGTACCAGGACCAGCGTCGGCTTTTTGGCTGGATAGTCCGACATGATGAGGGACACTGCCTGGATGGTTTTGCCCAAACCCATTTCATCACCCAAAAGACCGCCCTTCCATTTGGCTTTTTCCATAGCTATCATCCATGCCAGGCCTTCAAGTTGGAAGGGTTTGAGATTGCGTGATATCGTCGCTGGCTGATCAGCCCGGCCGGCTTTGAGAATAGGCATATCCTCCAAGTCTTTCCACATGGACTTGAGGATGGGATGCTGGTCCTCTAGTCGGCCCCTGTCGTCCTTGACACGCTTTGTATTGCGATAGTCCCGATATTGACGGCGGGTTCCAAGCTGATTCATGTCCAAGGCCCTAGACGGTGGGTCTGGCTGTATATCAGAAGAAGCTTCTGACCGAGAATATATATCCGAGGCCGTAGGTGATGATGGATCTGCTTGGCAATCCGAAGAAGCATCTGATAGACAAAGCACGCCCACGTATCGTTCGCTGTCCAAGTTGCTCGGTCCAGCAACATTAGGACTGTCAAAGTTGCTTCGGGTGGACTTGAGCTGCTTCTGCCGCTTTGTTCTAGCAGTGGAATTCGCAGACAGGCCGTCGATAAACCCACAATTTTCCATCATATCTGCGTCCTGAGACAGAGCCGTCTGGCCTTGCCGGAAGGGGATACTGCCATCACGCTCGAGCTTCATGGTCGGTGCACTAGCAAGCGTCGAAGTCTGGCTCCGCCCACCAGGACCCGCACGCCTCGAGTAAGATGATCCTGCTGTGGGGACCAGAACGTTGTGCCGCATGTCCTCCTCCTTTTGGAGCCTGCGGGCCAAAACGGCATCTCGGTCCACGTGCAGAAACTCCACCTCTTCGTCATCTTCGTCACTATTGAAGACGTCGCGCTTGCGCTTTGAGCTCAGAGAGTATTTGCTTTTACTAAGAGCCTTCATGCTGTCGGGGGCAAGCACGGGAGATGCACAGCCGGGCAGTGAGATTTCCAGCCGGGGAAGAGAGCTCGCAGGCTGGAAGCCAGGAAGCGGAGATAGATCATTGACGCCTGCGGATAGAATCGGGGTGCTCGTATCGCTAGTGGGCGGCGTTGTCTGATCGCCGTTTTCTGAGCCGGCATTTGTTGGCGTAGGAACAGTAGAGACAGATTCGCTACTGATTCCAGACGATACAGCTCCATCTAAACCAAAGGCTGCCGTCTTCGATCGGGATCGGGTTATTCTGCCAGGGGCACTGGCGGGGGTATTGGAGGATGCATCTGAGGAAGGCTTTAATACCAGGGATTTTGAACCTGGCTCACAGAGACGAATCAGTCAAACAGACCACAGTGTCATTAAAGGACAAGTACGACGGACAAGAGCGTATAACATGGCTATGGAATAACAAGGACGAGAAGAGTCGCAAGGGGGAAACACTCACGTCTCTCCATGTTGTAGTCCGGGATAGATAAGACCATTTTGTATTAACGAGGGTTCAGAGGCGCACGAAAGAGTCGGGCGAGTTAGAAAACAAAGAAAAGGCCACCAGGACACAACGAATCTGTAGACAGAACGAAAAACGATGCCCGTTATCCGTTGTAGCCTTCCTCATCTATCGATAAAAACGATGCCGGAGGCACCTAAAATGAAGCGATCTGGAAAAAAAGGTGCGGCCGCCACGGCCAGCGGATGAAGCTCGGGATCGGGGGGCACGCAAGGCAAGGCCACTGTAGAATATTTACATAGGGAAGGGGGGAAAGGAGAGGGGAAGGAGAAGGGAGGGATGTAGGAAGGGCTTCCTAACCGACAAAAGGAAAGCAGGAGGCAAAAAGTCAAGAAAAAATAAAATAGGAGACCAGCGCGCCGCACAAGTGAGACAAGTCTTTCCGTGGTGAAGAGGAAGGCGCGGAGTCACGGGACTAATTTAATTAGCCACTGCTGCCTGGGCAAAACGGAGGAGAGAAAAGGGGAGTGAATGGTCCGTTGGAAATAAAACGGATATGGTGGTCTGTGCACGATCCTCTTTGCGCTAAGACATGTCGCTATTAAGTTCGTCATCGCTCCAGCCGATGTGATATCGGGCACTATGTTGACTCGCCACTTCTTGTAAGACTGCTCGTTTTGTTTTCGGACAAAAGACTACTAGAGCCGACCATCAACGTTGTCGATAGGGTGTGAAAGATTTTTCCTCGGTATCTTCCAGAGCAAAACGGTCACCATTGTCAGACAGACTACAAGCACCTGCGGATATCAGTCGCGAACGTGTCCCGCAATGGCTCCGTTTTACAAGAAGACGCTCATAGTCGGGGCGACGTCGGGCATTGGTGAGGCGCTGGTGCTTAAATTGGCGAGCACGGGCACGGCGGTGATTGCGACGGGCCGACGACGAGACCGTCTGGACGCTCTCGTGGCCAAGGCGCCGGCGGGCAGCGCGGCCATCACGACGATCGTGCAGGATGTTTGTGATTTCCAGGCGGCGCCAGCGTTTGCGGCGCACATTGCGGCGAAACACCCAGGTCTCGACAGCGTGGTGCTCAACAGCGGAATTCAGCGGGCGTTTGACTTTGGGCAGCCCGGCACGGTCGATCTGGCGGCACTGGGAACAGAGCTGACGACCAACTATCTGGCTGTGGTGCACCTGGTGACGGCGCTCCTGCCACAGCTCCAGGCGCAGGCACGGGCCCGAGACGAGGGGGCGGACCTCATCTTTATGAGCGCCACGCTCGGGCTAGTGCCGTCGCTCGTGCGTACACCCAACTACAACGCCAGCAAGGCGGCCCTGCACGCCTTCATCACAGCGCTGCGGCAGCAGCAGCTAGACGTCGGTCTTGAGCGGCTGCGTGTCATCGAGGTGTACCCACCGGCAGTGCAGACGGAGCTGCACGACACGGTACACCAGCCGGACCTCGTTGGCGGCGACAAGCTGGGCATGCCGCTGGACGCCTTCACAGACGAGCTGTACGCTAAGCTACAGACCCGCCCGACGGTGCACGTGGGCATTGGCCCTGTCGAGAGCCTTCTGGCCGAGGGCGGCCTCGAGGACCAGCGGCAGAAGCTGTTTGAGCAGCAGCAGGTGCACGTCAAGAAAGCACTCGGCCAGTATATAAGAAAGTAGACGGGATGTATGCAGACATAGCGACGCAGGAAATGTAAATGGGCTTCGAAGCAGCCCAACAAACAAAGATCGAAACGGCCAGGATCTGGAAATACGGAAGCCAAACTGGCTGACAAATAACGGAAGAGCCCCTGTACTCCATAGAGTAAAGAGGTTGCATAGAGTGCTCACGTGACCACGTGCTAGCAGTATTTTACCAGGTTTGTCGTCTTATCCCCAGCGCGTCTTCTCCCCACCAGCATATACAAACAGTGCCATCCGACAGTGGGCGTATGAAAGATTTCATCAAAGACAGAAACCACGATAATCGGAATATGTATGACGATCTACTGCAGATTGCATCAAAACAATGGTGTCTACTGACTCTGACTTCTCTTAATAGGGCCCGGCAACGTCAAGACCCGCAGGACCGACCTGCTCGACGGATCGTGGGACCGTGAGTTTTCTGTGATCTGCAAGAAAGGGTTCTCCGAAATGATTCAGCTTGCTAAGACTCAAATGCAGGCAGTCGGCTTTGACAGATTACCTTGCGGTTCGTTATTGTAGAGTGGACTGTACAGGTTCGAATGCGATGCTAATTTTCCGGTTACTGCAGTCCCACAACATCTCGGCTCGACAGATTGAGCACGATTTCCAAACGCGAAGAGAAGCAGCACTACGCCAAGCAGCTGAGGATGCAGAGCGAGCACGCGAGAATGGGGAGTCCGTGGATGCAGGCTTTGGGACGCCAGCGGCGGCAGCAAGGAGACGGGCGTCTGAGCGAATCGCAGCAGTGACGCCCTCAATATCCGAGACTCCCGAAACCCCTGGAAATGTCGAGTTACCTGAGGCAGAGGCAGAGGTCACTGGAAGCGTTAGTGGCAGCGGGAAGAAGCTATCGGCGCAGCAATTAAAGGTGCTGGACAAGATCAAGCAGAACAAGAAGGGCAAGAAGAAGAAGCGGCGGGCACTGGACAGTGACGACGAAGACGACCAGACACTGGCGGCGCTGAGCAGCATGGCGGTGCCGCTCCCGGGACAGATGGAAAACTGCGGATCATGCGGCAAGCGGTTTACGGTGACGCCGTATTCGCGTGCAGACCCATCCGGCCGACTGCTCTGCACGGCTTGCAGCAAGAAGCTAGATCAAGAGGACGAGGCAGCACGTGGAGCAAAGGGTCCGAAGCGAGCACGAGGGTCAGGGCAAGGTGGAGCAGGCGGTCGCGGGGGTGTGGGAGGCGGAGGGCCGGTGGGCCAGCGACGGAAGACACAGAGCCGAATCCTGGACGGGGCATCGCCGGTGGGAGTGAAAACATTACTAACGCTGTGCGTGGAGCACCTGTCACGCAACATAGACCGAGCTGAGGATCTGGGCGACCTGCCGGAGGACCTGGTGGACCGGGTCGGACGGATGTTGTCGAAGCGGCGGCTGCTGAGCCCAATAACATTGCAGCTGCTGGTGCGACCAGAGTCCGAGGAGATTTGCGTGTACGATGGGGCAGAACTGGTGACCAACGACTACCTGGCGATATTGCAGGCAATGCCGCGGCTACGACGGCTGGTGGTGTACAACGCGATTCAGTTCAAGGACGAGGCGCTGCAGTACCTACAGCAGCGGGACGTGCGGCTGGAAGCGCTGTGTCTGTACGGGGCGAACCTGCTGTCGGAGACGGCGTGGAAGAGCTACTTGGTGGAGCGAGGGAAGTGGCTGCGAACGCTGCACGTGTGCTACACGGACAAACATGTGACGGACGATCTGGCGGCGTACGTGAGGGACTGCGCGCCGGAGCTGCAGCGGCTGAAGATCAAGGGAAACCAGGCGATGGGGCCAGTGGGGGTGGGGCACCTAGGGGGGCTGGCGGGACTGCAGCACCTAGGGCTGGACCTGACAGCGTCGATACGAGCAGACGTGCTGGTGCGGCTGTTGGAGCAGGTGGGTGGCAGTCTACAGACGCTGTCGCTGCGACGGGCCGACGAGGTGGACAACACGGTGCTAGCGGCGCTGCGGGAGCACTGCCGGGGACTGCGCAAGTTGCGACTGACGGAGAGCAACCGGTGCACCGATGCAGGCTTTGTGCGGCTGTTCAACGGCTGGGCCAACGAACCGCTGCGCTTTGTGGACCTGGAGGGTTGTCGGTTTGACGATCCGGACCAGCCGCGAACAAACGAGGCCGGCATCGGACTCTGCTCAGACGGTTTCCGGGCACTGATGGCGCACTCGGGCGTTGGGCTGCAGCACGTCAACGTGTGTGCGTGTCGGCACATTGGACGCGAAGCGTTTGAGGACGTCTTCGCGGCTAGCAAGACGTACCCGGAGCTGCGCCACATAGAGGTCAGCTTCTGCGAGGGGGTCACGGACCAGATCGTCTGCAGCATGTTCCGGTGCTGCCCGAATCTGCGAGAGGTGGTCACATTTGGTTGCATGCGGGTGACGGGCGTACAGGTGCCGCACGGACGAGTCGTGGTGGGTGTGCCGAACGCGTTGGGGATGCAGACAGTAGGGCATGATGAGGAGGAGTAGGAGAAGAGATGGCGGAGAGGAGGAAAGGAAAGGGAAAGGAGTAGGGCATATGGACAGGGAAGGGGAACAGGTGTTACGGACAATTTGAACTTTGCTAAGATACCAGATGGGTGATGTCGTAAATGGCTACAAACAACTGCAGACGAAGGGCGTAGAAGACATTAATAGAGGGGCCAGACGAAGTACTACAGCGTTAGTTTTATAGGAAGTTAGCGGCTTTAGCGGCTTTCATTCCGTATCTCAAGATCGAAGTCGCGATTCGACAGCAGAAGAGCAAGCATTGCCGAGTGAGAAAGAGGATAAAGAAGACGTCCAGCATATTTTAATAGTTTAGCTGTCTTTGGAGGCACCAGGTCATCCTCCCTTTCTCGCCATGGGATCACAGCTCTCGGACGACGTCCCGGTCAAGCCATGGATCGAGACGCCGTGTCTGTTCTCGGCCGCTCTCTCGCGTGCTGCCGGATGGTTGGTTTCTTTTGGGGGGTCTGACCTCTGCCTTTTTCCTGTTACCCGCCTGCTGACAACGACAGTAACGTCTACCTCAAGCTCGAGTGTCTCCAACCATCGGGTTCGTTCAAGTCGCGCGGTATCGGCAACCTGATGATGCGCGCGTCTGTCGGCGACAGGGACACCCACTTCTACTGCTCGTCCGGCGGCAATGCTGGCCTGGCCTGTGCCGTGGCTGCGCGCGTCCTGGATGCGCCGGCGACCATTGTAGTGCCCACGTCAACGTCGGCCTACATGGTAGACAAGCTGCGGGCGGCTGGCGCTGAGGTCCGGCAAAGGGGGGCCGACTGGGCCGCAGCAGACCAGCACTTGCGCGAAGAGGTGATGCAGGAGGATGAGGAAGGAAAAAATGAAACCCAAAAGGTCTACGTCCCTCCCTTTGACCATCCCGACGTCTGGGCTGGCGCGGCCACGATAGTCGACGAGCTGTCCGTACAGCTGCCGGTCGGCGTATGTCCGGACGCGCTCATCTGCAGCGTCGGTGGTGGCGGCCTGCTCTGTGGTCTGATGGAAGGCATCGAGCGGGTGTACGGGGCGCAAGCTCCCACAGTCCTCGCTGTCGAGACCGCCGGCGCCGACAGTCTCGCAGCCAGCGTGGCGGCTGGCCGGCTGGTCACCCTACCAGCCATCACGTCGATCGCCACGTCGCTTGGTGCTAGACGGGTGGCTGAGCAGGCATTTGCATGGACGCAAAAGAAGCAAAAGAGGACCGTGCGAGACACCGTGAACGGCACTGTGCAAGATACCGACAGGGAGACAGCAGTCGTTCCTGTCGTCGTGACAGACGCCGACGCCGTCGAGGCCATCGTCCGGCTCCTTGACGACGAGCGGCTGCTGGTCGAGCCGGCCTGTGGCGCCGCGCTGGCGCCTCTTTACGCCAAACATGGCTCCGGCGTCAGTCTGCTGCGCCACCACATCGGCGATGGCCTGACCGACGCCGCGTGGGCTGTCCGCAACGTCGTCGTCGTCGTCTGCGGCGGCTCCAACATCAACCTATCCATGCTAGAGGAGTACCGGGCGCGGTTTGGCCGGTAGGTGCGCGGAGAGACTAGATAGAGAGAGACGTTACCCAGAATGGACATATTCCATCTTTGGTTCTGTTATGATTAAGCGCTTCAGGTCTTTTGAACTGTCTCTTCCACTGTTGAATCATTCCCGGTCAGTCCTTGACCCTTTCTCTCCGAATATACTCCAGTTCTGCATAGCCCTCTGGGACCTGCCCTCCATCCACAATGTCCTGCACCAGCTCGACCTCGCCGAAGTAGTTGACAGACCCGCGCTGCTGGAAACCCAGGCCGGTGAACAGGCCGATGCTCGCTGTATTGGTCGCCTGAATCTTGACGACGAGCCGCCGTAGCTTGCCAGCACGGGCTCCTGTTCCTGCTCCTGCTCCTGCTGCCGCCTCGGCCAGGATGGCCTCTCGATGTCGCTGCAAGACAAAGTACAGGAGCGCCGTGACGGCAGCACGGCCAAACCCCTGGCCGCGGTCCTCCGCCCGCGCAATCATAACGTCCACCTCGCCGCTGTACAGCACGACTGTGCCGCCGTGGTCTTCGTCATTGTCGTCCTCGTCGTCCCACACGTGCAGGAAAAAGTTGATGTCGCCAACCATGCGGCTGGGCACATCGTCCACGCCCGCCACGACGCCGCCGCTGCTGCTCTCATCCCGCTCCCCCAGCGGCCGGCACAGGACAAACGTCAGCTTGTCGGCGGCGGCGCGCCACTCCACCTGGTTCTCGTACTCCTCTGCCAGCGTCAGTCGGTCCGATGCCGTGGCCACGCGGACAGCCTGATTCTTAGTCAGCAAAAAAAGAGAGAAAAAAGAGCTGCTGCCGATGCGCCGCACAGAAAGAACGACCCGCGCCTTCCTACCTCGTCCTCCATCCAGTCGTGGTACGTCGGCACATGATGGCTGTCGTACGGCACCAGGAGGACACGTGACGTCGAGATGGCTAACCAGCGTGTCAGTCTGGGTAGGCCACCAAAAGACGTAAAAGGGCAGGCCGGTTACCTGTCGTCTCGTTGACTTTCATTTTGCGGAGACGCGGGCGTTGGTCAGGATGAGATCTTACGACGGAAAAAGGTGTTAAAGTGGGAAACCGGGCCGTTGCCCAAAAACCGAGCGAAAAATCCTCTTTCGGCAAACTAACAGGAACGTCTACATATTTGACGCAACCATTCCAGGCCGTTCCAGCTCGGTTCCCGTGCGTCCAGCCAGTAGCCTCTTGTGCATGCGATTCGTGATTTCATTAATCTGCATCTACGTACACGGACGATCGTACAACGGTCCCCGGCTCTCAACCCCCTCTCAGTCTTCCACGGGCAGCGGTGGAAACAAGCCGTCATCGCTGCTCTTGCCAGGCGACCGTAGGGGCAGTCCGTAGTCAGTGTCGGCGCCGAGACGGGCATCCTGGAACGTGCGCCGGCCGCTCGCCACGCCGAGCACGTCCAACACTTCGGCTGCTTTGGCCGGCATCACGGGCTGCAGCAAGATGCTGACTACGCGCAGTGCCTCGGCTGCTAAAAAGACGACTTGGCGCATGCGGAGGCGGTCAGCAGCGGCCACGTCCACAGCACCGGCCTCATCGGCGACGTCGGCCGTCCGAGCCAGCGTCCACGGCGCGTTCTCGTGCACAAACCGGTTCGTCTGGTAGACCAGACCCATGACGGCACGCAGAGCCCCGCGGGCATCCAGACGGTCCATGTGGCCGGCAGCCACGGCGGCAATGCCATCAATGGCAGAAGCCTGGGTCTCGAGGGAGGGTTCAGGGGCAGCCATGCCAGCCTTGCCGGCTGCCGTCGCCTCCTCGACAGCTTCCCGCACGTTCCAGCGTGTCGTCCGCATGATCCGGCCCAACAGGTTGCCCAGGCCGCCCTGCAGCCCTTTCTTGTAGCGCTCGACAATGTGCTCGTTGCCGTAATCAGCGTCCTGCTCGACACCGCCGTCGTACACCAGGTAGTAGCGCATGGCGTCGACGCCGAAGCGGTCCATGGCGTAAAACGGGTTGACCACGTTGCCGTCCGACTTGCTCATCTTCTTGCGGCCCAGCGTCCAGTGCGCGTGGCTGAGCAGCTGCCGCGGTACCGGAAGATCCAGCGCCAGCAACAGCGCCGGCCAGTACACCGCGTGGAACCGCACAATGTCCTTGCCCATCACCTGCACATCTGCCGGCCATCCGCCGGCTTCCTGGCGCTGGCGCTGTTCGGGTGTAGGAACTGACGAGGAGGACACTGCTTGTGGATAGGATGACGAATTGGACGACGCCACAGCCCGAACCTGTCCCTGGTCTGCATCGCCTTCCTCGCCCCCCTCCCAGCGGTCCGGATAGCCGGCCTTGGTCAGGTAGTTGACCAGCGCGTCCACCCACACGTATATCGTCTGGCTCGCGTCCTCCGGCACGGCCACACCCCAGGTCAGTCGGCTGGCTGGCCGCGAAATCGACAGGTCTTCCAGTTGGTTCGTCACCCAGTGCACCACCTCGGCCATGCGTGCGGCCGGCACCACAAAGTCTGGCCGCGCTGCGTACAGCTGCAGCAGCCGGTCGCGCACTGCCGTCATGCGGAAGTGGTAGTTGATTTCCTCGGTCCATTCGACTGTCTTGCCCGTCTCGGTCGACACCATCTCGACGCGACCCGTCGCCGCCGCAATCCGCTTCTCCACCAGAGCCTCTGGGTAAAAGGTCTCGTCGCTGACACAGTACCAGCCCTGGTGCTTCGTCTGGTACACGTAGCCGCGTCGCCGCAGCCGCCGCCAGATCGCTCGCACCGCCGCCACGTGATCGCTGTCCGTCGTGCGGATAAAAAAGTCGTTGGCCAGCTGCGCTCGGCGCGCCAAGTCGGCAAACACGGCCGCGTTCTCGTCGCAGAACTGCTTCGGCGCCACTCCCGCCCGTGTCGCCGCCTGCTGCACCTTCATCCCGTGCTCGTCCGTGCCCGTACAGAGCAGCGCCCGCCGCCCCTGCAGCGTCTGCCACCGCTTCAGCACGTCCGCCAGCACCATGCTATACATGTGGCCCACATGGGGATCTGCCCGGTCAGCACTCTGCATTCCTTGTCTACGGCACCCTAACTCGCACAGTTGTCCGTTCATGACACACCTGAATTCACGTAGAAGATCGGCGTCGTCACGTAGTATGGCTTCGTCGCCGAGACGTCACTCTGCAGCCGCTGGAAGCTCTGGAATCGCCGAAACCCACTGCAGCTGCAGCCCGGCAACCGCACAGCCGGCCACATCAGAATGCCCAGCCGCCGTGCCGCTACTATACGGTTCATTGTGTGCTGCATCCAAAGGTCGAACCGATTGCGGTTGCGTTTGGAGACAGCTCACACCAGAGCTTGAAAAGCTTCTCCAAAGCTCACCATATTTTGGCGCGATAAAAGACCGTGCGAACTGTACTCCTCGATAACTGTGACTGCATATTGTGGAGCATTCGTCTGTTTCAGCCGGCGCAAACACTGTGAGCTTCACGTCAACTCTTCTCTTTTTTTCTTCCCGCTCCCACAGCTGACTGACGATCCTCGACACATTGCGCTCAGCACCACACACCGTCTTAGCGACACACGACTACCACAAGGCTACACCTATACTCTATCTTTGCTTTCCACTCTTCACCGGCCGCCTCCTCGGGCAACGGCCAGCCGACTTGCTAAAGCCGGGCTTCTCTCTCCCTCTCTCTCCGTGCTACTCTTCCAGCTTCGTCGCCGTTCTGCACCGGCGCATCTTCGACCTCGAAATGTCCGCCGCCGCCGCCGCCGCCGCCGCCGAAGAGCTCGAAGTTAAAATATCAACAGAGGGTACCGTCCATCCGACACTGCCCAGCCGTTTCGCTTTCGTCCTGTCCTCTTCACCTCTTGCTGACCCTCTCTAGCTGCCCAGAGCTTCATCGAGTGGTTCTATTCCTTTGTCAGCGACCGCAAGCCCCTAGCCGCCTTTTACGTCAACAGCAATGCCAAATATGCTGCCGTCGGCCTCGCCGCCGACATCTCCATCAACGGCCTCGTCTGTCCCACACCGGCCGACTTTGAGGCCCTCCTAGAGACCCAGGCAACGGGAAAGAGTGCCGGCGCCGCCACCAATGGCGTTGGCAGCAGCAATGGAGCCACGGCCAACGGTGGTGCCTTCAAGCCAAACAATGCATCCTCCTCCACTCCCATCTCCCAGCGCGTCCGCTACGATGTCGACAGCTTCGACGTCCACGTCCTCAACCCCCAGTTTCGCCTCGCCTGTCCGGACCAGCTGTTACAGCGGCTGATTCCCACCGGTCCCAGCGGCAGCAGCGGAACCGCCAGCAGTAGCATCGCACAGCTGCAGCAGAAAATGGCCTCGCTCCTTGTCCAGGTCACCGGTCACGTCGTCTACGGCGGCGGAAAGGACGCTGTAAGAGGACCGTTCACCGAGGTGCTCGTGCTCGTCCCCAACTGGGATGTGCTCATTGCTGGAGCCAGGGCACCGCGTGGCCTGCGCAGCCATCTGATTCTCAGCCAGAACTTCCGTGCGCTGTGACCGCCAGACCGATCGCGAGGCGAGTTTCGAGAGGGATCAAAACAGGGGTGTACATATGCAATTATCGGGTTTAGCAGATCATAGAGGAAAGCCAGCCCTCTGCTTGGCGTTTTTGTTCTTGTGGACAAGGGGAACCACCAGAACCGGGTATTGGGAGTCTTGCCTTAGGATCTTACACAGAAGCCAACAAAAGTTGGAATGCAAAGGATACAGATAATATTGACTGTTACGTTCTACGTGAACCTGGCAAAACCCAAGTCACGTGTGTTGATACTTATGTACTCCGTACCCCCTATGCCGTTTTGCCTGCACCGTGCTTCAGCTGCTCTCGCTGGTACTCCCAATAGCCAGCCCGGATGGGGTCCCATTTATTGGCCAGGCGCTCTAGGTAGAGGTCGGCTAGCGGTATGTCGCCCTTTTCTCCATAAATCGTTGCCAACACGTCCATCGCATGCGTGCTCTTGACAACCTCCTCGTCGCCTTGGCCGATTTTCCCCACAAACTGCGACGCAAAATCCTCGATCGATCCCAGCGGCCGGTTGCCCTTGGACAGCACGCCCTTGAGGTAGTTCCACGGGCTCTCGTTCTGCGGCGCCTTATGAATGCTGTCCTTGGCATAACGGATCTCTCGCTCGATTATCGCCTCCGGCACCGCCGGGTCGTGACCGATGTTAAGCTTGCCCAGCGATGTCTCCAAGCCGTCGCCATCTTCGCCCGTCGACGCTGCATCTTCCGGCGTAGAGTTTGCAGGGTCCGAAAAGACAAGGAAGAAGCGATGTGACCAGGCCGAGTTGTTGCGCACGTCCTGTCGGATAAAGGCCTCTGTGGCAATCCGCTCGTCTGCGGTCCAGTACGCAAGCTTGCGCACGAGATAGTGCCGGTACGACCAAACGTGATAGTTCTTCGTGTCTTCCGCCAGAATCATCGTGAGGAAGTCGACCTCACTGCGGGCAAAGGCAGCCACGCGCTCCGGTGAGTCAGCAATCTGCGAGTAGTGGAGCTCCGCCAGCAGGTACCGGTGGTGCCAGATCTGGTAGTTCTTGAGGTTCTGCAGCGCCACTTCGTTGAGCCACTCGATCTCTCCCGTCACCGGTAGCTTCAGCGCGTTGACGACCGAAAACCGGTAGAGCCAGACGGTGTAGTGCGCCGGGTTGAGCGAGATGATAAACTCTGTCAGTCTCAGACAGCGTGGCGAGTATTCCGGCTTTGCCATGACTGCTCGCAAGTATGAGATTGCTAACAGTGCAAAAATCAGCATACGCAACACATCAATGATCCAAAACGAACAGGACAGGTGTACCTTCGCCGTAGGCTTCAGGGTATGCAATGGCTGCGAGGGCGCCCTCAGGCTCGACAATCGCAACGGGCTCGACGTCGTCCCATTCTGGGTCTTGCGCGTAGGACCCGCCGGTTCGCTGTCCGTATAGCTCCATTTGCAGTTTTGCAATCTCGGCACGCCGCTGCTTCTCTGCTTGTATGTCCTCTGGCGTGATGTCGGAACTTGACGTGTTTCGCTTGGCAAGAAATGCACAGTGAGAGACCCCGAGTATAGTCAGACGCACACGGCGGGCAGTGCGCTCGCGGAAATCGTCGAGGCTGTAGGTGCCCACGTCGCGACCGGATCGGTCACGGCCCCAGACAGAAGGAGGACCACTTGGGGGCGGGCCTGACGTAGTGTCAGGTGGGGGGGCTTTCTTAAGAGCACGAAGCGGCAGACTGGCCTCGTTTGCGTGTCGCCAGAGTTCCTTTTGCGTCTTGTTGGAGAGAACGGGCCGCTTCCTCGATGCAGATGTTGCAGATGCTCCCAGATACTGTGCGGTTGCCCACGATGTACGCTCAGCCGGCGAGAGACTGCTAACCCCTGCCTTGTCTATTGACTTTGCGTACGGACGTCCCAGATAGTAGCGTTCCCGAGTCTGCTCGTTCACAGTTCGGGGCGGTTGTGGTGGTGAGACCGAAGGACCAGATGCTGTCAGGTTGTGAGTATGTGCAGAAGCAAGACAGAGGGGGACGGGAAAAACGCGTACTACTTGCTTCTTTGGCCCTCTGCGTGACCTTGGCCTTTGGTGGCATTTTATGCCGTCCACTTCTTTGTCCAAAACCTCTGATCTCGAGAGGATAATATTCTTCAATAAACCGAAAAGCCCGACAACAGCTGCAAGGGAACAACGCCCCGCTAAAACGAGGTGGGGGTAGCCCGCACTAGTTATTGCCCAGGCTGAAAACGGCACGACCTCCAACAACGATACCTCCAACATCGTGTTACCTCCAACTGCTTCACCACGTGAGTGCATTTGTGTACCCACTGCAACTTCACAACGCAGAACAATATCAACACGTATCTTTCCCAATCCGGCAATTGCGAGCCTAATGGGCAACCCCTTGCTGATTCGCATTTTTTAAGGTTAATACGAATCCTTGCTGAAAATAGAATATGGCTGACTAGATATCAACACTCACTGCAGTGCGAGACTTTTAGCATTCTGTAAGTATTACAAGATTCCCAACAGCTGTACGGACTCCGTAGTTATCTCATATTAAGAACACCCCCTCCCGACAAAGAATGCGCCACCTATTCCGTGCAAAAAAAGTTGACAAGACAAAAGTAAAGAAATGTGACTGCCCCTCAGTGCAGCTCACTACTGTCGCCAGAATTTCCAGCCTTCACGCTCCCCGGCACCGCCCTCAACGCCCACAAGCCGTTCGACACCGTCATTACCTTCTGCATTGAGAAACTTCTCCATGTCAATCTCCATGCCTCCCTCTTCGTCTTCATCCATGCCGTTCCTCAGAACCGCCGGCCAGAGAACGCCCACTCCATCACCACCTAGGGTTGTGACAAACTGTTGGTAACCTTCGTCTTTCAGTTGCTGCTCGAGCTCCAATAGTCTTTGTTCCGGTGTGCCCGGCTTCATGAGCGTGATCGAGCATCCGCCGCCACCAGCACCTGTAAGCTTTGTCCACCCGAAGCCCGCGTGATCGACGATCTCACGCACGCGCTCTAAGCGCGGGTGTGACACGCCCAGGGAGGCCAACAAGCCGTGGTTGATCGTCATCAGCTCGCCGAGCTCGCCAAGGTCCTCGAGGTCTGTCGCATCAAAGCAACTCTGGCTGCCGTCGCTGTTTGCCTCGCCCTTTGCCGCATCGTGCGAGGCGCCGTTATCTGCACTGTTTGCTTTGCTTTTCGATTCCGAGTCCTTGCTATCGGCATCGCTGCTTTCAGGTCCATGACCCCTGTCCATCAGACTAATAGCATTTCGCGCAACAGAATCCATTGCATCGAGAACATTCCCGATTAGTTCTGGGTAAGTTTTCTTCAGGCGAGCCACCTTTGCCACTTCATGTGCAGTGGACTTTGGTTGCTTCGTGTTCACAAGCAGCAGCGGGAGCTCGGGGAAGTTCCACAGTGGCTTAACCGACGGTGGTTTGCCGTAATCGGTACGCTGGAAAACAACAGCCTTTCCCTGTGTCGATACTGTGTTATCCACGCCTGATGGGTTGCCGTGGATGCACATTTCAGCCACAAAAGCCCACCGATTGATCCTCTCAACCTGCAGCCGCGCTTCTTCTGATGGTTGGTCAGGATGGGGCCCAGACAATGTACGCAGCTGCAGCAGCAGGGCTGTCGCCATGCACACGGCAATGGATCCGCTGCTACCGAGTCCTGCACCTATGGGAATCGTCGACCGTAGAGTGTAGATGCAACCGGGAAACTTTTGTGACCCGAGCGATAAGAACAGGTAGAGGAACGACAAGGCTGATGATTGATGCACCTTACGCTCGTGCTCGGACTTGGAAGGCGACACGTTGGCAAGGTGTGGCTGGAGAGCGTCGAGAAGATCCGGGTCGAGAGTCGTCACAAGATCATAGTAGAACTTCTTTTTTCCGGGCGTTGAGAAGATCTCCCACGGCAGCTCGTCAATGTTCCAGGTATGCGCCATGTCGACATCGGGAAATCGAAGAGTCAGAGTCCGCTTCGACTTTGACAAGGTAGTAACGAGCAGGTACGATCGAAGTGCTATTGCCGCCGCAATGGAAGCCTAGATATATGGACTTCTATTAGCTCTAAAAACGCAATGAGAACTGCAAATGGGCAAGAGAAGCCGACCTTGCCGTACACAACCGAGTGCTCTCCAAAGACAATCACTTTGCCTGGGGCCGAGACCATAAACGCGGGCATCATAGGGCTTGACATTTTGCGGACACTCCTTCTGCGCTGTTTGTCATTCTCGTCTGCAATAATTGCAGTTGAGGCATTAGATGACATGGTGATTTTAAGCCCAACAACGTCCCGACTGAGTCCATGAATGCCGGTCGTCATTGGTTCGTCTCTTGTCGGATTCAACAGTTTGCAACAGTGGAGACTCCTGCCAGTATCATTCGAGGTGCGGAGGAAAGTTAAACAGTGTACGGAGTAGTAGTAAGAGGGCGAGAGATATATGCAAGTCCTTTGCTAGGACGATGAGACACGCGACTGGAACGGATTGGTCGTAGGAACGTAAAAAGAACAATGGCAGTAACCCAGCGTGAAGCTTTTCGATTCTTATCGGTTGGTGGCAGGGGTCCTGTGCAAAAGAGTAAGCTCCGTTCTCAGGTCAAGGTCCAAAAAGAGTCAAGGTACCTGGCGATCCAAGACATGACTGACAATAGCAAACTTGAGCGGGATACCGCGGGAAAACAGGACAATTGGCAAGGCACAGAGGAGGAAAGAAAAGTTCGAAAAGAAGCCTTTCGATTGAGTCCAGCAAGAGTCAGGGATCCCATGATACGTACAAAGTCGGCTACGCACCCCAAAAATCCAGTAAGTTCCCTGTGTGAATACCGGAAGGAGCTAACCCCCTCGACTAGGGCCCCTTTATTGATTTGCTGGCCTGATGGCCCAAGTTTATTGCCTACGTCGTAGCTTTCCCCCGCCCCAACTGCAATCTTAAATCCGGCAGGTACTGCGTCATGCGCCTGGAAAGCTGTGCGCTTGCTATTACGGTGAGCATTGGCTGGTCCGGCAGTCGGTAGCTTCCACCTAGCCTTTTCCAATCATTTTTGCGAAGACGACCTGTTCAGCTGAAATCAACTCCGTATTACGGAACACTGCAATCCCTGCTAGCACCACCAACTCGCTGCTGCCTTGCCTGACAAACAAAGCTTTCATTTGAATGGTTGCCCCATCTCGGAACAGGCCGGCAGTTGCAGCGCCCGACAACTAGGTTTTCCCCGCACAGTAAGGCATACTGCTGTACCTTACATGTTGTCTGAACATTGTAGCCAACAACAGGCTGTGCGGAATTGCTGTTGCAGCGAATCAAACACAGCATAGTACTCAGTACATTGTATGGTTGCAATGCCGAGTACGGAGTATTTCGTACAGTATTTGCACGGTCCTTTCTTCTTTGTCAGCTTACCATCTAAGACAGTCCTCACTGTCCCTTGTGGTCTACTCGTACTCGTACTCGTACTACGAGTATGTAAGTTGGGGTTCTCCCTACGCGCACGTTGCGATCGGTCGAACCGTGGCCACAGATTCCCTTTGTGTCAGTTGGTGCTCGAAAATAACTCGTGGAAGTTGAGTTTATTTGGTCTCATATGCTGCAGGGGACGATGTCATTGACACCGAACGCGCCGACGGGGGAAATGGGAATTAGACAAGTATATGGACAGTTGTCAAGGTCGATATTCCAAGATATCGTGCGAGATCAATGCAGCCGTGCGGAGTCAAAATGTAACAGTGACACGTAGAAGAGGCAGACAAGTTGTAGAGTATAATGTTCAATTCTGCTGCATAGAAGATGCCATGTTTCTCTCTCGCAGCAATGCGCCAGTGTGTGAGCTCCGAGAAATGGATATTTGCGGCCAGACCCAGTAAACAGTAATAAAGCCCATGGTCGCACTTTCTCTGAGCATTTTCAAAAGCGGAATCCGGAGCATTGAGCTCAATACAAGAATTTCTGTTTTCGAATTTTTTAACCTTTCCCGTTTTCTATTGGATTATGTCGTGGCGCTCCTATCTATGCCGTCTTCTTCTCCTTCTTGGTGACCTCGGTCAACGTCAGGGCTGATACGTTAGCTAGTAAAATAATAATAAGGAGAAACAGAGTTGGGAGACCCAAAGCAGTTCTCTCTGTTCAAATTATGCTGTAAACGTACTCGGCGGGAGGCTCTGCTTGAGCTTGTCGGCCTTGTCGGAGTCCTTAAGCACCAGGGTGTAAAGGTGACGCTTGCACCGGACCTTGAACTTGGTCACGTTGGTCTTCTTGCTCTTCTTGATCCGAGCAGCTGATGGTTTGTTAGATTCGAAATTCCAAGGTGTCTCGAAGACGCGGGTGTTGTTGGCTTTCAGCGCAACTTACAGGACGCATCCTCACGCCGGCAGATCTCAATGAACTAAAGACGAAAAAAGTCAGAATCACCACTGGTATAAATAGGAGCGCGTAGCTAGTAACACACCTGCTTGATGTCTCCGACTTCCCGCGGCATTTTGGCTGATTTTGAAGGGGTAGTGATGGTATTTGGAAGGGGTTGAAAAGAGGCAAGTATCGTCGGTCTTCGTGAAGTCTGTCGTGGGGTAGACAATTTCTCGACGTCTTTTTTGCACCTTCACCTATTTTTTTTTTAATAAAACGAAAATTGTGTGTTGTGGGTTTGCACGTGCTAGCGTCCTGGTTTTATGACTTGCTTATGTAAGCAGAAAGCCACACTCAAGTCCAAAACGCCACAAAAATATTTTGGGACTAAGTGGCTGCCTGGGAATGGAACAAGTGGCGAATCGAATGATCAACAGTCTCATAAAAACGTACCCCAATGAAGATTCGTGAATTTGCAACGGTGACCTGTAATAACGAATTAACAAATCACCAGCGATTATTGTCGTCCATATTGACAATGCCTACAAAACTCGACCATGCAATGAAGTCCAAGGTATGTGTGTGTGCCGCCCATTTGTAATCATGTACGACGTTGGTGGCCTTAGACTTACATCTCAACCTTCAGAACCTGCTCTTGGGTGAGTTTGGTAGCATGAATAGCACGTATATTTTTCTGACCTTGTTTTTTTATTCAAGCTTTCACAGGTGTTGTAACCGGTGTCGCAGCTTGGGCTATCTTGGGCGGCGATATGTTTCCTGCACAAGCAGATCCAACGGGCTCCCCTGAGACTTGGACACACGAGGAGCTAAGAAGGTGGCTGGCGGCAGTAGGTGCCCATACCCGCCAAACTTGAATTAGAATTCGCTGACTGGCATCGCCTCTAGCGAAACCTGCACCCACAAGATAATGAATCCACTGGACAGTTATTGGAGCGCGTGAAAGTGAATATGCGTATTCCAAGGACGTAATTTAAGGCGGTGATTCTACCAAACACTTTAACTACATACGAAGTACTACTGCGAAATTTGATAAAATGAGCTGCATGTTGTCCATATTCTTCTGTTTGATTTTTTCAGCGTTATGGTAGATCTTATGTACTGTGAGAACTGATGGTACTTTTCTCTTCGTCTTTTCTCGGCATCGTATCTCTCTATACTTGTGAACACTCACGAGAATGACATTTGCAAGCAGCTTTGGTGAGTCTACGAATGGTTTTTAAGATGCTACGGTTGCCCTGTCTATTAACCGGAACTGAGGTATACTCTGAGTTTCAAGAACGCTTAATATTGTTTCTGCTTGTTTTCCCCATCGATAACGCGTAATCTATTTGTCAAAATGAAGCCGATGCCGATCACTGTTTCCTACAGAATGACCAGGATACTGATATTTCCGCACTTGAATCTACGGAAGTGCAAAAAAAAAACCAGGAGAGGAGAAGAGGGAACGGTGGTAGACAACGGAAAATAGGAGAAAGATTCACGATGATCAGCAGAGACGTTTGTGCCTTCCTGTGACGAAAGTCCGTGTACAGGAGTCTTTTCGCCTTTAACGTCCCTGAATGATAATCATGGGAATTCACTGGCAGACAGAGCGTAGCTTCCATAGAGTTCAGTGCTAAGGATCTCCCAAATCAAATGGCGCCTGCAAGTCACCACGCAAATAGATTTAGAAAACTTCAACACATCACTGATGTAGCGTAGCCTCGTAGTAACTAGAGGCTTCAGGTATTTTCTAGTGATGCTGCATACTTGCTTTCGTAGACGTTACTCTCAATACTACAGTGCTATGCTTCGATAGTTTAAGCTGTTTCCTAGAACCCCTATCTAAAGAAGCTGCGTTTCCCACTGACGTCATCTCCCTGGAGGCAAGATTCACCCTCCATTGCACTGTATACGAGCCTGGTAGGAGGATTGATCTGGTGTTTTGATCGTGGGAAGTATCTGCGTTTGGCAGGCACCTCGGGAGTTCATAGCAAGCAAATATATATTGCTCTCTTCGCTGACAATCGTTCCCCTTAACTCTTCTTGCTCCAATTCTCATTGACCTCTGTTATTTTCTCCTGCTTCACCGTCGACCTTCTCGTTACACCATTTGAAGTATTTTTCCGTCAAAGTCTTTATTAACCTGTCTGACGAAAGAGCATATTCACCAAGAAATATCAATAAACCTAGTTATTTCGTTGCCCGTGCCAGGCCACATAAATAACAACCGAAGAAGTCCTGCAATTCGACAAGGTTACCCGAATCCTGCGGAATTTACGTCCTCCGCTTGTCGTCATACTTTTCTGGCGATCGAGGGCCTCGGCTTGTTTTTAATATCCAGCGTCCTCATCCAAGAAATGAAACGAGGTTCTTGATCATGAGACTTGGTCTTACTGGTGAGGAGAGGTTTTTTTTTTCCTTAGATATTTCTTTCGTTCTATATCTACCAGCCTTTGGCTGACAAAAAGAAGACCTTTTCTTCTGGGTGTTCTTTTGTCATCGTCCTCGTGGCCACCGATATATGAAGGTCCGAACGGCAAGTTGCAGTCATCACTCATCTGCCTTTTATCACGTGAGTAATATTTCCTCTGTGTTTATTTTCAAGTTCAATTCTCGAAACTGATCTGATAATGCATATTGGCGTGTTTTGTCCTTTTTCGGCTCTCTCTTGTCCCTATTGTCCTATTGTACGCTTGTTATTAAGTAAGGTGTTTGATTCCACTTCCCGATCTTTTTACGTTTCCGAAGTTGTGCAACTTACTTTTGCATTGGCTGCAAGGGAATATATTCAGACAGAAACAGGCACGGTCGCTCTGAATAGTGCGTACTGGTTTTATCATCAAAGGAATGTGTTGGCTTTAGAATTGTACTGGTAATTGCATTTGCACAGGATTGCAGAAAAGCGACATGCAAAAAACCAGCACGAGCATCATCGTCGACTTTCAAAACATAATCAATCACCGCTGACAAACCTCTGATTCCAGAAGCAGAGAAGGTGTTCGACACCCACTCGATTGCGGGTTGCGGGGCGCAGTCCCAGCGCTGTGGGTGAGGAGATGGGGGACAACGGTCGTAATGTGGGGCCATCGGACTCTTCAAACCCACCGGATGCCGACGACAGTTTCCGGCTCTTAGCCACGGCATTATTATGCAGCATAATGGTGGTCAAGTGAAGGCAAGCCTAGCCACACCGGGCAGGCTAGCAGAAGAGACGCTAAATGCGACCTCAAAACGGGATCTTTGGATTCTGATATGGTGCACATGGCCCTCACGTATAAGAAGATGGCCAATTCCGTCCCTGCGACGACGTAATTGGGGGTGGACCGGTTGCTCGTGTAGGAAACCACCCACATCGCATCGCCAAGATAGAAATTTTATCATAGCTTTTCTAGCCTTGTTTGGAAGAGAAAAGTGGCTTTTTCATTATCAGACAGCCTTCCAACAGCGATCCACAGCAGCGCTCTTTCGGAGTTGAATTTTATTCAATTGGCATATCCATTTAAAAGCTTTGCGGAAGCTGACGCCAATTGAAGTACGTTGCGGACAGGATCAGACTAGTTGCGACAATATTGCACCCGTTGAAGCAGATAAAAATGAGTTCTTCGCTTGAAATGACGACCAACGACCATGCAAACAGCCATGGCAGTACGGTGCCGCTTCTCATCGACGGCAAAGATGTGCACACGGCCCAGAAGATGGCTGTTGTATCGTCTGAGCAGAAACGCACGGTGTGGAAGGCAGCAGCTGCTTCGAATGCCGACGCTCTTGCGGCGCTCGAGGCTGCCAGCCGAGCCTTCCCGGCATGGTCGGCGACAAAGCCGGCTGCTCGACGGGATATTCTCATCAGAGCAGCAGACGTCTTTGACCGGCGGGCGGAAGAGCTGAAAGGGTACATGAAGGAGGAGACGAGCGCCCATGCGGCATTTTCCGAATTCAACATCGCCACGTCGTCAGGCATTTTGCGCGATGTCGCTGGCCGGGTCAGCACTGCGCTCTGTGGCAGCTATCCTGTTTGCGATGAGCCTGGGACGCAGGCGGTGGTGGTGAAGGAGCCGTATGGGGTTGTCCTCGGCATTGCACCCTGGTAGGGAGATTCCGTTTCCCATGTGATTCTGCCCCGGCGAGGTGGACTGTCTGACAGCGTACCACAGGAATGCTCCTTACATTTTGGGGATACGATCAGTGGTGTATGCGCTCGCAGCAGGGAACACGTGCATTCTCAAGGGCAGTGAGTTTGCACCCCGTTGCTTCTGGGCCATTGGGTCTGTTTTTCGCGAAGCTGGCCTACCAGCTGGCTGTCTCAACGTGATCTTCCACCGGCCAGAAGACGCTGCCTCCATTACGGCTCAGTTGATCGAGCATGACGCTGTCAAGAAGATTAACTTCACTGGCAGCACTGCTGTGGGCAGGATCATCGCACAGACGGCAGGCCGAAATCTGAAGCCTACCCTGATGGAGCTGGGCGGCAAGAACAGCGCGATTGTGTGCGAGGATGCCGACTTGGACAGAGCGGCCCAACAATGCGCCCTGGGAACCTTTTTACATGTGAGTAACTGCTGGTGCTTGCAACGCCGCAAATGATTATACGTTGGCGGCAAGCTAATTTCGTTTTACCGCACAGGCTGGCCAGGTCTGCATGTCGACAGAGAGGATTCTGGTGCATAAGAGCGTGCTGAAGCTATTTACGGGGAAGTTCAAAAAGGCCATTGAGACGATTTTTGATAGCGTAAGTTCAGGACAAGCTGTTGCTCAAGCCGTGGGCGCAAAGAAGATCTAGGGCCTGGTGCAGGATGCACTGAGCAAAGGAGCAGAGCATGTTCATGGCACGATCCCCTCGCCAGAGGCGGGCGCCTTGGTAATCACGCCGACGGTGCTGGGAGGCGTAACAAAGGAAATGGATGTGTACTACACCGAGAGCTTTGGCCCGTGTGTCAGTCTGATTGCTGTGGACAGTGACGAGGAAGCGGTGGCGATAGCCAATGACTCCGACTACGGGCTGAGCGGAGCGGTCTTCACCAAGGACCTGAGCAAGGGGCTGTCTATGGCTGGACGGATCGAGTCGGGGGCGGTGCACATCAACAGCATGACAATACACGACGAGGCTGGGCTGCCGCATGGCGGAGTGAAGAGCAGCGGATGGGGGCGGTTCAATGCACAGGCGGGATTGGTTGAGTTTCTCAGGAGCAAGACGATCACATTTCAGATCTAAGTGTAGACAATGAACACCAAGCTATGTTCTTTCCGGAATTCTGTAAAGTTTAGTCATGCTTGATCCAGTCGTACTGGTCGCCGAGGTACAGATGAGCACGCAGGTCTCCGGAGCGGGCATGGCCCTCGAACATTTCTGTGCGGGCAGCTCGGCCACAGAGACGGCCGAGACGGCCACTGGCGTCGGGGGACCGCACTTCCTGGTAGGTGATGGTGCGCAGGAACTTGCCGACCCAGAGACCACCGGTGTACCGGGCGGCACCGCGTGTTGGCAGCACGTGATTTGTGCCAATGCACTGAAAGTGTTAGTGTGGGGGAGGACAAGCTCTGCCAGAGAGGGAGCGTACCTTGTCACCGTAGGACACGCAGGTCATGGGTCCGAGGAAGAGGGCCCCATAGTTGGTCATCTTGTCGAGGGCGTCGCGGGGCGAAGCGGTGAGGATCTGGACGTGTTCGTAGGCGAGCTCGTCAGCGGCTTTGTAAGCCTCATCGATGGAGTCGACGAGGACAACTTCGCCGAGGCGGCCCCAGGAGACGCTGGCGATAGGGGCAGTAACGAGAGTCTGAAGGAGGGCGGCGCAGTGGTCGATGGTGCGACGGCCGACCTGCTCGGACGTGGTGATGAGCACGGCTGGGCTATCAGGGCCGTGTTCGGCCTGGGAGAGCAGGTCGGTGGCGACGAGCAACGGGTCGGCTGTCTCGTCGGCCACGATGAGGATCTCAGTGGGTCCGGCAAAGAGATCGATGCCGATTTCGCCGTAGAGTTGACGCTTGGCCTCAGCCACAAAGGCGTTTCCAGGCCCGGCAAGGAAGCTGACCTTGGCCACGGTCTCGGTGCCGACAGCCATGGCGGCGACGGCCTGGATGCCGCCGAGGATAAAGATCTCGTCGGCGCCAGCGAGGTGCATGGCCGCCACGGTCGTAAACGGGATGCGGCCTTGATCCGGAGGCGTGCAGGCGACGACAGACTTGACGCCAGCAATCTTGGCCGTCAGGATGGTCATGTGGGCAGACGCGAGCAGGGGATAGCGGCCGCCGGGGATGTAGCTGTGATGTCAGTAACGAGACAAGGCAAGAACAAGACAAGTCAACTCACGCTCCCACCCTTTCGATCGGGTTGTTCCTCTGGCCCAGAAAGACGCCTGGGGCGGTCTCAAGCTCAAAGTCGGTAATGGTTCGACGCTGCGCCTCGGCAAACTGCCGCACGTTGGCCTGCACGTCCTTGATATCCTGGATCGTCTGCGCTGGCACCTGGGCTATGGCGTACTCGATCTCGGCCGGAGAGAGCCGGAACGAGGCCGGCGACCACTTGTCAAACCTTTCGCTATATAGCCGCACAGCCGCATCGCCGTCGCGACGGATCGTGTCGATGACGTCCTTGACGATGACGGGCACGTCGGGCGATGACGACGAGGTTGTAGTGGCCGTATCGATTGCTTTTTTTAGATACGTGCGTGTCATCGTGGTGTTGGTGTATTGGTGTGCTTTTTGTTGTTATATCGCCAAGTTGCAGTTGCTCTGTGGTAGCTTTGGTAGCTTGACACTAATTGGCTGGCAGTTACACACTGGACGATGCAGACTAGATATACTGTGGGCTGATATGCTACATACTTCGTACACGGCATCAGTATATGAAGTTGCCGCTTCCGATCACCGGCCGAGATGACCTCCGAACGGCACGTTTGCATCCACAGCCAGGACTTGTGCTGATTTCTAGTGTCCCTAGTCCCAATCTAGAACAGTCCAACTCCATGTTCCCCATGTTCTCCATTCCCCGGCCATCGGGACGTGGGGAAAAGACGATGGGACCCACCTTCGGATTGTGGCCCTTGGCTGTCAGTCAATAAACAGGCCGCCATTGACAAACAGGTGCTGTCCATTGACCCAGCCGGCACGCTCCTCACAGAGAAAGGCGACGGCATAGGCGATCTCCTCGGGCTTGCCCATGCGTCTGCCGGCCGGAGTGGCATCGATGGTGGGCTGCAGGATGGCCATGGCCTCCTGGCCAGCGGCAAGGAAGCCCTCGGTGGCGGTGGGCCCGGGCGAGACGGCATTGACGGTGCAGCCGTACCGGGGCGGCAGCTCCTTGGCCCAGCAGCGCGTGAACGAGTCGACCATGCCCTTGGTGCCGGCGTAGATGGTCTGCAGTGGCGGTGCGCCGCGCGAGCTGACCGAGCAGATATTGACGATGCGGCCACCGGTGGCCGGCAGGTGACCAAGTGTCTGCTGAGTCAGCAGAAATGTGCCACGTCCATTGAGGTTCACCAGCTGATCCCAGTGTTTGAGCGTGTGCTCTTCGAGCGGCAGGTTGACCGCCAGGGCCGCGTTGTTGACGAGAATGTCGATGCGGCCAAACGCGCTCGCGGCTGCTTCGGCCAGCCTCTGCGGGCCCTCGACCGTGCTCAGGTCCGCACACACGGCCAGCGACCGTGTCGGCAGTGCCTCGACTGCTGCTGTCGCAGCTGCTGCCAGCGCTGCAAACGGGTAGTTGGCCACGACATGGGCGCCGCGAGACGCCAGCTCGTGCGCAATCGCCAGCCCGATGCCGCTGCTGCTGCCCGATACCACGGCCACCTTGCCAGCGAGGGTCTGGGGCACGGGGTGCGTGCTGCTGCCAGAGGGAGGTGCTGGAGGCGATAGCGTGAACGTCATGGTGGCTGTTTGGTTGCAGTGCCTTTGCTGCTGAGAGGTTCCTCTTGATGAGACTATGTATTTCTCGTTGTTGTGTAGTTGAGTTGGGCTTGAATATACGCCTGCTTCTAGCTTCACGAACGACGACAATGTACACTGGACGACATTCAGGGCATGAATCTAGTGCTAGCTAACTCTCATCGAGTGGAATCAGGCGTCTTCATGTTGTCCTTCGTACATAGCCGTCTGATTGCCCTGCCGGAATGCGGGCCCAGAAAGCAAGGAAGCCGGGGAAGTTGGGGAAATCCAGCTGGGGTAGCTGGGGTATCTGAAGGGAATGAAGACTGGATGTGGTCCCGCAAAGCCGACATCAGTTCACCTGGTCTTTTCTGACCTTGGATAAGTGTAAGTGTGAGAGGCAGCAACAGAGGCAAGAGACAGCTGCTCTGACAACCAAAATGACATTGACACAGGCCGAAGCAAAGACAAAGCTGCCAGCCAGCTTCCCTATTATATGGAAAGGGGACACTGGCTACGAGAAGGCTCGGATTGGCCGCGTGTTCAATTACCGTCGCCCAGACCGATTCCCAGTCGCGGTGGTAGAGGCCACGGCCGAGAGCCATATTGTCGAAACGGTGCGTCTGGCTGCCAAGATGGGCTATCGTGTTTCTGCTCGTTCTGGAGGCCACAGCTGGGCCGTCTGGAGCGTGCGTGACGAAGCCATTCTGATAGATCTGGGCCGCTACCACGAGTTCTCCTTTGACACGAACACGGGCATCGCCACGGCCTCTCCCAGCACGACTGGTCGCCTGATCAACAAGCTGCTGGAGCCATACGGGCGCATCTTCCCCGGTGGACACTGCCCCGAGGTGGCCCTGGGCGGCTTTCTCTTGCAGGGAGGCATGGGATGGAACTGCAAGGTAGATGCCAGCCCCGATAGCTCTGTCTGCGAAGCACAGCTAACGACAGAACCAGAACTGGGGCTGGGCCTGCGAACGAGTCTTGGCTGTGGACATCATCACTGCTGACGGCGAGCGGCTACACTGCAACAGGAGCCAGAACATTGACCTCTACTGGGCAGCACGTGGTGCCGGGCCAGGTAAGATTGCCTCAGTGGTGGCTCCATCGGCTGATTTGTATCTTACGTTCTTCCACCAGGATTCCCCGCCATCGTGACGCGGTTCCATCTGCAGACGCTCCCCGCATTCACCCATATGCGCTCTTCTGCATACATTTACAAGAAGGAGGACTACCGTAGGGTCTTTTCGTGGATTCTCAGCGTAAGATGCATTTCACGTCACGTGACTGTTGCATGCAACTGACGACGACTCTGACCAGCTTGCGCCGACGTACGACGTGGACACGGAGATTGTCATGGTCGGGAAATACACTCCGGGACAAACAGAGGTGAATATGATGGTGCTGCTTTTGGCGTTCAAGAACAGCGAGGCGGAAGCAAGAGCGGCGCTGCAGACGGCCGAGGTTTCGGCGCCAGCCGGGCCTACAGACCGGTGGTTCTGCAAGGCGACGTCGCTGGCGCAGGAGTACGACGACCAGCAGGCGGCCAATCCAATGGGACACCGATACTGTGTGGACAACTGCTACGTAGCTGACGGGGCGGACGTGGTATCGGTGCTGGAAGACGCCTTCACGAAGCTGCCATCACGCCGCTCCTTTTCACTGTGGTATTCGATGGCGCCGGGCTCGCAACGGGACGCCGGCTCGATGGACGACATGGCCCTGTCCATGCAGACGGACCACTACTTTGCCACGTACACGATCTGGGAGGACGCGGCCGACGACGAGCTGAACTGCCGCTGGGTCAACGACACGCTGCAGGCCATCGGGCGTCATGCTGTCGGCAGCTACCTGGGCGATGCCGACTTCCAGGTGCGCCAGACACAGTTCTGGGAGGCCCAAAAGGGCCATCGGCTGATGCAGATTCGCCGCGACCGTGACCGGTTCGGCCGCAGCGGCACCAAGGGGCTGGCCAACGTGCACGAGTGGAAGCCGTAGAATACATAGAGACAATGACATGTCTTCTCCTATTTACGATAGAGTATACCCGGCATCGACCACAGCGTTCTGTCCGGTCACCGACTTGGACGTCACGTACAGCTTCACCTGAGCGGCCACATCCTCGACGGTGGCGAACCGCTGCAGCGCGTTTCGTCGCTTGGTCTCGTCCAGCCGCTCGGCCGGAAACGAGAGGCCCCAGTCCTGGTCTGTCAGTCTCTCCTGCTGTTCTGCCACATTCGTTGGCCCGATCGAGCAGAAAGGCCGAACTCACCGTCAGCAGGACGCCCGGTGAGACGGAGTTGACGCGGATCGTAGGGGCCGCGATCGTGGCCAGGGACTTGATCAGGTGGATCTGGGCTGCCTTGGTGACAGCATACGGCTGCATCGGATCGGTTAGCGAGAGACGAGAAACGGTGGACGTTCCATCTGGCACGCCTTGCTTCCCCTTACCAGGCTGCTTCCACTCGGCTTCACGCCAGCCACGCTGGCCGTGCTGACGAACACAGCCGACCCAGCCTCACGACTGTTGCTCTCCTCGAGCCAGGGGCGGGCTGCGTGGAAGAGCCAGAGGTGCGACTTGACGTTGACGGCAAAGCAGCGGTCCCAGTCGGCCTCGTCCACGCCGTCGTCGAGGTCGGCAAAGTTGCGCATGCGCGTCCACCCGACATTGGACACGACGACGTCGAGCCGACCACCGGCTGCTGCCGCCGCCTCGCGCACGAGACGTGCCACTTGGGACTTGTCCGACAAGTCGGCCTGGATGGCAGTAAAGGACGGCGGCAGTACAGACGGTTGGCCTTCCTTTCCACTCACGTGACTGCTTTTTTGCCAGCCAGACCGGAGCTCGCGCACCAGTGCCTCGGCGCGCCCTGCATCGTGCGCATAGTTGACGGTGACGCTCATGCCCAGGTTCAGAGCGAGGACACGGGCGATAGCGGCACCCAGACCGGCGCTCCCCGCAGTCACGAGTGCAGCTTTGCGTAGCGACATGGGGGAAGGAGGGGGAGTGTGTGTGTGTGTGTGTGGAGAAGAAAGGGGGCTGGTATGGCGGAGAAAACGTAGTGCAGGATGGACGTATCATGTGTGCCGGGCTCGTATGTTGAACGGACATTCTGGATGAGACGCTGGTCCGAAAAGGTACCCCATAATATGAAGAACGGACTTCGGGGGACCACATCGAGGACCACATCAAGGCCACGATGAGACAAACAAGGATCACTACGACCACAAGCCGACACTTCCCCGCCTTTTGCATCCACGCACAATATGCCGGCGCGGATCGAGGCTGTGGGGTATATGGTCGGGGTGTTAAACGATCCGGCCAGCAATATTGTAAAGGGGGATACACTGTATAGAAGGCAGCTCTGGTCGGCGAAATTGTCTGCAGTTTGTATCTGTCACTGAACAGACTACACGAGACCGGATCTTTATTGCTATCATTATCAGACAGAATGGCGACTACGGATTCAGGCGATGCTGCGAACGGCCTCGTCATTGGGCACGCCAATGGACATACCAATGGCCACAGCAATGGCCAGGCGACGCCCCAAGGCCTGAGCATCATCATTGTCGGTGCTGGCATCGGCGGCCTGATGGCGGCAATCTGCCTGCGGCAGGAGGGCCACCGGGTGACGCTGCTGGAGCAGTCGCGGTTTGCCAACGAGGTCGGAGCAGCAGTGCACATGGCGCCCAACGCAAACGGACTGCTGCGTCGCGTCGGTATCTTTGTCGAGAAGTTTGGGGCCAACAAGATGGAGAGAATGACCGAATATGACGAGAAGAGCACGTCGAAGCGCGAGATTGAGCTGGGCGAGGCGAACAAGCTCTGGCAGCACCCCTGGCACCTGGTGCACCGCATCCATCTGCACGAGGAACTCAAGCGGCGGGCCACATCGCCGGACGAGGCTGGCACGCCCACACCGGTGCTGCGGACACGCAGTCGCGTGGCCGACGTCGATACGGCAGCAGGTGTCGTCGTGCTCGAGAGCGGCGAGCGGCTGGAAGCAGATGTGATTGTGGGAGCTGACGGGGTGCATGTGAGTTTTTTTTTTTTTTTTTTTTTTGCCTTTCCTCTCCTCTCAGTTCTATCCCTCCTAACAAAATAGTCTGTCACCAGAGCCAAGATCCCCGGCGGAGACATCAAGACGAAACCATCGGGCAAGAGCGCCTTCCGCTTCCTCGTCTCGCGCGAGGCTGCCCAGGCCAATGCGAAGACGGCCAAGTTTGCGAGCAAGAACGGCGAGCTGATCATGTGGTTCGGCGCCGACCGTCGCGTCATCATGTATCCGTGCGACGACAACCGACAGCTCAACTTTGTGTGCGTGCATCCACGCGAGGAGACCCAGGTGGACAACGTGGCCGGTAAGTCTGTCCCAATACCGCCAGCAAAAACTGTGCAATTTCGATCTGACAGCCAGACTGGAACACGGGCGGAAACAAGGCCAAGCTGCAGGAGGTCTACCGGGGCTTCGACTCTGACCTGCTGGCACTGCTAGACCTGGCTGAGGCCGGCTCGCTCAAGGTGTGGGAGCTCCTGGACATGGACGTCCTTCCGTCCTGGACAAACGGACGGCTGGCCCTTCTGGGCGATGCCGCCCACCCATTTCTGCCACACCAGGGCCAGGGAGCCGGCTGTGCCATCGAGGACGCCACCGCTCTGGCGGCCGTTCTGCACAAGGGCGTCCAGGCTGCAGACGTGGCCGAGCGGCTGCAGCTCTACCAGGATATCCGCTATGTGCGCGCGAACAAGATCCAAGAGTTTTCACGCAAAGCCGGCCGCGATCTGGATGATCGAGCCGGGCTGGACAGTGAGTTTAAACGCCCGAAGACGGCCCATTTGCCCAGCTGCTGACACGTCCAGTGATGGAGTACACAAACTACAACTTTGGACACGACGAGTGGGACAACGCAGTGGACGTGGTGCGCAAGTGGGAGTGGAAGCGCAAGCCGCATCTCTACTGGCGCATGCCGGTCTCATTTGGACCGTTTCCGGGCCCACGGCAGACATTCGAGGGCCTGCCGCGGACGGCGACGCAGTCGACCTTTGTCACGGCATCGGTCAAGTTCAAGACGTCACGCACGATGCTGCAGAACCTCTTCCCGTCCGTCTCGTTCCGTTTCAAGAGCCCAGGCACCGTGGCCCATGCGAGCTTCTCACAGACAACCCTAAACGGCATGGAGTGGCTCGGCGGCGGCGGCTACCGCCACCTGGGCCTGTACATTCACGGCGTCGAGTACGTGACTAAGAGCGGTGCCGTGCTGGACGGCACTTTCCTGCCGCTCCTGTTCGAGAACTTGACGGACCCGATTGTGAGCGGCCGCGAGGAGCTCGGCATGCCCAAGCTGTACTGTTCCATCGACGTCTGGCGTCGCGCAGCCAGCTACCGCATCCAGGCCGGCTGGGAGGGTGCTTCCTTTGGCTCCATCGTTCTCAAAGACCTCGTCGAGGCTGATCCGGCTTCCACCAAGGGCACCATTGGCGGCGAGGATGACCAGGGCCTCTTTGCGTACAAATACATCCCGCGGGTCGGTGAGCGTGGCTGCGCCGACGTCGAGCACGCCACCTTTGTACCCCATGCTGAGGAGGCCCGCGTTGTGTCTAGCCGCGTCGTGCGCATGTTCGAGACTTCCAAGGCCAGCGTGTCCTTTGAAGCACTCGACTGGGAGAGCCTGCCGACGCTGCACCACGTCGTCTCCCGTCTGGCCGAAATCCCCATCTACGAGGTCATTGGGGCCAAGGTGGTCGAGGGCCTCGGGGTCCCGGACGTCTCGAGCGCGAGGCGCATTGACTGAGAGGGGCAAGGGGGGGGAATAGAGGAGCAGAGAGGAGCAAGGAGGAGCAGGGAGGAGCAGGGAGGAGCGGTGTATGGTAGCAGTGCTGGCAGACAGCAGGTAGTTTGTGTAAATACGACATGACTGGCAAAACCTGAATTTCATAATCTGAATGCTCTCTGCCTTGTAGCCACTACCCGAGGGAGGCCCGAGCCGGGGTTCTCGGAAAAGTCCCCCACATCGGAAGATGTTTTCCTACTTAAGTTGTATTAGATGTATTTATTTTCGAATTAATTTAATTCGCTTAGACGTTATATCTGTACCAAGCTGCAGATCTGGCTAGCAGTCGGAGATGCCACCATCTTCGCCTTGCCGTCCTCGTCATACCGCCTCGTATTCCTACGTCTCATCTACGACTCAGATCTAACATGTCCAAGCCAATCCCACCCAAGGATATCCGCCCCATCCGGCGGTTTATCACAACACACGCGGCCGACGGGACGACGGGCTTCTCTGACGCCGTGCCCGAGGAGGCGCCGTTCAAGACGCTGCTCGACGGCGTGCAGTTTGCGCTCTGCTATGCGTCCAACACGTTCCCGGCCCAGCTGAGCGACGATGCCGACCTGGACGTGTACAAGAACTACATGACCAATCTGCCCGGCATCAACATCGACACCGGCTCCGTGCTGCGCGTTGTCGACATGCAGCCGGGCATGCTGGCACCCATGCACCGCACTGTCAGCCTCGACTACGGCGTCGTGCTTGAGGGCGAGGTCGAGCTGATGCTGGACTCGGGTGCGAAGCGACTGATGCGACGCGGCGACATATCCATCCAGCGCGGGACTAACCACACGTGGCGCAACACGAGCGAGACGAGCTGGGCCCGCATGCTGTACGTGCTGTTGCCAGCACAGCCGCTGCTGTTCAACGGTCGGGCCCTGGAGGACAACACGGAGGAAACCATTCCGGGACACAAGTGAAGGAGAAACGGTCGGATTATCGGATTCGTTGGGCACGGAGATAAGCCGAAGATAGAAGTTTTGAACCGTACTAGTTAGAGCGCTAAAATGCACTAGAAAATTTGGTGGCTAACCCCGCATCTCTACTCCGCACCGCACTAACCCCTGTGATTGAGCACGATCACCGACACGTAGCGTAGAACATAATAATAGCGAAATGGAGTAAAGGGCCTATGCGGAGAGCCGGCAATTCTGCAGTCTTCCTGCAAGCGCATAGGCAGCCGCCATAAAGCAGAAGAGGAAGGAACGGAAGAGCACACAGACGCGATCACCGAGAACAAAGAGCCCCACGAAAAAAGGCCCCTCAACAACGCGAAAATCATGGCAGACCGCTCCATGGAAAAGGAAAAGGGAAAGCCGGCCAGCCACAATCTGTTTCAGTGCTCGGCCTGCAAGCGGACATACACTCGAGTCGACCACCTGGCCCGACATGTCCGGTCCCGTACGTCGTCTGTCTCTGTCCGACTGAGCAGGGTGAGCGGCAATGCGTGCTAATGCTATTGATCCTGCAGATCTCCACGAGCGGCCATTTCAGTGCCCGACCTGCAACAAGGCCTTTGGCAGACTGTCCGTAGCCGCCACTCTTCCTTCTACGGCGACACCGTGCTGACGACCAGACAGAGACCTGCTGAAGCGACATGAGACCTGCCACCAAGACGACCGGAATAGTGGACGGACACGTCGAAGTCATGCCGGCAGCCAGAGCTCGCGGGTGTCGCAGGCCTGTCGCGAGTGTGCGGCGACGAAGCTCAAGTGCGACGACGTCAAACCATGCGGACGGTGTCGGCAGCGCGGCCTCACATGCGAGTACGTCTCGGATGGCCGGGAGCACCTCAAGATGCTTGCTTCGGAAAGTCCGGTTCCGGTTGCAGAAACGAGCCCACAAAGATGTGATCCTGCAGCAGCCACGACGACGGCAGAGACCGATAAGATCCCGCTCGATCCCTCCCTGCAGGACCAGCAGCCGCCCGGCGGCTTCCCCGACCACGACATGACTGACTTTCTTCGGGATGTCATGACACCCAACCTGCCGTCGCTGTCTACGAAGGCCTGGCTGGATGCCGATGCTATTGGGCCCCGTGGCCTGCTGGACTTTACGAGCGATGGGCTCGAACTGGACGACAGCGACTTTGGCTTTCTGGACGACTCGTGCGGCGGTGAGCCGTTCAGCATGGCTGCGGCGACGGCCATGGCCATGGTCCTGGATCCGTCGATGGAGTCGCAGCATTCCTTCCCGCCGGCCATGCTCACACAGCTCGAGACGGCCGTGGTGGCAGCGACTTCGGCAGCAGCAGCAGCAGCAGCGACAGCGACAGCAACAGCACTGCCGGCCGCACCGACAGAGCCGATGACCGGCAGAGGACGAAACGTCGGTCTGGGCACGGAGGCCTTTAAGCGGTCGACATTGGGGATGTGGCTGCCGGCACTGCACGAGGGCTCGGAGGCGGAATTGGAGCACCTGTCGGTGCTGAGTGCAGAAGCGGGATCGTCACCGGACACGACACGGTTCAACGTGGGTGCTGAGCATCGGAGCATGCACGGGGGGGTAGGACGGGCGGCACGGGACGGCGTGCTGGCGATGGTGCTGCGAACCTGTCGGCCAGAGCGGGCGCTGACGGTGGTGCAGACGTTTCCGCCAGCCGAGCTACTAGACGACCTGCTGGCCTGTTTCTTTGCGCACCACCGACAGCACGCCGACAGCTTTCTGCACGTGCCGACGTTTGACGTCAACACGCAGCAGCCAGAGCTGATCGGAGCACTGTCGGCCTTTGGGGCCACGCTGACAGACGCGCGGCCGCTGCACCGACTCGGCTTCGCCATCCAGGAGGCGGTGCGCAGGACGGTGCCGGGCCGATGCGAGGCGGCCAACGCGACGACACGCGAGCTCTGGCTGCTGCAGGCCTTTATCTGCGAGCTGCAGGTCGGCATGTGGAGCGGCATCAAGCGCAAGATGGAGCTGGCCGAGAGCCACGCGCCGGTGCTGTACACGATGCTGCGGCGAGCTGGCCGCTTCCACCGGCTGCAGCGGCCAGCCTTTGAGGGTCCATTGGCCACGGACAGTGGCGCGGTGCTGCAGCGCAAGTGGCGAGCCTGGGTCGAGCAGGAGAGCCTGCGCCGTCTGGCCCTGCACGCGGCCATCTTTGACGCGCAGGTGTCCATGGCCCGGCTGACAAACCCGATCATCTCGTACGCCGAGCTGGCCATTGCACTGCCGGCATCGCTGGCCCTCTGGCAGGCCGAGGATGCGGAGCAGTGGAGGGATCAGTACTTGCGAGAGGTGGGGGAAGGCGAGCTGGGAGGACCAGGAGGAAGAGCAGGAATGGAGCCAGAAGGAGACGTCGATGCCCATCCGTCGTCGCTGCTCGACTTTCTGCAGCATCAGCCGGCCGAGCTGCCGGCCCACTGCGACAGCCGGTTTTCCAGCCTGGTGCTGCTATATGGCGTCTGGGGCCTGGTGTGGCAGCACCTGCAGCAGGCGGCCACGCTGCGACACTGGTCGGCCTCGAGTGGTGGTGGCAGTGGCGGCGGGCAGCCAGGGGCTCTAGCCAGTCTACGCCATCAGGAGCTGCTGCAGACGCTGCACCACGTGCGGCTCAGCATCGGCGAGGTGGCGCGCTCGTCCGAGGCCGGCCTAGTGCTCGAGCTGCTGCACATGTACCTGCATATCAACCTGGGCGACATGCAGCTCTTTGCCGGCAAGGAGGACGTCGAGGATGCCCGTCGCGTGCTGCCGTCGCTGCAGCGCTGGTGGGCCGAAGGATCCGGTGCCCGCCAGGCTGTCTTCTACGCCGGCCAGGTCCTGCGCGTGGCCAAAGCCTTTCCGGCCCGCCGTCTCTGTCGCTTCTACGCTATCGCTGTCTACCACGCCGGGCTCGTCCTCTGGGTCTACGGCGTCATCTGGCTGTCACAGCAGCAGCAGCCGAATGGAGGGACCGGCCAGCAACAAGCACAACCATCCTTGATGGCCGTCCAGCTCGATGGTCCCGAGTCGGCCACCATCCAACGCTTCATCGCCATGGGCAAGGGCACCCCCTGTGTCGGCTTCCATTTTGGCGGAAACCCGACGGCCGGCGTGGTGGCGCTGTCAGATCCCGAGGCAGTCATGGATGTCGTCGTCGACACGCTGCTCGGAAACTTCCCCACGACCGTCAGGACCCAGGAACCACCGCCGATTGTGCAGAATCTAGTACAGCTCTTGCGCGGTCTTGGAAAAGCAGCCGGAGAGATGGCAGCTTGAGGAAGGACTCGTGCATAGGAAGAGATTGTGTGCGGTGGCATAGAGAGTTGTTTTAGTTCGGCCCGTCGACATTAGCCTCCTGTTCTACCACCTGTATATTATGCGTCCTCAATCCTTCATCCTTCTCGCTAGTATTCTCCGCCGAGCTCGTAATGGAATATCCGGTCGTTCATCTTTCCACCCGTCGCTCTCCATGTCCGATGGAAGACCTGTTGGATGATGAGTCGTGCGTCAGTTTAGATGGTCTCCGTCTATTTCCATTCGCCCAGCTCCCACGTACCGTCACGACCCGTATGCCAAAGAACATGGTGCTGATAAAGGCGTGTTCGATTCCGTTGTTGTAGGCCATCCGCTGGCTGAGATCGAGCTCCCGGTTGACGGGGCGGTACGGCGGCACACGACGGTGGTCCGTCGGCCAGCTCGGCGGCGTGTTGATGTGTGCTGCAGGGCTCGTCATCGCTGTTGATTCGACACTCTCTATGGCTGGCTGGGGATCAGAGCGGTACGTCTCGTAGTCGGCCAAGACAGGCCGCAGCGACGTTCTGGTGGCTGTTGTGGTAACAGACATGATGGCGGTTTGGCTTTGTCAGCAGTGAGAGGATACGGCGCCTCCAGAGTCAAAGGGGCCCATTGCATATGAGCCCAACGGCGACCTGGCACTTGCCGTGACCGCCTGTGAAATGCCGTCGATCCTCTGCTGGCTTCATCGGCTTGTGGGCGGTGGTACCATTTCTTTCGGGATGTGGCGGCGCCAACATTCCCCCCTGAGAGCACTAGGCGCTATAGGGCTTACAACAGTGCGGAGCAAGCGCAGTGGGGTTCAGGGCGGGGTTGCTGCTGGCCGTTTAGGCAGAGCTCCAGGCCATTTGGGGGATATAGAGCTTCTTTCTGACGCTTAGCGGAAGAGCATGGCAGGCGTTCCTGAACGAGACAGAAACAAGGACGAAGCCGACCAATACGACGTACAGCATGTCTATTCCCGCGAGCTTACCTTTTCCTCGGTTGCAGGACGCCCTGATCGAGGGCCGTCTGGCCAACGTGTTCTACCGTCGCGACCAGCTGCGGCATCTGCAGGAGGGACTGGTGCGGCAAAAGGATGCGCTTCAGGCGGCCACGGTGCAGGACGGCAGCAGTACGGTGCCCGAAGCACTGGCTGAGCTGTACCTGACCCTCACGGCCGTCAAGCAATACCACGACGGGCTCAAGCCGGCCGGGCCAGACGGGCTGATTGCAGCCGAATACCGCATTACCCATGGACGAGATGCGGCCGATGCGCAGGAGCGCGTTGGGATTGCCGTAATCGTGCCCCAGAGACACACGCTGGTATACTCGGTGGTCGTCCCGCTGGCGGCGGCCATTGCGGCCGGGAACTGTGCTGTGGTCGTGGTGAGTTGCCGTCCGGAAACAGAACCCAAATAGCACATGCATACTGACACCCACAGCTAGAGAAGACGCTACAGAGCCTTCCGCCGCTGCTGTCGGGTCTGCTGGGCGAATGCATCGACCGCGACATCTGGGAGCTCGTCTCGAGCCGACCGGCCGGCCTGGATGCCTCCGACTGCTGCATCCAGGTCGTGCAGACGGGCGACGACGCCGACAAGGACACGAGCACGCCCCGGACACTTCTCTCACCGGTTCGGGCGCTCGTCGTGGCCATTGTCGACCGCACGGCCAACCTAGAGCAGGCGGCCCAGCAGCTGGTCGATGCGCGGCTCCGATTTGGCGGCCGGTCGCCGTACGCGCCGGACATCGTGCTGGTCAACGAGTTTGCCAAGCAGGACTTTCTGCGGGCGGCTGTGCAGCACTGGATCCGATACACGACCGACGGAGGACCGCTGGAGAAGAAACCGGAAAACGGTGCGACAGCCGGCAAGACAGTCCCGAGCCAGAACGGCGTCCGGACAGTCACGGCTGGGTCCGACAGCCGGATCGAGGACGTGCTCGACCGGTCCACGCTGTTGCAGGCGCCGGAGCGGAACAAGGTCTGCGAAAGAGCCCTGCGCGTGCATGCAGTCCGCAGCTTGGACGACGCGGTCGAGCTCATCACCGACATGACGCCAACTTCGCCGCTGGCCGTCTACGCGTTTGGCGACCTGCCGAGCTGCAAGTACCTGCTGCAGTTCACATCAGCACATGCCGGCTTTGCCAACACGATTCCGCCCGAGCTTCTCGGTACGTTCTGTGTTTCTCTGTTTCTTCTACTGCGCATGCTTCCCGCTGACAGCTACTAGTTGGGCCTGCTGCCCCTAAAGACTACGCGCTCTCGCTTACCGCCCGATATGATCCCGGCCTCTTCTCGGTTCCGCGGCCCAAGTTTGCAGAAACCTCTGCGCTCTCGCGCGAGATGGCCGCCATCCTCGACAGCCGGCCAGCGGCCGTGGAGGCGAAACTGCTGCGGAAGGTGGAGCTTGAGGCGAGGGCACCCGTCCGCCTGATTACCGGGTACTTTGAAATGTCCGCCCTGGTCGGCCTGATTACGCGGGTAGCTTTTGTTGGCGCGTTGACGTGTTACGGTGTGCAAAAGGTGGTCAGTCTGCGGAACTGATCCTGTTCGTAGATTGGCTGCTCGTATTCTTCCCCTCATCTCATCTTCCGTCCACCCGCAACTTCCCCAGATTTCTCCCCCACATGCCGAAGGTGTTGGCGCAAGTGTTGGCGCAAGTGTTGGCACGGGCTCTTGGCCGTTAGCATTAAGTAATAAAGTTGGTCGACTCCTGCAAGTACTGCTTCAGCTTCAGCTCAGCTCAGCTCAGCTCAGCTCTAAACCATTGTCACGTCTCGCTACAAACATGCCGCTCACGCCTGTCCACTTTTTTTCCCATGGATCGACCATGATGATGGGTGAAGAGTCGCGCTCCGCCGATTACTGGAAGAAGTGCGGCGACGAAGCCCTGGCCCACGGTATCAAGGGCGTCGTGATCATGGTGCGTTGTTCCTATGCTCTTCGCGGTCACGTGACCATGCTGACACATCAAGGGTGCGCACTGGGCGACCAAGGCCGACACGATCGAGGTGGCGAGCAACCTGACGCCGACCAAGTCGCCGGTAGCGTACGTGCACCCGTCCAAGTACGTGGACTACGCGCTGAACCCAGACGCGGCGACGGCAGAGCGGTGCGTGTCGCTGCTGCGCGATGCCGGCTTCCCGGCCTCGACCAATTCGTCGTTTGACTGGATCCACGACACGTACATGATTCTGCTCCGCATGTTTCCCAAGGGCTGTCCGCCGACGACGATCGTGTCGATGAACCCGCGCTACGATCCCAACTACCATGTGCACGTGGGCCTGGCGCTGCGGCCGTTGCGCAACGAGGGCTACCTGCTGATCGGCTCCGGCGGCGCCGTGCACAACCTCTTCCGCAACGTCTGGACCCCAATGATCGTCCACGGCGACAACTTTGCCCAGCCGACGCCGCCGGCCCCTTGGGCGCTCGAGTTCCGCCAGAGCGTCGAGGACGTGGTCCGGCGCGGCGGTGGCCCCCGTCTGCGCCGTGCCGTGCCGCGCCTCATGAAGCACCCCCTCTTCCGTGATGCGCATGGCACCGACGATCACTTCATGCCGCTCTGCTTCGCCGCCGGTGCCGCCGGCACGCCCGACGACGAGGGCGCCGTCGGCTCGCTGGGCGCTGAGGACTGGGAGCTGACCAACATGTGCAACAGCCAGTTCACGATCGGCTCTTGGCAAGGACACGCGCTCGTCAAGGCACAGTGATTGTATCCAGGCATTTCCAAAGGCTTCTTCGTCAGGACGGCCGTGTCTAATGTCCACTATAGATATCAGCCCTGCTCCGGGCTTAGCCTCTCTTTTTTCTCACCCAATACGAATACTGACAACTTTGGCTCCACCACTCCACTTATTCCACGCACACGCGTCATCTAGACATACGAGTACGTTATCGTCGTCGTAAGCCTCTAAGCGCTCCGATCTGGCCAGACCACGTTTTGGCTGTTTCCAGCAGGTGTCCACGCTTGTTTCCGAAACACTGTCAAAACGCCCAAACGGGCAGCTGGACTGTGAAAGCCACGCAATGTCTTTCCCCCTACTACGGAGAGCTGTCCAAGCCCACGGCAGAGTGCCGCGCAGCTACTGTACACGTAATGCGGCGGAGCCGTTAATTGCCTGCTCTTGCCTATGAACGTCCAATACATACATAGCCGGACGGCCAGCCGGCAGCACACTGTTGACAGTTCCTAATTACACGACTGTTCTGCACCATGAAGCCCGACAGAACGACCACGCCCACGACTAAGACCTACAACGACTCCCGACGGTAACGGCTGTGGGCAAGCAAGCCATGGCTCCCTCGCGCATCCCTGCCATCTGCCTGGGCCTAGGCCTGGCCATCTGCCTGGTCTGGTTCACCGTCCAGCTGAGCCTGCGAAGTCCGCACAACCTGCTCGCCCAGGCCACGGATTTGTTGGGCGGACTGCACGACCAAACGTCTGCGCTGGACGAGACGATGTCCAACGGAACCGATCGGCCGCTGGTGCTATATGCCTATGCCGAGTCTAATGCCGGTCGTGCCGATCTGGCCTTTTTTGTGCACAACGGTCTGCACCGGCGCGCCGACTTTGTCTTCATCTTTAACGGGCCGACCAATGCGACCGATATGGTCCCGGCCGACCTGCCCAACGTGCGTGTCGTGCAGCGCAAAAACACCTGCTTCGACCTGGGCGCCTTTGGCGAGGTGCTGCGCACAGATGACCTCTGGAAGCGTTACAAGCGCTTCATCACCATGAACGCCAGTATTCGCGGCCCTTTCGTGCCGCTCTACTCATCCGCCTGCTGGACAGATATCTTTCTTAACCGGGTCACCGAGCGTACTAAAGTACGTGTTTCCTAGTCAAGCTTTCTTCCAACAGCTCTTTCGTCTTTCTAACTGTTGCAGCTTGTCGGCCTCTCTCTCAACTGTGGCCCACGACCGCACGTGCAATCGATGATCTGGGCTACAGACTCCGTCGGCATGGCAATCTTGCTCGACCCCGAACTGGCACACTCGGTCGGCCGTACTGATAGTTTTGCCAATAGAAAGAGCCCCGTCGGCCTCACCCCCTGCTACAGTGACTGGCGAGCAGCCGTACACGCCGAGATCGGCACCACGGAGCTCATCCAGTCGCAGGGCTACGATGTGGACGTGCTTATGACAGCATACCAAGGGCATGGTGGAAAGCATGGAAAGCATGGAAGGAAGGCGACCAAGGCGTATTGCGACACTCTGGACGAGATTGCAGACCCCTTCACATTACAAGGCTACTTTGGCAGCAACATTCACCCCTACGAGACAGTGTTCGCAAAGGCGAACCGGGACATCGACCTCCCACTGCTGGAGCACTTGACATTATGGCACATGAACATGAATCACACTGCCTGGAACATGTGCGGGTCGTAATACGACGATTTCCGGAAGCGCTCCGAGAGATAGACAAGGCATGGTTTGGTGTCGATCGGGCTAGGCGTACGGTGGATTTGATTTTAATACCCTTCTTACGGCGTGCTTGTTCCTGGGCTTTTGTCTTGTTAGTGTGTCATGAGTGAAATTCGCATCGATAGCGCTGAACACTTTATACGAGCTTTCGGCTGGAAATATAAGGCTCGCCAATGTGCTCGCCGGTCTGCTATTTTACACCAGTCGCTCTGGCCTGCTAATTACGGGAACTAATGCGAAATATCGGTGGTATCCTAATTCCCGCAACCGCTTGATGCGCCATTCATTGTAATCCTCGTTATTCATGACCTCGTCGTCCTCGTATTTTCCGTAATGCGACTCGTTCTGCCACAAGCTCTCTTCCGCGTACTCAATCCCAATACACAGCGGGCAGAACAGATAGGCGCCGCAATCTCCGGGGACCCTCCAACTGATAAAGTTTTGAGCTGCCTCCCGGCCGCCATTGCACCTCCCATACTCCACCCAGCTAATGATGTCAGGGACCCATATCTGCTCGTAAAGAACGGTAATGTCTGAATTTATCGTCAGCATAGGAATTTCGATTGTGACCCCTCTGTCTTCGGCGTTCGGCTCTTCAAAAGTAAACGGTGCCTCATTGTCGTGGAGCTCGGAGCTGTCTGGCGAATTTAAGTCTGGCTCATAAACGCGGACAGTACTCCGTAATACCGTCTTTATGTCTCCACATTGATCCCGCTTCTGGTTTTCGTCGCAGACAAAAAGCGGCCCTTCGTCGCCATCTTCCATACATCGCGGCCGAGCCAAGACGTACATGTGGCTGTGGGGGTTTTGTACCGCCAGCTCGATAATGATAAGTCACAGCTCAGGCGGGAGGCGCATGCCTATACAAGACGAAGAGCCAGGCACGATGGTCTTGACGTAGTTGGGACCGACGTTGGTTTTGTCCACTATAACAACAGATTTTCGAGTAACCAACTCGGGCACCTGATCGCAGCTCACAGTCTTCATTCTCTGAGGCTGAATTTTGGGATGCGTTTTCGGCACTATACTCTCTGGTTGTAAGAAATATACCCGAGAAACAGAAGAACAGCCTTCTTGGTGGTTACCTGTTTAAGGGGAGTGATCGTAGAAGTCCAACAGTGTATCGCTGCGTAAGCGAATAATCTCCACCTGTACTACCTACAGCTGACAGGATCAGTGACTGTAGAGGAAACCACACGAAAGCAGCAGGAGACCAAACGACGTGTTGCTTACTTGAGAATAAGATGTGAGTGCCAATGCACAGGCCACTTCTGCCTGCAATCCAACTCTTCCCCCGCATTCAATCCTCTGACGAGGGGCTTCAAGTTTATGGCATAACTTTTACGTGTCTGTACGCGGCTCGAGCATACTTGTCAAACTTTACTTCATCTCTGTAGTCCTCCGATTGCATTCAAGAAATTCGCACAGATCGGCGACTGCCACAAGGAGGCCCAGTGGCAGGAACGACAACAAAAATATCTGATCCATTCTTATACCGTCTTGACTTTGTGTCGCAGCCCTACAGGTATGCACCATGCCTTGTTTCAACGACTATACACAGTCATATTTTGTCGACGATCAAATGTTGTAACAAGCCTTAGGAACCCCCGAAAGTAAGCAGAGTGCCTATATGGAGTAGGATGATTAATCAACATTATAGGTAGCACTTTGGCGTCATATATTGCATACATCGACATTATATCACAAATGTCTAGGGGAAACTATCTTTTAGCATGTACAGATTTACTTAATTACGCACCGTCAAGACCCGTGAATATTAGCTGTGAAGTTCGGCCACTTTGATAACCATCGCATCTGCTCAACATCCTCGACAGTGACAAAAATCTATATTCCTGTTTCTGTCGTGAAGCAACCATTGCCTCAACTCCTATGGATGAACCAGCCTCAATAGCCAAGGTAAGTTTTAGCTAATATGAAATCTGTGGGCACATGTCCAGACGGTTGGGCACGATGTGCCAAATTGTTTCGACTACGATCTCGAGATGAGTAAGACGTCCTTTGGCAGGGCTACGAGAAAGCCCTTGTTTAGACGCTGGCTGCTATACTGTCACCCCCAGAGCTAGCCAGCCAATTAAAGCTCCCCTTTTGCGAAGTATGCTTGGAATATCTGGGCAGCAAGTTCTTCTATGGCAATGAACGCATATTGGATAATGTCACCCTAAATATGCACAGAAGCTGTACGTGTCGTGGGCGATGCTGCGAACGTGAATGGGATCGATAAGGACTTGTCTGACGCTGTGTGGACGTTATGTGGAACCCACGGACGAAAGAATGTCGAGGATTGCCGCAGGTAGCTCTGCGGACACAATGCTACTTACGCCGTACTTCAGAACGACCACGAAAAAGACAAAACAAGAAAGTGTAAACATCATAGTCCTAGTTTTTTTCGGCTCGACGTTTCAAACGGACGGATCTGATCTCATTGTAATACAGAGTTTGAGCGGGTCCAAGTACCTCGTCAATCAAGCTCTTAGAGAAGTGCCCTTTGTAATTCGACAAACCAACCGTTATAATTCCACTCTAGGAAAACCACGCATACAGAGCGTATTAATGATCTACTAATGCTAGTTCTCTATATGCAGTAGTCGGTTTTCACAGCTATTTCTAGCAAAACCTCTGACGGTATACCTCGGTCCAACTACTTTGGCGGAATGACTGGCAGTACGACGTAGTTCGTCTCCTGTGGCCCAAAGCAGATGTGGTTCTGGCCCTGGAACTTGCTCGGCGCCCTGTTTGAGTTAGCATGTGGATTGTTAAGGGATCATATGGGAAATTGGCATGTGTCAACTTACCGATCGACCGGATCATTATGCTGGAAGATGCCGCAGCCCTGGGTGTCACCACTGGCAACCTCCAGGATGAGGCGAGCGCCAGGCTCGAGCACCACAGACGTTGGCCAGACCTCGACGTCGACGTCGTAGATCTCGCCGGGCACGACGGGCTGAACGTCGGTGCTGAGGTACTCGCGCCAGGGCAGGTAGTCACGGTGCTTGCGGTGGTGGGTGGCGACCTTACGGAGGCTGACGCGGAGCCAGCCCTTAGTGAGAGGCACAGCATCACCGGCGGTTCCGGTGTAGAAGACCTCCTTGCCGGCGGCGGAGATGTGGCGGAGGGTGAGGAAGAGGTCGATGTCCGAGGGCGTGATGCCGCCGGCGTCGGCGCTGACGCTGACGCAAAGATGCGCAGTGACGTAACCAGTGATCTCAGTCTCGACTGCAAACGGCTCTGTGCGGAACTGGATGAGGCTGGGGTCGTCGAGCGAGCCGAGAGCCTTGTAGGAGAGCTTCTCACGACGGGCCGGACGGCCGGCCACAGCAACGGCAGCCACGTCGGACGTCAGCCGGCGATCGGGCGTGAGGTAAAAGCGAACGTATTCAGTGCGAGCAAGCGGCCACTCGGTCTCGGCACGGCGTGGAAAGATGGCCTTCTCGGCGGCCGGGTCGTTGAAGCCGGCATCACCCTTGCGCAGCACCAGGTCGACGGGGGGAACCTTGCCGGTGGTCCAGCCATCGCGGTCATCGCCCTTGAGGAAAGCATCGAGAAAAGAGCGCTGGACCTCGACCTCCTCGGGATAGTAGAAGGGCAAATCATGGCGCCCGGTAACCATGCGCAGCCACTTGCGTTCGGAGCCGGCATGAGCGTAGCCCTCGAGATTTCCGCGCAGGTGCAGCAGGATGCCGCCCCAGTTTCCGACCGAGAGCAGCGGAACGGCAATGTCGGCCATGTCGTACTCCTTGGACGCGTAGTACTCGTCGTCGCGGAAGTGGTAGCGCTGGTTGTCGATCGTCTGGTCTTGGCGGTTCTGTGCCCGCTCTTCGGCACTGAGATTGCCCTCGAGCGTCTCAGGCGCCGACGGCGGCCGCTTGGGTCCGCCACCGACCAGCTTGGTCACCTCGTCAATCGGCTCGTCGTGTGGTCGACCGTACTGGTTTGCCACCACCTGGCGGTTCCACCAGAAGCGGATAAAGTAGTTCGACAGGATGCCGCCGTGTCGGCAGCGGTCCCGATAGTAGTCCGACATGCCCTCCCATGGAATCATGGCGGCCAATCCCTTGGGTCGTCGTGCGGCCACGCGCCACTGGCTGCCTGCATAGTAGCTGATGCCCAGCAGCCCAACCTTGCCGCTCGACCAGGCCTGCTCGGCACACCACTCGACCACCTCGAAGAAGGCCTCGCTCGTGCCGCGTGACATAGTGTCCAGACGGCCGCGCGACTGTCCGATCCCCCGCTCATCTGCCCGCACCACTGCGTATCCATGAGATGTCCAAAAACCCGGATCCGGCGTTTCCCAGGCTGAATGTGCCGACTTGTGCTCCGGGCCCACTTCGGAGAATGATTGGGCGTGAAAGCTAGGAAGAGGAACCGTCAGCGCTTAGAGGGTTGTATCGATCAAAGGAATCATCAGCACTCACTCTCCGTAGTACGTGTCCTTGCCATACGGCCCATAGGTCACTAGGACTGGCACTTTCTTGTCGGGGCCCGAGCCCTTGGGCCGAAAGACGTTGCACCGCACCAGTCCATCGCTGGACTTGAGCTCAATGGTTGCGTTCTGCTCAAACACGTAGGGGAACGATGTCTCGTCCACCTGATGGAGGTCTGTCCGCACTGGATTCGGCATGATGATGAGATGTTGGAATGCTTCAAGTGTAAAAATGGTGTGTGGCACAATGGAGGTTGGTTTCCCGTCGAAACAGCTTAAGCCGCTCTTATCAGATCATTCCATCCTCCTCTTGGATCTTGGGGAAATGGCCCGGCCGACAGCTTCGGCTTGCGGAGACGTTCGGATGTTCGGGTTCGGCATGTGGTCGGACTAAAACGGCGATCTATCCGCCAACTGCCGTTCCCCCATTTGCCTTCCCACCAGGGCGTGGAGCAAGCAAAACGAGCACCGAATCGGTGGCAGGTGCGTCAGAATTCGGTACACAGCCGGCAATAGTAAAGATTTCAAGGAGTCCAAGGAGTACAGTGTTTAATGAACAGTGTGGATATATGCCACACAGTGCATGCCAGCTAATTTCTGGCCGCAACGAATTTACTGTACGGAGTACGGCAACGGGGTACTCCGTACTGGTTCGGGATACTGTCCTACAGTATTGCAATCATCGTCATTAACTTGCTCTAGGCATTAGCCACGGCCGCGGCTGTCGGTGCAGAAAGGCCACTGACTCTTTTCCGGTCTGTACTCCGTAGTCGCGCGCAGCTCTCTGGCCCAAAAATCATCGGCTAACGGCTCCGAGAATTCATGCAGCCCAATGACCCCTGGAGCCGGGCCGCTAGTGGATCCGTTGCGGCTGCCGCCGTCAAAGCTGCGACCGAAAAGTGCACTGGTGCCGGAGCCGAGAAGTGCCGCATTGTCCTCCGTTTCCATCTTTCTCTCATTGCGTGCGCTTTCCTACTCTCGTGGAAGCCCATTCGCCTGATTCTATCAACACAAACACCTTCCCTTTCCGTCAACGCCTTCACAGCGGACGGAAAATTTCGTACCAAATTACAAGCTTCTGATAGGTCTACGATCAACTTTTTCGCAGAGAATCTCCACTTAGGGCGTGTTACTGGTTCACTTTACTGACGACATCCCATGGCGTCATTTTGCCATCCTCTGGCGAAGCTGCCGCTGTGCCAAGCTCACGATGCATACATGTTGCAGCACACGACAGTGGCACTGAAAACGAATGCGCAAGACCGAACTCCGAGTCTAGCTGGAATAGATTGATTGGCGGCCAAGATTGCAGGAAAAAATACAAGATGAAGTTCGCAACTGATCGTCTTCGAGGCAGGATGCAGACACCACCAGCAGTTCCAGTGTCGCACTTAGACCACCGTTGCGACTTCTGTGGGTGGAGCATCCCGGCGTTGTCTCCTTTTTCCTTATCGCCTCGCCATCACGTACTGCAAGGCCTGCATGCTGCCATAGTGGCCCTGCCCATGCCAGACGGAACTGAGAAAGATCGCCGGGTGTCCTGCGCGGCCTGGCCGCCATGCGCGTTTTTCTGTGGCGAGCGTATGCGTGCCTATTTAAGGGAATGTCCCCTGCGGATGCGTAGAGCCTCTGGCTTGCCGATCTGAGTTCCGCTGGGCCGTAGCAGAAATTGTCCAGACAAGACTCACCATGTCCGACAACGAGAAGTCCCCTGGCGCTGCCACCACCGCCATCTGGTCATCCCCTTTCAAGGCGGCCTCAGAATCTGCAAACGAGTCTTCTGGCGACCTCGACATTGGCCTCGGCCACGATGCCCTCGACGAGAATGCCGTCAACACGAACCCATTTTCCGACCCGACCGTTGCAGAATACTGGCGCGCAACCTACGAGCAAAGCAGCTACGAGTGTCGTCACGTCTTTGATCCCCTCGCCACTTGGACCCCCGAGGAGGAGCGCCGGCTTATTCGGAAGCTCGACTGGCATGTCTGCCTGTGGGCGGTATGTCCAAGTCTATTCGGCTGTCCAGCTGCACCTTTTCGGCGAGTGTCTGCATGGCTGACTCACATCGTAGTGCGTCATGTTCTTTGGTCTGCAGGTCGACCGCGGAAATCTCTCGCAAGCCCTCTCAGACAATTTTCTCAAGGATCTGCATCTGACGACAAACGGTTAGTTTCCGGATCCATCTGTTCCTGGTGACACCTTCTAACCCCCCTCCCCCCCCAGACTACAACTACGGAAATACCGTATTCCTTCTGTCCTTCCTGGTCGCCGAGCTGCCGTCCCAGCTTCTCTCCAAGAAAATCGGCCCTGACCGCTGGATTCCGACCCAGGTTGTCCTCTGGTCCGTCGTGGCCACGTCACAATGCGCCATCACCGGTCGTGCCAGCTTCCTGGCCACGCGCTGCTTGCTCGGCCTTCTCGAGGGCGGCTTCATCCCCGACATAGTCCTCTGGCTGTCGTACTTTTACACCGGCCGCGAGCTGCCCGTACGGCTAAGCTACTTTTGGACTTCCATGTCCGTCACCACCATTGTCACCTCACTGCTGGCCTTTGCCCTGCTGCACCTGCGCGGCGTCCACGGCTGGGCCGGCTGGCGCTACCTCTTCCTGGTCGAGGGCCTCATCACCCTCTCCATCGGTCTGGCATCCTTCTTCCTCATGCCCGCTTCGGCCGTCCAGACGAAGACGTGGTTCCGCCCTCGCGGTTGGTTCACCGACGGCGAGATCACCATCGTCGTCAACCGCGTCCTGCGCGACGACCCCTCCAAAGGCGACATGCACAACCGCCAGGCCGTCACGCCGCGCCGCCTTTGGGAGGCCATGAAGGACTACGACATGTGGCCGCTCTACGCCATCGGCCTCGTCGCCTACATCCCTCAGACCCCGCCTTCCACCTACCAGTCGCTCATTCTCAAGGCCCTCGGCTTCAGCAGCTTCAACATTAACCTGCTGGCCATTCCCGCTGTATGTTTTGCCGTCCTCCTGTCCCTTTGTACAGCCTCTTCTTGTATCTTGCTAATCTTACAGAACGTCTTCCACATCATCAACCTTATTATCATTACCCGACTCGCCGACTACTTTAAAGAGCGAACCTTTGTGTCCATGATCCAGTGTATCTGGACTCTTCCTTGCGTTATCGCCTTCCGCTGGTGGCCGGGCACCATGACGAACGCCTGGGGCACTTACGCCCTTGTCGTCGTCCTACAGTCCTACCCATACTGCCGTGCGCTACCCCTTAGCACCCAACTGATCAGAGGATGTCTGTTAACTCTCGCAGATGCTATCCTAGTTGGCTGGACATCCAAAAATGCCAATAACGTCGGCGCCAGATCTGTCTCGTCAGCCTTGTACAACGTGCGGTCCGATACTCCTTGTTCTGTAGATAACAGGTACTAACACTGCTAGATGTCGGTCCAAGTTGGAAACATCGCCGCCTCATACATATACCGAACCGACGACGCTCCGCTCTACCACCGCGGCAACGTCGATCTCGTCGCCATCAACATATTGGCCATCGGTGTCTTCATTGTTACCAAAATGTACTACGTATTCCGCAACAAGCAGCGCGAGAAGCAGTGGAACGCCCTCACAACAGAGGAGCAGGTTGCCTACGTCCGAGATACCAAGATCCAGGGGAGTCGTCGCCTGGACTTTCGCTTTTCCCACTAGGCCTCTTATAATGCTCACTGGAAATTTATCTAAGCCACAAAGCGCCAAAATAGACGGGTGCCTGAAGTGGTTGTGTAGACAGCCAGCTATTCATCAAACAGACAAATGATTGCAAACTAGATTAGACGATACTTCGCGGACATGCTAAATAATGAATTTAAGACCATCTAACAGAATTGAGTTCGCATCCCTGTATTAAAATCGTAATATTGTAAAGTATAATTATGGCTTCTATGCCGTGCTGAAATGTCTCTGCAATGCGCCGTCTCCATGCTTCTGCCCCTTCCGAAATTAGGACGTAAATGCCGGCACAACTGCTTGAGGATAATCAAACACTTGGTTGGGATCTACAGCAGCCTTGATAAGCTGCAACCTTGAAAGGCTGTCTCCGTAGTAGGCCTGCTCCGCGGACGTCCGGTCCATGGCAGGATCGACATAGTTGGCATATTTTCCGTAGCTGCCAGCAGCGAGCTGCCGGGTAAAAGCCTCGGTCCAGCCCTTGACGAAACCGAAGCCGTCTTCCGGATAGGTGCCTGAGTCCACGCGGTCGTAAAAGTTATAGAGGTACAACTTGTCACGGTGCGCAAACGATGTTTCGGACACTGGCGTATTGGTGATATACCCGTTTTTGCCGCCAAACATGTCGATGATGATAAACCATGGCCGGCTGTTGGCTGCGCCCTCCGAAAACCAATACGAGCAGGCGTCTTGCATGGCGGCGGGTGGCATGGCTTGCGTCATGAGCGAATTTGCATAAAACGTGTCGTTCTGCACTTGTTAGTAAAACTCGATTCTGGAAGAGAGGCTAGCGGACGAGAATACGAACCCTTGACTCTGAGTTGGTGATATCAACAGTCTTGCTGTCATCGTAGGCAAGGAAACCATTGTACCAATCTGTCTCGTCTGCCTGGTACAAAGACGTCCCAAGCTTGTCCATCAACGGCTGGATGGCTTGCATGAGCGCTGCTTTGTCGCCGTGGTAGAGGCCATGGAGTTGCGTGAACGACTGCATCCCAAAGACGCGCATGTTCATCTCCTTGGGCTGGCCGCCCGATACGATCCAGTCCTGCAGGTCTGCCCAGCCCTTGGAGCACGAGCTGGCGTTCCACGGCAAGCTCGCCTGGAAGACGGTCGTCTTGGCTGGTGCCGCAAACGTGTTAAAATAGAACGTCGTCACCACGCCAAAAGATGAACCGGCGCCCCGCAGCGCCCAGAACAGGTCTGTGTTCTCTGTCGCCGAGCACCGCACCACGCTGGAATTGGCAAGCACGACGTCCGCGCCGACCATCCAGTCTAGTGCCAGCCCGTGTGTAAAGGAGCTGAAGCCGAAGCCGCCGTGCAGCGAGTGTCCGCCAACACCGACTCTGTGCGTGTCAGTTTCTCTCCATTAAAACAGGCCAGAAGGTCATTGTGAAACTCACGCTGGGCATGTGCCGTGGCTGATGGCTCGGCCGCCTTGGTTAAGCAGCTCTGTAAAGACATGGCCGAGACGAGCGCCAGCCTGGATGGTGGCAATGTTGGTCGTCGTGTCGAGCGTTACATTGTCCCACCGGTCCATTTCAATCACTAGGTGCCCGTTCTCACCACCGAGGCCAAACGAGCCATAGCTGTGGCCGCCGCCCTTGGGATTGACCTTGACGCCCAGCCGAGCTGCGCAGGCCACGGCCGCCTGGACATCGGCCACAGTCCTCGGAAGCACAATGGCCGCGGGCTGGTACTGCACCCGCGTGTTAAACGCTGATACATCCTCGTACCAGACCGTGCTGCCCTTGGGGTCCACCGGGACTGAAGAGTTGAAGAGGCAGTCGTCGATGGCAGCACCGGCGACTGACGTGGCCAGAGCCCATGATATGGTCAAGATGGCAGAGTACTTCATCGGGGGCGACTGTGCGGGTTCTTTTGCTGTCTTTGCTGGCCTTGTTTGGAGGGACTTGGGAATGAGCAAAGGAGGCAGGGCGTAAGGTCCAGGGACTTATACTTGTGTTCAGCCCAATCCTACCCTGCTTTTACCTCCTCTTCCGACCTGTGCGACTTCCTACGAGAAAAATAAAAGGGTCAACGGACCGGATACGAAGGGCTGACTTGGCGTGGTGGCCCCTATTAATAGTACTCGACCTATTTCGGCCATATTTTGTGCACATCAACAGTGGAGCAGCTAAGTATACGGGGTACAACTGACATGATCGGCGGCGGATCAGGCGATTAGGGCTGCTGCGGCGAGACTTGTTCGTTTATACTCGTAGAGACGGAACGATGGCCATTAAAGCTGCTTGTACGAACCAATAACCTCTGTTCAGGCTCAGAATTGATGTTGAGTAGCACCCGACAGTGGAAATAAGCTTATAGTACGAGGCGGATATAAGACCATTCCCAGGAAAATATCATACTTTGCTCGTACTCCGTAAAAATGTCGTAAAGTGGAGCTAGGCCATACGAGGATGCAAATTTAGCGGTGTACTAAGCATCTTCCGTTGTTTCCTTTTCTTTCAGCACTTAAATAATACGAGATGTAGAAGAGTGTAGCAAAAGATGCCGAAACCTATTTTAGACATTTCGTGTTCTGGCATGACATCATTTTCGCCGCAAAACAAAGCCAATGTGGAGTTCAGGCGCACAGCCCTCTGGGATGAGGTGAGCTATACGAACGCGAAAAAAGATCACATGCTCATAGAGGTTTGAACGTAAAGGAAGCAAGGACAAGACAAAATATGTATTTTTTAGTATTGCAAAGGCTGTGTCTTGAGCACGGCACTATTGACCATCGCACGACTCTGTCTTGCCAGAGTGCTCTGAAATGTGTTGAAGCCTTCGGTCGGAAAATCGGAATCATGTTCGAGTAATCCTCAGGGTTAAGATCTCTTCCTTTACCTTACTTGATATCGACATTGTCCGGGCAAAAGCAGTGCCACCAACCACATCGAAAGCATACATTCCGATAAGGCTTGTTTGCACGGCACCAAGGTTCTCGGGAGCCCACGGTGTTCGCACAAGACCTGCATAAGGATGTCATCGGGCATGTTGTTGCAAGAACGAGCAAATGATTTGTATGACTACGTTCGTAGAAGGGGGCGCCTTGTTTATTTAAAAAGTCAGAGAATTAGTGAACCAGGATTGTAAACATTACCAAACAACAGTGATTGTCAAGTAGTTGTTGATGTAGGCGAAGACGCTTAAGAACTTAAGAAACCAAAGTCCGACCAAGCTGACGGAGAGTAAGACAGCATATGTTTCCGCTTTTACTGCACCTCGTGACCTACCCTAGTTAAGTACAACCCCTCCTATTCAGCTACATGCAAACTGTTAATCTTGCCTCAAAGCGATTGGTAAATGGATTGCCAACCCGCGACGAGGATCCAGCCTCAATTTTGCGACATGGTTTCTGCTGTTTCGCGTTTAGAAAGAGCGCGGTATGGAGCAGAAAAATATATTTGGGCTGAAGTTCTTAACATGATAAGTATAATCAATACGTATCTGCACACAATTATCGAAGCAAGAGGCCAAAATCCCCAATGGTACGGAAAAATTATAACAGCAAGCGAAAGGTCCTATAGTCTAGCGGTTAGGACATTGGATTCTGATCATTATGATAATTCCAGTAGCCCCGGTTCGATTCCGGTTAGGACCTAACTTTTTCTCATTGACCATTTTGATAGGCGTCTTTAGCGTCCGCATTGATATGCATCCTCTCGCACACTACATATTGCTTTTTGTCTCATCGACTGGAGTGAAAGAATTGCCCTGGCACTTACGGGCGGTGTCGACTCCTGAAAACCAGTCGACCCGATCCTTGATGTACTGCTCGACCTGCGGACGCAGAGCTGTTTCGTGGAGGCTGAAATCGTCCACGGTACCAATACGCAGAATGCGCATGCCAGGGTATTTGGAGCCGACGCGGTACATAAGCGTTCCGCATGTGGAGCAAAAGTAGTTTGTCATTACTCCGCCGGACTCGACCGTCTTTGACTGGCCAAAGGCAGTAAGTTTCTCACGGCCACGAACGTGGCGAAGGTAGTCGTCAGCCACGGAAAAGTTTGAGGCGAACATGGAAGCCGTGAGCTTGCGACAGTCGCTGCAATTGCAGACAAATGTGGCGAGGAGGCCTGGTCCCTTGATTGGCTGCATGGCGTGGTTAGATATGTAGGTAGTATGGGGCAGACGAATGTTCTGACTTACAAAGACGAGCTGGACGCTGCCGCAAAAGCAGGTCGCTGTGGCTTCGTGCTCATTCGACCAGCCATCTTCAGCACCGCCAGCCAGCGGGAAATAAGACTTTGGGGATTCGGAAGGGGCTGCCATTGTGTGTTTGCGGGGGTTTATGCTAGGATCAATTTGGATTTACTTCGTACTCAGTTGGTATTATTCACCGTGGATATTGAGACCTCAGAATTCGTTAGAAACAAGAGTGGACAGACTCACATCATGTATACGTCATAAAACTGTTCATATTCGTACATAACCATGATATGAGGTTGCATTTCAAGAAATTGGTGATGAAGCCCCGCTATCTTGCAATGACGTACGGAAGCACTCACGGAACCCAGGATCGACGGAACGGAATCACGGAACGGAGGGAGCGGAAAACGACGGTTTTTCCACCGCCCCATCAATGCATGCATCCTTCGTATCAGTGGAGGAACGGAATGTAACAAATAGAAGAATGTTATAGACCGATCAGTCCGGGAAAGAACGTATATAGGTCTCTCTAGCTGGCTGTCATGTTTGGCTTTTTATCTAAACTCGTTTCGAAGCACATACCATAAACAGCATTAGCCTTTGTCTGATTACTATCATCATCTCTACCTTCACATTCACCATGAGCACAACGACTTTCACCCCAGCGGAGACGCGGCTCTTCAAGCCCCTCAAAGTGGGCAACATGACGCTGCAGCACCGCATTGTCTACCCTCCTCTGACGCGGTTTCGCAATGACGACGAGCACGTGCCTCTGCCGATGATGGTCAAGCACTACGCCGACCGCGCCGTCATTCCGGGCACTCTTCTCATCTCCGAGGCCACTGCTATCTCTCCAGCCGAGGAGGGACAGAAGAACAACCCGGGATTGACTACGGAGGCACAGGTGGCCGGGTGGGCCAAGATTTACGAGGCCGTCCACGCCCGCGGCTCTTTTTTCTTCCAGCAGCTCTGGGGGATGGGTCGGGCGGCCGATCCGAGCTATGTGAAGGAGCGTGGCTTCGACTACCGGTCTAGCAGTGCCGTGGCGATGCCCGGCGTCGAGGCCGTGCCGCGGGCGATGACCGAGGAGGAGATCCAGGAGACGATCCGGGGTTTTGCCGAGACGGCCAAACGCGTCGTCGCAGCGGGCGGTGACGGCGTGGAGCTCCACGGCGCCCACGGCTACTTGCTGGACCAGTTTCTGTCGGACCGTGTGAACCAGCGGACGGACAAATGGGGCGGCTCGATTGAAAACCGGGCCCGTCTGATGCTCGAGTGCGTCCGGGCTGTGGCTGACGCTATCGGTGCCGAGAGAGTGGGCCTGCGGCTGTCGCCGTATGCCAGCTTCCAGTCGGCCGAAAAGTCGGACATTGTTGGGACATACAATTACCTCATCGGCGAGCTGAAGGCCATGAAGACGCCCTTGGCCTACTTGTCTCTTGTTGAGCCGATCGGCGACCCGTCCTCCGTTTTGCTGGGCAAGACGGCGGCCAACCTGGACAAGACGCTGGACTTTATCCTGGAGGACTGGAACAACCTGACCCCGGTTCTCGTCGCCGGTGCATACACACCTGAGACGGCCGCCCGTGCAGTTGAGGAGCGCTACAGCAAGTGGGACGTTCTGATCGGCTTTGGCCGTACCTACATCGCCAACCCCGACATTGTCTTCCGGATCAAGCACGGCCTGGCACTGAACCCGTACGACCGTGCGACGTTCTACGTTAACAAGTCTGAAGTCGGTTACAACGACTATCCTTTCAGCGAGGAGTACCTCGAGAGCGTTAAGAACAAAGCTTGAAAGATAGCTTGGGACATGTGCATATAAATGGAGTACAACTTGCATTAGACATTTCGATACCATATGAAATTCTTGGGCAGATTTTGTAGTGGAACAGTCGACCCTCCTGTTTACTAATGTGAAATGTTGAGAAATCAAACATGAGATACGTGTGAAGGAGGCAACTGTGGTTGCGAAAAGTTTTTAGTAGACCCACAATGACGCCGATGGATGAATAATCGTATCCGATGACTTTCACACCACTTCGCTCGTAAAGTGGGAAAAACAGAAAGAACGATACTAAAAGCGTTCCGTAACTCCGTGCCCCCGCAATTCACGGAGCGCGCTCCTTCCCTCCCCTTTCTCTTGGCGACCTTTCCCCTGTTACTAACCGACTTCTAATCTGCATCTAAGCGACCATGGCATCGATTGAAACGACGGCTATCAGACGGATGCGCAAGCAAGTCACCCGGGCCTGCGACTTCTGCCGGGCGCGACGAATCGGCTGTGATAGTAGCCAACCCTGCAAAGCCTGTCGCCAAAGAGGGCTGGCATGCACGACAACAGGTGAAGAAGGAAGTCCGAGAAGTTTGCCTGCAGCACAACGAGAGATTGAGCAGCTCCTGCGAAAGGTCAAGGATCTGGAGGCGGAGGTGGCAGACCTGAAACAGCGTCAACCGGCATCACAGCTCCAAGCCGTCATCGGCGACTCTCGGTCGCAGTCGCATTCATTGTCCCCCTCCAAACCTTGTTCCCGTCCACGGCCACAATGGGAGGGCATTCATGTGGCAACGTCCGGCTCCGACCAGGCATCCTACTACGGCCCATCGTCGTCGTACTACCTCGTCAGCCGCATGGGAGGCTACCTGGGCAAGATGCTGAAGCAGCCGTACACGGAGAAGAGCCTCCAGCCCCGGAGCACACGGGCAGACATCTACCAGAACAGTCCGGCCGTGATTGACGAGGGAGCAGCAAAGCAGGGCGAACCTCAGAATCCTCGCCATGTGCACACAGGTGCCCTGAGCCGGGCGCAAGAAGAGTCCGTCCTGCGGCTGTTCTGGGAGGGCTACCACTGCACAATGCCGATTGTGGACGAGACAGCTTTTCGAACATCTTATGCTTCGCTGTGGGAGCCGTCGCGATCTGTCCGGCGGCCGTGTCCTCTCGTCGACTGCATCATTGCGCTGTGTCTGCAGAACGGCTACGCCTACATTCCGAAGCCGATTTCGAGGCAGGCGTCGGCTGGCATCGACAACACCGACGACGACAGCAGAGAGGCCGTTGACGATGCAGCCGTGGCGGGCCGATGGTATTTCCTGCGTGCACAGTCTGGCCTGACGGCGGATCTCGAGAGCCCGTCGCTGGAGACGGTGCAGTGCTACATCTTCATGATCTCGTACCTCTGCTGCGCCTCCTTCCAGAACATGTGCCATGTCGTGTCGGCACAGGCTGTGCGGACAGCCCATATTCTGGGTCTGCATCTGGATCCGTCGTCAGATCTGCCGCACGGCGAGAGAGAGCGACGTCGCCGCATCTGGTGGGTGTTGTGGTCCTTCGATGCCAAGGTCTCGACCAAGCACGGCCGGCCGCTGGTGATTGACCAGGCCGACGTCACGGCAGCCCTGCCGTCGGACGACTGCGAGGCGGCAGCCTACAACGGCTCGACGCTGGGTATGTGCGGGCCGCTGGCCGGGGGAGGGCCCGGAGGAGCCTCCGGCGATGCCGTCACCTGGCTGACGTATGCGAGGCAGAACCAGAAGCTGCACCTCGTCATGACCGACATCCACCAGGCGCTCTTCTTCCGCTGCGGCGAGGTCGTTCACGAGAGGGCGCTCGCATGCATCTACCACGACCCAGCGGCTCTGGAGGACAGCGCTGGCTTCCTGGCTGCCCGACTGCCACAGATGCGCGACTGGGCCAGCGCCGTGCCGTCTACTCTCCGAACGCGTCGCCGGCGAGGTGGCCAGCCCTATTCGACCGACCGGTCACCCCTGGACCTGGACGACGCACTCGCGCCCGTCTGGCTGCAGCGCCAGGCCGTCAGCCTCGAGCTGACCTACCACGCCCTCGTCGTCCAGCTGACGCGGGCCTTTATCACCTTTTACAAGCACCCGGGCACGTACACGCCAGCAGTCGACCGTCTCGCTGCCACCTGTGCCGACCACGCCGTCGCCTTCACCCACCTGATGCACCAGGCCGTGACCGAGACCGACCTGATGGCCGGCTGGTCCGAGTACTTTAGCCTGCAGTGGAGTGCCTCCCTCGTCATGGTCGCCTTTGTGCTCGCCTACCCCGTCCATGCGGCCACGCCGCGGGCCAGGGCTGCTCTCGAAAAGGCCGTCGCCGTGTTTGTCGTCTTTGGCGAGCACTTTGCTGTCAGTGCTGACGCTGCGGCCATCTGCCGAGACCTCATGGCCAAGGCCGACTTCCTCGCCGGCTGGGACGACAAGAACAGCAGCAGCAGTAGGACCAACAGCAGCAACGAAAGTGACAGAACCAACAGCACCAGCATCAGCAGTCACTCTCCTACAAGCACGCAGACTCCCTCTTCACAGCTGACAGCCGTCGAAGATGACCTGGCCTGGCTCGATCCCAACCGGCCAGACGATATGGCCGGGGGGCCGTACGTTCCGTTCAATATGGACTGGGCCATCTCTGTGGACAATTTCAACAGCTTCGACAAGTTCTTTGACGCACATCACTCGTCTGACTCGTGGGCTTTTCTATCATCGTGAGAAGCGTGAGAAGGCTTATTACGGGGGGGTTCAGTACGACATAAAGCAGTGATGGCAAGAAGAGAAATTGGTGGTAGATGAATATGCATCTTTCTACCAGTTTGCGTTTTTTGTGGCGTCAGGCTACTCGTTATTTGAGTGGCACTGTTTGCAGCGACTTTGTCATAGGGCTGGGCAGCAGTTATGGAGAAGCATAAAATATTATGTCAACGAGAAAATGTTTATATAACCTCTCTTTGGTTCTCACAAACTATGGTCATATGAATTGGTGTTGTTCCAAGCCCACTTCACTTTCCCATGCCTTTCACCACCTTTTCAAGCAGATTTTCTATATTATTATGTACACACTCCAGCGTAAAACAGGCGCTGTCCTGTGTGTTTCTTTTTTTCTAGTATCGGTGGTGCCGATCGTGTGTAACGCCCTCAATCTTTCGGACGAGCCGTACTGCGCGTGGGGCAGTTACCCCTGTTCTATGGGCTGGTGATGATGGTTAGCCCGACGACGGCACTGCTTAGCATAAGCTCGTTCTTTATACAGTGGTTAATAACCTGCGCTCTAAGACTTGTAGGTTTGGCAGCCTCTGGATATTCAGGTTGTATGCCTACATCAGCCTGGTTCCCCTAACGAGCTTCGCAATGCTGCCTTTGTGAATGTGTGCCTCCTATTGTTGTTATTTGTAAAGCACAGCTGGGCAAATCCGGTTCTTAACCCATTAATGTGAACAAGAACGGTCACGTGGACACTTGTCTGGTGTGAGCTTTTTCGTTTTTAGTTCCCGTCAGGTCCTGCCCGTAGGGTCCTGGACAGCTAGTCTAGTAGCCGTAGAAAGGGGGATAGAAAATGGAAGCCCTCGCCTCTACATCTGAGGAATGACAAGTGCCCAACGGCCTGGTTCCGGTGTGGGTCCAGACATGTACAGACGTTTGACCTTGATCTTGCGCCGGTCTATCTCTGCTCCAGCGCGTACAAGCAAGTCTTCCATGTTCTTAAACTCCAACTCGCACGCCAGTTTGAGAGCGTTGCGAAGCCGATGTTGTGTCTGGTCCAGGCTGGCGCCTCGGTTCTGCAGCCAGCGGACCATGGCGGCCACAGCGTCAACGTTTCCGAACTCGACGGCCAGGTCAATGGGCGATCGACCATAGATGTTCTTAGGATTCCACCGGGCGCCGCGCCGGCGCAGATCGCGGATATGCTCGACTCGGCCGGTGCTGCAGGCTCGGTGCAGCGGCGTCATACCGAACCGGTCGATGCCGTGGATGTCAAGCTTCATGGCCAGGAAGCGCGCGACAAGGCCACCGTGGCCATACCGGAAGCTCAGATGGAGGCAGGTCTGGCCAAATGCGTCGGCCGCGCGGGCATTGGCGCCCAGCTGGAGGAGCTGCTCGGCTGTCTCGATGGCGCCGCTGCGAATAGCCTCAAGCAGCGGCGTCATTCCGCTGGAGTCACGTGATTCCAACTGGCTGCCGCCACGGCCTTTGCCCAAGGCGACCAGACGCTCGGCCGCAGCGCTGTTGTTGACCATGGCGGCATAGTGCAGCGCAGTGCGTCGCTGTTTGTCGACGACATCCAGCCGGGCTCGCTTAAAGCGTACAAACCGGCTGACTATCATACCGTCAAACCAGAGGGCCAACAGGTGCAGAAGGCCGGCTCCCGTGTTTGTCCGGCCAAACTCGCGCTCCGGCATCTCGATGAAGAACTCCAGGGCAGCTCGGTAGCCCTGCTCGGCCGCCAGATGGACTGGCGACATGCCGTTCTTGGCCCGCAACATGTAGCTGGCCCCAGACGCCACCAGCATCTCCAAGGCGGCCATGTTGCGATTTGCGACAGCAATGTGTACAGCCGTCAGACCGTCATGGTCCTGGGCATTGAGCTCTGCAGAGCTGTAGTCACTCAGGCTCAGGCGGCTGGCATCCCAGTTGTGCTCCAGGGCCCAGTGCAGCAGCGTCCTCCCGGTGTGGTCTTGGGGGAGGGAGAGCAGGCCGTACTCTGTCTGCAGCCAGTGGACCACGTCTTCCCAGTTCTGATGGGCGCAGAGGTGAAGCAGGTCGTACTCCTCGCCCTCATGGCGCAGCTTTGTTTCAGGCGGGAGCCTCTCCAAAATCCACAGCAGCTTCTCTCTGCGGCCGAAGAACGCGTACGTTGCCAGAGCGTTCATCTTAGTGTGTGGGTCGACCTGCAGAAGCTGCTTGGGGTATGCCCTGAGGATGGCTTCTTCGATGCGCGTCCAACCGTGAGAGCCGGCTGTGAGAAATGGGCTCGTTCCAGAGCTGGTCGTCGCGGTCAGAACCCTTTCCGAGGCCATACTGATCATCTTTTCCAGAATGGACTGCCAAATCACGTTCTCATATGCCATGGAATACGGCGTTTTACCCTCGTTGTTTTTGATGTCAATCGCAATATCGCGGTGGTCAAGAAAGACTTGGACTGCGGCTATGTTGTGTGAGTGCAATGCTTGATGCAACGGCGAGCCAAGAGGACCGCCCATAATGTTGACGTTAACATGGGGATGCTCGACCAGCGACTGGGTGAAATAGACGTCTTCAGAGCAGCGGGCTGCATAGTGCAGGGCTTTTCGCTCCTGTGAGTTGCCGTAGTTGATGCTGACGTTCTCGTCTCGCAGGAGTAGCCGAAACGACTCTCGTCGTCGGCAGATAATAGCCCACGACAACGGCGTGATAAAGTCTCGGCCAGGGCCGAAAGCGTTGATGTCGGCGCCGTCTGCAAGCAAGGCCTTGACAATTCCCGGACAGTCACCTCGAGTCATAATCTGAAACAGAGCCAAAGAGGCCGACGTGCTGCCACGCACAGAGTGCACGTCTTGGTACGTGCCCAGATATGCGGCCGCGCTTTCCGGCTGGATGGCCGCCCAGAGAATGTGGCAGCTGATGGCCGTTTTGGTGGGTAAGAATTTAGCCAGAAGACAATCGTTGCTACGGCTGGGCATTGTGCCTTGGTAATGTGTGACCCAGAACTGGACGGCATAGAGAAAGCAAGGTGTTCGTCCGGTCGACCGGATGAATGACTCAATGTAGAAAAGCATTCGGCGTATGCGCTCGTCTGTTCCGAAGTAGCCATACATGTTCTTCATATCATCCTCCGCCTTGGCTACGGCGTCCAACAGTTCATCCCACGACTTGTCATCTCGGTCTTCCAATTTGAGCACAGACACACACAGTCTCTGCAGCAGGCTGTGAGCATCCGGGTCCGAAACCGAGTAGCTTGCGATGGTCTCCTGGTCTTCTGGTGACAGCTCATCCACGCTGCATGTGAGCAGATCCTTTGCAGACACGTGTGAAAAATCGACAGTGCCATCCTCGGCTTTTCTGATCATGTAGCCACAAGATTCGGACAAATAGTTTTCAAAGTCCGCACTTTGTAGCTCCAGCTCACGCAGATGAAGCGGCCGATCATCCAGGATCTGGCTGTAGACGGTCGCGAAGAATGCCAGCTGCCGGGACGTGAGCCTCTGTCGGCTCACGCGGAGAATGGCAAACGACGCTTTGGCCTTGTTTCGTTGCGAGCTGGGAATGGCTCTCAGCAGACGGCAGTAAACAACGACGAGGTCGTGCGAGGCTCTGTCTAGTCGCAACAGGCCGTCCTGAATTAGCTCACGTGACCATCGGCTGACGCCTCTGGAGAACTGCTCCCAAGCCAGCTTGGCATGGAGGAAATTGCCGCTGGAAACCTCCATGATCTTGTGCTCAATCGTCTCTGCAACATCGGGAGAAATGTAGGACCTCGCGAGAGACTTTCGCACGTGGGCCTGAATGTAGTCCCACACATTGTTCTGTGTATAGTTGTTGTTCGCGTCAAGCACGGCGACATCGGCGTTTGGGAACTCGTATGACGGCCTCTTCCGGTGAGAAATCATGATTCTGAGCCGCCCGCTAGAATCCAGAGCCATGAGATGCTCGAGTCTGTCGATGACGGTGATGGATGCGTCGGAATCACTGCGGAGCACTTCGTCTACAGCGTCGACAACCAGCTGGAACACAATGCCTCGTGACCGACGGATGATGATCTCGAGACATATCCACAGATTTTCCTCATTGGCTGCATCTTTCTTTCCGTCACGGCCTTCCAGATACCTGACCAAGAACGCAGTCCGACTGTCACGGAGGATCTGATTAAGAATAGATCTGACAAACGCAGAGGTCGTTTTTCGCCTTAAGTCTTTGTCGTCAAAGAAAAAATGGAGTGGCTTTCGAATGATGGAACTGTCCGATATGTCGCTCTGAACCTTGAGGTGCGAAATTGCAGTCCGCATAAGCACCGTCTTACCCGAACCGGGAGGTCCGTGTAGCCAGAGAACTTGACGCCCTCGAAGCCTTGTCCAGGACTCAAACTCCGTGTCGTCAAGAAACCATCTAGCAGACTGTCCCCAGTGCGACGGTATCAGGTCGAGAACCTTTCCTTCGTCAATTGCCCCAAGTTTAGACATAAACTCTCGCTCGGAACGGTCGAAATCTGGTAATTGTTACGTTTCAGTGATTGTTAAACATGGTGTACAGAGAGCTGCTTACACGTCTGTCCGGCGTCACTTGATGGCGCGTCGATGAGTTCCGAGATACAATTGTAGACGGTCAGGTAGTTGCTGCTAGAGCTGGTGAGAAACCGACACATGCCACGATGGTCCGCATTCAGGGAAAGAGGGGTCTCGTTAGGCAGGTGAAGAATGGCAGAGGACTTATCCACCACCTGCTACGAGAAATACGTAATTAGCAGAGCACTCAAAGAGAAAACATCCATCAAAAAGATGGGAAGGCAGACCAAAGATTCTAGTGATTCCTCCACGTTTTGTTCGTAGAGGCTGAATATCTGCAAGCCCATCATACAATCGCCAAACCGCAAACAAGCGTTTCCGAGCTCCACAGATTTGATCTCGAGGCTTTCCACCGAGTTGCGTGGTGGCTTGTAGATGTGAGCTAATTTTTTCAGGTAATCAGACCAAAACGTTTTCTCTGGGCCTTGATGCGGCGTGCCGAGGAATATGATGCCCGCAACCGATTCGCTGATCCCGTCGTACAACGTTGTGCCCTCGTGGGCCAAGACGAGTGCTTGTTTGAGCACGATCCCGCCCAGACCGTGGCACACATAGATGGCTTTACGCCCTGCCTTTTCGTCGTGTTTTTGACGTAACCGACGGATGCCTTTCAGCAGCTGTTCGGCAGAGCCGCGGATATTAGAAGTCGGACTTATAAGCACCTGCTCAGTATCGTAGCCAAACGTCAAGACTCTGGCCTTTGGCATCTCCCATGGTAGAAAATCTCGAAGCCAAAGTTTGTCGCCTTCCATCCACGTATTGAAAGCATGTCCGCAAAGGCCATGGATCGCGATCACGTCAAAGTCCGTCTGGAACTTCTTGACATCCTGTGTATCTGGATTGGGCCATAGAGTAAACAAACCAATGGGTGGCGGCTTAGCTCTTTTCATTGCCCCTATGGCCTCATCGGTGAGATGTGGCGACGTGTTGTTATCTAGCTCAGAGGCAGTGCTGACTCGTGTTTGCACGAATGTAGCTGCACTGCTCCACATGTCTCCCAGGTAGTCCATCAGCAGCAGATAATCTTGGTCGAAGGCGCCTTTAAATTTAGGCAAGTCTTCATGGGTCTGGTTCACGGGAATTTTCGTGTGAAAAACGCAGTCTGGCCACGAGCCCACCGCAGAGGTTGTGTTTACGAGCACTTGGCTCTCACCAGACCGATCCCAAACTCCTGGGGCTCTCTCCTGGACGGTCCGGCTCTGTAGCGTTTCGTACACGGAAATCACCTTTAGACCTGGGAACGAAAAGGCACGCCTAAAATGTTTGTCCAGGCGTTGTAGGATGCGGGAACCAGGCTGGAGGCTCTCGACGAGTGCCGCATTGGCCTGTTTGTTGACCATGCGGAGCCAAGGCTCGACGAGGAGGCCATGGTGCGGAACCCCAAAGAAAACGAGCCCATATACACATTTCGCATTGAAAATGTCGTTCGTGGCCATATGACAAATAGCTTCCTTGACAATAAGTCCACCTAAACTGTGCGCAATAAACACGATAGGACGCGGCCTAACCTGAGACTTATTGCGCTCTGGCTTCCGCATACTCTTAATCGAGATGGCGAGTCTCTCGCCAATGTCAGAAATGTCCTGAAAAGACTTGCTTGCCACAAGCGACGTGTCGTAGCCGTAAAGAAGCATGCGAATATTCGCTGGATATGCGTCTTGATCGTCCACCAACCACATAAATTGGCCGCCTCGTTCCTTCCAAGAGCCAAATGGATGGCTGCTGAGACCACTGACGACGAAACAGTCGATCCCGTTTTCCTCCGTGCTGCCCGCGATGTTCAGTGGCGTGAAACCGAGAAAAGCTGTGTCGATCTCGAGTCGGATGTGCTGCAGCTGGCTACCGTATGTGATCGCATTATCGAGCCTCCAAGGACCCATGCCGTGTAAGAACTCTGGAGTGGCGGAGAACATCACAATGGCAACGACCGATGGCCTTTGCGGATGCAGACCAAGAGCCCGGATTTTTGTGTCCGCGTCCAAGCCGAAAAACTCGTCGAGAATATGTTTTGCGTCGTCGCCCGAAACCGTCGTCGGAAGACCGGCAACCCGGTACACTGACATGACAAGGACCTCCGAGCCCTAGCAGAGCGCCCTCAGATGAAAAAAGTGTGGATTGCAGCTACACTAATAAAATATTGTATCGTGGGCAGTCTGGTACGATTTCATAGCCGGAGTGCAAGCACGGCTTTTCCCCTCCTTCAAGCCTTCCGCGGGGCAGACAGCTAGGCGGGGCATAGCCGCAGCTGTTCTGACAAGCTGTATCAGTATGACAAGGGTCGGGCACATATGGATACGACATTGCCTCATCTAGTTAGTGCTTATGCCGGAAGCGTAGGCTGAAAGCTAGATTGGCCTTGGTGATATTTCAGTAGATAGCATACCGAGGTGTTTTTAAATAGGGCCGTATAGGAATGAGCAGGAGCAGGCCGTCTAAGTTGTCGGCTGTAGCCCAAACTTGACGGGAACTATACTAGTGGTGGCGTAAACATCTCTTCTTTGTCCTTACTTCCTAGGGCTTTGCATTTCCACTTATCTCCTAACACAATGCACATGGCTTCTCCAACATATGTTGTCCCCTCTTACCAAGCCAGTGCTGCTGCCTCTTATTTTAAGGTTAGAAACCCGCTATAATAGTACTACTATAACGGCAACTGGAAAAATGCAACGGTTAATCAGCGTTACAACCTCAACGGCCGCGGTATGCCTGATGTGTCTGCGAACGGATGGAATTACCCGGTTCGGACTTAGTATCTCAGCGCTAGTGCCTCGCAGACAGATCACTTGTCCGCATCGCTGCTCGACTGTATCGTGGGGGAGTGTTTTACGGTCGAAAAGGGCCCTTTGGGGCTCGTCAACCCGACCTTGTATGCGCACCCCGAGGTGCTTAATGACACCACCAAAAGGCCACAATCTGGGTTATGGCACTTCGGGCCTCTTGCCATCGATAGGCTGGGACCTTCTGACGGGTCTGGGTAGGCCTAATTATCCACAGATGCTGGACTTATCTTTAGTCTCCCTTGTGTAGGGGTTCTTGTCAATCAGAGTAGTGGCCATGCCCTCCGAATACGACCGCATTGCTATTGGTATTGATAATAAGGGAATTAAACAAAGTAGATTTTGCAAGTCCCAAGTTGCATCACAAGACCGCGATGTATTGGTTAAAGTTCAAGGTCCACATATGATTGTCCCTTGTCTAATTTCCTCGTGATCAAACGGAAGAAGCCCATCGTGCTGATTTCTTTATGTAATGTCAATAGAAGTATCGTTATTCAGTCTTCTGGCCCCAGATGACTCTGATCATCATAGTGCCGTGGATCTCGTTGTTCCGTAAGTCTCGGCGAAAGCGGGCAGCGTAAGCTTCAATTTCCACCTTAGACCATCCCTGAAGGTTTGCGACAAACGTTAAGAAGCCGGTTATGTCGTGTTCGAGGGCTAACTGGCCATACATTCCAATTTCCTTCAATTTCGGGTCCTCGGGCCATTGTCCAAGAGGCGCCTTAAGTCTAGATCAGCTGTCGTAATATTAACTGCTTCGTGCAACATCTCGGCCGAGACACTGTACTCACATTAAAGACCCACTCCTCGATATCCACGAAGCCAGCCTGTTCCATGGCTGTTTTTTGCACACCGTCGGGCACAATGGTGAACGATTGCCCAAGTTTCTTCCCGCCGTCCTCATATATCTTTCCCCACTGCCCCATTGCACTTGTCTCGGGAACAGTGCCGTCTGCGCTGACTATAAAGGGTGACGCTTCGTAGCTTTCAAAGTATCCACCCGGTGCTAGGCATTTGTAGGCCTCCTTGGCCAGAGCAACCCAGTCGCCGATGCTGCCAAGCAGGTAGCGCCCGTGGACAAAGTTCAGGGAGTCAGAGTCGAATGTCCAAGGCTGCGTGAAATCATCAATTTCACTGTTTGTGTACGTAAGTAAATAGGTTGCAAACGTCCCGTGCTTCGAACCTACACGTTCAGGTTCGAGGGCAACCAGATAGGTTGTATGGGAGAAATATCTGTGCCTATGACCTCACAGTTGGGATACTGGTCGGCAAAATCACTAAGCTGGTTTTAGTATGAATCACGGGCTAAAGAGGGGGTGGCTTCAGCCCACATGGCCCAGATTCCCGTTCCCGTGCCGATGTCGAGAGCTTTCTGCAAGACTTGTCAGGCTCTGACAACGCTAAATGAATAAAAACACGGAACCTTCATCTTTTCCCCTATTGGTGCCAAATGGAGTTTTCCGCCCAGGCAAAGCGTAAGAAAATGATGACTGCTGATGTCAACAGTGGATGCCTCTCGAGGAGTTTCGCGTTACGCCTTACGCTAGATCAAGCATTTCTTGCTGCTTTTCATCGTTCGCACCCCTTATGAGGGTCAGTGTCATTTCAAAGGCAAGACGGTTGCGGTACAGCAAGTACAGGGTATTGCCTCTCTTGCTGTGGTACGTTCTTCCCAGAACGGTCCGGTACTCGAGGATGCTCGATGTGATTGAAGCCGTTGAAGTGACATCATCGTCACCAAGAGCCGCTTCGTTATCACACGAAAGCTAACCCACACACAAAAAATCAGCATGCGCATGTTGAATGTAAACAGCGACGAGCGCGAGACGAACTGAATCAGTCACCTCTGCCCAGTGTTCGCCTGGGAGTAGACCAGCGGGGCTCTCAGTTGCGGGGAGCGCTAAATGGGGGGGCGACAAACCGCCGTCCATTTGCCTGTCGTCAGCCATAATCTCTGTACGAATATCTGGCTACAGCTTCCGATGGAAGCCAGAAACTTGGTATGTACGAGTAGGTCTGGGTGTCTCTCTTTCGGTCACAACATGCTTAGAGCGTAGCATCACTAGGCGGTCAGTTGCAGCAGAATTTAAAGCAATACTACATGAAGTGAGGGGCTTGCATCTCTCGTGTGACGAATAAATGAGACGTCTGGTATTTATTTGGTACAGAGATAAAGCGGGTATTCTCGAGCTTTACTGACCCGGCATTAAGTTGCGGCGGAGCCAGAGATTTGTCGTAACGACGAGAAACAACTTTTGTCTAGGCGAGTTCTTGAGCCATGCAATCAGTCATAATCTAGTTGTGGTATTGGCTTATCATACTAAACGCATCATTGTGCTCTGATCTATGATCATCCATTGTAAAGTGACCACTTCCGAGCAGATACAATTAGCCTGACTGGACTTTGTAACTTGAAGACAACTTATGGAAATAAAACCTTGCTTTACCTCAGCATGAACGATGTGTCCCTGACTACGGTGCATGTGGGACAGGCAGTAGACCGAAAAGTCGTTACACGTGTGGGCTTAACGTACGTCCCAATGGTTACAAACAATTTAGTAGGAGAGCCAGAATGCCACATATGTCTTGCGCAGTAGAATCTACGTCTTGACAATGTTCCCGGGTGTCAGCAGATGTGTAATCTGACTAAAATGACAGATTCACCCTTGTAATAGGTTCTACAGAAATGCAAAGCAGGCAGTTTACTTCGAGACCTTACGGGATACTTGTTTTTTGTAGTAAGCACAGTTTACTTAAAACTCGAAACTAGTAGGTACAACGACAAGCCTGTTGCGGGCCTAAGCAGCGCCGTAGGACGTCAATTTTGTAGCCACAATGCATGGAGTAGGCTGCCCTCGTTTTTTGTTCCGAAACAACCCTCCAAAGGTCGGACATAAAGATGAGTGTATGCACTGGTTGGAAAGTTGTGGTTAGCCTAAAGAATGTTAGATAGGATCTGAAACATTGCCAATCGTAGGTGAGAGTTCGTAGGCGAAACGGATCTCGACATCGCCTTGGTTTAATAGATATCACAGCCCACCTATTTTGTTTCTCGCAATTAGAATATCGGAGCCGATTTATTACTGGCCATCCCGACCGAGTTGAGCGTTACGAATGTTTTTCCATTCTCTATCTCCCTTCCACCTACGGTATGCCATTTCTTGCATACTATTTGCCAGGCTGCCTCCGCTCAAATAGCTACCTCCCATCGGACCGAAAAGGTAGAGAACGTGATGGCAAGCCTTTACCAACATTCGGACGCCTCGTCGGGGCTGAGACTTCTCAGCCCACTTGTCGCCCAATCAAACTTGTGCTAAGGATTATGCTGACAGCGGTGTGGGTCAATAAGACCAGTTGGTCAGCCGATAAGAACAGTCTGCATTAGTATGATGCTCGTCGTGTCGATGCGCTGTATTGCTGTCCGGACTCGTCTCTCATCATCTTGTGTCTTCTTTTTTTGCCGAAAATCGATTTACCATAGACTTCCCTCATCTCAAATCATGTATGCTTCCAAGACACTTATTGTCTGCTGCGACGGTACCTGGATGAACGCGATTGGCAAGTCCACCACCGACCGTCCTTCGTCCAACGTATACCGCTTGACAAAGGTGTTGGGCAACAGCTCGAGAAGCGGACGTTCACAGGTGGTTCTCTACCAGGCTGGCGTCGGCAGCAGCGGCGATCTCTCTGACAAGGTCATGGGCGGCGCTTTTGGCAAGGGCCTCGAGGAAGATATTCGCGAGATTTACTACTTTCTTTGCATCAACTACGTGGATGGAGACGACATTGTGCTCGTCGGCTTCTCGCGCGGTGCTTTCACTGCCCGCTCTGTTGCCGATCTGGTTGCCTCGTTCGGCTTGTTAACCGAAAAAGGCCGTGATCGCTTCTCCAGGATTTTTGACGACTACGAGAACTTGGGGAATTTAGACCGCGGCCCGGAAACCTTTCTCTGTCCGGACCTAACCTCCTATGACGACAGACAGGACTGGGTAGCATGGGAACATCATCAAAAACTTGCGTACCGGGCTTGGTTGAAAAAAGTGATTCTTTTCTTACCTTGTGTCCTCTCCTTTCCCCACCCTTCATATTTACCCCTCCATCTGCCCTTTGATCCTTCAGATTTTGCAAATTTACTTAATCGGTCCAGAAAAACTACACCCACGACTGCCATGCTGATGGCTCTGACATTACCGTCAAGGCTGTCGCAGTATGGGACACAGTCGGCAGTCTCGGTATCCCCTCAGCTCCCCTGATTGGTCTCCGTGGAAGCTCAAAACAATAAGTGTCCCCGCCCCAAGCCTCTTGGCCTATTCTGTCGACCCTTCTGACCAGTATCACGTGGAAGTTTACCAATACCCATATCTCGACCCGGGTCGAGCACGCTTTTCAAGCCCTTGCCCTTGATGAACCGCGCTATTCCTTCATGCCTTCACTCTGGGAGCGTCTGGAGACGAACACAACCACAAAGCTGAAACAAGTTTGGTTTCCCGGCGCCCATTCTAATGTTGGTGGTGGACTGTGCGACCAACAGATAGCCGACATCACCCTAGCCTGGATGTGCGACCAGCTCGCGAGCATCGGAGTTGATTGCGATCTCGAACGCATGACCAGCCTCTTCAAAGACGGCCTGCTATATTCTGCTGTCCATCCGTTTCCACACGTGCCTTTGCTCTTCCGTCGCCGATTGATTCCCTGGGGATCGCCACCCGTATATCAAAATAGGATGAACCCGCATCGCGATCATGTCGACTGCCCTGGCAAGTATGACAAAAGCCACAAGCACCCCGATGCCGCGACGCCGGCGCCGATCCTTTGGAAATCTGCTCGGCCCTGGGCTCTTGGCCAAACCTGCTATCCGGACCAGCCGTTGGAGTTCGCCGGTGGCCTCACCGTTCGACTGCCCGGCCAGTTTGTCCGCATCGACCCTGAGACCAACAGCAAGCGGCCTAGAAACCCCCTCATCAACACGGGCGAGAGAGTCCACGCGTCCGTCCGTGTTCGCCTTGCCTGCTCCGGCCTCTGTATGAGCGATCAATACGAGTGGACATGTGAGGGCCTGACCGGTCGCAAGGGTAGAGGTGACCATGCCAATGTCGACAACTTTGGCAATGCCCTACCCGACCGAGACTTTGACCGTCAGGAACGTGGGTCGCCAGTCTGGCGTCTTGAACGCCTCGATAACGCCCATGGAAGTGTTCTCCCAAGCTATCAGACTGATTCTGAGTCTGAATCTGCGGAAGGACTTTACCGTTTAAGCAAAATTGCCGCTGCAGGCCAGTGGCAGTGGGTCAAGAACGAACGCAATTGCTTCTCTGAAACCAAATCTGGATTTCCGGTAAGACTTCCTGAAGAGTCACCTACGGGAAAATGGGAACGACTGCTACTGGGTATGACGACTGGACATCAAGACGTTTTCACTTGGGCAGCGGCCCACACCCCCGCCAACCTTTTGTTGAATTCAAATTAATCTTGTCACACCGCCTACCATGATGAACGACAAGGGGTCCTTCTAGTGCAGGAAGTTCAGGGGCCTTCTCTGATGAGCAGGACTTAAATGGGACATTTGGTCAATTTATATGCCAGGGTAATTTGTTATCTTGATAAGAGAAGCTGCTAAGCTTGTTTCTCAGAGCTTGTTCCTTTATATTTAAGTCAGGACAGTCAAAATAAAGGAAAGCGGTTTGTATTACAGTGTACTAGAATTCTGATAAGCGAGCGAATGTTGTAATCCGTAAGAGACATCTTTCTGCAGTCGAAGCTAACTTCCCTGCCAGGTGGTCCGTGCGCCGCCGTGCAACAAACTCATGAGCAATTTTAGGCACTGGGCGGGTGCGTCCGAATGGGAAAGACCCAAGGCGTGCCTTCCTCCGCTGTCCCTGCAGATGCATGAAGGAACGTAAGTGCGAAATCTGAAAAGAGCGAGGTGACAGCACAGTCTCCATACTCAAAATACAAATGCAGCTTGCTTTTTCCCTTGCAACAAGCCCTACGAGTCCCAAATTTTCTAGATAATTGACTCAGCTACATTCACAGACACGTCTCGTCACGAACATTTGAAGACCGTAAGAAGTATCATCAACCTACCCTTCAAAGCTATTGGCATAATACTAATCTTGTGCAATGAAAGATGACACTTCATTGTCATAACTGTGGCCTGTCGGGCCATATTGCTGTTGCTTGTCGAACTCTCGCCGCATCAACTGCCATCACATTTTACCACAACGACCAATGTCCCAATCATTACAACGATCACTACATTTGTTCCACGTTCGCGACAAAACTATCACCCACGCGGACGGCCCAGACGGAGTCCAATCATTGGCATGCCACCCGCAGGTCCCGTACACCTACAGCCTCCGCAGCTATGGCTGCCGCTGGTGCCACCACAGACAGAAAAAAAGACCACCCAGATCCCTGCCATCAGCAGTCCGACCCCTTCGGTCTCAACCATCGGAAGCCTTTCACCATCCCATATCTTAACGACCGCTTCCTTCACTATGATCGAACCGTCCAGCAACCTCGAATAAGACCACCGTCCCTCAAAATTCCTTTAGGGAACAGTTTATGTTAGTCGTCAAACTGTGGTGCCTAATTGTTACTGTTTTTTCGCCTCTACGCTGTAACATCGGTTGGCAAGAAAAAGCCGATTAACTAGATTGCATGCAGGGATTGCACACTGGGCTTATTAGCCCACATTCAGTTCAAAGAGTCTGTGGGTGATATTTTACTGCTACAGGTTATGGAAAGTATCAAAGTGGCGTTCAAGACTGGCCTATCGTCTCCCGGTTCCTCTTTCCATCTCCCCTCTTCGAATTTCTGTTTCCCCCTCCCCCCCATTATCAACTGGAGCATGACAAGTACATAAGAGAGATACACAAGACTCAATACATCCGGAAACACAAGAAATAACGAGCAGAGACAGAAGGGAAATAAATGACAGCCTAGACCTTTTACCGGGCAGCTTTATGAAGAATATGTCTTGGATCGCCAGAAGGCCCGATGGCGACCCGAATATAGTTACAGATACTGAGAGAGAGATGGATAATTCGCTAATCCCCACCACGAGCTCACAACTTAAATGTTGCTAGAGTTTGCCCATCCTCTATTCCTCTAGTCCTTCAAGAGCTGCTTTATCTCCTTGGGGCGTCTTTCAGCCAGGTCATACGCTGTCTCACACTGTTTGTCCCTAACTCTAGGGCAGGTTTGTGATATGACACTTTATCGAGACGTGGCTGTGATAGCTTGGCATTTTATGGCTCTTTTCAGGCTTAACAGCAGCACAAACAGGGCATGCTTGCTTTCCTTGTGAGTGTTTTGGTAAATATCGTTTTCCGAAGAGTCTAGCGGATAGTGCCCCACTATCGAGCAGGAGCCGTGCAGCTAGCGGCGCTCTGAGACATGTGATTGGTATAATTTCGTTTGGTCCGTTTACTCTCAAAAATGACAAAATAATCTACAAAATCATTTTGACCATGAGCCTAGAGTGTCACGGCCAATGTTTAGAAGAAGTTACACATGCACCTAGTACCAGCAGGGCAGACGCCACCACTATAATATAATATCACGGTTATCGGGATGCAGTTGGCCCGAAGAGCGCCATGGCTATTGTTCAGCGACATCCACTTCAGGCACCTTGACCTTGATCGCATTCAGAAGACGGCGGACTGGATTACAGCTCTAACACGACAGCGCCGGATCCAACGAGTCGTTATTTGCGGAGACCTTTTGAAGGACCGCTCTAAGTTATCAACGAACGTGCTGTCGGCTTGCTATCGTTTTCTCAACGAGCTAAGCGAGGCAGGGCCGCATATTCACATCATCCTGGGCAACCATGACCTTGCATACAAAAACGACTACCACACGACTGTCCTGGAAGCTCTGAGAGCAAGCCGGTTATCTCCATTCGTTTCCGTTCACAGCGATGTGGCCACAGCCGAATGGGATGACCGTAGGGTGCTACTGCTGCCTTTTCGAGAAAATCAGAACGACCTGGTCAACGCAGTGGATGCCTTGGATTCCAAAACAGCCCGACAAACGGTCGCATTTGCCCACCTAGCTATAAACGGCGCCATTACACAGCGCCATGTTGTTGGCGGCACAAATTCGATCACCTACCGAGGCCTCACAGGCCCCGACAGATTCGCCTCCCTAGCCCGAACTTTCACTGGCCACTTCCACAGTCACCAGACGATAACTCCGCAGGCTAGGAGAAATTCTGGTGGACATTGCGACCCATTGCAGGGAAGCATCATCTATCTTGGCTCTCCGTTACAGCTGACTTGGAACGATCTTCACGACGAAAAACGAGGCGTTGTTCTGCTAGACCCAGATACACTACAGCATGAGCTCATCGTTTCCCCTTTCGGGGTTGGGTACACCACCATAGACTCGGGGATCGTTCTCAGGGGCGAGGCCGACCCCGACGCCATAAAGAGCAAGCACGTAATGCTTACTGGGGACCTTAGCCGGTATACATATGTCACGGCACGTGACCGACTTCTGGCTGAAGGCGCCAGGAGTGTGCGGAACTGGAACCCCCTCGGCCCGGCCCTCCGAGACCAGCCATACGCTCGTGGCGGTTTGGGATCTACCGTTCTAGACAGCGATGTTGTATTGGAAGAGGCTGCGGCGGCTCCTCGGGCAGAATCTGTTCCCAGTGCACAGACAACTGCTGCTATCCTTGGCGTGGAACTTCCACCGCCTCCGCCACAACTGGATCTAAGTGCAGAGGCGCGCGAGTATGTGAGCTTGTTGGACCTGGAGAGTCCACTACGCGAACGACGTGAGGCGCTGATTGATGTTGGCCGTCGGCTTGTCGGTATAACTGGCCAGACCGAGGAAGAGTCAGATGGCGGGAAGAGCAGCATCTGCTACGAGTCCCTGTTCAAGGCTGAGGTAGTGGAGCCGGACTGGGTCGACAGAGAAACAGGCACCGATGCATTGCCACAGCCCAAAGTAGCAGAAACATCTCTGGCTACTCACATCTTCGTGGCCAAACTGCGGTCACTCACGATCACCAACTTCTTGGGAATACAAGGCCGACTGCGGCTCGACCTGGGCCGAAACGTGCCCCGTGGTCTGGTCTTCCTCTCGGGCGAGAACGGCTCAGGTAAGAGCACGATTATCGAGGCGATGACGTGGTGTCAATTCGGACGGTGCATCCGCGGCGGGATGGCGGCAAACGACGTGGTAAACGACGCAGTCGGTCGAGACTGCAGCGTTGAGCTGGCGTTTGACAATGGCTACACCATTACGCGGCATCGCAAGAGCCGGACGCATGGCAACAGGGTTCTTGTGTCGCTGCACGGCGTGGTTCAGACGCAGTTCGAGCATGGCCATTCGCGAGACACCCAGGCGGCCATTGGCGAGTTGTTGGGCATTGACTTCGACACTTATGCCCGGACTGTGGTGCTTGGCCACGAGAGCACGACTGGATTTCTCAACGCGAGCGGCGCCCAGCGACGAGATCTGATCGAGACCGCGCTGGAACTCTCCTCGCTGGACCGGTGCAGCGCGGTGTCCCGTGACCTGCTGAAGGACATGGATGCAGATATTGCCGAGGTCCAAGTCAAGCTGCGCTCGTTGATGCAGACGAAAAAGTATGCTCAAGACCGTCTTCAAGGTTTACAGAAAAAGCAGGAATTTCTGATACAGGGGCTGGAATCGGCCACCGGAGCAGCAGCAGCAAGCCTCAAAGAGTTAGGGAATCAGAAAGTCGCGGATGAAAAAGACGATACATCCCCAGAGCTGTTGTCTTTGGATTCCGAGTACTACGAGCTTCGAACGCAAATCAGCGCGCTTGATGACCAGATGGCGACGGTGACACGCAAGGAAAGTGAAGCACTGGCGCAGGTCCGATTGGCCGATGCATATGCCGCATTTCGTAAGAGGAAGGCGGACTTGCTCAGCCAGCTGCACAACGGTGAGCTGCGACTAGATCGTCTCCAATCTTCGTTCGCCCTGCTGCGCGACCAGAACACAGAGGTCGGTCCGCCAAGGGATTCTAGTTGGGTAGTCTGCTTTGTTCAGAGATGCAGAGCCGTTCTAGTCCTCATACCGTCTCATTTCAGGCAGAGTGCACACACGCACAAGCTCGTGAGATTTACCAGATGTATGAAAGCTCTCATGGAGCCGTTTCTTGCTGCTCTGGAAAGCCTGGCTCGCAAACTTGAAAACATTGTATCTGCAACAAGAGCAGAATCCGAAAGGCTTAGTGCGGGGTATGATGAATTGGTGGCTGATTTTGAGCGAAACATCGAGACCGCTATAAGGAGTAACTCCAAGATACGGGGGCAAGTAAAAAAAGGAACACTCATGCAGAAAGTTGCCAACGACTTTGGAGTGGAGCAAGAAGATCTTGACAAGGTCGTGCAAGATCAAGCCGCGGAGAAGCTAGATCGTGATGCCTTGTGGCGAGAAGTAACAGAGCTGCAACAAAACCGTCAAGAGCTGCAGCAGCGATACAAGACGTCACGTCTCCAGTACGAAGAGTGGAGTTTAAAGACTACGGCCTACGAACAGGCACGGAAGCTTATGAAGGCTAAGCAGCAGGAAGCGGAAATGTATGCGCATCTCGTGGAGACCGAGGAGGGCGAGCTTGTTAGCCTCGGTGTGCAGCAGGTTAAGATGGGTGTCCAGATGGCGGATCTGGAATCCAACCGTGAACTGCTTGCTTTCTGGGTCTCGACGTTAGCCAAGAAGACATACCGGACGACGACATCATCCCCAGACAGCAAGGGCAAGGGCAGAAAGGGCGAGAAGGGCAGCACACGCACCACATTTCGAGAGTACCTTCTGGACAAGAGCCTGGATGAGCTCAACGGCCTGATGGCCCAAGTGCTGACAGTGCTGTACGACGACGCGAACTACGCCAAGGCCACGGCCACAGGTCTTCTGCGCTCGCTGCTTACTGACGGGGACGAGCGTCTTGTGCTGCTGGACCGGACGCTGCAGGTTGGTGGTGGCAGCTCGGTGGCCGGACTGGCCTATGGCAAGCGCAGCAGTGGCGAGCGCAAGCGCCTAGACCTGGCCCTCTTCTTCGCGCTCGTGCAGCTCGGCCAGGCTCACAGTCGACACCGGGCGCACTATCTGTTGGTGGACGAGGTCTTTGACAGCCTTGACACGGCCGGACAGGCCGCCGTGGTGCGGTGGTGCAGCTTGATGGAGGCGCGGGTCGACCTCGTCCTCATCCTCACCCACAGCCCGTTCCTCGTCCAGGATGGCGATCTGAGTGAGAGTGCTGGAGGCGCTGGCGGTGCCGTCGCCATGATGACGGCTCGAGGAGGCAGCAGAGGCACTGAGCTGCTGATGAACGGGCGGCAGATCGGACGGGAGACTGGATAGAGCGATTTTCCGAGATAGATTCGTCACAGCTGAAACTTTCTCGCCCTAAAGGCTGTCAGTACATAGCGGTTCCTCGGATTAGAGGGGTAATTTTCAAGACGGGAAAATCGGCGGCTGCCCTGCTGGAAATACCGAAAATCCATTTCACCTTCACCGTACAGATTTACACCATCCGTATCGAGTTTCGCATTTTCTGACCACCCGCTTCCCGGTCCTCCATGCGATTATGTACAGACGTGGTATCATCACTCCCGCTGCTTTTGCATTGCCTGCCATCACATGGGACAACACATGGGCCATTCGTTATTCGGGCCTAACGTCGTTGCCTAATCTTTGAATTCAAAACCCATTGGACCAACACGGCTGCTTTCGAATATTCTCCTATCAAACCGTCCGTCTAGTATGATTTCCTTAGACTCATTGGTCCGCAGGAGGTCGGAGTTCCGATGAGGGTGCATTCAAAAAGTACACTCTACCCCTCCGTTATCCAAACGAAGGTGTTGATCTCGAAATTGCACAATTCTATCCGCGCCTTAAAACCAGTCAATAACTCATATTTGCTGTACCTCTCGCTCCCAAAATTGCTTATTTCGACAGTCCTCGAGAATTATCTGTCCACATGTCATCCACAATGCCGCCGGTAGTTGGGAAGTATGCGAAGCTTCTAAATCGATTTTTCGAGCCCCTGCTTCTCTTACAGGTCTTGGGCCAAGTTCGTGGAGACCGCCCACTAAAGTCGTCGAAGAGCGTTTTTCGGCAATTTCTCGACGATTTGGCCTTGCTTTGCGAGTTTGACAAAGGCGGAGACGCGTGCACGGCTATCGGTTGCGAGGATCGCCCCGATGCAACGGTCTTCTGGGTTGCAGCAAATACCAACGCCTCGGCAAAAATTGCACCATTTCTCAGTTCCATGCTCTACGGCCTGAAAGCCATGTTACCGCTCCTTTTTGACGATGATGCAAGAAGAAGGGAAACGACAATGCTCACCAACAAATGCATACAATTTTGCAAGCCCAAAATCAAAAAGCTAGCCCGTCTTTTAAAGGCACGTCTCGTAAGGTGTGCGGAAAAATTGGAAAAGGACGGCAGTCTAGCGGACAAAGCTCTGCTGGCGTGGTTGTACGAAATTACGAATTGGACTGAGGACTCATCCAACTGTTGCTGGCTCGTTTACGAGTCAAGACATTCTGAGAATATGGATCGGATGAGAGCACTCGGCGAAGACCTGTCTCCAGATGGCCAGAAGTCTCCTTTTTCCGAGGCCCGGCATTACATTGGCCGCTTGTGTCAATTCGTGAGCGCTCCCCAAAGACTGGTGGCTGCTCTCTCGTGCACTGCCGTAACAAAGCTTGTCGATGATGTTTTTATGGTGCAGGCTATTGAGCAAGTGCACTGCGTGCCGCCACCACGGCCAAAAACGATGACTCTGGAAGGCATCTGTACACGGATGCTACCAGCAGGGAGCCCGGAAGCGCCCCGAATGATCGAGGCGCTTCAGGAAATGGACCGGAAGCATGGAATTTTGAAGATCATGAAAGCCCACTACGACTCCTCCACCTTCAAACCCCGTGTTCATGCCGAGATAAGGGTATTGGAGGCTTTCCACCAGAAAAACTTGCAGTGGGCACACGGCGACAAGTATATTGGGTGCAGCAAGCCAGCCTGCTTCTGTTGTAAGCTGTACTTGCGTTATCATCCAAGCCGTCCAGTGGAGCTCGAATCGCACGAGAAAGTGTACAGGAACTGGGGTCCTATACGGCTATGTGCTGGCGAGAAAGATCCCTGGTATAAGCACCAAAGGGATATTCTGAACGAGATGGTTAAGCACTTTCGCCAAGACGCTCTCGAACAGTTGATGAGTCTAAGAGATCCGCGGAGATTCCACGCCGACTCTCGCACGGGAATCACTAGTGACTTCCCCGATGTTATCCCTGATGTCGTCCCTGATGTCGTCCCTGATGTCGTCCCTGATGGCGTCCCTGATAATATCTTTGATGATGTTACTGGTGACTTCCTTGTTAGTACAGCCTCGGGGAGCGGGGGAGAACTGTTTGTTTATCTTTGTTTATTGCTTTTCTTGTACGAGCTGATAACCAAGTTGGGATAAGAGGAACGAGATACGGCTCTTAATATAAATACTCTTAAATTTTAATTGCTCAGGACGCTTCCACAATGTCCCCGAGTCTAGCTCCCTTGACTACAAAAACTATGGCGTGCTGATACGCTGTATAAATGCTGATCCACACTGCAAGCACAGCCTGTGTAAAATAAAAGGTGGTTTTGTTAGGCTACGGCGTGTTTTGCATCGATATATTCGGTCCATGTATATTTGTAATTTGCAGGTGCCCACGCAACCCCCTTGATTGAGCACTATCTCCACAGCGTACTATGAAGTCATATGCCACGTACCGTTTGCAAACCACGTCCCGGCCGGAGAGTAGTCTAAAGTGGTTCCGTCCTGGATAAAGGCAAAGCGAAAGTACTCAGACAGATCGAGGCCAGTAGGCCGTGACCACGTAAAGGTTTCAGCAAGGGAAAAGCGTCGCAGGCGCTCAACATCGTTGACGAGGACACTGATGCCCTGCATCCCAGCCGAGGCAGGCGGTAGCGCCCAGGAAAACGTGATGTTGCCGAAGTTGTCTGAGGCCCCGGCAAACATGACAGACGGGACAGCAGCGAGAGAGGGCACGAGGGCATCAAACGAAGCATCGCCACGCAGTGCGTCAGCCGTCTCCAGCACGGAGGCAAAACCCCAACGCGTGACACCGTTCACGAAGAGGCCCAGAAGAAGGCCCTGATAGAGCAGCGACGGACGGGTCTGAAGGCTGGTGCCGGGTAGCAACAGCAACGCAAGCACGTAGTGGTGGATGCGGAGGTTGAGGCCAGGCAGCATGAGGGCAACGGCTATAGCGACGATAAAGAGGCCATAGAGGCCAAGATAGCGGAGCAGGCGACCCTCGTGCCAGAAGCCGTACACCTGCTGGACGACGATGAGGGCGATCAGGGCGACTATGACGGCCAGAGAAACGCGGGCACCGGGCTGCTGCGCGAGATCGTGGGGGGTCAGCCGTTGGATGGGGATCCAGTCGAGCGTGTAGTTGGACAGAGCGCCGAGCCAGAAGCCGCCTAGCCAGAGCAGCGCGCGGTCGAAAGGGGCGACATCGAGGCCGGTCAGAGAGTGGCGCACGCACGTTCGGTAGAGCACGGCAAGACAGAAAGCAGAGGGGAGGACGCGGCTGGCGAGTGCTGATGTGTGGTCTGGCAGCACTGAGAGACTATGGAAGCTGGCCGGCGGCGGATCGGAGACGAAGCCGACGTGGACGAAGCCAGCAGCGAGCGTGCCGACAAAGAAGAGCAGCGGCGACGGCGCAAAGAGTGCCAGCAGTGCTGTGAATAGCAGCGAGACGGCCAGCAGGAGACCACGTGACTCGCCGCCGCAGCCGCCGGCCGCTTCGTCTGCGGACACGGTGAAGGACAGGGGGAAGTACGAGTCGAAGGCGATCGATCGCAGGCCGCCAGAACCGGCCAGTCCGGCATAGCCGCGACGCTGGCCGACGAGCTCGACGCGGCCGCAGCCACCGGCAGCGTTGCCGATGACGCCAGCATGGATGGCCGCCGTGCAGATCCACGAGTCGCCGCGGTAGGCCTCAGGACTGCCGACGAGCAGCGGCCGGTACACAACCTCCTGCGACCCGATGGCGCGCGGGTTGAGAAGCTGCACGGAGGCACAGTGGCCAGGACAGCGGAAGGCCAGCAGCGTGTCGTTGAACGGCGCGCAGTCGATGCCATCGAGCCCACACGCGTTCTTGCGGTGCCAAAATGTGTCGGTGCAGTCGAGATTGACCACGTCGCGTCCGGCTGCGTCCGTGACGGCGCGACGGCCGGCCAGCAGCAGCGGCACAAAGCACACAGCCCAGATGAGCAGAAATACGGCCAGCACAGCCAGCCGCTGACCCGTTCGTGGCGCCACGTGGTCTAGCAGCTGAGCCGGCAGCCTCTGTACAGCCGGCAGCCACGGCTTCACGCTGTATTGTCGGGGTGTCCTGTAGAGCCACCGCCACCAGCGTTGTCTTGGTGGCCGTGCAGACAGGTTATAAACACCTGCTGCGACGCTCTCGTCCTCGTCGGCATCGGTAAAGTCTAGCTGCTCTGTTGGTAGAAGATGCGCCTCTTCGTCGTTCGGGCTTCTCGGAAATGCGCCACTGTCGTGTGAGCGGGGCTGTTCGTCTGGCGCTGCGTCTGCTTTCATCGTCTTCCCTGCATGCAAACCTGCTGTGGGGGTAAAGGGCAAATACGCGTTATGTATGGAGTCCTCCGTTGTGTACGATTGTGTTCTTAGGTGCAGCTGGAATTCTTTGGCCAAAATATTATCGGGCCTTGTCTGTCTTTCAACCAATGACAGTCGAGTATCTTTCGGCACCAATTCTTGTGTCCAAGTACGAGGAACTTCCAAGCGATGTCAGCTCTACTCAAACCTTGTCGATCAAGCCAAAATTAGTTACGCGTGGAGCGTGATGGAAATGCACTGAGATACGCGGGCCCATTCGTCTACCTACGGAGTACTTGGTGGAGGTTCCAACCCCGGCAATCCTCCGAAGTGCTCCGTATTTGGACCCACAATCTAACATCTACGGAGTACAACCCAATTGCCCGAGCGTTGTCTTGTGTGCTGCTTCAGATACCCAACCGCAATGTCTGTAAAGATACGTAGTAGCTGGCTCTTTGAGACCCGATTGCCGTGTGCGTGCTGATTATGGCTGAAATATTATTATTTGGGTGTGTGTAGCTCAACTCGAACTTGTGTACTCCGTATGCAGTGCGAAGCCAGATTAAGTACAAGTGGGGTCCATTCGACATGTACGGAGTACGGAGTAGGCAATCCCGTATTCGTACCAATGACTCAACGCCACGATCAGAATGTGTACTAGCTCTAACTTTGTATAAGACGGCCCAACTGTGTTGCTTTCTTTGTGAAACTTTCCGGGTTTAAAACCAGAGCACGATATCTGTCGTACGTTCTGCTTGTCCCTGCGGCTTTACACTTGTGAACTTGGTTGAGGAGTTGCCATCTCAACTCGTTAGCACGATGACGACAATTAAAGATCCTCTGTCAACTACGTGCAGATTTTGCGCAAGCGACCTTATTGTAACTGACCACAGATCAAGTTCTCCTGAAAATAAAGAGGCACGTCAGAGTTCGGCATCACTTTCGAAACAGTTGTTTCACCAACAGTGCACACGCTGCCAAGATGCGAGTCCTGTTGAGCCAACTCTGTGTGATTTCTGCAGGCATCTACGGTTAAACCACTTATTCTGCTGTCTGAATTCCAAAGAACCGCCTTTGCAGCACATATACATCAAAGTATGCAGGTTTGAAGATATCGCAGAACGAAACCAGTGCCCATTTTGTCGCCTTCTGATTCGCAGTGTGTTGCCGTACGGATATTACTCCGGGATTACTGCCCCTTCCCAATTCGAGGGTAAAACCCTAGCTTTCGCTGTCGATGATGAGATTATCCGTACAGGATTATTCGATTCAGACGGGAATAGAAGTTGGGGGAGAAATGGATACCATAATGGCTTGTCTCATACAGAAGACGGCAGGCGTAGAATAGCGATGAGACCTAAAGGTATGATTTACGTGAAGACAAGTGAAAAAATGGTGCTATTATCTACGGTGGTCTCCCCTATTAACCTGAAGCACTCCCTAGAACGACCGATGACTGGAGGGTACTTACATGGAAGGCCCGGTGTCTCTGGAGTGGTGCCACTGGTTGGGACACGTGTCAACTGGGATCTAACGATGCAGTGGCTGCAGGACTGCTTCTCCAAACACCAGTACTGCCCTCGCCCTACGTCTGGCACTCTTCCCACTGGCTTCCGTTTGATCAATACTCGAAGGCGATGTTTGGTCCAAGCAGGCCCCAACTGTCAGTATGGCGCCCTTAGCTACATCCTGGGAGACCATCCCGATCCTACAAAGTTGCGCCTCAAAAAATCAAACATCGAAGTTCTCCAGACGGATGGTGGCCTTGCCGAATCGGACGTTCCAATGACCTTCAATGACGCAATAGAAGTATGCAGACGCCTCAATATAGACTACCTCTGGGCCGATGGACTGTGCACTGTTCAGGACGACGACGAAGACAAAAAAGAGCAAGCCCGTTCCAAGGGCACAATTTTCTTCCATGCACATGTTGTCATCATCGCCACAGACGGAGACATTGACAGCGGCATCCCGGGCGTTAGCCGCGATAGATGCCAAGCGCAAGTTCGCGAGCAGATCTCGGGCATCGGTTTCATGAACGACGTCACTCACTGGCGTGACATCACTGGAGGATCTTCAGTTTGGTCCACACTACGTTCGACATACCAAGAAGCAGTACTAGGACGGCGAAAATTGTTTTTAACTGATGCTCAGGCGTTCTTTGAGTGTGGGCAGAGTGCCATCGGTGAAGACGAGTCGTCCCAAATGGCCATGTACTCGCCGAATGCACTGAATCCGCAGCCGTGGGAGCCTCTTGTTAGAACGTTCTTCGATCATGTCGGCAGTTACCGCAGAAGATCAAGGTCTGACTTGTCGGATATGTACGACGGTATCGATGGAATTGCTACAGCTCTGTACGGCGAACCTGGCTCACTGTTGTATGGACTACCGCGTCGAGACTTTGACAGAAGCTTGCTGTGGTGCACGGATTTGGGAGACGATCTACGATCGGCCGGTTCCCTAGATGACTGGACACGCCCGAGCTGGTCGTGGGCATCCACACCTAAATCATTCACACTTCTCGATAACTGCAACCGACGAAGCCTATTCTACTGTGACACTCTTATTGCGTGGGCTTCCTACGTCAACGCTGGTCCGACAGGCAGGTTGGAGAGCGTCGAAACCTCTTTGGGCAAGCCTTTGAGTCAATTCCAGGTACAAGATACATGTGGTTGTTCTAAAAACCCCGACAAACGATCTGAAGAAAAGCTTTTGTACCTTGCCATTGCATGGATTCAGGGCTGTATCAACAAGCCGTGTCCGTTCGGCCCTCTGGAAGAGATAACTTTAGAGACATTGAAGAAACAGGTCGCAACCCGATGGCCCTGTCATCACGCATATTGGCAGGACACACTGAGAGCCACGTTCAATGTTCGGGACGAAAACACCCTTCCAAGCTGGGCGATGGAAGAGCCAATCCAAACGGGCAGAGGCATGAAACCAAGCGCAATCATTTCATTGGCACACTCTGCATATTTTCGGCTTCGGGGCTCTGTTCACACCAACAAGCATCTCGTCGACCTATGTATCATCGATGAAAACGGACGGCCGGTCGGGATACTTGTCACTCCAGACTTGGAGCTTAAGCTTGATCTGGCACCAGAACTTACAGCCGGGCCCGGGCTCGAATTTATTGCTCTATCTATAAGTACCGTTTCCAAGACCGCGCTATATGACGAAGACGCCAGCTTGTATGTTCAAAAAGTCTCCTTGCAAGGGATCTCTGGTAACTATGTGGGCTTAGTGGCTGACTTTAACTGCAGACGAGATGAGGATTCAACCAATTCTGTCACTTTCAGTGATAAAGATGGTACCCCTTTGCTTGCTTCCCCAGCAGTCAATGTCATGCTTGTTCGTCGGAGCGGCACTATGGCACGTCGCCTTTGTGTGGGATGGATCTATCTCACGGCCTGGGTCAATGCTCGTCCAAAGTTCCAAGTAGTTGTCTTGCAGTGAAGAGTTTGTTCGTTTTTGTTTGATCAAACTTTTACAGCTCTGTTTTAGGAGCAAGCGAGTTAGAAAGCGACGACGCGGAGGATGTACACCTGCTTTCTTCCTTTCTTCCTTTTTTGCTGGTCATCTTGATAGAACAATCACATCTCCTTCCCCGTAAGAAATTGTCGTCTGCAAATGACACTCGGTGAAATGAACCCAAAAACTCTGTGGTAATGGTTAATGTTGTACTTATAGCTAAAGCTATCAACAATTCGTCCGGAAGTTAGAACCCGCTTTTCTACACGTGGAGAGAAGTAGGCTAGAGGCTGAAGCATAGTTGTTGTGATAATTTATTTCCCCTGCTACATTCGAACCAGACGTTGTCGAATGAACTGGGCCAAAACGGCGGGGGTGTGAAGACATGTGTCGTGTGATGAAGAAATATGGAGTACATGTACTGTGTAGCGCGGGGCGGTATTTACGACGTCATAGGGGGGTGATCATGCACGCCGGCAAAGCTCGGAAGTAAGATGATACCACCACACATGTTCATTAGGCACCCATAATCTAACATACGGGTAAACTTCCCTTCTCTCCACGCATCAACTCTGTCGTCTAATATCGCCTTCAATCAATAGCGTCCACCCCGAACAGTCAGGCAACTTGGCAGGCCTGCTTTAGCTATTACTCCAACGATGGCGGGAGTGCCTAGCGATGCGCCAAGTAAGGCTGCATGCATAGCTTCGACGAGTTCGACCATTCTTACCCCAGCTAGCGAGCCTGCGGATGCTTGGGACGGCCAAATCTACACGATACCCTGGCCGGAAAATGTTTTTATCATATTAGAGAAGGCGTCTGGACAAATTATATATACGAAGCCAAACGGTGATGCTTGGATTGATAAGGCCAAAGGTGAAACGAATCCATACACGCACTGGCAATGTGTGGAAAAAAACGGCTATTTCGGATTCAAGAACGCCCAGACGGGGGGGTATCTGGGACATGATGGAAATAATGGTATAAGAGCAAAGGCACGGGAGCTACTACCATGGGAACTTTTCACGACGAGAAAACACCCTCGAAGTGGTTATCAGCTTTTAGTGCCACATTTCTGGCATACCCTCCTATTAGTGAGTGTTGGAGAAAACGGTAAAAATTTGCACCTAAGAGATCATGGAATCACCGTTTGGGAGTTTGTGAAGGTCTGATTGTTGCGAAGTATCACAATAGAAAGGAAGACGAGGTGGTAAAACAGAGAATAGATACCAAAGTTGCAGACTTTCGTCGTTGCATAGTTGCCTGACTGCACGCTCTACCAGAGTTATCACGCACCCCAACAATGCTGACAATAAAAGCAATCGTAATTTTTGTGCAAGCGTACAGCTAAAACGCAGGGTTTATGAAGATGATATTGCACTGTAAGGAGCAGGAGGCTGAATTGGGTTGGGTATAAGCAAATCTTTGTGCTGTACTCCGTACTACTCCGTAAGGAAGAAATACGGAGTAGATACATCGCGACCCTTCTAGGGGTCCGTATTAGTACTAGTGATATGCCCCTCTCTTGTGCCTTCTGACCAATCACAGGTCAACACGTCCAAGTGGGGCGGATTCTTATACTCGTACTTGACAATACCCACGATTTTGTATTTAAGACCCACTAGAATATGTTCGTAAAGCTGACAGCACTCTTAAGGCCACTTACGGAGTACAATACTATGTATTACAAGCACTGCCCAGCTTGATTGTTGTCGAAAGAGGAAGGTCCGTATGCATAATTTGGAAAAGAGGCGGTTCGCCTACCAAAATAATTGGAGCTACTGCGCGCGAAAGGTAAGACTTTACGTATTTTCCTGCGTGATGTCTCCAACTTATATATCGGAACTACTTCTGATTGGTCGGTCGGAACTACTTCTGATTGGTCGGTTGCAGCTTACATGTAAGATACTCTTAGCTGCAACAGTTCGTATTGTGCCACCAGGAAGCACCTGTGAGAATGATAGCTCTATTGCAGGCCAACCACTTCAGACACGGTGCCCGGATGAGGATGATGATGTGAGATTTAATCGGCCTGCTGATATACGACTGTCGCAGTCAACGGCAATTGTCAACGATGGAGTAAGGGAAATAGATAAATAGCTCTATGGGAGCCGGTCGCTTTCTTTCTAGCCAAACGGTAGCACAGCATCACTCCTTCAAAAACCAAAGAGCCTTATCATAATATCAGCTTCGCGGCGATGCAGACAAAATCTCTTTCTCTTTTACTCCTCGGCTTGGCCGGATTTGCTTCTGCGGCAAATGAGTATAGCGACAATGACTGGTCAAACAGTAAGTCATGCTACTGGAATGTTCACGGGTTTAAACCCTTGTTAAGAATAAGGAAGTGAGTCTGACGTGGCATCAACAGATCTGGATTACGTTATCAAGGACCTTGCGCCGTAAGTCCCCTCTATTATACTGCATCGTTCCCCATCGTCTAATTAGGGCCCCTAGGATGTGGTTTTTCGCCGATGGTGCATGCTACCCCCAGGCGGCCGAGACAAATGGTCAACAGACAAACGGAAACGGTGCCGATAGCTGTATTATCAGAAAACTAGGGAGCGGGTGCCAGTCTCCAGGAAAGTGGAATGGTGCTGCTACCCGAGGAACGAGCTTTCCAACATATTGGACAGTGTCCAGCTGCGGAGACTCCACGAAACGAGTCTGCTATGATATATATTTCCGACATGTAAGCAGCGTTCAAAATCTGACAGGCAGTGCCTCTTTCTGACGATACAATAGGACTCCGGCCACGAGTCCGACTGGGAATGGGCCTGTGTTGTGCTGCAGAAAGGCTCAGACAACCTCTGGTACCGACGGGGCATCTTCATGGAGCAAGACAACAAAGGCGGCAATGGCACTCCGTACTACTCTTGGGGATCGTTGGAGACTTTCGACGGGTCAGTATTACGACTTTCCTCTTTTCTCTCATCCATACATGCAGCGCAGCATAGTAACTTGTCGCTTCACAGATCCGATCCCAAAAATACTGGCAGCAGAAATGGCAATCACGCCATGATCTACAGTGCCAAGTTTCATCACACCATGTTTCCTCACCAGTACAAGTGCTTGGGTAAGAACAATTGTGCAACCGATGTCCAGCAGATGTTCCGCAACAACGACTTTGTCTGGGCTGCAGCCGACAATCTCGTCCCGGGTAGCCGTATTCCTAGTAAGTTGCTCTTCTTAGAAGCTGTTCGGTTCCATAACTGACTAGGCTCTCAGGTAATTGGGTTTGGGGTCAGGCGTCGTCGAATCCGTTGCATTTGCAAGATAGCGTGTGCAGTTTTACTCTGGATAAGGGCCCCAGCTATAGCAACCCGCCCGGTTGTTAGACAAGACAGATTTGAGATGTGAATGGGTGGGGTGGAGAGGTCCCTCAATATTGTACTCTGCTAGCCTGTCTGCATCGTCTGTAATTGCTTGACCTTGCAGCAATCGTACACCGACAAGGTTTTCTACAGGACGCGTAGATAAGATAGCTTCAATGCCAGCAGCAGACAATTGGCCCATCGAGAGAACTGAGACCACCACAAAATAGACAAACTATACTTTAGATCAACCAGTTGGCTTTTGCATGTCGCAAGAAAGACTTTGTCTAGAAACTGGCCAAAGTTGTCGCGGTCTACGATACGTTGTTGTTGTCTATTGCCTTAATGGCTGCATAGCGTAATTATTGGCCGGCGCTACTCCGTACTTTTGCAAATGATTGTCATGCGCTCAGCCTCGCCTCGGCCCCACGATGTAACTGGACCCAACCGGACCTCGGCAGAGTGTAAGTACGACGTATACGTATGCATGCCGATCTTTTTAAACTTCGTGCTCTCCTCCCCGCATTTTCAATGTTACCCTCATTCTTGGAGATCGCCATTGTATCCGCAATTTAACCTCACCCTTCAACCATGGCGACCACATTACAGCAGCAGATAGCCGTTGTGCCTACCAACGAGCCAGACCGCTTCGTTACGGTGTCCAATCCTGGGCGGATGGGCAACTCGAGGGACATTGCATATGGCGGATGTGTTGTTGGGGCCGCCATTCGTGCCGCCTGTGAGACCGTCGACCCCAAGTACCGCTTGTACTCGGCCCTGGGCCACTACATCGGACCCGCGTCTACCAAGGCCAAGCTGCTCTGTTCCGTGCGCCGCATCCGTGACTCACGCACATTTTCAACGCGGCAGGTGGAAGTTAGCCAGAAGGAAGAGAAGGAGAATGCGCCTGTACGACCATGCGTGATCGTTCTCATTGATTTCCAGGTGCAGGAGAAGAGCCTGGTCCTGCCCGAGTACTCGGCACAGCCAGAGCGGACCTACTCGAAGCACGAGCATTGCCCGAACATCACCGACACATCGGACCGGCTCGTGCGCGAGCGCGTTGTCTCTAAGCCCGTGGTCGAGATATTCAACATCAGCTTCAGCCTGCAGCACCGCTTCTTCGAATCGCTTGACTGCCCCGAAGGTGTCGCTGGCAACAACCTCTACGGCTTGGCCAAGAAGCGCGCACGCACGCCGCAGGACGGTCTGTCGCTGCCGGAAAAGACCTCGGCTGGCTGGTTTCGTAGCCGGCACCCGCTGGAAACATGAGCTGACCACTACGCCGGGCTGGGTTTTGTGCTGGACGGCGCGCTGTCCTTCCTGCCGCTGGCGCACAGCGGCCTCTTTCTGGACGATGCTGGGGCTTGCTCGAGTCTGGACTTTGCGCTGCGCTGCTTCGGGACAGACGTCGACCTGAGCAGCTGGCACTTACGGGAGTTAAAGACGGTTACCGGACAGAATGGGCGGACTTACTCGGAGGCGCGATTGTGGGATGAGAACGGCCGGTTGGTAGCCAACATGACGCAGCAGTCGATCCTGCGACCTCTGCGGCCCTCGCCATCTCTGTAGTGGAGGTTCATACAGGTATAAATTTACTCTGAAGATATCTCACGCGCAGCAGCTGGAGCAAAGTGATTTGGTACCGTTTACATACCCTGGTACTGAATACGGCGCATGAAGTTAGTGTTCGAGTAACAAAGCTCGAGGGTAGTTGGCTATATTGACTCGCACAAAGTCTGGCTTTGATCTATCTTTAATCTAAAGGGGGCAACAGCCTCCGGATACATATTGAAAGGATGTTTACACAGTTTAATTCAAAGATCAGTCTCCAGTACGAGCTTTTTCTTTAAATTAGCAAGAAACTAGTGTCTTCCGCCAAGGTACCACTTTATAAACTCGTGCCAACCTCCTTTCCAAGCAAATCAAGAAGGTCTTCGAAAATGAACTCAGGTAGTACTCCGAGTACTACAGGGTCAAGCAAAGACGATATGATGGTTTCTTTCGTGCATGATTTCTGAGTCGCAGTCCCATCAAAGACTTGTATGAGCCATGTCAGAGCCTTTGGTGCGCCAACAGCTGACAAGGTCCCGTGGTTGAAGACCAAATCACGCTCGTACTTGACGATTGCACCGCCAGCACAATACTGCCCGTACATCTTATCTGTATCAGCAATTGGGCTGAGCTCGTCCTGAACAGCCTTGTAAATGTAGAGAGGAATTTGAGGAATGTTGCTGCCCAATGCATTGGCACTGAAAACATTCATCATCGCCGTATTTGTAAAGAGGTCTGGGCTATCAAGCATGCTAGACACGTTCTTGTCAGAGAAATCCGAGAGATCTTCTTCGAGACACTGCTTTGTCGTGTTCGCAAAGGCGTCTAGGTATTGGGGTAACACATGCTGCTCCACGATAGCTTTGACAAGAGGATACTGGTTGGCGAGTCCCATGACACCGGTCGGTACCAGTCCGGCAGATGTTGAGCCGTCGACCGACGAGATCACGTTGGATATATTGGGGACGGTGCCACCAATAGCTGCACCGGCAATCTTCAGCTCGGGTGCATACAAAGGCTGGAGCTCTGCGGCCCAGCCGGAAGCCAGACTGCCACCAGAGTATCCCCACATGGCAACTGTAGCATCTGATTTCATCCCGGTAATATTCCCCGAGCTCAGCCCGGCACGAATACCGTCCAAGGTAGAATATCCGGCCAGGTGGTTGGCCAGGTAGGCAGCTGCAGGGCCTTCGTGGTCCGGAACAATGAGGACCCAGTGCTGCTCGAGAGCAGCACTGGGTCTCAGCTTGCGTGGCAAAGGTACTGTCCGTCCCGCCCGAGTCAGAGTCGAGCTGGAGGGCGTAGGAAGGCGCACAGTTGGGCGATGCGGCATCCTCTGCAATCTGGTAGGACAAAACCTTGCTGAAATCGGCATTGTACGGGACCAGAACAGTCAGAACGGTAGCCGTAGCGTTGTTGAGACTGTCTGTTGTCCGGTAAAGGATCTGCCAAGAGTTCTGCAAGTTGATAGGATACTTTGCAAACGCTGCAATGGGTGCTGGCGGCTTCCGGTAGTTGATAATGGCCCTAGGCGAGTAGCTCGTTATGTTGTCCGGCACATGATAAAAGGCGTCGTTGCTTGGCAACACCGTACTTCGTCGAATGAGAGGAATAGCTTGCGACAACGTCGAGAGCATCAACACTGTCAATAGAGCATGAAGTGTGACCATTGTTGTGTCAGATGTCTTCCTAGTAGCAGGCACAGTACAAAAAAAGTCAGGAGTAACTCAGAACCCTAGAAAAGTCAGTAGCAGTAGAGGTATATTTATACTTTAGCAGCCTCGTAAGGGCATCATACAAGGTCCCTGCATTGGGCTCTAGTCATACGCTACGTGCTCCACGTCAATTGTGTATATGAGCGAGCGAGTGGCTTTGCCGAAACATCCGACATTAGTGAGAAATGGATCGGATGAAAGATGAGGAGAGGGGTTTTGCTTCAAGTAAATTTCGTATGAATTAAAATCGATTGAGGGTCGTGATAGCCGCTCAGCTTCACCAGCTCAAGACCCGCCGAATGCTAATTGCTGATTGCTAAGCATGATTCCCATGCTCTACTGCAGAGAACGCATACCCATGTCTCGACTATAACTTCGGATCATCCGAATCTCCTCTTTGAAGGCGTTGCCCGTTCCTAGACTAGGCACGGTCCCGCTGCCTTGCAGTTGTTAGCTTAGCCGATGGGTCGCCAAAACCTGGAGAACTCTAGCAAAAAGATCAACTATGTAGTATTCGGCGTTCCGGACTCCACCTTAGCGCAATACAACGCCGTCCCATACGCGGGCTCGTAAGGGCTCGTATGGTACGGAGCACAGACTCGTTTAGTCAGGGGAACATGTAGTGCCAAGACTCTTGCGCAGCAGGTTGTATGTTGGACCGCTATTCTTCGTGATTAAACGCTAGTGTTTTGGCGTATGTCCGGCAAAGAAGATTGCATGAACACCATCGTCCTAGTAAATATGTACCATGACTCCTAATTATTCTGCTGCTTGAATACAGAGCTTCTTTGAAGCCCTCGTCTTTACTACTAGCTATGGTCTCGGTCCAGCAGCTCGAAATAATCAGTAATGCGATATGCGTTCTACAACACATAAAACGGTGCTGTCTTACACAAGCGCCGTCAGTTTCCTAAGTTCTGGAAGGTACTGGCAGGCGACATCGTCTCAAAGTGGTAAATAGGCGATCCCAATACGAGTGACAGACATATCACATACTAATTCCAATCGACGTGTCTCTGTGTACTTCAAAGCGGTCGTCAATTATATGCCACGAAGGAAATAGCCCCATGAGTTTGCTGGAGCTGTAGGACCTTATTACTTGATTTTGTCGCGATGAACATGTATATACGTGATGCATGGCTGCAGCTTTTTGTGCGATGGGCTCTTCTCTCCGGATCTACTTTGAAATCGAGTCGGACACTGGGGTTTCTTTGGGGGGAGAAATATAATTAGCACTGGCTTTCCTTTCAAACGAACCCGGGCCATAAAGGACGAGTAGATGCTGCCGAATCTCGTGATGATTGCTCTCTGCAGCGGGAATTTCTGTCTGCCATAATTGACAAGCAGCTCATTGTCTACTCTTAGGACTCAGCTGATAATTGAAGAAGCTATCTACATAAAGAGACACCTTATTGTCAAGTACTTAACTTCTAGGGTTAGCGTCTCTGGGTTTTTTTACTTTGTAAGATTGCCATTTCCGGTGCACCGCATTCAGGCAGCTAGAAAAGAAGTGCAAATATTTAGCTCTTTACTCGTGGAACGGGCGGGGCTCATCAAACTTAGGTATGACTGCTTAGCTTATCATGCTCCCATCTTTCGGATGCTTGTAAGACAGAATCTTGCTGTTTGTGTGGCAGTGACACAGATGGGCCCCGAGTGAAGCATTTGTTATCGGATAGCAATTGTTTTTCAAAGAGCATTATTATGACTGTAACATTCACTGGCCAAGACTTGCTGGCTCGGTCTTTTCCTGGACGTTTGTGTCATACGTTTCTTTCTTTTTTTCTGATACCTTTACTCCTCGTCTAATCCCGGAAATTCAGAAGCATTCTCAGCAGCTCCAAAAGTTACAATGGCCATCAGGCGACAGGACCATGAGGAAGAGACGGAACCTGATATTCCACCGCTTTGGTCACAGATCTGCTCTTACGTTAGGCAGCGCCCACCATATATATCTACGCATGCATACACGTATGTCACGCCACATTACTTAGACATGCAAGCCTGTAGTGCCCAATGCCGGTGTCGTGTTGCCGTGATTACACCTCGAGATTGGCGGCAAGCCATTTCGACGATTAGTTCAGCTGCTCCGCACGAGAGGACAGGTGCTGATCCTAATAGACATAGAAGAAACAATGCAGAGTCAAGAGCGATAATTCGCCGTCGCTCGGTTTGCAGTGCTTCATCTCGTCCCCAGCAGCAGAAAGCCATATAGACTGGTCGTAAACCTCATAATATAAGGTGTTCAGGGGTCATGGGGGCTCCGGAAATCTGTCGAAAGGTATACCTACGCTGCTTATAGTTGCAAAATCGAGCTCGCTTTGGTGTTGAGCACTGTGATAAGGAGGACGGATCGTAATGGCGGCGACACAGGTAGTAAGGAAGTCTGTCGTGTATATTGCTCGTGCCATATCATCGTCGCTGCGCTGTCTCTTCTCTGTAGCCGAGTGCTCCGGTTCTTCGAGAAGGTGCTGATCTGCAGAAGTGTTTTGGATTTTTCCAGCTTGGGTTCGCTGATCATTGTGCTTGTGGTTCGTGCTTCGGGTCAGTCGGACAGCTTGGCCAGATGCCCCGCTTATAAGAGGATCCAAAGTACGAAGTACGGAATTCCCGTACGGAGTACGCAACAGCGTTTTGGCGGTCAAAATGTTGGGATGAACATGGGACATCAGCTCGTTGCCGTTGCGGTCCTCAGAAACTGGAGTCCGAATTTCAAAGGACTCCCCTTTCTCCCTAACTCCCAGGGATAATTGCATTTTGCCGAGATACGCTAATCCTAAAATAGCCATGGTGCTTACGTACCTCGTCAGGGTGATATGTGGGGTACATCGAAGCGTTACTTTCTCGATTCCATGTTGGCAATCCAAGCACTGGCCACACTTTAGCACGTGTTAGGTGCGAAGCAGGAGTTTGCTGGCTTCTACGGAATGCTACCTCTTTCACTGCGGAATGGTCGCGAATCTAGTAAGATCCCTTTGTAAACGCGATCAAGGCCACAGCAGCATTCCATCTTCCCACCGATGGCTAAGCTCCATACTAAATTGAATGGTGCAGTAATTCAAGCCTTGTCCTGTAACCGCCTAAGGCGTTTAAGGCCTTTTTACACCTTTCTACAATCAAGAAGGGATGCATCGTCCAGACGCTTAATGGTCCCGCATCCGATGCACTGCACAAAATTACGATAAGAGTGTTCGTCACTGGAATGGTGCAAGGGCTATTGTGTTCTGGCCGTGCAAAACGGCATTTTTTTTCCAAAATGGACTTTTATATACACCTGGCTAATAGGTAATAGGCGCAGCCGTTGGTTGGCTTATGAAGACCGGGCGCACCCAAATCATCATAATGAAAAAAATATATACAAGAAAAGAAGCCTGACCGACTTTGAAAAATGTCAAATGCGACGTGGAGTATTGGATGGGCGGATACCGGAGAGCGTAGCTCCTTGTAACTTAGACCCAGACGGTCTGGGTGTAGGTGTGGGCTGCTGCACAGCTCGAGGCAGTGGTCGCACCGAAAACATTAGCCGTCGTTGCAGCGCCGGCCGCATTCACGGCTTCGGCAGAGGCGGTAGCCACCTCAGGCTTGTGGGGAACCGTGGAGGCCTTGACGGCAGCCGAGGAAGCAGATGTCGACTTCGAGACGGACTTGGTAACCGGCTTCGAGGCCGATGCCGGGACTACCAGGGCAGTTGTGAGGGTCGTGTGGACAGAGGTCTGCGCAGAAGACTGGCTGGCAGAGCTGCTGGACTTGGTAGTGGCAGCAGCAGTCGTGCCGGCAGCAGCAGTCGTGCCGGCAGACGAGCCGATGGTCATGCCGAGCGGAGTCTCGTCGGTCTCCAGCACGCCGTGGCACTGGCACGTCTCAAAGTCGGATGCTGCAGCACCGGGGCATGCGACGGGCTCGAACTCGACGACCGCGTTGTCGCCAAAGACCTCGCTCTGGGCCATGATGTCGAAGTGGTAGGAGAAACCGTAGTTGTTGGTCGCGCCGACGTTGGGGCACCACTTCTCGTTGCCGTTGTACGGGCACAGGTTGGACACCATCACGATGATGCTCTTGCCGGTCGTCTCTCCCGCGCCGCAGGAGCTGCAGGCCTGCTCGCCCGTAGACGTCAGGTTGTAGCACTTGCCGCAGCCACCACCACACCAGGAACTGGCGTTCGAGTCGAAGAGGGCCTGCGAGCCGGCGGCGGTGTAGACACCATCGCTAGTGCCGAGCTGTGCGGTGGATCTTGTCAGTCTCGAGTCTACTATGGGCGAACCGAAGGGGGTACGGAAACCATACCTGCCATGAAGCGACTCCAGCAGAATCGGTACCGCAACCGCAGGCACCTTTAAGGCCGTCGTAGTAGCGCTGCGAATCTCAGTCAATACAAGTGCCACAAGCTGGCGGTGTCGAAGGGAGAAAATTACCGTCGTTGTAGCGCGGAACTTGGCAGAGACCACAGTGGCCAGAGCGAGAATAGCGAACTTCATAGTGTCGGTTTGGGGGGGTGGAGGATAAATGGATATATGGCTTAGAAGTAAAAGTCCAAAATGGTATCCAATTCAACTGGATATGCGGTTTATCGTTGGTAATGAGTGTAAAACAAGCAAGCTTGTGATGCCGAGATGGGCCTGTGTAAATGAGAGAAAGAGAGCGAAGTGAACAAAGAGTGACTGCTTGACCGGTCGAGAAATCCAGACTGTAAACGAGGGAGGCACATGCGTCTTTATATAAGACAGCGAGAGACATGTCCAGCTGCCCCCTTTTCGCCCCTGTAGCACTCCATGACGGTTCGATGCTATGCATTCCGTATTGGCCGTTTTTCGAGCCGATGGCCACATGCTAATTGTTTCACGGGGCTGGGCTTGCGAAGCTCCTTACACGATTACATGTTTATTGGTGGCCCAGAACGTCGGCTAATAGTGGACCCTCAGGGGATCCCATCACTTACGACTTAGGCGTATGTTTTCCGAGGGGTTTGTCGCATTTGTTTAGCGGGGGGCCTGGTATTTCGGCTGCCAGCTGGTTGGAGTGGATTGTGGCCGCTTCGGTTGTGTTATTGAAACCTAGGCGAATCGTGGAGCCAGCGATCTGACCTCTTGGCACCCCAGTGGACGAGAGAAACAACCCCACCACTCAGAAGACAGAGAAAGGGACTCGTACGAGACCCAGACGACTGCCCCACGGACAGCTGCAAACTCACGCAACGCTTTTCTTTGTACAGGCACGGAGAATTCGTGGCACCTGATGTACAGAAATCTGTGCTGAGCCGCAAAATTCAGAGTCCGGGAGTACGAGTATAATAACCGATGCTGCTCTTTCAACCTTGTGCAACTGTGATTTATTCCGTGGATGCCGCCTTACGCTGTTCATCCAGTAGTCCAAATTCCACAAAAGAAGTGATGATTACAGTACGGAGTGCCACACGTCAAACTTCCAACTGAGAGAAATTCGACATCGCATGCTCCCGTGACAGCGCTAGCAAGCCTAAGGCTACGCCCCGGCGTTACAGCATCCTAGTCTATCCGCATGCTATGCAGTAGTCAGGGATTTGTGATTTACGGACTTGGAATAGCCGACACATGGGGGGAGCTGGCCTAATTTCGCCACAGAGCTAGAAGCGATAGAGAAAGATGATGAAAGGACTAGAAAGCAGAAGAATCTAATCAAATTCTTCTCCGTACTTCTCAGAGGACTAATCGGGCAAATACAGCATACTTGTACTCCGTACGAACAAACATAATCGCGCACTGCTACCTCTGTGCTCTTCTCTGCACTGCTCTCCGGACCAAACTTCAAAGCCACTGCCCACTAATAGAAATCAAAAGGAATTTCCACCTCAACATTCCCGGCAGTCCCCACAGCTGCAGCGCATCTGCACACCTTCATACAGTAGAAGCGATGTCAATCTCTGCGTGTCGTCTCTTAAGGTGCTGCAACAGATGCTCGTGTCTTTTTCCGGTATAAGCATTGCAGACTGTGCATGGATGCTTGCGCTCTGTATCGAGATGCCGCTTGAGGGAATCCAGTCTGGTGAAGAATTTGAAGCACCAACAAGCGTAAGAACGGTGGGACTCTTTTCTCCCGTGCTCAGCAAGCATGCGTTCGCTTTGTAATATCTTGTGACAGTTTTGTTGAACACAAGTAAACCGGTTGAGGCCTTCGAACCGCCCATGTAGATTTTGTGGGGCATCGGGAGCCTCTTCACCGGGAACTTCTGAGAGTCGGGACCCAGTACAGAGTTGTGGCCTCAAAAGTGGGTTAATAAAAAAAAAATACTCACAGCGGCAGAAGGCTCAGCTCCGCCCCATATGGTTCCGCATCAGAAATGTGCGTCATGAATGGCCGCGAATTGAGTGCAAAAGGATCTAAAGGGGCAGCATTGGCTGGAATGCTTTCGGGTAGCGTAGTCGGCTGCGCATTGGGCGCAGAATGGTTGACTTGGTCAAAAGAGGTGGTATCAGTCGGACCGACATAGGGCGGCATGGTTGGCAGCTGACCGGTTTGTGCAGTTTGGTAGGCGTTGCCGAGATTAGTGGCGGTAGGAGAAATAAAGTCGTTTTCCATCGTGGGTACTTTGGTGATTGGGCGGTGAGTGAAGAATATTATTTCCGAGTGTCGACAGAAGGTATTGTGTGGTTGGCGTAGCTGGTCAGGCTTTTGCGGGATTGTTGCTTATTTCTGTTGCCCGAGACGAGCTCGTGTAATGGATGTACTTCAGCCTCCGAGGTACTTGTGGAAAGCAGGGCTAACACTGCAGGAGATAGGGTGGGAAAATGGGTGGGAAATGGGTGGAGACTTGGGCACCGACGCCTTATGCGTTTCGGATTGAGACAGCCTCGTTTTTGACCGTTTTTGACAGCTTTACGGTAAAGTGACACGCTAAGTTGATTCTCATCGCAGATATGTGCAGTATAAATGCTAGGATTTTTCCTCCGGCTTCATCAAAGTGATATACTTATTATGTCTTGCCAGTGCATCGATACGTCTTATAACCACTATGGTCCGTATCGGGCAACGAGTTAAGCGCCCTGCTATCACTCTGTCTACCCCGCCGCCTACTTGACAACTTCTCTGTTCTCGATTTCTAGTCCTTATTACTCTCTCGACTAGACGACTAGACGCTCTTCGGATCTTCTCTGTGCCAACTGTCACCATCTCCTTAATTTCTTCTTAGACACCGCTTAACAATGAACTGCGAAAACTGTCCTCGTGTTTGCAGGACCAAACAACTTCTTGCGTAAGCACTCGGATCAAATATAGCAAAAACGACGCCACTAACACGCAAGCAGCTAGCACAAGCGTTGTCACTCGAAAGAACATATCTGCGACATGGAACCGTGTAATGGAACAAAAGTTCGGGTTGGTTTCAGTACTAGGAGGGATTTGGTCAGACACCAACAAGGCCACAAAAACTTGACGATCCGATGCCCATATTGTCCTATTAGAATGACTCGGAGGGATAACCTCGAAAGGCATGTTTCAAAACTGCATGCAGACGACTTGTGGGTTGCTGCTGCAAGCGGTAATGAGGCTGCTATGAGCATGCATCTCGATGTAGGAGCGGACATCGAATCAAAAGATTCCAACGGTCGAACCTTGCTATCATTAGCGGCTATGAAAGGTCGCAGGTCCGTGGTAACACTACTGATTAAAGCGGGTGCAAACATTGAGTCACAAGACAACGAAGGCTGGACACCTTTGTCGCTGGCCGTCGCGAACGGCCATGAGGCCGTCACTGAGCTTCTACTCAACCTGAAAGTCAGTGTGAAGTGGACGGATAACCAGGGCTTGACACTCCTGAATCATGCGGTTGAAAATGGACATGAGACAGTCGTCAAGCTATTACTCGAAAAGGGACTCACTGGTTATTTTCACGGCGCCAGGGACGAAGCTGCGCTTCACTCCGCCTGTGTCAACGGAAAGGAGACCATTTGCAGATTCCTACTCGAGGCGCGTAGAAATCCTTATACTTCCGTTAACCTGACAAATCGTCTTTGCACAGCTTTGGAACATGGACCCGTAGCTATTGTCAAGCTACTACTCGATAAGGGGGCTGACGTTAATGCAACTGGGACTTCGGACAAGACTGCGCTCCAAATGGCGATCTTGAACGGGCACAATTCTATAGCTGAATTTTTGAAGTCACGAGGTGCTACGCAAGATCTGGTTTGTCCTAATAGGTGCTGACGCGTCTAAAGCTGGATTGATAGTATAGTAATAATTTCTTCTTGCAATCAAGCATTGTGTATAAATGGGCCACCCTACATTTTGTGGCAACCTATCTCTCTGCACAAATTTTCCAGCTACGGAGGACAGCCTTACCATATACGAACTGTGCCGTCACAGTCCTTTAGTGAGTTGGTGTGTTGAAAATGCCACCAAACGACGATGATGTACGAGAGAGCTTTTAGACATTCCTTTCCACAGCGTTAGAATAATGCTAAGATGTTATTGAAGAACTACGTACCGAGGCTGTATTAGTATTGCAGTAGAGAGTCTCCATGGCTGTGTTCCGCCCTTCTGTACTTAAAAGGTGCCGTGGCTGCTTAATTAACAATATGCCTGTTCCATTACTTTATTTAGATGAATAGACAGTGAATTATTTATTATAATATATAATATGAGGATTTCAACTGAACGAAACTGTGCTTCGCGCAGTCTCTCACATCACACTGAAGCAACATGTTTTGTTGTCTGTCACTGTTCATCCAACTCTATTGACATGGAACGGACAGCCCGGTGCTTCCGTCTAGATACTGTTTTGATCCGCCTGCGAGCCTCGTGGTTCCCGTAAAGCACTCATCTTGTTTTCAACGATTGGCTAAAAACCCAGTCATTGATGTCAGTATCAGTGACTCATGAGATGAGATAGAAAAACGATCGGTGCCTGCCTTCGTATTCGTATCTGAACGTATTAGATTTGGGCTGGCACGCACAGCCACGACCAGTTGCATATTGGCCGGAATGGATGATGCTGACTGCTATTGTTGCATTGACCAGCCGGTGGCTGCTTACGTTATAGGATCGCACATTGTTTGCAGCATCTACGAATCACTCTGAAGCGCATTGTGCGTTTCAGGCCAACCGAATCTTTGCTTCGATTTGGGCGCCTATCAACAGAGACGGAAGAGAACGTCAATGGCTATCTGGAGTTACTTGCAATTTGCAATAAGAGTAAGAGTAGAATTTGACGTGATTTTAGTTTTGTCAACTAGCGCAGCCCAAACGTCGACAAACAATACCCGCGGAGATAGGTGTGGCATTCACGTAGTATCACTCCTTGGTGAATCGCATGACATTTTAAAAATAAAATACTCTGTCCACATAGGGATTCGAGTACAGAGTACCATCAGAGCAAAGATACGATGCTGACGAAAATACCCTCTCCTGTTCGGGTACCCTAACAAAGCCCATTAACAGCGATGGGGGAGTTCGTGCCAAGACGCCGACAGTCTTGAAGAGTACTGGGACGTAGTCGTAAGTGTTCAAAGCTGCCACGGCTGAGCTAATGCGAACACACGCCAGAATTTGAAGGGGAAAGAAAAGGAAAGGCTAGAGAGAGGTCCAGTTTGACTCGTGGTCAATGAAAGAAGTCCCCACTGGACGGAGTAGCCACGTGACCGGGGTGGCCTCATCGTCTAACATCTTGTAAGTGGCAAAATTAGCCTACTTCGACGGTGCATTCGCATGACCTTCTCCGGCCCCAGCTTTTCAATCAAGATGATCAATGTGGGACTGAGCATACTTTACTGACCGGCGGTAAAGGCGTTCAAAGAAAGTATACGGAGTACTATGTATGGAGTACGAGGGCTCGTATTCAATTCCTGCCTGATACGGGATGGGCCGTCTTGTTTGAGCAAATTATCTTTCTTATTTTTCCTGGTTGTTGATTTGCCTTGTCAGGATTCCAACATCAGCCAGTGGTCCAGACCCGAGCAGTCACGGATGCAGAAGCCACGAATACAAGCTTTAGTCTAGTCCATTGTAGGCTTAGTGAGACCTTCCCCTGGCCCATGTCACGTTTAGGCGTCTTAGCATAATGAGAGTTAAATCGAACTTGCAGCGTGTGACTGAGATTCTAGCTATCTTGTTAACAGGCCAAGGCACTGTTTTGCGTCTCGATCGCATCCAGCAACATACGAAAGGTGCAAAGGTCGGCTTCACGTTGACACGGACATTCTGAGTGGGGGTGACGCGTTTAGGCGTAGTTTCGGGGCTTCGTCGGTGCTGGAGTGCCTGTGTTTGCGACCGTACATAGTAATGCCCAAAACAGACGCTACAAGTGGAGTGCGCATGGGATCTGCCTAAATGACTGGAAAAAACTCAAGCACAAATTACAAGGAACGATTTACACACGTAATTAGCCGCTTTTTGAGTACGAAAACTGGTTTTGCCTGCGCAGACTCGTTTGTAGTAGGGCAAAATTTTCTGGGTATAGTTTCCCACCTAGGCTTAGTGGCCGGGAGGCGTGCATTGGGCTGGAAGCAGGCGAGAGCCGGTGGACCGGTCGGTCGGCCGAGAAAAATCGGCAGTCAGCACAGAAATTGCGGAGGTTGCGCGGCGTATTGTCGGTGGCTTCGTGCCAGAGCTGCGAGACGAACGGGAGAGAATGCACGCCACGAGGGTCTGGGCCCTGTGCGTTTTTTCGCGATTGCATGCAGACATGCTGCCATGTCGTCGCTTGCAGTCGTGCCGTCGTGTTCATGCTGTCTGTTTGTCGGTACCAGAAGCGTGGTGCCGTCTGGCCGGCCGCCTGCCAATTCAGCGAGAGTTTCAGCGAAGAAAGGGCGAAGAAAGGGGCGGCGCGTGCGCAAGTGGAAGAACGGACGCCAATGGCCCCCAATTCTGGCGGGCTCACGTTTCTCAAGTTCGAGTGGGCGTGAGCCCAGCCGCCATGGCCAGATCAGAGCCCGGTCCACCGCCAGGGACCCCGTACGAACGTATGTCCCTCCACCATGGCGAGAGGGTCCACCGGAGATGCCCTCGTGATGTGAGAGGAAACGGGGCCATGACATGACCGGTCCATGGGGTTGCACTCTGGGGTATGGAGAATCGGCCTGGCGCTGGAGTAGCTTGTCTGGAGCAGGTCGGCGCCTAAGACGAGATTTAGCCGGCGCGCGGGATCGCCATCGACGTGACCTGGTGTCAATTGGCGTCGACTGGTCCGTATATAAGGAGCGGGAGCCAGTCTCGTCTATGGTGTCGGTTGTCATGCTCCGGCCTATCTCTCCCCTCCAGGTGTCTCATTTCATTTAGCCCTGTTTTGTGCTTTGCATTCCGCATCTGCATATCGGTCATTTTACCAAAGAAAAAGAACTCTGCATTTACAAGCCTGCAGACATACATTTTACATCTTACAACCCCCCCCCCCCCCCCCCCCCCAAAATGGCCGACACAGCCGACAAGGCCACTATGGCCGGCAAGAGAGGTCATGCTCACGATGAGAACCCGGTCAAGTCGACGACGCTGCCGCCGATGGACGAGAAGGACGCCCTGGCCGCTGCTGCAGCTGGTGGCTGGGAGGTCGACGCGTTCATCGAGGAGATGGAGCGCGAGCTCGAGGCTGCCGGCGGGCTGGACACGGGATACTTGCAAATCCAGTTTAGCGACCCACGCTACTTTACCTGGGTCATTGTTGCCTTTGCCTCCATGGGCGGCCTGTTGTCGGGTCTGGACCAGTCGCTCATCTCAGGCGCCAATCTCAGTTTGCCAAAGGCTCTGCACCTCGACACCCACCAGAACAGCTTGGTCAACTCGGGCATGCCGCTGGGAGCTGTTGGCGGTGCCCTGATGCTGTCACCGTGCAACGAGTACCTCGGTCGCCGCTGGTCCATCATCATCTCCTGCATCCTGTACACCATCGGAGCAGGCCTGGAAGCCGGCTCCATCAACTATGGTAGGTCCTCTTTTTTTTCGTGCGGGGCTGGTTTTAGTCACGTGCCTCGCTAACTTGAACTCTCCACAGGCATGATTGTTGCTGGTCGTGTCATCCTCGGTCTCGGTGTCGGCCTTGAGGGCGGCACCGTTCCTGTTTACGTGGCCGAAACGGTCGAGCGCCGTGTACGCGGTAACCTCGTGTCACTCTATCAGTTCAACATTGCTCTCGGCGAGGTGCTCGGCTACGCCATCGCGGCCATATTCCTTCATGTGCGCGGCAACTGGCGCTACATCCTCGGCTCGTCTGTCGTCTTCTCCATCATCATGTTCATCGGCATGCTCTTCCTGCCAGAATCCCCGCGCTACCTCATGCACAAAGGCCGCGTATTGGATGCCTACAAGGTGTGGAAGCGCATCCGCGGCATCGCCACGCCCGAAGCCCGCGAGGAGTTTTTCGTCATGAAGGTCTCGGTCCTGCACGAGGCCCAGGTCGTGGCCGAGAGCGCGGTGAACAAGAACATGCCGTGGCTCGACTTCTTCACCGTCCCACGTTGCCGCCGTGCGCTCATCTACGCAAACATCATGATCCTCCTCGGTCAGATGACCGGTGTCAACGCCATCATGTACTACATGTCCGTGCTGATGAGCCAGATCGGCTTCAACGATGAGAAGTCAACATACATGTCGCTCGTCGGTGGCGGCTCCCTCCTCATCGGTACTCTCCCTGCCATCTTCTACATGGAGCGCTTCGGCCGCCGCTTCTGGGCCAACGCCATGCTGCCCATCTTCTTCCTTGGCCTCGTCCTCATCGGCATCAGCTACCAGATGTCCCTAACCACCAACCTGCCCGCCGCTGAGGGCCTCTATCTGACCGGCCTCATCATCTACATGCTCGGATTCGGCTGCTATTCGTGCCTGACCTGGGTTGTGCCCTCCGAGGTCTACCCGACCTACCTGCGCTCGTATGGGATGACCACGTCTGATGGCCTGATGTTCCTCTTCTCCTTTATCGTCACCTACAACTTCTCCGCCATGCAGACCGCTATGACCCGCACCGGCCTCACCCTGGGCTTCTACGGCGGCATCGCCGTTCTCGGCTGGTTCTACCAGCTGCTCTTCATGCCCGAGACCAAGGACAAGACCCTCGAGGAGATCGATGTGCTCTTTCAGCAGCCCACTGGCGAGCTGGTCGCTGAGAACATTCAGAACATCAGCCGTTCGTTGGCTAACTTCTTTGGCGGCCGCTGGGGGAAGAAAGCCTCCTCTCCGGTGCCGCCTGTCTCGGCCCATAAGAAGGAGGAGATGGAAGACGAGCCAGAGCCGGAAATTGTCTAGTACGACAACCATGTGTGACATTGTATGATTCGACCAGCGACATGATATACCTGTAATGAAATGACGGATGAGGAAGTTGCGCCAGAGAAAGCCATAGAAGGCTGCATGAGTTGAACGAGTAATTAGCTGGTTGTGTCTGCAAGAGGTGTATTAGTCATATACATATAGAAATATCTCTACATAACGAAGCTACTTTTCGCCTACCCCGCTACTTCTAACGTAGCCAGTAGCCTTTGCCAACGCCAAGTACGGAGTTAAATAGTCTCTCTCCGCACGGGATGAGAAGTGAATCTGTCGAATTATGGAAATACTCCGTGCAGAGAGCTGTGTTGACCCCAGATCGACAGACGCTATTTCTTATAAAGCGGGCTCTTTCACCAGGCGGCGAGGTTAAGTAAATAAACGTCTGCTGAAAACAAAGGTCTCAACTATATACTCCGTACTTACTCATCTTACATCACATCGTATAAGACAATGATCATGTCTCCACTCCTTGGTACTGCAATACAACGCACTACTGGCATGTTGAGTATAGCGCTGCGTTTACAAGGAACCATGATTATAGAATCAAAGGCAGAGAGTGTTACAGCTTGCTCAGCTCTTCCTGCATATTCCCACTAAGTTTATTTTTTGAAGATAATATCGGAGAAGAGGGAGAACGAGTATGCAAGGTCTCTTGCTCTAGACGTATCTCAGGAGCGAGTCTTGTGTAAGAGCAGGCTGCGTCTGTGTTTAAATTCACTGATGGCCAAAGAGCGCAGAACTCTGGCTTCTGAACCTGAAATATTCACTTGCAATGTAATTGACACTTTAAGCTTTGGACCCACACAATACTCCGTAAGTACAGAGTAAATCACGCGGATCCAGGATGCGCAGGATTGACAACCCTTGTCCAGAGGGTGGAGTGGCTGATTATGTCACCATTGAGTTGCGACATACGGAGTGATCCAAGACCCGTTGCCCCTTTTATGGAAATTTTTTAGGAGCGGCTTTTGAAGAAGCCCCTGTTCCATGGCTGCCGAGACTGATTGCTTTTGCAAATTGCAACCCCTAGAAAACTCTTCGCAAATTTTCTCGCAAGCTGTTGTTGTTGTTTGTTCTGCTATTAAATAGACCTATATACAGATCGTAGATAACAAAGCCATCTCCTTACTCTAACCAGCGGCATTCATTTTACCCGGTGCGCCTCTTCTCGGGTTTCAATCGATCTAGTAAGTTCACAGAACAACAAAAATCATACGTCAAAAAAATTGGTCTTAACTTATGCGGAGTATTTGTTTACAAAATTGATACCCACACACGACCGCTCTGGGAAACCCGCCGCGCTTTGCGGAGGTGAGTACATTGTCGCCCCGGTTTTCTTTTTATTTCAGCTAATGATTGTCCACAGGTCTTACGACGTACGAATACGACGCTTTGAGTCCTACTACGGAGTATGTACGCTGGCTTGTCTACGTCGGGGAAACTTTCAGAAACTGCACAGGCGATACGGGGTTTACATATGATTCGGGGAGTGTGCCGATGTGACATGCCTGTTTGAGGAGCTTACGCGGCGACAAATTCTGTAGAGGGACTCGATAAGTGCTGCAGGCGGCCAGTTGCTGGCCTTCTGCTGCGGGGTGCTGACTGGTTTTACCCTATCAAGTCTGGACTGGATGATAAGTTTGACGTGATATATGACCTATCTCAGTGCTGCGAGTCTGCACGTCTGCGTGTAACCATATAATTGGAGCACCAGCTGTGGCCAAACGCGGCACCTGCATGGTTATTCCATAACGAGTTACATTCCAGCTTCCCCCATGTTCAGTTCCAATTTGAGCACGTACGGAGTACTGCGGAGCATGCTTGCTTTCAACAAGGCCCACCTCTTTCCCTCGTTGCTTATAGTAACCCCCCTCTCCATTCTGTTCCGTTCATATCACCCTTTCCGCCTCATATGTAACTAGGACATTAACACCAGTTACACCTATCGCACGAAATGGCAAAAACTACCAATCCTGAAATCCCGTCTCCGGCTCCAGTTCCAGCTGCAAGCCCTACACCCAATGCTCCAACAACACTAGCTGCCCCGATATCACCGACTGAGGAAGAAATTACGCTTCAGCCAGGTCGCCACTGGATTGACCGTCCCTTGAATGAAGTAGGAGAAGCCTCCAGCTCCCAGTAACAGGGCAGAACTGACTACCCTCCAAGGACGACGGTGATTCTGCGCAAGGTGATGATGCGGCTACCTCAACTGCATCCCTTGCATCATCTATATTACGCTACCGGACCATCAATGGCCGCACCTACCACAGTGACTCCATCACCACAAACAAGTACTGGTAGGTTGAATGCCGCCGATTTGATGCACCTATACAGATCATAAAATAACAGTATCAAGGGGTGCAAATGATGCGAATCAGAACAACTCGCTAGACATTATGTAGGCTTATGCCAGCATATCTGTCTTTTCGATTCTATCCTAATAACATTTAGGCACCATGGCTTCTTGGTGACATTGGACGGGAAGCTAAACCTTGCGCCCTTGTCGGGACCTATTGGAGTAAGTCGGTAGTCTGTAATAGATACTGTACCCAATATGCTGATACGAAATATAGAAAATAGTAGATCTTGGAACCGGAACTGGATCTTGGGCAATGTGAGATGCCTTTCCGGTCGTTATAAATGCACATCCGATTGTTTGCTAACGAATAAACTAGTGACTTTGCAGACTTGCACCCCGAGTGCACAGTGATTGGCACTGATGTGTCTCCTATTCAGCCGGCATGGGTGCCACCTAACGTGTATTTGTAAGTACGTTGATTATTTTTTGGGGTCTTCACCACTAATGTAAGCCTAGCGAGATCGACGACTTTACCCAGCCGTGGACTTTCGATTCAGAATCGATTGACTACGTCCATGAACGCTGGCTTGTTGGCTGCGTACCGGATTGGGTAGCATTTTACAAAGAGGCCTATCGCGTCCTAAAGCCGGGAGGCTGGATTGAATCCTTTGCGTGCGACGGCCTGCTCGAGTCTGACGATAACACTATGACCAAGGACTGTGCTACTAGCCAATGGAGTTATATATTCGCTGAGGGAAGTAGGAAGCTGGGCTCTACCGCCTCGTACACTATAGTTCGTGACGAGCTACAGCGGAAATATCTTAAAGAAGCAGGCTTTGTAAACATTGAAGAGCGCCTGATAAAGGTTTGTAACAACTTCCTTTCTAAGCTTTACCACACTCAGCTAACAACTAGCAGATGCCCATTTGCGAATGGTCAGATGACCCGAAATGGAAAGAAGTCGGTCTTTTTATACGCGCCGCCTTGGAGACTGACGTAGAGGGTATGGTTTCCTACTTGGCATCTGTGCTTGGCTGGACCCAAGAGGAGATTATTGTGTACTGCGCTCATGTGCGTCGCGAGGTGCGCAGTCTGAAAATCCATGGCTACTATCGATGCAATGTGGCATGGGCCCAAAAGCCCTTCAGCGTCTAGGTAGTTTGGAGTTTCTTTTTCTAAGAGGGACCGTAGTAGTGTGTGAATTATAAACTTCCGCTGTGATCATGTAGTGCCTCCCAGGTTTCTTCTCTTTGGTATGCCTCCAATAGCTTCGTTCCATTGTCTCTTTCCTGCCGCAACATACTCCGATGAATCGTCCGTGTCCAAGTCTTCAAGAAGGATGAGCTTTCGATACCTTTCATCGCTAAGCATCTCTCTTACAAAATCCCCCTCCAGAGCCGCCAGATGCCTCCTCATGTTTTTGATGGCACTCAGGTATGGTTTCATTTCCTCGGAAAATTCGATTTCCAACTTTTCCACGACTAATGTTTGCGGTGACTTAACACGTTCCGTCACCAGTTGGAACCGGAGAGGGTAATCCTGTTTTAGAGCAGACTCGACGTGCTTCCGTCTCGCTTGGACGGCAGTAAAGCGCCAGACTTTCTCGCTTTCCGAGACGAGAAAGCGATTCAAAGCAACACAGTCCTGGCATTGTCCCTGATCGCAGCGCCGCGGTTTATGTGCCCAACCAGGTAGCTTCTTTGGGCATTCTGGAATGTTTCGGCCGATTTCATATTGAATGACAATGTCCAGCAATCTCTTCGCTGGAGGAGAGTTCAGTACCTTGTGCTTTTGAAGAACCTTAACTACTGTTCCGAGCAGAGTTATAGACTGGGACGCAGTCAAAAAGCCCCCTCCCTTTTTCAGCTCTGCGCCCCAGCGATTGCAAAGCGTCTCCAGAAGCTTTGTAGCACTACCCCCAGCTCCAATATCCAGAGTGTGGTCCAGTAGTGTCGGGAAGTCGTATGTATAATACTGTGCTGGGCACGGCGTCAAGAATAGGGCACCCCCGCGAAGTATCAGAGCCCAAGCACAGTGCTCGATCAGATGTTCAAAAGTGGCCTTCACGATGCCTGAATATGGCTCTTTGATTCTCCCAAAATACATTATGTGCAATACTTGATGAAGCAAGGACCACTCGCCTCTCTCAGCCAAGGTTGGTAGAAGCCTGGTGACAAAACCGTTAGTTAGCCAGCCGTTTCTTTCGGGGTCCCAGACCAATGCTAAAGCTAGCCGTGGCGGCAAATGGTAGGTCATGCGGGAGGAGGAAATTGGCATATCTAGAACCACGTTCTCACCAAGTTATGACCCATTCGGGTGTGTCGCGGTGAGACTCTATGCTTTTGATAACAAAGTTGCAGTCTACCACACGGAGTACTGGCATTGACTGAAACATCTGGTCGGTTTTGAGTGAAGCCCACGATCTAAACGAGCTTTGGATTCTTGGAGATCGGAGATGGGCAGAGAAGTCTTTAGAAAAGTCATCCCAGGGCGTTAAAAAACAGCACGCTGCATATTCTCCCAACCTTCTATAGTGTTAGACAACAATATTAAAGAGCATCTCTCTGTACTGGCTTTTAAGTCGAAGAAACTTACAGTCTGTCCCAGTCGATGTCTTCGGATGTCCCTGTATACGCCCTTTCAACAAGGGCGGCGAGTATTTGTATTGCTTCTTTATTGTTTGTTCCAGAGCCAACATATGATACAGCCGGGCTGGCCAATGCAGCTACGATCAGCCTGCTATTGTTCAGCTCCATAGCCCAATACAGAGCGATCTGCAAAACTGAAGGAGATCGGAGTCTTTTCGTGAGAATGTCGATCAGACATGCAGATGCGTACTGTGTCATTGCCTCGTTTCGTCTTGCTTGAAGATCTTCATTGACCAGGGCCACTAGATTTTCAGCATGCATTTCGCTCCTGTCGCCCTGGGTGAGGCGAACAAGTTCTTCCTTGCGAACGAGCATTGCAACCTGCAGTACGCCGAGTTAGTGAGGAGATGATGCCCTACAATATTCATAGGTAGGAACCTACAGTGTCATGATAATGAAAAGTTGTTGGAGCACCTTCGTTTCCTGTGAACTCTCCTTCTTCTTCACTGTCGGGCTCTCGGTCATTTATATCGGTGCCCATGATTTGGCATTCGCTCACCGTAAGATTCGACCCAATCTCCTTGCCATTCAATGTGAAAAGAGCTTTGAACATGGTTTCCACTTCTGAATCTTCGTACTCATCGTATCCGCATTCTTCAGTTCGAGAGCGAGTGACCTGAGCAAAGAAAAGAAACAGTCCACAGCTAGCCGCAGAGTTGCTCAGGAGGTTACAAACGGCGCGATCACGTCCTTTCATGTTCGCCAGCGACAGGCTTGATTCCGTGTACTGGTGATCGAGGGGGTATACTATAGGATCCGGCGTCTGGATTTGGGTCTTCCACCGCAAGAGACGTGTCCGCACTTTCTCCTGCTGACGGTATGTAGACTCCGCTGTCTGTACAGCAGGTCCGTTTTGCACCAGATTATACGTCAGTACCAGACGGTAACCCTGTTTGATCTCGGCTATTTCGTGCGACACGTCCGAAAACCAGGCAAGAGCTGAGATGTCCCAGGACGAGCCAGGGCTCGTGGCAAATGTCTTGCTCTCAGTTTGGAAGGAAAGGCTGACATCCCCCCCTTCATGCTGCGAAGGGAGACTGATGACGAGGGTGCCAACCATGCCGGCTTCTTTTTCCGAGTCCTTGTGCCGCTTGAAGAAGGATCCTTTCTCGTACAGCAGCAGCTTGTAGGGGCGCACAGCCACGCCGAGAAGTCCCAGCCGGTCTGCTGCCTGCTGTGCGATCTTCATAAAATAGGGTTCCCACGCTGGATTTGATAGCCGAAATTGGGTGTGGTCCATCTCCCAGGTGTGGCGGACAGAAGTGTCGACGAGAGTGGCGTCGCCTTTCCCAAAGGGTGCCTATCGACACGCGGCCTTGAGAATCTCAGCATCGCCCGGCGTCAGAGGGAGGGAAATGAAACGATCGCCCCGAATATGCAGGTCCGGATTCGCAAAGACGGAGTGGCGGTCAAAAACAGCAAATTCCCCCGCCGACTCGACGGCGTCCAGACAATTTTGGAGGTTACCTAGCCAGACAGGAACTGCTTCGGCCTTGTTGGTGTGTTCCTGTTCGAAAGAGCTGTCGGAGCTGTCGGAGCTGTCGGACTCATCGCTATGTTTGCGGAGCGGTATTCCACGACCATAGAAAGCCATTGTAGCTCTAATGCCACTCCCTGAAAGAGGTGGAAAGTGGGCGGTCTCGACAACAGTAACGTCTGGGCGAGTCAATTGGACAAGAACCTAGTTGGTTCTGAGTAGACAAATCGCCCAATTGAAGAAATGAAGACAGAAAGAGCGGCAAAATGGCCCTGTATCCACGTTCAGCTTGGACAAGTACCAATTCTGACGTCGCAACAAAGTCAGGCCAAAAGCCTTGATTGCATGCTCCTTTACTATGTACGAAGTATTACGAGGAAGTACTCCGTATGAACCTGTCTTTTCCCCTTACCGGGGTTGCATCTAACCTCTTTTTGTTGTTTGATGGGACTAGGAGGCGGAGACTAGCTAGTGGTTGTGCAAGACAATTTCTGTTGAATATTATGCACGGTGGTCTGTGTGATGCACAAGTGCCGCTATTGCGCATACACTGTGTAAATAACTATCGCATGCAGTTATGGCTCTGAGGAGCAGTTAGAGTCATACAGTGTTTAGCATAATAATGTACAGTCTGCGTCGACACCTAGCCATTATTGATTCTGACGCCAATGCTGCGGCTCCCAAGCCTACTCTTCATCCAGAGTCCCAAACACAGCCGCCACCTCGGGCACCTTGGCCTCAAATTCGCGCCGAGCCTCCTCCCAGACCCGCTGCTGGGCGATCCGACCGCTCGGGCGGTTCATGAAGGGCGGATAAGACACGGCGTCAAAGTCATGCAGGATCTCACCGTGAGCCGAGCCGGGGGCAGAGGCTCCATTGACAAGGGCAGTGGCGCCGATAAGGGGGTCGCGGGCACTGATATTCATAATGAGACGTGGAATCAGCTTGCTCTGGTTGGGGTTCGTCAGAGGGGTCCAGGCGGAACCCGGATCAGCACTGGTGATGGTCACACGGCCGATGCGGCCGGCATAATTCGCGTTGGCAATGCGGGCAGCTAGCTCGCGAGCAAAGTAGAGCAGCAGGGCCTTGGAGCGGCCGTACTGGTGGGCCTGTTCCATACCATCACGGTTGGAGCTGAGGCGCTTGAGATAAGATGCGTGCGGCGACCGGGGCAAGCCCATGGTGAAGGAGGACGGGTAGACGCCAAAAGAGGTGGTGAAAGTGAGGACCGGGGGCTCCGGATTGCCTGGCGAGGATTTGAGCAGAGGGAGCAGCAAGAGGGCAATGAGGGCGGTAGAGAGAAAATTGACTTGGATGCCTGATGTTGTTAGCAGGAGGAGGAGAGAAGGCAGAGAAAGAAAAGAAACAAGAAAGAAATAAGAAAGAAAGAAAGAAAGAAAGAAAAAAGACCGGAATTACTCACTGGTCTCCCAGTCCTCGGGCGACTCCCGCCGGTGAAAGGCAAGGATGCCGGCCGTCAGGAGGACGTGGTCGAGGTGCTGCAGCGTACGAGCCTTGGCAGCCAGCGCCTGGCAGCCGGAAAAGGTCATCATGTCGATCTGCCAGACCAGAATCGTGGGCACCGGCTTGCCCTCTGCGCGCAGGCCGGCCTCAATCTGGCGCTTCACGTCGGCGCAGTCGTGCACGTCGACCAGCACCAGCGTCCCGATACCGTGCTGTGCAAAGAGCGTGGCCGCCCGGGAGCCGTAGGCGCCGTTGGCACCGGTGACCATGGCCGTGCGGCCGCCATACGACGCTGTCGTCACCGTCGGCCGGCCGCTGCGCTGCGCCCACAGCAGCTGCCAGGGAAAGTACTCGGCCAGGAAGAGCGGCAGACCGTACGCCAGCAGGGCCGTGGCCGCAGTGACGACGACGCCAACAACGAGAGTAGTGTCCATCGGGGGAGAGATTCGCAAGGGCGACGAGGCGTGGAAGGAGGGCAGATTGCAGGAATTGTGACAGTGGACAGTCGTCACCCTATATATGTGGATTAGTAACTGCTTATGTCACCACGCGAGTGTCTGTGTGCTCGTCAGATGCTAAGACGACCGGGGCCGCCAAGAGTGGCTGCGGATGCTTGCGTTCCGCGATTATCGTAAGATTTGCAGTGGTGTGTTGTTTGGCTTTTAGGGGCTCTGCTTAGGGGGCTCTACAGCTGGAAGCTCGCTAAAGGCGCTACTACGGGGTAGTCCGATGCTGAGAAGCCGGTAAGAGTAGCAATTTATCAACAAAAACTGAGAGTTTGGTAAAAAGAACAGTGACAGCAAGTCGTGCCATTATTTTCTGCTTCTGTAGTAAAGATTTTGCTGATAGTCGTGGCTAGAGCGGTGTCGGAGCTCTCGTCGGACGTCGTTCCGCGACGATCTGCCGGCCCACTGCTAAGATACATTTTTCCAGGCAGCCGCACGTTGGTCGCCACATACGTCGTACGTAAATACGCTGAGATTGTCCCTTTTGTGCTCTACCATTGCTCAGTCTTGTCCTGCCAAATTAGCTCTTCTTGGTTTCCGTCTGACACAATTTGAGGATGTCTTAAGTCGCTCGTAGAGGCATCGTCTCCAGAGTAGCTGCCTTCTTACTGCTTCTCTAAGTGCCATAGTCGCAGCCTCGCGCTAGGGTTCTCGAGAAGGCTGATGGGCTATGTAATAGGCTCCACAAATCATCTTCAATGACAAACTTGTATAGGCCCTTTCCGCATCTTGAAATGCAATCCGAAAAACTTGATTTCTCCTGCCTTCACCGTCCATGATAACAATTTACTCCGTAACTTCCTTTGATATGAATGTACCTTGTATGCACATGTCATACGAGTCCGGGTGGATAGGGCTTTTTTAAGTGGTGTGGATTTGGGGGCTTACATAATCAGCCTTATAACTCGCATCACCTACGGAGTACTACAGTTTAAGGGAGTAGAAGCCACCCTAAGTAGAATAAGAACAGGAACCATTGCTCGCTGTAGTATGTCTATAGAGGCCGCCGCGAACAAGGACTTTGTCTACTTTGCAAGAAAACATTAAAGCTCGGCAGTGTCAGAATAGAAAAAATATCGCATGCGTTGTAGCCTCGAGCCAAGAGGCCAAGATCATCAAGTTTTGCGAAAGAACTATTTCGCTACTGTTACTCGCAAAGACCATCAAACAACTTAAGCAGTCTTCTCGACATCGGCACCCTGCCCGGGGGCAAACTCGTGCAGCTCGGCGCCAGTTGGAATGGCCGTCTTCAGGTCCTCGGGCCGCTCAACACCTTGAAGACCAAGGCTGGCGTTGATGCGAGCCATGCGCTCCTGGTCCTTGACGGCGATGCCGCCAGCGTCGCCGCCAAAGTAGACATCGAGCTCTTCGAGCGTCTTGTCCTTGGTCTCGGGCACAAACTGCCAGACAAAGGCGGCGCCGATGGCGCAGAAGGCGGCAAAGAAGATGTATGTGCCATAGCGCATGGACTTGAGCATGTCCTTCGTGGTCAGGCCGATGACAAAGTTGAACATCCAGTTGGTGGATGCAACGATGGAGACACCACGAGAGCGCATGCTTGTGGGGAAGAGCTCTTGGGTCAGGACCCAGGCGACTGGGCCCCAGGAGTAGGCGAAGTTGACAGCGAAGAGCTGAGGGGGTTAGTAGTCGAGATAGAGTTAAGTAATGGTGGATGAAGCTCACCCAGATAAAGACAATAGAGGCCCACCCGGCTGACCGGTGGGTGGACCACGAGTCCTCAAAGGAGCCGTCGACAGCGGCAACGACATTGTGGCAGATCATCATGCCGATGGCGCCGACGATGAGAAAAGTCTTGCGGCCGAAGCGGTCGAGGAAGAAGACGGCGGGCAGGGTGAAGACGATTTGGAAGATGCCGGTGACGCCGGTGGCGAGCAGGTCGGTGGTGGTGTTGGTGAAGCCAAAGGTCTCGAAGATCTGGGGGGCGTAGTAAAGGACGGCATTGATGCCAGTGAACTGCTGGCAGATCATAATTCTGGGGGGTCAGTCTCTTTTGCTCTTTTTTCTTGCCTTTTTCTGTCTTTTTCTTTCTTTCACACTCACATGCATCCAATCAAGACCCGACGCAGGATATTGGGCGTGAAGAGCATCTTCCAGGAGCCGATCCAGCCGTCCCTGGCGGTGAGCTCGGCATTGACCTCCTCATCGAAGAGCACAGCCGCCTTGATCTCGAGGTACTCAGCCTGGACGAGGGGGTCGTTGGGAGGCAAACGACGCAGCTTGGACAGCGCAGTCACGCAGTCGTCGTCGCGGTGCTTCATCATGAGCCAGCGCGGCGAGAAGGGCAGGAAGAACATGCCGACGAAGAGGATCCAGGCGGGCAGCAGCTGGAGGGCGAGAGGGAAACGCCAGGCGACATCCTTCTGGCCGAGACAGCGGTGGCCGGCAGCAAGGGTGTAGTTGAACACGCCGTCGTCATATTGCTGGTCAGCCGGAATGCCGGCGGGATCGCAATGGGTGCCGCCGACAAAGTGCATGCCGTAGTCGAGCCAGAAGGCGATGGTGGTACCGATGGTGATGGAAAGCTGCTGCAGCGACACGAGAGAGCCGCGCAGCTCTGGCGGTGCGATCTCGGCCTGGTACAGCGGGATGACCATGGAGAACATGCCGATGCCAATGCCGCCAATGACGCGACCGGCAAACAGCTCGCTGCTCCGGTGGGCGCCACACTGCAGCCCGGTGCCGAGCGTGAAGACCAGCACGGCCACCAGCATGCTGTACTTGCGTGAGATCCGGTCGGCCAGCCAGCCGTTGAGCAGTGCCCCAGCCCAGGCGCCCAGCTCCAGCGCCGACACCAGCCAGCCCTGGATTGTGCTTCCCTGCAGGTGCGGGAACTCGGACTCAAACGTCTCCATCACCAGCACCGAGCTCATGACCCCCTGGTCGTAGCCGTACATCAGACAGCCCAGCGCCGCAAACGCGCATGTCAGGAACACGTACGGATTCCGCAGCATGCCCACAATTCCATGCGGCTTCTCCGCTCTATACCGGCCCACGGCTGACTGGCTTGGAGCAGCAGCGACCATGTTGTGGTGCCTGTGTGGGTGTGGGTGTGGTGGCTGTACTGTGTGTGGCTATCTGCTGACAGGATTCCGTAAACTGTGTAGAAATGGCCTGCTTCAAATGTGGATCCTTCTATCTGCCAAGAAACAGAACCGGCTTTTATATTACTCCTGTTCTGTCTTCCCTCTGTCCGCCTGTCTCATCATTGTTTCCGGCATGCTTCTATAAAATCCCACCCCCCCTTAGTTTAATGACAGCCAACATATTTGGTAGCCAACGCCTGCTGCTCCTGTCTACTCGGTCTTATTCCGGCGCTGTATGCAGCCCAATAAGCCGCTGCATGTGTGCCGCGGCTCGAGAAGGACGACAGCGGCGCACGATATCGACGGCTGGCCGTTGCGGTTCCACCCACAAAACTCTCCGCATTCTCCATAGTCTCCCCGGCTTCCCTCCCCGTTCCCCTCCTCTCGTAAAGCCCCTCCGTCATTGCCGGTCATCGGCACCGAGAAGGATGCTGCCTAACTATATACAGCTACTTGCCGTGGCCGTAGCTGTTTCCTTATCTACGTACCATCAGGTCAGCGGATCACCAACGGGCCGAATATGTCTGCTGCATCATGCATGGTGCATCCCAGCGGCTGCACGGCTGCATGCTACCCGGTTTTCATTGGCTCGTGCGAGGATCTCGACACCTCTGGCCACCACTCGCAACGCCCAAGGCCTGCTCACAAGGCCGGTTCATTCAACTCCATTTCCCGCGGCCACTAAGACCCAATTGGCAGGTCCGAGCGTAGAGACGGGACAATGTGTAGACGTTGGTGCAGGAAGCTGAATAATAGGCGGATCGGTCCAATAGAAAAGAGGAGCATCATTAAACCAACACACCCCGAATGTTAGCAACATAATTTATATCCGTGCATGTCCGTTGAGGGCTTGCGTGGCCGTGTAGCTTTCAAGCAAGACAAGTGATTGGCTGTTCGGCTCGAAGAAATGGCTGATCCGCCTCTATAGAATACTCTCCGCGATAGAAGAACAAATTTGCGCAACCTTCTCCCATACTTTCCCCGCCATTCTCTCCCACCGCTCCGCTCTCTAGGAGTCCGTGAGGTTGTATATTTTCTGGATGCTCTGCAACACAGCCTTGAAGTCGATCTTGAGGTCTTTTAGCAGGCCGTTGTGAAAGTCAAAGACCCAGCCGTGGATGATCGGGTATTGGTTCTGGGCATACGACTGCTGCACGTCGGCCGTCTTGATCACGTTGCGGCACTGCTCAATCACATTCAGCTCGACTAGGCGGTCATAGCGCGCCGTCTCGTCCGCGATCGCGTCCAGCTCGCTCTCGTGCAGCCGGTACACATCCCGGATGTTGCGCAGCCACGGGTTCAGCAGGCCCATGTCCTTGGGCGTCATAGCCGCCTTGACGCCACCGCAGCCGTAGTGCCCGCACACGATAATGTGCTTGACGTGCAGATGCCGCACCGCGTAGTTGATCACGCCCATAGCGTTGAGGTCAGTGTTGCACACCAGGTTCGCAATGTTGCGGTGCACAAACGCCTCGCCCGGATCCAGCCCCGTGATCTGCTCCGCCGGGATCCGTGAGTCGCTGCAGCCGATCCAGAGATAGTCGGGCTCTTGCCCGGCCGACAGCTTGATGAAGAACTCGGGGTCCTGCTTCCGCTTCGCCGCCGCCCATGCACTGTTGTGCTCAAACAGCCGGTCGTGGCTCTGCTCCAAGTACTTGGTGATGTCCTTCTCCGCCATCTCGCGCCACCGAATCCGCGTCTTCTTAGCCTCCTTGCCAAGTGTGTTGTAATAGGCCCGCGTAGAAGTCGACGTCGTCGTCGCAGCAGCGATATAAACCGGGTTTGAGGCAACTCGTCTGGTGGTTGGCGACAGCAGCTGTGAGCAGAAGCGCATTTGCAATATGGGCATTGAGATGTACTCGAGCCCCAGCTATAAAACTCCGCAGAACGTCTGAATGATGGCGGGCGTTGGAGAAGGCCGATATGTTACTACCTTTTTTCGTCGTTTTTCCTCTTTCGGTCGAAACGTCACAGCAGAGCTTCCGCACTACGATAAGGCACAGTCTCTTATCGTGTATGGTGGGGTCACGCCGGTATTCCCCATTTATTGCCGGCACTCTCAACAGTCCAGCTTACGACGTAGAATATCGTCTTGTTTGTCTTAGCTATGAGTTGGTGAAAGCTTCAAGTATAAAATACATAAATGATAGTCACTAAGAATTGGTCTATGCAAGTTACAGAACTTTGAAGGCAAAGTTTGTTGCACGTGACCCTGTGCAGACTTTTCACTGCCGCAGTGCATCCACTAGCTTTAGCTTCCTTTCGAAAAATCCCATGCTTTTTCTTCCATGAAAGTTTCAATCCAGTGCTTTCAGTTGGAGTAAAAAGGAGATTTGAAGTGCAAAATTTTGTACTTTCACGTACCGTACACCGTACCGTATTTCTTAGCACTCATACATGAGGTTGAGACTAAAAAATTTGATCACCCGATATGGGGGTCGAACCCATAACCTTTGGATTAAAAGTCCAACGCGCTAGCCAATTGTGCCAATCGGGTCTGTGGAATGATGAGCGACTATTGTGATTTATAGAGGTGGCTTTCCGAAGCTTGGATCACGTGTATGTCCAGCCTATTTTGTACGAGCATAAACAGTGGACTCCAGGCTACTTTCGCAAATTCAGCTCAAATTTCTCAGTTCCAGAGCACACAATTCGGCCCTGACTACTCCATAGAGCGGCTACGGTACACTTCACTGCGGCTGTTATCCGTTTCTTTTGTTCTTAGTCTCTCAGGTTGTTCTCTTAATGTGGGTATATTTGTGACTGCATATACATTCTCTTAAAAAATTCACAAAAGAGCCAACTGCGTCTGAAGCATTTCGGCTACGATTGTGCTTCCCCTACTCCGAGCCTTCTCTAGAACGACATTAAACACCTGCGAGATACCTGTTGCTGACGCGTAGGTAGAGCGTAAAGTTTCTATGAATCCCAGTATCTGGTTGTAGACGGCCCGCTCCTCCTGTAGCCGTGCCTGGTCAATTGTAAAGACGGCAAAGTCGGCAATGTGTTCCTGAACAATACTATGAGCGCCACGGATAGTGGCATAGAGGATCCCGAACATGGCAGCCACAAGGGTTCTCGTCCTCAAGAACAAGTGTTCGCGCGTGACGCCCCAGCCAGCGACGGCATGTCTGAGAATACTGGGCTGAGCTGTGTCTGTTGTGACCCAGCCTTCGACAAAGACGGTGGCCATTGAGTGGATAATGTCGGGAATCCCATGCGGATCTGCCACCATGGCAGCAAGAATCTCCACACAAGCTGTGCCGAAGCGCTCCATTTCGTGGCGGCCGGTCGGCAACACCTGACTGGCCAGGAATGTCGCCTCAAGGTTGAACATGAAGACAGACATTCCATCGTGGACGATGAAGCCCTTGCAGCAGACGTTGCGCGCGGCCAACGCCCAGATGGCGGCTAGGTTATAGGCCAGTTGCGTATAGCGCTGTCTGGTGGCTGATGCCAGCAGCTCGATGCCGATGATAGCCTGCTTCTTGGCTTTGATCAGATCGCTAGCCTTGAACAAGTCCTCAAAGTCCTTCACCAGGCATTTGACCAGGACCTCCATCATGGGATCGCTGGCCTGACCAGAAAAGGAAATATACTGCAGCGCCTTTACTTAATGATCCGCGACCAGCCAGACTATCGTCCTATCACCGAAGTCTACTGCCATGAGAAGGATCTCCACTGCTGTCTGCGTGACCCTCTCCAGCTTGCCACTGGCACTGCTCGCGGCTTGTCGGTTTCTGTCATTCATCTCTTCTGCGCTGGGCGTCTCCCATCCGGTAAGCAAGGAAAGCACTGCGGTTGCCCCAGCCAAAGCTGGCCTGACCAGCATCTGCAGACGCTGACTATGCGCTGGGGTATTAGCAGCCGATGATAATGGTTGATCATCCCCGTTCTCGTCACTACCGTCCTGGTCGTTCCGCGCGAGCTCGACAACTTTTTTGAAAGCCGTTACAGATACATCGCATAACGCCCGCAAAGACGGCCCCTGCCTCTTCTGGATAGTCCATTTAAAAGCTGTCAGAACCATGACCAGGTACTCTTCCATCATGCTGTCATGGCCCATTGTGACAGCTGCCACGAACAGCTGCAGCTGGCTGTCTAGCATAGATCTCATCACTCCTCCAGCATACCCGCTTTCGGCCTCGTGTAAGTCGACTGCCGCCGCTGCCTGCATCGAGGCAGTACTGGACAGCCTGCGGCTTCCTAGTCCCCAGCCTCTGCTGTTGGTTGCGCCCCGTTCTCGCAGCAGCTGGGCCACGTCACCATATCCGTTACTGACGGCCACGTCCAGGATAGTGCTACCGTCAGGGAACCTCGCAGTCGTCTTTTCCCCGTGATCCAGGAGCAGCCGGACAATGTCCACATTACTGCCCGGCTGCAGCCATGGATGACTGACTGCCACCACCCCCTGAAGCGGAGTCACGGCCGGAGTTCCTGCTAGACAATTCGCGTTAAAGCCAGCGTCCAGCAACAGCTTGACGATGGGTGCCGACGTGCCGGTAGCGGCCTGCTGCAGAGCCCCGTCAGACTGCTTGTCGCCGCGGTACTTCTTCAGGCGTGGACCCGATTACAGGATGGCGGCCACGCACTCCTCCGATGCAGCCATGAAGGCGGCTTTCAAGGGCGTACCCATCTGTTCGCTCTGCGCATTCACATTGGCATTGTTAATCAGCAGCTCAACCACCACCTTGTCGAGTCCACAAAAGCAGGCCGTCATCCGAGGCGTGATCTGTTGTCGTCGCTTTCCGACCTCGGCCTTGGCGCCGTGGACCAGAAGTGGTTTGGTGGTCTCGGTCTCTCCGACCAGGGCCGCATAGTGTAGCGGCGTGCGGCCGTCCGCGTCGGTCGCATTTATATTTCCTACAAAGTCCTTTAGGAGCACCTTCACCATGTCTGCGGCCTTCTTGCTATCCTGGCAAAGGATCGCCCAGTGTAGTGCCGTCTTTCCATCTTCGTCACACGCTCTGTCGTGGTCCTGCCTGTTGCTCCGTCGAAGTACGGCCAGAAACTCCGGCTCGCCAACGTAGCAGACGTTGTGCATGACGGCGACGCCTGCTGGAAACGGATTTCGCGCCTTGACTAGGAGCACCTGGAAGGCCGAAAGCACGTTGTTGGCATTGTCGACGAGAGTCTCCTTCAGTCGTGCCTCCAGCCACTTTCTGGCGTCCTCCGCCCTCTCGAACTTCTCCCATACACCCGTAGAGACATGATGCACCCAATTCGACGACACATAGCGCAGAAGAGGCCGGTCCTGCAGCAGCCTCTCGAGCGGCCCAAGACGATACCACGTGACCCCAGGCAAAGGACCCGATGAGAGGTCGGGCAGGCAGAGCTGATCAATGCAGTATCTGGCCATCTCGCGGTACGGAAGCGGTGCCCATTTGCTGCTGCCGCTCTCCAGATAGGTTTCAGCGTGACGTGCATAAGACTGACGCTGTCTCTCGCCTCGTGTATGACGAGAAGCCCACAGCAGATGTCCATGAGCTTATTTTTTCGTATATCTCGTAGTTCTCTCGCCATATCTTCATTCTCGTCATCCCAGACCGCACACAGCAGTTCTGTGACAGACAGCGTCCGAGTCGCACAAGCAGCCCACGTCAGAGCTTTCTTGGCCAGGCTCCGACTGCTCACATCTCTGTTATTGATTCGCTCGAAAAGGGCTTCATAGGCCGTATTGCAGATTTCGTGAGCAATGGCCAGACTAGAGGGTCTTTGTTGGGATGGTCCATTCTGGAAGGAAGCAAGTATCGTAGATAGCGGATAGCCCGGCTGGCTTATGAGAAGGTTCATATACAATGCAGCAAGGAGGAATCTAGCAAAGATGATATGTCGTCAGCAGACTTCCGAGCGGTGCGAGAGGAAAACATACAGGCCATTTGCCTCCCTGGTCACAACTTCAATGAATTTATGGACGTCCCCGGCGTCACACTTGACCAGGCTCGATTTCAGAGCTGGAATCATAGATTCAGCGTAGATCTTAATATCTTCGTCGTTTGCCCGGATTTCCAGCGACAGCTGCTTTGTGTCGTCGATGCAAACCAATTTTGATTGTGCAAACGTTGGGGTCGATGTGGTCAAGATCTTGATCTTGTAGTGTTCGCGGTCGTTCTTGGTTTGCAAGCCATGGAAACATCCATGAAATCGATCAAGATTTTGCGTTCTACGCACTGGTCGAGGGCATCAATGACAAGATACACCCTGTCATACCAGTCGATGACGTTCTCCAGTTTTTCGATCAGATCTGAGGTTTCTGGCATCGATGATTTAACACTCAAGTTCGACCGCATATTTCGGTCGTAGAGGGCCTTCACTAGGGGGTAGGGGCTGTTCTCGTTTCCGTCGTCTGGTAAGTTGAGCATCAGCTGCCTCAGAATGTGGCCGAGTAGCCGTCTGGCTGACTGGTTCTCCTTGCTGATATCGGAGCTGAAGTACAGGAACGCCAAGCCTGTCTTAGCGTTACCATTGCCTATGGCCTCAATCTTGTGGGATAAGTCGTCGATGATGGCTGTCGCGATAAACGTCTTGCCCGCCCCGGGTAGGCCACAGAAACAGAGCGTCGTGTCAGACGACTAGAGATCGAACCATCTGTTGTTATCATCTGAGTTCAGTATCCAGCGACTTGTGCTTTTAACTCGCCTTTCCATATGGTCGTCAAAAGAGTCGGCGTGCTTTCTAAATCGTAGCCAAGTGACAATCCGAGTGTGGATCAACTCTTTGCTCGCGGCAGTCAGAGCCTCGATGAGAAGACTGCAAAGAGACCTGTTACAGCGGGCCATACAAATAAAGGAAGACAGGAGACGGGATGCCATACTGGTCTTTTATAGATACTGCGCTTTTTATCCTCCCAAAGAGCTCCTTGAGCTCACTTTCGAGCCCTCGTAATTTCTTTTCTACCGAAGGCCACTTTCCCTTGGCTATGCCTCTCTTGCCCATCACTCGCATACGCCGCTTGAAATCGCCCTTCTCTTCAAGGGAAAGGGGACTATACTTTAACATATCTTCTAACATCAGCTCCATAGTATCTCTGTACTTTACCAAATCGCCACCTTTCGAAAGCGCCGATCGCAAAGCGCTCGAGGTTTCCAGATAAGCATTCAACCGTTCTTCGTGCTCCCCTACAACGTCGTGTAGCCACTTTTCGATCTCTGCCGTTGTCTTTGATATTTCTTGAATCGTCTTGTTCATGTTTTTTATAGACTTTCCATAGTTTATCACCAACTTGCCGATTTTGAGCGAAAAGTCAAAAATGCCAATGATGGCCGACGCCGCGTCCATATTGTCCAGCGTTAAGCTCGACAGTTGTGAAGACAGAACTATCTTTGGGAATATCATAATGGCCGTTCCGACGTCTTATGCTCAACAATATGGCTATGGCCCAATCTATGTTTCAATGATGCCTAAGCTTAAGGGACCAATAAACCAAATTTTGACACGTCCATGGCAGCCAGAAGATGCAGGGGAGCGGGGTGTAAGCCATACACAGTTGCTCAATTATTTCCAGTCATCGTGGGCTGATAGCTGATGGGCATCTCTGCATACTTGTGCTCACCCCTTTTGGACTTGTCCTCCAGTCTTTGGTCTATGTGGTCGGGGCGAGCCGATATTTGCTGTGTCCGAGTACTTTGGTCGTTATGATTGCATAGATAGTTAATATGTTCCGAAGAGTTTCTCTGCTATACGGCCAGCGTTGAAGACGTCTCAGTTCTTCATCGCCCGTGTTGCATCCTACAAGTCGGGCAGCACTGCTTAGTCACCCAATTAGTCATCATGCGATTGGAAGCGGGGCGCCTGCCGAAACCAGTAATGTGGACCTACGACATCCCGCCAGCTTGCAACAGCTCCTGAATCGTTTACCACTTCCATCGATCTCGATTGGAAAGCGCCGACACAATCGTAGTCGCGTGGTGGACCGTCTCAATCGGCCGCTGGTTTTTCCGTCGCCAGTTTTTTGTTTCCGGTCTCCCTTGGCCGCGCACCTGCCGGGCTCTCCTTTCTTTCCACTTCTAAGCTTGATCTGGCCTTTCTCACCCAGGTGTAATGCTTCTCGCGAATCTCGGACTCTCCAACACTCTGTCACCATGGATATTCTTCGGGTAATGCGCTACCCCATGAGATTGCACGGCCACTGCTTGCTCACTCTGTTGCTTTTGCCTATTGCTGACCGTCTCTGCAGTGCCTCGCCCGGTTCCTCGACCGGCCCAGCTTCCCATGGAAGCGACTCATCATGGGCTTCTCGGTCGGTCAATATCTCTTCGAAGGCTTCCTTTCCTTCCGCCAGTACCAGTACCTCAAGGCGCCCGCAGCTCCCAAAGTGCTCCAACACGAGGTCTCGCAGGAGGTGTTTGACAAAAGCCAGGCGTACGGCCGGGCCAAGGCTAAGTTTGGCTTCTACGACGGCATCTGGAACCAGATGCAAAACCTGGCTTTTTTCCAGTTTGATCTCCTGCCGAAGCTCTGGTCCTGGTCTGGCAAGCTGCTGCTGCGCTGGGCGCCAGTGGCTTTCAGCGGCGAGATATCGCACTCCATCGTCTTTGTTCTCTCGACCATTCTGCTCAACCAAATCCTGTCGCTGCCCAGCTCCGTCTACCACACCTTTGTGCTCGAAGCCAAGTTTGGCTTCAACAAGCAGACGCCCCAGCTCTTCATCACAGACCTAATCAAGACACAGCTGCTCACCTTCACCATGGTGCCGCCCATTCTGGCTGCCTTCACGGCCATCGTTCGGCGCTCGGGCGACGGATTCTTCTACTACCTCTGGCTCTTCGGTGCCGGCCTGCAGGTGTTCATGATTACCATCTACCCCATCGTCATCCTGCCGCTGTTCAATAAGCTGTCGCCGCTGGAGGAGGGCCAGCTCAAGACCGATGTCGAGGACCTGGCCAAGAAGCTGACGTTCCCCCTGCACGAGCTCTATGTCATCGACGGCAGCCGCCGCAGCGCCCACAGCAACGCCTACTTTTTCGGCCTTCCCTGGAAGAAGCACATTGTCATCTACGACACGCTGATCGCGAAGAGCGAGACTCAGGAGGTCGTCGCCGTGCTGGCCCACGAGCTGGGCCATTGGAGCCTCGGCCACACCACCCGACTGTTTGCAATTTCCCAGGTAAGAGGCCAAGGCTTCTAACCAGATGTAACAAAACTAACGCTGCCAGGCTCACTTCTTCTACATCTTTGCCCTCTTTTCCGTCTTCATCAACAACAAGAGCCTGTACGCCGACTTTGGCTTTTTTAACGAGCGGCCCATGATCATCGGCTTCCTGCTGTTCTCGGACGCGCTGGCACCTATGGACATGGTTATCAAGCTACTGATGAACGTCCTGAGCCGGCGCTACGAGTTCCAGGCAGACGCGTTCGCGCGGGGTCTGGGCTATTCGGAAGACCTGGCACGCTCGCTGATCAAGCTGCAGATCCAGAACCTAAGCACCATGGATGCCGACTGGATGTACGCCAACTACCACTTTTCGCACCCCATCCTGACAGAGCGGCTCAAGGCAATTGACTGGCATCCGACGGGGAAAATCGTGAGCGAGGAGGCGACCAAGGAGGCGACCAAGGAGGACGCTTCGACGGCAAAGGCAACAGGCCGCGATGAGCTGTAAGGGAGATCGGTATATCATGAAGAGTGGCAGCCTTGATGGCTGCTTGACATATCTTACTATATCGTAATGCATGCCACACGTAAATAACGGTAGGAGACGCCTGTAATTTTCAGTTGCAGCTCACTGTAAAGCCCAGAGCTTAGGTGGTGTTTGTGCCACCGGGAATTCGACTCCCCACTTTTCACACACCAATCAGACGAGCCGAATCGACAGCTCGGAAACGTTGCGGAATGGAAAAAAACTCTCGATCAGTCAATCGAGACGAGCGAGGAGACGGCACAGCACGCGACCGTGGCCGACCATTGTTCTTGACTCACAAGTGCGCTTACGAAAGGGCCTTCTCCTGAGAACGTACAATATAGGGTCGGAGCCCAATTTGCCGTCATGAACGTCTCGCTTGCGCGGCCAACCGTCTTTGGCGCGACCATGCGCTTGACAGCCTCGATGGCCAACCCCTTCCTCTCGTCCTCCTCTCCCACAGCCGGCATTCTCGCCCAGAGACTACCGCTGGCAGGTGCTTCCAGAAGCGCAGCGCAGAGCCAGATGCGGTAGGTCTTCTGTCTGCCGTCTCTCGCCGTCCGGTATTATCTGCCACTACTCCTTGCTGATGCTGTCACTCTTCTTCAAAGGTCCTTTTCCGTGCTGCCACAGTTGCGGCCTACAATGATGTCTGGCTATGCTGTCTTCCGGCTGGCATCAGCACCGTCTGCCCTCACGCCATTTTCCCCCTCCGCCTCTTCCTCCGTCTCGGCCACCCTCGACCTCGTCGCCCCCACCTCCATCTCCCGGCACCCAGCACTCGCCGGCTTTGGCAGCCAGCTCCGTTGTGGTCCGCGCGCAACAATGGAGCGGACCAGCCGGCTGATCCAGAAGCGGCGTCATGGCTTCTTGAGCCGCATCCGCACCAAGAACGGCCGCAAGACGCTGCAGCGTCGGCGAGCCAAGGGCCGCAAGCGGCTGTCCTACTGAAGAAGTCTGGGACATGTGTACGATTGGCTCTATACAAAATTATATATACACTCAAGATTACTGCCCTATGGCACACTTCACATTACGGATATACATGCAACTCAATTTCCTGTGTGCCCAATTCTATGGCCCGCTCAACCCGCTCACGCACTCGAGCGTGTCGGTGTAGCAGGCCGTGTACAGCTTGTCGCTGGCCTCGCCCAGCCAGATGGTGTAGCGCGCGGGACTGCTGCCGCTGTTGGGCAGGCCGGCCAGGACCCAATTCTGCTGGGTGACATCCCACACGCTAAGGTCCTTGCGCGTGAGCTGCAGCTCCAGCGTTGACGAGGCGCCGGGGGCCAGCGAGGCCGTCTTGGCAAAATCACGCAGCTGGACGACGGGGGTGTCGTAGACGCTGTTGGCGGGAAACTGGATGTAGGCCTGGACGACAGCACGGCCAGACAGCGCTGAGGAGACGTTGTCGTTGGTGACCTTGACTGAGAGCGAGAAGGCGACGTCAAACAGGGCCGGGTTGCCTCCCTGGGCACCTCCTGAAGCCGGGCCGGCCGTCTGGTTGTTGGAGTAGCCAGCCGGGTAGGGGTAGATGGCCGAGGCCGTTCCAGCGGCAGCCTTGACGCCGACAGCAGCGGCGGCGGTAGCTTCGGACGAGTTCAGCCACGGGTATAGGTAGCGCCAGATGGTTGAGAAGCCCGACGGCGTGACGGCCTCGGAAGCGGCAGGGATGGAGGTGCTATAAGAGGGCGTGGTGCCTTTGGCCGGCCGAGAGGCGGGCAGCACGGTAGTCAGGGCAGTGCCGACGGCGATGCTGGCAGCCGACAGAGTGAAGTTGGCATAGCTGAGGCCGTGGCCGAAGGCGTAGCGAGCGGAGATGTTGTTCTTCTGGAGGTAGCGGTAGTCGATGTAGAGACCCTCGGAGAAGGTGTCCTGAGGCTGGCCAAGGGCGAAGCCAGTGAGCTTAGTCAGGCTGGACGGGTAGTCGTCCTCGGCGTAAGTGATGGAGTAGGGCAGGTGGCCACTGGGCGAGACGACGCCGTAGAGGATGTCGGCGAGCGAGGCACCGGCTTCCTGGCCGGGCAGATGGGCGAAGAGCACCGACTTGACGGCGGGCAGGTCGATCCAGGGCTCGAGCACGAGCGGGCCGACAGTGTGGGCGACGACGACGACGTGGCTGTAGACGGCAGCGACGGCCTTGACGAGGGCATCGCCATTGTGCCAGGCAGCCAGGCCAGAGCTGTCGCGATCGCCATGGTTGCCCTCGACCGTGTAGGAGTTCTCGCCGGCGTCGGAGCTGAGGAAGACGACAGCGACGTCGTTGGGGCCAGGGTTCTTGGCGGCCGACGGGAAGCTGTCGGTGTTGTAAAAGGTCACGTTGGCGGCGGTGCGGTTGCGCAGGGCCGTGATGGGATCGTCAAAGTAGGGGTAGTTGACCGTTCCAGAGCCCCAGCCCATGCCGAGTGTGCCGGTGTTGCAGTCGCGGTCGGTGCAGGCGTTGGCGCCGGCAGAGTTGACAGCAGCGTCGGTGCCGAAGACGGCCAACGGCCGCGACAGTGCCAGCGGCAGCAGACCGCCATCGTTCTTGAGCATCGTGATGGCATCCGTGGCCACCTGGCGGGCCACAGTGGCGTGGTCAGCCTGCACGTCGACGTACTGGTTGACGATGCCGCTGGGCGAGAAGACCGAGCCCGGGTACAGCAGGCCGGTGGCGTCGGCCGTGTTGGAGGAGAAGTTGGGTTCCGGAAAGCTGTCGTCCTGGCCCATCTGGTACCAGGTGGCAACGATGCGCGTGGCCATGTCGTTGATACGGTCCATGGGCAAGGAGCCGTTGAGGGCGGCGCGCGACATCTCGTACATCCAGTAGCTGGTACCCAGCAGCGGGATCATGGTGTCGCCGGGCATGGCCATGTCGAGGCCGGCCAAAGCGGACGGCACGCCGGATACCTGAGCAAGCCTGAGAGGTGTGAGAAATTGGCCATGTTTGAGATGAGGTGGATGAGAGGATGGGATATGGCGAGCAACAATAGGGAAGGAACGAAGCTTGGAACGGGAAGGAACGTACCAGTCGGACATGACAAATCCTTGGAAGCCCAATTCGTCCTTCAGCAGGCCGTTGATCAGGTAGCTGTTCTGCGAGCAGGCAGATCCGTTGACATGATTGTACGCAGCCATGATGGAGCCGACGCCAGAGCGGACGGTCTCGGCAAACGGCCAGAGGTAGAGTTCATGCAACGTGCGGTCGTCTGATTTTGGTAAGAATAAGACCAAGAGAAAGAGGCCAAAAACAGAACAAAGCAAAAACACAAAACACAACAAAACTTACCAATGTTGGCGCTGTAGCCCGGCATGACGACATTGTCCATGCGGTACATCTCCTGCTCATAGCCGATGAGATGCTTGGCCGTGGCGATGACGCCCTGCGACTGCACGCCCTGGACGGTGAGGCCGCCAGCGATGGCCTGGAGCACGGGGTCGGCGCCAAAGGACTCCCAGCTGCGGCCGCCCTTGGGCTTGCGGCCGAGCGGTCCGATGGTCGGGCCCAGATAGACGCCGGCGCCTTTGCCGCGGAACTCCTGGCCGAGGGCGCGACCGCGGGCAAGCATCAGGTCCTTGTCCCAGGTGGCGGCCGTCGTGATGCCGGCCGGAAAGGCGGTGACATTGTCGGTGCTGCGCACACCGAGAGCGCTGTCCTGCAGACAGATCTGCGGGAAGCCGAGCCGCGGAGCGCTGCCGGTGTTGCCGACGCAGGGCCCCATGTAGAAGCCCGAGCCAGACGTGATGTTGGCCTTCTCGGCCAGCGTCATCTGTGCCACCAGCGCTTGTGCTTTGGCGTAGCTGGCCGTCCAGTCTGCGTCGGCTGTCCAGCCGCCATGCGGCGCCGGATAGTACGGAGCCGCCACAAAGCCCGCCGGCACTGCGTCCCGTTTTCCGTGAAGCGCCGCGGCCGTGACCGTTGCCGGTGCCCAGGCCGCAACGGCCGCCACGAGCAGGCTGCTGCTGGCGTGCATTGTCGGGGAAGAAAGCGAGGGAGAGCGAGAGCGAGAGCGAGAGGGAGATGTTGGAGGAGTTGCTGCTGGTCCCGTTGAAGACCGATTGGCTGTCGGAATGCTACAAGCTGTCAGCGACGAAACGCTGGACTGGATCACATTCGAGGCAGCGAAGCTGGCAAGACAGACTCATATACTCCGTACTATGTACGATCTAGCAATTTTTACACCGGCTGGTCGTCTAGACCTTGGCTAAGCATACATTCAAGGCGGCATGGCGATGGTCTCTCCGGACGGTAGCATCAGGGCCAGAGTGGAGATGGAGGGTTCCCGATATGCAAGACACAGCCAGGAAATAATCAAACAGAATGAGCAGCAATGCATGCAAGTCGCAAAAGGGGTGGGAGGGTGGATGCGCCACGCACAAATAGCGCTGCATCCTTGTCTTGACGAGGACGGAAGGTTGCATTGACCATCCTGATATAGGCGACATGGGTGGACAATCGGCCGAATCTCAGGAGAAAGAAGGTGGAGGTAGGACGAAGATGAGTACGATACGGAGTACTATGTATCTAGAATACTCCATAGATAGTCAGGGGATTTACGGAGCATTGGGTGTTGGTTCTTTGTCGTGCTCGCGATGAGTTTGTTACGGTTGTAGGGTAGTACATAGTATGTCGCAAGATCTCGACCACCGATGTTCGACTCGTGGAATGTACGCGCATCTTATCGGTAATTAAGGTGGACGGGATATTATGGTATACGGAGTAGTAGCAGCCTCTTTAGGCAGCTTCTTTCGAAAAAGCGCTAACAATTAGCGCGAACTAGCCCTGTCCGGGGTAACATTCTGCAGCCTGAAGTAGCAGTTCTCATCTTATTGCCCATTTAAGCTTGCAATATTGATGTCGATCGGCAGTCTGAGAGTTCCTCGTGAACTTACTCCACAGACACATGCGCTATCGACGTAGCTATACGAAGTATGGAATACTCCGTACCATCATGCATTAGGCGTAAATCCAACGACGTCCGCGCCGTCTTCAAGCCAAAGCACCACGGCTATTCTGACCGTCCAATCTTGACCCGCGTGACCTCCAGCGTGTCCGTGTCCACTAGCGCAATCTCAGGCGACTCGCTAAAGGACGGCACAGCCACGAGCCGCACCTCCTGGCCATCAGGACCTGAGATCAGCCGCGTACCAAACTCGGGCTGCGAGCCCGCAAAGTACACGTGTGGGCAGGCGTCCATGACAAACGGATCGTCCTCCTGGAACGGATAGCTCCCTGGGCGCGTTAGCAGAAGAGCAGTCAGAAACGGACAGGAGAGAAGAACAGCGACAACTCACACAACGTGTCTGGAGCTGTCGGTGCACAGCAGCGCCACCGGCACGTGGCCTCCATCATGCCCAGCCGGTCGCTGCTCTGCACGTATCGCTGCATGTCGTCCAGGGTCTGGCCGCTGGTCCCGAGGATGCGCCAGCCGGCCACCTCGCCCTCCCACGGGTTCGTCACCGCATCCAGCGAGCCCGGTTCGGCCGCCGTCTCGTTGGCGGTCGAAAAGGCACGCGCCTGCGGAAACATGGCCGCGTGCACGGGCTGCTGCGGGATGCTCGCGTTGGACGGGTCGTCGGGACCGGGCATCAGTGTTACCGGCATCGATGGCAGCAGCTGGGCCAGAAACTCGTCCAACATCGCGCTCGGCACTGGGTCGTAGGTGCTGCTGTCGTAGCCGTACTTTTTCGTCGGCTGCCGCTCGCCGGCCGCTGCTGCCACTGGCGCCGCCACGATCGAGTTGCCCGCCACGATCAACCGGCTAATGCGTGCAGCCGCACGCTGTGATGCTGGTGACAACGCCTCGCCTAGGAGATACTCTAGCAGCAGGGCTGTCTCGACCGCAGCTGCACCATGGGGTCCCGAAAAACGCAGGCCCGACACGATGGCAATCTTGTTGCCGCTGCTGCTGCTGCTGCGCTGTGTCTGCTTGTGGTCTGTGTGTCCGTCGTCGTCCATGTCCAAATCGTCATCATCGTCCTCCTCCTCGACCTTGACTCGCTTTGTAGGCGGCTGCTTCTCGGCTTCGTCGCCCGTCGGTGGTCCCGAGAGCTCCCAGCGGGCCGGCTGGGGCGGCAGGTCGGGAAACACAATGTCCAGCACCTCCAGCTCGCCGTTCTCGTTCTCCGTGCCCATGACAGCAGCGATACAGCCCGTGACCAGCAGCACGGAACGCAACGCCTTGCCCACCAGCCGGATGCGGCCCGACTCGTCCTCCAGCATGACGGAGACGCTGCCACGGCCCTCGGCCAGCAGGTCATCGTCACCGTCCTCGGGTATATACTTTTTGACATCGGGTGGGAGTGATAGAAGCCTCTGGGCCGTCAGATGTGAGCAAGGAGAGAGAAAAGAATACAGGAAAAATATAAAAACTCACGTCCTTCGACACATCATCTAAAATGCTAGGCTTGAACGGCATGTCCATGTAGACCGTCCCGGCAACCCAGCAGAACTCGCCCTGGCGCACATCAAGCACGCGGTCGACCTGCTTTGGCGGCTCGCCGGCCACGATGACATCGCCAAAAGCCTCGACCGCCACCTTCTCGACCGCCGGCTTGATCTTGGCCAGCCGCAGAAAGTACATGTCGCCAAACTGCTGCTGGTACGGGCGGTCGGACGCGAGGCGGAACCGTTGTAGCGACCGGTAGGCCGACTGGGAGCGATCGGGCAGATCATTGCTGTCGTCGCTGTGTGTTGTGTTAGAACAGAAAAGAACAGAAACTCAGCTGTACGTACAACGGCTTCGACAGCAGGCGGTTGGCTTCTTCCAGGGTGACCATCTCGCATCGCACTGCTCGGAATTGGCATAGGCGCAGACGAAATCAAGAAGAAGCACCACATGGCAGTGCGCGTTAGAGGGGAAACGCGCCCTGCCAGCGCGCTCGACTGGATTTCCTACTGGGCGAGCTGTGATTCGCCAGCTGACAAGTGGGGCAAGGCTGGTCCGTCCTGATGCAAGGCTGAAGACTAAGCGGCTGATAAGATAACAATTTTTTTATTCTGCCATTTTTTTTACAAGAAAAACGAAGAGCCCAGACGCAAAAAAACGCTGTTTCAGTTGGAACAGCAGAGACGAGATCCGACCGCCACGACAGCGCACCGACACCCGCTCCCACACTCTGCACGAACATTCGAGCCAATGGCCGCCTCGCTGGACCAGGCGCCCGAGATGGCGCAGGTCAAGGTGGTGTTTACGACGACGGACGAGAACATTCAGCTTCCAGAATCCAAGCGCCAGCTAATCGTGCCAGCAGGTGAGTTTCTTCTGCGCATATCCATTCTGTCCATGGCCGCCGTCTCGGCCCGGCTGTCCTGCGTCTTCTAATATCCTTGTTCCCTCTCCGACTTCAGACATCCGCCGCTATGGTCTCTCCCGCATCCTCAACTCCGAGTCTATGCTCGCGACCGAGCGTCCGATCCCGCTCGACTTCCTCGTTGACGGTGCCTTTTTGCGCTCGACCCTGGCCGACTATCTGCGCGACAGCGGTCTCTCGGGCGAAACCACGGTGACCCTGCAGTATGTGCGCAGCCTAATCCCGCCGGCCTTTGAGGCCAGCTTCCAACACGACGACTGGGTCAGTGCGGTCGACGTGGCTCCCGGTCGCTTGCTCTCGGGCTCCTACGACGGTCTGCTGCGCCTCTGGAACACCTCGGGCCACGTCACCGCCGTCTCGCCCGATGCAGCCCACGGCGGCCACACAGCCGGCATCAAGGCTGCTCGCTTTGTCACGTCCTCTCAGATCGCCTCCGCCGGCATCGACCGCACCGTCCGGATATGGAAGGCTCCCGTGCTCGAGAACGATGCCGTGGATGCGATGGACACCGATACCGAGACCATCCAGCTGCTGCGGCCCACCCTGGAGCTGTATGGCCATAAGGCTAGCGTCGATGCCGTGGCCACCGACAGCACCGCCCGCCGCGTCCTTACCGCCTCGGCCGATGGCCAGATCGGCGTCTGGACCACCAGCAAGGCCTCGGCTCCGGCTGCCCCCGAGTCTCTCTTGCCCGGGGCAGCTGCTGCTGCTGCCAAGCGCCGCAAAGTTGCCTCCTCGGCTCCCGACGTCCCGCGCCGTGGTCCCCTCGCTCTCATCGCCGCCCACAAGGGCCAGCCAGCCACTGCTGTCGCGTTTGACCCGCGCGATCGCACCGTCGCCTACTCGGCCGGCCAGGACGGCGCTGTCGCCACGCTCGATCTCACCACCGGCCAAGTTGTCGCCACCGTCGCCACGTCTCACGCCTTGCTCTCTCTCTGCGCCGTCGGCAGCTCTTCTGCCAGCGGCATCGCCACCACCACCTCCAGCTCATCTCCCCTGCTCGCCGTCGGCAATGCTGCCCGCAATATCGTCCTCGTCGATCCCCGCGAGTCCGTCGCCACGACTGCCGTCATGACCCTCCGCGGTCACGTCAACAAGGTCGTCGCTCTCGCTGCTGCTCCCGACAACAGCTACTCTCTTGTCTCCGCTTCGCACGACGGCACTTGCCGCATCTGGGACCTTCGCAGCAGTCGCCGCGGCCTCCAGGACGGCGACGACGACAGCCAGCAGCCTGGCCTCGGCGCTGGACCTGCTGTCAGCGAGGCCGTCTACGTCATCGACCGTGAGGGCCGCGAGGGCAAGGCCCGTCCGCTCGCCGGCGAGGGCGTCAAAGTCTTCGATCTCGTCTGGGACAAGACCTGGGGCATCGTCAGCGGCGGCGAGGACAAGCGCGTGCAGATCAACCGTGGCCGCGACATCGTCGCCCAGGAGGCATAGTGCACGGCTGCAGAGGTTCGAGAAAAAAGACAGGCTGATACTCCGTATTTCTATCGGTATGAAAAGTGGGACAGGGATTTGTCATATATCATAGAGCTCGTTTTCCAAATTGGTTGTTTCTACAGATTCCGGCAAGATGGCTTTAGATGTTGAAAAGCTCGTAGGCTTGTTGAACCAGGTCGAAACCCAGGGCAGTGCATACTTTCTGATCGCCGTTAGACCCCGGATGTCTGGTCGGTGGCTCTTGCAGCAGCAGCAATCGTAGCAGTAGAAGCCGAGAGCGAAGTCGTCGTGCCGCTGCTGACATCAGCACTCTTTCCCTTGCCGTGGAAATAGCCAAAACCACACGTCTTGGCCAGCTGGCGGTACCGCAGCATCACCACGCCGACCGGCAGCTGCCCCAGCAGCTCCTCCCGCAGCCGCGCCCGGTCGTACGGCAGGTCCTCATGCCGCACCGCATCCAGGATATAACTCACCACCGTCGCCGTCAGCAGCGGAGGCTCACGCAGGAGACTGGCCACGGCCACCGGGTCGAGCGTCTCGTCTCTATGCCAAAGGTGGTATGCGCGCAGCGACGACGGCCGCGTCCGCAACTTCGCGTCCTCCTCTGCACGCGATCGATACTGCGCCAGCCACTCGTCTGCCGCATCGATCCGGGCGTCTCTTGGTCGTGACGTTTTCGGTGCAGGGGTCCGACGCTGTTTCCTCGGTGTCGACGTCGGCGTCGACAAAGCCGTCTTTGCTCGCCGCGGCGTAGCAGCACTGGACTGCCGCTGCACAATTGCATCGACACCATCTTCCCTGCCGCCTGGCCGGATGGAAGTCACCCCATCGGCCAGTCGGATCGGCAGGTCCAGCTCAGCAAAGGCTGGTCGCGGTGGTGTCGGCCGCAGCTTCAGCCGCTCCCTCTCAAGCACCGAGAAAATCTGCACGGCCGCATACGCGTCCGAAGCCGAATCTGTGCCTCTTGTCAGCCAGAAAACACATCGACTCCACCTCGGCCAGATCTCCTACCACTCACAGATTATCTGCTCCGTGTTCAGCGGCTTGGACCAGTCACCCGATCGCACATCCGCGCCCTTGAACATGGGTAGTCGCAGATGCTCCTGTACCTGCACTGCCAGCGGCACCAGCCTCCTGTTGACCAGCTGCACGTCACCCGTTCGCGAGTACCGCACCAGCTTGTGCAAGTGGCTCAGCTCAATCATCCCGCGCGTGTCAATATTCAGGTGGTTGCGCAATCGCGTCGCATCGCCCTTGATGCACACGCCCGTCTTGATCGTCTTCGCGTCCTCGAGGATCCGCCGCAGCGTCGGCGCCACCAGGCTGTTTATGTCGTTATCCAGAAATTCGCCCCCCCTCTCACGCACCGGGTACAGCGATAGGTGGAACAGTCCGATCCGGCTGGGGCTGGCCAGCTGCACCAGGCACACGTTCCGTCGTGGGCCATGCCACCGCATCGCGTTCATCATCCACTCCAGGTCGAAGCCCAGCAGAGGTTCACCCTCAAAGTACTCCCGGCACACCCGCTCCGTCGTGTGTAGGCTCTTGCAGTAGTGCACCTTGACCGGCAGTCCGCTCTCTATGTGCCGATACATTGCATACGACCAGAACGACTCCGTGCTGTCCGGCTCTGCCTCCTTGGCCGCTCGGAACACCTCCAGCGGCATCTTGTACGCGAGCGTCGTCACCGGCGGCCGTGCTGCGTCGTCGTCGCTGCCCTCCTCATGTTCCTCCGCAGCTTTCTTTCCTGCTCTGTTTCGCTCCACTTTTGGCACTTCGCCCATGTTTGTCTTCGCTGCATCGTCGGTACTGCTCTGAGCAGTCTCCGTTGCGGTCTCGAGGTGGTCTTCCATTTGCACGTATCTCGCAGCTTCTCTGTGGAAGAACCTTTCCGTCGTACGCCCAGAATGGACAGACGTACAGAGTTTCGGTCTTGCAGGCGAACTAAACGGTGGGCTCACTCTGTGGCCGACGGCTCCAGCTTCGATTTCGAGCCCGGTTTCTGTGGCAGAGCTAAACAAAATGCCCGTATCTGGATTCCATACTCGCATCTTCGCGGCTATCGTTGACGAGGCGTGTTCAAATACCAGTGACGGCTTAGCCACCAGCGACGGTTGGGCCAGCCGTTTTGTGGCCATTCTTCCAGAGCAGTAACGTTGTGGAAAACCGCGGCATCCGGATGGCCTATCTTGACTGTCAGCCACCTTCTGCGGGAGGACAGCATGCTTCCGGAAAAACTGAAGCAAAAAGACGTACCAGATAGACAATTGACCGCTCCGAGTGCAGCCTGCCATAGAATGCACAGATGGTTGACAAACGACGACGCGCGCAGGCATGAGGGAAGCAGCACTGTTGTAGGCTATGGATTTTGCGGTGGTAATATGTCAAAAGACCGCTCCATACTTTCCCATATATAAGTATCGCTTGCAAGGGAAACAAGGGAAGCAAAGGCTTCACATCGTAGCCTTAGAAAGACGATTGTATGCCTATTTCAGGGGTCTGTTATTGCGCAGCGCGAGTGGAGAAATTGATCTTCAGCTGCTGAGTGAATATATCCGAATATGCACTTAAGCAGACCCAGCCCTTGGCTTTCGAGTAGTACCGTTCGATCATGTTGAAAGTAGAAAAGCCCGTTCCATCAAATTATTATGAATATGTATGCTAAGGGATTTCTGTGTTTATCTTCTGTGTTTGCTGATCCATCATGTTGCTCAGCTCGTTCTTCACCGGTCCACCACACATGGGCTCAAGGCGTTGTCGTTGTACGGAGTAGCGGGGGAACAGATGTGGGCCCGCTTTTTTTAGGCTGTAGAGGAAGGTTGAAATTCACGAGGAAGAATGAGCTGGAACATATCTTGCTGTTTGAGAAGACCTTCGCCCTCGAGCAGCGCACATCTATACACGTGAGGTGCTCTATATGCGCGCTTGATCTATACAACTGTCGCCCCCCACTTCAGTCTTTTCGCGCATACTTGTCTCAAAACGCCCACAACGCCGAATATGGCCTCACAACTCCTTCCCCTCGGTATGTGAGATCGCAAGGAGAACAACGGGAGACAAATATCGGGGAAAGGACCGTGCACTTGCTGACGTTTTATTCTCAGAGCTTATCGACAAATGTGTCGGGTCCAGGATATGGGTCATCATGAAGGGCGAGCGAGGTAAGCTGGGAAAGAGATGGGGCGGATAAGATTCGCGATGTTCGCCTCTTCCGTTCACCAAACTGATTGTCGGCTTCCCTCGGTCTAGAGTTCAGCGGTACTCTGGTAGGCTTTGACGACTACGTCAGTAAGTATCTTTCCGAATCATCTTCCATGCCAAATGATGTTCTCAAGCTAACAGCCTACAGACATGGTGCTGGAAGAAGTGACCGAGTTGTATGTTGTACTGCGATACTGCCTGCGTCATGTTCTGCTGCTGACCCGTGATATTGTAGTGACTACTCTGGTGGCCAAACCAAGATGTCCAAGATCTTGCTCAACGGCAACAACATATGCATGGTACGTACGCGACCCGCAAAGACAAGAGACGTCTGGCTAACTAGATCGCAGCTTATTCCAGGCGGAGAGGGACCAGTATGACATTCGATGCAGGATGGTGATGACAGGCAATGGACGTGAAAATCGGATCGGGGCTCTGAAACATGAGTCGGAGCAGGAACGCTCAGAGGAGGACAAATGGGACAGGAGTTTCCGTGATTGTATTTGTCTTTTCTTATGTATTTGGTTCAACACGAAACAGATATCAAGTAGCCGATTTCCCACAACGCCCTCCAGTACTGTAGCAACGTCCTTTTTAGGTTCCCAAAGGACTTTTCTCAATTTTTAATCTTCCCATTCGTGATCCCGAAACGCCATACGCAGACACCTGCTTACAACCAGCAGCAAAGAATCGAAAGACATGCTAGAAACCGCCCTGCTGCTGTTGCTGCTGCTCGCCAGCCGTCGCCATACGCCGCAACTCATACTCGCGCGTAAACTCCCGACTCAAATGTCCCAGCGTTGCCACCAGCTGTTTGCACACCTCCACCAACACTTCCTTGGGTGTCACCGTACCGTCCGTCTGGACACGGAGCAGAACCTCGGCCACATTAGGGTGGGCCACTGTGACGGCAGGTGTCAGCCGGGGTGGCAAAGAGATAAACGTCTGCAACAGGTCAGGGCAAATACCTACCCTTGTATCCAGCCATCAGAATCTTGGGATGCATCTTCAAGTGCTCGGCCAGGAGGTTTCCCAATGTATGGTCCTCTTTCAACATTAGGAAATCCGATGTGTTGGCCATTCCTACGGTCGGTGGTCAGTCCTGAATGTACCCCGTGCCCATACGCTTCTGGCTTGGACAGGAAGCTGTGGCCTTACCGGTGAACGGCGTCTCGGTGATCTTCTTCTCGCCATCACCGAGAATGAACAGCTCGAATCTACGGGGTAGATTTGAACCTTTGTCAGCAACGCAAGAAAAACCAACCACAATAGGGCACTGTTTCCTCCCGCCAGAGCCGCCCAACCTCTGCTGCACGTTCTTATGGCGGTTGTTCGCCATGCTTCTTTTCTCTCTTTTGGGAAGGGGATCATATACTGTCGTCAAGTAGGAATGATGCAGATGGGACATAGCCATTGCCTTCGGCCAAAAAGATGGCGGAACGCGACGAGACACACGCGAATGGGGATGCGCGTGTTTGGCAGGCTTGTAGAGGAAGGAGCGTACTGCGCGCCTTCCCTCGACACACCCATCGCGTCTTTCCAGTTTGTCCGCAGAGGCGCCGTCACCAGCCGGCGTCACTTGACCGGCTGCCTGCATCACTGCGATCGGGCCGAGTTCACAAAAGCAGGCCGCCATGACGGCAACGCTGTCATCTTCAATTCTGGCGCTCTCAGTGCTTCAGAGGCAGGGTGGCAAACCACTTCAGTCCAGCCTCACTCACCTGTCCGGGGCGTTCATGATTTCGCTGTCTTTCTGGTGATGCCACTCTACGGTCTATTAGGAGAGGAGAGGGAGGTGCACGTCGAAGGCGAGTAGAAGGATGGCGAGAGCTGTTCTGAGCGCGAAGAGAGCGATAAAGGGGATCCAAAAGAATTGAAGTGAGAAATGCGGTGGCTGCATTCAGAGGTCCCCGCTTTTATTTTGGCTCTCGCGTCGTGGTTAACTTACTGTATTGATGTGCCATCAAACTCCGAAGAATCTCTCTGCTCGTAGTCATCAACGCCAACAGTTTGTGCGCTCGGATACGAAAGCCTATTAAGAATAGCAACGAGATCTATGGAAACAAATGGCTGTCGAGCCTGATGCATTGATTACGACAAGTCGCTGATGCGCGGAAACCCCTCTAGCCAAAATAAAATAAAACCCACAGTCCCAGTTCACACTTCAAGACAGCAAGGTACTCTCATCTCCGTCCAATCTCTGCATTCTCTGAGCAAACTGAAGAACAAATAGAAAATCACACAAAAATGAAGACAATACGGCACAAAATCGAGACTATCCCACAGCCCAAGGGCTAGTTCCTCTTGCTGTCGCAGTAACCTGGCAGAGCCGGTCCCGTTGCCTTGGCCCAGCTCATAATGGTCAGGCTGGTGGTGTAGACCATAGCGACGAGCCCAAAGATGCACAGGGCGATGTCGCTGGCCTTCCACAACCTGCTGCGGGCCACACCCCGGTAGTGAAGCAGGGGCTATGTTGTCAGTACAGGAGAAAGGAATCGGAAATGGGATGGGACTTACCGGGTAGATATAGACCAGCGGGATACAGGCGAAGTTGCCGACGAGGGCGACAAATTTGTCGAGGTTGTCGGCGCCGCCCCAAGCGATGCCGGCGCAGATGGCGACGACCAGGAAGCGGAAGCCGTTCTTCTGCCACTTGATGTAGGGGTTGTACTTGCCGCTGCGCGTAAACAGGCCGTTCTCCGTGATCCGGATGGCGGGGAAGATCTGCAACGGCGTGGACAGCAGAATGGCCAACGAGTAGAGGAACTGCACCCCGTTGACAAGGTGGTTGTCCTGCGGCAGGTTGAGCAGCACGACCGTCTCGGTCTTGGAGCCGTAGGCGGCGTAGGACACGGCGCCCATGACGACAAAGATGGTGGTGATGATGACCATGACGGCCAAGAGCACACGCGGGAACTTTTCCGGGTGGCGCATGGACTCCTGGATGGGGATGATGAGTCCGATGCCCTCAAAGGTGAAGATGGCAGTCCCGATGAAGAGGGTCCAGTCGACAGGGTTGAAGAGGGTGATGTCGGCAAGGCCGAAACGCTCGAGCGTGAGGATATCATAATAAAAGAGGTAGGCGAGGCCGATGACGATAAAGGCGTCGGCCACGAGGGCGGTGAAGCCGAGCTTGCTGATGTCGCGCAGCAGCGAGAAAGGCCAGAAGATGACCATCTGCATGAGAATGAGATACTTAATGGGGATCAAGGTCTCGCACTTGGTGACGGCCAGGATGACAGCCTGCAAATTCTCGGACGTGAAGACGATGTAGGCGGCCACGAAGCCGATCTGGCTGAAGACGATGGAGCCGAGGATCATGTAGCGCAGCCAGCGGCCGTAGAGGATGCCGCCAATGTCGCCAAAGGAGCCAGACACGCGCAGCCGCGTGGTGACCAGCAGCACGAAGCAGTAGTAGCTCAGCGCGGCCACGAACAGCAGCACCAGGTTGCTGAACAGCATGCCGCCGTTGAGGTAGGCCCGCGGTAAGAAAAGCACGCCCGTGCCGACAAACGACTTGAGCAGCACGGCCGCCGCGTTCATCGGACTGGCGTTGCCACTACCGCCCCTCGTCTTGCGTCGACGGCGACGCCGCGACGGCGTGAGCACCGTGCTGTCCTCGAGCAGCTCGTCGTCGCTGCCCGCGTCACTGCCGCTGCTACTACCCATGTCACTGTCCCAGGCCGGCCCGCCATCCTCGCCAGAGGAGCCGTCTTCGCCAGAGGAAAAGTATTCGCCCGGCTTGAGCACCTCGTCGTCCTCCTCCAACTCCTCGCCGGCAAAGTGACCGTACACCGAAAGGAACTCGAGGAAGCTCGCGGTGAAGAGCCGGCCCTTGTGTGCTGCGCCGCCATGGTGGCGATGGCGGTGCGCGTCCGTCGCGCCGTAGCCACCCTCGCCCTCCTCCATCGCCCCGTCGCCGCTCGCCCCGTTGGTCCGCCGCAGATAGTTGCGTCGGAAGCCACCTGGCACCTTAATCGTGTTGATGTCCAACACCTCGCTCTCCGGCTCCGGTCGCGGCATGCTGAAGCTCTGGCTGCGGTTCACCCGGCTCGTCGCCTCCTCCGTCCAGCGGTAGATTGGCCGCGTGATGTCGCCACCCTGCAGCTGCAGACTTGAGAACTCTTCGTCGTCGATGGCAGACGCCCCGACGCCGGTGAGGTCACCGTCGGTGCCGTACTCTGCCATCCCTGCTGCCACTGCGGCATCTTCAGCCCCTGCTGCCTGTTTTCCCTTGCCCTCGCTCGGCCTGTCTGACATGCTGGCCGCGTCCGACCGCAGGACCAGGTGTCGTCGCACAATCTCCGGATCCTCATAAGCACCTGCTGTCGTGGCATAACGAGGTCTCGACTCGAAGGAACCGTAGTTCGTCGGCGTCAGCCCGGCACCAGAGCCCAGACCGATAGTGCCGGTGAGCGGTGTGCTGCTGAGTGCTCTCGTCGATGCTGCTGCAGGCGAGGCGGTCCTGACCGGCGGCGTGCCCAATCTCGGGGGGGAGCCACCGCCCGAATTCGCCAGGGCGGCTGCGAGGGCAGACACTCCGGGCCCGACGGCAACGGAGCTGGACGGATTGCCACCCGCAAGTGGCGTCAGTGCCCCGGACGGCGACCACCGGCCAGATCCACGACGGCCATTTGGAGTTGCCAAGGGCGACGAGCCCAGCGGTTGGACCTGCGATGCAAGTCGTGCGGTGGTGTCAGAGCGTGGGACAGATGTGCCGAGCGATCGAGCGCGAAAGGAAGCTGGAGAGGTGGACAGCAGCTGGGCGGCAGCCGCGGCTCGTGGAGAGGGGTTCGAGGCTGGAGAGTTCCGACCGTTTGTAGACATGGTGACTGGGAGGAGGATGGAGAGGATGGAGAGGAAATGTAGATCGTAGTCGCGGTCGACGATTGCTGAGAGATCACCAGACAGTTAACACCGCATATCTCTCCGTTCATATAGGCGGAAGGCGTTTCGGGCGGGCCGGGATGGCGCTGACGAGATCCTCGCTTTTCTCTTTTCGCTCTCGCTTTGCTTTTTCTGTCCCTTATCGCGGCAAGGTCGAGCTGCTGGTGAGAAACCTTAAGGACAAGGTGTCCAATGCAAGTAGATGAGCTTCTGTATCCAAGATGAATTCAATGAGGAAAGGAAAAAGAAAAGAAAGAAAAAAGACAGGCAAAAGACAGAAAGGAAAGCTCTGTTCTGCCAATCGAGTGATGGTCGGATGTAGCAGGTGGACGAAAACAACAAAAGCGTTCTGTTTGGTTAGTGCCGCCTAATCAGCCCCCATGTGCCCAAAGCTATCACGACTGGGCCGCCTAACACAATACGAGCAGGTGACTGGAGCCCATTTTTACAGCGCCTCTGCACCCGTACATATGCAGTCCCCCCGCATTGTCATTGGCCGCGGCCCTGAAAGTGTGGGGGTCTCGGCATAGCCCTAATGGCCTAGAACGGAAAGCAGCGTCGGATATCGTCGTCTGCGAGCACTTGTTCGCGACGTCGTATCTCACAATGTCCATTCCACCACCTTCAGAGTGGGGTGGTAAGTACTTTTTCTATATACAAACGACCACCGACAAGTCCAACTTCATTCTCTGCGCGATTCAGACTCCAATGCTGCCTTCAAGCGATACACACTGGGCGTCGACACCAGGACGCCACGGGAAGGCTGAAACCTCAGCCGCACGCTTTCCTGACGTCCCTGCATCGAATGAAGCCTGTAGCTGAACTTTTGCACGCGCGGGCTACAAGTGAGGCCTTTTAGACTTGCCACAAGCCACGTTTATCGCCCTAGGTCTGTTGGGACGGACTTCAGGCGTGCAAACTCGGGCAAGTAGGTTACACATAACCAATTACCCGTCATTTGCTGCTGCTAGATGCCTCGAAGAATGGGTCGGCGAATTGGAGAAGCCAGGATAGAGGATAGAGGACACAGCAGATGCGAGGCTGACCTAGCTAGAACAGAGTATCGCCCCACTAATATTGAGACCCAACTGGGAGGCGGCGAGACACCCGTTCAGTCGTACCGGTACTGGAGAAGTGAAACCGCCCGTTAAAAGGAGCTACTGCGAAAAGTCTTTCTCTGCCACAGTGCTTATCCCAAAAGTGCACACTACTTGTAACATGTCGACGTAGGCACGATATCTGATCGCTTTCCAGGCCAAGTGGATGCCGGAGAGCAACTCCGATTAACTGCACGCCCAATCTGACTGTAATTTAGACAAGTCGTGCCATTTCGCAATTCTCATCGGTCACGCAGCATTGCCCAGTGAATTCAGATATCAGCAGTGTGGGGGGAGCCAAAAGCATAGATTCGCCTGTTCCCGTGCCACAACCAGTGGGGCAACAAATGACGGTGAGCTTGAGCTGTATCTGGACGTATCTCATAGAGTAGAGATATCTTACAACGGCAGTCGCAGCCCGACGAGATACAGCCCATCGCCCCTTCCGCCAGGGTGCGTCGGCCGTGCTCGTCGTGGAAGCAGGCGCGCACTAAAAGACGCGATAGGATTGGCCGTCTGAAACAACAAAATCGCCATGTCTTGTTGATACTCTCCCTTTGCCCGATCGAAACACTTGGTACGTCTCCACTGCGATAGATGGAGGGTCAAGCCACGGCCGGACGTCTGACAGGTCGTGCGTCATTGGCAAGAAAGAAAAACCTGGCATTCGGACATCTGGAAACCTGGAACGAGAGACAGCTCACTATCGCTTATCCCGTCTAATTGTGACAGCTGCATCTGGTTGGTTGCATTGGCGTGTTGCCAGGTCCCCATAAGTGCCGGCGGCTACTGCGATATGACAGGGGCCAAGAGCGAGCGATAGCAGACGAGATCGAGGACGGACAGTTTTCCGTCAGCTGCAACGACCTCTTCCGACCGTTTTGTTCGGACGTTGCTGGCATTGACAATGGAGCGAGATCGTCTCCTGGTGCGAGAGCGAGAGCGCGACCGTGACCGTGACCATGACCATGGCGCCAGCAAGAAGCACAAGTTGGGTGTCGTCTCGGGCGTTTACGTGCCCGTCTGCCTCAGCATCCTCAGTATCCTCATGTTCCTCCGCTTTGGCCTCATCCTCGGCCAGGTCGGCCTGTTGGGCATGCTCGGACTGCTGGGACTGTCGTACCTCGTCGACTTTATCACCACGCTCTCGCTGTCGGCCGTGGCCTCCAATGGCGAGGTCAAGGGCGGCGGCACCTACTACCTGATCTCGCGCTCGCTCGGACCCGAGTTTGGCGGTTCCATCGGCCTGCTTTTCTACCTCTCGCAGGTGCTGAACACGGCCCTCAATGTTGTCGGTCTGATCGACTGCATCTACCTCAGCTTCGGGCCCAGTCTGCCCCACGGCTACTGGGTCGGCTACCTCTCCCAGACGGCCGTCCTCGTCGGCTGCACGCTGCTGTGCTTCGCCGGCAGCGGCCTCTTTGCCAAGGCCAGCAACGGCCTCCTCGCCATTCTCACTCTCGCTACTCTCAGCATCCCCATCTCGGCTCTCTTCCACGTCCCCTTTGCCGACCCTGTGCGCGGCATCGAGTTTACTGGCCTCCGTCTGGCCACACTGCGGTCCAACCTGCTGCCTCACGCCGGCGACGGCCATTCCTTTGCCGGCCTGACGACTTTCCGCGAATTCTTCGGCATCCTCTTCCCCGCCACCTCCGGCATCTTCGCAGGCGCCTCCATGTCTGGCGACCTGCGCAACCCCAGCAAGTCTATCCCTGTCGGCACGCTCTGGGCCATGCTATCGACCTTTGTCGTCTACCTCCTTGTCATCCTTTCCCTGGCCGCCAGCACCACCCATGACTCCCTCCTCTTCCAGCCCAACATCATCCAGGAGACGAGCATCTGGGCTCCCCTCATCGTCGCCGGCGAGTGTGCCGTCACTTTCTTCTCTGCCCTCATGGGTCTCATCGCCGCCTCCAAGCTGATGCAGGCCCTCGGCCGCGACAAGCTCTTGCCCGGCCTCGCCGTCTTCTCCTGGGGCACCAAGAAGACCGACGAGCCGCTGCTGGCCCTGATGGTCACCTATGCTATCGCCCAGTTTGCGCTCTTTGCCGACCTCAACCAGATCGCCACCTTCATTTCTATGGGCTACATGGTCACCTTCTTCGTCATGAACCTGGCCTGCTTCCTGCTCAAAATCGGCTCCGCCCCCAATTTCCGGCCTGCCTTCAAGTTCTTCAGCTGGCAGACTGCCTTTTTCGGGAGTCTCACGTCGGCCGGTGCCATGTTTTTCATCGACGCCACCTATGCCACGTCTGCCGTTATCCTGCTAGTCGTGCTTTTCCTGCTGATCCATTACCTGAGCCCGCCCAAACGCTGGGGTGACGTGTCGCAGAACCTGATCTACCACCAGGTCCGCAAGTACCTGCTTCGTCTGAGGCCTGAGCATATCAAATTCTGGCGCCCCCAGATAATCCTGCTGATCAACAATCCGCGGCGGCAGACCCGTCTCATCCAGTTTTGCAACTCCATGAAGAAGGGCTCGCTGTACATTCTGGGCCACGCCATTGTGACCGACGACTTTGACACCGGCGTTTATGAGGCGAAGCTCCAGCATGCCATGTGGAACGAGTATATTAGCGAGTACTCGAGGATCAAGGCCTTTGTCCAGCTGACCATGTCGCCGTCTATCACCTGGGGCGTGCGGAACCTGATCCTGTCGAGCGGCCTCGGTGGCATGCGCCCAAACATTGCCGTGTTGGGCTTCTACAATTTGGATGAGCTAAGGGCTACGCAGCCCTTTGTGCCAATGCCCTGGCTTCCCATTCCGTCATTTGGCGCGGCAACGGCCACCCCGAGCCCAGATCCAGAGTCTCGTCCGGCAGCTGGAAATGTTGGCGTGCCACGGCGGCGGCGGCGGGGAGACACTACATCGCGGATCCTCGAGGGAATTCTCCCGACAGACGTAATCAAGACCGAGGGCATGATGAAGGTGACCGAGTACGCGACCATCCTGGAAGACCTGGCCCTTCGCCACCGTATCAATGTGGCCGTAGCCAAGGGCTTCCACACCCTGGAAACACCGCGACCTGACAGCAGCAAGACGAAAAAGTACATTGATCTGTGGCCCATCCAGATGTCAGCAGAGCTGGAAGCCGATGGAAAGAGCGTGTTGACCACAAACTTTGACACATGTAAGTCAGGCATCTGCTAAATACACAGAAACTGTGCCCGGCTGACATGACGACTCGCTAGACACCCTCATTCTGCAGCTGGGCTACATACTTCATTCGGTTCCGGCCTGGAAGCAGGTGTACAACATACGTGTCATGGTGTTTGTCGAGTATGAAAGCGAAGTGGACGAAGAGCGCGGCAGGTTGGAAGCGCTTCTCGAGAAGCTCCGAATCAGCGCCGAAGTTCACGTCTTCTGGCTGGCAAGCGGTGATCTCACGACCTACGAGACCATCATCCATGGCCGCTCCTCCGACCCATCGGCTGAACGGCTCGTGGACGCCGTGCTGAAAGACGATCCGTGGTGGGACGACATGAGACGGACACGTGGCAAGGCTTCTTCCAGCTCCCCTTCGGCGGCAGACGGCACGCCCAGCTGCCGAGACAAAGTCACGCCGCGGATACGAAGGCCCAGCATGGTACATATCGAGGAACTACAGAAGCACAGCACGGTCTCGACGCTGGCTCGGCTGGGTCTCAGCATGGGTTACCGCACGCAAAACCTCGGCAGCAAAATTAGCGCGCGTTCGGAATACGGGGATGTCATCGAGGACAACAGCAGCACCATGGACATGGACCCAGGCAACGATTCTTCGACAGACCAGAGCGACTTGGACCCGGACTTTAACGATTCCGAGAGTGCTGCGAGCGAAGGCGATCTGGACGCGACAGACGGAACGGGTGCAGCCCGCCGGAAGAGCCATTGGGACACGATCCTCCGGCGGTCGACTCTGCGGGGGAAGAAGATGGACGATAAGCGGAAGTCGCCAATGTCCAACTCGTCCTCGGCAGACCAGACGCCGCCATCAGTAACTCCACCCGGAAGGAACTACGGCACAATGTCGACAACATCTCTGTCGTCGGCAGATGCCGCTGATCTTTGGGCCCGGCGAAGTCTGTTTCCGGGACAAGGAATGCAATGCATGTCGACCAGAAACTCTCGTGTGTCCACTAGTTTCGTGCTTCCGTGTTTCTGTATCGCTAACCGTTTTCTTCCCATACAGCGCTTTCGTCCTCCATGCGGTTCTCCAGCAGCCTTGTGCCAGAAACGAGAACTGCTAACCCAGGAGAAACCGGCCGGACGATAATGTTTGCAGAGACGGCAGGGCCAGGGCGAATGGAAGACGCAACTCTGTCGCGGACCAATTCTCGACAAAGCCGCGGGGGCCTCACAAACAAGTCAGGAGCAACAGCTGCAGGACCATCGGTGACGTTCGTCGAGCCACAGCGAGACCAGAAAAATGCACAGGCGCCTTTCCGACCGCACTTGCTGCGGCACTCGTCGACACCGATTGTGCAGCTAAACAGCGGCGACGGGGCAGGTGACGACACGCAAAACTCAGCTGCAGATGGCCCAAGCTCGGGAGATGTGCGGATCGGGATCGCGGGTTTGCTCGCCGACTACAAGACGCGACAGCGCGTGGATGGTGGAGAAGGCGGGAGCGGCGAAAACGGAAACGGCACAGAAAGCAGAGACAACGATGGTGACAGCATCAGCGGAAGCACCGGATCGAGCTACGCGACACAGAGCTTGTCGTTGTCGTTCAACGACCTGCCACGGCGCGCACAGCACCTGATCCTAAACGAGCTCATGCGGCAGCAGAGCACTGGGGCTGGCGGGAATGCAGGGGTCCTGTTCACGACGCTGCCGATCCCCGACGAGGGAACGTGTCGCAGTGAGACGGCCAGCCTGCAGTATCTGGCCGATGTGGAACTGTTGTGCCAAGGCCTGCCGCCGGTATTGATGATTCTAAGCAACAACATGACGGTGACTGTGAGCCTTTAGGGGCAAGGGGCTTTGTCTGTAGCGCATCTGCTTTAGGTCTTTTTGACAACTCTGTTGGGGAAACGGGCAAGTGCTGGGTCAAAGAAATGCATATTTTGGAAAAGCAGCAGCAACGTTTCCATGTGGCTCAGAACAAAGGGCGATGTCCATGTCTTTTCACGAGTCTCGTAGCCCCTGAATGTGCAGTACGCCGGGTTTAATTTTAGACAGGCGCCCTTGTTCGGCAGGCTGAGTGCGGTCGAGACAAAAAGGCGCGAGAAGGCGATGTTCATGGACAAGACTATTCGTGTTCACATCTTTACGACAGACGAGGATAAATAGCCAGGCTACGTGAGCGAGAGCCATATTTCGGCTGTCTTCCAGAGACTCTCATTTCCCATGAAGAACCCACTAAACCGACACAGTGAGACCGCCAACAACCCGTCTGCCGAAAAGGACAGCAGAGAAAGTGCCAGAGAGAACAGCAGCAGGGGATTTCGCAACTTTGCCCAGCGCCTACGCAGCCCGACTTCGCCCAAGCCGACGGCAACAGTCTTCCAGCGGGTCCATCATCCAGACCGGCCGCCTGTGCCCGTTCTCTCGACTGACATCCCGACCGAGGACGAGTGCCGGGTCTTGCTGAAGCAGACAGCGCGCAGTCCAGGCTTCAAGACGATCATCAAGCAGGAGGTAAGTGAGCGAAGAGCAGATCGAGAGAGAGCCGATCACAACAAGACAGCAGCTATGGAGAGCCAGAAGCAGAAGCAGCAGAAGGTGCAGCGAGCCGGAAGCGTGGTGGCTGGTCCACCAAGCAGGAAGATGTCAGTAGGGGCATCAAGAGCAACAGCACCAACATCAGCATCGGCACAGAGATCGACACGGCCGCCGACGACGAAGAGTAGTCCCACCAGTGCCATCGCTCAAGGAGCACCACGGCCGCTGCGTCGGGTCCCAAACTTGGCGAGCGTGTCGCAGGGAAGCAGCAGAAGCTCGAGGGAGGCTTCCAGCCAAGTAGCGACGGCACGTCCGTCTGTGCGAACTGCACACAGCAGCAGCAGCAGTAGCAGCAGTGCTAACTCCACCCGTCGTCAGCTGCCATCAAAAAATGAGCCGTACACGAGCCCTCGTCCGGCACCGAATCCACCGGCGTTGATCCCTTTTTCGAAACGAATGGCGACGCTGGCAGTAGCCGTCGATCAACCGTTGGTTCAAGGTCGCACTCGGGGACCAGTTCCGGTGGTGGTGTCAATTCCACGGCGGACGAGCTCGACAGGGGCCGTCAAGAGGCAGACAGAAGGTGAGAGACGGGCAGAAGACGAAAAGCTGGCAGAAGGTAAGAAGACGGAGATGACAAGAGAAAAGGTACGGCAGCAGTACGAGATCCACCAATCGAGACGGATCGCCTGGTCGCCGCTGGCAGCATCTTCCGGCTTGAGCGACTGGGCGACCAGACAGCCTCATCGACAGCGTCGGAACAAGACGTGGCTGTCGCGGCAGCAATCGCCGAGGCCGAGGCTGAGAGCGGCGAGTCGCTGCTGGAGTGGGACATTGAGGTGATCAAGGCAAGTGTGGAGGGCAGCTGGCGAAAGCAAAACTGTCGTCAGAGGAGCGCAATGGCTAATCAACGGGCAACGGCTGCTGGCCCGACATCTTCGCCGTCGACGAAGCCAACAGCGACGACGATGACGGCAAGGATGTCGGCCACGGCTTGCCTCTTGCAGTGTCTGACCAGCGTTCCGCCTGAGGTAGCAGCCAGAGTGGGGATCGTGACAGTCGGCGTGGTGGCACAGCCGTCGAACGTGCGGATCGAGCAGGCAGCAACACGGACGAGCTTCGCGCTGTCGGGCAATTCGAACGATGCGTACGACGACGATGATGAGATCCAATCACAGCACGGCGAGATGCTGGAGGGCTGGACTGGAAGCGAGTACTATTTCGAGGGAGGTGGCAGCAGGAGATGAGCAGTGCGAATCAGTGATCTGGGTGTCTTTCTACTTATGTCTAAATCAATCGGTATATCCGTGTGCCTGTGCGCCTCTATGCAAATCAAAGTGCTCCATCCGTCCAGGTTGACGTGAAAGCTATGCCACCTTGGTGACGGTGAGCGTGCCGGCGTCATCGCCCTCCAGTGCGAGAAAGCCACCGCTGTTCAGCTTTTTAGTCCACTTGGTGGCCTCGTAGCGAGCCAGGATGACGGTCATGCGCAGAGCGGCCTCGCTGCCGGACGGATGTTCGGTCAGGCCTGCAGCGACGGGCGTAAAGGTCCAGCGGCCAAAGGCCCAGTTGAGGATGTAGCGAGCGATGGAAGACGTTGCAGGGGCGTCGATCTCCTGCACCGGCACACTGTCGTCTGAGTTCTGCAGCTGGGCCCGGGAGGCAGCCGAGACGGTCAGCAGGGCCTTGATGCGGTAGACCTCGTCTTTGGGAGCGGCCTTGAGGAGGGCGGTCAGCTTGGTGAGGTCGACAGCCGCCGTCGGATCAGTAGAGGGCGCCAGGGTGACGGACAGGACGTCGACCTCGGACTGATGGTCGCTGGCATGCTGGTGATCTGGATGGTCGTGATCGTGGTCCTTTTTCTCGGTCGTCAGGCCGACCAGGCGGGCCGCCTCGACGTCGTCGCCAGCATCAGCGGCGGCTTCGCCCAGCGCCCGTGCCAGCAGGCCACCGTCGATGCCAAAGACGAGGTCAGCATCGACGCGGCCGCGATGACTCTTGACCCAGGCGACCTCGCTGGCAGCATCGGCGCCGCCGTGCAGATCGCCGAGGCGGTCGAGGCACTCGTCGAAGCGGCGCTCGCTGGCGGCCTCCCACTTGTTGAAGACGACCAGGTCGGTGTAGCGGGCCTGTAAGCGGGCCGTGTAGCTGGTGTCCTCGTAGCCCTGCCAGTTCTCGACGTCGATGACGCTGACGACACCGTCGAGCACATAGGCGCCGCCGGTCTTGCGGGCCAGCCGGTTGATCTCGAGCGCCAGCGTCGCCGGAAAGGCCGACCCAGACGTCTCGATGACGATGCGCGACGGCTGCGGCGCGTCCGCGCTGCCGGCCGTCAGCTCCGCCAGCGCATCGCCCAGCTGGCCGACCAGGTTGCAGCAGATGCAGCCGTTGAGCAGCTCGCGCACGCCAGCCACGGCGCCCGAGGCCGCCAGCTGCGAGTCCACCGCCAGATCGCCAAACTCGTTCTTCAGCAGCGCCAGCCGGTAGTCCGGGTTGGCCGCCCGCAGCTGCGGCACCAGTCCCAGGATCAGCGTCGTCTTGCCCGAGCCCAGAAAGCCGGTCACGATCGTGATGGGGATGGGGGCCATGGTGCGGCTGTCCGGGATCGCTTCTTGTGTCTTGTGAGTAGCCTCTCTTTCGGTTCCTCTGCCTCTGCTGTCTATTGCCAGTCACCACTGCCGGTTGCTCCTGTCTATGATCTGTGATTGTCCTGCTTCTCCGATCCTCCTCGTCGTACGTCTTCTTAGATGCGACATTTTTCTGTGCTCACCGCCTGCCGCCTCAGGAAGGCAACCGGTGTTCTGCCGTGCGCGGCAAGGAAGGCGCAAACAGCCCAGAGCTGCCCACGACGTCACAATGTGGGCTCATACTATGCCGGTGTCGATTGCTTTAAAAACGCTCACGTGAGGTGAAGCAAAGGCAACAGGTAAATCCCGTTTTTAAGCATTGTGCTCGCAAAGGAATATACACGTCTGCTGCAAATTGCGGCCTTGGTTCCTTGGCATTGTGAGCGCATATCAGGCGGCTTTCCATGTCGTCGTATGCAGCAGCATGCCAATCAGACCCCCACGTACTCGCCATTGCTCTTGCAAGCACGTCGCCAAGGACGAGGATTGCAACATTGTTCGCGGCGAAGTGTGCTTATCGCTATGGCCGCTGCGCGCAGAGGAGATAGCCCTCTGCCGTATCTTACGCCGGCCATGTCCGCGTGGCTGGCTGTATCTCCGGTTTGCTGGTGTACCGTCACGGCCCGCTGAAGGGCACGACATCGCCCAACCTATGGCGCACTCGCTGGTACCCCAGCTTGGAGAGACGACGTGGTATTGTTGCCAAGAGGAAAGACGAGAGGGGATCTCTTGAAGGGGAAGACGGAGAGCTTGGCAGCTTGTGATCTGTGGCCATTGTCTCTCTTTGGAAGACGTATAAGGATGCACATAAGCCGTGTTTGTGGCTCTCTGACCGGCAGCTGGAGACGTTGCATTGGCTTGTAGACACAGCTGGACTGGACTGTTTGGCCATTTCATCCGTACAGCACCTGTCTGTCTTATCTCTCCTCCTATTGCTTTCTCAACTTCTTTCGCTCAGAATGTCGAACAAGTCCAAGATGCCGGCATCTTCAGAAGAGGTCACTGAGATTTCGGTCGTCCGTCTAGATCTGTTCGACCAAGACCTGGAGAGCCCGGGCGATGGAGAGAAGAACGGCCCGGTTCTGAGGTCAGAAGCAGTGCCCTCGCCAGACAGCGACAAACACGAGCCCGACTTCTCGGCTGATGAATTCGCCCATATCCCAGAGCTCGTCCGCGAGGTGGTCCGTTTCGACGACGACCCGGATCTGCTCGTCATCACCTTCCGGTCGGTTATCCTGTCGCTGGTGTTCTGCGTCATCGGCAGCTTTGTCTCGCAGCTGTCCTAGTGAGTTCTCTCTCGGCTCTCGGCTCTCGTCACGGCTGTCCCTTCTGACCTGTCCCCTGGCAGCTTTCGCACGACAACGGCGCCGTTCCCCGTCTTCTTCGTCATCCTCGCTTCGGCCCCTCTCGGACGCTACATGGCGCGCATCTTGCCCGACTATCGGGTGTCTCTGGGCCGGTGGTCCTTCTCCCTGAACCCCGGGCCGTTTTCGATCAAGGAACATGCCATCATCGGCATAGCCGCAAATGCGGGAAGCCAGGGACAATGGGCGAGTGCGTGTCTCCAAGAATATCCCTGCCGTCTTGCCCAGCACTAAACTGTCCCTTGTAGCATACCTGCCCACGAACGCCGCCCTGTACTACGGCATCACCATGAACCCGGCCGTTGCCTTGTTCTTTGGCTGGGTCCGTTTCCAAGCCCTTCCCATGTGAACCGCACGCATAACTGACAGCAGACAGGGGGCTTCCCTGCTCGGCTTCTCGTTCGCCGCCATGGGTATGGAGGGAAGGGCCAGAGAGGGACAGACCGAGACCGAAAGAAGCAGTAGCTGATACCTTTTCAGTGCGCAAGATTCTGATCGACGACCCCGAGTTTATCTTCCCGCTCTCGCTGCAGCAGGTGACGCTGTACCACAGCATGCAGAGCGGCGTGCGAGCCCGCGATCGGCGACGCATGCAGGTGTTCTGGCTGCTGTTGGTGGGCACGTTTGCGTGGCAGTTCTTGCCCGAGTACGTATTCCCGCTGCTGGCCTCGCTGGCGCCTCTCTGCTGGTTTGCGGCCAAGAGCCACAAGGTCAACTTCCTGGGAGCCGGTCGCGGCGGCGCAGGCCTGCTCAACATCACGCTGGACTGGTCCAACATCACGTCGACTGTGGTCACGTATCCGTACAGCGTGCAGGTGGTGGTCTTTGTTGGTTTTGTCATCACGGTGCGTCTGTCCGAGGAGAGTCGGTAGAGAGCAGGGAAGGAAAGTCAGACAGACTGGCTGACAGAATGCAAGACCTGGATCCTCATCCCAGTGGCATACTTTGGCAACCTCTGGGGGTCGCCGACGTACAACATCATGTCAAACGGAGTCTTTGCCAAGAACGGGACCAAGTATCCGGTGAACTACATGAGTGAGAACTGTCCTTGTGAAAGACCTCCTTTTTGAGACCCAGCCTGACCACTCCCAGTCTACACGGACAGCAAAGGCATGCAGCATGTGAACGAAACGCGGTTTCACGAGGTCGGGCTCGCATACTCGGGCGCACAGTATCTATGGGAGATCTTCATGGTAAACTCGAGAGCGGGCAGCCAGCAGGATCGGACAGGTGCTAACGACAACGCAGTGGTATGCCTCGTACATATCCTCCTTTGTCTGGTGCGGCCTCTTCCTTGCACCCAAGCTCAGGGCGATGTGGAAGGCAAGACGGTCTCTGGACAGCTTCCATACCGATCGTTTGAGGTGCGTCTCCGCTGTGAACATATTTTCACGCAACATCGCCTGACCATCATATCTGGCTCCAGTCGAATCATCCAGAAGTATCCGGGAATGACGCTGTGGTAAGTTTCGTTCTGCCTGTTCTTCTTTTTCTTCAAAGAACTTGACCTGTCACGGTATTCTGACGTCTCAACAGGGAATGGGCCTTGTTGACCATCATTCCCATCGTGATGCTCTTGGTCATTGTGGCCACAGACAAAGTCTGGATGCCTGTTTTCACGTACTTTGTCGCCCTGGGCTTCGGTGCCGCGGCTACACTGCCCATGAGCCTCGTCTACGCCATGTCGGGGTACTCGATCAAGGTTGGCCTCTTCAACGAGCTGATCTATGGCTGTGAGTCTGCGTTGTGGCCACGAATGAGGCTCCCGCTAACAAGAACTCTCTCTCTTCTCGTTCTTCCTCACCAGACATGATCGAAACCAAAGGTTCCTCTCGACATCCACTGGGCCAACTGGCATACCGGATCATCTCTGGCAATGTGTGGTATGACGCGCGGACGGTGCTCGAGGATCAAAAGGTGTGTTCTTTGTCCGACCTTGTGCTCTTGTGCCCTCTGGCTTGACTCTCGGTCAAGATCGGTCACTACCTCCATCTTCCACCGCGGACCGTCATCGGGATGCAGATTGTAGCCAACACGGTGGCGCTGCCGATCAACTACGCCGTGATGCGCTGGGTGCTCGCGACCAAGTTCGACTACATCAGCGGCAAGAAGACAGATCCACAGGGCCAGTGGACGGGCCAGGACTTTGCCAGCTACAACACGGACGGCATCCAGTACACGCTCGTGGGGCCAAAGCGGCTGTTTGCGTCGCCCATCTTCACACCGCTGCTTTACGGCTTCCTGGCTGGCGGTCTCGCCCCGGCAGCCATCTGGCTGCTGCACCGACGCTTTCCGCGCGCCCGCTTCGACCTCTGGAACACGACCATCTTCTTTGCCAGCGCGGCGACGTTCCGTGGAAACCTCAGCACAGGGCCGTTCACGGCCTTTCTGGTCGGCACGGCCAGCAATCTGTTTCTGTACCGCTATCGGCACGCGTTCTGGCGGCGCTGGGCCTACATCTCGGGGGCGGCACTGGACACGGGCTACAATGCGAACCTGCTCTTCATCTTCCTCTTCCTCGGCACGACGGGGGCGGTGATGGCCAAATGGTGGGGCAACGATGCCGTGAGTATTGAAAAGTGCTTTGCGTTGATGGGGTAGTGGGTAGACGCAGGGGCGAGGAGATGGGCGAGAAGAAATGAGATACATTAAAGGAGAGAAGAGACCAGGGGAGAAAGAGACTGATTGGGAAGAGAGCTGCCTGAGGGTCTCTTATAAAAAACTGCTTGAACATCTTCAGCTGGGGATCTGTTTATTGGCAATTTCAGTTGTTGTACTCGGTACTCCGCATATTGATGTTTGTACAGAGTACGGAGTACGCGTACTCGGAAACTTATGGTACGGAGTACTGATCGGGAATACCCCATATTCGAACACAATTATCACGGTCACAATAAACAACGCATCCCAGTACAACACGACAGCACAACATGGCATCCCGATCACAGCGAACACCAAAATAATGCTCTCCCTGTGCATTTGCAGGGGCAAATGTGTCAGGAATGGCACGTCAAGAATAGGCCCTCTGACTGCACCGCCACGATTCGTACGGGGCTAAAAGGTACTTTGACGGAGTTCTAAAAATACCGCGTATCTTGCCCTGAGACCGTTGGTCAGCTTTTACGGAGTACTTGTGCAGGTTCACTCGCAGGTGTGTGGTGCAGTCCGCACTCCACTCCCACTTCTCCGGCACAGAAAAATACGAGCAGGCCAAAATGGTGGGTCACTAGCTGTCTTCTTAGCTCTGCAAGCTCTGTCTTCTTCGGGACCAGCCAACCCAACAGGGAGGCTAGGGGATCCCCGGAGAACTACCCGCGTATGATTTTATAGAAGTATCTTACAACCGCCAGTGAGAGAGGGGTGAGCCAGACTTCTTGAAACGTCCATGATGTCAGTCGCGAGGAGTCTCGACTGAGGACCGACCGAGGACGTTTGAGACGAGGCCAATGCAAGCCCTCGGACTCGTCTGGCAGGACCGAGCAAGAAACAGTGTCTCGTAGGAATGCATGCAGCTGGCACTACACTGGGATACAAAGGCACATTGCGACATAGAAAAAAACCAGATAAAACAGGGAGAGAAAAAAAGATCTGATCGTGTCTCATTGGCTATCGGGTGCCATAGGATACGTTCTATGGTACGAGGCCGGCAGAACGAGAGGGAAACAGGGAACCCAAGAAGAAAGAGACAGAAGAGCAGCGAATGAGACGAAAAAAGCCGGCTGCAGCGACGCCGATACGAGAGCGGCTTGCAGCAAGATCGGTTGTTTACGATAGCTAGGGTTTGCCACCTGTATTCTCGACGTGTCTAGCGCCCTTTGCACGCTCGTGGCGCCTGGGCTTGCAGCTGAACACGGCGCCAAGTGGAGTTCCGCGGGCCCGCGGCTACATAGTAGGTGCTGTTTTTTACGTATACGAACGAGCATGACTCTCACGGCCAGGGGCTTTTGTGTTTTTTCGCTTCTCTGCACAACCCACTCGCTCAGCCCACAGCGGCGGCAGCGATCCCCATCTCAGCCCCTTCGGCTGGATCGGCCTAGGCAGCCAGCGGATCCTCCTTCCCTGTGAGTGCTTTTCTCCCTGTTTTTCCTTTGCTGTTCGTCCCTTCCGTGCCTGCAGAGAAACGGAGAACGGAGTACGAGTTTTCCTCTCCCTGCTGCTGCTCCTCCTCTTTTGCCTCTCTGCCTTTGCCTCTCGTTCGTTCCCTCGCGCTCTGCCCTACGTCGTATTTGCTCCCTCTCCCCCAATACCCAGCGGTGTGGTGATCTTTCGCTACCTCGCTCAAGCCATTTTTTCCTGACCGAACTTGTCGCTCGCTTGGCTCCGCAGTGCTCCGCCGATACGACCTCGCCATCACTATACCGGGGACCGCAAACCAACCACCCCGACAGGGTTTCTTACTGACTGTCTCTGTCATTCTATCTTGCTACGACGTACGGAGTACAGGCTCGTGCTCGTGCGCCGTATATCGCCAGCAGCAACAGTCACACTCGTTTTGTGTGTGTCCCACCCCTTTGAACTCTACTCCGTACTGAAACTGGAAACGGGGCCTCTTTATTTCGGCCTTCTCTCACTTCATCCTTTATTCGCCTATTTCTCCCCTTCTCCCCCTCTCTCCTTCTCTCTCGTCTTCTCTTTCTGTCAGCCCTACTTTTCCACCTCCTATCCGTAATCCACATACCCTCCGCCTACGCTCCACCATCCCACACAATGGCTGCATTTCTCACGGCTGAGGACGAGAAGCTGGCGCTCGCTCACACGGCTGAGCCTGCGATCAATGCTGTCACCGATGCCGAATCGCTGGACAACTTGACCACGGACAACCGCCGCTGCCGCCGTTCTGCCGCCTGCCGCACCGTCCACTGCATCGGGGCCTCGCTCTTCGTGCTCTTCTGGTTCCTCCTCGCCTTTAGAGCTACCTCCATGGTGATTGGTCTTCGCAGCCACGCGATGCCCTGCCACGATGGTCCGGCCGCTCACAGCGACGTCGACGTTTACCCGGTTCTTGTCCATCCAGTACCGGGCGGTCCTCATCGTTCGCACCACCACGCTATCGAGGAAGCTGTCGCTGTTGCTGGCGCCGCTGCCGTCGCCGACATCGTCACCCCTATCAGCTCGGACGCGATCCCGGCACCTCCCGTCGCCGCAGATTCGAACAGCAACAACGAGGCCCCGGCTCCTGCTTCTGCCTCTGCCTTTTCTCGTCTGCTCGATGCTGTCTCGGCCGAGTCCCTGCACGACCTGCTGCATGCCTACCTGCCTGACACCTACAAGCACGGTGTCTACCCGTCTGAGAAGTCTGCTCTGGCCGCCCTCCACCGTGCCAACGCGCCCCTGGCCACCTCCATTGTTCAGCTGGCTCGCCGCGACACCAACGCTACCGTCTCATCCGCGCCTGCTGCTACCTCTTCTGCCGCCGACTTGACGAGCAGCCCGCCCGCCGCTGCATCTTCCTCGCCCGCTACACTGGTGTCCGCCACTCCTACATCAGCTGTGCCGACCTCGTCGGCCGCTCCGGCTACATCGTCCAAAGCCACCGAGAAGTCGACTCAGGCCGCTGCCACAACTGCCGCCCCCACTACCGCAAAGGAGACTCCCACAACCGTCAAGACCACGACAAAGGGTGAGAAGACGACCGCCACTACAGAGGCAACATCGAGCAGCAAAAAGGTCACCTTGACATACACCTCCACCATTAACGGCACGCCCACCGTCATCACCGCCACTTCTGTCGTCGGCGTTGCTGCCACCGGTGCCGACTCTACTGAGACCGGCACTGCCACGGCCGCCGCATCTGGCAGTCTGCAGACGGGTTCCGGAGCCTCTGGCTTGGTCGGCAACATGCGCATGGCCGGCGTCGCTGGTCTTCTGGCTGGCGCTGCACTGCTGGTGTGAGGTGGACACCTATTTTGAAAACGGGTGGCCATTACAGGAGTACAGCTCTCTGTATTACTCATTGCATCTGAGCTTTGGTTTCACGTCTGATTTCGCTATGATTTTACTGCCAGTTATCAGCTTACCGTTTTTTGTTTCATCCCTGTTTTGGGACACCACATTCCTTGCATCTGTGCGGCGTTTTAAACATGTTTTTGGTACCTCTTGTCTGTGTTGTCTTATTTGTTGACACATACGGGGCGAAGTCGGGTGGAATTTAACAACAGCGGGTAGACAGGGGGATTCACATTCATTTATTCCAGAACGGCAGGACAACTGGGACAGGCGACAATACCATGCATTTATGGCTCACTTTCGACATGGCCGGCACGACTGGCACGACCAGAAATCAAACGAAAACAGCATATTGTTTAATAAGACGGAGACATGGAGACAGAATAGAACACCATTTGAGTGCTCAACTAGCTATCTATTGACGCCTGTGTTTGACTTAATATATACGTATAGTAACTTCATACCTTTGTACCTTTAGTTACAATTAGACCGGGTTCAGTATACAAAAGTAAATCAAATAATCGAGCGAGCGGCGTCTTTTTTCGCCACGCAAAAAACCCTGAAAATCCGTCCCGTCCTGTGCTTTGCAAAATCAATGATACAATAAAGTAAGATAGCCCCCTCCATGCCCTCCATCTCCTGTTGTCTCTCCGCCCATCGCCCTTGCCCTTAGCCCGGTCCGATCTTGGGCATGTCATGGTGCTCGCTCATGCGCGACAGGTATGCGTTCAGATCGGCCAGCCGTTCCTTGTGGCTCTTGAACAGCTCCGGATGGCTGGCCCGCGCCTCTTCGGGCGAGGCGAGCAGAAGGTCTTGAAACTATGGTGGGTGTTAGCATGCAGTCGTTCCTGGCTAGATGCCTCCTCGTGCCTGCTCACCTTTCTCTCCTGGGCCTCGGCAAAGCGCCTCTCGGTTGGTGTCATGTGTGCAAACGGGTCTTCGGTCTGGTCTGCTGGCTCGTCGCGGTCCTTGTCCGCGTCGGCTTTGTCGGCTCTGTCATCCATCAGGCCCTTCTCGAGCGCCGCCTCTAGCTTCTTCTTCTTGTGCTTGTGCTTCTTCTTGTGTTTCTCCACCTTGGCGCCCTTGAGCCGGAGCGCGCCTCCTGCACCGGCCGACGCGTACTCGTCCGACGGCATGTCGGCGTACCCGGACTCGGAAGTGCTCTTCCGGTGCTCTCCTGCTTTGGAAGGAGGGGTGAGGGTATGTCACGAAGACGCCCAGCGGTGGGTGTGGTATTTAGGGATCGCGACCGCTAATATGCGATTGTGGTTGTAGATTTAGAACGAGTCAAGTAAGGTGGTTACATAATGATAACACGTGACTCTGACGCTAGGGGGGAAAAAAGCGAGAAATTTCGCCTATATAAGTGCGTACCTGAAAATTTCACTCTTGGACTTTCTCTTTTCTTTTCTTCCTTAATCAAAAAGCAATTACCCAGAGCTGCCACGACCGTCACCTTGATCTTTCCCACAGTGACGTGTTGCTAGTTTTCTTCTACGAAGAATATCTCTGTAGATTGAATTCCATGATAGGAAGTCTCGCGCTGTTTTTATTCTCCCATACGCGCCGAGATGCTGATAGATCGGAGACAAATATGTGACACTGAATGCTTATGCTTTTCCCATAGCGAGAAATGTCGCCGCATGGGCTTGACACTGGCATTCCCTTGTGAACAGCTGAAAGTGGGTTGCATTTTGCGTGCAATGACGAACAGCGTCCATGATTACGATCGCCGCTCTTCGCATGGAGTATCAACCAGACATACGAGTAAAAACCGGATGTGTAGACCAATGCTTGCATTCCACTACACGTCTATGCTGGCTTCCAGGATCTTCTTTGTTCATGTGATGTATCTGCAGGTATGGGTACGCAAGGTGAAAAGAATCAATGAGGGGGCGGGGCTAAAAGACCAGACGGGTACGCAAACAGCTTCAACATGTTCCTGTCTGCGCGTCTCCTCTCCCGCAAAGTCTCGCCGTAGCACGCGTCGACAATGTTCGTAGACTCTTCGTCCCTCTTTTTATTTTCTGACAGGTGACAGTTCTCCCAAACGTGTCTTAGCCGAACTGGCCATAACGGACAGGCTGCAGATTTACTACGGCAGCCAAGCCGACCAGCCTTCTTTCTACTGGTCGAGGCATATTTAGCCTAGTAAATGCGAGGCAGCTGGGGATGTGTCCGAGTCACGACTCAGTACCTACTGACACCTGCTTGAAGAGGGTGGCGATGATCATCCAGAGGCAGGGTCGAGCTCAGTCCTGCGGAGCGCAGCATTGGCAACAACTGTCTTTCCATTCTTCACGGTCCACGGACAATCAGGTTATTCCTCACACCGGCTTTTTGCAAGATGATAATTGTATTCCGAGACATCTGAAGCTTTCCGACATGCCAGCAATGACAACACAGAAAGCGCGTGCAGAGGTTCGCTCCTTCCATGCTCGAACGCTACCCTCTTGCATCCATTTGACGGGAGTTCTGCAACCTATATGAAGGAGGCTTTGCCTTCCCCTTCTATAGCCTATCTTCTTCTCATCAACCCACTCCTTAGTCAACAGCATATACACTCTTTTATCAACCAGCCACTCTTACGTTTGACTTACTAGGCTCTCTACTTCACTCGTTTTTATCCATATCACCCTTTCATCGATCACTTTTGAAGTTCTCATCGTCATGTCGTAAGGTTCTTCCTTTGTTGGTTCTTGTTCTGCTCGCAACGGCACCCCAACTAATCCTGGCTAGCTCTCTCGCAGTCCTGAACGGCACTTATGCCAATGCTACTTCCAGCGCTGCCGTCTCCGGCACCCTCGCGGTCCTGGCCAGCGGCACTTCTGTCGCCGCCGCTTCTTCCGCCAACTTGCCGACCTTTACCACCACTTACACCTACTGCGCCAAAGCGGCCGACACGACGACGGTGTGGGATGCTACTTACACCATTGTTGAGGTCGTCTGCGCTGCATCCGAGACGTGGACCGTGCCGGCTGTGCCGCCCTGCTTTGTCGAGAGCACCGTCTCCTGTAACTCGGAGATTCAGACGATCACATGTCCCGTGGTCGTGGCTGAGCGAACCACCTCTGTGTCCATATGCGGCAACGGTGTGACGGCCTCGGCCGGCGCTTGGGCTGAGGCCACGGCCACCGCAGTTGCCGACGAGGACTGGGTCAGTGCTGGTGCCAGTGCTGAAGCAGAGGCCACGGCTGGTGCTGGCGAGGGCTGGTTCAGCGTCGGTGCGAGTGCCGAAGCAGAGGCCAAAGCAACTGCTGATGTCGGTGAGGGTTGGTTCAGCGCCGGTGGCAATGTCGAAACAGAGGCGAAAGCAACTGCTAGTGCGGGTGCGGAGGCCACTGCTGTTGCTGTTGCCGATGGAAGTACCTGTGTCATTGCTGCCGAGGCCACTGCCAAAGCGTCTGCTGGGGCTTCTGTGGCCATTGTCGCTGGCCCCGCCACCAATTCTTCTTCTTCTATCAATGCAAGCGCCAGCACAACGGTCGGTTCTTGGATTGTGACAGCGGATGCTACTTCGATCAAGAACAGCTTCACACTCGTGGGCACAGCCGTGCTGCTGATTTGTCCTTTTCTCTTGTAAGCCTGATCATGGAGTGGACGATGAAGTATGATTAGGACGAGTTGAAAGTGGGAACACCAGCTAGGAAGCCGAGTTGAAAAATGGGCTTGCCTAAATTATTGGATACGGCTCTTTGGGTAACTATTCACGGCTTGACATTTTGGTTCTGGTTCTGGGTCGTATTTAACTTTATCTTCGACTGTCTCGATATCACCGGGTTCTAGTATAGTAATATCAGTCGTCTCTTGCGCCAGAAGGCTTGCTTCGGTGCTGGTCGCGCACAAACTCTTCAACGTGTGTGTCCTTGATGGATTGGTCTGAGGATGGTTGCGGTTCTGTTGCTTCTCCAACAGAATTGTCTGTGGTGCCCAGCGTCTTTTTTATGCTCTCTGGGATGATACTCGAGGCTGGGTAAGGGGTGAGCAAGTAGAAGACGGAAACAATTTCTTGAAATCCTTACCTTGGTCAATCAGTCTAGACACAGTACTCGTCTCTGTCTTGGCAACCATGGCTCTATTGTGTTCTTCAGCATCCCTTGCTGCCTGGTCAAGATGCGGCTTGTATTTGCCAATGGGGTGGCCACAGCCATTGCCAAAGACGACCGACTCTTGCGGCTGCTGGGAAGACATTTGGACCGTCGATGGAGGTGAGGATGTATTTGAGAAATGGAGAAATCCTTGTCTCGATGCTTGGCTGTTCGTCCCTTTGTCGTCCACCCGCTTAGTCATTTATGAAGCTGACGTCACATCCTCCTTCATAAGCGACGGCAGACGTGTCTGTAACAACGGTCAAGCTCACGCCAAATGCCTCACAATAGTGAACGCCTTTCAGCAATTACTGCGACATGGAACTCCGCCCGTGTTTTCTCCGCCGGGCAGTTACGTTGCTACAACTGCACAATGGCTGCGCCATGTTGCAAGACAGCACGCTAAAACCTCGGATCCGATTGACGACGATTGCAGGTATAAAGCCATCAACATAGCAGCCGAATATGGCATGTCACACCCGCTTTTTGTCAGCAATAGCAATGGACGGGTGGCTCACAGTAACGAAGCGTGTTGACTTGGCGTTTCTGGGCGGTGTAACTGTGTTAAACGGCGCAAGGCCTCTCGTACCTGAAGCGGGCGAAAAGCCGTAGGTTGACTTTTTTCTATGGCAGGTTTAGCGTGTTCAGCTGGCACACGCAAGAATGTCAAGAATTGAGGTCGAGGTCAAAAACAGTTTGACGCCCTGACAGCCTTGCTCGGGTAGTCTTTCCGCAAATCCGGTCGCGGTTGTTGGGCCGTAATAAAGGAAGTTGCGAGGGATGTCAAATACCCCTCCTTCTGAATAGTAGACTTAGGAGTATCAAGCACGTTTTCTCCCCTTTGCCGTCGAGGCAGTTTTCTGTGTGTTGTTTTCGAGCACGTATCACGGTGCATCACGGTCATGCAGTCAATGGGCTAGCCTAGCCGACTCTCGTCCCCGAGACATAACACTTGAGACTACAGTCCTGCAATCTTTCTGGCAATCTTTCCAACAGACTTTGAATCCGTTTAGTCCGAAGTCGACCACATGTGACTTTGTCGTTTTTGGGGCGGGACGACTTGCGGCCACGAAACGAGGTGCTTCAAGAGAGCTCCAGTCAAAGGTCGAAAAATCATAGGTTCTGCTACGTAGTCGAAGGCGAAGAGGAGGATTGCTGAGGCCATCTGTTCACCTATATCTCCTGGGTTGATTGCGCCTGAGTGCAATTTACGAAAGGCAGGTTGACTGGTTTGTAGAAAGCACAACGAAGCGAAAACAAGCATCAACTCTCTTAGATTTAAGTAGTAATCAGGCTGCTTCTGTTCCTAGATGAAAGTTATTCCACCCGCTTGTGAAACCTGCATTGAGGCCATGCATCTAACGTCTCTGCTCCCTACCTCAGTCCTGGCAACCCCACGACTTCTTGGTCTGCCACCTTGAGCCGCTTGCCTTTCTTCACTGCGCGTGGGGATTCTATCGCTCTGGCCTTCCTCTTCCTACTGCCGTGGGCAATGGTTACGGTCGCTTTAGATTCGTCGCTGCTGCTTGCTTCGACTGCTGCGAGACCTCCGACTTGGGCGCGTGTGGCGGCTCTGTTCTTGTAGAAACGGCCCTTCCAGGGCCGGTACAACTTGTTTTGGGCATCGTGGCCGTAGTTGTACTGCATGTATTGTCTCTATAGCGTGCTGTGGGCTTCGTTGAGCAGATACTGCACCACGAGGCGGTCGGAGTCCGTGCAGACGCCTGCCACCAGGTTTTGAATTTGGCTGACAACCTTGTTAACAAGCGCCTTAGGTGTCGGGGCAGCGCGATTGGGAGACATGGTCATATTACATACAGGTATTTTTGATTTGACCTAATCCTAATCCGTGGAGATGAGGCCGCTCCTTGGGTGGCAATGCAACCCTGTATTTTTGAGTTTCTAAGTCCAGGTATATCGAGATGATCGAAGTAATCCGGTCTCATATGTAACCGGTAGTAAGGATTGAACTTGCATCTCGTGGAAAGATGACAGGAAGAGCCGTATGTTGCAGTATGTTGACCTTGATAACTCACGTTGCATTGCGTGCCGTTTGCAAGGAAGAAATGCTAGGACATAAGGCCGACGATGACACTCATCTGTTGCGCATCAAGCTGCATGATTAAGCATACATTGATGGACTTCTTCGGGTATTCATGGTATGATCGGCTTCGCCTAATGGATTCACGGAAATGCTGCATGAGAAATGGCTAAATAGTGCTGATCGAATTCCCTACCCTGCAAGACAAGAGTCCACCTCAGAGAATACGTCTCCTGAAAGACGAAAAAAAAAGGAAAGGAAATGACGAAGAGTAGTACGGTGAAAAAATAATCGGCTGTTCAGCCTCTGCTAGCCTCGGTCGGTCTGCTCAGTCTGCCCAGTCTCCTCAGTCTTGCATTCGTCTCTCGGAGGGTGTTGCCAGTGCTCTTTCAACTGATCCCGGAGTGCATGTGCCCGTTCCCTCGCATGATCCTGCTCGTTTCTAAGCCATTTCCGGCCATCTTTCAGTCCCTGTGACGAGTCCACCAGATCTACAGACTTGATGCGGTATTGGTGATACTCAATTGTGCCATCCTCCGCTTTAGCAGCATAGTGCGCATAGAGATTGAGGCTGGTGCCATCCGTGGTGAATGTCGTCACCTCAGCATGTCCTGGGGGATCAGGATTTCCAAGCCAGGACAGTGCCTGATTTCTCGCGTAGACGAGGGCAGCGCCGTCGTACGCACTCTGCAATGTTGCTGTTTTCATATCCCTTCCATTCCCTTTCCATTCCCCCGCCAGGTGTGGAAGTGCCAGAGAGTTGGGATCATCCTTGTAGAGAACGGCGCCACAGACGTGCTCATCTACCGGAAAAGGGAAGAAATCGCGCAACTTTAGACCCTCAACAAAGTCGGGCTGCGGTGCGGACAGGCCAGTGTTGAAGCTGACATCTTTTGGAAAGCCCGTGAACGCCTTGTTGAAGGCCCTTTTGTAGCCTCTCGGGTGCTCCTTCAGCAGCTTTCCGCCCACCTCGAACACCATCGTTGCCTCGTTGACAGCCCCCTCAACGCTGTCGACAAAGGCCTCGTACATGGACTCGGTTGGCGATGGTGTTTCACGGGATGCAGCCCCACGGCTGCGAATGCTTGTGAGGTTGGTCGGAGGCTTGGAGTAAAGCGGCTGAAGTATGCCGTTCTTGTAGGCTTGGAGAGCAAAACCAGACGTCATGGAGGAGGAGCTCCTTCCCGATGACGACGTGGACATCGTTTCACGAGAGCCTGACGTCGTTGGACGCTTCCTCTTGCCCATCCTGTTCAGCAGGGCCAAATTCTTTCGGGTCAGCCGTGCCGGTATGGGTTGGCGTTCGTCACCGTCGCCGTCACCGCCAATGTGTGGGTTTCGTGATGGCGCCGTAGGAGGCAATAACTTGTGTTCCTCGATAGCAGGCGGCCTTGATAGTTGAGTATTATCTGCGCTACTGGTGGGATTCTGTCTTTGGAGCCGCAAGCTGCGCCTTGGGGATCCTGTTTCGCGTCGTTGTTTTCTGGGTTTCAGAGGCGATGTCGTTCCTCAAGAGATCTCAGAATAAAATCCACAAGAGCCAGAAACGTACGTATACATACCCGGAGCCTTGCTAGAACCAGCGACCGGTTGCTTCTCTTGCAACGGTTTGGAGGAATTGGGACGAGACCGGTGAGCCCGCATATTGGAAAGCGGTCTTTTTACAACGGAAACGTTCTTTGATTTGATGTGGGCAACTCTTATGCAAACGAACGGTCCAGGTACAGGACATAGGACATGAATTGAATGACGTGTTATGTATCTACGAAATATCAGCTGCTGGAGAGGGGCGTAGGGAGATTTTTTGAGTACAAGCTGTCCGTTTGCCTTTTAATGGTAAAGCCGTTTCCGGCAATTTGTTGGTAAGATACGATCACACCAAACACCTACCACAAAGGCCATCCTGCGACATCCATCTTAGCGTTGCCAATCATAGTCTAGCCAGGCGCTGTCAGAAAGGGTTGTGCCAAGGTCGCTGCTTCGACGTTATGGTTTCTCGTGCCGCCCTGGAAATTTTTCAATTAAAGATAGCACAATGGCACTGCCTCTAACACAACTCAGTCCGGGACAGCGCTTCCTTCTGGTGCTCTGTTGCTTTATTGCTCCCTATAGCGTCTTCTCGGGACGCCTCACCACTCCTTGCAAGGCATCTGAGTCTACGTATTCCCCAGAAATTCCTGCGAATTGTCAGTCCGTCTACCGTCGTTCCGTAAAACGCCTTGTCCTGTGACTCGGGCGGAACTGTTTGCCTTTGCGTCGATGTTACCCTAGCAACCTTCTCATGAAGCATCCATACTATCTCTGGAATTCTCTTGCACTGCCGCAAGAGATGTTACATCTTTTCTCATAAGATAACTCCTTTCAAGAAGCAACCGGCAAAACGCCTCTTTTCCAGTCTCTAGCGCCCCCCATAGCCCATCATCAGGGTTAACACCCTTTTCAAGAAGCAGACGTATCACTGCCTCGTTCCAAGTGTTTACAGCCTCCTGTAGCCCATAGTTAGGGTCAACACCCTCCCTAAGCAGTAGCTGTACTATAGTCTTGTGTCCTACCGACACTGCCGCTCTCAATGCTTCAGGCATATTCATATCATATGTATGCAGTTTCGAACCGTATGCAAGCAGACACCGAACGATTGCTTCGTCTCCAGCCTCTACAGCTCTAGTAAGTGGTGGCCGCAATATTTTAGTCTGGCGATTTGAAATCACACATATGCTGCTGAAGGTAGGTACCAAGCCAGATATGCTTGAAAACTGGAGGCCACTTGAAACCTTTACAGAGTAGATATTGCCGCCGGATGGACAATATAAAAACAGCTTTAAGTATTCTTTTCGTTCGTTCATACAGGGAAGTATAGCCCACCTATACTTGAACTTCTCTTGTCCGTGGAAATCGGCTCTAAGATGTATTCCCCTTTTGCTTATAGATATTGTGCCGCTACTCGAGTATTTGTCATCTGTCGTTGGAACGATGTTTCCTGAAGAGGAAAAATTGATTGGCGAGGGGGCAAGGATGCTTCCAGAGCTTTCAAAGGCGAAAATGCTGTGATCATCCGACTTCCGAATTATCTCCTCTTGCAGCCGGGTAAAGGCTTTCTCTCCTTCGCCATAGAGCAATGGCATGTTAACGTCGAATAGTCCCATCAAGCAGTAAGCGGTATCTTCGATCCTCGTCGTCGTCCTCCTTGAGGCCCACGACATCCTCTGCGCAATGCTGGAGGAGTCAAGATCAGCACCTTCAAGGATGGTGCCGGGTATACCGGTGATTTCCGTTAGTCTTGTCTGAAGGCTTGTCTTTGTACCAATCTCTGTCCAGTCCCGATTGAAGAATTTTAGAAATTGAGGGGCAATAAGCTCTTGCAGAGTCCATCCCCTGGTAAACCATGCGCTCTTAGTGATCTCATAATCGGGTTGCACATCGTCGAGATAGGCATAGCACATTATCGAATCTTGAAACCAGCGATACATAGAGTTGATGGCTTCGGAGAGTTCTGCGCTGCTCGTCTTGTCGATGCAACAGGTGTCGATCCAAATGTATTTGAATCCCTCTTTCTTAGCAACGAGACATGCCTCTCTAACCTTCTTGTACCCCCCACCATCGCCGGTCCTAATGTTCATAGCATCCTGAAACGTGATTTCCTCCGTCATCCACCTATGTGAAAGTATCACGTATAGTGGTATATCATTGCCTATGAAGGTTTCTCTTGTGTAGTCGTCTGTCTTGAGTAGGTGCATGTTTTAAGGAAAAGTAAACGGCTGGATTGTTTTTGTGTCTTTTGTCTTTGGCGTGTTGGTCGTTTTTCGATGTGATCTTTGTTGCGGAAAAAGGCCAAAAAACCGCAATAGTCAGGCAAATTGGGCAGCAACGACACTGGCTGCAGCCTCTGCCTATCCCCTTTGGTTGAATGAGGGAATCTGAACGGACGTATCATCGTCCAACAGTCTGTCCCGCATCCGTTTTGGTGTAAGCAGCAGCAATACAAACACGTCTTCCGGAAAACGAGCTTGAAGAAGAAAACAATAACAATAACACAATTAGTCTATAATTTTGACGACGTCCAGATGCTGCGCCACAACGCTTGCAGCTGCTTCACGTAACGTGAATCTCGGGCAACTCGAGCGAGGAAAAAAGCTCTCATTCTAATCGTAAACTTGGACAACCGTACATGTTGTTTACCAAGACGTGGTGTTCCCTTGCGGCATTTATAAGATGCCCCATGAGTTGGTGGGTTGTCCCGCGCTTTCAAGGTACGATGATGAGCATTTGCTTATCGAAGATGCGGTGGATATCAGATCGGAGGACCACGACGTTTGCTGGGTCGTGGATGGCCAAAGTGGATTGGTGTAATCTGATAGAACGGGGATTTGGATCAATCTGTTTTATGCTGTGGCAGTGAAAGAGGACAGCGCACAACAGGAAGAACCCCACTAAAGCAGGCAGTTTCTGGAAGTAATATGGCGGGGAAACTCCCAATGTCGAAATGTAAAACGGTGGTCTATGTACTAATATTGCGCATTGCTTTTTGCACGTCGACATGTCTTAGAAGTAAGATATCCACCAGGGCAGCCGGGCGTGCTCTGGAAGCAGGCTGATATTACGCAAGGCCTGACCGCAGTGAACGTTAATCTCCCGGGCGTCTTCCGGGTCGAGATGGTAGGCGCGTCCGGGACGGCGATGGAAGCCCCTTGAACCCAGACTCGGACTATAACCAGGACCAGCGCGGGCGATCTTCTCAACGGCCGGGAGGCTAGCCATGGTGTTAAGGACGATGAGGTGGTAGAGGAGACGGTTGGTGCAGTTCGCCGCAGAATCGGCCGGACACCAGGTCTGGGCAAGGTCAAGCCACTTCTGCAGCAGCTCCTGGGCCTCGTGGACCTGGACGGAGAGCATAACGGCCGAGGTGTGCTTGTGCTTTTGGCTGCGGACTAAGAGGCCATCGATGTGGGTGCGCAGATTGAGGACCTGATCGATAAGGGTGCAGAGGATGATTCGCAACGTCGTAGTTGATACATCTGTTAAGCTGGTAATATCATCGCCGGCGTTGATAAAGCAACTGGCACACTCTCGCAGCGACGAGGGGATGGTAAAGGTTTCTCGGCCTGTCGATAGCGGGCGCAGCCCAGCGCTAGGAAGCGTCAGCAGAGGAGTTAACTGGGCCAGTTTTCTCTTCTTGTAAGTTGTGAAGACTAGCTCTAAGGTGCATCTGGGGGTATTAGTCGATATTGGAGAGGAATAATTCGTGTTTGCGGGGCCGAGCAGGGAGACTATCTTTATTTTTATCCTTATATTATTTATTTATTCGAAGCAAGAGTCGCTTCTCTTCATCGTCTGCGATTCTGTCCCTTTGTTTCCGACTCAAACGGACAGAGGCACAGGGACGGGTCAGGTAACGCTCCGAGGGACACTGCCGGACATCATGAGGAAGCTGTTGCAGGTCGCCCATGTCGCGCTAGTCCGCGTAGGGAAACGGACCGCTGTGGGTCACCTCCGACAGGGATCAGAGGTGACAGAGGTCAGGATGCAGGTTCATCCGCATCCTTTCACGATCCGGTCCTAGTCAGCGGTATTTTATTAGGTGAGATATTAGGCCAGATTTGCTCTAATCGTGTGATGTAATAGATTCACTTACAGATATACGGAGCACCTTAGCACAAGCTCTGACTTTACATAACGCTTCCTGTTCGTTCGTGCGTATAGACATTACAATTAAACTCACTGATAACGTCATACTCGGCCTCAGATCATACCGGCATCGGAAAAAGTAGGACATCTCTAAGGAGCCATCATCGGACATCTTTCGCGCGATACATGCCCCGCTTCTAGGCTTAGCTGACGTCTGACAAGATCATGGGTGGGAAGTGATGAGTGAAGGCAATATAGCTAGCTATACTTCGTCTCATATCTCCTGCTCCTTATTCCCTTATACCTTGACCATGAGGTTATTGCAGTGTGAGTTCTTCTTAGTCCTTCACGCCATATTTTCCATAACTCTTTAAGACTGACAGTAATTCTTAGTTCCGGCCCGATAGCGACAGATACCAACGCGGTAAATTGAGAGAGACACCTTTGGACAGAGATTATATTGGTCTTGAAGGAGGTTGATCCTGACGTACCTACCAAGTTTAAAGTCCCACTTAAAGAAAAGGAGCTTCCAAGTCTTATGCCGGGGGCATAGTAAAACGGACAGCTCTAACACGTGGTAGTAGCGGAAAAAAGCAAAAAACCACTGCATCAGTAGTAAAGGGGGAAAACACAGTACATAAATGTTCGAGGTCTACAGAGCGTTATCGACTAGAAGTAAAGCTAGAAAATAACGACCTTTGGGTAGATTTGCTGGACGGCAAAGCACTTAGTAGGTGCCGTACATACAAAGGGACATAAATTTTGCTTTATACAAACAGCAGAAATTAGATAGAACCATCTTCTCCGAGCCTTTAAGAGCATAGAATGTCGGCAGGCGGTGTTATGCATCATCTGATATATAGCTCACACAGTGCACGGTCCACTCAACAACCAATCAGCGTCGGTGGTTTAGTGGTAAAATCTGTCGTTGCCATCGACAGGCCCCGGGTTCGATTCCCGGCCGACGCATTTTTGCGGTCCTTTTCTGTTAGCAGAAACACGTGACTGGACTTGGTACACCCTCGGAATTGATCATCAGGACAGCGAAGCTCTTCGTCGATCCGGTGAGATTCGCGCCTTCCCTGCACTTACATGTGATTGGGAATCCACTTATTTCGTACTTCCCAATTTTCGTCCGTTTCTGCCAGTTGCTTGTCTTCTTGTCTTTTTCAACACGACCAGACGGTGGACCGACATGTGAGAACTGTCGCTCCCCGAGTCTTTTTTCTTGCATACTTTACGACCTCTCTTTCGCCTCCTCCGAGCGGACATCTGTCGCTGCACGTTTGCACGTGGCGTCATGCAAGCCGCCGACAGCAAGAAGGAGGACGAAACTGCCAGCGACCATCGACATCTGCCCGAAGCTCTCGTTGACCATACGACCCAGCAGCGGTGGCTCTCGCGCTCGCCCCATCCCTACCACCGCAACAGCACGACGTTACTGCACGCGTCGGACCGCCTGGCGTCTCTGTCGCCGTCGCGAGCACTGCGGCCTCGATCGCAATCCGAATCGCAATCGCAATCGCACTTCCGAACACAATCACAACCACATGTCCGATCACGGCCACATTCGCGGTCACGATCCCCGGCCCATCCGGAGAACGCACCACCATCCTACCGTTATGCTCGACAGCTAGTATTGTCGACGCCGGCCAGCGACAGCGGGTCCGAGGCGGACGACGAGCATTTTCTAAAGGGTTTACCGGCACCCAAAGCCCGGCCACACAAGGGTCTGCGCGGCATGAACGAGTCGTGGCTGTCGTCCTCGGGACTGTCGACGCCGCTGCTGTCCCCGGCACTGCTGCGAGGCGACACGGGATGCAGTGATGGTGGTAACAACCAGGATCGTCGCCGACTACGTCAGCCTCTCGTCCACTCCGAATTGGCCGACATCCCAGCACATCTGCCAGGTCGGGACAGTGCTGTTCGCAGCCGTCGAGGCCGCGAGATTGTGCGCCGGTCCACGGAGTTACTGCTGCTGGTCGTGCTCGGCAGCCTGCTGTGCTCGCACCCAGACGCCCGGCCACTGATTGTGCGGTGGCGACGGGAGCTGCGAGCGACGCTGGCCGTTGTGGTTGGGCTGTGCGCCGTGTATCCACTGCGGGTTGCTGTCTGGACGTATCGCGAGCGACAGCAGCGACAAGGACGTGGAGACACGTCTGCCGATTCTGCCGATGCTCGGCGCCCACTTCTCTACGTGCCGGCCTCGTTCGACCCGGCACCACTGCTCTACCCGCTCGCCATTCCCGTGTTCGTGTCGCTGCTCCTGGCCACGCCGACGCTGGCGACTGCGCCGCTGCTGAACCTCAGCCTCGCCCTATGCACCATTCCGCGGCCGCTGGTGCCACTGGCCCTGCGCGGCGAGCTGTGCGCGTCCGTCCAGTGGGTGCTGTCTTGCGTGCCGATGATGGTGGCGCAACGGCAGCAGCAACAACAGCAAAACATCCTTTCAGCGGAAACAGCAACGCTGCTCTACCCGCTGCACCAGAACCTCTGCTGGCTGCTGCAGGCGCTGACGACGACTAGCCTGCTGCCGGCAGAGCTGCAGCTACTGTCGACGGGCCTCATCAACCTGCTGCTGCTGGCGGCGTCGCCGCAGGCGGTGATTCTGCAAGCAGTGCTTTGGGGTGGTGGGCTCGGGCTGCTGGCCACATGCAGCATGGTGATTCGCTGGGGCGTGACGTTGGCCCGCGTACCGCGATGGCGATTCCGGCGCGAGATGAGCGGTAGTGGTGGTGGTGGCAGTAGCAACTCCGGGGTGGCAACAGCAGGAGGATGGCCGCTGATCTCGCCAATGTTGGTGCTGGTGCGCTGGATCATGGCCGAGCTGGCAGTGACACGCCGCGCCCGTCTGGAAATGATGTTTGGGCCAGGCCCCGTGGACGACGAACTGGACGACGGCACAAACTCGGACGACTACAAGTTCTCGCAGGACGCGGCCATGCTTTCCTCGGCAGCGGCGCTGCAGCTGTCGGACTCGGATGGCGGCAAAGTGCGATTGAAACGAAAGCGACGCAGAGAGCTGCCAGCCGAGAAGGGCAGCAGCCTCCACACGGCAGCAGCTACAGCCATCGGGCTGCCGACCAAGACGCACACGCCTTCGGGGCGGCCGAAGCGGGCGATGTCATCGAGTGTGCGGGCGTACTTCTCGTTGACGCAGGCACAAGCAGGCCGGCGCCGGTGGCTGTACGCCGGCTACGTGTACGGCTGCATCGTGGCGATGATCCTAGGGCCGATTCGATTGTACGTGAGCGAGCGGGCACTGCAGGGCCACGAGGCAGTCGGCTGGGCGATGGGCTACCTGTTGGGCGATGTGGACGGCTTCCGGTTGGAGGTGGTCAAGGCAGGCCTCGAGTACTGGGTATGTCTGCCGACACGGACGCTGTCTTCGGCCTGTCATCGCGGCTGGGTCGAGCAGGTGCGGCTAGGATGGCTGGGAGCAGCGGGCACGCGGCTGGTGCTGCTGGGCTACTGGCTGGGGATTCTGGTGGTAGGCCTGGCGGTGGTGTTGCGACTGTCGCCGGTATACGAGGTGGACACGCGGCGCAAGGTGTTCCACTTCATGATGGTGGCGATGCTATTGCCAGCGACGTTTGTGGACCCGGCATACGTGGCGCTGGCGCTGGCGCTGGTGCTGGCGGTGTTTCTGCTGCTAGACCTGCTGCGGGCGAGCCAGCTGCCGCCGTTGTCGCGGCCGATCGCGACCTTCCTGACGCCTTACGTGGACGGCCGGGACTTGAGGGGGCCGGTGGTGATCTCGCACATCTTTTTGCTGATCGGCTGTGCCATTCCGCTGTGGCTGTCGCTGGGCAGCTTGGGAAGGGTGGGAGGAGGGGGAAACAGGGACGCGAAAGACTGCTCGACCGGTTGGGAGCTGCCGACGCGCGACGTCAGCATGGTGGCCGGTGTGGTGTGTGTGGGCCTGGGAGATGCGGCGGCATCGCTGATCGGAAGGCGTTGGGGCCGGCGCAAATGGCTCTGGGGCGGTGGCAAGAGCCTCGAAGGCAGCGTGGCCTTTGCGACAGCCGTGTTTGCCGGTCTGATGGTGGCCAGCTTCTGGCTGCGGCTTGGGCGGTGGCCAGTAACAGGAGAGGAGGGAAGGGGAGGAGGTCCGGGAGGAGGTCCTCTGGTCCTCTCGCTGCGCACATTGCGAGCAGTCTGGTCACGGTCGTTGGAAGCGGTGCCGCGTGCAGGCATGTGCGCTTCGGTGGCGAGCCTGACAGAAGCCGTGCTGACAGGAGGCAACGACAACGTGGTGGTGCCGGTGATCCTGTGGACGTGTGTCAAGAGTGTTGGGTTGTAGGGGTGCTTGCCACGGCGTTTGGGATATACAGGAAGCGCACCGGAAAGCGCAAGGCAATGATGCATCGGCGCCTGAGATAGAGCTACAAGCATGGTTGTATAATGTCTGCGTTAATGCTTTATGATTATGTCATACCATTATGTCATACGAAGGTGCTCCCGTGAATAACGCCGTTCGTCTTCTTCTCATCACGATACTAGATCCTCCAGCAGGGCCTCCAGCTCGTCACGTCGAAACGGCAGGCTCAGCAGCTCGGTGCCAAAGGCGTCTTTGCGGCTCGTAACCATTTGGTGGTCATGGAATCTGATTAGTCAGCATATGTCAACCCAGCAAAGACATTTCCAACTCACTCTTTCAGCAGCGTCCGGAAGGCCATCTCGGAGCTGCAGATAAACTCCTCCACCGCCTTGTTGTACAGTATGCGATACTCGAGCCCGGCCGACTCGCCCTCGTCGCCGTACTCGTTGTCATCGTTGTCGTCGTCGTCGTCGTCGTCGTCGGACACGGCTCTCCGGCCGTCTCTCCCCCCTCGTCTTCCTCCTCCACCACCTCCGGCCAGCGCTTCCGCCACGAGCAGCTGGAACAGGCTCCGCGCATTCTCCGGCAGACTGCGCAGCACAAACGCCGCGCCGTCCTTGCCGCCAACACGCCGCACGCGGCGGCCCAGCAGTGCATGCACCTCGTCGACGGCATCGAGACCGCTATCTGCCTCGTGCTCGTCGCTGCCGTGGCCCACGAGCCCACGAAACGTGGTGGTGTCGTGGAAGACCAGGTTGAGGGCCGCCCGCGCTGCGCCGTCCCACAAGAGCGCAAAGCCGGGCGTGTCGGCAGCACAGAGCAGCCGCACGCGTCGATGAGCAGCCACGCGAGCCAACGTCGCTTGAGCGGCCGGTCGTCGTAGAGCCGGCGCGTCGATGCCGTTGATGATGAGCGTGACAGTCGGCGTCGACGTCGTGTCGAGACCAGCATCCAGAAGCGCCAGCAGCGCCCGCTCAGCCGCCGGAATGATGGCTGGCAGATGAGGGATACCATGACTGTCGCCCTCTTCTTCACTCCCACCACCACCTTCACCACTCCCTCCACTCACTGCTGCTGCTGCCACGGCTCCCATAATGTCTCGCAGCGCTGCTGCTGACGCTGATACTGACGCTGCCGCTGTCGATGTGCCTCGTCCCCCCCCCATCCCCCCTCCGGCAGCCCAGCCGTCCACGATGACGATCCGGTTGGCACCACTACCACCACCCTGATAGAGCGCTCGAGCAAACGCCCGCAGCACCCGTCGCTTCGATCCGTAGCCGTATAGACAGACGCCGAAGCCCTGCGCTAGCTCAAAGGCCCACTGCCCAAACGACTGCGCGTGCAGGTCCTCGAGGAAGCGCACCTCGGTCTCGTGGTTGGCTCTGCTGTTGTTGCTGCTGGCCTCGCCGAGCTGAAAGTATTCCTCGTGTGTGAGCAGCGTCAACCCGGCCAGCGTGTTGTTGGACGTCTTGGCTGCTCCGGTCCGGTTGTTTTGGAAGAAAAAGTGCTCGTGGGCCGGCAAGTCGCGCGGTGGTGTTGCCGGTCCGCGACGACTGCTGCTAGTCCCCGTGGCCGTCTGGTCTTTGCGAGGCCGTCCTGGGCCGCGACGCTTGACTGGTGACGGCTCTCCTTCTCCTGTTGCTGTTGCTGCTGCTGCTGTCTCATCCTTCTTGACCTTGGGCGGCCTGCCACGCCGTCTCGGCGTCACCGGCTCCATCGGCTGTTCGCTGACGTCTGTCTTGTCGGTCTGATCAATCTTCTCGTCCGTCTTGCCATCTTCCTCTTCATCCCCTACCACGTTCTCGTCCTCGTCCTCGTCCTCGTCCTCCTCCACCCCGAATATCCTGGCCTCTAGCTCGTCATCATCATCCTCGTCTTCGTCTCCAGCCACAGCCCGGTCGATCAGTGCCCGCGTGCTCTTCCGACGCGCCGACCGGTCTGCCATGGACCGCCGCATCGGCGTGTCGACAATTGCCTTTCGTGGTGTCGTCACGGAAAAGGCATTGGTCGGCGTCCCAAACATCGCCGTCGTTCGCCGTCTGGCCGTCGGTGTGCTGACTTGGCCGCCGCCGCCCACGTCCTCGGCTATCTGCTTCTTCGGCAGCCGTACCTGCTTCTGCTGGCTGTTCGGCTTCGGCGCCACCGGAAGGCTCTTGTCGTCGGCCGGCACATCGTAGACGCTGTCGTAGTCGTAGGGATCTGCACCCTTGTCTTTCTCGCCGTCGGCCAGTCGCTGCCGCTGCTGGTTTTGCTTCGTACACGATCCGGACAAGAGAGGCTGCTGTCCGACCGTGCGCTGTCTCTTTGTCGGTGTCATGGGATCCAGATCCTCGGCTTCATCCTCGTCATCCTCTGTCTGCGATTCAACAATCTCGGAAAGCCGTCGTTTCCGCGGCGTCAACACGACTCCATTGCCACGGATAGAGGTATCGGCCTTGCTGGCCGGTCTCCTCTTCGCTATGCGCGCCATTTGTTGTGCAAAAACTGCTTGGATTGCCGTCCTGCTGGTTCTGTGTGTAGAGAGAGACAGGACAGGCTTTAGAACGCGTCTCAGTTCGCGATCTCTCTCCCCTTTAAGCCTGCCCCGCTTTTCTTTTTTTTAGTGCCCATTAACCGCAGGAACGCGCTGGGCGGCCGGTGGCTCTTGCCTGTCAGCCTTGCAGATCTCGTATTTTGCGAGACACGTTGGAGACGCAAGTCTTTGCATCCTCAGAACAGCTTACGATCTTAGGTATGGATGTCCTGACTGATGAAAGTGCTGCAGATGCTGACGGAGAGCTGACCAGAACGAATTGGCTTCCAGTGCAGGACCTCTCCACAGCAGGCACTACCACATCCGCCGCCCGCCTTCACGATGAACCTCAACCTGTCGGCTTCGGTCAACGTCTTCCGGCTGCTGGCCCGGCCGTCGCTGTGCATGCCGCAGGCAGTCGTGCCAACGTTTGGCGACCTGCCCATCCCGCTGGATGGGGCGTTCAGTCGCGCGCAGCGACCATCTGACGGTGCCCGCCCCGACATCCGCGCCGTCGTGCTCGACAAGGACGACTGCTTTGCCGAGCCGGACAGCAGCGCCGTGCTGCCGGCGTACCGCGACCATTTTGCCCGGCTGCGCAAGGCGTATCCGGGACGGCGGCTACTGATCGTGTCCAACACGGCCGGCGCGCTCTCGTACGACGGCGACGGCGCGCTGGCGGCCGCCGTCGAGCGCGACACCGGCGTGGCCGTGCTGCCTCACCGCACCAAAAAGCCCGGCTGCGGCGACGAGATCCTGGCGTACTTTCGACAGCACCCCGAGACGGGCGTGACGGACGCCAGCCAGATCGCCGTCGTCGGCGACCGCCTCACCACCGACGTGATGCTGGCCAACCTGATGGGCGGCTGGGCCGTCTGGGTGCGCGACGGCGTCGTGCCGCTGGCCGAGAAGAGCATTGTGCGTGTTCTGTTCTTTCTCTTGGCTCTTGCTTCTTGCTTCTTTTCCCATGCTAACTCCACAGTTCTCTCGAGCTGAGCGGAAGATTATCCAGTTCTTCACGGCTGGACTATGACACTACAGCTACACAACGTCCCCATCACGAGAGCAGCTCGTCACTGCTCGGCAAACAACAACGGTGTTACGTATGCATGGATCAGACGAAGCAGCCTGGTCACCAAGACAGCTCGGAAATGCACGGCCTCTGGCAGCTCTTCTCTGACTGCACCAGCAGCTCCCTCCCGGCAGCAATATATCTCTTCAATCCTCTTCTCTCCGAGGCGGTGCCCTAAAATCGAAACAAATGAAAGAAGCCAAAGGCACAGGAACAACCCCTCAAAGCCTTCTGCCACGAATCCGGCGTGCTCATCACTTTTCTCTGACCCTGACCGACGCAGCCTGCTCTCGCTGTCTTCGTAACACTCCTAGACGAATGTAGGCAGAGCTCGCTTGCGGCTTCAGCGTCCTTCGCTCTTTCCCAGACGGGCATATCCAGACTGCTGCATCGTCTCTATAAATCTCTTCGCCGTTCCCCTGCAATTCTCTCTTCTATTCTTCCTCTCCCCGTTATCGCCACCCTCTCACCTCGCTCTTCAATTCAAACTTTCCTTGCGTCAGCCACACTCACCGAACAGGACAAGGCCGGTCTGCATCTGCATCATGGGCGGCAAGGTCTGGTCTGACGAAGAGGAACGAGTCTTCTGGTCCGAGATCGTGCCCACGTCCAGCAAGCGACACCTGTTGGCGAAACCCTACACCGACGATGCCAAGGGTTGGGAGTCGTTGCGCAAGGTGATGCAGGCCAGCATGGGTCGGCGAGCCCGCCGCAAATACACGGCCCTTATGCTCTGTACGTCTCGCGGTATGGCCTCTGCACATTTTTGTTCTGTGCTGACACTACCACAACCACAGATGAGCACTATTTCCAGAACTCTGTGCTCGAGCGATTCTCGCCTAATGCGGCCAGATATGTCCGAGACTATATCAGAAACGAGCGTAAGTGTCATCGGCTTCCTGGAACATCGCTCCCGCATTAACCAGACCAGGATCCTCCACCGGTCAGGCTCCGAGTGAACGCAGCCGCTCGGTCATGCGCTTCGTTCAACGTGGAAGCGGCAGTGGCCGACGTCCAAAGAACGCACACGCGTCCCAAAGTCAGGACCTGGATCAGCAAGACGAGAATCAAGCCCATCGTCAGAACCGACCACAGCAAAATTCCAGTCGCAGCACCCGGACGCTATCATCACCAGTGCCACGACAGCTGCAGCTGCAGTTTCCGCTACCTTTACCATCGTCGCCGATGCCACCACCTCCGCCCCCTCCAGCTCCTGTCCGGTTGCCCCCTCTGTCTGCCATGGAGTTGCCTCTGTATGTCTGCACCGAGGAGTCGGCTCTCTGTGAGCCGGACTATGACTTCAACTTTCACTACAAGCAACCTACGTATGAGATGCCGCCCTTTGTGCCGCCCTCGACGTACCAACCGCCAGACAACAAAGCTGCCGTGTTTACGGCTCCGATCTACACAGCTACAGCCTATGCGGGTGCAATTCACGACGGTCCTGTCTACAGAGCTCCAGTCTCCCGGGCTCCTGTCCACGGTGTTCCCACTTACAAGGTTCCTTCCCACCAGACCCCGATCTCCCGGGGTCCCACGCCGGCCGACGATTCTCTGTTTGTGAAGCAGGAGGTGCCTGTGCCAGAGCCAGAAGACTTCAAGGTCCCTGTGCATCGCTGCGAGGAGTTGCACCGCCAAGATCAGATGCGCTGGCACGGGGAGCTGCATCGTCGTGAGAGGCTGCAGTACCACGATGAGCTGCAGCGCAGCAAGATGGTTTCTGGAGAGTGGTATGAGTGAGTGGAATTTTGTTGGCATCATTTCTTTGTTCGCTTGGCGTGTTGGCTTATCTGTTCGGGGTTTGCATCATGGGCATTTGCTTTTGGTCTTACGGCGGAGGACAAGAGGAGTCGAAAGCACTGGGTAAAAGAAGCAGGAAATCATCGGGAAAGAGAAAGGAACAGCGAGTGAACTCACTATGACTGCTCATTCACCGACAGTTTTCCCGCGTGCAGCAATCTGCAGATTAGACTAAGACAATAAATTCAGAGGTGGACACTGTGTGTATTGGGAGTTGTCACATTTCCACTGTGCAGTACCTGATTTCGTGCCACAACTTCTCTCACCTCCATACTCCATCCCGGACAGGACAACATGTCAGTGACCACGTTTGAGGTGCCCGTGTTCTCGGCCGAGGCAGCCGGCACTGCAGTTTTCCACGGCGCGACCCGACTCGAGATCAACCGTGGCGGGTCGTATGCGGTTGGCGGACTGACGCCAACCCTAGAGGAGGTGAGGGCAGCAGCGGCCAGTCTGGGCGGGCATTCTGTGCCTCTACGGGTGATGATCCGACCGCGAGGAAAGCCTTTGAGCGGCAGGCCCGACTTTCTGTATACGGACGAGGAGCTGGACGAGATGCGGACATGCATCGGGGTCTTTGTTGCGGCTGGGCTGCTGCGACCCGATCGAGGCGACGGGTTTGTCTTTGGGGTTTTGGAAGAGGCGGAGGAGACAGAGACGGCGATGGAAAAGGCCGTCCGGATCGACGTGGCCCGGTGCCAGATGCTTGTCCAGGCGGCCAGCCCGTTTGCCTGCGTGCTGCACCGGGCCTTTGACGAGGTGATGGCGACAATGGGAGCCGACGGCGGGATCGCGGCAGCGATCGGCTGTGGGTTTGTCGGCATCCTGACGGCTGGTGGCGTGGGCGCAGAGGGAGCGATGGCCAACCTGGACATGTTGCGGAAGCTGGTGAGCAGGAAGGGGACAAAGCTAGAGGAGGTCGATGGTGAGACAAAAGACATGGACACGTTGGAAGTCATCATCGGCGGCGGTGTCCGCAGCAGAAACCTCCCTGAGCTGATGACCATTCTGTCTTGTTCTCGACGGCCAGTGGCCTTTCATTCGTCCTGTCTGGGCGCAGAAAACGAATCCGAGACTGTTGACGGAAACGAGGCAGCCAAGATCGTGGAGTTGCTACGGGTCGGAGACGGTAGACGGAAGTAGAAACACTGTGCTGAGTCATCATCTGTACGAGTCGTCTGTCCTCGCTTACTGTCCCACTCCATTGCATCCTGCACTATCCAACTCGTTCCATTGCTCTTGCTGTCGTCTTTACATCTTCTTCTCATGGGAAGCCTACAATAACCGTGGAAACGTTGGACCAAAGTACACAAAGAAAGAAGAGAAAGAAGGGAAGGACAAGAAGGCAAAACAAAGACAGAAAGGAAAGAAGGAAAAATCAAAGAATGGTAAAATCCCACAAAAGAAAATGGAAATAAATCAGACAAACCGACAAAAAAGACCCGCGTCCCGCTCAACCGGTCATCTCTTCAATACATGGTCCCTCCGAGGCCACATTCCGTCTCTTGTCGCATCAGTCGTCCATCGGTCGATCCACGAGCGTGACACCATGGTGATCTCCGGCCGTCGGCGATGTCGTCGCCGCAGCACTCGAAGCTGCCGCCGATGCCTGTGCCGCTGCCGCTGCCGCCGCTGCTGCCGCTGCTGCCGCTGTAGCCGAAGGGGTCGGCACCACGGGCGCAATCCGCCGGCCGCCCACAAACCGCACGCTGGTGCGACCAAGGCTGTTGCGCTTCTCGGCCGGCGATCCCGGTGTCCCCGGACCACTTCCGTCGACCAGTTCCACGCCGTTGGGTGGTGTCGCCACGCCGTCGCTGCCGCTGCCGCCTCCTTCGCCCGGCACCTCCAGACTCTGCCGCTTGACTCCCAGCACCGGCCCCACGCTCTGGCGCACATGTCCGCCCGTCGATGTTGTCGGACTGCTCGTCTGGATCGGGAACCTCGTCTCGGGTCCGCCGCTGCTCTTGTCGCGCCGGTGGTTCGTCCGTGGTCCCGACGCCGGCGATGTGGCTCGGCCTCGTCCTCCTGATGCCTTCTCCAGCAATGCCCGCGTCCGCTCCTCCATGTTGGCCTTGCGGTTGCTCTCGTCCGTGCTGATGGCTCGCGGCCGGTTCACCACGCTGCCCGGAGTCCCAGGACCGCCCAGGCCACCTGCTCCCGAACCTCCACCACCGTAGCCACCTCCACCTCCGCCGTAGCCTCCGCCGCTCACCACCGCGCTCTGCCGCCCCGTTACCGACGACGAGTGCGTCAGCGCCGACAGCCGCTTCAGCTCCTTGAAAATGGCCCCCTTGTGCGCAAACAGGTCGCGCACCAGCCGGTACCCGTGCTTCTCTTCCATCGTCAGCGAGCTCTCGATGCGTGGCCGCAGGATGCATGGCGCCAGCTCAGTCGCCAGCGCTGCCACGTATGCCTCGTCTGCCGACGTCAGCTCGATCAGCCGCGTAAAGTGGTTCATGCACGCATCTAGCGTCGCAATGTTGGTCAGCCGCAGTTGCGACAGCGTCTGCTGCAGCACCGGCACCCGCTGCCCTTCGTCGCTGCCCTCGCCCGTTGGCGTCTGGTAGATGGTCCGGATGATCTCGTACACATGCGAAGATACGAGGGAGTCTGTCGGTCGGTTAGCCGGACGAACACAACACAGCACATCATCCTGTCAGAATCTCTCATCTCACCTGGCAGTTCCCGCAGATACAGCTTCAACAGGCTCGCCACCGTCGGGATGTCAAACTCCTGCAACACCTCCAGCGAGAAGGCCTTGCCGTGGTTCACCTTGGCCCGCAGCCGGTGCGTCTGCTGCAGCGGCACCTCGAGCAACCACACGTTGCGCCGCGCCTCGTCGCCCTCCAGGTCCGGGTAGTGGTGGTCCAGGTACGTCAGCAGCGACGTCACAATAATCGGCACCCGCTTCTTGTCCGCCCGCGCCCGTGCCTCAATGTCCACCCCAAACGTCTCCTCGTCCACCTTGTTGTAGTAGTTCTCGTACGTCACCACCCGCGGGATGAAGCTGCCCGTCCGGTAGCTCTCCAACAGATACCGCAGGTCGCCCAGCGGCTGCACCGTCTCCTGGAATAGCACCAGCTTGTCCACCGTCGACTGCAGGCTCGGGATCACATTGCTGATCGTCCCCGAGAAGTCCAGAATCACCGTCTTGATTGCCTTGAGTCGGTCCAGCTCGCAACGCTCCAGGAAGCGCAGGTGGTTGAAAATGGTCTCCTCCAGCTCGCACCGCAGCTCGTCCAGCTTGCGTACCCCCGTCTTGTACCGCTCGTCTGCCTCCCGCGCCTCCCGCCGCATCCGGTCTGCCGATGTCTCGTTCGGGTACGCCATCCCCAGCACGTTCCACTTCTCCAGGTACTCGCTCACCGTCCCCATCACCGGCGAGTCCACCGACCCGCTCTCCGACTCTGTCCCCGCCGGCAACGAGAACGTCCGGCCCAGCACCGCCTTCTTCTCCGGCACTCCCGCCATCTGGAAGGCCTTTGGCCGCCACTGGTAGAACAGCTTCGAGCTGTTCGCAAACGTGTTGCCCACGTTGCCCACCAGCCGCAGAAACCCGTGCGTCACCAGGTCCTGCCCGATCCGCTCCGCGTAGCTCACGCTCGTCGTCTCCATGTGCTTATGCATGTACTCCACAATGTCCGATCCGGCCGACGTGTTCGTGTACGTTCCCAGGATCGGCACCTTGGTCTCGCCCAGCTTGATGTTGTCCAGCATGTGCACCAGAATCTTCTTGACCTCCTCCGGCGGGTACGTCTCATCGCCGATCTCGTACCGCACCTCCGCCTCCTCCTCCTCCTTCTCCACCTTGATCTCCGGGATCTTCGCTTTCGGGCTCGTCTCTGGGTCCTGGAACGCCAGCTTGTTTTCCTCCTCCACGTCCTCCACCAGCCGTGATTTGTTAAAGTATGTGCTGCGCAGCTTCTTGACCAGCTCCGCCTGCTTGTCGTGCGTCTTGATCCGCGTCTGCAGCTCGTCCTGGCTGTCCTGTATGCGCGTTTCGTGGGCCTCACACCACCGCGCAAACGGGTTCACCACCAGGTCGCGGATGTTCTGTGCGATCTTGCGGTGGTTGCGGGCCGCGTCCTCCATCTCCGTCCGCACGCCCTCGTACGCCTGCACGTCACGTCAGCATCGACAATAACAACCACCGCCGCTCAACACCTACCTTGCGTGTGCTGGCTCCATCGTCATTCGAGAAGCCGCCCTGGATCTTGTCGACCGCCGGGGGGATTTCGCTCATTCGCTGGCCGTACACCTCTTCGGCCTCGGCGCGCATCCGAGCAATCGTGAGAATCTGCCGGTCTTCGATGACGCCCTGCTGGAGCTTGCCAAACAGAACGCCCAGTCCTGTGGGGACACGCTGTCAGCACATCGCTCGCCAACCCCAGATGCACCCAATCCCGTCGGCCTACCAGCGGCATAGTCGCTCGACCAGAACGAGTCCGCGAAGCCAGGCATGATGGTCGGTTGCGTCAAAGTCAATCAAAGGAAATGCCGTCTCGGCTTATCGGACGGGTCGCGATGGCATACGATGGCCACACAAGATAAAAAAGAGGCTGAAGGAACGTTTTTAGTTGCGGCGCTGCAGCACGAGTTTTTTCTGAAATTCAGGAGTTCTGGGGGTGATCGACACCGCACTGCAGGAAGATGACTGGGGGAGAATGAAATGCCCCCCTGGATAGTGGAAGAGAAGATGCAGCCGCTCCTGTTCGTCCGTTGCTAGGAGGATTCAGCTAAAGAAAGAAATTCGGCCAGCCCATCAACTCTCGGCCAGTCACAAAGAGCCACAGTTCAAGTTGCGAGCTTTGCTTCCTTCCTCGTCGAAAGTGCGGGCCGGTGCCAGAAACCAGGCGCACGTTGCCTCCGCACTGTCTGGAGGCCACCTGCAAGCGACAGGGGGCTAATTCCAAAAAAGCCTTGCCTGTCGACTAGAATAGGGCCCCTGTATGCTTACGTCATCACTTTTGAAACCCCCTGCAAGGCCCTGTACCGAACGAAGAAGCGCCTTGGGCGGAGAAGACTTACGAGTTCAATAACAATGGAAATTAGATAGGGCATTACGGAGCAGAAAGTGCGGGCCACAGACCACGGAGTACTCCGTACGGGGTTCCAATACGAGTGCACACACACAGGCGGGGGATGTTGTGGCCATACATACGGAGTCCATATTGGCCCACCGCTCAGGTTGCGGATCAATAAGTGAGAAACAGTCGTGCCCATCTTCAGCCGTCTGGGCCCAGCGGGTTCGCAAGACAACCGTTGGAATTTCCGACATGTCTATGAGTACGGAGCGTCATCTTGCGCGCCTCGTCGCGGGGTAGGGATCAGAGCGCGTGTGGTGATCGAAATTATGGACTTCGTAATACATACGGAGTGCAGTAAGATACTTCTCTTCTGGAAATGAACCAAGAGAAAGCCGGCTTGGGACTCCGTTGTGGACAAGCGTATCGTGGCTGTGTCGTTGTGAGCACAGTGCAAGGCACATTGATTCAAAAACTGCCAATCGTCAAGCGAGCCAACGAATCCGGCATTCTGGAAGATGCGGCCATAGAGTTGAAGCTTGTTCAGAGAACCAGATGTCGTGCCCTTGCCCTTCACACCTTCCTAATACTACATAGTTGTAGTGACAGCCGGAGCCACAGATAGCCACATGGCCCAGAACGTGATTAGTCAGCAGATACTGCACCTTATCATTTGCACCCGGAATTGCGCAACAGGACGATAAAGCTTGACGGACTGCTTCCACAGCTGCTGATAGACCGTCTTTCGTCTCTTTTATTTCCATTGTCTTTTTGTCTGCTGTAGGTCAGCTCCCACAACAGCACAAAATGGCAGCAACTCTGTATCCGGACGAAAAGGGCGCGTATCACATGGTGGCCGACGTGGAGGCTCACAATGATAAAGTGCCAACCCCAGCTCCAGAGGCCAGGCGGCACATGGCCATGCCGTCTGTCTTGGGCCGCGTCATCGTCCTGGTCGTTCTGGCGCTGATTGGGCTCATGCACACGGGCTTCTACCGCTCCGCCGCCATGCCATGCATGAGCCGTCACGAGGCGGTGCCCCTATCATCGCTAAGCATCGCCGACCGAGTTGACCGGATCCTCTCGACAACGCCGCTAATTGGTACGGAATTGACCTCTGCAGTTGTGTTTGTCTTGTGTTGTGCACGTGCTTACTGATCCTGGCAGACGGCCACAATGACTTTGCCATCTTCATCCGCGCGGCCTACAAGAACCACATCTATGGCGACGATTTCCGCAAGGGCTTTGAGAAGGACGGCCTGCCACAGCACGTCGATCTGCCGCGTCTGCGGGCGGGCAAGAACGGCGGCGCTTTCTGGAGCGTCTTCGTGGGCTGTCCGGCGAACGGGACAGACTATTCCGACGACAACTACGCGGACAGTGAGTGAACCAGCAGGAAGCAACAGGCGTGCTAGCATGCTGACTCGCCCAGGCGTCCGGGACACGTTCCAGCAGATCGACGTGGTCAACCGGGTCAAGGCGCTGTATCCGGACGTGTTTTCGCCCAGCGTCAACGGCTCGACGGCGATGGCGGCCTTTGCGCGCGGCCAGCTGATCTCGCCGCTAGGCGTCGAGGGCCTGCACCAGATCGGTAACAGCGCAGCCAACCTGCGCCAATACCACGCGCTGGGCGCGCGCTACGTCACGCTGACGCACAACTGCGGGAACCGGTATGCCGACGCGGCGCTGTGGGAGGCGCCGCTGCGCAAAGCGCCGGCCGTCTGGGGCGGTCTCAGCCACGACGGCCGCCAGCTGGTGCGCGAGATGAACCGGCTTGGCCTGATCGTGGACCTCTCGCACACGAGCGTCGACACGATGGTGGACGTGCTGGGCGGACGCAAGGTCGACGAGGACGCGCACTGGACCGGCTCGTTGGCACCTGTCATCTACAGCCACAGCAGCGCCTACAGCTTGTGCCCGCACCCGCGCAACGTGCCGGACGACGTTCTGCAGCTCGTACGGGCACGCCGCAGCCTCGTCATGATTAACTTTGCGCCCGACTTCGTGTCGTGCCGCTGGGACGAGCGATCGCGCAACGGAATCCCGTCGTTTGACCCGGCCAATTCAACGCTGGAACACGTGGCTGATCACGTGCTACACATCGGCCACCTCATCGGCTTCGAGCACGTCGGCTTCGGCAGCGACTTTGACGGCATCCCGTCGACGCCACGCGGCCTCGACGACGTCGCCGCCTACCCCGCTCTTGTCGCCGAGCTGCTGCGCCGCGGCGTCAGCGATGCGGACGCCGCCCTCGTCGCCGGCGGCAACCTGCTGCGCGTCTGGCGCGAAGTCGACGAGGTCGCCCTACGGCTGCAGGCCGAGGGTGCCCCCGTGTTGGAGGACGACCTGCCGGAGATCCAGTGGTAGGGTGGTGACAAAAAGCCCCCGGGACCCTGTTTTGCCCGCTTTCATCTCCGCTTGTCCGTAATCTCATACCATTGTCCATTCCTGTCCTCGCATATATACATCGTAGCGTACACGTCCTCCGTGTCCATCGTTGCGTGCCATCACCTCCGCTCCAGCTTGTTCAGCTTCCGGGCCGTCAGGATCTGCGTACGCGTGCGCTGGCCGCGCACCGGAAGACCCATGGCGTGCCGCTTGCCGCGGTACGTGCCCATGTCGCGCAGGCGCTTGATGTTGTCTTGCACGACGCGGCGGGCGTCGTTCTCAACGGTCATGTTGGACAGCTCCGCCGTTAGCGCGGTGACCGTCTTGGGCGGCAGTGTGCCCATCTTGGCTCGTGGGTGGATGGAGAATTTGGCGAGGATGCGGGCAGACGTCTGGGGGCCAATGGCATAAAAGGACTCGAGTGCTTTCTAGACGGACTGTGAGCAAGACAGCCTGGCAGCGCACGGCCATTGATTGCACATACCTTGACCAGCTTCAGCTCGTTGAAATTGACGCCGAGAATGAAGACCTGCGAGGAGAGCGGTCAGCAGCCGAGGCCGGGATGATACGATCTCGGAGAGAATAAGATATAGAGGAGAAGGGAAAGAGAAGAAGGGAAAGCACACCATCTTTACACCTGGGCGGTGCTTGTGGCACCAAATTCCTCGCCTCGTGACGGTACTCTGTCGATCGAGAGGCAGGTTGCAGGGCTGTGATGGAGTCGTGCGAGGTCAGTGCCGGCGAATTGACGTTGAAGCTGAGCAGACCCGACGAAAAAGCGGCACGGAGAATCGCTGTCGAAATTTGGGCGGTGGAAAATCGGTAGTGGGGCGAATGCCTAATTTCGCCCGCTGATTGGTTAGGGTCTGGCAAACTTTCAGAGCCTCTCTGACATCCTGCTAGCTACTAACACAAATACACAAATTTCTCTGAATAGTCGAGGGGGAAAGCGTGCTTTGCCATAGCCATTCCCCATTCAGCTCGCTTTGCAGAAGCAGGGCTCGAAGCTTGAGTGTGTTTTGTCATCAGTTCTGTTATTTTCCGGTCTTGTCATATTCTCAAAGCCGTCCTCAAGGCTGTCTTGATCCCGAATCGCAATAACATCCATATTTCACCCCGCCGCATATGGATCTAGCAGCTTCTGGCAAGGTTTATCTTCAGTCTCCTGCTTCCTCTCCTCTCCCCATCTTCTCCTCCGCTCCCCACCTTCTCCTCTTCCAACATGAGGCCTGAAAAATCGCTTCCGTACTCGGATGAGTTCAGCTCGGCCGATGAGTACGTCGAAGCCCTGCTGCACTATGTCACCACTACACCCATCTTCCAGACGCTGTGTGGAGGCGTGCATATTATGGACTTTTACACAACCGATCCGGGCCTGTTCTACAGTGTCGTGCCGGCCGATTGGCAGCCCTTTTTGCTCGACCAAGAGCCCATGGAGCTGCTCGGCTTCTTACTACAGGACGACATGGATGCTGTGATGACAGCGGGAGCCGACGACAAAGACAGCAAGCGCGTGCCACCACCAGATAGCCTCGTCAAGTATGTGCGGGATGTGCGGCGACTGTGTCTGCAGCGGTCCTTTGAGCTCGACAAGCCGCCGCCGTTGGCCCGCAAAATCACCATGGGCATGAACGTCAAAAAGGTGCACGAGGTCACGCACTTCGCCGAGTTTGTCAGCCGGTTGTCCGACGACGTGTCCACCACGCACCCCGACCAGCCCATCACCCACCTTGTCGACGTTGGCAGCGGCCAGAACTATCTCGGCCGCGCCCTGGCCTGTGCGCCATACCACCGCCGCGTTGTCGCTGTCGAGAGCAAGATCCACAACATTGCCGGCGCCAAGGGCCTCGACATGCTGACTGGCGTCGCCGTTCCGGCCCAGCGGCCCATGCGCAACAAGAAGCTGTACCAGCAGCTACTCAACAACCAGCTGCCACCCGAGAAGCAAAACGAAAAGGTCCGCAACCGGCTGGTCCGGACGCAGACGCCGGATGTCACTGCACAGCCTGAAATTGTGGCGGCCACGGAGCTGCGGTCGCGCAGAGAATTGGCCCAAAGTGCCATCTACAGCGAGTCTGCTGCTGCTGCGGCGGCGCCAGAGGAGGTCGCCACGCCTGCCGACAGTCCCATCCTATACGTGCAGGGCCGGCTAGAAAACGGTGATTTGTCGGACGTGTTGGCCCAGGTGCCAGTTCTGCCGACCTCACAATCCGGAGAAGGAGCTGCTGTGATGCAAAAACCCGGCTTTCTGGCCGTGTCCATCCACTCGTGTGGTAATCTCTCCCATTACGGCCTGCGGGCGCTGGTGCTGAATCCGGCTGTGCGCGCTGTGGCCATTGTCGGCTGCTGCTACAACCTTATGACGGAGAAGTTGGGCCCGCCGACATACAAGCTGCCTGGCCTGCGACGGCCAACACTGCAGCCGGTCAACGGGCGTGTTGTGCGCGAGGCCGACCGCCGCGACCCCGAGGGCTTTCCCATGAGCGCGCACATGTCGACATATGAGCTGCCTGGTGACGGCTCCGACAACAACACCGGCGAACGTGGTATTCGTTTCAACATCACGGCGCGCATGATGGCATGTCAGGCGCCACAAAACTGGACCGCATCCGAGAGCGAGAACTTCTTCGCCCGTCATTTCTACAGGGCCGTCCTGCAGCGCATCTTTCTGGACCGGGGGGTGGTTGAACGGGTGCGGCTGGATGGCGGTGAGAACGAGACAGAAAACGACGCCCTCAACACGGCCATCAGTCCCATCATCGTCGGCTCTCTGCGCAAGGCCTGCTATGCATCGCTGCCAGCATACGTACGCGGAGCCGTGGCCAAAATTGCGGCGCAGGGCAATGGCGACGGCAAGGCGACGGATGCACAGAATGCAGCTGTCAACGCGGCCGTGGCCGACAAGATGGCCTCTCTGACGGACGCCGACCTGGACGCGTATGCATCGCGCTATGGCCCACGCATCCGCGAGCTGAGCGCTGTATGGTCGCTGATGGCCTTTAGCGCAGGCGTGGTCGAGTCGGCCATCGTGACGGATCGCTGGTTGTATCTGCGCGAACAGCAAGCCCAAGGTGTCGCCGACTGCTGGGTGGAGAGCGTGTTTGCGTACGGACAGAGCCCACGGAACCTGGTCGTGGTAGGCATCAAGCGATAGGGAAATCCCAAGTCGCAAGCCGAAAAGGAAAAAAAGGCGCTCTCATGAAATGAGTCCTCGGCTCTGGCGGCAATGCAGTCGACCTGCCGAAGTCGGTATGCGGGATGCTCAAGTGCGGAGCCGAATGGACACCTTGATAAGCAGATTCCATGCTCTCCGTAGTGCGCGTACTCGTAACTTACATGCAGCATCTCACACCCTGCCGGAGCCCTGCAGCTGCTCGGGGTCAGCCCGCTTACTATGTACTGTACTATGTATGTCTCGCGCCCTCGACCTGCTAATCGGCAATAAAATCGACAGTTGGGGCCGGTGACTTGCAGTAGCGTCTTCTGGCTGTTGGGCAAAGTGGGGAGTGGTTTGTCGAATCTTGCCAGATACGGATAATAGCAACGAACAAAAGAGGGACTCAGCAGGCCCTCGCTCCCGCGCTGGTGTGTCTGTGCTTTTGCCGTGCTCTGCCAAAGTGAGGCCGTGGACGACTTGAGACATCCTAACCGCACAATGGCGAGAGACGAAGTGGCTAATCTGTTTTGGCCCGGCCGTAAAAACCCACGTTTATTTTGCCATGATCAAGCTCCCTGCTTGCATTATTGCAGGAAGACAGGAGCAATGGTAGTGCGCATTGCAGCTGCCAAATCTCGGCCTGGCTGCGATCACAAGACCAGATGACGTGGGGGTTGCCTCCTTCACGCCGTAAGATTCAAAGCAGACACCTACTGGTGGTGTGCGTTTATGTGCAGATCCTACCTTCCTTCAACACGCCTTCACACACACAAACTTCCCCCCCCCTTTCTCTAAACCGTTCCTGCCCCAGGCGCCAATGCACTGCTGTGTCCTCTATTTTAGTTGCCCTTGTTCCCTTTGGTCGTTTCTAGCCAATCTTCATTTTCCTCCTTACACTACGACCATCTAACAATCACACACACCGTTCCATCCATCTGCTCCCCTAGCTCCTTCAGGAGACGAATCCCGAAGCACGGGGCTCCGACAAGCTTTCTCGCCTCCCTTGCCAGCTGCGGGGTAGTTGAGCCTTGGACGAAGCCGGAACAGCCTTCACAGCGTCACAGTGTCACAGTGTCACAGAGCCCAATCACAGCGACGCCCAGAACGACGAATGGCTCCAGAAAACAATCCACAGCTCCAAGCAGCGCCATTGCCCCCCAACACAACGACATATGACCCGATCAGCCTCCCGGGCTCAGAACCGAAGCCGTGCTCTGGCGGACCGCCCGGTTTCTCACCCATCCGCCGAGTTCGTGCTCCCCTTCTAGAACCTTGTCAGGTCTGCTGCGTCGTGCCCGGTCTCTCCTCCACTTCCCACCCATTGCGCCTTGACCATCGCCATCTCGCGTGATTCCATCGCCTTCCCTTTCCTCAGGCGTTGGATCTGCGCGACCTCTCTCCTGAAGCGGAGTTGCGGTTACCTGCTTGGAACCAGCTTGACACAACCTACTATCCACACTAGCACTGTTAGTTCAGCCTATATCTTTTGTCTAGCCCCCGTTTCGTCTCCTTCGGGGATTCCTCTTCTTTATCAAAGATCGTTTATCTTACGTCGTGATTTTAGTTTTGGCCTGTCAAGACAACTCCAGCGAAGGCGACTTCCAGGAGATAGCGCTTCCTACAAAATTAGACCCAGTCTTAGCCAGCCGTTTGGAATCACGAAAATACTACACAGACTAGACGAGTTCGAGACGAGTTCAGGACGAGCACAACCTCCATTCAATCTGTCGAGTCACCATGAATGCACAGGTCTCCTTTTTGGTGAGCTTTCGTCTCATTCGGCTCCTTGTCGTGACTGGTCACTAACCCATATCCCAGGAAGGCGAGCTCAGTCTCATCCATATCCCTCTCGAGCTGTACGCGACCTTTGTACAGCCGATATTGCACGTTCTTCTACCCCAGGCGCACAGTCTGTCGCTGGATGCAGAGGATGATAGTGCTCCCGACCAGGGCCTCACGGCCGACAACAAGCACAGCTTTCTGAACATCAGCATCACTCCAGTCGAGTGCTCCATTGTCTGCCGCACCTACTGGGCCGAGAAGGTTTTCAAGCCACTGGTCTGTGATAAGCTGCCAAAGGATGCTGGCAAGGCCGTGTCCATCTCGAAGAACTCGTATATCGCCCTGTGTGTCATGAGCGGTGGTATGGATGCCGGCTCACGCGTTGTCGACCTGTCGTCGCCGCTAGCCCTGGCCGGGATTCCCATTTTTTTCGTCACGACATACTACTCTGACTTCATCCTAGTGCCGACCAAGGATCGCCACAGCGTGGTCCAGGCTTTACTTTCGCGCGAGTTTGTCTTCTCTGAGATGGAATCGTCGTTTGTCTCCCACGGGACACTGTCGCATCAGGGGGGAGGTGGCGGTGGCAACAGCAACCGCAGAGGCAGCTCGGTCGGCAGCTCGATCAGCAGCTCAATCAGCAGGCTCGGTAGCAGCATCCTGTCGACCGTGCCGACAACACCGCCGCCGTCCAATGCAGCCGAACTGCAGGACCGCACGTTCATCCAACTGAGAAATCAAAACGTTGTACCCTACATCGTTCCAGATCTGCACGTCGCCCACTGCTCTGGCCATAGTACTCTCGACACTGGCCGGGGCGGCGGCTACTATTCGTCCTCCCAGCGGCCATCGGCGAGCAGCGGCAGTGGGTCCGGCAGCGGCGGTGGGGGCAATCCACGGAGCTGGGCCGACACCATTGACGCTCGGCTGTACACCTGTCTGGTGTCAGCCATGGTTCTGCCTCCCAAATTCCTGTCCGTCACGCTGACGGAGCTGGACCCGCCCTCGATGCTGCTGGACAAGACGCTGCTGCCCATATTTGGAAGCAGCGTGGTCGGTGACGTCGGTGGTGACCTGGTTCCCATCTTTCTGGACCTCGTCAACCTGCCATTCGAAGCAACAGGTATCGTTTCTGGAGTGGCTGGCAAACTGGTGTCGGAGTTACGCATGGCCGAGGTGCCAGAGCTCTCATATCTGTCAACGTCCAAAGCTGGCGCTGTCATTCTCGAGAGCGAGCATGCACAAAAGGCTTTGCAGATATTGCAGCCGCTATTGGATCCGCAAGAGACGTAGCGAAATGTAAGGGAGGGGGGCCGTATTTTTCCAAACATGAGTTGGAGGGGCATTACAGGACCAATTCTCAAAAAGCGGGAGGGGGTATCAAATTTAGAGCGAAACCAACGACGGACGTGCAAACAATAAAGGGTCTGGACGAAAAAGCTTCAAAGAGTATTAATAATATCAAGTGGCCTTCTTTTTCCAGGTCCGAACCGAATTCTACACCGAGCAAATCGCAAGATAAGAGATCTTACTTATGGAGCATATGCGCAGGTCACATGCCGGATGGCACCATGTCGTTGCGTACGAGTACGGAGTACAGTCGCACTTGCCCAAACATCGTCAGCACTGCAGTCCTAAAATTAGACGATATGCCGCACGCCTCGTTCCCATTGGCGCAATGGCTTGCCGCCCAATTGTGGTCTCCGTCCCTGCAATCTGACCTGTCCTTGGCTTGGGCTTTTTCCCTTTTGAGTCAACGGCCGCCGCTATGATATGCACCTTGTCGTGTCGTCCTTTCTGTGTCTACCTTATCACCGGTGAAATTTACGAGTCAGGCGAAGGAAGCCGCGTCTGGGTGTGTACCTTGCAGATACGTGTACTCCGTACGAGGTGCCTCTTTTTAATTCTCCCTTTGGCAAATCCTTTCCGCCAACACTTAGCAGGGGGGGCCCAACAAAATTCAGCCCTGTGTCTCTTTTTGGCCCCTAATCATGGATGCCTCCTTTTTCTTGCGGCTGAAGAAGATAATACCTCGCCCACATGATCGAGTACTTGTTTAATTCTCACCAACGCTCAGTCCCACCGTTGCCTGTTTCCCCTTTTCCTCACGTCTTCCGACTGGCCTCTTTCCGTTTACATTCCTTTCGCTCGTTCCGACAACATATTTGTCATCTATCCTTCGCTTGTAACCTTAGTACAGTTTATCCCCCCCCCCCCCCGCCTGCTATATACGCCGCAACAGCCCTAATAGCGGGCCATTTGATGATCTTACCACAGCCGTTGCAATATTGACTCCGCTTTCTTCTATACAGGTCACACTCCCTCCTCTTTCAGCGTGCATCATCGTCTATCACGGTCCCAATTGTTTGGTCGGGGCCAAACGAGTTGATCTATAAATTTATTCCTACCATCTAGACATGCATAGACGGCCATGGATCTGAATGGTTCCCAATGGACCACGGATCCGGTGTCGCAATCCATATCCTCCACTGAAGGACGGCCTCAAGCGCAACCGCAGCAATTGAGCCACCGCATTTCTAGTCTGTCCGACTTCAGCGACTACGATTCCTTCGACATCTACCAATCTGCCGTTTTGATACACCACCAGGATTCGCGGCCTCAGCTTCGTGGACGCGAGTCGCTTGTCTCGTTCGCAGCTTCTAACGCCGACAATAGCCCTGATGTTTACAGTACCAACAATGACGCACAGAGACACCCGGGAACCGCTTCGCCTTTGCGGCATGCCCCACAGACAACAAGCTCTAGGAGTTCCAATGCGCCGTCTGTGCCCATTGTTTCGACCCGGACCGTTGGCCACAGACATCTCCCGAAATCCAATCTGCAAATTAGCTCTTCCTATGATACAATCATAGAGGAGGACGGGCGCGACAGCATAGATATGGCAACGCTGCTACACAATGCCGCTCCAATAGCCCACCATCCGTCTTCGCTATCTTCCGAGCCATATACATCGCTTGCCAGACGAGACCTTGAGAACGAGGATGTTATAAAGGGCGTCGATGTGCCGTTCGATATGGCCAGTTACCTAAAGCCGGTCACGAGCCACGATGCTACATTTGTTAAGAGGCTGCAAGAACAAGAAGCCAAAGGAAAGCTTACCCTAGGACTCGGCGCCGGCTTTCAGCCTGGCACCAAGATGAGTGAGTCTGAGCTACTGGCTACATCTCCAACAGTTAGCCGAGAAGGCAACGTGTCGCTATTTCAAGCAAGCTCTCTGCGACGTACGCTATCTAAGCGGGAGTCGTACGCCCCGGCATCGCCACTCACAGCCTTACCCTTGCCGGCGTTGGCTTTCAAGCTCAAGAGACAAGACACCGTCAAGGCGCTCGCTCAGAACGAGGCCAATAGGCGGGGCGAAATTGTCGAGGTCATTATGGAGGAAGATGGCGACACCAGTTACGGAGGAGATGTTACGGGACTGGATGTTAATGGGGCGGCATCCAAGGTCGACCTGAGTGTTTTTTCGGGTCCCGATGTTGGGAACGACACCACAGTTACAAGTGACATCAGCGGTACTAAAAGCAGTCGACTGCTAATTACTGCCCAGTCGCTGCCCATGCGGCGCCAGACGACGCAGGTGTTCTATCCCCAGCCAGACTGGAAGCCCTTCTCGATGCGATGGCCGTATCTACTGATGTTGATTCTGCTGTCAGTGGGGCTAGGTTTGGGACAGGAGCTGGTCTACCGCATGTCGCTCCGTCATCCGATAGTGAAGTTCAACTCGCCCTCTGAAATCTCTGGCATTTCATACTTCTCTGTCAAGTTTGCCCCGACAATCATCACCGTGCTGTTCGGTGTTCTGTGGCAGATTACCGACTTCGAGGTTAAGCGTTTAGAGGCGTTCTATCAGTTGAGCAAAGACACAGGCTCTGCAGCAGACGAGTCCATCAATGTGGACTATGTGATCTTTTTCGCCTTCTTTCGTCCTTTTCGGGCGCTATACTGCAGGCACTATGCGGTGGCAGTGTCATCGGTCGCGTCGTTGCTAGCAGTGTCACTGGTACCGACGCTGGGCGCTGCCGCCATTGTGCTGACGCCGGATCGAAAAACTCGTATGGAGAATCCTCGAGGCGAGAAACAAGTGCTGATCAGCGGTGTGTGGTCGCGCACGTTGACGGCAACATGTTTTGTCATCGCGGCACTTGGCTGTTTGCTCTTCTGGCTGCTGCGGAGCCGACGATCGGGTCTGCTGTCCGATGTAAGGGGCATTGCAGGCTTGGCATCTATGGCAGTGGTGAGCCACATCATGACAGACTTCAAGGGCATGGACGTGGCCACGCACGAGGACATTCATCGCAAGCTCCGCGGCCATCGCTACGTACTGCGCAACTCGACACTGGCGCCGCTGGATAACGAAGACGGAGCCATATCGAAACTGGAACAAAAGCGCGACAGCGATCGATACCGGGAAAACCACCTGTCCAAAAATCCGCACCCGCTGATGCTCCGAGCGCACGGGTGCATTCCGTTCATAGTCGGCATCCTCCTGTTTGCAGGCCTGGTACCGGCGGTGCTGTTTACACCATCCGGTGCATTGGCCGAACACGCCCCATGGCTGCTGACGGCTCTGGCTGTCAGCATCAAGCTCGGATGGGGTGGGCTGGAAACGTCGGTGCGGATGATGGAGCCCTACTACATTCTATCACGGCGACACGCTCCGGCGAAGACGTTGACGCTGGACTACACGGCGATGCCTTTTTTGTGGGTGGCGCTGCAGGCGCTCACAAACGGGCATCTCCTAGTCTTCTTTTTGGGGGTTGGCACGGTGATGGCCGAGCTGCTCACGGTGTTGGTAACGTCTCTGGCCACAGTGGAGGGCGGGAGTTTCACGGTCTCTCGGGGCAACGACAAGGATTCCTCGAACGCTGAGAGTGGCGAGGAGACGGCGCTGTCATTTTGGGTGACGCTGGGACTGTCGTCGTTTATCTTGACGTACATGTCCGTGGTGGCACTGGTGGCATTTGTGCGACGACGGCGGCCGTTTATGCCACGGCAGCCCAATACGATTGCATCTGTGCTGGCATTCATCCACCAAAGCCGGTTGCTCTATACGTTTGTGGGTACGAGCAAGATGAGCAACGCAGAAATGCTGCACAAGCTGGAGCAGGAAGACAACACGTACGGGCTCGGCTGGTTCGAAGGACGCGACGGGCAGACGCACTGTGGCGTGGACCAGGAAGAGCTGACGAGCAGCTACAAGGTCGGGTATGACTACACCCGGAGCAACCAGCCGTGGATCGAGCGGCCAGCAGAGTGGCTCTAGGAAGGTTGCTTGTCTGGGCAGCTCGGGATATGTATTTATGAATGCCATGATAATAGCGCATGTGGAGTGAAAGAAGCAAGGGCTTGAGCATGGAAAGCACTTAACAGGAAACCCTTCGATACCTGCAATACAGAGCTAGGATACAAGTTTGGTTCACGGCATAGGCCGTGTTCTGTGACGAAGCCAGGGTCCAGACCACTTACACGATTCTTCCATAGCCGCTAGGAACGAAGACGCAATATTTGAAGTAGTTGCTCGATTCCTACGACGTACAGAGTATTTGGAAGGGGTGTGCTTGGCTCATCGCAGCCCTTGGTCGGCTGAAGCTTGTTCCTGTCGGATCGTCGCAAACCTTGTTCAGATTCTGGAGAAGACCGGGGCGATCTTACAAGCGAACCGGATGCGAAGGTGAGGTTGGAGGAAATCCCAGATAAGGCTAAACGTCGAAATGAAAGGGGGCATCGCTATCTTGGTTCGTGCTCATACTCCGTACTAGTAAAGATTTCCAGCGCTTGCACTGCTTATTCATCGTGCATTCATCGTCACAAAGGGCCATTTGGGGGGGGGGGGTCGGACAAAGAGACAGCCAAGCCGTTCTCGTACTCGTAAAGTGCCACCCGTCTTACCTCGTATGCGGTGTGCAGCAGCCCAAGGCAACAAAACTGGTCAATGAAATTACCAGCGTGGCAGTGCAACTCAGCCTGCGGCTCTCGCATTTCAGACAGTTACCGTCTCGAACGACACCAGGGAGGGGAGAAATGACGCTAGCCGATCGCGGTCCAGCGCCAAGCTCGTTGTTGCCCACCCCCCGTGAAAGAGCACGCCCACTGGTTGTCGCGGCTTCCCTGGCAGTTTTGGCATGGGCCTCCTGCACTCCCCAGATTTGTTTCAACACCAATGAGCCTGGAGCAGTGCTCCGTACTCCGTACTCCGTCGGCGGTGCGGATACGCGCGGAAGAATAACATTAATAGTAAGATAGAAAGGGGTCCAGGCCTCAAACCGCTAACCGGCAGACCTGCAACAGGCCGGGCGTCTCTCTCAGGCGTCTCTTCTCAGTCGGGCTAGCGCAGATGGAAAAGCCTATTTGTAGATATTACGAGACTTTGGACTGGGAGCCAATTTATCTGCTTTTCTCTATACGCGTATATGGTATTTCCCTTTTTTCCCTCTGTCTGTTTCCTCGTAAACACCGTGTGCCTAGCACGGTACAGTCACTGCAACGACAACGCGTCCCAACCGTACAGCCCCAATGGACTTGTACGGTGCGCTCGTATTACGCGTATCGCCTTTCAGTTTTGGCTCCAGGCCTTACGCGTACTCCGTACTCCGTACTCGTATCTTACTCTGCTCGTACTACGACGTACGGAGTATTTGAACACTCCTCACCCGAACAGCTGCTCCACTGAAGTTGATGAGGGAGCTATCGCAGCCTCTCTTGGCCATCGTTAGTAGTATGTGCGAATAGGGAGCCTCATCTCAGCCATTGAGGAATTGGCACAATGGACAAAGAAAGGGAGTCTTGCTCTGTCACCACGCCATTCGCTCACGCGCGACCCTTAAAATACGATGCAAGGACAAAGAACACGGCAATTAGCGGCGCCCAGATCGCACTTTGTCAGCGATCAATACGAGCGCCCAGCCTACGGAGCCTTCGGCGGTGGAAGGGCAGGCGCTTTGCAATACGAGTCTGTATACAGTGTTTTGTACAGTGTAAAGAACTGTGCCATTTCTGGCGGATTGGCAGGCGGGGAGCGTCTGGGGCTTGTCGCGGCCGGCCAACGCAGAGGCAGAAAACCCTGGGCTGGTGAGCGGGACTATAGGCTCCCGTAATTAGCCTGGCAATGCGCACTGTGCATGGGTACTTTTGCAGCCAGATCATTCCACTGGGCTACAGGCAGGTACTACGTAGATTCTGGGTGGTCCACAGTTTGGTGCGATTAATTAGGATACGCAGCGGGTCTCCTGCCATTCAAGCCGTTCAGCGACTGTGAATCAACACCCGCCTTCTACAGACACGTCCCCTCTTCCCACGGGCGTCTATTCCCACCCCTACAATCTCGCATCTCATTCGTCCACTGACCGATATGCCACGCCCCTCGTCGTCAACCCCGGCTGACCCCCTTCTTTTTGGCTTGCTTTTTGTGCTTTGCATTCGCACTTGGAATAACCCCTACCTGGTCGTCCCTTCCTCCCCTTCCTCACGCAACTCGTATACGCAGCCAATTCTCTCAGTCCTCTCCTTTTTCTAAATCACCACTCGTTGTATCTTTATTTTTCGGTTTTCCCTTTACATCTTCTTCCTCCTCCTCAGCCTCTTCTTGCCACCCTCGACGACAAGATTACAGTCCCACCTCCTTGCCCCAAGGCGACGGCAAGACCTCCCTCGCTTTGTTCGTGTTCCCGCGCCACGTCTCCTGAAACCTTTTCCTCCATTCATTACGAGGCCTTCAAACGTACAGAATCTTCAGAACGAAAAAAGGACCAGAAATCCAACCGCAGCATCCTCTGCCAGCAACAACAACGGACAATCGAGCACACCCGCGCCCCTGTTTCTCCCCCTCCCTTTCTTTCCGGCTGTTGACAATCGGCAAAGAAGACGAAGACTGATCCGGGCAGACCATCGACAAAGAGAAGAAACAGCCGGCGAGCACGGCTTTCTTCCCCTCTCTCCTTCTTATCCCCCCTCCTGCTGTTGGCCTCATCCGACTCTCGGATCACGCATGAGTCTCGACAAGTCACAGAGCGCCACATTCCAGCCGGGGATTCTTTTTATTTATTTTCTTTCTGGCTTCCAGTCTTAACCACCTTGCTTTCTCTTGTATACACAAACGTGCGCACCCAGCTACGAGTCATCAACGATGTGGCCTTCTTTCGCGAAGCCACTCCTGGTGGCAGCCTCAATAGGCGCGCTCTTCTCTTCGACTGCATCTGCGTTGACCCTGCTCAAGTCCAGCTCGCTGAACACCTGCCAAACCAACTCCGGCTTCACGGCCAGTCTGTTCAACGTCGTCTTTACGCCCAATAACAACACGGCCAGCGTCGACATCGTGGCCGTGTCCTCTATCCAAGGAAACGTCATCTTCGACCTTGAAATATCCGCATACGGCTACCAGATCATCCGCCGCTCTGTCGACCCTTGCGACTCCGGCCTTGCCGGCCTCTGCCCCATGACAGCCGGCAAACTCACGCTGGAATTCAATTTGGCTGTCAGCGACGATGCGGCCAAGCAGATTCCCAACATCGCCTACACCTTCCCCGATCTGGACGCCAAGGTCAAAGTCTTCATCAACATGACCTCGGGCGACGATGCGGGCCAGAGCGTGGCTTGTGTAGAGGCCCAGTTTTCCAATGGCAAGACGGTTGATCTCACGGGTGTCAAGTGGGCCACGGCTGTGGTGGCCGGCTTCGCGCTGGCCTCGTCTGCTGTGGTATCTGGCCTCGGCCACTCCAACGCCGCCTCGCACGTCGCCTCCAACGCGCTCTCACTCTTCGGCTACTTCCAGGCCCAGGCCATGGTCGGCCTGACCGGTGTCTCGCTTCCGCCCGCAGCACAGGCGTGGACTCAAGACTTCCAGTGGAGCATGGGCATCATCCGCGTCAACTTCATGCAGAAAATCTTTACGTGGTACCAGCGCGCGACCGGCGGCACACCGTCCAGTCTGTTCGACTCGCTCACCACCGTGTCCGTGCAGGTAGAGAAGCGGTCGTTTGACAGCTCCACGTCAGCCTTGGACACGCTGACCGGCTCCTATGCCGGCATGCCGCGCTCCGTCGCCATGATGCCGCGTTCTGTCGCCCGGATGCCTCGTTCCGTCGCCCGGACGGCGAGCAGCGCGCTGTCTACCATTGCCAAGCGCGCCAATATCGAGGTCAACGGGTCGGGCAGCTATGTGGTGTACGGCATCCAGCGCGTGGCGTTCCGCGCCGGCATTGAGTCGACCAATCTCGTGCTCACTGGGCTTACGTTCTTCGGCGTCTTCATCGTCTTCGTCTTCGTCGGCGTGGTCGCCTTTAAATGTTTCTGCGAGATTGCGGCCAAGAGACGCTGGATCAAGGCGGACACCTTCCTCGACTTTCGCAACGGTTGGATGACCGTGCTCAAGGGCATTCTCTACCGTATGTGCCTCATCGGCTTCCCGCAAATGACGATTCTCTGCATGTGGGAGTTCACACAGGTCGACTCGGCCGCCGAGGTCGTGCTGGCCGTCTTCTTCTTCTTCGGCACCCTGGCCACTCTCGTGTGGGCGGCGTCCAAGGTGATCCGCATCGCGCGCCGCTCGGTGACGATGCACCGCAACCCTGCCTACATCCTCTTCTCCGACCCGCAGGCGCTGAACAAGTGGGGTTTCCTGTACGTGCAGTTCCGCGCGTCGGCCTACTACTACATCGTGCCCATCCTCATCTACACGCTCGTCAAGGGCATGTTTGTCGCCTTTGCGCAGTCCAAGGGCACGGTGCAGGCGATTGCGTTCCTGTTGATTGAGGCCGCCTCCCTGATCTCGGCCAGCGTGCTGCGGCCGTGGATGGACAAGAGCACCAACTCGTTCAACATTGCCATCTGTGTGTTCAACCTGCTCAACGCCGTCTTCCTGCTCATCTTCTCGGACGTGTTCAACCAGCCAGACATTGTGACAGGTGTCGTCGGCGTGGTGCTCTGGATTGCCAACGCCGTTTTCTCGTTGGTGCTGCTGATCATGCTCATCGTGTCGACAGCAATGGTGCTCTTCCGCAAGAACCCGGACAACCGGTACCAGTTCATGGCCGACGACCGCGCCTCGTTCATGAAGTCGCAGACCCAGCTGACGACCACGACGGAGCTGGACGCATTGGCGGCCACAGCCCGCGGCGACAAGGGCGGCTACAAGTCGGGTCTGGATCTGGACGACGATAGTGCATCGATCTCGTCCGAATCGATTCGCCGCCGCACGGATTCCAGCCATCTTAACGCTGTACCGGCAGCATCGGTCAACGGGTCGACACACAACAGCTACCGTGATGCACCGCGGTCGCCCGTGGACCCGTCGATGCCGCTGTTTCCGGCCGACGGCAATGCGAGCGGCCGGATGATGGGCTCGTCGCCGCCTGGCGGTTACGAGTACGACAACGCCGGCGCCGGTAACTACAGCAACAGCGCCAACGGCAGCTACAACCGCGTGCCGACAGCCGCTAACCTTGCGGCTGCTCGCTCGGCCAGCCCGTTCGAGGCCAACCCGGCCACGTCAAGCACGTTCCGGTCGCAGAACAACTCCAGTCCTTCGGGATTCCGGTCACAAAACAATGCTAGGTAAGCGCCCTCTGGACTGAGTTGTCCTTTGTTTTTTTTGTTTCAGAATGCTGACTCATCATACAGCCCATGGCAGCGTGGTGCCGGTTATGACCACTAGATGGAGTCATCGACTCAGTACAGGCCGCTGCCAGGAAGTCACGGCTATAGCAGCCGTAGCCGTATCGGCTTGCTGCCAATTCAGGAGGTGCGGGAGGTGTCGGGTGGACCGAGTAGCAGCAGGCTACCATTGGGATCTCGACATAATGATTATGACTATTCTGCTGCTCCAGCATCGCCGTCGTCACTCTCATCATCCCGTGGCGCGGCTCCAGGCTCGAATGCGCCGTGGTCTGGACCAATCTCGGCGTCGCACCTCTACTCATTACCCAACTGGTGCTTGAGCAGAGACAGACGATAACCGTTGCTCTCGACCGCCTCGATGCCCTCTCTCTTCCCGGAGCCTTCACGGCCTTTATCCGTACTGTAATCTTGCGGCTGTCCATGGCCTCCGTTATCAGTTTCATCTTCCCGCCCTTCGGGTGTATGTTTTCTGTCAGTCACTCTTTGGGCTGGGCTTTACTTTCTTTTGTCTTTTGGGGGTTTTCTTTTGTTCTAGGTTCTGCTTCGATACTATAGCATGACGCGGCGTCTCGGGAAAAAAAGATCCGACACCTGGATATCTTTTTATGTTCAAAGCTTTATTACCTCACTGTATTACACTACTACTACTTCCACCACCAAATCACATAGCATTCAGAGGCTCTCCCTTTTATTCTGGCGGGTGGGTTGCGAATATGACACTAGAGTCTTTCTTCTACCCCTATAACCCATTTGTATGTTCATATTGCGGAAAGTACGTGAGTGGACATATCAGTCGGTGGGGTTTCGCTCAGAGGGTCTATTAATCGCAGTTCGTCTCCGGGTTCCAAATCCCGATGAGGCCAGCAAGCACGTATCTGTACTATTATAAAGAGAGTTTAAGAGAACAGTCCGCACACAGATCACGACTAGCAAGGTTAGATGAAAGAAAGGGAAGATGAACAAGACGCAACGTGCACAAATGGGCAACAGAAGAAGATAAAGAGGCGGGTGAGGTCACTCAAAGCGCCAATATTCAGAGCACAAGATTCACGACACAAGATGACCAACTTTTCGCACCCTCACACACCCTCACGCCCTTCCGCTTTCATATTTTACCAGCCGTGCCAGCTCTTCGGCCTGCTGCACAAGCAGGCATTCCCGCTCAAACTGTTCCCGTTCGCGTCGTGCCTTGGTCTTGGACGACCCACTGGGCGCTACACTCGCCATGATCTTGTCGTGGTCTTCGATCGATAAATTGACAAAGCCGATCTCGCCTTCCGAAGGGCTGGCGGGCCGTTGTGCCTCTACCGACGGTGCTTGTCGTCTCCGGGCGCCCAACGGTGTCCGTGGCTCTGCGCCTACCGAGCTTCCTGACGATATCCGGCGCATGTTGCTCACCGAGCGGCGCTTGCGCACAGCCGTTGACGACGGGGTCGCCGCTGCTACGGCCGGTGATGGCGACGCTCTTGAGAGCGCGTTCATGGAGTGTGTCCGACGCTCTGTTCGGGGCGTGCTGGGAACGCTGCCACTGCCGCTGCCGCTGGAGATGTGGCCGCTGTCCTCGTGGGACGACCGTCGCTTCCGCGGCGACAAACTGCCGCCTCCGTGGTGACGGGCACCAGCCGATGGTGCTCGCGGCTTCGGACGGCGGTGGCGGTCGTATCGGCTTTCACGGTCGGATGGCATCGGCGGCGGTGGCGGCACGACAGCAACGTCATAGCCGCCATGCATTAACCGATGCATCTCAATGGCTGCCGCTGGGAAGTAATGCTGGTTCTGGATCTGGCTCTGCTGGTGACTCTGCTGGTGGCTTGGTTGCATGATCATCAGCCCACCCATGGCCATGTTAACGTCGCCGTAGCTGTCACCCTGCTGCTGGTAATCATACTGCTGCAGCTGCTGCATGTGGATCGCCGTATTTAGTCCAGTGTTGCTGTTCGGATCCCCAGCAGCATCACCGCTGTCAACTGCTGATAGCGAGGATTTATTGTCGACGGCTGATTCTACCACGGACTGATGCCACCAGTCCTCGTCCATGTCCATCTCGGATGAGGGTGCAGCTTGAGCTCGAGCGATCGCTGCATCACACCTTGCGGCTGCGGCCATATGTGCCGCATGTGCAGCAGCAATGACGGATGTGCCCGACATGGCCGCTGTAGCATCGGCCAGGTACGCGGTGGGCGAGAGTGGCAGGCCGCTGGTGCTGGCAGTTGGCGCGCTGACATCTGGCAGCGGTTTTCCATATTGACCCACGGCCATCATTTGCTGCTGTGCAGCAAGATAAGCTTTGTTGTCCACAAAGGGGTCGTCCACGAGACCTGAGACAAAAGCAAAGTCCTCTGAAGAAGCCTCGAGCGGCTTGTGTTCCTGCTGCAGGTACATGTTTTGCAGGGGAGACGGACCCCTCTCGGCAAAGGACGATGACAGTGATGAGAGTGAAGATGAAACAGAGGACATGGAACCGGTGCCTGTCAGCGGCGGCGTCGGCATAGACGACGGCGCCACAGTGGCGGCAAGGTTGGAGTGATCCAGATGATCAGGATTGTGCTTGTGCGTGATAGCGTTGATGTTGCTGCCATCAGCGTGGCGCAGCGTGGCCATAGGTGCCACTGTGATCGGCTGGGCGTGAGCCTCCTCGAGTAAGGCGCGCGAGCGGCGCATGTTGGTGGCCTTGCGAATTGTAGCGTAGATGCTCTCGAGGCGGCCAAGCTTCTTGGAGGGTGAAGACGACGCAGCAGATGGCATTACAGCCGTCTTGTGAGGTGAGAGGACAGAGGAGCCGGAGGAGACAGAAATGTCAGGCTGAACAGACGAGGAGGCAAGAGCACAGAGAGCTTGCTGTTGCTGCGGATGGTGAGGCTTGGGATGCTGGAGGGGTAGATCCGAACAGGACGAGGCGGAGTGAGCGTAAATGGGAGAGTCAGCAGGAGGGTGCAGCTGAAGCTCAGATGGGTGAAGATGAAGCTGAAGTTGGGGATGAGGACGAAGATGAGACTGAAGCTGGGGTTGTGAGTATTGATGCGAAGGAGGCCGCGACGGAGAGGCAGACGAGAGAGGGGATTGAGGTCCAGTTATAGTAGCCGTGCTGTCAGAAGATGGGATGGATGCGGAGATTGGCACACACGACACATCCTCAGAGGACGGATGCACTGTCGAGAGATCTACGAGTCGAAGCTGTTCGACATTGGCCAGAACACCACCCTCCCTCGTCGCACCAACACGTGTGGCCAGCCTGGTGACGACGGCCCCTGGGGCGTTTTGATTCCTATCCTGGACAGTGCCGTTGGCAGCTGTCTGCTGGAGGGTATGTTGGGTTTGATGGTGGTGGGGCCAGGCAACGGAAGGGGCTGTTCTTTGTGGCAGCTGACCGTCATGCTGCAACGGCTGCCCAATCCCATCCTGGCTAGCCCTGTCAATCGATAGTCCTGCCGTTTCTGCGGCTATTGTCGCTGTCGTTGTTGCTGCTATTTGGGCATTGAACTGTTCCAGGTACACGGGAGACAGGGCTGGCTGCTGCTGAAGGTACTGGGCAGGGAGAAGCCGTTGCTGTTGCTGTTGCTGTTGCTGTTGCTGCTGCTGTTGTTGAAGAAGGAGGAGCTGTCGCTGCAGAAAGATGTTTTCACGGAGCAATTGCTCCTGCTCTTGACTCATGCCTCCGCTGCTGTTCCCCGGGGCCATTATCGCCAGGGCAGGACTCGAGGAATCGGATGTCGTGGCGGCTGGAGAGGGCATCGTGGGTATGGAGCCGTTGCCTATCGTCATCAGCTGGGCAAAGTAGGCAGCCGGGTCCTGAGCCATGGACATGCCGTGGACATTGACACTGGCACCAAGGATGCCAATAAGCGGCTGGCCCTGCTGCCCTGCCATCTCGAAGTCGTATTGTTGCCCCATGGCCTTCTTCGCCACCAAAACGGTATCCTTCTTCCCCAACCGATACGCGACTTGAGTTGGAACAGCTTCCTTAACAGGACAGGTGCCCCTTGTGGGGAGAGCCTGCAGGAGGACGTGGCCGGCTGAGGAGCCTCAAGAGGTCGCTTCTGTAGCTGCGCCTCGTGCTCGTGGCTTTGTCGCTGGATAGCTGTTGGCCGTTGGCCTTGTGGCCTATTTTGAGCGGAACGAGCGGAGGACAGCAACAAAGAAAAGATATGAAGGAGGCTGGCTTTGTGTGCTCTGTTGCAAGGATGCGTCGAAGCAGTTGAAAAAAAAAATGGATTGACAAAAGGTCAATGGGAGCGAAGCGAGGAGAGAGAAGAGGAAGGTGGGAAACGGAGGAAGAAATCTGCGAGGAAGGAACGACTGGGAAGATATGGGCATCTTGTCAACAAAAACGACTACGAGGAAGCATCTTACGACTACGGCCCACGAGCAAAGGCCTACAAGCAGGGCTCTGGCATGAAGCCATTTTTTCTTCCTGACGACAGCGATCTCCTGTCGTAGTCCGGGGCAATCCATTCTTGCGTCTGCAAGGCTTGCGGACCAGCTGGCGCCCCGGGTCCTTCCAGCACCTGTCTGTCGTACCGGGCAGATCTGGCAGTCTCGGCAGCCTGTGGAGCAGCCGGGGCGCTGGTCTAAACTCTAAAGTCGGCGAACAAGAGGCAAGAGAGCATCATGTTGCGCGGCTAGTCCGCTTGAGACGTCTTGCCCGAGGCCGTTGGTCTGGCTGCAAGGGAGGGTGTTGGGTGATTGCTGTAATGCCATTGGCCAGAATGTTTTCCTTTCACTTTGCGAAGACAGGGAGGCTGGACGGCCAATACGCCCTCCATTCCTCACAGGAGAGGACACGCATACGTTTGCCGTTGCGGCGAGCAACAGGACTGCGTGCCTCGCGAAGTACCTGAGGAAGTCCGGAATGGCCTTTTTATGGTTCGCATCTCAGATATTGTTTCGGGGCTCGTCTTTATCAATTTCGATCCTCTCAATTTCGGCCAACAGGAATGATTCCAACAAGGCTTCCGGGTCTGTCTTTGCTCAGTTGCTCGGTTGCGATTGTCTGTCCGTTCCATTTCCGGCCCTCTTTGCTCACACGAAGCGGCATGAAGCAGATGCACGCACAGCCTGGCCCTTTGTTCGCCATCATTATCGAGTGCACTCATACAGGGACCACCGGCAGGAATGCTGTAGGCCTGCTGGAGCAACGGCCTTTGTTGATTGGATTCAATGTTTACTGGCATGCGCTTAGTTCAGCTGGGGTTGGCGTCAAGGCTTTGTGCACTAGCGATAGCCTTTGGTGTTAGGGAGGTCAGATGGCAATCATGAAGAAGCAGAGCGACCAGGTACATGGAAAGAGGGTGACACTGGATGAGCAAAAGGAGAGGGGTAAAGAGAGAGCGATGAAGAGGGACAGATAAAGAAGGGAGAAGACAAAACGAGAAACTCGGTCCCGGGGCGCTTTATCCCTTGGCTAAGCGGCACCGAGAATCCTTGTCAGGATCGGCCTGTCCGATGTCGTATTCTCTCCCTCGCGGACTTGGCTCGAGGGATCAGATGCCATATACGATTACCACGTGTGCTTACTTCTCACCCTCCCCTCCACGAGAATGCTATTATAAGTGGCTGTTGAGGCGCACAGCACAACGGCACCTACCAGCCAACCGGCCGAGCCGAATCGGAAACATTGTGCGCGGCTAGGCTGTATGCTCGAAGATCCCGTGACTTCTTTGTCCTGCTGAGCCGGATGGGGTGTATGTTACTATGGTATAGGGCTTAGATTACTGGAGAATTTTGAGAGTGTAGAGAGCCGATGGTGCATCGGGAAGATGTGGAGAGGATGTGGATAGGATGTGGAGAGAGGTCTCTGCCGTGACAGAGGGGCCATTGTCGTACATAGTAGGCCAGACCCAGCTACCCCATCCATCGTCTGCCTTGCCATAGGAAGCAATGGCCTATTCGCAAACCGGTTTGATTTCCCGCCGCCCTGCAAAAGAGTCCCTGCAGCAGCCTTCCAACAGCCAACAGGCCTCGATGTTATCAAACAGACGCCACCGCTAGGCAGAACACAGCCAGGGCGCAGCATGGCCAGCCCGGGCTTGAACGGCCGTGTTGGGCAGCGGGTGATGCAGATCGCTGCGGCTAGAGAGCGATGCTACGCGGCTGTCGCCGCTGAACGTCTCGTCTTTGTTTCCTGTCTCCACCAGGCCGGTGTGGCCGGTGAGGATCAGGATGGAGAGAGAGGTCGTTCCTGCTTGCATATACTCCATATACATGGCATAATAGCGCCTTCAGCCTTTGAATCAGCACCCTGATGGAACGCCATTCCGTTACCGGCACTCTATGTGCTTTTCAAACGAGCAGAGGCTTAGAATAGTAGGGAGAGTCCCCGATGCGGCAGCCTCTGCTTTTGCTTCCTGCATCTTGCATCAAAGAAATGCAAAGGGTGCGAGAGCCAGGTAGAAGTATCCAATATCCTGTATATTCTATGCTGCCCGTCCTGGGCGACCTGTTGATGCTGATGCAGGTGAAGGAAACAAGTAGAAACAAATGAAACGAAAGGGGGTATCGTGCCACGACGGTCTAGAGTACAAACGAAGCAGAAGCAGAGAAAGACAGAAACTCCGGTACGTGTATGTAGGAAGAAGAGCGAAAGAGAACGGGTCTGAAAAGAGGGTGAGGCCAAAAGGAGGGAACAGCTGCCGGTCAGCAGATCAGGTCTCGGCCGCCTCGACGAAATCAACGGCCATCGAGTCAGCAGCCAGGTCCAAGGCTGGTGATGGCAGCGTCGTAGACAGTGCCAGTGGCGGCTCGCAGTCGGGCTCCCCGGCCATCGAGCCGGCCGACGGCTGCGGCGACCTACTGGCGGCCTTGAAGGAACGGTGGCCACCGCTGCTGCCGCCAGCACCACCGCTTCCAGGCGGCCGACGACGTCGCATCCGCGGCCGGCTGTACACCAGGTTCGGACAGCGACGAGCGATCTCGGCCGCCGACAGACGGACGTGCAGCAGGCCGAAGCTGACCTTGCGGATGCCGCCTGGCTGGCCGGCCATCCGCAGCGACATGGGCAGGAAGTCGTCGTCCGGGTCCTCCGCAATAGAGGCCATGTCGTGAGGGATCGGGCTGGGACCCGGGTTGGCTTTGGAGCCCGAGGCCTGGCCGGTCACGGCTGCTCGGACGAGACGGGCCATCCGGATCTCGCGGGCCACCTCTGTGCACATCGCCGCATCGCGGCTGTTGTCGGCGTCGCTGCTGGCGTCCACGTCGGGATCGATCTCGAGCCCGTCCGTCTTCGGAACCAGTTCGGCCGGCATCGTCGACATCGTGGACAAGGCCGTAGGCAGAGTGATTCCAGTCACGTGACCTCTACCAACGGTCTTGTCCAGCCAGCTGCACAGGTCATAGCCCGACGACGGCACGTCTCGATGCGTCGGCGCCAGCTGCGGCAGTGCCAGCGATGCGGCCGAGAGCGGCAGCAGGAGTGGTGGCAACTGTCGTGGCTGTTGTTGTTGCTGTAGTTGTAGCTGCAGCTGCAGCTCTTCTTGCTGTGGACAAGTCGTCGTCTCGATCCACGTCTGTGGCAGTGGAGGATGATGGTAACTGTGATGTCGAGCCGGCTGTCGTGATCGTGGCAGAGTGGACGCTGCTGCTACTGCTGCTCGTGGCATCTGCGAAGGCACAGACGCAAAGGACGACATGGATCGCAGCCGATACGGAGGCAGAGACGGCGTCGCTGCGGCGCTGCTGATGCTGATGCCGTCGTCGACCTCTAGATCGAGGTCGACGCTGTGCTGCCAGGACGAGTCGGCATCGTAGTCGACAGCCGTGGTCGGGTCAGGGCCCGTCATGGCCTGTCCTTCCAGATGCTGTCGGCAGAGGTCGTCTGCTAGGCGCTCAACATCGCTGCTGTCGACGACCGACTGTGCCGATTGAGGCGACGGTGGCGGCAGCGGCACGATCTCAGGCAGCATTGGCGACAGATAGGAGCCACGACGCACAGCATACGGGCCGGACGGGTCGGACGAAAAGGGCGGGAACGGAGCTGGAGGTGGCAGCGACGAGAGCGGCGAAAGATGCTCGACCGAGCCGGCGTCGGAAAAGGAGACCTGGTGCAGCGGTGGTGGTGCCGGCGGCGATGGCCGTTCTCGCTGCTGCGGCCATGTCTGCTTGTGAAAGGTGTAGGCGTAGCTGTCCTGTTGCTGCTGCAGTTGCTGCTGCAGTTGCTGCTGCAGTTGCTGCTGTTGAGTGGTGGAAGAGGGTAGCTGGTCAAATGGTGATGGGGCAGCGTCTGCTGCTCCTGTGCGGGAGTCGTGTCCGTCGTCGTCGCCAGGACACGGCGGCCACGACCAGGCAAGGCCGTATCGGGAAAGCATAGACATGGACGTCGGGAGGTGCAGAGAGGGTCGTCTTTGGTCGATGGTCCGTCGGATGCTCAGCGAATGTCCATCCTCGAGAGCGAGGAGAGGGCGAGAATAAGAGGAGAGAACCCGACCGGATGGAGAGGACGAAGGACCGATTTTAACGAAAACGAGCGTGGTACGAAAACCAGGGGTTGAGGCTGAGACAAGCCGTTTCCTTTAATCGAGCCTGTGTCTCGTCTTGTTGCTGTCATCCGTACAAGTCGTACCGCTGCTGCCCGGATTCTTCGCTTCGCTGTACGAGTATGTACATTCTTGTACAACCCCCGGGAGAAGATCGGCAGTCTACGAGTACGACGCTCCCAGTCTGCTCCGTACGTCTAATACTCACAATATCAGAGCACAGTCCAGCCGTCTGTGGAGGTGGAGTTAGTGCCGGTAAGGGGGGGAGAAGGCAAAGAGGAAAGGCGTGTTCTTGGGTCAGTGGAGCTGGGGCATGAAAAGTGGGGGCTGTAGCCGTCCTTCTGGGACTAGGAGAGGCGCAAAAGGAAAGTGACAAGAGCGGGATAATCTGCGCCAGGAACACTCGGACATGTCCTTCTGCAGAGGAAGGGAAAAAGGAGGCAGGAGGCCAAAGCTTTACGGAGTACAAGGAAAGCTATATCGTACTACTCCGTATGTATGCATATAGAGAAGGGATCGACGGTCTGGGGGATGTGTTCGTCGGAAAAAGCACGGATATGGCTGCGCACGGTACTATGTATGAACTGCTGCAGCTGGTCTTCATCCTTTCTTTTACCCAAAAACTTCCACAGCTTCGTCTGGTACGACATTTACACTGTGTGGGGCTATGGATCCGTGCGCAACGTGTTCCGCGCGAGCACTTTCGCCTGGGAGCGACATCTCATCTCGGCATGCATGTGATGACCCGACGCTGTGGTGCCAGGACACTCAGCGCGTTTGTCATCCCCGGCGGATACTCTGTAGACATATCGTGCCCAGACGCCCCTTGGGAGCCCCTTGGGAGAAATCACAAGCGATTTGTCCCGCCGGCTGCGTCTGGAAGCCAGGCTCGTGGCGGTAGAGACACACAGTGCGGAATGCAGTGCGATGCAAGCCACCCCAAAGGAGCCCAAAGGGGAAAACGAACAGGGAAAAGGCAAAGATGGAAAATGGAAAAAGAGAAAAATCGACAGATAGGCATGCCTGCGACAACGCCGCCACGCACAATCGGGCCGCTGCCACATAGTATTAGCAAACTATGTAAGATGCTTCATTACTCCCGCTCTACTTCCGGCGGGCGTCATGCACAAATATGCTGTCGTGCCTCGCCGCTAGGGAAAGTCACGGGAAGAACCACGGTTTTGGGACTAGCCCTGGCCCCTTGCCCCGTTGTACTCCATATGCTGCACGTAAGGGGCTGGCTCTTGTGCGATGTGTATCCGCAAGAACGTACGATGTTATTTCCACCTCGGACATCGCAGCAGCGTCTGCCCTATTGAAAGGGGTGGCTTTCTCGTGCCCGAGCTCCTTGGCCCGAGTGCTATGAACGAGAAGTCGTGAAAGTTGCGACCTATATGTCGTACGCATATACATACGTACGAGCATCGGTGGATAGTTTTTAATTCTTTTTTTTTTTTTTTTTTTACCGAAATGCCTTTCTATTGCGTCGTGTCGTACTCATTCCATCATATGCTCCACGCATTACTCTGCTGCCGGGGAGTTGTCTCTATTTCCCTGCTTGCACCAGCTCTCTCTGCTCTTGCAGATGGATCGTGGGTCTGCACGGAGTACGTCGTACACGTACATAGTAGCACTCCCAATATCTCTGTGTGGTCCCGATCGCTGCTGCTGGACCTGCAACCTCGCCATCCCCTGATTCGCTCTGGGACACATGACGCTTTGTGACTGAGAAGCGATGATCTTGATTTAAAGCCTCGTGTAGAGCACGTCTATTCGTATTTTATATTTTGTCGGACAGTCGCGAAAGCTTTGCTCCGTGGTGCTTGTCATACATAGTAGAGGTAACGGCACACAATGTCCGAGCAATCCATTTCTCGAAGCTGTCTGAATGCAAACCCTTACCCCACGACCCTCAGCAAGATACCAGGAGCAGCGCTAGTGTGCCGGCTAAGAGCCCCTCCCCAAATTGGGATCCTTGATATACTCGTACTCGCTTTGTATCTGACTCTGTGTAGTATCGTAGTCCGTACATGTCGTAGCAGAGCGTTACGAAAACCCGAACCACCGTGTGTTTGCCGAAGGGGGGGACACGGGAAGAACACCGAGTGCTCCGTATGCAACGCCCTACCAAGAACCATGGTCTGTGTGCTCGTGCGAACCTGACTTTCCCGACGGCAAACTGCTCGTACTCGTACTTGTGCTTGACGGCAGATGAAGCTGCAGTTTCACGTCCTCCTGACTGAGTACTCCGTACTGACCACTATTCTCCGTCTTGGCAAGCGGGTAGCACAGGCCTAGAGCTAAATCACAGAGTGCGCTCTCTTCTGGTCCGTGACCCGACATTGATGAGCATGATCAATGATCCTCATCTCGGGCACGAGTCTTTTCAACCCCACCGTATTTCACGTACTACGACGTACGAGTATACAGAGCGCGTGGCAACCGAGCTTACAGCGGGTCACAGGTCGTACCGCACTAAAAACACTGCTGGAATATTGTTGCTACGACCTATATTACCAAATATTTGGAATCTGTCTATCAATGCTTCGCAATACTCTGTATTATACGACTACGTACGTACAGGCTCTTACTTCTCACTTTCAATCTACGTGAAAATGATACAGAAGACATCGGCCCCTATATGCTACTACTTTGCACATACTCGCATTAGTCAGCAGACGTCTGGCCGCTACACTACTAACGGCTGCAAGTCCCTGATATCTCAATTCTCAGGCTTTCTTTTTCGGCCTTCTTCTCCGGACAGGAGGCTCTGGCAAGAACAAGTGATCAATTCCACGCCATGCTTTCAATCAGAGGCGATGCACAATCTGCGCACATCACCAGCGGTCAGTTTGTGATGTAATCGCAGGAAGCGCATTGAAATCAGCTTGGTGATCCACGTCACGTGTTCACGCGGAACCTTGTAGAGGCGAAAAAAGCTAGAGATGCCGAATTTACTCCCCCGCCTCAACGACCAATATCGCCGCCTTTACCCCGACGCAACCAGCGCAAAGCGGACCTTGTCTGTACTTGACAATGGCAACACACCGACGGTCTCTGGCGGCGGCGGCAGCAACGCTGGCCGGAGGTTCAGCGACAAGTGCCGAGAGTCTGGCGCAGCGATCGCTCTTCATCCGCGTGCGGCCGGCACCGACGACGCTTTCGGAGCGGCGGTCTGTTCTGCGCGTGCTCGAGCGGCATGGCAAGACGGAAATGTTTAAGAAGCTGGCGGTGCGTTGCAGCGGGATGGCGATGTCCAGGTGGTCTGGTGCTAACTTGCCCGTCTTCTTGTCTTGTCTAGGATAACGCCTCGTTTATTGCCATAGCCGCAACGGCTGCGACGGCGTCGACGCTGATCAACCGCAGTCCGATTCAGTACGAGTTTCTGTCAGAGACGTTTGAGACGGTGCAGCCGTGGGGGAATCCACGGGTGGCCACTCTGGTGCAGCCGATCGAGACGAGGCGGATAGGAGAAGGAGAGGTGGCGGAGACGGCGGCCGGAAGCGCCGACACGAGTAACCGACGACAGACCGAACACGTGCAGCACAAGTCCTTTGTGGTCAGCGTGTTCCCCAGCCAAGACTACCGCCACCAGACGATGCTCCGGCTCTCGCCGCTGCATGGGCCGTGGCCCAAGGACTTCTCGGCCGTCTTGGCGCCGTCATTGACGGGCCGCGGCAATGTCGCCTACAAGAACACGTTTGTGTACAACGCCCTCCGGGCGGTCGTGCCCGAAAGCGCGGCATCCGAGGGCCTGTGCGACTGGCGGGCGAGCTCGGCCGACGTCAGCGTGCGGGCTGCGGCCACGAGGGAGAGCGAGAGCAGCAGCGGCAGCGGCGATGGAAGCGGCAGCAGCAGACGCAGCGGTACCAAAGATGCGGCGTACATCCAGCAGCGCAAGGCGCGCAAGCTCCGGTTTGACCGTTCGACGATTGCGGGCGTGCTAGCGAGGAGCAACAGGAGTAGCAGCAACAGCAACAGCAGCAGTGGCCAGAGCAACAGCAGTAGTGGCAACAGCGACAGCAACAGCAGCGACACCAAGGACAACAGCAAGAACAGCAAGAGCACCGTTGATAACCAAGGCGAGGACCCCTTTAGCGTGTTGCTGGGCCAATAAACAGCGGGCCGACACCTCCTGACCGCTCGAACACCGTCCTCGGCCAAAGGTGACGCTGGATCCAGTTTTGCTATCCAGCAGGCATCAACATCGGAGACATACCACGACAAGGCCCGGCCTCGGCAACAAGGGCTCTGCAGTGTACTACCAATCGGCTGTCCGGGCTGAACACAGCTCTTGACCGGTGGAGAACACTGCATAGCTTGCAAACAGCCACGTCAACGGCGCTCGGCGCAGTTAGACACATAAGCCGTCTTCTAGGTCCAGCCGGCTCATGTGCGACCCGTCGCGGCGCAGGATGCAAGGCCAAAATGCGGCGCCACGGGTGTTGCAGTCGAACTGGTGCAAGGGGCCCATTCCGTTTGGCGGGCATTCTTCTGCCTCCTTGCATGACGAGATTGATGTCGTGTGCGAGTTAACGTGCGTCTTCCGTCAATACAAAGAAGCCTTGATTGCAAGCAAGATCCTGCGCAAACGCCATTGGTACGAAACAGGTACGAGCTCGTACTCCGGGCAAGTCTGCTCCTGTGCAATCTGCATGATCTGCTCGTATCTTACATTTTTGAGCCCTGCTCCTTAGGCCGGATCAGGAAATGCACAGATGCGGTTCCCAAAAGTCACGCATTTGGCCTCTCGTATCCAGGCAGGAGGCCGCTGGGAACGGGTGCAAGCAGCGCGAAGTTGGGCCGTTATTACGTCATCCGTGCAGAAGCCACGCCACGGGACAGAGAGGGGCTGCCGCAGAGAACTCGTAACGGCAACCACGTTGCACTGCCCGCTGTCAAGCGGCGATGGGAACGTGTGGGAAAGAGTGGCGCTGCGCCCCCTCTCCATAATTTTCCCAGGCTCTTAGTCCGCAAACGGCCAAGCCGCTGGACGATCCATTTTTGGGCGTGGCAGTGAGCAGGCCGCCTACGGTAAGCTTTTCGGCTCTTGTTTCTAGGCCGCCCAGCGTCTCTGCTCTCATTCGCTGGCTTCCCACAGCCTCTCACAGCCTCTCACACGCTCTCGCCCTCGCCCTCTCACGCTCTCACGCTCTCGCGCTTGTGACCAGCCACGTAATCAGGCGTGAGAGCCCAGCAGCCGCGAGCAGAGGTTGACCAATCGAACGAGCAGACGGGCCAGAACAGGGAAGGACACGCTGGAAACGGGTTTGTCTGCCGAAACTGCTGCATGACGTTGCACACCTGTCTTGCCTGTCTGACCGTCTGTTCTGGGCGGTCTCCATCGCGATGCCCATGGTGGCCATGACGCTCTAGGCGTCCACAGCCACTGACCGCTGGCTGGCCTGTGCCTGAAGCACGGCGCGCCTTCCAGCTCCATATAATGTCGTCCTTCGCCTTCTGTCTTGGTGGGCCTCAGTCTTGCAGACCACTTGCGACTTGCGAGACCACTGACAGACCACGCGCAATCACTACACTTACAAAGTAAGATATTTACCGGGAGCACAAATCTCTTCTCGGCCAGGCCTCTTTCCACCATGGCCCGCACCGGCTTCTTTCACCATATCGGCACATTCCTGCTCTTCGCGGCGTGCATCCTGCTGCTCGTCACCAGCATCTCGGCCCCGACCGTCAACCGGCTCTCGCTCCTCAAGGTCCGCCTGGGCAATGCCACCGAGGCCCACAGGTCGGCCCTCACGTTTGGCTCGTTTGGCTACTGCATTATCGACACGCCGTCCGCAGGGTGCGTCCAGTTTCCAATCCAGCCTTCCAAATGGCTTACTAATCAACATCGCGTTTCAGTAGCAGCTCAAAGAATGAAGACTATTGCACCCACAGCAAGCTCGGCTACGACCCGGTAGCGGCCATCGTGGCCGGTGGTATCGAGTCATCCTCGTCCTCCTCCAAATCCATCTCCACGCTCTTCTCCCACGGCGAGACCAGGACGGTCCGCGACCTGACCAAGGTCATGATCCTGCACCCAATCGGCTGCGGCATTCTCTTCGTGGCCTTTCTGTTCGCCGCCGGTGCCGGCTTTATAGGCTCGTTCCTGGCGTCGCTCGTGGCCCTGGTTGGCTTCCTGGCGACCATTGTCGTACTCGCTACCGACTTTGTGCTTTTTGCCATTGTGCGCCACAAGGTCAACGGCGACGACGACACGACAGGCGCTACGGCCGTCTTTGGGCCGGCCATATGGACCGTGGTCGCTGCTGCCGCCTGCGCGCTGTTCGGTACCCTGATCGTCTTCTTCTCCTGCTGCAGCGGCCGTCTGCACGAGCGGCGCAGCGTGCCGTCGCGCAAGCTGGAAGGCAGCTTTGCCCGGCCTCCGCGGCGGTGGAGACGATTCATCTAGGCGGTTATCACGAGAACAAGATCTACGATGAACAACGAAAACAAGGTCATGTATCCGGATGATCATGATTAATGCGTCCACGGGCAAAAAAATATGGGTGTGGTTTCTGCTGTGTTGCTTTCGCCATTGTCCTGGCACTTCAATTTCCTGAAAGGACTGTTTATGATATCCCTTTGCCTTGCTACTTTTCCATACTCAATTTGTAATAAATTCACACCAAGTCCTTTTGCTGTCGTAAAATAGCTGTAGGCCTGTATTAGAGCGCAAAGTCCTGGATATGCGCTAACAGAAAAGACCCCCACGCTTTGATTGGCTGCCTCGGCGAACCTCTGCGATCTCTACACTTCCGCGGAGGTTTTGACAGACGAGCGAGACATTTCCCATCAACGCAACGAGACATGGATTATCGATGTGACAGAGTCCGATAAGCTTACGAGGGCCTTTTCTCTTTGATTCAGGAGATTGTATTTCCCCATTTCTACTACGACTCGGCCTCGACTTTAGGTCGCCCAACCTGCTGCCTAACATGACTTGGGATCTTGCGCGTCGCCATGAGCACAACGTGCAGACGCTGCGACGGTCGCCGCTGGCCGAGATCTCGGGTGCGCTGGGCGACCTGGGCACGCTGCTACCGCTGATGACAGCCCTGGCTGTGCAGCACTCAGTTTCGCTATCGTCGACGCTGGTTTTTTCGGGGCTCTTCAACGTGGCCACGGGCATTGTGTTTGGCATTCCGTTGCCGGTGCAGCCGATGAAGGTGAGTGGGAGCTGGCGACCGTTGTGGCATGCACACTTCAGCAGCTGACGGACTAGGCCATTGCTGCTGCAGCGATCGCGTCGCGGGCGTCTCTCCGGGACACCGTCGCGGCCGGTGGTCTCGTCAGCGCGGCTGTGCTGCTGCTGGCGGCCACGGGACTGCTGCGCTGGCTGGCCGTTCACGTCCCGGTGCCGGTGGGCAAGGGCATCCAACTGGGCGCCGGCCTGTCGCTGATCATCTCGGCGGGCAACAGCCTGCTTGGGCCGCTGGGCTGGCTGCAGCCGTCGGGGCTGGATAACCGACTGTGGGCGCTGGCTGCGTTTGTCGGGCTGATGGCGACGCAGGGCTTTCGTGGAGGCCGATTCTTCCCCTATGCTCTGGTCACCTTTCTCGTCGGGCTCGCGCTGGCTTTGGCGGTTGCGCTGACGGCTCACGCCGCCGACCACAATGTGCGTCTGCCCGGCTTTGCGTTGTGGCGGCCCCGCGTTCTTCTGCCGCACTGGCTGTCGGGCGAGGCCTGGGGAATGGCCGTGGCGCAGCTGCCGCTGACGATGCTGAACTCAGTTGTGGCCGTGAGCGCACTGGCGAGCGATCTGCTTGGCGGCTCGACCACGCCTGCCTCCGTTACCGCTCTCGGCTGCAGCGTCGGCCTGATGAACCTGGTCGGCTGCTGGTTCGGAGCCATGCCGGTCTGTCACGGGGCTGGCGGGCTGGCGGCGCAGTACCGCTTCGGGGCTCGTAGCGGTGCCAGCGTCATTCTGCTGGGTCTCTTCAAGACAACCTTGGGACTGCTGCTGGGCGAGACGCTTGTCGACCTGCTCGGCTTCTTTCCGCGCGGCGTGCTCGGCGTTCTGGTGCTGGCCTCGGGCCTGGAGCTCGCCGCCGTCGGCAACAGCCTCAATCAAGGCGCGCCCGATCTCTGGGAGGTGGCGGCGAATAATGTGAGAAATGAAGCCGCTGCAGCCACGGCATCTGACACAGACACCCAAGCGAACCGCAAGCATCGCGCTCTCTCCGACGACGAACGCCTCGAGCGCTGGACTGTCATGCTCACCACCACGGCTGGCATCCTGGCCACCAAGAACGACGCCGTCGGCTTCGCGGCCGGCCTGCTCTGTCATGGCGCATATCGCCTGGCCGACCACTATCGCCAAAGATGGCCGGCCGGTGGAGAGGGCCGACCGTTGCTAGCTTAAAGTAGACAGTGTGCAGAAAATCTACCGTGTAGACTCGTGAGAGTTGCGAGGAGTCATATAGTCAGCAACAAGCAAGCGCAAAATATAAGGCGGCTTACTATGAAGCAGACATCTCAGACTGAGAAAAACCTGAAGATAATCTCACTTCGTTCCTCTTCTAGAAGCCATACTAGGCTTGTTTTTCGCAAGGATCGCTGGCTCGACCTCGTCACAATCGTTCCCATAGCTTTTCCTGCTACTATTGTGCTCTCGGCTGACTGTCGCGTCAACGAGATACGAATTTTTTTGAGGACAACTCAAACGACCAACAGCAGACTATTTGCGAAATCTCAGCAGTCCGGCTGTATCTCGCAACTACCGGCTGCCTGCTACAGACAATCGTCACTGCCTGCTGCAGAGTATCGTCGCTGCCTCTTTGAGGCTGGTCCATTGCGCATGTCATTTCATTGGCCAAAACAGACCCATCTCTAGCGAGCAGCATGTTGCCAATCATATCGTCCCTTGACCCGTGGAGGAGTCCACCACGAAAGGCCCCACCGAAAAATGGACTCAGGCCGGGACATCCTGAATACCTCTTTTTCGATTGCCCGATTCTGCTCCCCAGCGGCCGCCCCTCCAGAGAAGTGCGCTGGTACTTTGCGTTTTTTGGCAGCCCCGAACACGACAACGACACAGGCGAAGGAGCTGTTCCCAATACAGCGATGACTTCGCCCAACGCCACGCTCGACCTTCCCATCGATAACTCGATTGGCAGCGCCCTGCAGAACGACAGCACCACGAACACGAACTCCACGACGACCAACTGTGCCGACACGACGCAAGACGCGCCTGGCGCGACGTACGACGAGTCAGCGACATTACCGACGCCTCTGATCACTGCTGGTGGTGCTTTGGCCGCGGGCAGCCACCTGTTGCTGGCCACCACAGACGGCTCATCAAACATCAACATCAATATCAACACAACTATTGACCCCGACATCGACACGAACACAAACCAGCTCGCCCCTCCCCTGGATCTCTTTGCCGGCACTGCCGGGACAATCCAGAACGGCCTGATCCCCATGACCTATTATCTTGCTGGCGGCTCCGCCGGCGGCCAGTTCGGCAATGCCGACAACGACCACAAGCACTGCATCAACCCGCAAGACCTGGCCTCCTATCTGGACACGACCAAACTGCAGACGACCGACCACTTGCCGGATTCCTCGTACTTTCCGAACACGACGTACAATGGTGCTGCTGTGGCGGCGGCGAGCACGAGGCCGTCCGGCCTGGACTCGTTTGCCCGGCTCAAGTTTGCCGACGGCACCTTTTTCATGACGACGTACTCGGTCATCATCGGCCGCGACCAGCTGGCTATCGACCAGGCCCGTCGAGATCTGCGCTGCGGCACGGTCGGCGATGGCCTGCCAGCCATCAGCTTCCACGACCAGACCGACCTGCCGCAGCAACGGAAAAAGTTCAGCCGCTCCTACATCAGCGAGGAGGGCGGTATCATGGGGCCGGAGGCTGACGACGACCAGCCGGCGACCAGCCGTCCGGCCAAGCGGAGAAAGACGAACTCGGGCGAGTCAGCCTCGCAGCCAGAGGGAAGCAGACACGGGAGTAGCGGTGGCGGACACGCCAGCGGGGCTGGTGCAGGTACAGGTGCAGGTGCAGGTGCAGGTGCAGGTGCAGGTGCTGGTGCTGTACAGAACGGAAACGGCACAGACCACGGGGCTGCTGATGGCAACGATCATGCCAGCAGCAGCATCGTGCCTGACCGCCAGTACTTTCCCGGCCACACGCCCAACTCAGCCATGGTGGACATCGAGACCCACCAGCCATCACCGCACCGGGTGGCCTTTGTCGGGATCCACTCGCCCGGCCCTGATATGCTGGCCAAGACCAAGGCGATCTCGCGCAAGCATCTGAAGATCTCGTTCAACTTTGAGAAGAGCGTCTTCGAGGCTGAGCCACTGCACATGAACGGCTTTTTCCACAACGACCAGTACGTGCGGGACCACTCGGTCGTGCTGCGGTCCAACGATACGCTGCAGATCAAGGACATCGCCTTTGAGTTTGTCATCAGCACTGTCAAGAAGGGCCTCACCGGCGCTGAATTGCTGCCGCCCAGAAAGAAGACCACCGGCGGCAAGCAGATGAGCTTTGAGTTTGAGAGCCACCACGACGGCAACGTCCAGGACACGAGCGAGGAAGAGCCGCAGCCGGGTGCCGGTGCCGACGACGACGACATTCCCGATATCAGCAGCAAGGGCAAGGGCAAGGGCAAAGGCAAGGCCAAGGCCAAGGCCAAGAAGGCGCCCAAGGGTACGAATGTGCTGGATGTGTTGGCAGCACCAGCGCCAGCAGCTCCGGCTATGACATCAGCATCGACAGCGACATCTGTATCGGCACCAACAGCACCGCCAGCATCAGTACCCGCATCATCACATCCTCTCGCACTAGCATCCGCATTCGCCATGCCGGCAGCCATGCCGACGGCGCTGCCATCCTACGCCGACGATGCCATGGACGAGGACCAGAAGCTGCTGATCCGGTCGATCGAGCAGGACCCGACATTGGCGACGCAGCAGCTCGCGGCCGAGATGGGCCTGCCGTCGCTGCCGACACTCAAGAAGCGTGGCCCGGGTAGGCCGCCCAAGAACGGTTTCATGTCACTCAAGGACACGAAGAGGCTGCTCAAGGCAGCGGCCGATGGAAAAGACTCAGCCAACGCCGCGGCAGCCGCGGCAGCTGTGGCATTGGTTGGGACGGTCAACGCAGAGGCTGTCTCAAACGCTGGCTTAGCGGCCATCTTGGAAGCGATCCATGCCGACGCCAACAATAATGCCAACAGTATTGTCAACAACAACAACAACAACAACAATAGCGTCCTCTTGTTGGGCAGCGGTGGCAGTGGCGGCTACATTGCGCCGACACAGAGTCCGGAGGCAGGTTTCGTGGCCACACCGGGCGGCTCCTCTGCAGCTACGGCGTTTGACGGCACACCTGCAGCCACGATGAACATGTATAGCGGTGGTGGTGGTGTCAGTATAGGTGGTGACTTGAACGGCAACAGCAACGCCAACAGCTCTAACATGCCGATGATGGGAATGGTCGGCGGGCCCTCGTCTGCGAACACAGCAGCAGCAGGGCCACCGGTGAAGCGCAAGGTTGGACGTCCACGAAAGTATCCACTTCCGGACAACGCGGACCAGCAGCCGGAGAAGCGCAAGTACAAGCCGCGGAAGCCACGAAACGAGGGCGACATAAACAACAGTGGCAGCGGCGGTGGTGGTCACGGCGGAAACGGCGAAACGGACTCGGACGGCAACGGCGGTCACGGCCACGGTCACAACGGTCACGGCGGCGCGGAAGCGCGGCGACATGAGCGGCACAAGACGCCGCCGCTGCAGCTCAACCGGGCCGACTACACGGCCGAGCAACTGGCCAAGCCGAACAAGAACTACAGCGTACTGATCGACGAGGTGCTGCAGCAGGCGGCCAGCGGCTTGACACTTAAGCAGGTCTACAAGCGGATCCAGGCACGCTACCCCTACTTTTTCTTCGAGGTCGAGACGAAGGGCTGGGAGAGCAGCGTGCGCCACAACTTGATCGGCAACTTTGCCTTTGCCAAGATGGAGGACTCACAGCGATGGATGCGCGTCGACGGTATGTCGCTCGAGGAGGGAAAGCGTCTGGCCTCGGCAGCCGCAGCCGTCCAGGCCGAAGAGAAGACCCGCGGCGGCGGTCGGGCAGTGAATCCGCAGCAGCAGCTGCAGCAGCAGCAGCAGCTTGGAGGTGCTGGCGGCCAGTCACAGGTGCAGGCACAACTGCAGACGCAGACGCAGACGCAGACACCCACGCCGATGCCCACACCTACACAGATGCAGACACATGTGCAGGACCAGCAGCAGCAGCTATTTCAGATCCAACAGCTGCAGCAACAGCAACTGGCAGACCCTCATGGGCTCGGACAGCTGCAGGCGCATCTTGGCGGATACCAGTCACAGCAGCAGCAGCAGCAGGCTGGCCTTTCTGAAGATGGTGACGGCAAAGGCGGCCAACAGCAGCAGATGTCGCTTCCGTCCCAGAACAACGTGCTCTCAGCCGTGCATCAGCTGGCAGCAGCCAGCCAGGCCGAAACAGGCGGCAACGTTGCCGGTAATGCTGCATCCGGGGTCGTACAGCCACAGCATACGTTCCAGCAAGCAGCAGTGCCACCGGCTGCAGCTGCAACAACAGCGCTAGAACAGTCTCCAGCACAGCAGCCACAGCCTCTAGCACAGCAGCCACAGCAGCCGCGGCGAGTGCAGACCGCTGCAGAATACCAGCCACAGCTAAAGTACCAGCCACAAATTCCGCCACAGCAGCAGGCATTGGCGGTGGCACCCGAGACGAGCGTGCTGGTGCGCAACTTCAAGGCGCAAGTGCTCAAGCAGGCGGGCAAGCTGACGCCGTACGCGGAAGAGATCGCCATGTCGGTGGTGAACCGGTGTCTACGGCTGTCATCAGAGAGCACGGCGCCGAACAGCGCGGATGGCGACGCGACAGCGACAGCGACAGCCTCGGCAGCCAGCACGGCCAATCTGGAGGCCGTCATAATGCAGGTGTTTGAGAAGAGCCTGGAGCGGCAGCTGGGCGGCCGGCCGCCAATCAGTCCGGCGCTGCTGGAACAGCTAGTCCGAGTCAAGAGCACCTTTACGACGTTTATCGCAGAAAAGATGGGCCAGCGACGGGCCAGCATGCTGATTCTCTCGGCCATGGATCAGGTGCTCGGCTTCACCGACCGCAGCATGATGCACGCGGCCACCGAGACAGAGCGCCGCGAGATTGCCGGCTCCGAGCGGCTCATCCTTGATCACCTGCGCGATCTCGTCAAGGGGTTCAATCTGCCGCTGACGCCGCAGCAGCAGCTGCAGCAGCAGGAGGTGGAACAATACCAGCAGAGGCTGGTCTCGTCAGCAAGGGCGGCTTCAAACTAAGGTGTTGAGGACAAGTCAGATCTACGGCGCATAAAAAGGGGCGCAACATCGGGCGCAAGCGAGGGCGATTCGCCTGGGTGTATCATGATTTGTGTTTCTGTTTCCATGTTTTCGTGTTTGCGTTATTGCGTTATGTGCGCGAGAGCTTCGTCTCTCGACGCCTCTCTTTTCTCTCCCACCGCTGTGGTTGTAACTATTAGCAGTGCATTCCCTATGCGAACAACGTTCGCGGGCCTCCCCCCCAAGGGGCTTTTTTTATGGCAGGTCGCCAGTCTCTGGACGAGGGCTGAGGGCATGGTGGGCGTTTATTGCGCAGCAGCTCTCTGTGGTCTATTTCTTTCAGATTATCTTGCAGCTTGATAGATATACCTGGCCTCCCAATCAGTCGGCGTGCTGTGTCGGTTGTGCTCCTTTACGTCTTCCTTTCTGTCTGCCTCTGGTAGTTCCGCGTCCGCTCTCTGTCGTCCCATTACAGCTTCGCGCTCTCGGCCAGCGTGCCCACCTTGAGCCGCTCGGAATACTTGTCCAGCACCTTGGCGCTGTGGTACTTCCAGAACGCCTTGCTGGCATCACGGCCAGCCATGCGGCGTAGGATCTTCTCGCCTCCCGGGTGCTCCTCGACAAAGTCTGGTTGGCTCAAGATGGCCTCGGTCAGCGCAGCCGTTCCAGCAGTCTTTTCCTCGACACCCTCTGCCCTCCGTCCTCGTCCTCGGCGCACTCACCTGTCACGTTGTACACGCCGCCGTCGATGATGACGTAGAGGCCATCCGCGTCGGTCTTGTGCTTGGCCACGTCGGCCGGTGTGAAGGACTTGGACATGTTTGCGGTAGTCGACTGCGGTTGCGGTGATGCTCTCTGTAGCTGTGATGGAAGTGGAAGAATGCAGAGGCTCTCAACCATCCTCTCCCTTCATTACGCGATTAGGCGGTGTTCTGCCGAACCTCGGCCCCGCTGCAGTCTGGCCCGCTGGGTGGGGCAGATGCCAAAGCTGGGGTCGCTGGCTGGCCCGCGGGCCATTAGTAAGAAAGGGTCATACCTATGGCTAGGTCCTGATTGGCGGCCATAAGCTTGGTATGGTTCTATTACGTACGACGCAGGTACCTGTACGAATTGCCATATGTTGTATTATTTTGTTTACTTACGGAGACCGTCGTACGTCGTATACTCTTTGTACTCCGTATTGACTTATGCGTTTAACCTGCTCCAACTTTGAAGCAACCTCGACCCGGACGGATGGTAACAATGATGCTCGTTGGACGTCTTGGCTTCGTACACGGGCTCGGGTCTGTAAAGCAATAAAGGCCCGAACGACGAGGGATCCAGAGTCTTACCACAACCAGCGGAAAACATGCGATTCTGACGTGCGCTACAGTGTCGCGCAAGAACCAAAAAGCGGTGGGTTTCAATATGGTAATAGAAAAAAATAGAGGTGGTGCTTCTATAGTATTACAACGCTGCAGCCGGTTAAAGCTCGGGCAGTAGCTACCAAGCGATCACAGACGCGAAAGAGCGACATCCGAGGAAGCCCCTAGGTTCAGTATCCTTTCCCTTCCGGCCGACCAGGTAGCAGGCAACGCAAATAAATCGATCCCCACCGCAACACCGCTGCTTGTACTCCGTAGCCCAAGCCTGTTTCCATACCGTCCGTTGCCAATGACAAATTACAAACGCCGAATTATCCTTCCCTTGAGGTGACCGTACGGGCTGTAGTTATAAAAAAAAAAAAAAAAAAAAAAAAAGAGTAAAATGTGACAAATGAAGCCCCTGGGAGGCGTCGACGGAGTAGAGTCGAGACAGAATAGAAGTCGAGCGAGAAAGTGGGACAATCGGGGCCTACTTGGCTCGATCACATCGAAGTGAGTGGTGATAGACGGCAGACGGAAGACGGTAGACGGTGGTGAGATGTGATGTGCCTAATGCACGCAGCGAGACTCATGATTGCTCTCCACACTAAGCTACAGCATGACGTTTTCGAAGTCGCGCATCATGACGGCCACCTGGGCGCGCTTGGCTGCCTCGGCCAAGAGGGTGAAGTCTTTGAGGAGAGCGTCGGTCGAGGGCGTCTTGACGCTGACAGGCGCCGGTGGCACAATCTTGGTAGGGGGAGAAGACTGGAGAGAGGAGGTGGCCGAAGACAGCGAGAGCTGCTGCTGGTGCATTGAAGAGGAGGCGTTCATGTTGGGTCTAGACGAGTCGGTCAGGCGTGTTTGGTGGGATGCAGATGGCGGGTGTGAAGGACAGAGGCTAGAAAAGGGCGAGAATGGGAAGACGAAACGATGAAGAGAAAGGCAGCCAGAGACTTACATATACGAGTAGACGAAATGCGATAGATTACAAGGACAACGGGAGCCAACCAGACGGACAGGGCGCACTAGGAGTGACAAGGAAGCCGACGAGAAATAAGGAAGCGTGAACGGCCGTTAATTTGCAAAAGTTGGACCCGTGCTGCATGTGCAAGCCGCGGCTGCTTCAGTGGCCGACGGGTATTGTGGTGTCGACTGATTTCGGACAGCGGTTGTTGGTGGAGAGAAGACGTGGGGCGGTTCAGTAATCTCACGTGGCAGGAGAGAAGGCAGAGAGAGCGAATCGAGACGGAGAGCAGTGCGGCAGCGACACGGCAAGAGCGACACGGCAAAGTTGGACACGGCAAGAGCAGAGAGGCGGGAAGGGCGAGCAGATTCTACTTGTACAGCAGATGCGCCCACCATGGCGTTGTCGCCAGGAAGATAGCGGCCCTGGCTGGCGTCGTGGCCGGCCAAACCTCGGGAGAGCGCTGATCGGGGACTGGGGACAGGCCTAGAAAAATGGGCACACAAAGCAATAGAGCGAGCGAATCGACGGCAGGGTTTCGACGACGAGTATTGCCGGACTGGGACCGAGTAGACAGGGCCGAGACTACTATGGCATTAGCTCTTCCGCAGAGCCGGCAGTGAGGAAAAACGACGGGGGAAGCCGAGAAAACGAGAAAGCAAGAAGACAGAGCATGGAAAAGAACAAAAAAGTCAGAAAATCAGCTGTTGGCCCACGGCACCCGCACGCCAGCCAGCCAGCCCACAAAGGAAGCGGACGAAACATGCGTAAGCCGCCACCTCTCGTCACCTTTCGATCTCGACTCCTTCCGGCCTGGGGGGGGTTTTTTTTTTGCTTTGCCTTTCCTTAGTCGCGACGTCGGAACAACGACGGCACTGACAACGCGAGAGCTTTGGCCTCTTGGCTGTCGCTTCCGCTATTCTCCTGCAGCTGTCTGGCCCGAGCAGAGGTCATTCAGCGCCCCATCGCGAGCTCGTGTGGAATACGGAGTACATAAGCACGTAAGTAACAGCGTTGCATCACGTGCCAGAGTAGAGTTGACAGTCACCCCCACATTCGCTACTCCGTAAGCCCCTCGTCTCTCTAGACCCGTAGTGGCTAGTGCAATCTTGCGTACAGCATGTGAGTGTGGAGGGGCAGTTCGGTGCGAGATGTCAGCTTGCGAGAACGGTTCCGATGAGCTACATACGCCGGACAGAAGCAGGCTGACGCCTTGGCACTTTGTCATTTCTGCCCTTCCGTAGCCGTCCTCTGGCCTACCCTTTCTCGTTTCCGTCTAGCCTTTCCGTTTCTGCTACAACTGTGCAGATCGCATTGGACAGCGGCGGAAATTTTCGCCGTATCAGGCGAGAGACGGACGAGCTGTACTGTACGGAGTACATACAGTATCTCTCCTGAGTATGATTTGCCGTTGGCGGCCTGTGCCTTGCAAACTGGCGGCCCCGCACACCGCCGCAGTCTAAAAGCGGAATATTTCCCGTAACAGCTGCGTGGTCGCAGAGCCGTATGAGAGAGAGAGAGAGAGCATAAGACGTCTCGACAGGTTCCTGTCCTTTTGGCATCGACAGACTCAACTGTGCACATTGTCTGGTAATTTCTCTCCCAGTCTTCTTAGCTCAGCCTCGAACTCCTTGACTTCCATCTCCGCCATGGCTGCCGCTGCCCGACCGATTCAGGTCGGCGTGATCGGCTACGGACTATCAGCCCGGGTCTTCCAGATCCCCTTTGTACTGGCGTGCAGTCGCCTGGTCTTGCGTGCTATCGTGCAGCGCCACGGCGACGAGGCCCAGCGCGACCACCCGACCGCGACGATCTACCGCGACGCCGCAGCACTCTTTGCCGATGCCGCTGTCGACCTGGTCATTGTCACGACGCCGCCGGTCTCGCACGTGACGCTGGCCTCGCAGGCGCTGGCTGCGGGCAAGCACGTCGTCGTGGAGAAGCCGTTTGCGCCGACGGCAGCCGACTGCGACCGACTGTTGGCCCAGGCCAGAGACAGCGGCCGGCTGCTGTCGGTGTACCAGAACCGGCGATGGGACGGCGACTTTGTGACGCTGCAGGCACTCATGGGCACTACACCCAATCCACTCGGCCGCCTTGTCGAGTTCGAGAGCCACATCGACCGCTTCGTCCCCCCTGGCCGGCCACCACATGCGGCCTGGCTCGCTGAGTCAGCCCAGCCGACAACCGGGGCGCTCTATGAGATCGGCTCGCACCTGCTGGACCAAGCCGTCACGCTGCTCGGGCTGCCACAGCACGTGACCGGCTTCGTGGCCGCGCAGCGTGGCGGCAACGCCACCGCCCCCGACACGTTCACGGTGCTGCTGCACTACGCCGGTGGTCTGCTGGCGACGCTCAAATCGAGCCCGGCCAGTGCCGAGACGGAGCAGCTGCGGTTTTGGGTGCGCGGCGAGCGGGGGTCGTACCGGAAGGTGAGTCTGTTCATTCCCGTGATTCCCGTGATTCTCTTTTCCCCCCTTCTTCTCTCCCCTCTCACCCTGCTCTACAGTACCACTTTGACCCCCAAGAGACCCAGGCCCTCGAACAGGGCCTCGGCCCTGGCGATCCTGGCTTCGGCGTCGAGGACCCTGCCTTTGCCGGCCGGCTGACCGTCTACGGCGACGACGGCCAGCTGCACACATCCACCGTGCCGGCCGTCTCGCCACCACCCACGTACACATGCTACTACGACCTGCTGGCTGCGGCCATCGACGGCACCGGTCCCGTGCCTGTGCCGGCCGAAGACGCCCGCAATGCTGTCCGTCTCGTGGAGCTGGCACTTCAGAGCGCTGCCGAGGGCCGCACACTGGCTTGGGAGCCGTAGCGTCGGACAGTAGACAGTGATCGTGAAAGTGCCAATCCCATCCCCAGATTACCCACAAATGGAAATCTTGGTTCTGTGCTCATGGCGTGCGACGTATTGCGCAAGACCTGCTGTTTCCGGCACTGTTGCAACGCCAAGCTGTGTTATCTTGCATCTACTGCCATCTTCCCTTTCTTCCGCAGCTTTACTCCGTAGTTGTTTATATTTATCCATATTTCCGGCCCCGCTCTCGTGCAACTGAGCGAAACGCGACAGAGCAAGATGTCTTCCCCTGCAACTTGCCCCTGGTCTCCTCTGTTTCGAAACTCACTACTGTGTAATTGCTACGTCGTCCCTCCGCGATTACGCAGGACATACTCCGTAGTACGGACATTTTACTGCTTCAACAGTAAGCCGCGCAGAGACGGTAATTGCATTTCAATATATACCATGCTCAGCTCACCAAATTCGCTCTGTAGGAACTCGCACCATGCCTTTGTCTTTTCATTCTCTGCGGCGAATCCCTGCTGCCGTCTCATCCATCTCAAACGCGCTTGCCTAACACCACCCACGCTGCCTGTCGCGGCTTCCCTTTTTTCTTCTTTGCCCAGGCGGTCTGGAAACGATCACCGCTTGTTCCAGCCCGATCAATGCACCTGCCCGCTGCCAGCGCTGTATCTTACGTTGCACTCCGTTCGCTCGCTCCTTCCCCCAGTTCGTTCATCCCTTGTTGCCATCTGTCGTCCTTCAGCTGGGCCTCGTATATTGCCCGTCTCCATCTTCTCGACACCATGACAGCCTGTGACAGGAACGGCCTCATCTCTCAGTGGATGCCACTGCAATGCACAATGTCAGCCAGGGGCACAACACGAGGAATACAATACAAATGTCGGTGCCAAGCTCACTGAAACTTCACGCCTCTGTCTCTGTCTTCCCTGGTCGTACCCGTATTGCACGCTTTCTGTTCTGGTTTCCTTCATCTCTCTGGCTTGCATATTTGCTCTGGAATTTCGCATCTCCACTTCTGTCGCGGTGCCTCAACCCTGCAGCAAGTCGCCTGACGACCCGGAGCGCTAAGAGACTTGGCCTCTGCTCTCTTTAGCACTCATACACGCTCATTCTGAAACCATAGCTTGCCGGGAACCCCCTGCCTAGTCTGCAGAATTCACTGTCCAGTCGCAACATCACTAGTAATTACAGACACATCGTCGCCCACACCACCAACACCCGGATATTGCAGGACGCTCGCCGTTCTCCTCGTTCCAGATCCATCAGAGGAGAAATAACACAGCTAGCGCCGGCCGCGACCGTTTTGCGGATGTTGGGGCCGCTGAAAACTCCTCTGGATGCTACCTAAACTCTTCAGGCTCCCACGCTGTTTTTGCTACGTCGTACTCAAGACGGCAGTCCCTGACACTACGGAGTTATTAGACACATTCATAGGTGCAGCAGCGGCACGGCCACAAACAATATCAGTGCCGCAAGTGCCACGAACAACACAGACGTCAATTCCGCCTTGTCCTTTGTTTCTTATGCTCACACTTTCTCCTCCTCACCTTCTCTTCTCTCGCCTCCTCTTCTCTTCACCCCCCTCCTCTTCTTCCTCCATTTTTTCTACTGCCCTTCTCCTCTGATCCCTCTCTGAGACGTCGATCGTTTTGGGATCTACTGAAAATCAGCCCCTCTCCCCCGACGGCATGAAAGAGTGTTCTTGTTCTAGCCCCCACCTGAGGACGCTTCCACCATGTCACCACCGCCGTGGTCAGGAACATCTGGCGGTCGTGCCGGTGTCTCTCTCTCCAGATCAACAACAGTCTCAGCGGTAACGACGAGATCGACAGCAGCTTCGTCCCGGGCAGAACGCCGCATCTCGCGCGATGACATGTTCTTGAGTCCTAGAAAGGGCCGCCTCACTGCCTTGGACAGACGCATCTCCCGTGACGATCTGTATCTCAGCTCGCGGCCTTCAGACGGAGCTTTGTCTTCTCACTTCCCGCCTCGCAGAGGTAGCCTCGAACACCTGTCTATTCCCGAGGAAATGAAGAGCCCCAATAGCGTCATGTCGGCTGTGCCGGCACGCATGGCCGCAGCCGAGCTGTCTTTGGCCGGAGAAATTCAGATCGGCATGGCTTTGGGCAGTCCTTGCCATCCGCCACCGAACCTGCGGACACATCCACTCTCGCCAGAACAGCCGACATGGACAATGTCCTCCCGGGCCCCTCTTGACACCACTGCCGCACCACCGGAGGTAGGCCTCCCTTCACCTGTCGAGGCAGCGGCTCTGGTAGCTGCTCCGGCCTCTTCGGCCCCCTCCTCTACACCCGCTCCTGGTGCATCCTTGCAGCGCACCAAAACCCGGCGCAAGCTGTTTGGCATCTTTGGTAGCAGGCGGCACCAGGAGACAGCAGCCTCGTCGTCAGCATCGTCTGCTCAGGATCCCCCAACCGTTGCATCGTCCACTGCGCCAATGCCCGCCACAGACAGCCTTGTTCAAGCGGCGAACTCCAACACCGTCGGAGCCGCTGCTGCCTCGCAGTCGCGGCCATCTGCCATGAGCCGTAGCGGAACCAAGAAGTACCAGCCAATAGTGGTCCCGACAATGCAGCCGGACTTGGCGCTGTCCTCGCCCGCGTCGAACTCTGGGCCCAACAGCACTGCGAAAGATGCCCGCATGAAGCCCCGTATGCGCTCCAAGACCATCGGACAAGCCGCTAGCAAGCGCCCCGGGCTGGAATCGATCAACTTCGCGGCACCCATGTCATCTTCCGGCGGCCAGAAACAGTCCGTCGGGTCTGTCGCTACGAGTCCCTACCTCAACGTCGAAATCCCGGAGTTCCACCTCGAGCGCTACAGCGTCATGTTTGGCGACGTGCTGAACCCGGAAGCATGTGCCATGCCGGGATCCTCGGCGTGGCAGCCTGCCTCGTCATTGCTGGCACGTCGCCAGGCGACCTTGGACAGGCTGAAGATGATTAACGGGGGCAAAATGCAGGCAAACCAGGGTTGCGTCGTGGCCGACACGAATGCTCTATACCCTCCTCAGCCCTTGCAGCGACGTGCCACATCGCCGCGTCTAGCCAAATCCCCCGTCTCGTCACTTGTCTCATGCCAGGCGCAGGGGGGCGAGGAAAACACAAGCAGCGCGGGTGCTGGTGTTGCCATTCCTGTAGGAGTTGTCGTCTCGTCACCGCGCTTTCGTTCTAACACCTCCCCCTCGTTGGTGCAGCCAGCTGGCGCTCCCGTGGCGCAAAATAAGTCGAGATGGATTAACCCACTACGGGGGAACCCGACTGTATACGGCGCACCGAGGAGGGCCGCAACCGTCTCGGCCAGCTCTTCCTCGACAGGCCCACGGACAGCAGCCCAGTACGAGCCTGTGCTGTCCAGCTTGATCATGGAGTCGCCAACAGACTTGGACTATTCGACGGCCGAAGAGGATGGCGAGGACGAGGAGAAGGCGCTGCGAGTAGTCCAGCCTTTCAAGCCCGTGTTGGTAGAGCCCCAGTGGCAAATAGTCTCACAATTACCGCCCACAACATCACCATCGAGCGCAGGCAGCAACGGGAGTAGCGGGAGCAACAGTACCGGCACCGGCAGCAGTAACAGCAGCGTTGCCCTCGACGATGAGCAGGAGAAGCTGCTGCAGTCGGCCGTGGAACTGTCCATTGCACGGCAGATCAGCGTCTCGCACAAGCAACGGGAGCTGCTGCGTCCACTGCAGATCGGCAATACCACTGCAACAGCAGCAGCTCCTGTTGGGAGCAGAAAAGGAAGCGGTGACAGCGGTACTCTCAAGAATGTCCAGTCACCTGCTATGTCGCCGCCTTCTTCCCGCTCAGCAGCCTCAGCCATTCGGCTGGGTCGAAACGAGCGGCTGCAGGAGACGCGGATGGCGACGCCAAAGCTGGTACTTGCAGAAACGACTATGGCCTCGGCAGGGTCTCCCCAGAACAGCCAGAAGCTGCAGCTAAGGGATGATGGGTGGCTCAAGGCACCGTATCAACCACAGAACACGCACCTTTCTCCCACACGATACAACGGCAGCAGCCCGACTGTGGCGCAGGCTGCGCAAAACCGGAAGAGCGAATTGGTCGTCCTGGAGGCGGCTTAGACGCGCACTCGATTTGATTTCCTTTGTCTTTTTCTCTCTTCTTTATTTCGTTCGACTGGTTTCGTTCTTTTTCTTCTTACTCCACAGGAGTGTGTCCCTAGTGGACTAATTTATTTGTTCCTTCTATTAAAGCTGGTTTTCTTTTCTTTTTTTCCCTTCTCTCTTTCTTTCTTTTCTTTTCTCCTTTACATGTCTGGATGACGATCTTCAAAACTCAAAATAAATGTGTGATACCAAGCCAACATGGAGTGTGGCAACCCATAGATACACCATGAGACAATAGGACCGCAAACTTGCTTTTTCTACTATGCTTGCCGATTCCTCTTCTACATGCGTCAGCTCGTCCCGTCTATGGAGCATCGCAATGCGTTAACGCACTTGAGACGCGGACTGTTTCTAGATGTCCAAACCGGCCCGTTCGGTTCCCAGCATGGTACAATTTGTCTAAAGCTACATAGTATATCCTATCATGGGTGCCCATCTTTCCCGAGCAAATATCGTATTCTTCTTCTGGAAGCTCGTGGCTGGATGTAACAGAAAAAAGGGAGGAAATAAAAAAGGCCATACAATATGTATCTTATGGGCAAGAACAGACAGCAAAGACTTTATCTTGACAGCATAGACCCAAGCACGAGAAAAAAAGAAACGAACGCCTTAGACAGCCTGCTTCCCTTCTCCTTCCCCTTTAGGACTAAAACATCATCTCATCGGACATTTACATAACGACGCAGCACGAGTTCTGCTTCTTTGCTTGGGCTGGGCGATGGTCAGTATGTGAGCAGTAGGGGAAGAGGAGGCAGAGAAAGGGTAAAACGTACTATAGAACATTTTGCTCTGATTGCTCAAGCTGTCGCTCTTGGCCACCAGCTCGTCGAGCTTTTCACCCCGCTGCAGCACGCTCTCGATAGTCTTGTGCAGCACGATCTTGGTCTCGTCCAGCTGCTGCTGGATCTTCATGATGCTGTCGGCCTGCTGTGGGTCCTGGTACTTGGCCAGGTAGTTCTTGAGCTCGGGCATGGACAGTGTCGGTGTGCCTGTGGCCCAGGCCGAGCGTGGCTGTTGTGCGAGGAACTCATCGACGATCTTTCCGAGGAGCTGGTGCGCAACGAGGCTGCAAAGGAAGTCAGTAATGTAGCTGAAGGAGAGGGCACTGCAGTATCACAGGAACTTACGCAGGGTACGCATGGTCGCTGATGATGATGCCAGTAATGCCCTCACTTCGGCCGTAGGCATGGAACGTCTGGCAAGACGGTGTCAGCAAGGGAGGTCTCTCTTTCCAGCCGGGCCGCACTCACGTAGGTGTCCTGCTCAATATCCTGGCGCTGTCCGGGCTTCGTTCTGCAAGACGGTCTGGTCAGAGCTGGTTTCGGGCCAGAGGCACACGGTCCGGGGCCAGACCTACCTCTCGGCCACGGTCCGCGAAAAGACCGTCATGAACTCGCCGACGCTGCAGAAATGCCACTGCAGTCAGCCTCATGTTCCCATAGCCAAGCCATTTGGCGCCCCAATTCGTCTGTCGTCATACCTTCCCCGCGTGAATCGGGAGTACTCGTTCAGCTCCTTCTCGGCAATCAGCTCCGTCGACTGCTGCGGGCCGTCATTGCGGATAATCTATGGAGACGGGCACGCGGGTCAGCAAAAAGCGGTTCCTCGCCCCTCTGGCCTCAGCCGTCTGCAGTTCATGATGCCTACCCCAAGGTAGTACAGCTTCATTGTCTCGTCTTGTCTGGATCGTCGGTTCGGGGGAAGGGGGGGAGGATTTCCAAGAACAGGCGGGCGCAGCGCTGGTGTGTCTGGTATCGCAATCGCAGGATGCTTCTGTCAATGCTCGTCGAGAGGTTTATGTGTGAGGTTGCAGGAACGAGTAGGTAATCCCTCTTGCTATCTGATGCAGCCTTGGTCGGGCGGCCACACCGTTTAAAGTCCGCCGAGGGGGCAACTACAGCACTGTCACATGCCCCCACTTCCCAGCTAGCTCGTCAAAGGCGGTGAGTGGTCCAGTGGTGCAGGTTAGCGACCGGCTTTTGTCTCTATTAATATGGGTCGGCTAAGCCAACTCTGGAATTATTTTTCTAATTTTCATCCAGACTGTCAATCGTGTTGCCTACACCAACCTGATGAAGGCAGCAGAGCCTGTAGGATCTCTGGAAGGATCCGAACGAACAGGTGTCGAGTGTTGAAAGAGGCAACCTAGACAATGGAGGTTGTCTGGCCGTGGACTCTTCGGGGAGAAACCCGCTGGGAACAGTCAGCGGCCACGACACCAACAGGTTTGTCGGGACTGAACTACGTCCTGTCTTCTCTCTTACTGTCTGTCATCTTCCCTTTCCCACCTGCCCTAACCTCGTACTCCCTCTCTTTCCATATGCCGCGACGACCTGACTCCTGTCATGGTAACCGACTTCTGTCTCAATACGTCCTCGGTGGTCTGTCGACGAAAGTGCTTGTCGCTTTTGGGTGGCAGAAAACAGAGCATAGTGATCACGATTAAGCCGGAGCGCCATAGCTTTCATTCCGCAGCCGAAAGGTTGTGGGTGCATAGTTGGGGTTTGACTTTGTTGGTCGTACATACGTTTCAAGAGAGGATATGTGTTTCTTAATTTAGCTTTATTTTTTATTTGTCACGATGAAAACGCCGCACGCCAATCCCACTGCCCAACGCCGTGCCGTAGAAGCTGTAATAGGGACCTGTTCACTTGAGGACGGTGTGGGCCCCCCGCATCTCCAGATACTGTTCGGCCACGCCCTGCTGGAAGCCGCGGATGCTGGCAAACACCTCGCTGTTGTGGTACCGCAGCCGGGTTTTGGGATCGGTGTAGGGCGCGTTGAGGCCAGTGATGTCGCAGTAGCGTCGCTGAGGCGCCAGGCTGGGCGCGCTCTCGATGTTGGTATACGTGACCGTTGGTGCCGCCGTACCTAGGCTGCCGGCCGTCGACGCCGGCCGCAGGCTCTTCTCCAGCACGAGCTTCGAGAGACTGCGATTGGCCTGAGCCAAGAGGCTGCCGTCTCCGGTGGCGGAAGAGGCGCCACCGCCGGCGACAATGGCCGGCGTCGTCGCACCGTTGGTCGACAAGGCGTCGTCGTTGCCCTTCACAGCAGCGGCTGTCGTCGGTACGATCAGGCCTCTGCTGGGCGTGTTGGCACCGCTGTTGTCCTGTGGCGTGGCCGCGGCCGAGGCCTCTTTGCGGGACGCGTCGCCCAGAATGGTCTTGATGTTCTTGTTGCGGCGCTGGTTCGGCCGCCAGAGCGGGTTGCGAAAGGTCTTGTGGACCGCGTGAATGTCGAGCTCCTCCAGGAGGGCCTGGTGCGCCACCAGCGCGGCCTGCGCTTCGGGGGTGGCCATGTTGTGCAGACGTTGGTCGTGATGGTGAGAAGGGCGAAAGGAGGGCTGGGAGCATTGATGTATTTTGAGTCATGTGACACATCACGTGATCTACAAGTTGATTGTGCTCTGAGTAAAGTAAAAGCAATTACGTATTACATTCTATATACATTATCATTATCATGGTCCAGCTTATGCAGCAGGAAGCGTCGTGCACTCATACGTTTGTCGGGACTCTTGCCAGTTCTTGGACCATGGGATTGGCCATGGCAGCAGTGCCTTCGCCATCCTTGTAGGGCGTGCCAAATATGTCGTCCATGTCCTCGAGCGTCTTGCCACGGGTTTCCGGGACGAAGAAGTAGACGAAGAAGCCGGAGCAGATGGTGATGCCGGAATAGACGAAGAAGAGGACGTTGCCGCTCGGCGTGGCGGCAATCATGTAGGGGGTCAGGCGAGAGACGACGAACTGGGCGATCCACTGGTTCCAGGTGGTGATGCAGACGGCCATATCCTTGATGCGGGCGGGAAAGATCTCGGCGCAGTAGACCCAGGGGACACCGGTCCAGCCGGCCGAGTAGCTCACAGCAAAGGCATAGACGGCGACGACGGCGACGACACCGGCAGAACCCTTGTCGGACTCGTGAACGGAGACGGTGTTGAAGATGGCGATATAGCCGAGCGAGAGGACGACGCCGGCGGTGGCGACGAGCAAAAGGACGCGGCGGCCGGCCTTGTCGATGAAGAAGAGCAGGCCGAGGGCGGTAGTGATGACACGGGCGAGCGAGTAGAAGCCGGAGAGAAAGAGGTGGCGAGCGGTGCCGCGAATGCCGATGGACTGGAAGATGGCGGGCGCATAGGCATTGACACCGATGCCGCCGGTCAGATTGGCACACCACATCAACAGACAGCCGAGCAGGAGTCGATTGCGGTTGCCGGGCCACGCGAGCTCACGCACGACCTGCCAGCGGCTCTGCTTGGCACGCAGACGACGCTGACGCGCGAGAGCCTCTTCGGCACGATCGATCTCGAAGCAGATGTATTCATGCTGGGGGTCGAGCTGGCGCAGAAAGGCGAGCACCCGACGGGCCTCGTCGCTGCGATCATGCTCGACCAGCCAGCGCGGCGACTCGGGCAGACCAATGGCAGCAGCAAGGCACAACAGGCCGGCCGGGATCATCTGCATGGCCAACGGGATCTGCCACTGGCGCGACTGGCTGGCCGGCACGCCGATGATGGTGAAGTAGTTGACCCAGAAGCCCCAGAAAGACGACAGCTGGTTGTTGATCTCGTAGAGGCCGATCAGGGATCCGCGGATGGCCACCGGCGACAGCTCGCCAATGTACATGGGCACCGACACGGTGACGCAGCCGAGCCCGACGCCACTGAGTGCCCGGCCGGCATACATGAGGCTGAGACGGCCGCCAGAGAAGGTCTGGTGGTCAGGATAAAGGCAGAAGGATAGAGGTCGAGAGGTCCCAACGCACCTGCATTGCACATCCGATGAAAAAGACGACCCCCGAAAGTGCCAGGGCCGACCGGCGGCCCCACGACTTGAGCACAGGAAAGACCAGCAGACTGCCGACAATGGCGCCAATCTGCACAAACGACACAATGTTGGACGTGATGTCGGTGTAGCGCGAGCTGTCGGCCGGCGGCAGGTCAAAGTCACGCACAAAGGCCGGCAGCACCATGCAGCCGCCGATGACCGCATTGTTGTAGCCAAACATCCACGAGCCTGGCGAGTCAGCCAGAGCGGCCTGGAAGCGGTAGAAGAGATACGCACCGAGAGTTGCACAGAGCGACACCGCATAGATGCGCCAGTTGTAGACCTGTGGCGGCGTTGGCCGGTCTTCTTGGGCTCGTCCAAAGGCCATGATTAGGACAGCAAACGGCAGAGAAAGGCTGTCGACGGATTGTGGCCATTGAAGAGCAAAGAGCAGAAGATGCAGTATCTCGACCAAAAACCGATAAACAGAGAGAAAACAAAAACATCCGACACAGCCAACAACACGATACAACAACAGCAGAAACAGCAGAAACAGCAGAAACAGCGGTATAAGTCGACCCTGCAATCGTCCCCGCTCTACCTGGCCAGCGGCACCGGACCCTTCTCAGGTGCTTCTCTCTGCCTGTTGGCTGCTGCATGTGCCCTCCATCTGACCGTTTGATGTGTCGTCTCTGCTGCTCGTCGTCGTCTTCGCCCCGCACAGGTTCCGGCCTGTACCGCTTCTCCACACCGAGTTCGGCGCAGAGTTGGCCGTCCTAACCGTTTTGTCCCAAAAACCTCCGATCGACATGGGACTCCGGCTTGCCTCATCGTCTGCCGCACGGTGGGTCCCAGGGCCTGGAACCGGCTAAATCCAGACGTCCACATGTCCGGACAGTATCCGAAGCTGACCAGACCGCCTGAATCCTCTTATCACGTTACTCTCGCCGGTATCGCGATCCTGCATGTCGCCCTGTATGGCAGACGGCCTAGCTCATCCAAGATCAGGCTGTGTACGATAAAGGCCTATTCTGCCGGACGTGACCGCCTTCCGTTTGGGGAGCTGCAACACCGCCTTTATCCGAGCCCCAGCGAATAGACTCTACGCGCCTTCTGACTGCACTGCTCTCTCCGGCACGCGCGCACAAATGGTACGTCGTCACGAAACGTGCAGGACCACCCGCAGACCGCTGACCGTGCGCAGGAGAGCCCCCACGAGCACCAGCAGAACCTGCTGCTGTCCCGCATCATCACCAACGTGGTAGGCCGTTTCGGAAGTCAGACAGAACGAGCAAAGCTAACGTGCTCGTCTCCCGGCAGGAAAAGCTGAACGAGGCCGTCTTGGTGATGAACAAGGCGCTTCAGGTTGGTTCCCTCTCCGACCAGGGCGAAACGCTGGCCCAGAACTAACCAATGTGGCCCAGGATATTAATGTTCAGAACATGGACGTGGAGCTTGTGGCTCAAATGTTCAAGAACTACCGGTCCAACGTCCTGTTCCATCTGGAGGGTTGGTCTCTTCTTCTGCTCATACGATCCCTTACATGCTGATATGGTTGCTTCTCTCTAGCTACCGACAACCTGACTGACCCGTCGTGACTGAGTTGCGTACGAGGGCATATCCATCTGCAGGACGCTTTCCATTGTCCACAGCGGCCCGGAACCCCACTAAAGCGGCTCCGTATAGCGGCCACCCAAAATAAAATAAAAATAAAAATAAAAATAAAAAATCCCGAATTTCAAGCTCTCTAACTGTAGATCCGCCGTCTAGAGGCGCCCATCTCGTCTGTACAGAAACTACCGGCAGTCTCTCCCAGTGTCGCCATGTCGTCCACCGCTGCCTCTGCCTCTGCGGGCGCCTCGTCCTCGTACACCATCTTTCCGCCGATCCCTGCCCCGCTGCAGCGCCTCTTTGACCTCGTCCCCCTCGTGACGTATCCAGCCAATGCTCTTCCCGACGAGGCTCCAGACGATGAGCCGGAAGAGGCTGCTGTCGCCCCTCCGACGCTCTTTGTCTTTTCCAGTGCCTCTGATGCGGCCCGCGGACGGCCTAGTTTTAATCCTACCTGTTTGAAGTGGCAGGTGAGTCGATTTTGCCTTGCCTTTTGTCTTCTACTTTTCTGCCTTTCTCTCTCTCATTCTGACCTCTAGACCTACCTCCGTCTTGCCGGAGTCGCCGTGCGTCTGGAGCCGTCGACAAACCACGCATCTCCGAGCGGCGCCCTGCCCTTTCTCCAGCCCCCCCGCCGACGTGGCCAGACAGCTGCCCGGCCTGTCTCTGCCCACGAGCTGCAAGCCTACACCAAGAGGATGGCCGAAGAGACTGCCAGGCTTCCATCCTCCGGCCAGGACGACTCCCGCGCGCTCGCATACCAGGCGCTCCTCGACACGTGCATCCGCCGCGCCTGGCTGCATGCCGTGTATCTGCACGAGAAGAGTGGCAGCAGTGGCCGCAGTGAGAGCATAGCCGCCCGGCTGTACGCACATCCAGCATCGACGTCTGCGCTGGTTCGTGCGGCACTGGCACGGCAGCTGCGCATGGCAGCCGCAGCTGAGGTCTGGGGCGCCCAGGGCAGCTCTGGCGGCCAGCAAACCGGCCACGAGACCGCGCAGATCTACCGCGAGGCTCAGGCAGCACTGCAGGCTTTGGCTACCTTGTTGGAGGACGGCACAGAGAGACCGGATGAGACAGACGGCCAGACAGACCAGGCCGGCCCGTTCTTCTTTGGCAGCCATGAGCCGTCACTCTTTGACGCGGCCGTGTTCTCGTACACAAATCTGCTGCTCGAGGACGACGACAACAACGCCTCGGCTCGCTTCCGCTGGCAGGACCGCACGCTTCCAGACGCTGTGCGCGCTTTGCCAGCATTGGTACGACATCGCGTCCGCATCTTGGAGCGCTGCTGGCCAGAGCTGGCGGCTGGCCAGAAGAACACGGTCCCGTCTTCAGTGACAACAACGGCCGATTCCATAACCTGGGTCAAGCTGTGATGCAGTCGATGGACGTGTCATGGCCCTGTATCATATTGTACTATACTCGCTCTAAAAGGCCGTTTCGCAGTATATCACTTCGTCAACAACATTGCTACCATTCGATACGGAGAAACGTGCTCACGACTACCAAATACTATACACCACAAGTCCTCTGCTGCCCTCGTCTGTACATCGAGTTCTAAGCCCCAGCGCCCTGTCCACTACGGAGCAAACAAAGTCCAAGAGCAGACGCCCAACATAGACGAGATACACAACGGGATGGACCGCAGCAGAGCTAGAAAAAACTTGACAACGACAACGCCGTGCCACAATTGGCCTTGCCAATGTGACCGAGACGTCTGTGAAAAAGGATAAAAAGGGAGGAGAGATCCCTGACGAGAAAAACCGGCCCAAACACCGCAGCCCTACCTGGATCTATAGGATGTAAAAATGCGCCCGCCGCAGCCTTGAAACGATGTAGAACAGAGAAAAGACCCACGAGACAGCCTAACGGCACGGCCATGCAAAAGTAAAGTCGCTCAGTAGTTGGATGAGGACGGGATCCGGTCGACAACTCCCTGGATGGTGACAAACGATCCCGGCCCGCCGTCTTGGCGGATGTCTTCCAGCAGAACGCTGGTCTGGGCATACAGGTTCTCCAGAGCAGCACGCGATGACTTGCCGAGAGATTCTGACGACGTTAGCTTCGAGAGAAGACCAGAGCACACAAGACGTGATACATACGCAATATCGCCGAGTTCAGCTCCTCGGCAACAGCAACGCGTCCCCGCTGGTCCAAGAGATGTGCCACCCCCTTTTCCTTGAGCGGGTTGGTGTAGGCCAGCAGCGAAAAGATCTCGCCCAGAGCACTGCGAATCTCGCTTCGCGCATCATTAATGTATTCCGATTGCAGCGCCTGGCCATACGCAATGGCCTCGTCTACTACTGACTGACTCGGCGGCAGCCCGTCTGTGCCGTCCTCGACCATGTCGATATCGTCAATGTCCATGTCCTGCTGCGAAAGGTGGCTGTCTGTGCGGCCACGGCCGTTGCTCTGCTTGCCGCTGCCGCTCACGACCGCGCTGGCAGTGCTGATGCCGCCGTTGCTGCTGCTGCTTCTGCCCACCAGGTTCAGCTCGGCCTCTTTGCGGATCATCTCCACAAACTTCCTGCATCGCAGCCGGAAGTACACCTGTTCATTGGCCTCGAGCACATGGGGGTAGTAGAACTTGGTCAGCTTGAGAGCCCGGTCAATGTCACCTTCCAAGATCGCTCTTCGGATTCCTATCTGGCTGTCAGCTCGGTGCTTGCTTTGGCTTGTCAGGGAGGGAACCGACGTTGACGGTTGTTGGCATCCTCGTCATCAGTAATGCTGATTCCTTTCACCACGTTGGCAGGATTCAAGTTCAGAGACGCCTTCTCCTCCCGGATTTCATCGGCAAACGCTCGCGCTGTTTCAACGTAGCCATCATGTTGCAGGAATTGCAGAACCTAGGCATGTTAACAAATTGCCGGCCAAGCCGGTCCTTCGTTCTAGAAGACGTACCAATTGTTGAATAAGCTCCGTCTCGCCCAGATGTGGTGCAAGACCCTTTGTACTACAAAGTGTCAGCCCAGCGCAAATACGTATACATGGCGTCATGACCTACCCTGTGTTTCTTATCTGAGCATCGATGAGGTTTCGTTCCTCCTGCAGCATTGAAGAGTCAGCGTGGAGAAAAAAACCAGGGTGCATACGCCGTGAGCAAAGACAACTTACCTTCATCATGCCGTCGATATCAAAGGTGAAAGGCGACTGGCCAAAGTTGACGCGAATGTGCTCGCCCGACTTCTTCAGACCGACAGTGGGGAAGAGCTTCAGATTGCTTCCCCTGATATCTGGAAAGGCCACACCTGCAGGACTGTTTAGCAAGTGAAGCAAGGAGGAGAAAAGCAGGAGTACCACCAACCCTGATTTTCGCCGTTTTTCGTGTAAAAGGCAGCCCCCGTCCGGAAGTTCACGCCACAGCCGACGACATCGCCAGGCCCAAATGGTGGCCCATACGACTTCCCCTGGCTGTTCGCATAAAATATGTTTCCGTCGTCGCTGTGGTATCCCCATGACTTTGGCTCCCATCCCGGCTGCCGTGTCAACGACGCCGAGGCGTCCGAGAAGCCGATCCCAACCGTCGACCTTTTAAGTAAGCAGCGTCAGTACTGCACAACTACAAGAACGAGAGACACAGCCGCCACTACTCACTCTCCCTTGTGCTTGCCCAGCACGGTCACCTCAAAGTAGTATATGCCGCACTGCGGTGGCATGTAGTGGTCGGCACGGATGGAGCAGAGGTCCTGCTCGCGGTCGCCCGTACCCTTGAGCGACGAGGCCATGTACTTGACGTCCAGACCGCCCGAGAGCACTTCCAGCCCCGACTGCGGCTTGTCCTTCTTGTCCCAGCGCGACGGCAGCGGCGTCATCGCCTCGTCGTCGTCCAACAGGGCCGTGCCTGGGCTCTTCTCCACCACGTCGAACGCCATACCTCGGTACGATGGTGGGCCAGGCTTGCTGCTGCTGTTGTTGCCACCGCCGCTGTTGCCGATGCCGGCAACACCTCCGACACTGCTGCCATACAAGCTTTGGCCGCTACCGTGGCTTGCCAGGCCGCTGCCGACCACGCTGCTGCTCCCTGTGAGGACGGCGCCCCCGATGATGCCACCGGCAGCGGCGGTTGCTGCTGCTATGGCCGCCGACTGCGGGTGTCGCTGCTGTTGGTGGTGCTGCTGCTGGTACTGCTGGTGCTGCTGCTGGTGCTGGCTCTCCCGCTGGGCCTGCAGCTTGGCCTCGTATTGGCTCTCCAGTCGCTGGACGTAGACGGAATCGCGCAGGTACGACGGCGTGAAGAAACCAATGTTTCTTGGAACACTTGCCGTCGTGTACGTCTCAAAGGGCGGGGCGCACAGCAGGTGCTCAAAGGCATGCGAGAACGACGGCAGCTGCGTGTTGCGGGTTCCCAGAATCTGGTACAGGCCGCCACCCGAGGCCTCAAAGGAACCACGCCCCTCTGTATCGGCTCCATATGGACCCCGCAGGCTGCTGGAGCTGTTGATGTTGCTGGCACCGTTGCCGCTGCCGTCGGATCCGTCAACGGTCACGCTGCTGGTCGGATTCAACAGCTGGGCAAAATTGGCACCGGACCGCGCAAAGCTGCCCGGACCTGACGCGACAGAGGCATATGAGGACCGCCGCAGGTTGAAGCCCGACAGGTTCGACGTCGGGTCGTCCTGGAAGGCCGATGGCGGGATCTGGTACGGGTCCGACATGGTGGAAGAGGGCGACAGGAAGCGAAGATTCGCAGGAAGAGAACGCAGCGGCTCAAGGAGCGGTGGGCGTTATGCAACGAAGTCGAGGGACGTCAAATAGCCAAAGCTGGTCCCTGACAAGTATCCAGCACAGTCCCAGGCCGACCAGTGCTGGAATGGCGCGATGGTCGCAGTCGTCCGTACGGAAGGCTGTCGTGAGTCGAGGAGAGCGATTGCGAACAGGACGGGGAGATAAGCAATCGAGCGAGAGCTTCGCTCGATAAAGCGGCGAAAGCGAAAACGGGGCCGTCTTGCCTCTGCTTCTAGCTTGTCTGTGCGGGAGGGGACAGATCGAAAGCTAGGCTGGCTTTTCGGTGATGGCGTGCAGGTAGCAGCAAGCAGTTGGTGGCTGGTTCGAATGAGGGCAAGACAGACTGACCGAGCCAGACTGGTTCCTGGTCGGTAGCAGAAATAGCCAAGGTCGAGACGAGGACGAGAACAAGCGACAGAGGAGAAAGGCCCAGAAGAGGAGAGAAGCGCAGTACCTGCTTGGGGCCGAGATCTGGGTCGGTCGGAGGTGAGCAAAGCACGCGAGAGAGGAGACGAGTGCGAGAGTGAGTGTGTGTGTGGTGCATGGAATGTGGTGGTGAGTCTCAGGAGGAGCAGCCTATAATCGCTGATAGGACAGGTTGCTGACGGCATCGTTCGAGCTGCTGCCACCACCTGTTGCCGTCGTCATTTCTTCGTTTAGCAGGTACCTGCTCTCTCGCTGCAATCCGGCGGGCGTCGCTTGTACCTCTCGAACAAGCACCCCCGCCCGCTCGCTCGCCCTCCACAGAGAGCAGGACTCCCTGTGGGTATGCCTTGCAGGGTATCATAGGTATCGATGCGTCTTACTGGCCGGCGGGCCCAGGCGGTGGCGCGCTACACGTCAGTGGGATCTGCGCTAAATACTCCGTACGACACCTGACACCAGCCATGAACACGCACACTGGGCAACAGGGAGCACTCCCGCCAGCGGCCACTACATGGCGCTGTTCTTCCCAAGCCCGAAGCCTCTTACGCTCACTGTGGTCATATCTGCCTCTGGATAAACAACGTGAAAATGCATTTTTGTCTTTTTGGTTATCGCTTTCGTCCTTTTCGAAAGACCCAGCAAACGCCTGCCAAACGCCAGAAGTCCCCTCCTCCCCGTCCTCCCTCTGCCAGGCACCGTGCCACCAGGTGTGGTCGAGAGAGCAACACTCGACCTGACTGTTGAGACCGTAAAACAACACAAGCGGAAGCACTCCGCTTCCGTTTCTCCCATCACCCATCCCTCTCTGCCGTGGTTTTGAAGACCCAATAGATACCACATATCCTCTGGCGTGCCAAAAGGTAAGAATGAAGGAGCCAGACCGTCTAGAAAAACTGATATACTCGTAAAAAGAAATCATGACGCCGAAACAAAGACCGACACGTATGTCAGCACTCAGAAAGTAGAGGCCCGCGGCCCTAGAATACACGTCCTCAACATGACGAGAGACATCCAATAATAACAATGAAATCAAAAGGGTGAGAAAGGAGTGAGATAGAAAAGGGACAGCAGGGCAGCTCATGCCACCGCTACAGCCACGGCTGCAATTGTTGCCTGTGCCACTGGCGGTGGGCTCGGCCGCGCGCTGGGAACGCTCTGCATCTCAATGTCGCCGTCAGCAGCATCCGCCTTGGAGCCGGTGTCGGTTGTATCTGTGGCATCTGTGGCATCTGTGGCCCCGTTCATGCCGTTTGCTGCTTTGCCGTTAATCCCATGCTGGGTGCCCGCCTTGTTCTCCTTGGCACTGCTGCTGCTGTCGTTGGCATTCTCTTTGTTGCTGCCTTCGGCTGACGCCGTAGCCGTGGTAGAGACGTCTGCAGACGAATCGTCGCCAGTCGATCTCAATGGTGCTGTCCAGCGCGGGATCTCCCAGACGACACCCGTAAAGGTCTTGAGCTGGAAGCCGCCCTTGCTCCACTTGCGGCACGGCTTGCCTGAGCGGTCGAGTGCGCGGAGGCCGGCATTGATAGCACCCATGCTGGCCTTGGGTCCGAGCTTGTGCGTGCCACCAGCACCGCCGCGGACGGGGTCAAGCAGGCTGTCGTCCCTGGGAAAGAGTTAGCACCGAAGACAGGAGAGGAAACAATAAAAGTGGACGCCGTACATCTTCTGCTTCTTCTTGGGGCCTGGCTTGCTGCGTGCCTTGGGCGTTGCGACGTCGCCATTTGCGCTGCCTGGGTCGCCATTGGCGTCAACGCCCGCAGCAGCAGCAGACCGCTTGACGCCCTTCTTCTTGGTGACAGTTCCGTCGGCACCTGCAGGCGGAGCCATGGCGGCAGAGGGTCCAGGCGTTCCCTCCAGCAGGCCGTCGGGGCCAAAGGAGCCGCCGGGAGTGTTCGGCATGGACTCTGACGCGTTGTCGTTTATGATCAAAGCGCTGCCAGACGGGGCAGGCGAGTCTTTGGCGGAGAATGAGTCCTCTTCCTTGACACCGGATAGTGTGGCGGTAGCCGTGCCTGACGCGCTGTCCACGAGCATCTTGTCGCCAAAGATGGCGCGCAGCTTGTTTCCAGGAACCGTCAGAGTGATGATGGAGCTCTTGTCGGACTTGCGGCGGTCTTTACTAGCGGTCGACATCATATGTTGCAGCGCGTCGATGCGAGAGATGCGAGTGTAGTGATTTCGACGCAGTGTCTCGTGAGCTCGAATGGCTTGCCCCGGCTGTTCGAATGTCTTGCCTGTCGACGGTCGCGATTGGCAGATTCGCAGTGTGCAAAAGTCGAGCGGTAAAGAAAATAAAATGGACAGTCTCGAACTTGAGCCGACGGGAAAGGGGGAAATGACAGAGCGAGTAATTCGGTTTGCCTTCTCGCGGTGATTTTAAATGCGCTGCTCTCGCGTTTAGTTCCGGGTGCTGCGGCTATGTGGTTTGGACGAAGCCGATGGAACAGAGCCCAGTGTGGGAAATACCCGGCAGAATTCCCAGTCACTTTCGGTTGAGAGTGAAATTATTAAAAAAGGCAAGGGGGGGGGAGACTCGAAACCGGAGGAGGCCTGGCCTCGCAGCTGAGCGGAGGAAAAGAAGGCGGTCGGATTATTATACGTGGTGTCAAGCGTGCGAAAAGAAAATTTTCAAGGGTCACATAAGCAGCCGATAGAGGACAGTGGCGGTAGTGAGGGCGAGGATAGCGGTGACGAAAGCGGTGCTGATGGCGATGGTGGTGATGATGGCCGCTGGGAAATCATGGAAAGGAAATGTGGTGATGGTGATGGAAAAAGGGGGACAGATGTGTGTTTAATTGTGGCGTGGGAAGGCATCCTGGGCAAAAAGGTTTTGGGTTTGGGGCCCATCGAGAAAAAGGCGGCCGGGCGTGACAGCTAAAAGGAGGGAGGCAGGATTGGGGAGCGACCATTTTGCTCATGCTGAATGAAGTTCCCCTTCACAAGTCGTGGGTCAAGCGAGCCGGAAGGGGAGTTGGCTTGCAGACTGTGTGTTGTGTGGTGTTTGGCCTTTTCCCCATTCTTTTGCTAGTTTATTTAATTCATCGGGCCCGTGCGTCTTGTTGCCTCAGGCACCACATGCCGCAAAATGAGTACGTACCGCGCCCGGCAGCCAATGATGGTCAATGGCGTCGCTCCAGCCGTGTCCCGACGTGGCGTAGCGCTCATCTCGCCGCCCAGGGGTATACAGTGCGCCTATCCCTACACACTGCGCACGCTTTCGTCGATGGTATGCTGTGATCCTGTCTCCCAAATTGCAGCCGATCCAAGACAGGTCACGTTTTGATTAACCAGATTGGGACACACACCTCGGCCGGTCCTACTCGGCATCTGGGCTATCTTGCAAGTTGGCAGACAGAGGCGTCGCTTTCCGACACTCGTCATCTGCGTTGTGAAGCCCGTAGTCATACGAGTACCTCCAGGCGGCCGTCGTCATCCTACGGCTGGCTTGTGGAATCTGTTGCCTTCGTAGACCGAGTCGGGCTAGACACAATAGCCCATGCTGTTCTAAGACTGAGACGATCTACGAGAAAGATACGGAAATTCGGCCACCAGCAAGCAACGCGAGTAGAAAAAGAAATACGGGGGTGAGGCCAAATATCCCTTATCCACACAGTGCCTCTTGCAACCACAGAAAAAAGAAGCAGCCGCTTCTACACAGAAAATAACACCAATCCCGAATGAGCCCACGCTGAGCGACAGGGAAAGATAAAATAGCAGGGCAGCCAAATCGGCTTCGCTCTTTCATCACCTCCTATCGCGCGCTAGGTTAAGCTGTCAGCTGGCCGGAAAAAACATCGGCACACAAAAGGAACGCCTGACGGCGAGAATATACGATGCAACACAGCAGCTTGCTGTTCCGGCCGATCTGTCTATTCTGCTCTTTGGGCAGGAAGCTCTTCACTCCGTAAAACCGAGATAACTCATACGATCGAGCACCTATTAGCCCCTCCTTAGAGCGGGTTTATTCAGCGACAACCGATAGCGTCAGGAATATTGAAATAATAGCAGCCGGGTTCTTTTGCCGTTGGGCGCTGCTCTGACAATTCTGCCAGTCAGACCGGAGAAAGGCTGTGCTCTGACTTCCTGTCGACTGCTCAAGATTTTTGTGAACTGAATCAGCGCCTTGAAACCCCGTCATCGAGTAAAGAATGTATACTGTACCGAATGCACTGCCATTTCAAAGCACATTAGCCGTTTTGGGCCGACTTGGGGGATATTTCCGTCAGTTACAACCTCCATGCTTTCCCAAAGATGACTGCTTTTTGTGTCATCGACCACTTCTTGCAGATTCTGTCGTATGACGCCTATTCAAGGATGGGAGCTGGCCTGTGCAGCGTAAAGCGGTCCTCTGATAGCCATCGTACAAGGCATCGAGAAGGACTGCCTGCTTACCATTCTCATAACAGTATTAATTGCCTCGCTTCTGTTCAGGAAGTAATAGAGAACGGAATCTACTGCAGCCTATATCCCCGGCCCAAGACCCCCAAAGGTCAGCACGTTGTCCCAATGCATACCAAAGATAGCTTCGAGAGCTCTGTACGGTAATGGCACGATGCCTGGGGGATGTGAGATATGTAGTCATGTCGCCAACGTGCTTTATCCCACTGATGGCCGACCGGATCGATGATTTCGGCGGCGACGGGCCTTGGCGACATAGGAGCTGTCAGCGGAGTCGTAGGAGTCGTCATCCGAACCGTCTTCCATTGCATATACCACGGCAGCCGAGCGGACACGCACAATGAGCCCGTTATTGACGAATTAAGCATCATGGAAAGTATGAGATAAAGGGTGCTCACCAACTCTAAGACCATAGCAAGCAATGACGTATGAAATGCAATTCCTACCTTTCCAGAGTCTTATGAAATATTCTACCAATCTTGAGAGTTGCTGAGCATGCTTGTCCGAAAATTACAGCCTTCGGACCCGACATCGTAGCATTGCAAAGGCGTTTGCAGTATGTTTTCTGCGGTCTGGACCAAACAGCAGACGAGCAAGGTGCTGATCCCACAAAGCAGGAGTGCAACCCCGACTCAGCGGCTTCAAGATCATTGATGGGGCCCAGAAGGTCGAACACGGGCACCTTGTCGGTTACTGCCCCGATGACTACTCAATGAGAGTCGGGGAGTTTATCTGCGAGCACTATCAGGTTGTCGTCACACTCGAGTTTGAAAAAGCATTTGCTGTCTGCTTATCGGGCATCTCAAAACCTCTGCTTTTAATCCATCATGGCGAACATGACTTTGTTTGTTGAGCTTCTTTTCCCTTCACACGTCAATGCGTCTTAAAATCCCCCTCTCTAATAGAGGAGAATGCACAGGGGAGGTACGTAGGATAAGTTGCCAAGGAGGCATCCCGGTACTGCGAAGAGCAGGGGGTGAAGCCTGGCTGACGGCAGTTGGAAAGTGATAGGCTAAGATGAGAATTATTTGTGTAATATCCCTCAATCAGTTCAACGTTCTCATCACTCGAGCGTTTTGCAGAGTGGCAGATAACCAATTCTGACTCGAAGGGTCGGGGGGCTCTCTACACTTGACTTGATTGAGTTTGTTGCTATCGTTGACTGTGTAAGTTGTAACGTTCATTCTAATGATAGCTTTCTCACGAGATAATAGTGACAAATAAGACACACTTGATGAACCAACATCTAAGCAGCCCACAACCGCCACTTATATAAGCAAGCCTACTACTGTCATGCCTATTGGGCTTTCTGAAAGGCAGAAAAACGAACACTCAGCCCACTGATAAACATAATCGGACCTCACTTCCTCTCTATCAACTCATCTTCTGCGGATTGTTCATGATAGTCTCCCGCAACACGAGTCCACAAAAGCAGACTCTCTCTAAATGAATCCCTCCAAATATGGGTACCCTCATCTCGTCGCTGTGGCACTTCTGCTCTCAGCACTTTAAAACAGTTCCCTTTTGGCTCCAGAGGACGCCACAGCTAGGCTGCCTCGGCGACCTACCGCCGGAGGTCCTGCTTCTAGTCGTGGAGCACCTCAACCGAGCTTCAGCCGTTTGCTTCGCCCTCACCTGCCGCACCTTTTTTCAGACGTGTTCTCGCTACCTTCGGTCGTCTCTTTCTCTGGCCAGCTTCAGAATGATGAGCGTAAACGAAAAAGAGACCCTCTTGCTAGCCTTGGAGAGGGATTATCCCCAGTACTTTTACTGCCATCTATGCATCCTACTTCATCGGTGAAGGCATCTTGGTACCGCTGTTTTATGAGGTATGGTCAAATTGAGGACTTTTTTCTTGAACACGACTCCTTTTACCGATACGCAAATGGGTGTTACTTCGACGAGTTTTATTCGCTTCCATACCATTACGCCCGTGTGGTTATGAATCGACACTTTTATGGTGCCGCACATGGCGTGCCTGTGCATAAACTTTCTTCGAAATCACACGACTACCGCGCTATCCTAGTTAAAAAAGATGCACGGCGAGTGGCAGGCCCGCATTGTAGATGACCAGCTTATGCTGCGTACAACTCGGTCCCTCAGCCAGCCAGAGGGGAGCTCGAAACTGTTGCGCTTGTCCTTCAATAAATATGGCCCAAGAGCTTGCGAACACATTGGGACAAGCAACGACTTGAATTCCCTGAGCTTTCGCTGTCACCGAACTGTCTCGGAACAGCTCAGCACCAGAGTATTTTGCGGCCTGTCAGGACTCCGTAACGTCTTGCCGCCTGTGCCTGACAGATTGCAGCACCACAATCAGTTGTCACGGGCATAAGAAAGTATGGATCGTCAAACTTGTGACGTATAAGCTACTGGGGGGCATACGATCACCAACAGATTGGACATGGGACACCATGACAAGGCCATCGCACTCCGAGTTTCGACGTTTCAATTTCGCATTGTACGGTCCTGGGACTATACGTTGCATGTGGTCCAAGGATTACGAAGAGCCTCTAGAACTGAAAGGAGAGTGGCTTGATGCAGATCAGGAAATCTCAGCATGTATAGTCATGTAAACCGACAACCAATCTCATAGTACCCATCGTGGTAATTGACAAACAATCGACCAAACACATCAATGCCCCAGTTCCATCTGAACAGTTGTTTGACACGTAATTCTGCATACACAGTGAAGTATCAAGCTCGTCTTAGCTTCGCCTTTTTAAAGGCTACTAAACCCCAGCACCACGGTAAGGTGCGAGCTGATCGCTGGGGACGGCCGAAGCCGCCACCCCCTGGACGGTGGGGTGTCATCAGTTAAATTCCCGGAATTAACTGGATATTGCCTGTATCCTTTCTCGTGCCAGGGCTGCGGCAGGAGTCCTGCCAAACGAGTTGACAAGAGAGAGGCGGTCGTCTCTCTGGATCTTGATGAGCAACTTCACTGGGCGCCGGGTGTTAGAACGAATGATTAGTTCGTGAATCTCCTCGGTAGGCTCCTGAACTTTGGCCGCCAGGTCCCGCACCTCGTTCATCAAGCCAAAAGTTGCCTCTCGACTCTCCAGAAGAGCGTTCGCCAGCAGTTGCAATCCATCCATCGAACCAAGAGTTGCCCCTCCATTCTCCTGAAGAGCAGCCACCAGCAGCTGCAACTCAGTCGTCGAGCCAAGAGTTGCCCCTCGGCCCTCCTGAAGAGCAGCCTCCAACAGCCGCAGCTCATTCATCAAGCCTCGGATATCCCAGGGTGGCTCGGCAGCAACCCCCGCGGGAGGGATCGCCGCTGTCATAGTCCTCCAGCCATTGTCCCAAGCTTCCCTCAGTTGCCTCATCGTTTTGTGGAGTTCCCTGTCGAAAGAGGGTTCGGGGAAGATGTCTGGGCGGCAATACCAGAGCAGAGAGAGAAAGAAGCCAGCGGCTAAGAAAGCCCCAACTGCCGTCCAGACAGTGGGGAATGTGAAGTGAAAGTCGGTTGAATTCATGATCTTTGTCTCGATCAGAAGTGCAGCTTGAATAAGCAGAGTGCGGTGAGATGTTGCCGGCTTGAGGAGAGGAAGAAAACAGAAAGACAGGCGACTTGTCAACGAGAATATATCTTCTCTTAGATGTTCACACGTTCCTTCCCTATAAGTCGTGCTCATGGTGGTACCTTCTTTATCTAATCGGAGGAGATAGAAGGGGAAGGCACGACGGGCAGGAAACATGCTTTATGCCATCTCAAGCTCATTGTAATTTCAAGTTCCTGCCGTCTGGCGACTAATCTGTAGATGGCGTCAACCATGAGTAGCCTTGGGTCTTTCCCTGTCGCATTGATGGTACAGACATTGTCATTTCTAGAAGGGCCGTTTAGACCTAGATAGGAAACCCTCTGTTTCGTTTTTTGGATGCATGGCCTCGAGGTTTAATCTTGAGCAGTCAACAAAAATGGTCGTGGAATATCAAAGACATACTCAAGCACCATGAGCCGGGATGATGAAGCTTGCTCTGCAGCGAAGAAGCTACCTCGAGTGGCATCGAAGGTTGCTTCTTACTCATATGCGGCAGCCGCTTGCAATTGAGAGCTCAAGGCCCACAGCCGTCTGGTCGCGAGAAATTGCAATTTCAATTAAGAGCTCCGGAATGAAAGAAAGGCGGTCTATATTGTTCAAAACGGCTTGGAACCTTTTGTTCAAAGGTCGGAGTTGCGCCAGAGGAAGTGGTACTTGGTGGTGAGTATGGCTGGCGATTGGCTGGGCAATTTTTGTAAAGCAAGATTGGCTCTGCACATTGTTACTATTGTCTGCTGGGTATCTGCGCAAGTGCCGAGTATTACTGGTAGCACTTTGCAGTCCGCATATGCACTTTTGGTCTGCGGCTGATGGCCGTCTCGCCATGGCTGTCATGTTTTTTTTGCAGCCCTTATGCGGGTTGAGGCCCGATGCAACCAATCGTGCCGGAGGAGGGAAAACGGGAAGTTCTTTCACTGCCAAGGGCAAGCTTACTCGTAGTCGTAATCTGACTGTTGCAAAATGGTCTGCCGCGACCGAGAGGCCTTTTCCTTCATGTGGCAGGAAGGCAGCCGCATCGCACCTGCCTTGCGTCGTTCGCCCCCCCAAAGGGGCCATAGCAGAAGCCTTTGTGTCTGCACCTTGCTTGTTTTTGTGCTTGTGTTACTACTGCTTAGAACACTACCCCCCTACCCCCCCCCTGTCTTTGTTCCATTTACGGAGTACAGACTTCCATTTCCGGATCGCGAGAGCGAAGCAGACGCCGGCCAAAGTGGTGCAGCTCTCACGCAGACTTGACGACCTTTCACCCAACGATCCTGCAGCCGAGCTACCGTGTGGTACCGCCTCTGACACTTTTCTTCCTTCTCTCGTCGAGTCGCTTACGCTTCTTTGTTCTTCTTTTTCATCTTCCTCTGCCTCTCTTCTCTTTGGACTCTTCCAACCTCATAGCATTTTGGCCTTGTCGACTGCCATGTGGCCATACGCTAGCATGACTACGGCTTCTATTCGACGGCAGCGCCAACCGTCGCTTGCACCTCTGGTCTTTCTCGCCTCAGTGGTCTCTCTTGTACTGGCTGAGCTTCCCGGAAGAAACGATGCCATACTGCAGCTGGGTGACGCTGGTGCCGCCAACCTGCTACCACCGCCGGCCATCCCCCTCCACGCGGACTTCCCCGGTCTCAGCCCGGCCTACGGGTTCGAGCCGGCGAAAGCACTTTTACGTCGTGACGGTGGCGGCTGCGCTTCCAATTTCCACTCATGTGAGGTCCCCGATCTGACGTGCTGCTGCTCAGCTAACCATTTACTCGCTCGTCTGCTCGCTCTAGGTCTTGATATCAACTCCTCTCTCTGCTGTCAGAATAGCAAGTACTGCTTCATCGATCCCACTAGTCTCGGACCTGCCTGCTGTGACATCGGATCGGTTTGCGGGTCCTCTTGCAGCGCCTCTCAGTACGAGTGCAATGCTACCACAACCATTACCCTACGTGCCCCCACGACAGGCTCCTCCTCTGGTTCTTCGGCCACTGCAATTGCTCTTGCTACATCTACCACTATCTCTGTCTATTCCGCTTGCTGTGCCCGCCGCTGCCCCCAGACCAGCATGTTCGCTTGTGCCAGTAGCCTCGGCAACGGCTGCTGCAGCTATGGACAGACCTGCGCCAGCAGCAGTCAATGCATGTGGACTACTAGTACTAGTTCTAGCACTGGTGGGAGCAGTAAAAGCACAAAAAGCATAAGCCTCACCTCGGCCACGTCTACCAGCAGCTGTGGCACCAGCCAGATCACCTGTCCGACTGCTCTTGGCATTGGCTGTTGCGCCTTGGGCTATGCTTGCACTGTTGTGACCAGCCAGCTATTCTGCGCGCAAGAGACGGCAATTGCGGTGACTAAAAGCAACAGCAGTGGGCTGTCCTCCGGTGTCAAGGTAGGTATTGCCGTGGGCGTCATTATTGGCGCCGCTGCCATCATTGGCGGCGGTACGTGGGTGTGCCTTCGCCAACGACATCGACAGTCGTCAGCTGGCAGCCGCTCTGAGAACCCGCGCGACTTTGACCCGTACCAGATGGCCAACAGCGATGGACAGCCGGGCGGCGGAGGGGCTTTCTTTCTTGGTGGCAATCCTCACAGTCAAACGCAGTCCTCTGCGATGGCAGACTCTCCCGTTCGTTCCTGGCGGCGGCCGCTGCACCTCCGTCGCAATACTACATCCGGAAGTAACAACAGCGCTCCTGAAAGCGGTCCACCTGGTGTTCCTACGGGTGCCATGGATCGTGAAGGCGACCTTGTGCCGTTATACGGCCCTGGCGGCTTGGAGATGTTCCCTCCGAGAGTCGACGCAGCTCATGGCGCAGACCACGGCGTACCCGTTACTCCTCAGGCGCCATACGATATCGTGGCACCAGTCGAGATCGATTCGACCGCCGTGATGCGACCTGAGAGAATCGGCGGCAGTGCGGCAGCAGCTGGACCGCCATTTCATGCGGTAAGCGAACAGTTTGAACTAGATGGCTCTGAAGTACCGCCAGCATCGTCCTATACACATACTAGAGCGCCATCGCAGCAGCAGGCTCTTGGCGCCAGCTCTAGCTCGGATGCGGCGGCTGCCCAGACTGACGAGTCGCCCATCGTGCCGCGGTATATACCGTCTGGTTTGCTAGATTCATTGTCATAGTAGTACAGAAAGAATCTCATTATTTTGGATTTTGCTTGATTTTGATTTGGGGATAAAAGTCTTTAATATCGCGATACTATATTACACAGCGGTCATGTTTAAGAACGGCTTGACAATACCCCTGTTTGTACGTCGGGAAACTCAATGTAGATTATCAACGCCGCGTTATGCACATAGAAAATCTAAGACTGCAATGAAAGCCATAACCGAACTATCCTCACCAAAACGCCTTGTTACAAAATCGACACGAAACAGGGGGAATCAGGGAAAGGGACTTATGAAGTAAAGGAAATGGGAAAAAAAGAAAGAGGTATTCATTCTGGCGGACGACAGAAGGGTGTTCGTGTTCTGTTTAGCACACGGCACCTCCAAACGGCGTATGTGCTGTGAGGTCGCGGACCAGGTCGTCGACGTTGTGCAAGTGACGTCCCAGAAGAGCCTGCTTCTCTTCGGTCGTGCGCGTAAAGTCGTCGTCGGCACTTCCGCGTCGCTTGCGTGCAGGAACAGAGTCGCGCGGATTGGCCAAGGGAATCGAGGGCGTCTCAGGCATGAGGTAAAAGTAGAGAAACTCGACGAGCTTGAGCTTGACCTCGCGCGACGTCGACCGGGACTTGAAGATGGATGTGACGGTCAGCAGGCCGTCGAGGGCCTCAAAGGCGCGGGTGTTCTGGGGCGTGTCGATGAGGGCGACGACGAGCGTGAGGAGCGTGGCCGATTGGATGGCCGGACAGTTGACCGGTTCGAGGAGATCGAGGAGGAGCTGAGGGGGTTAGCGGGGGATGAAACGGGGGAGGAGAGAAAATGAGAGCTAGACGCACATTCATGTACTTTTCCCGCGAGAAGAGCACTTTGCTAGGTGGGTGCAGAAGAAGCATGCCTTGAGTCAGATCCAAGGTGTTGAGGATCAGCATGTCGTTCTGACCATCGCTGCCGCGCGAGAGCAGTCGATCCAGCGTGTCCAGCAGCCGCTGGGCGATGTTCCACTCGAAGCCCTCCTGCAGCTTGAAGAACTCGAAGAAGGCTGGGTCGTCGTTGAGGTCGTCGAGTGTCTTGTAGGGTGGTCGCTGCTGTTGCTGCTGCTGCTGCTCCTCCTCGGTGGTCGGCCTCTTCTTGGACCGCGATGCGGACAGACAAATGGGTGCTAAGAGACCCTCGACCTGCTTCAGGCCCTTCTTGATCTTGGGTCCATCGTAGGACGACAGGTTGTCAAAGGCGAGAGAGAGCAGTGCTTCCATTTCGACAGCTGAGGGGTTTATCGCCTGGCTGTTTGAATGTTTGATTGAGTATTTGCGTATCTGGGTATCTGAGGGTTTGGGTATATGATTTTCTGCAGTCCCAAAGCTGCAAGGGAGAGGGGTGATCACGGGCGTTGAAAGAGAGCAGGAGCCAAAGGTTGATGAAAAGAAGCGGTCACTCGGCAGAGCATAGCAACAAAGACAAATAGGAAGAACAAGCTTGTCGACTTGCAAGCAAAAGGAATGGGATTGCAAAGTCGTCAGGCTACTACTATTATACAAGGCCAGAGGCGTAAAGGAGGAATGAGGAAGAAAATAAGCTATATCCACCTCGTCCAGAAAGACTGGCGTGGACGAGAAAACAAGGCGGGCTCAGGCTTTAGTATATCGAGATTGTGTCAGATTTGGCGGGCGATGCGATATTTTGATAAATGCCACAGCAACGGGCGGCTTTCCGTTGTGGATGGTTCATGCAACAACGGCGCTAAGCCGGGACTGGCGCTTGATAGACTCCCCGCACCGCAGTAGAGAAGAGTGGGGCTTGAGGCTTGGGCTGAGGCGACTCGCTAATCCTGCTTGCTATACGTACACTTCAGTTGGCATGGACAAAGGCGAATCAGATGCCAGTGCTGAAAATCAAGTGATGATCATGCCCTCTATTGCAAATAGGCATGCACAGAGGGTCTCGGAGAAGCGGCTAGGTGCGGGAGACCACACCGGTCTGGAATCGTCACTGCATGATGCCAGTACATAATTCGATGCACTTTCACCCCTCTCTCGCCAACATATGCGGCTAAGGCGGCATGATACCAAAATGTGACGAGTTCTGCAGATGGTGCTGAACGTGGGATGGTTGTGACATCCGAAGCAGCGGAGTGTCCGGGTGTCGAAAATGAAAGTTGGACGAGTAACTCGGTACGCGTACTCCTACGAGTAACTTATGTACGAAATTCGTGATACTGCGGAGTAGATTCCAGAAACCGTGGTAGGAGGCCGTCAGGGCGTTTGCGCAATGGCCAGTGCAGGGGTGCAATGCTATGTATAGTACGGAATAGAGAGCTTGGCAACGATCTACGTCGTAGGACTCTCGTTTGCGGTTTTGGATTGGCCGGCAGTAGCGTCCGAGACCTTGGGTTTAGGAATGCTGTACGGAGTACGGAGTACTTCGTATAAGAGTCAAGCACCCCGCATGCTTCTGCAAACCCGTTGAAGCCCCTGATTCGATATTCAGGAGACTCCCTACTACGAGTACGAATACCGCGGCAGCCTAGTCAGCTCAACTTCTCACCGCGCACGACAAAGCCGGCAACTGCGTCATCACCCACTCCTTCTGTCACGCCGTCTGCCGCCTCTGTTAGCTGTCATCCAATCGGAGACACGTGCAAGGCAGTCGTTGTCGCCTGACTCCGGTCAGATTGGGCTGCTCTCAGGAGGTACGACAGCGCGATCCCTTGACTGCTACCTGGCCTGACCCGCCTTTATTCTGCCAGGCTAGAGGCTAGGAAAAGAGCACAGGGCAGCCTGCAGGCCATCCAAGTACGACTGGAGTACATAAAATGCTGTCATCAAAGCAGGCCCAGAAACAGAAGGAGCCCGCAGCCATGCTCTCTTCTGCACCTTCCTCCTCGACCGCACCGCCCTTTCTCCAGTCTCTCGACGCCATCCCGCCTCGAAGATCCTCGACCGGACAACAGGAGAAGCAGTCGCAGCAGATAGCCGCTTTGTTGCAGTCCCAGCAGCAGCAGCAACATCCGTCTCGTCGCCATCACCACAGCGTGTCTTCCTCCTCGACCATCTCGGGCCAAAACCCCATGCTTCGATCAGTACCAGAATCCGACTGGATTTCGGGCAACTCGAATGCGGCCATGGCAGCGACACGACGACCTCGAAAGCCACCCATCACGCTGGCCTCGCTCACGGCAGCAGCAGCAGCGGCAGCGGCAGCGGCGTCCGGGATACCACCAGGGACGCTCAGCGAAGCGGCCACCGATGACACGTCTGCCGAGTCAGAAGGGCTGCCGATGATGACTGCTTCTGCCACCACGATACCCACACATCCAGCCATGCTGGGCGGGCTCAGCCAGCCGATCTCACCGGCACCGCCGCCAGACGCGAAGCGGTATGCGGCGGAGGACTTCAACTTTGGGGCTCGAAGGACGTGGACGCGGGAAAAAGAGCGGATCATCCGGGGCCCATACGAATACCTGAACGGGGTCAGGGGCAAGGAGTTCCGGACGCAGATCATCAACGCGTTCGATGGCTGGCTGGAGGTGCCGGTGGACTCGCTGGCCGTGATCACACGGGTGGTGGGGATGCTGCACACGGCCTCGCTGCTGGTGGACGACGTGGAGGACTCGAGCAGCCTGCGGCGCGGATTGCCGGTAGCGCACAACATCTTTGGGGTGCCGCAGGCGATCAACAGCGCCAACTACATGTACTTTGTGGCGCTGCAGGAGGTGCAGAAGCTGCGCAGCCACCAGCGTGCCCTGGCCATCTTCTCGGAGGAGCTGGTGAGCCTGCACCGTGGCCAGGGCATGGACCTGTTCTGGCGCGACACGCTGACCTGCCCGACCGAGGACGACTACCTCGAGATGGTCGCCAACAAGACCGGCGGCCTCTTCCGGCTGGGCATCAAGCTGATGCAGGCTGAGTCGCGCTCGCTCGTCGACTGCGTCCCGCTCGTCAACATTCTCGGTCTCATCTTCCAGATCCAGGATGACTACCGCAACCTGGTCGCGTCCGAATACACGCTCAACAAGGGTCTCTGCGAGGACCTGTCCGAGGGCAAGTTCAGCTTCCCTGTCATCCACAGCATTCGCAGCGATCCGGCCGACCTGCAGCTGCTCAACATCCTGCGTCTCAAGACCAATGACGACGAGGTCAAACGCTACGCCGTGAACCACATGGACCGCACTGGTTCTTTTGCCTACACCCGCGACGTGCTCGCCGTGCTCACCACCCGCGCCCGCGCCATGGCCGATGCCCTCGACGAAGGAATGGGCCGCAGCCGCGCCATCCACGAGATCCTCGACCGGCTGGTCATCAACTAGGGGCGGCTTCTGGATTTGCTCTCTGCTCTTGGTTTCCCTCTGCTTTTTTGGTCATTCGGCGTTTGGGGAACGGGTTCGGACGTCTACAAGGAGACAATATATCCTGTACGGAATATGGCGGTGCTGGCATCCTTTTTGCATAAGCAGAGAGCCATGGGAGTAGCTCGGCGTGCTCGAGAACAATTTAGCGTTCAACCTGCTTAGTAAGCACATGACGTCCTGGGTAACGATGTAAGCGGTGCGCTACGGAGTAGGTCTGAAATAGGAGCGAAGAACCTGTTTATTGTGCTGGTGCTACGTAGTAAGTAAAGTAGCAGTATTTTCAAAGCATCTACGGAGGGTCTGGTCAATAAGGGCTGTGGGCCACTATTTGTTTGATAACATATTGATGAAAAAAGATCGACGCAGAGGGAAAGAGAGAAAACAGGAGGAGTAAGTGACGAGATGCTAATGACACGGGATTAAAGGCTATCGAATGAAGACACCCGTCTTTCATTACATGGAAGTTGAACCTCGGACAACCACTGGACCGTGGCAAAAAGGACGAGTATTTGTGCAGTATCACGAGGCACTCCTCATTTTCTCCGACACTCATGACAAGCCGTTCCCCGGCATCGAGACCCCTCCGATGTTGCCATCCACTGCGGCGACCTGACGACAGACTCCGTGATTGCCGATTTCCGTTCCGCGCTCGAGCAGCTCGAGGCCGTTCGTGCTCCCCTCAGGCCGGCCATCGCGGGAAATCACGACTTCACGCTGGACATTGCCATGTTTCGGAAAAAGGCGGCAGACGCACGCCTGACAGACATGCCGGGACTAGTCGTCCGGACGTACGGCCACTACGGCGAGGTGCGCGAGCTCTTCGAAACGGCACGCGAGCACGACGTGCATCTGCTCGACGAAGGCACCCACTACTTCACTCTTGCCAACGGGGCGGTACTCACCGTCTATGCCAGCCCGTTCACGCTCTCTCTGGGCGACTGGGGCTTTCAGTTTCGCCCCAACGACGGCCACGAGTTCGCCATTGCCAAGGACACTGACATCGTGATCACACACGGCCCACCGGCCGGCATATTGGACGGGACCGCCGACCTAAAGCAAGCTGGCTCGTCGGACCTGTTTGCTGCCGTGGCCCGAGCACGACCTCGCCTGCACTGCTTCGGCCATATCCATGAGAGCTGGGGCGCCAAGCTGGTGGCCTGGCGGGAGAGCATCAGCGCCGTGTCCTCCCACTTAACAGATGTGGAGAATGGCAGATCGACCGTCGTGGATTCTCTCCAAGGCCTCGGCTTCAGAACCGGCACGACCGAGGACAAGGAGGAGGCCGAGCGGCTGGAGCAAAAGGAAAAACTGTATTCGGAAAAGGGATCATACTCGACGAGCCATTGCTCAGGAGACGATCACGGGATCAAGCATGGCCAAAACACCCTCTTTGTCAACGCGGTCATAGAGGGAGACGAGGAGCATCCAATACAGCCGGCCTGGCTAGTAGATTTAGAACTCCCAAGCCTTTTTACTGACGAGTCTGGGAACAGTGGCGGAAATGGTTCGATAGAACTGATGAAGGGTCTCTGAAAAGGATTAAAAGGGTTTAATAGAATAGAGACCAAGGCAGGAGCTCATTAGTCAGCTTGTACCGTGAAACCACAAACAGTCACGGAAGTCACGGAACACTGCAATCGGAAATGTTTTCTCTTTTTTTCTGTTCTCTGTATTTTTCTACTGTGCTGTTCCCCTTGTTCGTCCCCAGACGCTGCGCCGGCAAGACACCAAGTCCTGGCCCGCTGCCTCGACGGGTATTGGCATGGCTTCATTGCTTCCTTTCCCACCCTCCGGACCCAACCCTTTCCTGCTTCCTGCTTCCTGCTTCCTGTCTCGTTTCCATTGTACACGAGCACCAGAACACGGCCTACAAAAGTATCGTTGGTCGTATCTCCGCCCTTCGCTGGCACTGGCCCTCGACCAAACACAACACGATGCTACTGCACTGATAAATAATATCGGCCAGTTCTGTTTCTCATGCACAAGGTAGTCCCTCGTCCCAGCGCTCAGGCGAGCTCTGGCGGTCAGCCGAGCAGGAACCCAGACCCAAAAGAGTGGACTAGAGTCAAAAGAGGAGAACCAGAGAGGGAGGAGGGAAACAATGTTGCGGAAAGCGGCGAACGAAGAAATGACGGAATGGATACGGCGCAAGAATATAGAAAAAAAAACGAGAGCTTGCTGTATGAGAAATCGTACACGGACGACGCAGTGCAGCTGAGATTCTCAGCTCCCCTGGCCGTCGCCAAAGATATAAGGACTGCTAGTTCGAACAGGGTGCTGTACAGAGTATACGCAACCGTGATCGAACAAGACTAGGGAACGGTTCGTTGGTGAGGTGTTGATGGGCTTCCGGGCGAGCGAACTGAGGTGCAAGAGGCCCGCGCCCTCAAGTCTGGACTGGAGCAGACGAGTTTCTGGTCCAGTTATCGGAACGATGGCGCAGGCCGCCGCCACGAGACCGGCCTACAGGCGGCCCGTGGTTCGCGTTCGCATTCACGTTCGTGTTTGCGTTGGCCGGCTGGCTCTGGTCGTTGTTGTGGGAGCCGGGATGCGTCGGAGCGGCGTCCCGGCCTCCTCGGTTGGTGCCTCGCGATGACCGTCCGCTACGGCCGTGGTTCGACCGGCGGGAGTTGCTCGGCGTCCTCGGCATCGGCAGACGCACTTCCTTGGCGCTGCCCGACACGCCCGGCATCCGGATGCTGACGGCATACGGCGCGCCAAACGAGTCCTTGAGAAAGGTGTCATGGTCGACGCGCGTGGTGGCCGACAGCAGAAAGCGTCGGGGCAGCGGCTTGGGCGCTGCTGCTGGCGTCCAGGCCAGCTCGGGAGCCTTGTGAGGCAGATGGACCAGTGGCAGCGAGCCCATCTCCTGTCTCTCAAAACACTCCTCGGCCATGGACCGCGAGTTGATCGGTTCCTCCGGCACCGGCTTCGCATCCGAGCCGCCCAGAGGTGTTTTTGGCAAGGCAGCAGCAGGGCGACGCTGCGATGCTGCGATCGTCTCGGCTGCCGGCCCTCGGGGTATACTGTCTGCTCCTGTGTTTCTGCCCATCGACGGCTTCGACGGAGATGTGGCCTTGCGGTCGAACAGGTTGTCGAACCGCGCCTGCCACGAGCTGTCGTCTTTGGCCACTGGCGAGTGTTGCTTCCACTGGGAAGACTGTGAAGGTCCGGCGTGGGAGCCGTGCTGCACATGCTGGCCATTCCGTGTCGTCGCCGGCTGTGCCGTCTCGGCTCCGGCAGCCTTGTCCTCCGGAGGCAGGCGCACCACAATCGATGGCCGCGGAAGAGACACAAGCGGATGGGCGGCATCGCCGTCGTAGACCGGATGACCGGCCATGTCGGGCGGTGGTGGCGACGGCGAGCCCGGACGACCGTGTCGGCCTCCTCCAGCCCCCATGGCCGTGGCTCCAGACCCGGTCGACACATCGTCCGAACGAGCATCCCGTGGCGGAAAGAATCTCGACGGCCGCGGCTGCTGTGGAGGAAGAGCCGCCGACGAACCGACAGGCGGAGCTGCTGTATTGCCCGCTCGGTGCACAACCGACCGCTTGTTCTTGTCCTCGATCCGGTCGCCGTCCTCGTTCAGTCGTGTCGGCAACCACGTGTCTTTGATCGAAGGCCGGAGATCGTTAAGCGACATGCCCCGAGCTTCTGCCTCCCGCTGCTGCTCTGCCCGTCGCGTCTTCTGCTGCGTCAGCAGATCCTCGTCGCCCGCCTTGACCGCGCTGGTCCACGCACTCCGAGCCGAGCTGGCAGAGCTTGGGGGCCCAGCCGGCTGCGCCACTGTTGGTGCAGCAGCTGCTGCTCCTGTCGCCGTTGCCGTCTTTGGGGGGCCGATGGGAGTAATCGCTGGTGGCCCTGCATTCTTCTGTGAAGCAGGCGGTCCGATGGGACCAGGACCTTGCTTGCTGGTAATTTGAGAGACCGCCGGTGCGTATGGCTCCGTGACAAACGATGTCCCGTTGCCGAGGCTTCGGTTGCTGCTTGGTGCAGCCCAGAGATTCCGAGACGGCGCCTGGCCTCCACTGCCCCATGACGAAAGCCGGTCAGATGGGGGTGCTGCTGGACTCTGCCACGACTGCTGTTGCCGTTTCGTCCCGGGTGATGCCGCATTGCTGTCGTTCGTCGCATGCGATGACTGCGCGTTGTCGCCGGCTGCATCGCGGCTGGCATTGTGCTTAGGCTCTGGAGGCGCACCACTCGCAGGCGTGACCACAGACGATGTCGTGTCCTCCTTCGCTGCCTCCTTCTTTGCGCTCTTCCTCTCCGGCGCCGGGCCCAGCGCTTCCAGCTTCAATCGGATTCGCTCTCTCCGAGCTGCCTCTTCTCGTTCCTCCTCCTCCAAACGTCTCTTCATGGCCAGCTCCCTCCGCTCACGCATAATCTTCTTCTGCATCTCGATCTCGTCGTCAAGACTCCCAGTAACGACCAGAGGAGGCGGCCCCTGTACCGTTGGCTGCGCTGATGGCAGAGATTCCGCCGGCGCATTGCTGTATGGTGCCGCAAACGCCAAGCGGGGTGACGGACGAGACTGCCACGAACGAGACCCTGACGGAGAAAAGTTCCTCGGCGATGCCGGACTGTCGCTCTCGCCCGTAACCGACGGCTGTCTCGCACTGAGGAGATCCGGGCCTTGGTCGCCTGTCCGGCTGAGTCGCTGCAAGAACCCGCTCCCACCGCTCACGTTCGAGGAGCCGCGACGTCTGCCGTACGGTCCGGCATCCTGCATACTGCCTCTATGGGTCTGGAACGCTGCCGACGGTTCCGGCTGATCCGACATCTGCGAAGGCCGTTGGAGCAGCATCGTCCCCGGCGTCTGTCTGTAGTGCACGTCACCACGCACACCGCCTCGCCGGTCTTGGACCGGCTCGAGCCGTCCGGACTGCGAGTTGAACAGCTCCCGATTCCCGTGGGGATGGCCATCTCTAAAGCCGCCGCGACTGAAGTCGTCTGCTGCGATCTCCTTGAATGGCGGTGGTGTCGTCGTGCTCGGAGGCGGACCGTAGTTCTCTCTCTGCTGATGTGGCTGGTACGGCTGGTGGTGCTGCATCCGTGCCACATTTGCGCCGTGTGGCAGCTCCATCACAACCGGTGGCGCCTTATCGATGGGAGGAAGAGCTGCCCAGGGTGACTTTACCGGTGTCGGGGGAGCAGGCGGCTTTGCCACCAGTGTCGGCCTCTCCTGGGCACCCTTCAGGATGAGGCCCTTGCCAGACGGGAGTCCGGATGGCTTCGTGAAAGGGGTGTCCGACACCGGCGCGGGCGATTTCGGCTTTTCGACCGGTGCGGCCTCCTTGACCAGCAGAGCAACGGGAGTCGGCTGAGGATGCAGTTGCGAAGAGCTCGGTCGCACCGCAAGCTCAGACATGGCCGGCTGTGGTGAGGCCAGACTGTGCTCGTCGTGGTGCGGGATCGTCGACTTGGTGCCGTCAGTCCAGCGTATTTCCTCCGGAGCCCAGTCGTCGTCGTCGTCATCAATATCTGCCCAGTTTGCTTCACCTTTCGCGTCATCCTGCTGCAGCCGTGAGGCTACATGGATGCCGTACTTCTTAAGTTCCTCGTCGGTAAGCTTCGCCGGCTCAGGCACCGGCACCGCTGTTTGGGTATCAGCAATCGCCTGCCAATAGTCCTTGTATCATATATAGACTTACGCCTATTCTTGTTCCACACAGCATTTGCATCCGGTGCCGCCGCAGGGCGCCCGTTCGTGCCGCCGGATCCCTTCGCAACCAAGCCCCCACCAGTCTTGGCGATCAGCCGCGGGCGAGCAGAAGCTGAAGTGCTAGAGCTGAGCGTGGCCACGCCCAGGGTCGGCGAGGCCTTCTCACCCGGTTTCGCCGCCCCGGGCACCGTGGCCTTGGCTGCAAGGAAGGTCTTGTTAACAGATACGGCCTTGAAAACGGCTGGCTTCCGAGCGGCCGACGATGCCCGAGCGTGCCCGTTATCTCCATTCTTGCCCCTCAGCGCGTCTAACCGGGAGGTTTCGGTATCTGACCCCCCGCTGATGCTAGGTTCCGCCGAGTTTACCAGATCGTCCACGATATCGGCGATGTGCTTGTTTGCGAGCTCGTCGGGGGAAGTAGAAGAGTCCGGGCCCTTTAGAGAAGGCGTACTGGAGTCGACATCGTTGGGCTGGTCGTTGATCTTCGCGGTCTGGAAAACACGTTAGCGAGGCCCGGCAACAGAAATAAAACATCCACGACGGATGCCTGGTGATGCGCTAGTTAAAAATGCGCACGCCACAAGCAGGACAGTACATAAATAGAACGAGGCAGAGGTTTAATATAGACCTAGCGTATACTATGCGGCCACGGGTAAGGCAGACAGCTATGCGGGGGGGGGGGGGGGGGAAGGGCATTTTCGTCTTGGCACGGGGTCGAGGAAAAGAGCCGTTTGCAACGCAAGGCAAGATCAAACTCACAGCATTGGAGTCAGATATAGCGGCAGCTTCAACGATGGTGCTGTCACGGATCTCAGCAGCCATCATACGATGTGCTTAACTCTCGATTCGGGAGGTTGCGACGGTGAGCAGGCCGTATGTTTGGCAGCTCTCGAGTCACCGGAAAGCGGGAAGCGTGTTTATCGGATCTCAGGCTCCGATATGTGGAAATATGACTACCCAAAGCTTCACAAGTTGTGCGATGCTGTAGCGGGGTGTTGGCGACGCGAGGGCAGAGGCCGGCAGGAGCTCTTCTGTCTATCGGCCGAGACGTCGGTGAGGGCGCCTAAGAATGCCGTCCGTTGGCTAGGGGCGAAGTAAATCGGGCGCTTCAAATCAAGAAGACAAGTGGCGTCAGCTGCTGAGAAAGCTCGCGAGCGGTTTTCCGCGATCGGAAAATGTATTAGGCGATCGTCGCTGAGGACTTCCTATGGCCAGGAATGAAGAACAGAAAGGTGGCAAGGGTGGAGAAGACGCCAAAGACAAAACGGAAATGGAGTCCGTGATGATTACAGAGGACGGAGAAGGGGACAACGTCGAAAATGCGGCTGGGCGTCGTCTTTTTTCTGACTGAACGGTTAGGGGATTCGGCTAAGCAACACCATTGGTGGGAGAGTCGTCGACCTGCTTCGGGTTTAGCGCCCTGCAGGCTGAGCAGAATCGAAAAAAAGGCAGTCACTCAAGACAACACAGTGATGCCTGTTTCAAACTGCCGGCTGACGAAAGTACCGTACTCCACTAAGCAGGTCTGATGCTCAAATGGATGGTGCGTGAGCCTAGCTCAATTGTTTTCCTCCAGGTTGCTCTCGCTTTCTCATTTCACCAAAGCGTTTCGCAATGCTTCGTGCCATCAATCTTGGCAGCGTTATAAATCGGCGTGAAAACAGCCCCGGGACCCTCAGTGGAACGCCATGCAACTGCTCATTCCTCATGGCTACAGCTGTCAATCTTTGCTGTTCTTTACTTTCCTCCCCTGCCTTGGTTTTGCAAAGGCGGGACAAGCCAGACAGGGAAAACATGCACCACTGTCTCATCCACAAATCAAGTTCAACAACCGTTACCCTTGAGGAAAGCAGACTCTCTGTCACAAAACATGATAGGGAAAAGGGGGCTGGGAAAATTCGAAGACCCGTGGATACAGCGCTGATCTCCTCTTATTACAATATCACTCTCAATTTGGCAACATGTAATATATGTACAGGCGTGACTGAGTATCGAGGACAGCCAGAAAGCTTCAGTCCCGTCTAGTTCCCGCTTTCACTGCCAACTAACTTTAGTGGGCGTTGTTCTTGTGGTGACCTGAGTAGATGATTGAAAGCTGTTAGCAAACAAAATCAACCGCAACGACTGAGTTGTCACGTTAACTACTTACGCAGGTGAAAGTAGTACTGCTGGGCGTAGCCGATGATGACGAGAATAGCGACGGCCTGGATGATGGCTGCAATAGAAGAACACGTTAGCATGACAAGGCAAGCTGCAATGTCGACAGGGAACCAAGAGGATGAACCCCGCGGCACGAAGAGCGATGTGACGTACGCTTCGCGGTCGCGTTCTTGCCAAAGTGCTTGGCCTGGTAGCGACCGAGAATGCCCTTGGCCTTGACCTCGGGAGCCGGGCCACGGGGAAGCTTCTCGTAGAAGCTGACAACACGCTGCATGCGCACAGCATCCGGAGCGCTGCCAATAGCCTGTGCAGAGACCCGATATCAGCATTCCGAACAATCCAAATGGCGCATCATAATGCGCATGTTCCCTTCCTCGCCCGTGCTAAAGCGTTTGCAGCAGCGGTAAGCAGGCATCGCTCGATAACCTCTACAGGTTCGGCATTCGCAATTTGCCAAAGGTGGAAAAGTCGCGCGTTTTCGATTCCATCCCACTTCACGGAAACGGCCAACAACCGCTTCGGTCTCGACGTACCTTGGGCGACGCAACCTAGGGAATTCAATTAGTAGCCGACAATTGAAAGTTTTCGGTTTCTCTGCGACGGGCATAGCACACCTTGGGGGGGATGAGCGTCGAAAGCGCTCGGCGAGTGATGTAGCTCATTGTGAGTTTCTTTTGTCGGTGGGCGGACCCAGCGGAACAGACGGTATTGAGAGGAGAGTAGCGAAAGAGAGAGAAGTGCCCCTGTTCAGTATCGACTCAATTGAGCTACAGCTATGCCGGCACAATTGAAATGGAGGCGGATTGTGGGATTTCAGCGAGTTCGCGATAGCCTAGAGAAAACGAAGATTCCGAAAGCTTTCCTCCGGAGGAGCGGTTGTTCCCGGCAGCCAATCAGCTGTCTCCACAGCTAACAATTCTTTTCCTGCCACAACGCCTCGGAACATCGTTTTCGCTTACCACGCTTACCACATTTCCCTCGATTGCTATTCGCGAGAGCGCCGGGTTTTGAACCAAATTGAGACCACCGTCGAGCGCATTCGTCAATAGCGACCACCCTGTACCTGCGATACCAGCTCGGATTATCGATTCCCATTCCCCCATAACGGACCATGGCCGCCTTTCGCCCCGTGAGCACGGCGGCAGCCGCCCGTCTTCTGAGAAGCAGTGCTGCCGTTCCGAATGTCCGACGGCCATTGATTGCGGCCGCCCCGGCGATGCGGCGGTTCGAAAGCTCGCTGACTTCGGCCCCTGAGTCGCCGACTGTCTCTGACCCTTCAACATTGGCTACCTCCAAGAACCAGCCGGACTACGCCGCCCACTCTGACCGGGCGACTTCGTACGGGATTCCTCTCTTTTTTGATGGCATGCTAAATAGGGAAATCTCTGACTGACACCGGGCTTCGACTGCCTCTTCAGAAAGTTCACTCCTGTCCCAAAGCGCCTTTTGGACGGCAGCGAGGACACCGACGTGCTTCCGGCCGCCGTACTTTCCGGAGCTCCTATGGAACTGGAGGCTCGCCAAGTCAGGTATGCCGGTTTTTTTCACCAAACATCTAGCTCTGTCTCCTTCTGTGATAAACACCAATATCGACCACGGTGCTCATACAAACACAGAATCTACAAGCCCGCTAAGCCCGCAACGCAATCCGGTACCTGGGGCGGGTCTCACTGGAGGATGGACTGGGATGTCCTGAGCAAGGGCCACCGGTGGGAGAACCCGCTGATGGGATGGCAATCCTCTGCAGACTTCATGCAGGGTACGCACATCAACTTCAAGAGCAAGGAGGACGCCATTGCTTTCGCCGAGAAGCAGGGCTATGAATACTTTGTTCAGGAACCGAAGGAGCGCAGTTTCCGGCCCAAGCAATATGCCAGCCAGTTCATGTACTCCGACAAGAAGTTGAAGCAGGTGCGGACAAAGTAAAGCAACAGCGCTTATGACGGGTATTTGAATTGTATATCCGGGTTTAGGGGCAGTGTAGGCGCACTAATCGTATATAGGACTTACATATCCGTGCTGTATGAAGTTATTTCGCAGCAATCTTTCTCAGTTATTTGGGCTGCTTTCAGACATCAACTTTTCGTACTTTCACGATGTTTAGGGCAGTCAAGACAGTTCATATAAACCGGTAGTTGTCAAATAATCGTGAAATTGATTGTGGCCCGAGGGCTTCTTATAATAGTAGGCCCAGACATCGCCGTGTCCATACGGGTCTAACGCCAAATATCTAGTCATGCAGGTCCCGCCTTGCAGATTTCCTTATCGCCTGGTATCGTATAATATATGCATCGGATGGGCAAAATCACGCTGGTCGTCAAACATAACCCCCCCCCCCGGAAGTTATCAAGTAGTAATCATAGGTTCGTGCCCGTTTTCCGGCATGTTGTCATTATCGGTGGATTGCAGGCCGAGGTCGATGTGGACGGGAATGTCATTCTTACGAACTCTTGCCACATCTTCGGCCCATGCCCTCATCTTGACCAGCTGTCTTATAGCTGCCTCACTGGGCAAACTGTTGTGGCGAAGAATGGCTTTGTTGACCTTGTCAGCCACTTCTTCCCGAAGGTCTGGCGATAACAGCTTCTTGAGCTCATGTGGTAGCTTGTCTGGTGCGAAGAACAACAAGGACATCGTCTCCTCCAGGTCGCGAAGAAATTCAGGACGTGTGGATGCGCGTGTTCCGAGTTGATCTGTTGCAAACGCCAAGACAGACTGCATGTCGCTCGTATCACAATTGCGAATGAGTTCAACCAGCTGGAGCCGAAGAAGTGCAAAATGGAGTGGAGGATCTTGGTCCAGGATCTGAAGACAAGGGTTAGTCTTGTGGGCCAAATTTGCAAAACGATAGTTTAAAACAATAATTGAAGTTTTTGTCGCTCATAATTTTCAGTGTGGTTTGTGTCTCATCAAGGGCACATAGGCCATATGAGTGGTGCATGAAACAGAGTCTAATCATAGCGATGAAGGGAAAAAGGCAGGAAGGAAAGTCTCACCTCTGGGTTCAGGTAATTGAGTGCGACAATTGCCTCCTCAATCTTTCCCATGTGGATGAAATTTTGGATCTGCTGCCTCGTCCGGATGGACGAGTCCTGCTGCTGCGGCTTTAAGTTGGCCTCTTTCGAGAAATGGGCCGCAGCCTTTGGATATCCCTCCATGGTCAAATAGTCGAGTATCAAGGCGTTGATATCGCTTCAAAATAATGTTAGCAATATGCACAACTCTACACGTTGTAAGAACGGGTGCAACAGTGAAGCCAGTTCCATCAACAAGATCAGTCCGCTTTATAAAAAAGTATGTCTACTCCGCATGATAATTCTCAGAGAGATTCCCAAATATATAATCATCACGTTGCGGACGAGACTGGCATTCGACGTTGAGTAAATGAAGAGAAACAAACCTTTTGGGAGGTTTAGCAGCAATCACCCGACCATCGAAGCCAAGCTTCCCAGGTGTAGCTGTGGAAGATGTGGATGTCTAGAATAGAGAGCGAAGGTTAGTGATCAGAAAATCTTTCGAGGTTGGATGGTCGGACGAGCAGAGCCTGCAACGTACCATGGTGGGCTCGAGAGGTAGAAGGCGAGATAAATCTGCAACGGGTACTTGTAAAGCGTTTAAGTCAACGACTTTCTAAGCCGAAATCTCTCTTCACATCCTTAGATGCTCGAAAAGGCCTGCAAGTGTACTTGGCCAGATAATATAAGAGTTTGAGTGTGTATATTAGAGGATTGAGAAGAAAGAAAGAGGAAGGAAAGGTGAGGTAGAAATATTTAAATAAGAGAAAAATCAGAATTAGCGGGGCCATCTCTGTCCACCATGCGCCAATCAGGACTCTGCTTAATTGTGGCTATTACCTAATATCACTTTGGCCCTCCGTCCCACATGCAGCTCACTTACAGGCCTCGTTTATTAGTGTAAAATCCACTGTAGATAGGATAATTTCTCTTCGTTGAGGATCCAAGACGACTGCGATAGGATCGCAAGAAACCAACATTGTGGTAGTGCCAATACTTTGTCTCTCTCTCTGCTATTGGATCGATTTTATCGCAATTGGTATATTGGGCAGTCAATTCGCTCATAAACAGTCTGGGATATCAGGCTTAGGCTCAGTTAGGCGCTGGGTTGAAGGACTGGCAGCAGTGCTTGCCTTCATTCAGTTGCCCAACCTGCTCGGCCTCCAATACCTCTATCATCAGCGCAAAAGGTGTATCCACTCATAGGATATTGGCCGGCTGAGATGATTCCTGGAGCTATAGATCACACTATCGCCAACAAGGCATACTATGAGCCGCCATGGGCTGATGTCAGTATCATTGGCATCGCTGGCAGTTCTGGCTCTGGAAAGTCCAGCATTGCCAGAACCATTGTCAGCCAGCTGAACCTGCCATGGGTTGTTATTCTTTCTATGGTATGAGCTACCATATTCGTCTGTAGGAGAGCATCGCTGACAGCATGATCAAACTGGGCACGCGCTACAGGACTCATTTTACAACAGTCTTGACCCAGAGTCGTCTAGGAAGGCATTCCGAAACGATTTTGACTTCGACTCTCCCAGCGTACGAAACCCCCTTTTCTGCGTCTATCTGGATGACTAGCGTCTTAATATGTCAGAATTTATGAATACTGACTCAAGGTGCAGGCAATCGACTTCGATGCTCTGTTAAAGACGCTTAAGGAGCTGAAAGCAGGGTAGGCGTCACCATGCATTCACACTGACAATGTCGTATGAGTTGTATGCTGATAATATAATAGGAAGCGGGCCGATATCCCAGTATATTCATTCGCAGAACACAAGCGTTTAGACGAAACCACCACTATCTATTCACCGCATGTCTTGATCCTTGAGGGAATTTTGGCACTGTATGATCAAAGGATTTTGGACATGTTAGACATGAAAGTCTGTTTCATCAATTGGAACCAAATTTAAGGTTCCATGCAGCTAACCACTAATCAGATCTTCTGCGCTGAAGATGCCGATGTTTGCCTCTCGAGACGAAGTATGTAATTCCCTCGCATACATCGACTTTGTGACGCCAGCTAAACTCTAAATCAAGTCCTTAGAGACGTCAGAGAGCGTGGACGTACTGTTGAGGGCGTCATTAAGCAATGGCTCAAGTTCGTGAAGCCTAACTTTGTCAAGGTAAGAAGCGACCCTTGAAACCGCGCTGCTATTAAGAAGGCTAACAGTTGCATGGTAGTATGTCGACCCACAGCGATCTGTTGCCGATATTATCGTGCCCCGCGGGATTCAGAACAAAGTTGCCATCAGTACGCTATTTGGTGTCATTGCCTCTTCTTGCACGCTTGTTTCCTGACCGGTTCTAGGCACGGTGGTGCAGTACATTCAGCAGAAGCTGTTAGAAAAGTCACTGCAGCACCAAACTAGCCTGACGAGACTGCAGCTCGAGTCACTAAAGAAACCGCTCTCCGAGCGAGTTGATTTCCTTCCGGAAACGCCTCAGCTGCTCGGAATGAACACTGTCATTCACGACACATCGACGAGCAGCGAGGACTTTATCTTCTATTTTGATCGCGTGTCCACCCTCTTGATTGAACTGTGCGTATACGATACCCCATTTGCGCTTGCTATAGACCGATACTGACACGCTCCGTTCCAAGTGCTCTTAACAATGCCAGGTTCTCGGAGGCGGTCGTCGAGACCCCCCCAGGCTACAAGTACCATGGGCTTCGGCCGTATGGAAAGACTAGCGCTGTTGTTCTGGAGCGCGGCGGTGCTGCACTCAAGACTGGTCTCCAGCGGGTCATTCCCGACTGTCGGATGGGCCATATCCTGATCGAATCTAATGTGCGGACGGGCGAGCCGGAGCTGCGGTACCAGAAGCTTGCGCGGGACATCGACGAGCACTCCACTGTGCTGTTACTCGACGCGCAGATGTCATCGGGCGGATCGGCATTGATGGCAGTGCAAGTTTTGCTGGACCATGGTGTCACCCAGGACCGCATTGTGCTGGCGACGTACTCTGCTGGACGCATGGGGCTACACCGATTGACGAGCTGCTTCCCTAAGATTGCCGTTGTGGTGTGCCACCTGGTGGAGGACATTGAGGAGCGCTGGATCGAGAGACAGTACTTTCGCTGTTGATGGAGGGCAGAGAAGACGGAACGAGCTACTGTTCTGCTTTGCTAATCTACTTCAATTATTTATTTCGTTGTTCGCCATGCATTTGATAGAGTCGGTATTTTGAAAAACATAGTCACACACATATATACAAACATGCTATGAGTCTTGCTCACGTCTTAGGCTTGTCGAACAATATCTTGAAGCAGCTTAACCTATCTTAAGGACGCCAGGGAATGGAAACCAATCACAGCTTTGATTATCGAATATCATAATAGAAGAAGCATGAAAAAAGCGCCTTAGAACAGCTCCCGCGCTGTGCCAACACCTTGACTACATGCGGACTTATACCTCGTAAGGCAATGCCGGGGCCTTGAAAATCAAATGGGGCTTCCGCTTCGCAAGGTCTAGTATCGTCTCTGCAAAGACGCCGTTCGCCCCTAGAAAATGTCAGCATATGCAATTGGGCGACTGCTTTTCAGATTGCTAGTGTATACTTACATGCAAACCAGCTCCCTGCCCGAATGTTAGTGATCACTCATATAGCAAGCAGGGGAAAGGGTGGACGAACGTGTGTATGATGGGATATGGTTCACGCTGACGCTTTCGTGAATAAGGCCCAGCCGGGCAGAGTTGAGTACCAAGGAGAGACATTCTTGGATTTCTGCGTCGTCCTCGGTTGTCCGCGCCTGCATAAGCAGGCTCATGGGCCAGGCGTTCATGAGGCCGATATGGGGTCCTGACCTGCGATTAGAGGCGGCCGACAGAGAGTGCAACTGAAGACGGCAAACGTACCTCCGATACCCTTGAAGTCGTGGCCTGTCAGGTAGTACGGATTTGTCTGCTTACTCAGCAACATCCGTCGCGTGTTTCGGTAGGTTGGGTCGTCTGCAGACAGGAAACCCATTAGCGGCAGCGCCAGAAGCGACGGGTAGTTGGCGTCGTCCATCAGGATGTGCGAGCCGTAACCGTCAACCTCGTAGGCAAAAACGTCGCCGAACACGCGGTGCTTGACCACGCCGTGCTCCCAGACGCCCTTGGCAATGCTCTGGGCCCAGCCGGAGACCTTGTCAGACAGCGCATTGTAGTGGCCAGGGGCAGCTTTGAGCATGACGGCGGTGCGCTTTAGCTCGGCGGCCATCATGGCGTTGGCCGGGATGAAGAAGCCGAGGATGGTGGCGTCGTCGCTGGGGCGAAAGGCCGAGCGGACAAGGCCGGTGCCGTTGTTAAGTGGGTTGCCGATGCCGCGCAGATTGAGCGTCTCGGTGCCGAGGGTTGTCCGGCGCTGGAAGGTGTACGGGTTGCCGACGAAGCGGCCGGATTCGGGGTCAAACGTGGACTGGGACTGCTGATCGAGCACCTCGAGCACGGTGTTGACGGCACGGAACCAGCGAAGGGTCATGAAGTCGGTCGACCCGGTGTGCTCGTAAAAGTTGTTTGTCAAGGCCAAGAAGTGGGCCAGGCTGTCGAGCTCGTACTTGCACTCGAACACGGCCGAAGGCTCGTAGGTCGGATGCACCACGTCGTCCTGGCCGTTGTGGCTGGGATGCAGGCCCGAGATGGGCGGCGGCTGGAAGGCGTTGCAGTACGGACTCGCAATCACGTACTCGGCCTGCGTGTTGATGGCTCCCAGGATCAGGTCAAACACGGCGCGGTCCTTCTTGGCTAACGGCTGGTAGGGCGACAGCTGATTGGTCGAGTCGCGCAGCCACTCGGCCACGATGTCGCCCGTGATGATAAACGACTGCGGACCCTCCCAATTCTTCTCACCGATCTTGCCGTGGCCCTTGCTCTTGGACTGCTTGTCGGCGCCGTTCGTGTGGAACTTGATCGTCGTGTCGGTCGTCGACGGGAAGGCGTTCTCGAAGAGCCGGGCAAGATCAACGTCTTTCATGCGGGACGTCACGTCCTCAATGACCTTCTCGATGGCATCGGAGTGAAACGTGCGACATCGCTTATCTGGTCGTTGAAACGGAAGGGCCAATGGGCCCTCGCTGAGCGGTCGGCTGGGAGCAGGACGTCTGTCAGTCCGGCTGGTCACAAGAGCTTTGGGTTGGGAGGAGCAGACTGGGCTTGCAGGTTCGACTTACTGCGGGTAGGCTGCGTAGGTTGCGTAATCGGGACAGGCATCCGAGTTCAAGACCTTCTGCTGGTTTGCGCCGGTGAGCGGTATCTGCAGAAGCAGTGCCAGAGCGATGGATGAGAGCAGTCGAGGCGCCATTGCGAATGAAGCAGAAAGAGAAGCTGGGTTTGGAAGATGTTGGCAGTGCAGCTGGCAAGCGAGTAGCCCCCCCGACCAGCCTATTTAAATTGACCAGATGACAGATGAGGTCAGCTTCATGAGAACGCAAGCGGGCGAGAAAGAAGAGAGAAATGGAGGGGTGGGAATGAGAGTTGCTTCCGGCGCAAAGCTTGTGCTTAGAACGTGTGAAGTTAAATTGTCGTGGAAGGTGCCCGGCTTTAAGCCTATCGAGCGGTGGTTGGCCAACACTTGCACTTCAATTGGCGTATGTGGGGTAATGATGATACAGCGTTTGGGACAATGGGGTTAATACGGCAACAAACTTAACATAGAGACAGAATTGCGACTCCGCATTTCAGTCTACTTTTCTAACTAAGCAATGCATTTCACCCAGTAAACTAAGCAGCAGTCCAATTGTTTCAGAGAGGCTGCTCCTGTAGGCAAGTCGGGACGCTCATCATTTCTTGGAGAAGAACGACATGATGCTTCCTTGTCCTGCCGGCTTTTTCGCCTTGGCAGCTGGAGTGGTCGAGTGTGACTTCTGGGCTGGCTTGGCTGGCTGAGCTGGCTTCGGAGGTGGTGCCTCGTCCTCGGAAAAAGATTCCCAGCCAGGTTCCTGGATTGTGACTGTTGAATGAGATCAGTAATGGAACATCGACATTGGCATAGGCGATAACGACAACTTACCGAGGTAGCCACCTTCATCTTCAATCATCTTCTTTCGCATCACACGGCGCTTGCCACGGCGGCGTCCATCCCCAGTGGTGGTAGATATGACCTCAGTAATCTCCTCCTTCTCGGGTGCTTCCGGTGCAGACGGCTCTTCCGTATCCTCAAGTAGATCTTCCATAAGCGCGTTTTCTCCCTCTTTCTCGTCCTCCTCAGACTTCTCCTCATCATCGTCTTCTTCCATCATCTTGAGTAGCTCTTCTTCTCGCTCCTTGCGAGACTTCACGCCATGTCCTGTCTGAGGTTTGGGAAGAAGCTCGTCGTCGTCGTCGTCTCCTCCATCATCTGACAAGGCCATGGCCGTATCTTCCTTGGCCACGACAACAGGCTCCTTCTTCTTGGGCTTAGCAGCGGCCGCCCCTTTAGCGAACGCCTGCATAATACCGCCTGACGAGGTCTTCTTTGCTATTGCTGGCGTAGATGATTTCGTTGTCTCTGCGCTTGAAGCAGCTGGTGCTGGTGCAGTTTCCCCAGCCGTTTTCTCGGCATCCTTTGTCTTGGCTACCCGGTTCCATATTGAGTTTGGCCCTGGCGCGTCCACGGATGGCTTATCGGTCTTTCCCTCTTCCTTTGTGTCCTTTGTAGCAGATTTTGCCACTTTGTTCCATATCGATTGCGGCCCGGGAGAATCGGTTGGGGCCAGGGTTGGCTTCGAAGCAGGCTTGGTGGAAGGGCGAGAGACCAATGTTGGTGCCTGCCCCTTGCGTTGACGCCGTCGAACGTGCGGGTTGTGAATGGTGCCGTACACCTTGGAACTGTCCGAGACATCTGCGCCGGTGAGTTCACGTAGCTTTCGCGTAGAGTCGGCAAGAAGTTGGAGATCCTGTGCCATTGTGAGCAAAGCGCTCATGCTCCACCAGGAAATACGGAAGATACCTACCGACATCGGCTGAGAAGAAAGGCTATAGACGTGAATAGACTCTATGGAATCGTGTTTTGAGAGTGCACCTGCGCGCATATGCATCTTGGATTAGCTGCTACGCCGTGGCAAAAGAAAGCAGCATCACGCACCTTCTAGGGCTTCTTCGGCAACCAGGGTCATAGAAACGGTGGGGAACGGATCCGAGAACATTTCGCCCTCCGAGTACTGGCCGTCCATATAAACATTGCCCTCGTCGAAATCGGCATGTTCGTGGTGGCTTGGCTTTTCGACCGGCTTCGTGCCGTATAGAAGATAGGTTGCGTGAACCGAGCCGGGCTTCTTGACATTCTGCGATTTGTGGAATTCAAACAGTGCTCTAATTGACCAGTAAGCTAGGGCGCGTGTTATACCGCCGTTTCCAAAACGCATATATACCTCTTTGCCACATTGACATGCAGTTTCAGGGCTCTGCTCAAGTACCGATAGGTAACCTGGACGCGTTAGAAGTGACAGTCAAGACGGTGAAGCGGAGAAACGCACCACATGCTTCTCAGCAAGGACCTCATCAGCGAGATACTCGGCCGCTTTCTCCATCTTCGTTTGCTGCAGTAACGGGCACCACCAATGGTCTCTTTTGGCGTCGCGGTGATATTGGCGTTCATCAAAGCTGGAAGAGCTTCACCCCGCGGGCGTAAGAGCGTTAATGGCCCAGCGCGTGGTCACGTGATGTAAGTGGTTGAAAAGGCTGTTTGCGGCGCAAAACTAGCTGGTACACGTGATGGACGCGTTGTGTAGGCGGTTTCTGCTCCAAAACCCAGGTCGCAGAGCAGGTATCTTCATTAGCAGCCACTTTAAATCCTTGCATTCTGTGACTTCATATCTGCGCTCCAGTCAGCCGGATGCGCCGTGGGTCACTTGTCGAGCTACCACCCAGCCGTCCTGATTGCACCGTCGCCGCGCTCTCGCCGTGTTCTATGAGGCCTCTCGACACGCGACGATGGATTCCAGCGCAGACGTTGCCGACTCTACGGACTGGCTCGGCACCTCGCTGGCCTGTCTGGCGCCGGTCGAGCAGGCGCTTCGCTGCCACGTCTGCAAAGACTTTTACAACTCGCCGATGATCACGTCCTGCAACCACACGTTCTGCTCGTTGTGCATACGGCGCAGCCTGTCAGCCGACGGGAAATGCCCACTTTGTCGTATGGCGGACCAGGAATCCAAACTGCGTGGGAACTGGGCTCTGCGGGAGGTCATCGAAGCATTTTGCAAGGCGCGGACTACGGTGTTGGGCGTGGCACAACGGCCAACGAGTCCTCCGGCGCGACCGACGTCACTACAGCCAAAACGAAAGGCAGAAGAGGCGGGTGAGGCGGGAGCAGATGAGGGAAGCAGCAGCGGTGACGGACCGCACACAAAGCGGACACGGACATCAGCACGCCTGAGCAAGGCAAAGGCTGCCGAGACTGTTGCGAGCATGCCAGAAGACGAAGTCATTGAGATCATGTCACCAGAGGATGCCGGCGACGGCGACATGGACTACGAGCCAGGTAAGCACGAAAGAGCTCTGCTCTCGGTTGAAAGGTGAGACCCGATCTAACGCTGTCTTGCAATCAGACGACGGTCTCGCGGCATGTCCAATATGCTGGACACGCATGAAGCCATGGCAAGTAGACCGCCACATCGACACATCGTGTACCGGCTCGCCCCAAAAAGTAAAAGCAATTTCAAAGACGACAGCAGCGGCAGCAGCTGCAGGTGGTGCCAACACGCGATTCGGGAACCCATTCTCGGCCGTTTCGACACCAGCGCCACCGCCACCGGAGCGGATCCCGTCGCTGAGCTACTCGCTCCTGACGGACACGGCGTTGCGAAAGAAGCTCGCCTCGATGGGACTCTCGACCGCCGGGACACGACAGCTGCTCGAACGACGCCACAAGGAGTGGCTGACGATCTGGAACGCGAACTGCGACTCGGCGCGGCCGAAGCGCAAAGCCGAGCTGCAGCACGATCTCGACGTGTGGGAGCGAACGATCGGGAGCAGCATAGGGGGTGGCGGTAGCAGCAACATGGGCGGACGAGGATCGGTGTTGGCGTCGCGGTCAGTAGCAGTGGCCAGCCAGCAGGTGGCGCGGATACGAGATAAGAACTTTGACAGCGCCGATTGGTCGACAAAGCACAACACGTCGTTCAAGGACTTGATTGCGAATGCGAGACAGTCCAGATCAAGGGCGGAGGGACCGAAGAAGACGGAAGCAATACCGGACGACGGGCTAGTGCTGACGTCAACAGAGGCAGAAGCATCGGTAGACGAGGCGAAGCCACAGACGACGGAGGATGGCAGTATGGGAGCAATGCCAGAACAGCACCAGAACCAGCTAGAAAGAGAAGCGGATGAGCTACAGAGTCGCCATCGGCCATAAGCACATTGCGAGCAGAGACAGATGCGCAAGGAGATATAATTGCTGCGAGCAAACCAGATATAGAGGAAACCGTAGCAAACGCCCTGATATGCCGGTCATGTATACCAACCCGGGAAAGCAACCTGCGACCCGCAATTCGCCGCGAGAAATGACAGCCAAAGAAAGCACAGTATTAGTCAAGATGAAGAGTCAGCCGGGTCAGCTGGCCGGCGGTTCGTTGATCGACAGCCCGCGCAAGCTGGCGGTAGTCTCAGCCTCCAACACAGCCTCCAGCGCGCCCTCAGAGAAGTGGTCTGGCACTGGGACGCTGTCGGGGACGGGGCCAACGGCCGCGAGACGTCGCATGGTCTCCTGCGCAGCTGCCTCCTTGTCCTCGTCGTGGACGCGCGTCTGTCCCTGCAGCTTCTGCATCTGCTGCTCTTCCAGGGCAGCCAATTCAGCGGTGATCTCAGCGTCGTCGACTTCTAGAGCAGCCGACCCGCCGGCCTCTTCGGCGAGGATGTGGCCAATCTCGTCAGCAGCGTCCATCTGTTCGCGCAGGCGTTCGACCACCTCATCGACGCCGCTGGCACCCCCGACCTGCGCGTTGAGCGACTGCAGCGCGCTCGCGCTGGCATCCATGGCCTGCACAACCTGCACGTTGTCGGCGGCCTGTTCGATACGGGCAGCCGCCGCCTCGACCTGGGCCAGGGTGGCGAATCGTGTCGCCAGCGCCGTCTCCGTCTGCTTCTTGAGCCGCAGTGCCGCCAGAGCTGCCACCCGGTTCTTGCGTACAGTCGCCGCGTCGCGAGCTGTCGCCGTCAGCTCGTCCACGCGCCGGCTCAACACGTCTGTCTGGTGCGTCAACGACTCCAGCAGCTCCCGCAGCTGTGCCACCGCGCTGTCTTCTTCCGTGATGGCCACGGCAGTTGTTCTTGTCGTCTTGGACGAGCCACTTCCACCGCCGCCGTCCTGGAGCAGCGTCACCACCCGGCCGTCATAGGCAACGAGGTGCTTGTCACGTGACAAAAACACGAGCAGCACATCGATGTCTGCGCCGGAAAGCGCTGCTCTCTTGCGGCTGCTGCTTCCTTCTTCTTGCTGCTGCAGCAGCTGCTCGTCGAAGTCGTCATAGTCGTCCAGAATCGAGCCTGGCTGGCCAAACGTGCGCTTGAAGTGCGCCACCGACCAGGTCCGTTCGAATCGCGACCGTAGACCGGCCGTCTTCTCGATGAACGCCGTCGCTGCCTCCTCAACGTTGGCAAGCACGACAAGCTGCTGCGCCGGGATCTTGCCACCGCCACTACCACTGCCGAGACCGCTGAGGCCGCTGAGGCCACCCAGCTGGTGCAGACCCCAGGACAGCACGTTCCAAGGGACGGCGGCGGCCCACGAGGCCCACGAACCGCCGCGACCGTATATGCTCTCCTTTGCGCTCAGAAAGGCCGTCAGAGGTACGAGGTCGCGGTCCTGCACAGCCTCGCGAAGCACAGCATCGAGCGCGTCCGGAGCGCCGTACCGGTCGCTCTGCAGGGCGTCGAGCAGCTGCGGGCCGGCGGAGAGGATCAGGCGGTTTCGAGAAGCCCCTGTCGGAGCGTGTTTCGCATCGGCCGATGACGTTGGCTTCGACGACGCAGGCGGCAGCATTCCCTGTCGGACTAGAGATGTCAGGCCGCGCCGCCAGGCCGAGACGTTGGCTGCATAGCCTTCAGGGTTGTGATTTAACAGGCCGCGGAAATCGGAGTAGAGTGCTGGCAGGCGAGATCTGGCCGGTCAGTCGGAAACTATGTTAACACAAAAAAGAAGGGAGATGAGAGGATGCTACCTGCTAAATCCCTCCTCGTGGGAAACTAGGAACTGGATGCGCTGCGCGTTGCTGATCATGGTGAGATCGGCCGCTGCGTGGCAGATATGACTGTACGGAAGAGGCCGGATCACAGAGTTAGATGGCCGGCGTGTCTTCTGCCGCCACCGATCCAGAGTATTCCTAGCAAGGAGGCTTCGCAACCGCAGCCTTGGGTTTGTTTAGTTTGGCAGCGGTTTGCGGAGTGGTTCGGCTTATCAGCTCACGATAAGCCAGTCATGTGCTCGAGCCACGATAGATCTAGCGAGCTTGGCCCTATAACCTCTGCCTAAAAACTGCCTAATCTGGTATTGACTGAGAAACCACTTCACCGCTGTAGTTATACTGGCTCGTTCTCATTCATTTCTCGTGTCTCTTCAGTTGGGTCGCTGATCAACTTGGAGTATTTAAGACACTTTTCAATAGATGTTCAAAAATACTATAATTGCCAATACCAGTGAACGGCGAGATCCATAGAACAGAAAACGCAAGAAAAGGGGCCCAAGGAAGGCGCTTCTATCACATGACGAGCAAGAATGTTTGAATTGTCCCAGTTCGACTTCGAGCAAGTATTTCGAAACCCCCGACCGGAGAACTGTGCGCTGCAAGTTGCCTTGATGTGAACAAAACAAGGCAACGGGAAAGACATGACCGGCTTGCCATGTCCGTTCTCGGAAGGAGTAACTGAATAATGTTCCCAACTCAAAAGTTTCCATCTCAATATTCATTCTCATAGCTAAATCAACACGGACCGTTTTCAGCCGTTTCAATTTTCACTGATGCTCCTTTCCCCTCTCGTTCTCAGCCACTGTGTTTATCGTCTTCGCCTCCTCTCCTCGGCCGCGAACTGCATCAGCGGCCCCGCAAGTGCATTGGTGATGGCATACTCGGCCGCATGCCGCATGGCCGTGTGTCGGATCCCATTGACTTTTTGTGGGTGCCGGTGCTCCATGTATGTGTCGACAATGGCGGCTTTCAGTGCTGCCGTAGCCACGCGCGTGCCCTTGTCGCCCAGCCAGTCGCCCGGGCTGTCGTGGCAGTCAAGCGCTGCCAATGTACCGGCGCGCAGAGCATTGCGGACAGCCGCCTCCAACGCGGATGGTGTTCTCTCGTGATCATCCTTACTGCGCCTGTGGTTGTGCTGGCTATGATGGTCATCTTCTGTCATGGCATCTTCCCGGTATCGCCCCCTATCCTCGCCGTTCTTGCCCCTGTTTGATGGCGGCGATGGGCTTCTCTTTTGTTGACGATGCGTCCGACTTGCTCTATAATTCTCGTCCACTGATTCGGTACGCGAATAAGAGGGCACCGACGACTGTCCCTCCTGGACTTCCTCACTCCTGCCATAATGTCTAATTCTAGGCTTTTGTTGGTCGCCGTGCCTCCGGCCGATATCACTGAGCTCATCCACAGATACATGTTCAAGCCGCGGCCACGGGGTGCTGTCTCGGCGACGGCTCGATGTCTCTGACTTTCTGCCGTACTTTGACCCTCCGTTCCGTCTCATGTCTCTATGATGATTTCTGCCGTATGGCTGGTGCGGAGAGCTATCTTGGTGTTTTCTCTTATCTTCGAAATAAAGATCGTTGGGCCACACTCGACCCAGTGCTTGCGATGCCGGAGAATGATCACGACTACGACCATCCTGAGACCGGCTGACTTGCAGTTTCCTTCTTTGAGCTTCAGCACGATGCCGCGACGAAGAGGAATGACTGCTCTGGTAGGAGCCACTGCGACCTCCGTCACTCATTTGGTCTCTCGTTGATAGCTGTGGTGGCAGCAGCAGTCTGATACTGTCTCTTGTGTCGCGTAAGGCATTTCGTTGTCGAGAGCGGCTGGGGCTAGGACTGCGCCTTTCTGTAAGCAGTCGGGGCCGGTGAGTACGATCCCAATTTTCAGGCCCATCCAGACAGCGATAATGGTAGCTTTCCCTTCTGCCTCTCTTTTCACTTCTGCTTCCATCACTCCAGGTCCCTTCGTCTTCCTCGTCGTCTGCGTAAGTTTCCTCCCGGCGCTTCTCTTGAAGGTGGCCTCCTCCAGGTCTCGGACGGCCGCTTCCATGGCCGTAGCCAGATGCCAACGCGGCCACAGACTCTGTACTGGCCCATGCTGATGTCATGATTCTTATCTCACAGCCGAAGGAAGGACAAGCGTTCTACTCCGTTCAAGTTTCGAGATATTAGATCTATGAATGAGTGTCCTATCCTACTCAGCCGAGAGTATATGCGGATATATATAGGTCTACACGGCACGCAGAATCATTTTGACACCGTTCGCTGTCGCACAGAAAGCACTGTCACCAGTATGTTGCCACCATTCCGTGTTCTGAACGTCCTGTTTCGCCGAAAAGAGACAGTGTCGCAGACTAGAACTGTTGATCTGTTCCCTCACCCTTTCTAGGCTGCACTGCGATCGGTTTCTCTGCTTTGAGTCGACACAATGGGCAACATATCTGCTGAGCTGGCGCCAATGACAGGCCTTCTCGACGACTCAGGTAGCAGGCCAATATATTGGGCAGTTCAGACACATGCATGGACAAAGCTGATAGCTTCGTTAATTTGTTTACTATGGCTGTGCTATCCTGATCTTCGATCCCAAGCTACCACAACATTCACCATACAATCCATGTTTGGCTTCTTCTCCCGGACGAGCGTCCCCCCTCCTTGCCGACCTATAACGATGGGTCTATCAGATACTAAAAAGGATACACAAAGGCAGATTTCGGAACAAAATTGCAACACAAGGACCGACAGTCACCAATGTATGAAGATGTGCTACGACTGGCTCACATACATCGCCCTGTCCCGTGTCTCTCATGGGGTAACCGCGGGACACGAGCATGAGCCTCTAACCACCCTCTCCTGCTTCATACTCTGGGTTTGTCTGTTGTTTCCGCATGTCCTACACTCGTATTCCGTCGGGCAGCGACTGACTGCAGGACAGTACATTCACCGTGTGTGATTTTTGTCTACTGTTCTGTCTGTCCTCTATTGCGAGCTCCAGATGGGCTTGTCACATAGTCTTACCTTGTATAAGGAATTTCGGCAGCTAGACTATGTCATTCGCCGCAATAATCTGACCGGAGGCTTTTCTAAGCAGACATCTCAGACATGGGACTTTCATTTCCAACGAGATATACTGCCTTTCTGGTAAAAAGTACACATAGCATGATGTGTATCAATGCGATAGATGGTGACACATCGGGTCGAGATAGGTACTGCGCACGAGGGTCCTAACGTTTCCCCAAGTTCCCATGCTCTACCAAAAATCTCACTCACCCCCACCCCTCTCACTTGAGGCAGCACGGCGTTCCCGTCCACTAAGGAGGTACAGCGCAGCACGCAAGTCTAGCAGTGGGTCTTCCGACGACTCTATACCGTCCACACGCGGCACAGGATCGAATATGAGATACTTTTGCTCAGCGGCATCATCCTCCACCAAGGAGTTCAGAGTGACCTCGCCGAGCGTGACCTCCTTCCGCTTTTCAGGACCGTAGTCTGGCCAGTGCACCGTGTTGTTGTCAGTGACATCTCCATCCTGAGCTACCTGGGCTACCAGGCGGAAGCGGATGGGCTCCCTGGCCGCAGAGGCTGCCTGGATCTGGGATCGCACGCCATCGAACAAAAACGTCGCGCTCTTTGTCTTCACAGCCGCATCGTCGAGGTTGTCAACGCCAGCGACGGGCACGACACGATAGCGGATGTACTTCTCGCTGCCGGCGGCGTTGATCAGTTTGAACGCGTTGACACTATAGAACGTCTCGTGGGTAAAGGCGGACGGCGTTGGCTTGGGCGCAGCTAGGAACGCCTGCGCAGACAGATGGGCGGCCACAAAAGCAGAGAAAGCATCTGGATTGGTTCCGGCGCCTGAAACGGCCTTGAAGAAAGCTAGGGTTTCTTCTGGCGTGGCGGCTGGAAAGAATGGCGTGCTGTGGGCGATAATGTCTGTGTGCTGGCGGCGCGGCTTCTCGGCGAGGACGAAGCGAAGTGCGAACCCGCGAGGGTTGCCGTTGGGATCATTGTCCGGAATCTGAGGAATGTCGGTCGAGGAGGAGAAGCGCACAATGACGGGTGTGGAGGCCTGGTTGAAATGCGGTGCGCGCGAGAGGGCTGCGGCCTCGGCCGTGGGCACAAACGAGCCTTTGAGGAGGATTCCCTTGGCGTGTGCTGGTAAATAGGTGTTAGTGGACACTGATGATGAGCATGTGTTCCCTACGCAAACATACCAGGACGGGCGCAGGATGAGGACCAGCGAGGTCCTTGAAGATACCAAGGAGTTCCTTTCCGGTATCAACAACCTTTTTGTCGGTGGGAAGAGGCATGACTACTCGATACGCTTATGGCGGGAAGAAAAAATGGGCAGAAAGTATGCTGTGAGTGGGCGGTCATCAAACATCTACGACAGAGAGCGGACAAGCTTGTGTCTTATAGCAAGCATCTTCATTCTCACCCCATGCTTCGTAGAAACGCCTTGCGTGTGATTGGTTCTTGGCACAAAGACAAGATGTATGGTGTGCAATAAGACGCCCAGACAGGCCTCTTAATAGGTGTGAAATTCTGGTTCCGACGGGAAGTATACAGGGCGCTGATTGAGTCCGAAGTGCGAGCTTGATCTGACCAACCGAAGATAGTGTTCTGTCGTGTTTTGGAGTAGCTTCATATTGTAACCAATGGCTGCCTGGACATTTCTAAGAGCACGGGGAGTGTCGTGCTTACTCTTTGTTGTTGGCACTTTCCCTCATTTGAAATGTGCTCCTTCCCGCCTTTCGAATAGTGACGTCTGGGCGCCGATATCTGCAAGAGATGTACGGCACAAATTTGAGCCTATCGTCGCCATTGTGTCGTGCGATGGTGTTACCAGAAGTACGAGACAGAGATGGCAACTCATGCAGATGCAGAGGCTGTCCGCCTGGGAGGGGGAACGAGCTACGTAAGCTTAATACACGGGAGAATATCTAGTGTGCTAACTGTTTTCCAGGTACCTGATTTAATGTAGTGCTGGGAATAGACGACCAATGATTTAAATATACGTGTGTCGAATAAAACGGACAGCCAGAAAGGCCTATTTGCACCAATGTCTCTAAACGTAACAGCAGCCTAGCCTTTCTCGTCTATTTGGGTAGCATATGAAACGCACAAGCACAACATCTAGCAACGCAAACTCCCGGCATACCGCATCGCTTTTTATGTGCCGGTGGTGGCAACAGGCTGAGCCTTCTGCTTGTCGATCTCATCGGCGAGGCGGGTGATCATGCCAGCGATATGCAAGGACACGGAACTGGACCGAGGGATGTCGTGGCCACCGCCGTGGTCGTACATCTCGCGGATCTTGCAGAAGTGAGCCAGCTGGACGCTGCTCGGCAGCCGCGGGTCCTTGCTGCCGTAGATGTGTACGGTGGGGATTTGAATGAAGACGACGGATGGGAAAGAGGCGAAGTCGAGGCCGAAGACGTCGTGATCGCCCTGCGGCAGTAGTGATCCGGGCGAGTGAACGAGGTCGGTGGTGTCGTCCCAGAGACCGACGCCGCGCTGGATCAGGTCCGGATTGGCGGCCAGCTCGCGCAGACGGCCGGCCTTGCGATGCAGCGACTGGACGGAGCGCTGATCAATATCGCGGGCCCGCGGCGACACCGTGAGGCCGAGCTCCTCCATCCAGGACACGGCCATGCCACCGCAGACGAAGATGGCGGCGCGAAAGGGTGGCGGTCGTGGTTTTTGCTGTGGATGATCGCGGGCCCAGCTGGTTAGGTAGCTGCCGATGAGAATGCAACCTTGCGAGAAGCCCATGAGAGCGTCGTAGGGCCCATGAGCGGCCATGTATTCGTCCAGCCATAAGTGGGCGGCACGGATGCCCATGACGGACTCCTGCGGCCACCAGGCAAAGGTGCCCGAATCAAAGAGCGTGTCGATACCCGGGGCTGGCGTGCAGCGAAACGGCCCGTCGACAAATTCAAAGACGAACGAACTGTCCAGCTTGGCCCGCATCGCTGCTGTGAGGCTGTCAGCAGCGGATCGGAAGCTCGTCTGTATCTAGGGGGGGCTTTTGGCACACCTGTCTGCGACTTGAAGATGGCGGCACTCGTGCCTCGGCCATGAAGGCAGAGGACCCGCATCGTGTCCGTCTCTCTCGTTTGGTTTGGGACCGGCGACTTGTCGGACTTTTAGCGACTTCGATGCTCTCGAGACGTTGCTGCAGTGCAAGGGTGAGAAGACTGGGATTGCGATCTGCTCAGCAGGGCTGAATTCGTTCTGACGATGCGTGTGTCACACTTCGACCGTCTGCGCGTTTTCGGAAGTCCTATCCTGCTTTTAAGCGGCCACAAAAAGTACTGCCCTATCACCTTCGGGGTTCCGTCTGGAGAGAGTCCGGCTGACAAGGACTTGAATCAGTGGAGGAGCGACTGTTTCGACGCGAGTGGCCCAAGGAGGCTTAGCGGATCTGGGCTAACACCCGCCGCAGATCCGCTAGGCTGCGTTTGGCTGTGCTTGATGTTGTTCGGTCGTCCCTTCCCGACGAAAGTCCCGAAAGCTCCGGTCTGAACAAGGGACGTGAAGCATTGTACATACGACTTCGGAAGGAAAACAGCACAGACATTCAACTTGATGCCGAATCCAGTGGCACGCATCCCAACACAATCGCCAGTCCACGCACCGGCAGCGGCGCAGTATTCCTGTCTGCTCTGCAAGCAGCGGAAAGTGCGCTGTGACCGGAAGATGCCGTGTTCAGCGTGTGTGCAGTGGAAGGCCGAGTGTGTCCGGACGACTCGGGCACCTTATACGCATAGAAAACGCCAGCGGCAAAGCGGGACTCCAGGGGAGATCCGAAGAGAGTCTACAGAGCAGCCAGCGTCTTCATCTGCACAGGCAGCTGGCCAACCACACGTGCCGGTGCTTGGCGAGTACGGAGGTCCCGTGCTGGCAGATCCATCAGGTCTTCTATTTGGCGGGATAGTGGCCGACATTGAGCTCGAGAGTGCTCACCCACAGCCGGTGCAGACTTTTGTGCTCTGGCAGACGTTTCTCCAAAACGTGAACCCCCTGTCCAAGGTGATCTACGCTCCCCAGGTGCAAGACTTGGTTGTGCAGGCCGCCGCAGACTTTACGGCCGTGCTGGTGCAGACGGTTCCGCTCTTGTTCGCGCTGTATGCAGCTGCTGTGGCATCCTGGAGCGAGGCTGAGTGCCGGGCCAAGATGGGCGAGCCGAAGCAGGCGCTCCTGCAGCGATACCTGGCAAGCACGCAGCAGGCACTCACAGCCGCAGGCTATCTGCACACCAACAGTCTCGTGCTCCTCCAGGACTACACCATTTACCTTGTAGGTCTCTGTCTCTGCAGCGTGGCCAGCCCCCTTTGCTAATGGTTGCAGTTGGCCGCTCGCCAGGTCTTTGACGCCAGTTCGATGTGGATCTTGACGGGAATCGGCCTGCGCATGGGGTCACGACTGCTGACGACGACGCCGAACGCAGCAAACGGGTCGGCCTTGTTCGAGACAGAGATGCGGCGACGGGTCTTCTGGCAGATGCTGCTGATCGACGGCCGGGCCGCACAGCTCTCGGGCCAGGGGCTGCAATTTGTGGACGTGCCGGCGGTGCCACTGCCAGCGAATCTGAACGACAGCGACATTAGCCCGCAGATGGCGGTCATGCCACCGGCAGTGACGGACCGGGCGACCGAGATGCTGTTCTGTCTCATGCGCTACGAACTCTGCCAGTTTCTGCTGACCCACGGCCGGGAGTTGCACGACCCAAAAACGCCGATGGCACGGCGTGACAGACTCATCGACAACCTGGCGGCGATGTACGAGAGCGCGTACCTGGGACATGTCGACGCGGCGCTGCCAATGCACCGGATCGCGGCGACTAGCACGAGCGCGATGCTGGCCAAGATGCGCCTCACTGCCCACCACCCGAGCCGGCGGCCATCGATGCCGCAGGCCGAACACGACACGCTCTTTGCCACGGCCGTTAGAATGGTGGAGACGCTCCTACGTGGGTTGGATGACGAGAGCGTGGCGCCGTTCCGCTGGCACGCGGACATGTGCTTGCAGCTGGACGCGGTCATCTTCTTACTGATCGAGTCCCAGAGCCAGGCGCCCGAGGGCACGCTGGTCGACACGACCTGGCAGCTCGTCGCGGACGCGTTCCGCCATCGGCCCAGTCTGGCCAGCGGCACGGACGAGATAAGCAGGGCGGTGCGGCAGCTGGTGCTGCGGGCGTGGGAAGCCCGCGAGCGGAGCGCATGCAAAGGCGGACTGAAAGTGCCGAATTCGACAACACTGATTGCAGATCTGCGGGCACAGGCGCAAAAGACTAGCATCGCCAGTGCAGAGGAAGATATTGGGGCAGAGCCAAACAGTAGCCTGGACAGGTCCTATGCAGACGATTGGGAGTCCTGGGATTACTGGAACACGTTGCTGCAAGGCGAGACGGTTGTATCGAGGTAGACAGAGTACGAGTAAAAGTATCTTGCGGAGTTCTCCGTAGTCCCACTGAAAATCCGTATTGCTGACCCACAACACGTGACGATAACGATAAGACAGCGTCCACGGAGACTATTTCCAGCTTCGCCCGTCTCTGTCCATTCACGCTGTAGACGCTCAGTCGGCAACTTGCCCGCTCGGTGCCACTTCTGCAGCCTTTTTCTGCTCTTCTACGCATACGACAGCGACGACAGCGACGACAGTGACGACGCAGACGGAACGGACGACACGGACGATAAGAGAAGCAATCGACATTCTGCTCTCGCATTCCCCAGCACGCTCTTCAGATCGGGGCCTTTCCCATCGGCTCTAACACGCAGTCTTGATGCCGAACCCAGACGATGTGGCCTCGCCGACGCAGTCGATCCAGTCGATCCAGTCGCTGCCGGCAGCGGCGACGGCGATGAGGCTGCCGAAGCACCGCCACGGCTCACTCGACAACGATCCGCCGACCGGAGCAGCGCACCAGATGCACCATCACCACCGTGCGCCACGGCCGATGCCGCTCTCGCATTCGGAGGCCAGCCTTCCGATCCGGCGGCCAACACCGACGACAGCATCGCTGTATGCGTCGACGTTATCGCCGCCGGGATCGCGGTCGATGTCACCGGTGGGCCGCGTCAGCTCGCCGGCAGCGCGACCGTCATCGATGGCGGCATCTATGCTGGGCAGTCTAGGCGGTGGGGCCGGGCCCATCATCGGCATAGGGGGTGACGTGCGTGGCAGCCGGAGCAACAGCGTCAGCACGGTGAACACGGTGAGCACGGTGACGGGGGCGGCTCCGCCGATCGGGGCGCCGTTCTCGCGGTCTCTGCTGGAGAGTCCGGCGGCCGAGAGCGCGGGCGAGCCGCTGTCGCTGCTGCTCAAGGCATTTGTGCCGCACGTGGCGGTGTACTCGTCGCGCGACACGGACGCGCTGCTGCGCGAGAAGGGCTTCAGCCGTGGGCTGTGCGAGCTATTGCAGCCGTTTGGCGAGCAGGTGCAGGGCCGCGTGATGGTGCGCGACAGCAACGGGACGACGCGGCCGCGCGACGACTTTGCCGTGCGCTTCGTGCCGTTTGGCGACAACATCGAGACGCCGCAGCCGGTGCACGGCGTAGTCAAGGCGTCGGTGACGGCGCCGTCGCTGCCGTTGTTTGGGGCCCTGCGGCGGGGCGGCAGTCTCCGCGCATCAGCAGCAGACGGAGGAGGTGGTGATGCGGCCGAGACACCGGCAGCGGCAGCAAGAGCACGCATGAACAGCCGGTCGGCCAGCAATGCGGCCGAGTCGCGAATCCCGCTGGTCGAGGCCGTGGTCGAGCAGCACCTCCGGTTCGCAGAACAGTCCTTTCTGGGAGGGCTTCAACAGCCAACAACGTCCATGGCTAAACAGCAGCAGCAGCAGCAGCAGCAGCAGCAACAACAACAACAGTCACAACAAACGCAGCAGTCACAACAACAACACGACCTGGAGCTCGACGCCGAGACCACGTCGCCCTACTACTCGCTATACCTGCGGCGACTGCTCTCAGGGCTGCCGGTGGCGTGCCACGAGACGTTTGCACACCCGGTGGCTTGTGTGATCGCGATCAGCTCGCGCAACTCGTCGCCAATCCAGACGTTCCAGGAGCTGTACCGCGACATCAGCCAGGGCGAGAGGCAGCTGCCGCCGTGGGTGGACGGCGACTTTCTGCGGTACTACGTGCTCGTGCACGATGAAGAGCGCGGCGATATTGTGCAGTCGATGGCGCTGTTTGAGAAGATGAAGCGCAGCCTGGGGCTGCACTGCCATCTGCTACGGATCCGGAGTATACAGAGCGCAGAGACAGACGACGACAGCGTTCTGCTGCCGCGCAGCGACTGGATGACAGCAGCCGAGGAGTATGCCGACTTGGAGCGAAGCGAGCGATGGGAGTGGGACCGGAAAGGCGAGAGGGAGGAGGCGGATGGGGGCGAGGGCGAGGGCAAGGGAGAATATGGCGAGTACGACGACGAGGACGACTACGCAAGCCCGACGCGATACATTTTCGAGTCAGACGCAGCAGCAGTCCGAACGTTTGTGCGCGAGCTGGTGACGCAATCAATCATCCCGACGATGGAGCGCAGCGTTTCGGTGTGGAACGACCAGGTGGCATCGAAGCGACGGGGACTAAGCGGACGGTTTATCAGCCTGTCGAAGCGATGGGCCGGTTTTGGCAGCAGCAGCAGCAGCAGCAGCAGCAACGGGAACAGCGGCAGCGGCGGGTCACGACACGGAGCCAGCGGCAGCGGAGGAGGATCGAGCTACAACGGACAACAGGGATACTACGCAGCCGAGGCGTCAGAGGCGGTGATGCGGAAGCTGGCGGACTACGCCTTTATGCTGCGAGACTGGAAGTTGGCGATGTCGACATACGACATTCTGCGGGCGGATTTTGCCAATGACAAGGCGTGGAAATACCACGCAGCCGCACACGAGATGTGCGGGTTGGCGCTGCTGATCCTGGCGCCGGCAGCATCGTCGCGCACGAAGCTGGAGACGGTCGACAGCATGCTGGAGCAGGCGTACTACTCGTACCACACGCGCTGTGGCAACGCATACGGGGCGCTTCGGAGCGTAACCTTGGGGCTGGAGCTGCTGCGGCTGCGCGGCGGTGCGGCAGCAGTAGGCGACGCCGTGCGCTGGGGCATGCGGCTGCTAGAGGCGCGACTGGCCGGCGCGGTGGGTGATGCGCTGCTGCGGGAGCGCGTGGCGGCCTGCTGCAGTGCCCGGCCGGCCGTCGGGGCTGGACCGCTGACGGCCTGGGGCAGCTGGCGGCGCAAGGCGGCCTTCTGGCACGTGCTGGCGGCCGAGACATGGGTGGCTCAGGGCAAGTACATCCAGGCACAGCGCTGTCTGAACGAGGCCCGGCGGGCGTACTCGCTGCTGCACTGTGACGACGGCATCGGCGGGTTCGCGCTCGCGAGCGGGCTCATGACCGGACTGCAGAGGCGGCTGAAGCAGGGGCTGGCAGCCGGGGGAAGAGGGCCGGCCGGAGGTGCAGGAGGCGGTGCAGAACCGACAGAGCCGGCAGAACAGTCGGGGACAGGCGCAGAAGCAGACGCGTCGACACCACAGGCAGACGAGGAGGTGCAGTTGATGGCTGATGCACGGGCCGAGAAGATGGCTAAACGACGGTCACGTGCAAACAGCCTTTTGGGCGGCGGTGGAGTCCAGTCGGCCTTGGAGACGGCCCCACTACGGAGTCTGGCCGTGGCGATAGAACAGGGAGATCCAGACCTGTTGGATGGAGGGTTTGGAAAGGTGTAGGGCGGCTTTGGGACGGAGAAACAGAGTTCTTGCTTCTCTCATGACGTCAGCTCGCTACATACGACTATGGTATCTTACGATGACTAACACAACCGGCTCCCGGAGCCAGCCGCCGGTGGAGCACGCCGCTACAATACTGTGCGGCGCTAGTGTACAGGCAGCGGATCTGTCGACGTAATGGTTAGCAATGAGCGCCGAGTGGCAAAGGCCGAAGTCCGGAAGCGGCCGATGATGGAGGATAAATAGGATATATTACGCGGAACATGACAACTCAGTAATTCATATCAAGTCCACAAACAATTGCATCCTGGCCACTCTTGTCACTGATCACCTTCACTCCGACCTTCAATCCCCACAATGTCTTCCATCAAGATCGAACCCCTCGCTGTTGGCGGAAAGTCCAAGGTCAACTTTGGAGCCATTGTCACCAACGTGGATATCGAGAACCTGACGGGTAAGTGAGTCGAACTGCAACTGCAATGGCACGGCTGCACGCCGCATGCGACGTGCAACAACCCACTTTGGGAGAATACCCGTGAAATCGGTAACCTCCCGGTAAGCTCTGCCACGACCCTCTGGTGAAGCCAGAAGACAGCAGGCTGACGTGTGCAGACGTCGACTTTGAGGCGATCCGCGACGCCCTGTTCCGCAACCAAGTGCTCGTGTTCCCGAACCAGAGCGACGTGTCGCCCCAGAAGCAGTTTGAGCTGACGCAGCGCTTCGATCCGACCGGCACGTCATACGGCCACGGCAAGACGTTGGATGCGAAGAAGTCGGTGCTGCACCCAGATCTCAAGACGATCCCACACCAGCCACAGGTGCAGGTGATCGGCAACGGTTTTGTCGAGGCGTACGAGGGCCTGCAGAACGTGCAGCTGCGCCACCCGCACCACCGCACGTTTCATGCCACCGTGATCCCGGACGCCGAAGACCTCGACTTCACCCGCTTCTACCGCTGGCACATCGACGCTGCTCTGTACGGACTGGCGCCGCCGGTCGTCACGACGCTGCTGGCCGTGCGCGTGCCCGGCGGCCGTCGCCAGACCTGCCGCTACGACGACGGCTCCGGCGACGAGCTCGACGTGCCGCTTGGCACCACCGCCTTTGCCTCAGGCGAGACCATGTACGACCTGCTCAACCCGGCCGATCAGCTGCTCGCCCGCACTGCCCGCGTCGAGTACGCCGCCCACCCGTACATTTGGATGAGCGGGGCCAAGTCGCGCTCCGACGGCCTCGGGCTCGTGTCGGAGGGCCGCGAGCTCACCCCCGCCGAATTGCCGCCCGTCGAGCAGGACAAGATCCAGATCCTGCCGCTCTGCTGGCGCAACCCCGTCACTGGCCGTCTCGCCCTGCAGGTCCACCCCAGTGCCGTCCGTCGCCTGCATCTGGCTGACGGCTCTGTCATCGACGACCTCGTCGAGGTCCGCGACATCATTCACCGCCTCCAGCGCCCCGGCATCGCCCCCGAGCTCATCTACCCACACGACTGGAAGGCCGGCGACCTCGTGCTGTTTCACAACCGCGGCCTCATCCACTCCGTCGTCGGCGCCTTTGCCCCCGACGAGGTCCGCCTGTTCCGCCAGTGCAACATCGCCGCCAGCCATCTGCCCGAGGGACCGGCCGTCGAGGTGTCTGCATAGGCAGGTTTTGCATGTTTGGTCTTTGGCGTTTGTTTTGCCTCTGTTTTGCCTCTGCTATGTTGGATAGATATCAGGACTACGGGTCCATCTGGAATAAATTGCTGATTGCTACTTGGACAACTGATCATTGGTGACCCCCTTCCTGTCCATCTGTCTCGCTAGCCTCTGCCTGGAGACTGCTAATTACACTAAATGGCGGATATCCGATCTCTCCACTTTTCTAGTTTCTTCGCAATAATAAGACACAGAAGAACAAAAGTACTCTGTAGATTCACTAGCAAACTCAACCCATATACCACGAGAATGGCCAGCTACACGGCCGGACGGGTCCCTGCCTTTGTGTCCTTGGGGATGGTGGTGGTAGACGAGCTTCGCTCGCCTGGAAAGACGCCACGAACAAACATTCCTGGAGGCTCTGGCACCTTTTCCACCTTTGGCGCCCGTCTTGTCAGCGGCAGGGACCAGGCCGCAGATGTCGGCTGCTTCATCCTAGCCGGAAGTGACTTTCCGCAGTCTGTGTTGGACCGGCTGGAAGAATGGGACATTGACCTGACTGTCAAAGTCGATCCTACCCGACTCTCGACCCGTGGCCTGCTCGAGTATCACGATGCCGCATTCAGCAGTTAGTCCGTGGAAATGCAGCCACAGAACGGCCATCTAACCGATGTCGGCTCTAGGGAAGACCTTTCACTACACGACGACGCCGCTCCAGCCCACGCCCAAGGACCTGCCGCTGCCGCTGCTGGCCGCCTCGTCCTTCCACCTACTGGCAGGTCCGGCCGACTTGGAGAGGCAGGTCGGAGAGCTGCTCCGGCTGCGGTCACAGTCACGTGATACATCAGAGAGACGTCCGCTGCTTGTGTGGGAGCCGCTGCCGATCCAGGTCAGCGCGGCGGCCAGAGAGGCCCATCTGGCCGCCTGCAGGCTCGTGCATGTATTCTCGCCCAACCATCTGGAGCTCATCATGCTCTTCCAGGGCCCCGTGTCGCCGGAAGAGGCCGACGATGCAGCCTTCCGGACGGACCTGGTCGAGGCGTACGCAGACGCCGTTCTCGACGCCGGCATCGGCCCCGATGGCAACGGCACCATTGTCGTTCGTGCTGGCAGCCGCGGCTGTCTCGTGTCCTCGACTCAGATCCACGGCCGTCATCGCTGGCTGCCGGCCGTCTCGTTTGCCCACGGCAGCCGGCGCGCCGTCGTAGATGCGACCGGCGCCGGAAATACGTTTCTCGGCGCGCTCACGTTCGCCATGGCCTCGCACGACCACGACGTCTTGGTGGCTGCCAGACAGGCCACCGTTGCTGCCAGCTTTGCCATTGAGCAGATCGGCCTGGCCACGCTCGAGAGGCCGGCCGATGGACAAGAAGAAGAACGGTGGAATGGCCAGACGTTTGGCGAGCGTTTCAAGACACACGAGAGCATGCAACTTCTTTGATTAACTCTATCGAAAGAGACAGCTTCATCTATGTGTCATGGTGGTAGGTTACGAATCACGACAGCGTGGTATCTCAATGTTGCCCGCCTCACGGTCATCTTTGCCTGCTTTGTTCCAAGTGTCCCCCTCTTCGAATGCGGAAACCTCGACAAAGGTGTCTTTTGGTGGAAACGCGAGACTCAGGATGGTGTAGATGCATCCAGACATGGACATCGCTGTCAGCCACGATGCCTTGTCTTTGTTGCCGCTGTCAGTAGGCAAGCAAAGGTCGCTGGTATGGTCACGTGACTCACAAAAGTAAAGGTAGTTCCCGACATTGACCTTGCTGTTGATCGCGTGGATCAGACCGGGCAGGTTGACCGGCACAGCCACGAGGAGGGCGGCCAGGGCGCGCCAGTTGAAGCCGTTGCAGTAGCGATAGATGCCCTCGTTCTGGTACAGCATGGGCACGTGAATGCGGCCGCGGCGGATGATGTAGTAGTCGCAGATCATGATAGCCAGGATGGGCGCCAGCACGATGGCGTAGCCGCTCAGGAATGTGGTCAGGCTGGTGGCGCTCTTCTGGATCTTCCACGGGGCCGTGGCCCAGCCGCCGATGAGCGAGACGACAAAGGAGCCGCGGCGCAGGTTGATCCAGCGCGGCACCATGAAGGCGAGATCGTTGCTGGCCGCGACCGAATTGGTCGAGATGTTGGTGCCGAGCGTGGCCAGGCCAAAGGCAAAGGCACAGAAGAAGGCGGCCGCCCGGCTGTCCCAGCGGGCGATGACCGTCGTGGGGTCCCACGAGAGCTTGCCGTAGATGGCCTGGCTGGCTGACGAGACGACGATACCGATAAAGGAAAAGACCCAGTACGTGATCGGGATGTAGAGCGATTGCCAGTAGGTCACTGACGGCTTGCGGCCGTAGCGAGTGAGGTCAGACTGGATGGTTAGTTGTGTTGGTTTTGTTTTGATTCGCTTTATCTTCTTCTTTCTTTCTCTTTCTCTTTCTCCCTCTTCTCTCTTCTATCTTCGCACTCACAATATTCAAGGCAAGCGTTGTTCGGCTGCTGACAACAACATTAATGCCTGCAAGATAGGCCCAGCTCTTCTTGGCGCCGTGGACCTTTGCCTTCTGGCTAAAGACAGGCCCGGCGCCTCCTCTGTGCACTGCCCAACCCAACAGGGCAAAGGCGGCAATGACGGCGAGGGTGGACTTGACCATGAAGAGATAGCGCAGCTTTCGGGGATGGATCATCACGAGAGGAAATTGCACTGTCGGACGTCTGGTCAGCAGAAGAACAGGCACGGTGACGAGGAGCTTCTACTGACGGATCCAGAAAACAAAGTACGCAATCATCTTATTGCTAGCAACACCTTGGGAAGCCGGCAGCGCGTTATGGTACGTCTTGAGGCTAGGCCAAATGGCCTCAAGCATGATGAGCATGCACGAAGCGCCAATATACGTATTGATGCTGGGGAAAGCCGGGTTAGTCCGTCTGGCGATCAGACGATCAGCCGCTAGCAGCGGAGAAGAGAGCACACACCCAAAGTAGATCAGGCCGAGGACGAAGCGCGAAAAGACGGCAAAGTAGGACAGGTAGAAGCCCAGGGAAGCTCGGGAGCCGATGGACATGGGCACATGGCAGCGCGACCCCAGGATTCCGTTGAGCCCGACGACGGCGCCGGCCATAAGATTGCCGATGGCGCTACGGATGGCCGTCAGCCGAGATGTCGCCGCTGTCTGGCCGACCATCGAAGCCAAGCTCAGCCAAGCTCAAGCTCAGGGATTAGAACACTCACATGGCCACAGAGGCCTCACGCCAACTTAGACCCATGGCGACGACCGAGCCGGCCTGCTGCATGGTGCCGACGTTGGCACCGTCCGCCAGCCAAAGCCAGGCATAGTCGAAGCTGCAGACATCTGGTCAGCACGCTGTCTGCGTTCCCGCGATCGATGCGCTGTCACGTACGCTCTCCAGGTCCGTTTCTCGGGCGGGACAATGTCGACGTCCTCGTTGGACCAGCCGTGCCGCGTGGCATACGAGGCCTGGGCCGTATCCAGCCGCCAGTACTCGGCGTCGAGGTACTTGCGCATGTTGGGCTTGGCCGAGAAAGTCATTCTGGTAAAGCTGGCTGTGAGATGACCGGTAGAAATCGGTTGCGTTCCTACTCGGCTTCCGACCAGCCCTAGCAGCAGATTTCACACTGTTTATATGTACTACCCATTCAGCATAGCGGTACGGAGCCGGAGGCTCCCAAGGCCATGGCAAGATAAGCCTGCAGCCCGCCAGTCCAGTAGGCTACGCCAAAGTCGGAAAAGGGCCCATGCAGAATATCGTATGGTGGACTAACAGACATCCGGTTCCCGCATCCGCGGCAGTCTGTCGGCGATGCAGACGAATGACGGCCAATCACCAACAACTGCCAGCCGGATCATGCTACTATGGCACGTGCCAGTTGTCCGGCAGTGGGGTGGAGAACGGCTCATTGAACGATAGCGCAGCAGATTCTGATTGTGCTTGGATCGATGTGGAAAATTGAAGATATCGTGTGTTCTGCTTTTGCTCGAGAGCCATTGGTGACATAAGACAAGAGCGACGGGGGTCTGATGTCTGCTGTATTCCTCCACAATTCTGTCTGACGAAATTCTTATCTAGTAGCGGAGCGATTGCACGGGAAGCTGAGCACATTGTGATTCGCTTTCACACGATCTTCTACAGAGAAGACAAGGGACGTTGAAAGGCTAAATGGCAAGTGTGGAGATAGAGCCACGTGACCGATGCCGAATTGGCAGAGACGCAGCCCCACACAAGCATGGTCAGCTGACCGGGAGCTAGAGCCGAGCAAATGGATGCAACGATAGCAGAAGTGACGACTTCAAGACATTGGCCGCTGCTGATGAGACTGCATAGCCGACCGGATGGCGGTGCAGAACTCGACAGGAGACGTCACTGCCGACGCAGACAGCGATTCGAGCAGCCAGAGCACGGTGTCGACCATACAGCCATTTCCACAGCTGCGCAACAATGCGGCGACAGACGTGGACACGGACGTGAGCACGGCGTCTTCGCGGGCGGCGATGAAGACGCGCAGTCGGGTGGCAGACGCAGGCGAGGACAATGACGACGACGAGGATCCGGTTGTGGCGAAGCCATTTTTGCGGACGCTGCGGGCGACGAGCGCAGACCACGGCGGCGTCAGGGGCTCAGGGTGTTCGGACAGCAGTCTGGACGAGGAAGAGGACGATGAGGTGGCCAACAGCGGAGGAGGAGGCGGCGGGGGACCGCACGCAGCGCAAGCAGGATCAGGCGGCCAAGGTGGCGGAGCCGAAGGGCGAGAGCGACGGACGGCAATTGCACAGGAACGGCTAGGCCACAAGATGCACAAGTTCACGCTGTACGAGACGGCAAGCCGTTACTACATTGTGGGAGAGGACGTGACGGGACGACGGTACCGGGTGCTGAAGATTGACCGGACGACGTCGAGCAAGGATGGGCTGAGCCTCACGGACGACCGGATCGTGTACAGCCAGAAGGAGATGATCCAGCTGCTGGACACGATTGACGACGGGAACCGGTTGACGGGCGGGATCAAGGTGCGGTGCACGATGTGGGGACTGCTGGGGTTCATCCGGTTTACGGGGCCGTACTACATGATGCTGATCACGAAGAAGTCGACGGTGGCGGTGATCGGGGGCCACACGATCTACCAGATCACGGGGACAGAACTGGTGCCGCTGACGCCGGGACGGGGGGCCGGACGGGCGTTGGAGCACGTGTCGAGCAGTACTGGGGAGAGTGGAGGGGGGGGTGATGGGAGCAGCAACGGCAACGCGAGTGGAAACAACAACGGCAACACGACGACAAACGCAGCAAACAGCAGCACGACGACCAACAGCAACACAGCCCACCACCACAGCGGACCCAGCGTCAGCAGTGCGGACGAGGCGCGGTTCCTGACGATCTTTAACCAGGTGAACCTGGCGCAGTCGTTCTACTTCAGCTACTCGTACGACCTCACGCACACGCTGCAGCACAACATCAGCAAGGAGCGGACGGCACTGGCGTCGGGGCGACGATGGCCGTGCGACGAGGACCACAACTCGATGTTTGTATGGAACACGCACCTGCTGCAGGCAGCACGGGCAGCACTGGCGGCGCCGTTCGACTGGTGCCGGCCAATCACACACGGCTACATGGACCAGGCGTCGATCTCGATCTACGGGCGGACGGCGTACGTGGCGATCATCGCGCGACGATCGCGACACTTTGCAGGAGCGCGGTTTCTCAAGCGGGGCGCCAACGACCTCGGATACGTGGCCAACGACGTGGAGACGGAACAGATCGTGTCGGAGGCCAGCACGACGTCATTCCACTCACCGGGACGGCGGCTGTTTGCCAATGCGCAGTACACGTCGTACGTGCAGCACCGCGGCAGCATTCCGCTGTACTGGACGCAGGAGAACACGGGGGTGACGCCGAAGCCGCCGATCGAGCTGAACCTGGTGGACCCGTTCTACAGCGCGGCGGCGCTGCACTTTGACGACCTGTTTGCGCGGTACGGCGCGCCGATCTACGTGCTGGACCTGGTGAAGGCGCGCGAGAGCACGCCGCGGGAGTCGAAGCTGCTGGAGGAGTTTCAGCGGGCAACGCGGTACCTAAACCAGTTTCTGCCGGCGGATCGGCAGATTGTGCACCACGCGTGGGACATGTCGCGAGCAAACAAGAGCCGGGACGTGAACGTGATCGAGGTACTGGAGGCGATTGCCGAGCGAGTAGTGGCGACGACAGGATTTTTCCGGAACGGCGAGGGCGATGGCAGCGGAAACGGAAGCTCTGGATCAGAAACGCCAGCACGAGTACAAAACGGGGTGGCACGGACAAACTGCATCGACTGTCTGGACCGGACGAACGCGGCGCAGTTCGTGATTGGCAAGTGCGCGCTGGGTCACCAGCTGCACGCGCTCGGAATCCTGGACGAGCCGACAGTCCGATGGGAGACGGATGCGGTCAACCTGTTCACGCACATGTACCACGACCACGGCGACACGATCGCGGTGCAGTACGGCGGCTCGCAGCTGGTGAACACGATGGAGACGTACCGCAAGATTAACCAGTGGCAGAGCCACTCGCGCGACATGCTCGAGTCCTTCAAGCGCTACTACAACAACTCCTTTCTGGACGGCCAGCGCCAGGAGGCCTACAATCTGTTCCTCGGCAACTACGTCTATGCGCCGGGGCAGCCGATGCTCTGGGACCTGCCGACCGACTACCACCTGCACCACGCGGACCCGCGTCGTTGTCTGGAACAGCAGCATCGCCGCGACTACGTCCACTGGTTCACGCCCGAGAACCTGCGCCGTCGGCTGCTGCCGCCGTTGCCGGCCGAACGACCGGCCGATCCGAGTGGTGGTGGTGGCGGGGGCTCGTCTGGGCTGACACGTGGCGGTCGTCGGGTCAACAGCCGGCACGGGCTGATCGCCAGCAAGCCACTGTCGTATTTTGACGACTACTGGCTCGAGTTTTACCGGCCCTTCTTCCTGTCGTCCTTTTCCAAGATGTTCACCTTTCGGATCAAGTCGACGATGAAATACATTCCTCCGGGCCCAGCCCACCACGGCCAGTACGATCTGAGTCCGTTCAAGGTGCGCAGCGACACAGGAGGAGGAGGTGGTGGTGGAGGAGGGGGAGCGGTTTATATTGGAGGCAATGGAGGCGATGTGGATGCAGCAACAGCAGCAGCAACAGCAGCAACGGAAAAGAAACGAAGCCGACATCGGAAGGAGGTGTCGTTTGCATCGACGGACGATGTAGCGAGTGTGCGGTCAACAGGAACAGCAGCAGCAGCAGCAACAGCAACAACAACAACAACAACAACAACAGCGAAATCAGATCGGAACTCAGACACAGCGTCACTGCAGGGAATCATGCGGGAGGGCGGTGCGGGGACGAGCAGTCCGGGATCGGGGACGATGGCGACGAGCACAGCAGCAGCGACGACGGCGACGACGACAGCGACGATCATGTCGTCGCAGGGTCCTGGACGGCGTTTGGCAGGAGAAGGAGGAGGAGGAGGAGGAAGACAGGGTAGCAGCCTTGACACGACAACGGTGATGATGGGTGGTGACAGCGGCGGGCTATCGCTCTCTGAGTTGGACGCGCGACGACGCCAGAAGAAGCAGTCGACGCTGGAGAAGACGCGACGAGCCCAATGGACGCTGGCCAAGATGGTCGAGGGCTCGCTGAACCCATCGGTGCAGGAGACAGACGACTATGAACGCTACATCAGCCACCTGCAGAACCTGCGGCTGGTCGTGCCGGACAAGGCGGAGGGCGGCGGCGTCGTCGAGGTGGCCGACGACCGCATCGTCAGCAACAACGACGAGTACGACGAGTATGTTGACGGGAGCTGGAAGACGGACGGACTCGGACTTGGACTCGGACTTGGGCTCCGATTCGGGGGGTCCGACGGGTCCGACGACGAGACGGCCCTATACGGCGAGTTGCTGCGGGTGTCGGACAGTCCGCTGACGGTGACCGAGGGTGACGCCCAGAAGAAGCGCTACAAGGCATACCGGAAGTGGCTGCAGGGCAAGTCGTTTTTCAAGCAGCAGCCCGTCGACGGCTGGCTGATGAGTTAGGGACGTTTGGCTTACGTAATGTGCCAGCATGGTTTGGGAACCCATTTATTCGACTCGAAACAGCTCGGCTAATTGTGGCTCTTTGACCGTGAGAGGTCCGACAACACGGCCGACATCGGCCTGGGCCGCACGCAAGATGGTCAGCTGTGTGTCGGCTGCCCGGACGAGGTCAGCCCGCAGCTGCGTGTACCGGTCATCGTTGTCGTCCGCTTCGGCCACGTTGAGCCAACAGAGCATCAGCATGCGCACGACCTCGAGCGGCCAGGGCGAGTCGGCCAGGCGCGGCCAGCAGCTGGCGAGCGTGGCCTGCAGCGTGGCCGTGGCGGCGACCAGCACGGGCGGGTGACGCACGGCAAACGGGTCCGTCAGGATGGCCGCGCACAGCGGCACGACGTCTTTGAGGTGCTTGGTTGCGGCGATGCCCATGGCCTCGACCAGCCGGCCGGCCTGGCGGGCCAGCACCTCGACCACGCGGACGTGCTCGCTGGCGTGGAAGTAGCCGGCCAGGATGCCGTCGCGGAGGATCCGATCAAAGAGGGTGGATGTCGAGGTGCTTCCCTTGGCGGCAATCGCCAGCAGCGCGTCATAGGCCGGGTCCAGCAGCTGCAGCGACTCCTCCTCCGGCGTCAGCCGCGGCAAGAACAGCAGCGTCGGAAGCACCGCCTCGGCCAGCACGCTGTCTAGGCCGGTCTGGCGCAGCAGCCGCCCGCCGTCTGGCAGCCGGTCGACAAAGACTCGCAGCAGCACCAGCCCACGTGCTCGCACGTCCGTGTCGGCATCGTCGACGAGGGCTAGTAGCACGGGCGTGAAGAGGGACCAGTGGCGGCCAACGAGGGCAGACTATGGAGTTAGCGAGGGGGGGTGGATGGGGGGTACATATCAAATGACTCTATTCAGAACCGTGATCATGATGACTAAGCAAACTCACATCGCTTTCCTGCAGCGCCCACGAAAACACTGGTACGGCGCGCAGATCGCCGTACTTCCACGGCTTGGCCGCCCGCGTCTCCGAGTCCGTCGCTCGCGAGGCAAGCCCGCCGCCGCCGCCACGGTCGCCGTACTGGTCCTTACGGCCGGCCGACGTGAGGCCTTGTGGTCGTGGGCCGCGAGCAAACAACGGGCGCACGTAGCCATTGAGGAGCCCGTCGACGATCCAGTCGGCAGACGGGAGTTGTGGATGTAGCCGCTGCAGCAGGTCGCCAGCCGCAGCCGCAGCCGTGCCGGTCGTCCACGGCTGACCGGCCTCGGCCGCGGCGATGATGCTAGCGAGCACCTGCACGTCGTCGTTGTCGGACGGAGAGAGGGTGTCGTCGTCTGCCAGGGCCCAACGCAGCACAGCGACCGCATCGTCGGCAACGGCCTGACTGCATCGCATGGCGGCCGCGTGCTGGTTACTCGTGCGGTCGCCGTGACGAGTGGCCTCGTCATCGTCGTCGTCGTCGTCGTTCCCCAGAATCGGTGCCATGGTGCGGGCGACAAAGGTGCGGATTGTTCTGCGTGAGGCCGCGTCGAGCCATGTTGTTTCTTCTGGCTCTTGTGGTTCATCTGGTTCTGTGTCTTTTGCTCCCTCTTCTACCGTCGTTGCTTCATCCTTCCGTCTGCTCGGCTCGGCCGTGAGACAGACATGGAGTGCATGAATCCGTAGCAGATTCGTCTGAGGAATGTCAGCACATGCAGAGAGTGAAGAGCAGGGCGAACCTCACGTCGCTCTCAGCAAGCCCTCGGGCAAGCTCCGTCCATGTGAAAGCTGCCGGGACATCTGCAGAGGTCAGCAGGAACTACAGCACAGCCGGGAGTGGATGACATACACGGAAGAAGTGTTTCTGCTGCGACTGCTGCATGCTCGCCGTCGGTGGCCTGCCGCAAGCCTGCAAACAGGTCGGACGCTGGCGCCATGCTTTGCCGTCGGAGCTTTGCGTTGACGACGCTCTGGATTGCGTTTCGCGTGGGGCAACCAGCCCGCTAAACCCGCTATTTCTGCTGACACATGCAATGCGCTACGGCCGCTACTCTCCAGCGCATGCTTCCAGCACAAACGCAGTTCCGTTGAGACGTGTGAATACCACCTGCTCCAATATGCTATATACACGTAAAGCCGAAAGCTAGGATACATTATCTAATCATGACAAGGAGACGGCGTCCAGACGCCGGCCGGGCACCCGTCGCAGGCCGTCTCACTGCTCGGCCGTCTCCTGCAGGGCGGCCACGATGACCTGGTCGGCCTGGCGGGCCGCATGCAGCGCCTGGTCGATCATCTGCAGCTGCAGCGCCCCGTCGACCGACGGCGGCATGTCGCCCTTGAGCCAGAGATTCGTCACCTCGTCGCGGTTCGGCAGGTAGGCCACACAGCAGGCCGCCAGGATACGGCCGTGCTCAGCCGGGACGGGATCGGCGACGAGGACGTGCTCGGCTGTCGGCGAGGCCTGTTCGGCCGCGGTCTCCTCCACCAGCGCTGCCACGCCGCCGGCCACCGTGTCGACGCAGTCGATGCCCGCGTCGGCCAGCGCCGCCGAGGCCACGGTCACGCAGCCGCTCAGCACGTTCATCATCCCCCAGAGCTCCTCGGCCGGGTCCTGCTCCGGCGCCGACCGGTCCTGATCCGCCTCGATGACCGACACCACAATGTCCACGCCGCTCTTGGGCCACCGCTCGCCCAGAATGGCGCCGCGCAGCGACGTCTCCAGGTGCACCGCCAGGTCGCGCTCCGACGTGTCGCGCAGGTACCCACGCCGCTCCTTGGTCGCAAACGGCGCGTACTTGACGTGCGTCGACAGAATCAGGTGCGGCGAGAACGGCATCGACCGTGGCAGCGCTCGTGGGCCATGCACCGTGCAACTCAGCTTCAGCCCAGACGTCCCCGCCACCGCCCCCGAGCTGAGCTCCAGGTACGCTGACCCCGACGCCGACGGCGTCACCCCCGTCTGCAGGTCTGTCCGCGCTGTCAGCAGCCTGTCCTCGTCCTCATCTCGGCCTTCTCGGCCTCTCTGCCGTCTGCACTCACAAATTTTTCGTATTATGTCGTTTGGCCGCGTCCGCACCGACACCTTGCCCTTCCTCTGGTCTCCCCGCGCAAACACTGGCGGCGCTGTCGCCCCGACTGGCCCGTTTATCCGCCTCCTGTCCGTCATGCTGTGTCGCTGTGGTGTGAGATCTGGGAGCCCGAGCGGGCTTCCTGCGAGAATGAGCCCTGGCGTGCAGGCTGGAGAGCAAGAAAACGTCGCCTGCTTTGTCTCCGAGGGTAGCTGTCTGATATACAAATTCCGCCAAAGGTCTCGTCCGGGTTTGGCCTCTAACTTCCAGCTCTCGTGTGCACTCACAAAGAAAATCGCCGTCAGTGAAGTTTTGCCAGCATTTCGAGATACACCTACTTCTGGCTTAGCGCCGTTCCTGTGACCGCATTCATTCAAAAAATCTTGCATGCGTGGAGACCTGCTCGTCATTGGGCCAATCAGACGACAGCTCAGCAGTACGGAGTATCATGGCAGCGTTCCGGCCTTGGATGAGCCTGCATGGCACCAATGACCTCGCAAGACAGTCCTCTCGAAACATAGCACGCCAGTATCAGATATAGTCGCTACTTTCCCCGTTCTTCTCAGATTACACCTGCTCAACACAGTCTCGATGTTCCAGTATGGGGCGTGTATTACTAAGCATGGAGTAGCGTCAAAGCTCGAGCCACATATTTCTCCACGGCAATAAATAAGAAGTCTAAAATTTATTTTTTCCTTCCTCATAAAATCTCTTCTTTCCACCTGGACATTGGACCAAACCCGCACAATCACCTCCCTGATGGCAGCAGCTCTGCGCTGCTTCTGGAGATGTGCAATCAACTCAGTCTCACCTGAGTTGTCGTTACATTGCCGTCTCCTGCGTGGTTTGGAAGAATGCGCGGGGTAGAGCGATCAACCTGTCTGGCAGCCTGGAGCTGGGCTTCTCTGCCGGACGCCCACAACATACTAACAAGGTAAGCAGACAATGCAGGTCACACATGAATGCCTCTGGCCCAAACGTCGGGCTAGTGATGATCTCTTTCCACAGTTCCCGCGACTTTCTATGAGCGTTTTGAACTACATGCACTACCATCTGAAGCTTCCTGTTACCACCACTTTATTTCAGTACAGGAACATTACCGGTTGCTAACTTACTGTCAAGTCAGAAAAGGTGCAATGCGCATATCACTATGGCTGTCAATCAGTAGTCTGTTTTCAGTGTAAGATGCCCTCGCAACAACTGTCCCCCCCGTGTCCCTGATGAAAAACCTATTATTCAGTTCTGCTTCTGAACATAGTGATGACAACCATACCATACCAAAAACTTTTCTGATCCACGAGTTCAAACCGCACATTCTTTTGCCACTGCTGTTTTGGGTGTAAAAGGCTAATAGTTCTTATAGAAACCAATATTACAAAGACACGTATGGAGTCTTGCACTTCTTGCTCTTCAAAGGGTTAGTTGAATAGTGCTTGCCTTGCTCATGTCGCGCACTGCACCACATCTTACCTGATGACACTCGCTTATCCATTCACTTATACCCGGGGCCAAGCCATCCTCCCTCACTGTAGTAGGACCTTTTCTCTTCTTTATGACTAGGCGAGGTCCTGTGATGACCAGTTGTGGAGTTGAGTTACTCCCCTGAGAGCTCGTCATTTGGCTACAGTGCCGGAGATGTGTGCATGCCGTCTTGGTCTGTATGCAAATTCGGCCGGCTCTAGGTACATGACTACAACGGCTTGTCTGACAAGATCATGATCATAATCATAATACTATGCACATTTATTTCGCAACGAGAACATCGTACTAATGAAAATGCTGCAACAGGATTTGGGACACCCCGCTACTATACTGTAACTTCGTTTTGGGTAAGTTTTTGGTAAGATAATAACCGTAATCTCAACGCTCCCTGTTGGAGCGAGTGTTTTTGCGTGCAACCGACACTAGATAATAGCTCCATGCAACTGGGAATTGATTTGCACTTTCCCTGAATTTTTGCTCCTTTTGGTGGGGAAAAGTGAAATTTGATGCTTAATATCTTTAAAGAATCACGTGATAGAATGCTAAATCACCTATCCCTTGACCACGGACGGAGTTTGTTATCTTTAATAGTTTGTACAGGTACATGCTCTTAAATTTCTCGTTTCTGAAACGCACCAATTGCCATGCGAAACTAGCAATTTGAGGAACAACACTTGTACAGCTACACGCAAATGAGCATCCCTGCAGCACGGTAGAGAATAGGGGAGTTGGAAAGACTACCTGGCATTCAGCGGCCAACCACACTAGCTCGTATTCTCAATTGCACGAGGCTGATGGAGACACATTTTATTATCCCTTTCTTTGCTGTCCATCTTTTCTGTCTGACGGAATTCGAGTGTATTCATCCCATATTACCTTTACACGCCCCCCTTCCCCTCGTTTTTTTCTCCTCTTCTTCTGAAACGGCCTTCCCGCTTCCCCCCCTCCTCTTTCTACGTTCCATTCTGTTCCCTCCATGGCCTTTGAGCGATGATTTGACCGTGTGCACCCGTTTTACCGACCCGACGCCCCGACACGTCACCAACATCTAAACGCCTGTGCTTCGACGACATACGCTTTCCTCGGCCAGGGGGAGAGGCGCAGCATCACGACGACCGATTGAAAACGGCGAAAACAACACTAGCACAAGAAAGATAGGAACCTCTTGGCGTGAGGGAGAACCACAGCCGTCGTTTCTTTCCAGATTCTGCACGGCAGCACGAAACGCGTGTCTAATGAGTGACATGCTGCCCTACGCATCTTCCGGGTCGAAGGTGACCCCAAGACACAATGCGAACGTAGGATACTCCAATGGATATCCGCGAAACTCCAGCACCTTGGAGTTCTCGCCACACCGGTACGGCAGGCTTCCTGGACAGCTTTCTCCCTTTGACCTTGTCCCTGTCATCAGCCGGTCTGCGCACACTCTTCTGACCTCGTCTTGCTTGCCGGCTCTATAGATTTCAGCCCCGGGGCTCTCCGCCGTCTCTGCGTCGACGAAGAAAGCTGCTCGTGCGGCTCGCCATCCTCTCCGTGATCGTGCTTTTTGGCGTCTTTGTGTGGCCGGGCGCACCCGTTCTATCGGTCTTCTCGCTCAGCCTATTCGCCGGCAGCGAGGGAATCCAGCTCGAAACCGTGCGGTACTATGACCTTTCTAACGTCCAGGGCACTGCGCGCGGTTGGGAGCGCGAGGAACGTATCCTGCTGTGTGTTCCGCTGCGTGACGCCGCACCGCATCTGCCAATGTTCTTCTCTCATCTGCGCAATTTCACATATCCCCACCACCTTATCGATCTAGCCTTCCTCGTGTCCGATTCCAAGGATCGCACCCTCGACCTTCTGATCGAGAACCTTGAGTCCATCCAGGCAGACAACGACTCAGAGGAACATTTCGGCGAGATCTCCATCCTCGAGAAGGACTTTGGCCAGAAGGTCAACCAGGATGTTGAAAGCCGTCACGGCTTTGCCGCACAGGCCAACCGTCGCAAACTTATGGCACAGGCCCGGAACTGGCTGCTGAGTGCCTCCCTCCGGCCGTACCATTCCTGGGTCTACTGGCGTGATGTTGATGTCGAGACTGCGCCGTTCACTATTCTCGAAGACCTGATGCGCCACAACAAGGATGTCATTGTACCGAGTACGTTCTCCTCACTGTGTTGCAACCGTCCGACATGTCCAATCTCATTGTACGTACACAAGACTAATCGTTCTAGATGTTTGGCGGCCACTTCCCGATTGGCTAGGCGGCGAACAGCCGTACGATCTTAACTCGTGGCAGGAGTCCGAAACGGCTCTGGCCCTGGCCGACACACTGGACGAGGACGCCGTCATTGTCGAGGGCTACGCTGAGTACGCAACTTGGCGGCCGCATCTGGCTTACCTTCGCGACCCCTACGGTGACCCGGACATGGAAATGGAGATCGACGGTGTCGGTGGCGTCAGCATTCTGGCCAAGGCCATGGTGTTCAGAACTGGTGTGCATTTCCCGGCGTTCAGCTTTGAGAAGCATGCGGAAACCGAAGGCTTCGGCAAGGTGAGTTCTTGGAGGTGGCGGTGAACGTCTGATAGTCGGTGTTTCTCACTATTCTCAATCGCAGATGGCAAAACGCATGGGCTACTCCGTCGTTGGTCTCCCGCACTACACCATCTGGCACTTGTACGAGCCAAGTCTGGATGACATCCGGCACATGGAGGTAAGCTTTACCGATACACACCATCTTACAAACGCACTTTATGCTGACCATGTTAGGAAATGGAGAACGAAAGGATTGCCCGGGAGAACGAAGAGAAGGAGAAGGCCGAGAAGGCAGAAAAGATGAAGAACACCTTTGGCGATCCAAATGGCCAGTGGGAGAAGGACAAGGCTGCTATGCAGGACATTGTCATTGAAGATAAGCCAGCTCTGGCCGAGGTCGTTGCCGAGATTCCTGCGGCCGCAGCTGCTGCTGCTGCTGCCGCTCCGGCTGCTGCTGAGGCCGTTGCTGGCGCTGGTGCTGCTGTTCCTGCTGCACCAGCTGCTGCTCCCCCTGCTGCCCCTGCTGCCCCTGCTGCCCCTGCTGCCCCTGCTGCTGCTGCTCCTGTTGCCGCTGCTCCGGTGGCTGCTGCTCCGGTGGCTGCTGCTCCTGTGGCTGCTGCTCCAGTTGCGGCGGCCCCTGTTGCGGCAGCCCCTGTTGTCGCTGGCGGTATCCCAGCTGCCGAAGCCGTCGTTGGGGCTGTTGGGGCTATCGGGGCTGCAGGTGCTGCAGGTGCTGCCGCTGTGGATGGCATCCCAGCAGGCGGCGTGGCTGCGCAGCCACACAATATCGCAGCCGAGAAAGTTGCAGCCGAGAAGGCCGCCAATGCAGATGCGGCGGCCAAGGCTGCCAAGAATGTTGCGCCATGAGTGGCCAATTTCTCTTTGGCTTCTATAGCTTTGACATGTTCCTCTTTTTCACCTCTAAAGTTGCATATGTTTTCCTGCTTCTTTCTACATTATTTGCTACCTTTGTTCCCATTTCATGTTGTCCTTTGCTCTTTTCTCATTTTTCTACAATTGGCGAGGGCGCCAGGTCTCTCATTCTTGGCCTCGGCGAGCCACATTCTTCAATGACGTTCTGAACGACGAACACAAGCACTGGCTGGCACAGCAGCTGCGGTCTCTCAACGAGGTGCACCGGGGCACCTCCTGACGTTCGGATAGCTTCTAGCCTTCGGTTCCATGGCCGTTCCAGGAGAAACGGCAGGATTGTTGCAATCGCATAAGACGGAAAGATAAACTTCTGTACAATAGACGAGAGCCTTTACGGTGTAGACTGAGGCCACGGAAGGGGCGTTGTGGAGTTTCCTTTGTTTTTTGCTATATAGTTGGCAGAAGCCAAAATATACAAGGAATAAAAAGCTACGAATGCGGAGTCGTGTGTCACTGTGAGAATAGCACTGTCTTCCAGGGCCTTGTGCGTTTTAGCTAGTTGGCCTATCTTATCGCGAATGTTTAAACGTTCGCCGCTGATTGGCCCTAGGCTTAAAACGGACGCGTGACAATTGCAACTCTGGCAGCTTCTTGACGAGGACGCTTAATTTACCTTTGGCTGTGACCTCATCAGCAAGACGACATCTGTCCTCTCCTCGCAAAGCAGACGACTCGGTTGCCAGTTCTGTTGCTAGGCCATACATCTGCCTGTGTCGCCTTTGTGCCTCGCTTGCTCGGCCCCTCTGCGCATTTGCATTCTTCTATTTCCCTCAATTGCATGTAATATAGAGAACAGGTCTTTTGTTGGCGATAACCGTCTGCTCTCTCTCACTCTCACTCCTTTTATATTACTCGTTTTTTTTTTTTTGCTTGACCGTGAAGGACAGGATTTACGCCAAAGAGCTTAGCCACGAACCCACTTTTGGTCCCGTCCGTCGAATTGCTCGTATCGTCTCTATTGTTCTTTGCTACGACAGCAAACTCGTCGTTCGGCAACCTCTCCCGACGGTTCTTCCTCTCTCGGACAACGACTCGACAACAGGACGCCCCCGATCTTGCTGCGCACTGCCGTGGCGACTTCCAAGATGAGTGGCGATGCACGGGATGCTCCAGTGGCGGCTCTGGCTGCAGATGCCTCGGCCAAAGACCAGCAGCAGGAGCAGCTTCCGCTGACCGCCCTCCTTGCTTCACCCACGGCGTCGCGCCCGTTTTCACAGCACCGCCAGTCGACAGCGGCGTCGTCGCGGATGCAGTACCGCAGCCACCCCGTGTCGGTGGCCGTGGACCCTGTCTCGCTCGTGATATCCGAGTGCATCAACATCACGTCGGCGATCCAGAAGCAGGCGCACTTCCAGCATCTATCGGTGTCGGCCATCCTCGGTGGTGGCTCGCCGAATGTGGGCACGAGCTCGTTCAAGCTCGGGGCTTCGGCCGAGACGTCAGTCCGGCGCAATGGCCATCGCACAGCGCCATCTCCGGGAGCCAAGCGGGGGGCAGCCGGAAGTGGTCCGGACGTTGATTTCGGCCCGGCCAACCGTTGGGGCCTGCGTGGGAAGAAGGGGAAGAGCATGGCGGACAACCCGCTGATCTCTGGCTTCGGTCGGCTACGACAGGAGCTGGCAGGCGTCAAAGGTAGGAAGCTCCAACTCAGCGGTACGAAGTAGTATGAAGTCGCTGTTTCTAACACAAATGGCCAAACCAGATATACACAGCTTCGATTCGCTCATGCTCCTGTACCCATTCCTGCAAATCATCCAGGCAAAGGGTACCGCGGCACCCATCACGATCCTCTCGCTGCGGGCGGTCCGGAAGTTCCTCTCGTACGGATTCATATGTCAAGAGTCGCCTCGGTTTGCCTTGGCCATGCAAGCACTGTCACAGGCCATCACGCACTGCCAGTTCGACATTAGTGACAGCGCGCAGGAAGAGGTGGTGCTGTTGATGATACTCAACCTGATGGAGGACATGCTGTCAGGGCCAGGTGGCGATATTCTGAGCGACGAGAGCGTCTGCGACATGATGGGCCGTGGCCTGACGATCTGCTCGCGACCGCGCTTTTCTGAGGTGCTCCGGCAGACGGCCGAGGCGACGATGGTGCGGATGTGCCAGATCATCTTTGAGGACCTGAAGCACCTGGAAGAAGAGGCTGGCGAGGAGGATGACGCGCTGGACAAGCAGACCGACGCGGACATGGACACGGTCAAGATGGATCCGGCTGCCGATGCGAGCGCGTCTTCGCTGTCGTTGCGGCCTGCTGTTGCAGCTGCTCTCCCGACAGCACATGGCGGCAACGACAGCAGAAGCAGCAACGATGTCGGCTCGTCAGCTTCGTCTGGAGACAGCAAGGACAAGCTGCTCGTGGCCAATGCACCCAGTGGAGACATTGGACAGGGGCGGCTGTCCAGCGAGACACAGAGCGACGACGCGGACGAGAAGAGCACAGCGTCGGGTTCGTCTGAGAGCTCCGAGTCGATAGACCTGCGGCCATATTCGCTGCCGTCGGTGCGGGAGCTGTTCCGCGTGCTTGTGGACTTTCTGGACCCGAACCAACGCACGCAGCAGCCGGACACGATGCGGGTGATGGCTTTGCGGATCATCCACGTGGCGCTGGAGGTTGCAGGGCCGTCGATCGCGCGGCATCCGGCGCTAGCAGCAGTGGCACAGGACCGGCTCTGCTGCTACCTCTTCCAGCTGGTGCGGTCGGACAACATGGCGATCCTGCAGGAGTCGCTGATCGTGGCATCGACGCTGCTATCGACGTGCCGCGGGGTGTTGAAGCTGCAGCAGGAGCTGTACCTGGCCTACGTGATCGGCTGCCTGCATCCGGCAGTGGAAATTCCGCGGGAAGCCAACATCGACCCGTCGTTGTACGAGGGCATTCCACAGGCACCAAAGCTGGTCAAGGCACCACCACCGTCGCAGCCGGGCAGCAGACAGCCAACACCAGTGCCGATCAAGGACCGGCAGAAGCTGGGAATGGAGGGCGGGACGCGCAAGCCGGAGGCACGACAGGCGATGGTGGAGAACATCGGCGTGCTGGCGCGGATGCCGACGTTCATGGTGGAGCTGTTTGTCAACTACGACTGTGACACGGATCGGGTGGACCTGTGCGAGGACCTGATCGGGCTGCTGTCGCGAAACGCGCTGCCAGACTCGGCGACATGGAGCACGACGAGCGTGCCACCACTCTGCCTGGACGCGCTGCTACGCTACATCCAGTTCATGGCACAGCGGCTGGACGAGCCGGCCGTCACGGACGGCTACCCAGACGCAGGTGAGCTGCGGGAGGCACGGGCGCGCAAGAAGGTGATCGTGCGGGGCGCCAACAAGTTCAACGAGAGTCCCAAGGGCGGGCTGGCGTATCTGCACGACAAGGGCATCATCGCAGACCTGGGCGACCCGGTGCTGGTGGCACGGTTCCTCAAGGGCACGTCGCGGGTGTCGAAGAAGGTGCTGGGTGACTACCTGTCGAAGCGCGGCAACGAGCCGGTGCTGGAGGCGTTTATGGCGCTGTTCGACTTTGAGGGCAAGCGGGTGGACGAGTCGCTGCGGATGATGCTTGAGACGTTCCGGCTGCCGGGCGAGGCGGCGCTTATCGAGAGGATCGTCAGCTCATTTGCGGAGCGGTACTGCTCGGGGACGATTCCGGCCGATGTGGCCGACAAGGACGCAGTCTTCATCCTGACGTATGCCATCATTCTGCTGAACACGGACCAGCACAACCCGAACGTGCGGACGCAGAAACGGATGACGGTGACGGACTTCTCGCGCAACCTGCGGGGACAGAATGGGCGGCAGGACTTTGCGGCCGAGTATCTGCAGGACATCTACGACTCGATCAAGTCGAACGAGATCATCCTTCCGGAGGAGCACGAGAACAAGCACGCGTTCGACTATGCGTGGCGCGAGGTGCTGCTCAAGGCCGGCTCAGCCGGGCCGCTGATTGTGTGTGACACCAACATCTACGACGCTGACATGTTTGCGACGACGTGGCGGCCGATTGTGGCGACGCTGTCGTACGTCTTCATGTCGGCCACAGATGACACCGTCTTCAGCCGAGTCATCCAGGGCTTCGACGAGTGCTCGCGCATTGCGTCGCGCCACGGCAACACGGCCGCGCTGGACCAGATTGTCTACTGCCTCAGCCTGATGAGCACGCTCGCCCAGGAGGTGCAGCTTAACACGAGCCTCAACACAGAGGTGCAGGTTGATGATGCGAGCGTCATGGTCAGCGAGCTGGCCGTCAAGTTGGGCCGCAACTTCCGCGCCCAGCTATCGACACTGGTGCTCTTCCGCGTCGTGCGTGACAACGAGCCGGTGTTGCGGATGAGCTGGAAGCACGTCGTGCGCATCTGGCTCAACCTGTTCCAGAATTCGCTCATTCCCGCCTTCTTTTCGAGCGAGCAGCCCGGCCGGCTCGACCTGCCGTCCATTCCGCTGCAGAGCCCCGGCCAGGTGATCGACCGCGGCAACAAGCAGGTCGACAACGGCTTCTTCTCGGCCTTTACGTCGTACATTTCCAGCTACGCGGCCGACGACCCGCCCGAGCCGTCGGACGAGGAGCTCGAGAGCACGCTGTGCGCCATTGACTGCGTGAATGCGTGTCACGTGGGCGACATTTTCGCCAACATAGCGTGAGTTCTGTGCCCCACTGTCTTTGTAAGCCTCCACTGCTAACACGCCCCAGCAACCTCTCGGGCGACAGCCTCGAGGCCCTGGTGGACGCGCTGCTGGATCAGATTCCGGAAGATAACGGCTCGGAGGTGGTGATCAAGGTCAAGGCCGAGAACGTGCCGCCGACATCGCCGGCGAACAACATCAAGACAGGCAGCACGCCGGCCTACGATCCGGCACCGGTCTACCTGCTGGAGCTTTGCACTGTACTGGCGCTTCGGGACGCAGACTCAGTCCAGCTGGTGGGCAAGCGCGTCGTGGATGCGCTTCAGGAGATGCTCCGCGATGTCGCCCGCTTTCATCCCATCCTGATCGGCCGGGCCACCTACTATCTCTTCACCCTACTACGGGCAAGCTATGTAAGTGTGCGAGTCAGACGAGGACAGAAGCAGAACGTTTGCTGACTGGACAGGACTATGACTTTGTGCGCGTGCCGGTGCTTCTGCACGCCGTGTCGAGCTTCTCCGAGGAGAACCTCAAGGCCACGTCGGCGGTCGTGCTCAAGGGCCTGAAGCTCAACATCTCCGAGCCCGGGCCATTGCGCAGCGAGATCATGACGTCGCCCGACTTTTGGGCCATTCTCGGGACGCTCGTCGGCTACGAGGATTCCGCGCCTACCGTGTTTGAGATTCTCGAGAGCGGCGTCAGCGGCTCGCCGCCGGCCATCCTGGCCGACAACTACGAGGCAGCTATCATCCTGTGCAACAAGTTTGCCACGGCAGCCAGCGTGGGGGCTGCGGCTGAACAGGAGCTGGACCGGAAGCTGCGGCGGAACAACCGGGCACCCAAGCCGGAGAAGGCCAGCGAGAACGCGACGGTGCAACGAGGCATCAAGACCATCAACATCATCTACAACATCACGTCACGCATTCCCCATCTGATGAAGCAGTCGCATCTAGAGAGCAATGAGGGTGAGATTTCCTTGATCTTGTTTAGTTCTTTCGCTCTTCTAACCCATCACAGCCTGGTCGGCCTACTGGCTTCCCATCTTCCAGGCCCTCACTACGCAATGCACAAACCCGTGCCGCGAGGTGCGCCACCTGGCCTTCTCGTCGCTGCAGCGCTCGCTGCTCTCGCCAGAGCTGACGTCGAGCGACCACCGCGAGTGGACGGCCATCTTTAGCGAGGTGCTGTTCCCGTTAATCCTCAAGCTGCTGCGGCCCGAGGTGTACACGTCTGACCGTGACGGCATGAGCGAGACGCGCGTACAGGCAGCGTCGCTGCTGTGCAAAGTCTTCCTGCAGTATCTCGTGCTGCTGTCGGATTGGGATGGCATGCTGGACCTGTGGCTCAAGATTATCGATATCATGGACCGGCTGATGAACAGCGGCCAGGGCGACAGCCTGGAAGAGGCTGTACCTGAGAACCTCAAGAACGTGCTGCTGTTCATGGCCAGCAGCGGCTATCTGGTTCCTCCGAGCAAGGACGCATCCAAAGAGGAGCTCTGGGTGGAGACGTGGAAGCGCATCGACCGCTTCCTGCCCGACCTGAAGAGCGAAATTGCGCTGGACGAGCCGGAACAAACAACGCCTGCGGTAAAGCCGAGCGATGTGGCCGAGGCGCCGACAGACGAAGAGCCTGTAGTAGAGGCAGAGGCAGAGCCTGCAGTAGAAGGAACGGAAGTATTATCATAGACGGGACGAGAAGAAGGGTCCATCCAGAGTCTTGAGACATTTTTAAGCGGGCGAAAAGAAACATCAGGAAAGAGAGGAAGTGCAAATACACAAGTACGAGCATGCTAGAATGCTCTTTTCGCTGGATAGTGTTAGACCGTGTCGATGAGTATCTTGCAAACGACACTCTGTACTCGTATTAGCTCAGCCTTGAATGGAAAAGTGGAGCGCACGTGCACTTAATGGCTAGCTCCACTGAACGAGGCTGGAAGGATTTCGTGGCAGCTCAGAAGCTGAAAAGATCACCAACACAAACCCGATCGACGGACGTGTTTGTTTACGCTCGTGCTTCTGTACCGACTATTTCGTTGTCATTGAGCTCCAGGAGGGACCTGGAAATCGCGACGATGGCGGCAAACGCACCCACAGCCACGTACGTGTGTCATTGCACCCCGACACCGTCCAGGCCGTGATCGTGTCGCGTTGTTCTTTTTTCTTTCTCTCTTTTCTCTTTGTCTTCTTTCTCCCCTCCTGCCCTGCTAATGCGCAGTCTTTCTGGCAGCGTGTATGCGCACAACCTCGAGGAGCGGGTCAAGCCCGAGGTCCTGCGCGAGGCCCTGCAGACGGTGTTTGCCGAGTTTGGCACCGTCATCGACATTGTGGCCAAGCAGAACCTCAAGGCCAAGGGTCAAGCCTTTATCGTGTACGACGACCCGGATGCGGCCCAGACGGCCGTGCGCGAGGCCCAGGGCTTCCCGCTGTTCGACAAGCCCATGGTGCTGGCGCTGGCGCGCACGCGGAGCGACGCGACGGTGCGGCGGTCGGGCGACGAAGACGAGTTGGAGGCGCACAAGCGACGGCGGATAGCCGAGAGGGGTGAGTTGTGTGCTGTGGTGGTTGTGATAGCTGTGGCTGTGGTTGTGATGCGGATGTGGATGGGATGTCCCGATGTGTCTTGACCAGAAACGCTAACTACGCAGACAAGAAAAAGGCTCTCGAGGCAGCCGAGGAGCAGAAGCGGCTGCTGCAGCGGACGGCTGCCGGTGGTGCCGGTGGTGCAGCGGCAGTGGCTCCGGCCGTCGTGCCGGACGAGTACCTGCCGCCCAACAAGACGCTCTTCGTGCAGAACCTGCCGGAAGACTGCGACGCCGACGTGCTGACGGGCATCTTTGGCCGCTACGAGGGCTTCCGCGAAGTGCGTCTGGTACCGGGCCGTCGGCTGGCCTTTGTGGAATACGACGCCGAGCCGGGCGCCATCACGGCCAAGGAGAACACGGCCGGCATGTTGGTGGGCGAGGCCGACAAGCGGCCCATCAAAGTCACGTACCAGCGGCAGTAGCGGGCTGTGGAGGGAGGCAGCAGCAGCCACCAGCAGATCTGTTTCCATTGCACCCCCGGAAACGTGTACCATATACAATGTATCCCGTTCACGGCAGGGACCCAAGTCAAGGCCAATCGCATGGCTGTTTGCATCGTGTGTGATATACAATGACAAGAAACGTGTTGTAGCGCCAAAAAGAAAAGGAGGGGGAAAAAAGACAAGAGGATGGAAAGCCCGTACAACTCGCCCTTCCCTCAGAAGATGACGTCCTCTTCGCCCTCTGCTGTCAGCAGATCGGCCGGCACACTCTGGTTCGCAGACTCCTTCTCTTCCTTGGCACTGTCCTTGTCCTTGTTCTTCTTGGCCTGCTCCAGCTTGCGCGCCTTGAGCTCCTCTTCTTCTTCGGCCGTGTCGCGCTGCTTCTTGCCGGCCACCTTCTTGAGCCGGTAGAATTCTTCGCGGTCAAGTTCGTCGAGCTCCGAGTTGATGTCTGGTCCTCTCGTCAGCAGTCTGTCTCTACCTTGGCGACATGTCTGTGTCCACTTACACTTGATGGTGTTCTCCGTCCGCGGAATGATGACGTGTTCGCTGTGCGGGTTAGAAGGGCAAACCACACGTAGATAGGGCCAATAACGAAAGTGTATACGAACATGGCATTAACTGGGAGACGAAGAGAAAGCATGTCAGCAAGTCTGCAGGCAATTGGCTGAATATGCGAGCAACATACCTCTTCGGTTGACCACCTTGATGACCTCGTCCAGGATGACAAAAGCAGTCTGTAAAGCGTCAGATTGGACGACCAAGACTCACTCAGGCCAAAAACAGCTCACCTGCAGGCTAGCCAGCTCGACCAGCGCCTCGACAGCGCGCGCATACGTCTCGCGGCAGCGCTGGACCTGCTGACCGCCCTTGCCCAGGCCAGTCATGGCAAAATCGTTGTTGCCCTCGGTCAGGTAGCTTTCAAAGGCCGGAAGCAACACACCCGACACGTTTTCCTGCTTGGCACGGATGCGGAAGCGCGCCGACCGCGCCGACTCCTGCACCTGGTAGCCGATGTCGCCGCCGACAGCATAGGTCACCTCGGCGAGGGAGAAGGCAGCGATCTGCATGACACGGCCCATCTTTCGCTTGGCTTCGTCGATGCGGCGGGTGATGTCTGGGAAGGAGGACACGGTTAGTTGTCGCGATGCGGCCATATGAGCTTAGACGAGGCCAATGGATCGCAGGATACCTCGAAATCGCCTGGCCCGGTTAGCTACAGCTGCGCTGATTCCACAGGACAAGGACAAGAGGCGAACTCACTTTGTCAGAGCCTCGCTCTTCCGCTTCAGCAAGCTGTGTCCTGTTTCTGCACCCTTGAGCTTGGCCTTCATGATACCGAGCGACTGCCGGGTAGGAAATACCGCCTCCCGTTCCTAGACACGTCATCAAATTGGTCAGCGTTTCTGTTTCCAGTCGTTCGCTTCCATCCATCGGGACGTACGGCGGCGCCAGACATGATGAGGGCTTTTGGGGAGCTGCTGGCTCCTGCTAGCTGCGATCGGAGCGGGAACTGGCAACGACAGAATCACGCGAGGGCTCTAGTGTCGAGGAGTCCAGTGTCGTGTATTCACCGGGGAGATGGTCTTCGGTAGGACCGTGTGTTGCGAATGCAGTTCGAGGTTCCAACTTGGGCAGAGGGAAGCTCGCTAAAAAGGACCAAGTCCGCCAGCTTATCGGGGCTGCGATAGTTGAGTGATTAGTCATCCATCCCCACAGGCTGCGAACGGAGGGAGCCACTCTTATATAACGGCCCTAGTCCGGATTCGGATACGCAGTGGGCTGCTCCTGACGCGGAAAAACGTGAAAATAAAAAGACAAAAAGACAGCGCCAGGCAACACGAAGCTCAGGGCTGGAAACAGCGCCACGACAACCGCAAGACTCGACAGACGGCGACAGGCATCCCCGAATCTCCGCAGGCCCCGACAGCACGGCACAGGCACGTGTTCTCTGGCTGTTTCGCTTCGCTCGGCTGCAAGCGATGGCTGCGACGGCGCGGACGTGAGGACGTGTGTGCTCTCTCTCTTTCTCTTTTCTTACCTGTTTCAATCTGTCTTCCGGCCTTGGCTTCACTCCTCGCTCGTTTCTCATCCGACTCGCCCCCGCTCTGCTCTATACCGGACTTGTCCTGTCTCTGCACCACGTACACGCAAGCATGGTCAAATCAAAGAAGCCGCAAGCCGGGGCTACGGCCCCACAACCAGACTTTCATCTGCTCGTACGTCTTCGTTCTCTTTTGCAGCTGCTGCTCTCGCCGCCTTGCTGACCCCTGTTCCAGGACGATGCCGACGCGCCATACGAACAAGACATTTACCGAAACCCGGGCACGACGCGGCCATGGCTGTCCTACATCCGATTCAAGCAGCAACACGGCTCCGTCCAGGAGCAGGCATACGTGATGGAGAGGGCATGCGCACAGCTTCCACGATCCTACAAGCTGTGGAAGCAATACCTGATATTCCGGACGAAACACGTGTTGCCGCTGAACGCGGCGGTATATGCGGCAGAATACCGCAAGGTGAACGCGCTCTTTGAGCGGGCGCTAATCTTGCTGAACAAGATGCCGCGGATATGGGAGCTGTACCTCAAGTTTCTGATGCACCAGCCGGTAGTGACGTTCACGCGGCGGACGTTTGACCGGGCGCTGCGAGCACTGCCGATCACGCAGCACAACCGGATATGGGCGCTGTACCGGCCGTTTGCGAACTCGGCGGGCGGCGAGACGGCGGTGCGGATCTGGCGGCGATACATGCAGGTGCACCCGGAAGACGCGGAAGACTTTATCGAGCTGCTGGGCACGGTAGGACTGCACACGGAAGTGGTGCGGACATACATGCGGGTGCTCAACGACGCACGCTTCCGCAGCAAGAAGGCCAAGGGCCACTACGAGCTCTGGAGCGACATGGTGGACTGGCTGGTGGAACATGCCAACGAGGTGCAGACAGGCAACGAGACGGGCATCGACGTGGAGCGGATCCTGCGCAGCGGCATTGCGCGGTACTCGGACCAACGCGGCAAGCTGTGGGCCGGACTGGCGGCGTACTGGGTGCGACGGGGCAGCTTCGAGCGGGCGCGGGACGTATTCGAGGAGGCGATCACGACGGTGATGACAGTGCGGGACTTCACGTTGGTGTTTGACTCGTACGTGGAATTTGAGGAGTCGGTGATCGGGGCGCTGATGGAGCAAGCAGCCGAGCGGGCGCTGGCCGACGAGACGGCCGACTTTGACCTAGACATCCGGATGCTACGGTTCGAGCACCTGATGGACCGGCGGCCGTTCCTGCTCAACGACGTGCTGCTGCGACAGAACCCGCACAGCGTGGGCGAGTGGGAGAAGCGAGTGGCGCTGTGGGGCGACAACAAGGCGGAGGTGGTGGCCACATACACGCGGGCACTGGCGACGATCGAGCCGAAGAAGGCGACCGGAGCACTGCACCAGCTGTGGGCCGGCTACGCGCGCTTCTACGAGCAAGGCGGCGACGTGAGCAGCGCGCGGGTGATCCTGGAGAAGGCGGTCAAGGTGCCATTCCGGTCGGTGGCCGAGCTGGCGGACATGTGGATCGAATGGGCCGAGATGGAACTACGCGGCGAACACTTTGACGAGGCAGTGCGGGTGATGGCTAAGGCGGTGCAGGCGCCGAAGCGATCGGCGGTGGACTACTTTGACGAGACGCTGGCACCGCAGCAGCGAGTGCACAAGAGCTGGAAGCTGTGGAGCTTCTACGTGGACCTGGTCGAGAGCGTTGGCTCGCTCGAGGAAACGCGACGGGTGTACGAGCGCATCTTTGAGCTGCGCATCGCCACGCCGCAGACGGTCGTCAACTACGCGAACCTGCTGGAGGAGCAGGCCTACTTTGAGGATGCCTTCAAGGTGTACGAGCGCGGACTCGACCTGTTCAGCTACCCGGTCGCCTTTGAGCTGTGGAACCTGTACCTGACCAAGGCGGTGGACCGCAAGATCGGCATCGAGCGGCTGCGCGACCTGTTTGAGCAGGCCATCGAGGGCTGTCCGCCGCGCTTTGCCAAGGTGATCTTCCTGATGTACGGCAACCTGGAGGAGGAGCGTGGACTGGCACGCCATGCGATGCGCATCTACGAGCGAGCCACGCGTGCAGTCGCGGACGAGGACCGTGCCGACATGTTTCAGTTTTACATTACCAAGTCGGCCTCCAACTTTGGCATGGCGTCGACCCGGCCGATCTACGAGCGCGCCATCGCGACGCTGCCCGACGCCGAGGCCAGCGACATGTGTCTGCGCTTTGCCGACATGGAGAAGCGGCTGGGCGAGATCGACCGGGCTCGCGCCATCTACGGCCACGCCTCGCAGTTCTGCGACCCGCGCACCCGTCCGACCTTTTGGGCCAAGTGGCACGCCTTTGAGGTCCAGCACGGCAACGAGGACACCTTCAAGGAGATGTTACGCATCAAGCGCAGCGTCCAGGCCCAGTACAACACGGACGTCAACTTTGTCGCCTCCCAGGCCCTCGCCCGCGCCCAGGCTGCTGCCGTTGCTGCCACCGCCGCCACCGCAGACAATCCCGACGACCCCGGCGCTGATGCTGTTGCGGCAGACGCTATGGCCGCCCTCGAGCGCCAGTCTCGCGCGCCTGTCGGCTTCGTGGCTGCCAGCGACGCCCCCAAGATCGCTGCCACAGCGGCCACCCAGCCTACTCCGCCCGTGGCCAACCCGGATGCCATTGACATTGACGACATGGAGGAGGAGTAGCCTGTGTGTGCGCGTGTGTGCGTGTGTGTACTCCGATGGATGTGGTGTTTCTGACCTTTGCTTTCTTACTCGGCATCTTGTGATCGGGTCTTGTCACGTGCTTCACCTGTCGTTGCCAATCTGTTCTCCTTTACTCTTTCCTTCTTGCTTACATTGGTGGTTCATTTGCTCCTTCTGTCCTGTGACAGACTACAGAAAATGGAAAAATAGGTCATACACGGGCCGATCACGTGACAATGTCAGTCCCATCCCCCAGCTCTGTTCACTTCTTGTTGTAGCCCTTTTCTGCGTGCTTGGCATGAAACTTGGCCGCGTAGTTGCTGTCGACCTGGCCATCACGCGAGTTGGGCGTCGAGTAGATCGACCCCTTGCGCTTCTGGAATCGACTGGGTGGCACCTTGGAGGCGTCTACAGGTGGTCAGTGTGACGTGAGTAGGGGACGCCGAGCAACGCCGAGCAACAAGACAGCAAGAAGACTTACCCCATTCGGCGCTGCCACGGCGGTCTTGTGGATTGACCTCGAGAAGGCCGCCGGTGGTCAAGCCGGTCGTGGGAGGAGACTCGCCAAAGACAGGCGGCGAGCCTGCCACGCTGTCGGGGGCCACGCCGTCAGGACCAACCGAGATCGTCTTGGGTTCTGTCACAGGTCAGATGAGAACGACATGTGGAAAGGGCAGAGAACTGGCCAGTCATAATGTGTGTGTGTGTGTGTGTGATATAGTCAGCTGGTTTTCGTCGGACGAAGACAGAGAAAGAGAGGGGGGGAACAGAAGAACACAAGCTATGAGGTGAGCCTTTATATGTTGCCAGGACTGCCGTTGGACCGCCCTCGTCACCTGCCCATGCATACATTACAAGAGGTTATCAGCTGCTCCTAGACCGAGATAGTCGAGAGGTCGGCCCTGTCGTCCTATTCGCCAGTTGCAGCTGAGGTGTGGCTTCGCAGTAGGTTCCCCCTAGCCCAGAACCAGCTCGCACCCTGAAGCATCACCAGGCGAACGTTTGGAGAAAGTCCTCGCTCGTGCCAATGGTGGCTATGCTCTCCAACGAAGATCTCCCTGTTGGATGTGTATTTATTGCTAGCTCGCCCAACCGCACAACCACAGTGCGGGGAGACAGAGAGTGCGAGAAGAGGAAGAAGAGCCGTTTGCTTTTCGTCTTGCAACAAAAGGTCTAGACCGCAGCATCTACCACTCCGGCGGGTCTTCTGCTTTCAGACCTCCGTGCCCAGAGCCACTACTCCTAGTCCCAAGGCTGTGCAGTGGAATGGCAAAAGCCGCAAGCACCAAAGCTCTGGTCCTCCAGGCAGAAACGTTCATCCTATACAGACTCGTCATCTTCTTGTATACCCGTCAGCACACCCGAGGCTAATTTCCTGACCCCCCATTTCCACTAACGGTGTGCTGCGCCCGAGCTTCGTTCATCTACATCCTCGCTGTACCTCGATTTTAGTGCAGATAGCCTTTGCCTTTTAATAAAGGAGAGCTCTGCTATGCATGATTTCTTGGCGAGAACGACCGCTGCCAATACAAACCCTCGTTTGCCCGCCATGTGTCCTGTTCCCGGCATGTTCCGCCGTCATATACACAAGATCAGGGTAGTAATCAATACTCGCATGATGTGTTGCTAGTCCGACGACCACCTCTTCTCTCCAACACTTTGGTGCACTGGTTTCGTATCCTATCATACAGTCCGACCCAAGCCATAACTCAATTTGCTCCTGTCATTTCATCATGGCACAAATACTATTAATATGTCCCAGGAGGCGTATCTCCGTTCTTTTACTTCCCCTGTATTAGATTGACGACAAGTCCAGGTTGATCCCGTTAGCATCGCCGCCGTTTATGCCGAAAAATTGAAACCTGTGCCGGGCATTTGGTTAGTCCCAGTCTTCCTGCTGTGTATCCAAATCTTTCCGGGAACATACCAGTCTTCCACATTCAGCGTGGACGGCACTGGCTGTCCCTGCACCGATCCTGTGCTCCAGCTGTCGCTCGGACTCTGCCCATCCGGAAGCGCTCCATCAAAGGGCGATTGCCACATGGTGTTGCTGCTATTTGCCTGGTGATGATGTTGCTGTTGATGCGGCGCTTGCTGTGCTTGGAATCCACCTAGTCCCTGAGCCGCAATCCCCGGCGGCGACAGGGGGCTGGTTCCTGCGCCCAAAGCACTGCCGGCCCCCCGTTTAGTTGACGCTGGCGGTGAAATGTGCTGCGTAAACGGGCTCTGTTGTGGTTGTTGTTGCTGGTGGGCTTGCTGCTGCTGGTGATGTTGCGCATGCTGTTGTTGTTGCTGCATCGGGGCAATAATATTGGGGTCCATGTTTTGATTCGATGGCGTCGGCGACATCGTCGGCGGAAACATGGTAGAGAAGCCAGTGTTGTCCGGAAAGAGCTGGTCCGGCTGAAAGTTTTCCCAAATCGCCTGCGACAGATTGGGCGAGTTGCGAGTGACCAGATACAAGTCTGGCGGTGTTGTCGGCAGAGAGAAGGACGACGGAAACGGCGTGTGTGGACGTGTTTGTGGGCGCGACGTCGAGCCGTTGCCCCCAATGCCACCAGCGCCTCCAGCAAACGTGTCCATCGCGGGCCTTGCTCCTCCTGGTGCCATAGATGGCGGGCCCATCGCAGTATTCGTCTGCTCCCCCTTCAACGCTGACGAATGGTTCGGCGTCTGCGGCCGAGAACGTTCGTAAGACTCCTGCGGCTGCGGCGTGTTGACGCTGAAATCAATAGCCATCTCGTCGTACTTGCGCTTCGAGATGTCCTGGAGTTGTTGTTGTTGTTGCTGTTGCTGGTGGTACAGGCTCTGTGGTCTCTGTGCATTGCCGTGATTCTCTGGTTTCGAATGATTGCTCTGCGTCTTGCGGTGACGCACGCCACCGGCCTTTCTCAGCCGTTCCTCCAGATTCTTGTTCCCCAAGATGGACTCGAACAGGGCGTAGACCATCTTGCCCACAAGCCAGACCTTGGAGACATCCTTGAGCGCACCCATACAGGTCCGAAGATTCTCCTGCGTGACCTGCTGGATCGACGGCACCGGCGACCGCATCTGGTAAACGTGCATGATCAAGGCAGAGAAGAGACTGTAGACTATAAAGGCAGGGCAATACCGCAGTTCGTCCGAAGCTGACAGATACTCGATAATGGACGTTATAGCGCCGGCCGCGTGAAAGGCAATATTTCTTGACGGGTAGGCGGTGTGGTCTTCTGCGAGTCGCTGCGAGCCCGAGCCAGGCGGCATGTATGCGCGGTGCAGCAGGCATAGGGTGGTGTAGTAGTTGGAGAAGAGCAGCGCAGACCAGAAGCTGCGGCCCTGGATATTCCAACAGACGATCCGCGGACAGTTTTGGAGCCAGTCGGCCAGAGCCATGTCGCTGTGGGTCAGGTCGATGGGGCTCTTCTGTCGACCCTTTGATGCGACGGAATACTGCTGGGACAGCACCAGGCCCATGATCTCGCAGAGCTTAACATACTGCAGAAAGAACTGCACATGGAGCGGATCTGGCTTATACTCGCTCGGCAGGTCTGGCTCGTCTTCGTTGAAGTCGTCTTCTGTCAGCATCTCGACATCCGAGTCTTCCAGATTTATATGGATAGGACGGCCGAGAGCGACGGCCACAGACCGATCACGGGTGAACAGCGTCCACCAGATTCGCTTCCACAGACGCTTGTCCGTCGTGCTAAGCTGAGAGCCCTCCACACTGCGGTGCATGCCCGAGCCCTGTGCAACTATGGTGGCGACACGGCTCCAGTAAAAGACATTCTTGGTGACGTCTTCCGGGCCCTCCCAGTACCATCCCATGAGCAGCAGCGACTGCACAATCGTAACCCGGTCATCTTCGTAATTGGCGTCATATAAGGCTTTGGCACGCTTGTAAAACGTCAGGGCAGCGGGTGTTGTGGAGCCATTCGCATCCATAAGCTTTGGGTTATTGCAAACGCGCGAGCCGGCCAGAAGGATAGCCTGAAGAAGCAACAGCGAAGGCGGGTTGTTGGGATCGCGGTATTGGCGCATAAATCGATTACGGTTGATGACAGGCATGATCGGGTGAATCCAAACAAAATAAGCCTCGATCAGCTCATCGCAGAGTTCTCGTGGTGGCAATAGAAAAGCTCCACGCTGCTGGAGGATCTCAATCTCGACATTATCGAGCTCAGTGAGACGGGCCCGCGATCCACGCACATTCTCGGGAAGAGGGTAGTGGACAACATCGGCAGATCCGGCCTGGTCGTGGACCAAGAGGGTGAGGTTAGACGACTCGCCAAGGTAGGCGACACGGCCCGGCTCCGTGATGGGGGCACGAGTGAAGCGGGGCTTCATGAGGATGTTAACGTATGTGCCTGTGTCGACTTCTTGCTTCTTGGCCTGCAGCTCCGTCACCGTTGAAGACGGCGTGCCTTCATAGGTGTGGTGAACAGACGGCCGAGAAACAGACGGGGTGGCAGAAACGGACGCTAGTCCCGACGTAGTGGACGCAGCAACACTGCTCGATCGTGGTGATTTGTCGTCGGAACCATCCCCACGATCACTATGCAGATGTGAGCACGCAAAAATCTGTTTGTAGGTCTTTGAAAAAGGCAGAAATCATGTGAAAATAAAATAGGGATCAAGAGCCAGGAAACAACAGCGCTTCATACCTGTCGGAGTCTTTTGATGTCGAGCCTGCAGTTCCCGTCGCCGAGGCCGTTGACTGTGAGACGACCTTCTTGCGTTTGGGAGTGGGGATACGGCACTCAATGTTGAATGCGACACAGTTTGTGCAAGGCACGCCCAGACTAGCGGCATCGCAGCGGACCTGGGGAAAAAGGATGATGAGAAAGCGCCCTATGCCGGGAAGATCTCCCTTCTGGGTAGTGGCCTGAATCAGGAGACGGGAGGTAGTGGAGCGAAGGAAGATGCAATACGGGACGGGGAGAAGAGGGGTTTCGGGCCAATGTGCCTCGGTCTTGCTGGATGTGCGACCTGCATGGAGGGCTTGGAGAGAGGGGGTGCTGGCTGAAACAAATCAAGAATTTACCTTTCTAGCATGACATGTCTGTAAGAAAGTTAGCCAACAGGTCGATTAGGGAGCAGGGCACTAGGAAAACGAGTTGAGGGCGAATGGCAACCGGGAAATTGTGAGGCTCGTTGATGGAGATGCCTCGGCACTTTTGTGGGTATCCATTCTGGGCAAGCTCTCAAGAGCCGATACATATAGAACGACCGCACACTCGGTTTCGCATTGGAAAAAAGGACGTAGGTTGGAGAACCAAAAGAAAAAGAAAAAAAGCGTACCTCGCAAGCTCTCGATGCTCGTTGCCTTTTCAGATGAGAAGGACAATGTTAGCCAGCTGCGTCTTGCCTATGTTTATCAAGGCGGAAGCTCGATCGCGCCAGCAGTCCGCATGCGACCCCAGGCCGACGAAAATTCGCGGGACCGTTACGCCAAGCGCCATGCGCCAGCCAGTTCCTACCTTCTAAAGCTGAGATGTGCCTGCGCGGCTGCTTGTGCAGCTGCCTGAGCCGCCGCATTATTCTGGTTCTGTGCCATCGCGGACGCTGTCGTTCCTGGGTCGGCGGACGTGGTAGCTTCGTCTGGAGCGAAGCCCGGCACGGAGGGCTGGTGCCTCGAGGCGTCGATTTCCATGGTGAACGATGTTCTCGAGAGGCCGTCGACGTGATCGATTGGTAGATTGCCCTCCCTTGCTGGGATCACTTGTGCAGGTCTTGCACTTGAGTCGCGTTGGCGATGTGTCGTTCCAAGGATTGGGTCGTCTTGGATTCGAGAGGGTTGGCACTCGTCGGGGTTCTGCAACGAGCGGAGAGGTTAAGGATGTGTGCGGGTATGTGGGAGAGAAGAGGAGAGAGAGGAAGAGAGAAGGGAGATGAAATCCGAAACCCGTTTCCGCCGATCTGGTATCTTTTTGCTATGATGAAGCTTCGTCGTTGCGTTGCGGTCGTTGTTTCCCCCTCAAAGGCCAGAAGGACACAGCGATAGGACGAAGGAAAGACGGGCTGGCTATAGCACGTGCTGCTTCGGTGCAAGGCAGTGACGATGCGCGTAGTGGATGGCTGCAGGAGGCAAGAACGCAGGAGCGTGCCTTGTCTGTGCTGTAGGGGGCCCTAGCGATGGGGGAGGGGGAGTGGGAAAGAGGCTATCGTTTGCGGTTGCCCAGTCGGGATGCCCGCCTGTAAGCAACGAGAGCTCTGCGGTATGGGCAGGTATCTTACGAGGTAAGATCTGTTACTAGGCAGTAACGCAGCCGGAACCGATGCAGTGCTGCTCTTTCTCTCTTAGCTGTAGTATTCAAGAGAGAAGCATGATGTTTAGTGACCAGATACTATGGGCAAATAAAACCGGCAATAAAAAAAGACTGAACTCGACAGGACAGACACCCCGGTAGATCCTGCTTGACATTCGCCGTTGACGAATTGCCAAGTGACGACTGGGGGATGGTTGCAGAAGAAAAGAGCGGAGAGAGGGGGAGGCAACTAAGTCTGGTGTTCTCCACAATACGAGCGAGTAAAACCGAGAGATTTCCCATGTGACTGCTTGACAAAAACGTACAAAGGCTTACAATGCCATAATGTGTGAACGGCGAGCTCGCTGAGCCACTGCTGCGGTGTATCCTCGTATCTTACCATGTTGCTCCGTTCTCCCTTCATGCCTTGTCTTTGGATTCCGCCCCCTATTTCTTTCATTTTCCTTCTGTCGGTTTCTGTTCTAGCTGTGCCTCCAACGAACACCTTTCAGCTAAGGGGCAGTCGAAATGACCTGCCTCAGGTGGAGCGAGAAATTTATACGCAATACGAAAATCTGTCAAGTCTGTGCAACGACCCCGGTCTCGGACATGATCGCTGGTTGTGCGCACTGCAGAAACGTGCTATTGTTGCAAGGCTTGTGCCGTCTGATATTAAGATACAAGGTCATACGGATCCGAAATAAGCACATTTTCATTTCTGCCATTGCCGCGCCATTCCTCTTCTGGGAATAACGATCATTTGTCTGGGGTAGGCAAAGCTTGGGGGAGGGATGGAAAGCCGCCTAAAGTAGCCGCCAATCCACTCGTACCCTGTGCGGAACTGCGGATTTTGCTGTACTCATACTCCGTACTCCGTAGATCCATATCGATTGAGAAGTCCCTTTTTTTCATTTCCGTCCTGGTACGGAGTACTTTCTTTCACCTTGACCACGTCGCAAAGTGCACTGTGTGGCGTAAAGGCTTGTCATAGCAGGGGCAATTCGTTGTACTAGTAACGACTGCTATGTAACTTATCTTATATGCGTATATGCTTAACGGAGATGTTGCCTAATAATCTGCCACCATGCTTTCCTTTTTGGTTTTCCCCACGATGTTCTCGCCGACCCAATACCACTAACCCGCCTTCGTGAATTTTCGCGTCATGTACAGAGCGCCCTGTCTTGGGCCGAAGACTATTTCGTTGCCTTCATGACGACTTGCTCTTCACCTTTTCTGATTGGCCACCAACGGCTCCTGACTCGGCTGACTGACGATCGTCTGTTGCCTGTTTTTCGGCCTTGCCTATGGCCATTTCGATCTGCCAGGTGGCCCTTTCAAGCTCGAGCTCCAGCTGCGGCGATTCGACCGCCTCAGACACCGCCATGGCGCCTTCGGGATTCGACAGCAGAAGCGCCTCCGCCTCTTTGGCCCCCTCCTTTGTGTGTGCTGGCGCAACGGCAGTAGCCGTAGTAGCTGAAGCGGCAGCTAACTTCGCCTTCTCCTTTGCATAAACAGCGTCAAGAACTGGCGACGGCGAGAGGGTGAATTTGTTGTGCTGCAGCAGGAACTGGATGTGTTTGCCACCCGAGATGGCGCGCCAGTGCGACCAGGCCCGGTAGACGAGGTAGAAGAACGGGATGTTGGGCACGCTGGCCGGTCAGTGTCAGCAAGTCATGTCAGATCAAATAGGTTTCAGGGAGGAGGCATCTCACACTGGGAGGACGGCTATCGGCAGCGTGATGGGCATGCCGACGAGACACCAGAGCAGCCGCTGACGGTGGAGAGACTCGCGCTCGGTGCTAAGCCGGTGCAGCAGGCCGGGGACGCTGCCGGGTGGAAGCATGGACGGGGGGAAGACAATTTCGACGACCGGCGGTGCCGGGAGGGAAGGGTCGCCACTCTCAACGGCCAGCCTGTGCTGTCGCGTCAGCGGCGGCACCGATTTGAGCCCCCACTCCTCAAACGTGATGCGGCGAAAGCCAGCATTGCCGTAGGCGACGAGACGACGCTGCCAGCTACCCGCCGGCTTCTTCTCCCAGCCTGCCCAGAACCGGGCGGCGCGATCCTGTGCCTTGTCCACCAGAGATTCATTCCCCCGTGGCTGTACCTGCAGCTGCGTCTGCGTCTGCGTCAATGCTGCCTGGTCTGTCTTGCTTGCATCGTCTTGCGCTTGCGCTTGGTCACCGGCTGTCGCCTGCGGCGGATACGATGGTGGCAGTACCCGCTCACAGAAAAGCAGCGTGCGGCGCGTAGATATTGGCAGCAGAAAGAGCCGCATCGTTTGTGCTGGAACTGGTCCGGTATCAAAATCTCAACTTTCGATGTCGTTTTGAATTAGTCGCGTAGACTATGCTTTTCAGGCAGCAAACGCCTATTTTCTCCCTTAAGTCCGCGCCGAAAGCACTAAAGAACAAATCCCGAACAGCTGATGGAAATTGAGGTCTGTAAGCTGAAAAAAAAAAGCAGGTGGATATGTACCATGAGATACAGTAGGATATACCGTCACTAAGCCACGGACATGTAGGGAGCAGACTGCCTCGCCTCTTTGGGCCAGCTCCTACGGAGTATACGTAATTCAATTGGGAGCTTTTTCCATTCGCAATACGCACAGGTACCTCAAAAAGGGTTGAAGCTGGATTAGGCACGCAAAATTCGGCCTTCTAATTGCCTAGGTGCAAATCATGACGACATGTTGGCTAGCTGCGACCTCTGGTTGGCCAATCGTGGGTCCATACTATGTAGCACCGGATTAACAGGCGACTTTCCCTTGCGACTCTCGACCCGCCAGCAGTTTTTCCGCATCCGGTGAGACAAGTCCACTTGGTATTACTGCGTGTCTGCCGTAGGGGTTTGACAGCAATAGCCGTGAGAAAAGCAAAGAAAAGGCGAGTAAACAAACAGCGCTCGTGTTAGTGGCGAAGCTTGCAGGCTGGCTAAGATACATAGGACATAAAGCAGTTGGCAGCTAGTGGCGCTTATCTGAAATGGGCCTCCAATTTCTACGTATCTTACTTACTTTAATTAGCCACGGCACTTTTCCCGGAGTCATGGGGACCTGATGACCACATCCCTTCCTCCTGTTCCCAACCACTGCACTAGAATACCCTGAACGACGGGTCGCAGCTCTCCTCCTGTTGTCGCCTCTCATTCTTTCTTGCCATAGGTACCCCCTTTGCCTTCGTATTGGCTATGTCGTGTACTTCCTGAGCTGCTGTCTTGCGTCCCGGGCCATCCGATTGACCCTTTCCACCTCAGCTCACTTCCAAGCTCTGCCCCCTCTTGGGGAGCGGATGCCGACACTCTGCTACGCGCCCATACTGCAGCCTATGCCGACCCTTTTTCGGGTGAAATGTCACGGGAGACGGTAAAGACGGTACCGCGTATGTATATGCCAGCAGCGTCGCGTCTCTGGCGAGCTTCTTCCTGCTGACCGCGCCAAAAGCATGGGTCATTCGCCGACCTCCACAGACTGTATACCCGCAACGCAACCATGACCCCTCTGAGGCGCGGTACAATCAAGGACCCTCTGGCGGTTCGGTGCCTAACGGCAAGGGCCAAGAGCATGCTGGCGAAAACGGCACCTCTGAGGGATTGAATAAGCCCGCGCCAAAACCTGCCGGAACGACAGCACCGTCCCCAATACCAAAGCCTCCTGCCCCGACGCCTGCGGCTGCCCCTAGTCTGAGATATCGCCTATCGCTCTTGTTCCGACCAAAGGAGGGCCGGAAATGGGACCATCTGCGCTCGGCTGAACCTGTCATCGTGCCACAGTACCACGTAACCAAGGGGCCGACAACATACAGGACAGAATGGGACAGACACACACCTAGGAGGCCGGGCGCACCGGGCGCGCCGAGTGGAAGCAGTGCACAAGCAGGGGCCAGCTCATCGGCCTCTGGTCATCCGGACGCGTCTGCGGCCACGGCGAGAACACCGTGGTGGTACAACCCCGAGTCGCAGTGGCACGCCTTTATCGAGTCCACGCGCTACCCGCACGCGGCAAACGAGAAGTCCGAGATACTGGACGACGAAGAGATGCAGCGGCTTAATCTCATGGACTTTGGCTATCTCTCGTCGCTGCATCCCAAAGTCGGCGGTGGCGATGGCGGCGGCGGTGTTGGCCAATTTCACCATAAGCTTCACGTCCCCAGCAAGCTGGCCGACAAGCCGGTATGGCAGCGCATCTGGGAGCTGCTGCTTCACCACCCGCTGGTGCCGCTTGCCTGCCGCCTGACCGTGCTCATGACCTCGATTGTGGCTCTGGCGGTGGCCATCGAGATTCATAAACGGGAGCGGCTCAACACGGTGGGGAAGGCTGGCAGCTTGGGCAACGCGCCAGAGCGGACGCAGGTGATCGTGGCTATTGTTGTTGATGTGGTGGCGGTGCCGTACATTGGCTATATCACCGTGGACGACTATACGGGCAAGCCGTTGGGTCTGCGCCCGCCGGCGGATCGCATTCGGCTCATCTTGACGGACCTGTTCTTCATCATATTCAAGTCGGCAAGCACGTCGCTCGGGTTCGAGGCCATGATCTTTGTGTCCTCCGAAGGCAGCGAGGGCCTTCTGCGGACGTTGGGGGCCTTTGAGCTCATCGGGCTGGTGTCGTGGGCTCTCACGCTGACGATTAACATCTTCCGAGTAATAGAGCGGCTCGGGGGCTGAGCGTCTGCGAGGGAGGACGACGCACGAGAGAGAGAGAACTTTGGCTCGTAAGTTTGTCAGTACGAGATATGCATAGCTGGGAAATTGGCCCTCGGGCGTTCGGATGATGGAACTGCTTTTCTGTTTTGGCTCTCCGGGTGCATATACACAAATCTTAGATACCCTCTGTCGTTTATACATAACGAGGCTAGAATAATCTCACATGCTTGCAAATGGCGAAGCAAATTCTGTTGTGGCGAGCTGCGCGAACAAAACAAGCCATAGTCTGCATGCTGAATAATAGAATTATGCCAGGCCGCCCCTGCCATTTTGGACCCCGCCACCCACTACGTCGTGTCGACCCTTCCACACGAACAACCCCCACCCGAACATTTGGGTTGAGTGCTTCCGATTTGAAGCTTGAGTTCAAAAAAAGAGACAGATTCACACATACCCTACCGCAACACGACACGGTATAAGCAAAAGCTCGACAAGCACCCGACGGCGAAGGTCCCATATTCCTTTAGCACCGTTTCCCTCTGGCGTCATCGAAAATCCACCCAGACAGGTTGCTCGCTGAGACAGTTCCGGCGCCAATATACACCTCAATGCAAGGATCCCGGCCCAGCCTGACTATTTGAGGAACGACACACGTGTCGGCGGCCCTTTTTGCAGGGATGGAGGCGCCAATGAGCACACAAGAGCAGCAGCTCTGCGAGTTCCTGATGGGTCTCGCAGCCAAGTATTCATGCCGTTACAACGAGCAGGCCGAGCGGGATCTCCTGCAAAGCCTCTTCTGGTGCATGGCCGGTGGAAATGCGCAGTACATGGACCGATTCTTTCCCATAACCGGTGGGCCACTACGGGGAGGTACGCTGAAGCTTCGGGAAGCACAAGGCGCGGTGAACGGGGCGGAATACACAGAGGCCGCACGGGGTCACGCGTGTGGCCATATATTTCGGCCTGGCGAGGCTACCTATTCGTGCAAGACGTGCGGGACAGATGATACGTGTTGTCTCTGCAGCCGCTGCTTCGAATCCACAGACCATCGAGGCCATATGGTGCGCATCAGCGTGTCGCCCGGTAACAGCGGCTGCTGCGACTGCGGCGACTCAGAGGCCTGGAGGACGCCAATGTACTGCACCATACACTCGGCCTGGCAGGACGGCTTCGGGGGCAAGAACAAGGGCAAAGCGCCGGTCGGGACGCCACGCGACCTGGAGGAAAGCATCCGCATGACCATCAGCCGGGTTTTCGACTTTATGTGCGACGTGGTGTCGTGTTCGCCCGAGCAGCTGCGCCAGACCAAGACGGTCCAGTCGATCCAGCACGACGAGCGCATGTCCCGGCTGTCGGCGACGTACGGTGGCGGTGACACTGGCCCCCCTGACGAATACGCGGTGCTTCTCTGGAACGACGAGAAGCACACGGTCACGGACGTGGCACACCAGGTGGCGAGGGCATGTCAGACGACCGCAGCGGACGGCCAGAAGCGGGCCCACGAGACGGACGAGATTGGGCGAAGCCTACTGAAGCACTCGCAAAGCATCGAGAGCCTGCTCCGGGTGTCACGGATACTCGAGGACATCAAGGTGACGGTGACGATCCGGTCGTCCCGGGACACGTTCCGGGAGCAGATGTGTGGGAGCATAATCGAGTGGCTGTCAGATATAACCGGCTGCAGTGTCGGCGACGACCACGGCATCCTTCGGCGAGTGGTATGCGAGGAGCTTCTGCGGCCGTGGCGCAAGGGCAGTCCGGCCAGCCATGCGATTGTGGGGCAAAACGGCATAGACGACGAGGACACATTGTCACAGGATGGAGAAGCTGTGAACCCGGTGTTCGCCCATGAAATGCTGCTGCGGAATAGGCGGGCTGCGCAGATGGCGGCCATGGTAGAGGACAGCGGCGAGGATGAGGAGGACGATGACGAGGAGGACGAAGACATTGATATCATCATTGCCGAAGGAGAGGATGACGACGATGAGGACAACGACGAGGAAGATGGCGAGGAAGCAGCAGCGACAGGCGACGACCAGGCAGAGGATGCTGGTGACGGCGACGTAATCATGTCTGACGCACAGCCAGCAGATGCAGTTCCGGGCGACGCCACGACAGCAGCCACACGAGAACCGGACGGCCGTGTGCGCACGAACCCGTGGCAGGTGATGCCGTTTGAGATTGCCGAGATGGACGAAGCTCTTCTGGCTGGCTACCAGATGCCAACTCCAGCAACAGCAGCAGCAGCTACAGCGGCAGGACCTGCGGCAGCCACGCCAGCCATTATTGCGCCTGTACCTGTGGCTGCCCCCCTCTCGGCAAGACGCAACATCCGGGAACGCGATGTGACGCCGTCGGATTCGGACACGGCCGAGCCGCTGATAGCAGCGAGCACGTATGCCAAGATCGGGCTCGACATCCCCAAGACACCTGGCGGCGGGGTGACGGAGAAGGCACCGCCTCCCAAGCCGGGACACTACTGGCTCGGGGTGCCGGCGGCATACATGGAGTGTGAGGGGGTGCAGCCGGCCGAGGACCTCTTCCAGCGGGTGCGGCTCGACTGGCTGATCCTGTTCGATCTGCGGATGTGGAAGAAGGTGCGCAACGACCTGCGGTCGCTCTACATATCGACGGTGGTGACGATCCCGGAATTCAAACGGGTGCTCGGGCTGCGCTTCGCCGGGCTGTACACGACGCTCGCACAGCTGTACCTCATCGGCGACCGCGAACCGGACCACTCGATCATCAACATCTCGCTGCAGATGCTGACAACGCCGTCGATCACGGCGGAGATCGTGGAGCGCGGCAACTTCCTGACCAGCCTGATGGCGATCCTGTACACGTTCCTGACGACGCGGCAGGTGGGCCATCCGTGGGACGTGTCGTCGAGCGCGGTGCTGGCATTTGACTCGGGCTCGGTGACGAACCGGCGGATGTACCACTTCTTCGTGGACCTTAAGTTCCTCTTCAGCTCGCCACACGTGCAGGAGCGTCTGCGGACGGAGGACCGGTACATGATGCAATTCCTGGACCTGGTCAAGCTGCACCAGGGCATTTGTCCGAACACGCGGGCGATCGGCGAGCACGTGGAGTACGAGACGGACACGTGGATCAGCGCGTCGCTGATCACGCGCGAGATCAACCGACTGTGCCGGCAGTTTTCGGAGGCGTTCCGCAACCTGCGCTCGGCAGACTACGTGCACCTACACCGGGCGATTCGGGTTGCGACCAAGAGCGTGATCATCAACTCGATCGGGGCAGAGCGGCTGCGATTCTCGCAGGCGGAGATCCGCGACGAGGTGGTGTTCAAGACGGTAACGGATCTGGAGTTTGACGAGGTGGACGCGCGGTACGACGTGGTGGCATTCGTGGTGGAGCGACAGCCGATCAGCTTCCACCACGCGCTGCACTACACGCTCTCGTGGCTGATCGAGTGCGGGCGGTCGATGTCGGTGGAGACGCTGCGGGCGCTGCTCAGCTTCACGGCGGCCGAGCTGAAGGGCACGCCACGGTCGATGGGCCGCAAGATTATGCCGCGGCGCGACTACGAGGCAGAAGACTACCTGATGGCAGCGTTTGACTACTCGCTGCGGGTGTGCGCGTGGCTGGCGCAGATGAAGGCGGGCATGTGGGTGCGCAACGGGATCAGCCTGCGGCACCAAGCGGGGACGTACCGGGGGGTGAGCCAGCGTGACGTGGCGCACCACCGAGACGTGTTCCTGCTGCAGACGGCGCTGGTGGTGTGCAACCCGAGCCGAGTGCTGGCGTCGGTGATCGACCGGTTCGGGATGGAGCGGTGGGTCAAGGGCATCTTTGAGCAAAAGACGGAGGCACAGGACGACGGGCAGCACCTGGACGTGGTGGAGGACATGGTGCACCTGCTGATCGTGCTGGTGAGCGACCGGACGTCGCTGGTGGAGGCGGCAGACGGGGACGGAGAGACGGAGGCAGAGGCGGAGGCAGAGGCGGCGCAGATACTGGCGCTGCGACGCGACATCATCCACGTGCTCTGCTTCCGGCCGCTGTCGTACTCGGACATCTGCAACAAGCTGCCGGACCGGTACCAGGAGCAGGAGAACTTCCAGAAGGTGCTGGAGAGCCTGACGGTGTTCAAGGCGCCCGACGGCAATGCGGACGTGGGCACGTTTGAGCTGGAGGCACGACACATTGAAGAGGTCGACCCGTACATTGCGCACTACAGCAAGAACCAGCGGGAGGAATCGGAGACGGCGTACCGGCGGTGGATGGCGAAGAAGACGGGCCGACCGGTAGAGTCGATCGTGTACGAGCCACGGCTGCGGCCGATCCGATCAGGGGCGTTTGTGGGGCTCAGCAACTTCACGTCGACGGGCATCTTTGCGCAGCTGGTGTACTACTCGCTGCTGTACTCGCTGACGGCCGGCCAGCTGACGCCGGCGGTGCCGATAACGCGGGTCGAGACGTTTCTGCAGGTGCTGCTGCACCTGGTGCTGATTGCGATTGCGGAGGACAAGACAGGAGAAGGCGAGGGAGAGGAGGAGAAGGGGGCGTCCTTCATCGAGCTTGCGCTCAATAAAGTGGCGCGGAGCAACTTTATGGCGTCGGCGCCGGCAGCCAAGACGATTGTGGCGCTGCTGGACCTGATGTCGACGCGGGAAGAGCTGAAGTCGTGCCAGCCCAAGATCACGCTGATCCTGAAGCGGATGCGGCAGAAGCGACCACAGGGATTTGCAGCGGCGTACGCGCGCTTGGGGGTGTCAGTGGAGCGGATCAGCACGGCGTCGCCGGCCAACAACCAAGACGCGGAGGAGGAGCGCGAGCGGAAGAAGCGGGCGGCACTAGCACGACAGGCACGGGTGATGGCACAGTTTCAGGAGCAGCAGAAGAGCTTTCTGGAGAAGCAGGGCGATGTGGACTGGGGCACGGTAGACGAGGAACTGGACGAGGAACTGGACCAGACGTCGTCACAGTTGCCGACGGAAAAGAAGGCGTGGAAGTATCCGGGCGGGACATGCATCTTGTGCCAGGAGAACACGGACGAGCGGCGGCTGTACGGGACGTTTGCCTTTTTCACGGACAGCATGATCCTGCGACAGACGGACCTGCAGGATGCGGACTTTGTGCGGGAGGCAGCGTCGACGCCACGGAATCTGGACCGGTCGGCCGAGAAGCTGCGGCCGTTTGGGGTGGCGGGCGAGAACCGGTCGACGGTGGTCAAGATCAGCGCGGAGGGCAAGGCGTTCGAGACGGAGCGACAAGGCATCGGCAAGGGCTTTCCGGCGCAGAACTGCCATGGCGGAACGCTGTCGGTGGGCTGTGGCCACATCATGCACTACCACTGCTTCGAGGCGTACTTTGAGGCGACGCTGCGACGCCACCACCAGCAGATTGCACGACACCACCCGGAGGACACGGAAAAGCTCGAGTTTGTGTGTCCGCTGTGCAAGGCGCTGGGCAACGCTTTCCTGCCGATCGTGTGGAAGGGCAAGGAGGAATCGTACCCGGGAGCGCTGGAGGCGACGCAGCCGTTTGGCGATTTTCTGGACGGCCAGATGACGGGGACGCGACAGGTGGCCGACGGGATACTGAAGCAATTTGCGCGGTACATGACGACAGCGACGATCGGATCAGTGCAGGAACGGACGGCCAGCCTGGTGTCAGAGGCGTGGGAGCCGACGATGCGACCAAGCAGTGCACTGTCGGCGGTTCTGCTGACGAGCCCGGTCACAGTGGCATCACTGCTGCCGATGCACAGCCACGGCCACGGATTCGGACAACGGGCAGCTCTGAGTGGCGGCGGCGGCGGTGGCGGCAACATTGTGCACGAGCTGGTGGGAGTGTATCGACGGCTGTGCATGACGCTGTGGACAAACGAGCTGCGGTCGCAATTCCGGGCGGAGGGCGAGATGCTGGAAGGCGAGCTGTGCATGAGCGACACGCTGGCACAGGCAGTCGGCTACTCGATCTCGGCTGTGGAGATCCAGCAGCGCGGCACAGACGCAGAGTACGGGATGACGCTGCTGTCGAAGATCCCGGAGCAGCAGATGACGCATCTGCGGGTGCTGTGCGAGACGGTGACGTCGTACATTGCAGTGGGAGCGCACCGACGGGCGGGCAACAACCGGGTGGAGGGCGAGTTCCGGCGCGACAGCGAGCGGCAGCACTGCCAGCTGTTTGCGGCGCAATACGCGAACGAGGACGAGGAGACGGAGTCGACGGATCTACGGCTGGACCGTTACGCACCGCTGCTGAGCTTGGACCCGTTTGTCTTTCTGTGCGAATGCGTGTTCGGCGTGATGCCGGCACAACAGCTGCAGATGGCCCACCTGGTCCGGCTGTGCTATCTGGCCGAGCTGGTCAAGGCGGTCTACCACATGGGGCGCAACTTTTCGAGCGCGGCGTGGGTTCAGCTGGTGGAGGCTCAGCAGGCGGCCGAGACGACCGAGCCGATCCGTGGCTTTGCCGAATTCTGTCTGGGAGTCATGCGGCTGACCGTAGGAGCCGATGGGACGATGCCAGCCAATGGAACGAATCCGGTCGATGCACTTCGGAACCGTGCATTCGATCAGGACGGACTCCACACGGTCGAGGGCTACTACAACTTTACCAAACGGTACGCGCTCGTGTTTCTGCGCAAGACAGCCGTTTTGCTGCATGCGCAAGCCGGCGTCGACTTCAACAGTCACGTGTCGCCAGCACCGGAGCTGGACGAGCTGGACCGCCTGAGCGAGGCGCTGCGGCTGCCGTCGTTTGACGACATGTGCACGGCGCCGACAGCAGGAGGCGCGGCGCACGGTTGGCCCGCGACGACGACACGGCTGGTCGCCGGATGGCTGCAGCACAGCGTCCGGGCACTAGATCGAGCACCGACATCATCCGCGAACCCATCGGCCTTGCTTAGTCATCCGGCCATCTACGAGCTCGTGGGGTTGCCACGCCACTTTGACCAGCTGTTGGACGCGTGCACGCGCTGTCGCTGTCCGACGACGGGCAAAGACGTGTCGGACCCGATGATCTGTCTGCTGTGCGGCACCGTCTTCTGCGGCCAGGCCATCTGCTGTCTGAAGGAAGAGAAGGGCGGACGACGACAGGCGTGGCGGAAGATTGGGGGGGCACAACAACACATGAGGAAGTGAGTGTTCGGACGAGAGAGGGACGAGAGAGAGAGTGGAGAGAAAAGCTAACAAGCCAGATGCCAAGGAAATATCGGCCTCTTTCTCAGCATCCGAAAGTGCTGCATCTTTTACCTGCACCGGCTCTCGGGATCCTACGGCTATGCCCCGTACATTGATAAGTACGGTGAGGTTGACTTGGGCTTCCGACACGGCCGTCCATTGTTGCTGAATCAGCGCCGCTACGACCTGATGTTGCGGGCCGTCTGGCTGAGCCACGGCATACCCAGCTTCATCAGCCGCAAGCTGGAGATGGACATCAACAACGGGGGATGGGAGACGGTATGAGGGCAGCAAGCTATTTGCATACTTGTTTTGGGTCCAGAATATGGCAGCATGTGCATTATGTAATAATTCTGATTAGTCAATATTGCACGTGATTCACGAACAACTCGTCAGCCCTCCAGTGGGCTCTTCAACGTCCTTGGCTTCCCCGTGCTGATACACATTGATCCAGCCGTCCTGGCCGCAGCTGACCATGGTGGCGCCGCAGACGTCGACCCAGAAGCAGACGCCGCCCTTGTGAGCCCGCCGCAACCGCTGCACGACGGCCTTGGTTCCGACGTCCCACAGGACGACATCGCCGTCCTCGCTGGCGGCGGCGACAAACGGCCGAAGCGGTTGGCGGACGGGACTGGCGTCGTCTTGGCTGGCGGTCGGGCCGACACTCTCGAGCACGCCAAAACAGCCGCCGATGGAGAAGGCCTTGTTCAGATGGCCCTGGTACGTCTTCTTGACGATGCTCGGCTGGGCGACGTAGTCCCACAGGCGAACGCACGAGTCGAGGTTAAAGGCCAGAACGTAGCGGCCGTTGGGCGAGAAGCACACGTTCGACACGGCCGGGTTGTCCTCGTCGATCAGCAAGAGCGTGCGCAGACACTGGCCCGTGGCCGTGTCCCAGATGCGGCTGGGGGTGTTAGAACTAGACGGAGGCAGACCGGTAGGTAAGAAGACTCACATCAGACCGTCGGTCGAGCAGCTGACGACCAGCGTGCCATCACAGCAGAAGCCGATGCCGCTGACAGGATCGCTGTGGGCGGGCAGGCTGCGCATCAGCCGGCCAGCCCGCACGTCCCAGAGGAAGACGGCCTCGTCATAGCTGCCGCTGGCGAGGATGTTGCCCTTGGGTGAGAAGGCCAGACAGTAGACGTAGTTGTGGTGTCCGAGCAGGGGCAGCCGCGAGCCGCGAGCCCCGCCGGCGCCGGCGCTGTCGAGTCGGCTGCTGCGCGCATAGTGGCTAGCCCGCGTCCGGGCGGCGGCGGCCGTGCGGCTGCTGGGTGGATTGCCATGGCCCGCATCGACCGGACCGTCCGGCCGGCCCTCTTCTTCCCAGCCGCTCGCCGGCTCGCCACCACCACGCACCAGCGCGTGTGCCGGCTCGGCTGTCACGCGGTCCCACAGCCGGATCGACTTGTCGTCCGACCCTGTCGCCAGCGTGTTCGAGTCCGGGCTCCAGGCCAGACACGACAGCCCGGCTAGGTGGCCGACCAGCGTGGTCATGTGCGTCCCTGTGGCCGCGTCCCAGATCCGTGCGGTCGCGTCCGCCGACGCCGACGCGATCCATTGTCCGTCCGGCGAGATCCGCACCTGCGACACCGCGCCCTCGTGGCCGCGCATCGAGAACACCCGCCGGTAATGCGGCCGCGGCGAGGACGTGGACCGTCCGTGCAGCACGGATGGTGACGACCGCACGGGCGACTGTGACTGTGACCGAGACGCTGACCGCTGTCGTGACCGTGATCGCGATCGCGATCGAGACAGCGAACGATAGGCCGACCGCGACGCGGCTCGTGAGCCCGACTCCGTCTCGTCGCGCGTCTGCGATCGCGACTGTCGTGGCCGTACGGCCCCTGCCAGCTGGGCTGACGGCGAGTCTGTCGACTCCCGCTCGCTGTCGACCTGTTGATCCTCCTTCTCGTCTTCCCCTTCGTCTTCCTCTCTCTCCTCTCTCTCTCCTCCTCCCTCTCCCTCCTGCCGCGAGGCCCGCTGCCACTGTCGCCCGCCTCGTATCAACAGCGTCTCGCCGTGCTTCTTCGCCGCTCCGCTCGCCAGCTCTTCTGCGCTCTCGTCACCCTTGACACCGCGCATCTTGCGCCGCTTGGCCGGCCGCTCGGTCGCTGCCGCCGTCTTCACCGGCGCCATTTCTCGTTTGCAGACAATCTCGACAACAGCCGGCAGTCACTACCGTTTCGCACGTCCGGAGAGGGCCGGCGGAAGGCCAAAAGGGTCGCTGTCTCGTCAAACGGTGGCCACGCGATGGCCTCAAGACGGAGTCGCGTTCACTACCAAAAATAGACCAACAGAATCACTGGCCCTCTCTGCTTGCTTTTTGCGGGGACCCTTTTCCCAACGCCCGCAGTCACATGGCACGCCATCGACTTCCTGGGCCTGGCCGTCTGATTGGCTGGCCTGATCAGCCGCTCCTTCTGGCAAGAGCCTCTCCCCAGCTTCTTTACTCCGTTCCGCTTTCACGTCCTCGACGCCAGATGGGCTCACTCTCGTCCAGGATTGCACGTCTGCCTCTTGCCGCCTCGAGCCAGCTTCCTGATGTGCCTTCTGCAGCCGCTCTCCGGCTCCATCCGTTGTACACTGGTCTTGACCGCCTGCGCTGCAGCTTGCCGGACAACAAGAGCTCCCCCTTGCAGTGAACAAACCAAACAATCGAAGCGCTTGAAACGGACAACTGCTCGCCTCCAGTCATACAATCCGAGTCGTCTTCTCTACATCGACGTCCCGGCTGAGAATCGCCCACAATAGCCCCTCGTAACATCAGCAGGCAACCTCACTTATGAATTCTTTGGTCGCCTTAGCAATCTTATCGATAACACTACCAGCTTTTTTCCCTTCTCCAGCGAACCAGCCTCGATTGACAGCCGACAAGATCCACTTCGACGCTGCCACGTCCAATCATGTCCCACTGTCTCCACCGCGCTTTCTGTCCATCGTAAGAATTTTCTGGGCCAACAACTAAAATCCACTTTATTTTTTTTCTGCCGTACAAAAAAAATATTTACATATATACTTGTAGCATTTTTCACCTCCTCCTCTCTCTCCCCTTTTCCTGCTCTCCTTCACCTTCTCGCTGCCCCTGCTACCGCATTGCTTCATCCTCGCCGTTCCCTTGCTCGGTCAAATTCGAAAGCGCGCTTCTTCAACCTTCCTAACCAAGACACAACACACAATCCCCTCCTTCACAGCTCAACAGACCACAATGTCTCAGCCTCAGGGAGTCTTTGGCCTCGAGGTGCCGCCTGGCGGCGTCCTCATCCCGGCTGTCCTGAACTTCCCGGCCACTGTACGTCGTCTCTATTACTCTGAATCCTGCTCCCTCACTCTCGGGGCAAGACCTGTTCCGTCCTGTTCACTGACTCTTCCAGATCGCCATCTCCATGGCTGCTATTGATCCCACCGCCGAGCCTGAGGCTGATGAGGAGGGCAACATCCCTACCACTGGCCGCTCTACTCTGCGCATTGTTCGCCGTCCTATTGATGACGAGAGCGACGATGAGGACGAGGAGGACGAGTACCTCCGCAGCATCCTTGCCGGCAGCGACGACGACGATGACGAGGACGACGACGAGCCCAACGGTGGCCCGAGCGACCCCTCCAAGTCTCCTCGCCGCAAGGACATCAAGGCTCTTCTTGATGCTCTTGCCGCCGAGAACGGTGACGATGACGAGGACGAGGACGAGGACGAGGAGATGGAGGATGTCGGCGCTACCAAGGGCAAGAAGAAGGCCAGCAGTGCCAAGGTATCCAAGCCTTCCAAGACTTCCAAGAAGGGCAAGGAGCCCGCTACCGTCGAGGACGACGAGGACGACGAGGACGAGGATGAGGATGACGAGGATGACGAGGACGACAGCGACGACGAGGATGTCGTCCTGGAGGACTTTGTTCTGTGCACCCTTGACACCGAGAGAGTATGTTGTTTTCTTCTATTTATTCTTGAGCACCCTCCATCCCGCTTTACGACCACTGCTAACACTGCGAAACAGCTCTACCAACAACCCCTCCAGATCGAGATCAACGCCGGTGAAACCGTCTTCTTCACCGTCACCGGCAGCCACGCCGTCCACCTGACGGGCAACTACATCGTCGAGGACGACGAGGATAGCGAGGACGAGGATGATGAGGACGACGACGACTACGACCTCCCGCCCGATATCGACCTGGAGGAGCTGGACAGCGAGGACGAGGACGAGCTTGACGAGCTCGACCTCATCACCGGCCGCGTCGAGGAGGTCGACGACGACGAGGTCGCCCCCAAGCTGACCGAGGTCAAGAAGGGCGGCAAGAAGCGCCCGGCCGAGGATGTCGCCGAGCAGACTCTTGACGACCTGATCAGCAAGGAGGCCAAGGGCGCCGAGACCAAGCTCAGCAAGAAGCAGCAGAAGAAGCTCAAGAACAACCAGGGCGAGGCCGTCGGTGTCCAGAAGCAGGAGGACGAGAAGAAGCGCGTCCAGTTTGCCAAGAACCTCGAGCAGGGTCCCACCGGCTCGGGCGCTAAGGACGCCAAGGATGCTAAGGACACCAAGGGCAAGACCGCTCTGGGCGTCAAGGTTGTTCAGGGCGTCACCATCGACGACCGCAAGCTGGGCTCCGGCCGTATCGTCAAGTCCGGCGACCGTGTCGGCATGCGTTATATCGGCAAGCTCGAGAACGGCAAGGTCTTTGACTGTATGTTTTCTCTCTCGTCTACTTTTGCCGCCATCTTTTCTCGCATCTGTTGCAGCAGCTAACTCGTCTCCAAACAGCCAACAAGAAGGGCCCTGCCTTCTCCTTCCGTGTCGGCAAGGGTGAGGTCATCCGCGGCTGGGACATCGGCATTGCCGGCATGGCCATCGGCGGTGAACGTCGTCTGACGATCCCGGCTCACCTTGCCTACGGCTCCAAGAAGCTGGACGGCATCCCGGCCAACAGCACCCTGATTTTCGACGTCAAGCTCCTGGAGATCAAGTAAAGATTCGATACGGTCGACATCTCCATCGTGTCGGGAAGGGTACTCTACCCTGTATTATTATGTCTCGTCTTTCTCATGCCGTTTCCCCCCATTGCCGCCGTCTCTGCTTTTGATGCTTTTTTGTTGGTCATAAAAAGGGTTGTTTTTGCTCGCCAGTCATGGCCGGTGGCAGCATTGTCTCTGCTTTTCCCCTTTCCTTTTTCCGGTTGGCAGGATACCAATCAGCGAGGATCCGGTCGCTGCTTTATTGTTTCGGCTCGGTAGCTGGATGCAGCTTAATTCTAGGCGAGGTCATCCGATCCAATTTGGGCGGCATGGATCAAGTCCAGTAAAGGGATAGAATTGGGGTCGTTGCGTGTTGAACGTTTGTGTGATGGAAACAAAAGCTTGTACCTTCTCTTGCGTACCTGCCAGATATGTCCTGGGTCGGAATAAAATAAATAACACATCTGCCTGCTGCACTTGATGACTGTTGCTCTGCCCTCTTCCTTCCCGATTGGCATTGCCGTCGGGGCAAGAGCAACCCGCAAGCCGGGAAGGGACGTGTTGACAGAAGACCAAAAGAATTGGAATTCAAGGCCGGGAACATCAACACCAAGACTTCTACCGCTGGCTTCCTCGAGGACAAGACAGTCTCCATTCGCATCGTCTGCACAACCTTGAGTGGCCTGACCCGTCATCCAAGGCCAGCACATACTTTGTTTCTCTTGTTGGTTTCTTGTACTCTTTGGTCCCTTCTACTGGTCGTTTTCTTCAGAATATTCTATCATATGCTAGCCCTTCATCTCTACCAATCTGGAGCACAGCAGTCCCTTCTTGTCTTCCTTTTTACTTTTCAGTATTCCTGTCTTTGTCGCCTCTCATCCGGTCCGAGGCTGTCCTCTTTGCATCCACAGTTGACCTCTCGGCCCGCAGCACTCACAAGGTCGTGACAGAAAGATCTTTGCCATTCTCCTAATTTCGGCCTTCTGCCCTTTCAAGTCCTTACATCTGCCCTTTTCTCTTGCCGGCGGGCCAGTCAGGACACCGAAGCTCCACACATCCAGAGCATGTGCTTCAATTAACTCGCCTTGTGGTATTGCTTTCATACATTATTCCCGGTACAAAGGTGAGATTGCTCATTGTAAGCCGCAGCGGACACCAACATCAAGATAATCGTCATGATATTCAAATGCCAACCCACAACGGCGAAGCTACAAGATCTGCTCGATACGTCAGTCGGCGATAAAGCTCTGGGTTTTGACATGCATGGGTCGAAGAACAGCAATAATGGCGCAACGGCACCCCCGTATCGCACTCACAGGCCTCCAGAAACGGTAAAAAATAGCCACCGTTGGGCCGAACGGCCGCCAAATCATGAGAGTGATGGAGCACACGTCGCTGTGAACAAAACACCAGACGTACTAATGCAGCCGCTTGCGACGAAGAGACATCAGTTATCACCCTTGATGACGGAGTCCAAGAGAATAGTGCCCCACGACTCACTACAGTCATCGCCCGATTCTCCTGACACGATGTCCACAGAAGGAACCAGTGGCGGCCGGTCTCCTATGTCTATATGCTATACCAACACGCCTCCATCTACCTGCAGCTCCTCGCCCAAAGATGACGGAAGAAATGCGGAGAAGGAACAGGAAGGCGAGCCCGTCGAGGAGTCTTTTCCAACTTGCGAGCCGGAAGTATCTGGTTTGCCTGGCAAGCTCTCTGCCAACTCCATGGTCTCTATCAAAGGATCGGTCCTAAGAAAGATGCAAAGTCACGGCAATCAATTTCGGGCGAGGCAACCTGCGGCATATGCTGCAACTGACGGAGGTAGAGCTGCGGCTCTTGTGATGGAAACGGCCACATTTTCGTCGAAGGACCTTGCAGTCATTCCCGAGATACCTGCATGCTCAAGCTGTCCGACAGTGGCTACAACTGAGTGGGCGGCGGCAGTAAAGATATATCTGGAAACTCAATACAACGAGCTATTCTCTGAGAATATATCACGCTCCGTGCGCCTTCATGCGTTAGAAGCCGAGCTTTACCACTCAAAAGGACTGAGAAATGAGGAAAAAGAAGACCGCCGAAGGACATTTTACCGCGCGGAGACCATCCATTTGCGCGAGGTTCGAGCTATGAAAGCGGCATGTTCGAGGTCTCTATCACGGAAATCCAACCTCGAAACGTCCTTGTCTGGTAAGGCCACCTGCGCCAATAATTTCGAAGGACTCAAGGTCCTTGGCAAAGGGAGTTTCGGTGTTGTCCGGTTGGTACGAGAAAAGACATCTGCAGGCGATGAGGCGACAGCGAACCACGGCAAGAAAACGCAAGTTTATGCCATGAAGGTCATACGAAAGTCGCAGATGCTCAGATCAAATCAAGAGGGTCATCTGCGAGCCGAGCGGGATTTTCTGGTTGCTTCTGACGGATCAAACTGGTCAGTGCCTTATGCGTCATCGTGATCCCTATTTTGGTTGGCTCTCTATTTCTGCAAGTGGACTGTGACTGATGTCTCCTAACAGGGTTATTCCATTGGTGGCCAGTTTTCAAGACTTCTCCAATTTGTACCTCGTCATGGAGTTCATGCCGGGTGGTGATTTCCTCGGTCTTCTCATCCGCGAAAACATGCTTGACGAATCGGTGGCCCGGTTTTACTTGGCCGAGATGATTCTCTGCGTCGAAGAAGCGCATGCGCTTCGTTGCATCCACCGAGACATAAAGCCAGACAATTTTCTGATCAGTGCCTCAGGGCACCTAAAGATTTCCGACTTTGGGCTTGCGTTTGATGGGCACTGGAGTCACAGCGCAGGTTACTACAACAGCATGAGATACTCTCTTCTGCGGAAGCTTGAAATCCGAGTCGAGGGAGATGACCAAGACAAGAAAAACGGAGACGATGCACAATCAACACGCTTGGAAATGGACAGCCTAGCCGCCACCGACAGATACGAGCGCCCCCCTGACGCTGACCAAAGCGAACCACTTCTCCAATGGCGCAATCGGTGCAACAACCACACTGCAGCAACAAGCGTGGTGGGAACGAGCCAGTACATGGCGCCCGAAGTAGTGAGAGGCGACAGCTACGATGGCCGGTGCGATTAGTGGAGCATCGGCGTGATTCTTTTTGAATGTCTTTTTGGCCACACGCCCTTCATTTCGGAGGAAGGGCGCAGTCAGACGAAGAAGAACATCCTAGTAAGTCCGGCGCGTTGGCAGCTGCCAAAGGATACGGGCGATAGTGGTGCTGTTCTAACGGGCGGTATAGAACCACCGGTATACATTTTCGATTCCCTCATGGCCACCTATTTCCCGGCGTTGCCAGCATCTCATATCATCTCTGATCAGTGACAAGTCAGAGCGTCTCTGTTCAAAGCGTTACTTGCTCAAAGACGCTGCAGCTTCTTCTCTGGCGTCCAGCTCCTACTTGCAGAGCATCCAGAATGGTCTTGGAGGCAGAAACAGCACTTGCATAGCAACTGAGATGGGTCTGGCTTGTCGTTACGTGTTTCCGTATGATGCCGAAGATATCAAGGCACATAAGTTTTTCAAAGGGATGCCATGGGAACGCCTTCATACGATGCCGCCACCGTTCATTCCGAGTCTTCGTTCGGAGCTCGACACACAATACTTTGATGAGGAAGAATCCATTTCTGACATGGAAGAAAGCTCACGGGCTTCTTCTCCGTCGCCAAGCGAGGGTGGCGATATGCCACAGAGGAAGGACACCAAAGCAACTGTGGCTCTGGAGGCGGACAAGATCGACATGCTGTGTGGAATTACACCGCTTGTGAGGGAAAAGGCTCTGGAGTGGGTGGCTACCCCGTACGATTCAGCTCGGATGAAGATGATCGAAGCCGAAGTCGAGCACATAGCGGCAACAGGTCTGGCGCTTGCAGATCGAGATGTACTATTGGAGTTCGTTCATCGCTTTGGAAAGAAGGAGCGCAAACGGCCGCGGGACAGGCTTCTTCGTGACCCCGAGACCAAAAAGGAAGTAATGGAGATTCGGAAGAGGACTGCTTTCTTGGGGTACACCTGGAAGCGACCGAGGCAGCCTGAAGTCACACAGGGAATGCAGACCAAGGATACAGAACATTCTGTCACCATGAGGGCTCTCAATCGGAGCCGGTTTTGGGCTCGACAGCCGGCCTGAGACCAAGAAGACGCGGGTGTGGCTTGCTGTAGAGGTCCTGCTTGTCGCTCTACGCTCGTCTCTCGACCCAGTATACGGGGAAGAAAAAGAATAAAGACAGAGTGCTGTGGCATCAATAGGTGGTATTATTATTATTAACTGCGATTATATATAAACATGCATACATATGTCCTGGCTAAGCGACACGTGAAAATTTCTAGACCTTTTCGCTACTTGGAAGCGAGGTCAGGCTTTCAGCAACGGCAGCTCTAGCATTGGAAACCTGCCAGCGAAACTCTTCCAGATTGCGAATTTCAGAGCCGAAGAAGAGGAGAGCTAGGAGGCCGTCGATGGCGCCGGCAGCAAGGCCGAGACTGCTGAGCAGCATGAGCAGGAAGGCGACGAACAAGCGGGGGACGAACCACATGGCGACATGGCAGGCTACGGCGACAAAGACGGCGGAAAAGAAGTGGACAGAGCGCCAAAACTGCTGGCGATGCTCGCGGGCGATGTAACGGTCAATCTCAGCCAAAACACTATTGTAGACGTCGACGTCGGCAGTTTCGTCGGTCCTGCCACTTGCATCGCTATCCTGGCTGTTGAACTCGAGGGCCAGTGTGGCCTCGACGGCAAAGTGATCGCTCACAGAACAGCCCAACGTCGGATGAGGCTCAACCATGGCGACACGTGCCGTCTTCACAGTCCAGCTGTGGTAAATGGATGAGGAGTCAGCATTTGGTGGTATTGGTGGAGACGACATGTAGAAGATGTAATCGAGACGCTTTCCACACGGGTCGGGCGTGTCTGGGGCGATGTCAAACTCGTCATTGTGGACAGCCGAAGAGGGTCCTGGTGGTGACATATTGCGGAAGCTCTGGAGGAGGCGTTTCTGCTTGTCCTTGGGCCATCGCCAGGTGTTGAGCACGTTGTCGGACGTGGCGCCGTTTTCGGTCAGATTGAAGGCGGCCGTAGGGACAGTGATCTGTGCTGCCGTGGCGGCGGTGGTCTGCAACTTTTGGCGGGCCTGTTTGGCCAGACAGGCAGCAGGGCCGAAGGACGACTGCGGGTGCAGCACGCGCCAAGAGTCGAGCAGCTGGAGGCTGGGACTGGTGCTGGCTTCTGCACGGGCGCCGAGCTGGAGCATCTGGTACGGCAGCGACTGCGGGAGCATGTTGAAGTCACCCACAGCGACGACGAGGCGAGCAGACAAGCCCAAGCCGCCGCGTTCGGCCGCAGCAGCCGCACGCCTGCCCATCTCCCAGGTCTGGGCCAGCTGATGGGCCAGGTACGAGTCGTCGGGCCGGCCGGCCTCGTAGGGTGCGTGGGTGTGGGTGACGAGCACGTCGACGACCAGCCGCGGACTGACGCGCACTGTGGCGCTGGCGATGCCCTTGCCGACGAACCAGTCGCCGCGCCAAAAGGCCGTTGGCCGTCCGTTGAGCGCATATGCGTGCATGCTGGCCTGCGTGATAGGCCAGCACGAGAGTACCGCCAGGCCCGCGCCCCAGACCCCGCTGCGGAAGAACTTGCCATGCGGCAGCACGTCGCGCGTGAGCGCCTGCACCGTCTCAAAGTCTGACTGGCACCAGCACTCTTGCAGCGCCACAATCGAGACGGGCGGCCGAACGGGCGAGCTAGGATCTGTCGAGCCTGTCGGGTCCGGTGCGTCCGGCGCTGCTGCCAGCACCGCTAGCCGCCGTCCGATCTCGGCCAGCCGCTCCTCGCGGAACGCCGAAACGAACTTGAGGCCCCAGCAGTTGAGCGTGAGCACCGTGATCGCTGAGGGGTCATCCATCGCCAGGCCTGCGCGGGTGCTGGTCCCTTCTTTGCTGCTTCGCGGTAAAAAGACCGTGTCTGTCGATCCGTCTGCTGGAGTGGCAGGGCGATCAGATGACGAGAGGGAGAGGGGAATAAAGCCGAGACTGTTCACAGGATGTGAGGCAATTGAAATGAGAAATAAAACATCATCTGTCGATTTGTATTTGGAACTGCATATCCCCTCCTTCGTGCCTTCTCTCTTCGGAAAGCAACTGCAGTTTCCAGCACAAACAAAGAAAGAGCAATGGCCGCACCCCTGCCGCACGCTGCGCTATAAGCTGCTTTGCCATCCACTCTGTCACGTACGGCCATAGATACTGGAAAGCACGGGATCCCGTCCGCTCTCCCCTAGTTAAACCAGTAATCGGCGGATTAGTAGTTGGGTCGGTGACGACCAGCGAATACCCGCTGCTGTACGTTTTTTTTTTTTTCAATCCATGATTGCGATCCACCATGGTTCCAACGCTTGGCCATCATGTCAATCATCGATTCATCAATTGCTGCTTATCTTTTTGTTCCGTAAGGCTGAAGATTATGTAACCATTCATTCTAGACAATGCCTTTCTTCGTACTCATTATTTTAATGGCATTTGTTGTAAAAGGACCCCAAGAACATCTTTCCAACTGTATGTCTACTTTGCTATCAGGTTTTATAGGTTAGTCGAAAGTCGGATTGCTTCCACGCCCACCTAGCCTTCACGTTGTTGCATCGTATAACTGGGTCTCCTCTAACCGACGACTTGTCATGACTCGAGCTTCATATTATAAGTACCGCGGGGCTTTGAGGTGAAATATGGCTGGTAGAAAGTAAAGTAGTATTGATGTTGTGTCACAGGAGAGATCCATTTGAGAGGCGTGGATGCCTTCAAGAGTGTGTTACATATGGCGACAGTATGGGAAATGCCCTTTAGTAGAGAAAAGTACGCGAGGATATGAGAGAAAGGCGTCGATAATGAAACGAGAAAAACGGGTTATGTAGCCTTGGTTATGTCTTCCGCAGACCCTGATTTTGCCCGTTGGCGGGTTGCTTTTTGGCTCACGGTATATACCAGATCCACGGTCCAGAAATGACTGAACTGTGCCAGTGCGCCCGGAAGTGCGCCATAGACTGGGGCTACCAGAGGAACCATGAAGTAATCAATGCAATTTCTCTTTAGGCTGCGATGAGAGAAATTCATACCCTCAGCAAGGCCGACATTGTTCATTTCCTTTTCGCGGATGGAGAGTGCGATCTTATGGTAGCTCTCGTACAAGAAAAGGTAGAAGGCCACTTCAATGAAGCCAAAGGTCCGGAGGCCTTTGCATACACTGAAAATCCAGTTGACGCCGTGGATGTCTGGTGTGCCGTCCGTCACCCACTTGTATGCGGCCGAGGCCAAGATCACACCGGTCATCTGGACAGGCAAAAAATGAGCTTCGAAGAGCCGGTGGAGCAAATAGAATATTCTCTGGTAATCGGGTCCCTTAAGAACGCCGTGGGTGACATCGGTAAAGCTACCGGCCCTGGCGGCATCCTTGGGGCTCCCTTTGCTTTGCCGGGCTGCCAGTCGAACTTCAGAGGCAGGTTCATGCAGCGGTCGGAACGCACAAGAGGAGCGTTCCCTGTTCTGCCATACCTCAATCACCTTGTACAGTGCAAAGCCTGTATCTAGTGCTCCCCACATGTGCCGCAAGGCTTGCTTGTACCGCGCGCCCATGTCCATCCGAATGCCAATCACACCCTTGCCAAACCCGCCGGCCGTGACGTTGCTTTGGCTGATAGGACTGAGAACGGTTCGCACGGTCAGGTTGCCGTTGAGGGCAAAAAAACACTTGGTGTACATGTGCAGGTCTTCGCCGATGGCCTCGGAATTGCAATCCCAGCCGCCGACCCAATCGACAAGCTGGAGAGGTAACGAGTACACAGACGTAGGCGGGGCAATGGTAGATCCCCGATACAGGCCGGAGAGACCGGCAGCACACTAAAGAATATCGGCAACACGAACTATAGCGGGAACACGGTCGGCATTGCGGTCGAAGATGATTGGAGCCGCATATAATGTGGTGGTGGCAGTTTCTGGATAGGCCTTGTGCATCATGGCAACCAAAGCAAAGTAGTTGGACAAAAGGTGGCTGTCGGCTGCACCGGGAACCATGGTTAGCACTGCTATCAGCCAAGGTCAATGGGGTGGATGAGAGCTCACCATCGATTCCGGTGACAACAACATCCTTGCGACAGGCGATGGGGTACATTTCGCTCAATTTGCGAGCAGCCCAATTCACATTACTGCCCTTTCCAGGACAGTCACCGGGAATGCCGGTAGGGTGAATGGTGAAGTCGATAAAACGAAACTTTTCAGCGAACTCTTTGATGAGTGACAGGGCTTTCACGTCCGCATCGGGTTCTCGCTGCTCCATGGCCAAATATATCTATAGATGGAATCATGTCAACCAATGGCAGGGCACTTCTCAAAGCGGCTTCACTCACATCGTATCCACTGCGTGCTCGAGGGTGAGATGCAAGCACATCGAGCGTCTCCCGAAGAGTGTCCATTTCTTCTTTGTAATTTGGAATGATGATGGCGTGAATGATATGGTCTAAACCCGTTTCACTGTTTTCGTACAAGTTGGACTTCAGATCGCCGGCTCCGTTGCTCGCGCTCTGAGAAATATGAGACAGCCGTTGAGTCTTCAAGCTGGATAGTGGTGCAGGTGAGTTGTGACGGAGTCGAGCTACCTCATAGTCCACACATGTCTTGCCCTGCGCGGTCGTACGTAAAGAACTGGTGAGATCCCAGATAGCCCAGCAGGCACGCAAAGGAAAAGCTGTCACCAGAACATGGATAAACAGGCAATACCACGAGAAGACAACGGTCAGGATACCGGTACCGTTGGGCGAGTATCGTGAACCATCCGGATTGTCTTCTAAATTGTAACTGTAGCCGTATCTCGATACGAACTCCATGGACAATATTAAGAAGCTCAGCAGGGCGAGAGACACCATTGCTAAGCCTCCCAACCGCTGGGCGCACCACATGAAGAAGGGCATTGCAATCGAGTACTGATGCTAGACTAAAGGGGTCTTTTGAAGCCGTAGGAGGGAGGATTAATGATATTTGTAGGCCGAAGAAGAGGTAATATCTCGAGCTGAGTGCTGGACGAGGCGGTCGTATTTGATCAGGAGGAAAGGCCGGCGACAATAGGGAATAAGGCTGTTAATAAGTATGCTTCCCATAGCCGAATATCGGCTGAATGGGATGAGCAGTTCGTCTATGCAGTATGATGAGAGAAATCACCGACCCAACAAATGTAGCGGAAAGAGGTATCAAAAACATAGAAAAGAAGGGAAGGCACGATTGAGCGCTTTGTACAAGAGGAAGGAGGACAGCCAGAAAGAGACAATATGTCAAAAGAGGGGAGGGAACTAAATTGTGTAAGCGTTTTATATATTACTTGTAGTCTCAAAAAAAAAAAAAAAGGCAGTGCAACAATGAGGAGTAATGGAAAGGCAAAGCAACAAATTAATAGGAGCATTTTGTCTGTTCAGTACAAATTTGGTTGCTACATTTTAGTGAGTAGTATTTGCCAGATTGACGACGTTTTCATATCAGACGTCTTTAGTAATCTAACAGCACCTTTGCTTTCTACGGGATGAGACTACTGTGGGCGAAAGCCGCGGCAGCCTCTTACCAAAACGACCGAATAGAAGAGGATGACAGATTGTGACAAGTAACAAGAGAGGAGCCTCTTTGTAGGTGAAATTTCATTGTATTATCTATTCTTGTTCTCGGACTTCTTCATTGCTTGGCCTGCTTCGTCTGCGGTCGAGCTAAGAAGAACCCATTTTCAATCCTTAAGAAGAGAGGAAGCAAAGTCAGATCAGGCAGGACCTACTATGTATGCCCCCATTAAAACAAAGAAAACGGCCAGGACGACTCAAGACTGGAAGACTGGACATATGTATTCCTTTGTTTTGCTGTTGAAAGTACTGTATTCGTATCGTCTGATAAAATAAGCTGCTCGTGGGAGTTGTTGTCGAAGACGGAGAGATATAAAGATGGAAACAGCAGTTGCTATTCTGCCTCGTTGATACGGCATTGTAGACTTCGCCCCATCGCATATCGGGTTCCACCTAGTCGAGTAATACCTTTTGCCTAGCTCAACGTTTTTACTCCCCTGGCGCCACTAGTGCTCCTTCAGCCTCGCTGATTGGATCTTCTGCCTCGTGGTCTTGTTGATTTGCTCTGCTAGCTCTTCTACTAGCTCTACCGCTAATGACAATGGCGCATATTGCCACAATTGCTTCACATTCCTCTTTCGACAAGCCGATGAATAAGCTCTTCAAATCCCTACTTTGGCGACTTGCTGGAATTGGCTGCGCAGCCTCTTTGGCGATGTGAATGCCTACTGCACAGCGACACCGGCTTTTGGGTGTTCTTTCCCCCTTCTTTTTGGACATACATCCGCAAGTACACCATACGTACTCCGTACCCGTACTCGTACGGAGTAAAGTAGTATTTTGATGATGCCACTGAGAACTTTAGCAGCCCCCGGAGGGGAATACCCGAGCCGGAAATTCGGCTGTTTCAAGGTCCCAGCGTTTCCTTGTCCGTGGAGCCAACGTCACTCGACCTACTCCGTACTCCGCGTATCGAGGGAATAGTTGCGAGTGATATTGGACCCCACTTCATCCAGACCGCTTCCTCGTCTTCAGCAGGTGCACGACTAGGGAACTGATGCTTTGCACTGATTCACCGTGATTGCAAAAGTGGACCTTTGCACCTGTACTCCGTATTTTAATCTGCTAGCCAAATCTCCTCTCTATTGGGCTGTGTCGGCTGCTTCTGACATGAGCACCTAAATCCTGGTCTATGTGACCTGCATTCCGCGCGGCAAGTCCACCGACTGGACGACCGAGCACCGAGTAGTGTGGCACCACTGCTCACGCACGACAGACATGCGTTGCTCTTATGCACTGCATGCAATAGGCCAGTGATTTAACCGCAAATGCACTTCGAGTCGTTTGAAGCAACCTTGAGCTCGTTATAAGAGCAGAAGCCCAGGTTTGTCTCGCCTCGCCTTTCCGGGGAGACGAGAGCAATTCCGTGTACCGTGTATCACACTGGATCTAAGCTGCGCGCCATCTCCAACGGTAGTGATATACGAATCCATGCATCTCTAAATCGTGATGCCGAAACTGTAGAGTGCGGGTCCATAGGCACCATGAAGAGCATCGAGGTTCGTACGGAATACAGTAAAAGTGTTAAGTCGGGCATAGCCCACGCCTTGTCGCTTCTGCTAGCACAAGCACCTAAGCGTTCTTGTCGAAGAGGTTCTGAATGGGCTTGGCAGCCTTGAGATACAGTTAGTAAATGGGCCAAGCAAACACAAAGGCGGTGCGGACTGACATCGATGAACTTCTCCAGATCCTTATCCAGATTGGCCAAATCCTCTTTCCGCTTTTTGTTCTCGGCAATCAGCTTAAGCTTCCTCTTCAGAAGCTCGTTCCGCTGCTGCTCGAGAGCCTCGCGCTCCTGCTTCTCATGCGCAATCCGTGCTGTCATCAGAGCGACCTCGTCATCGTCCGCATGCTCCGGCTGCGCTTCCAGAAACTCCTCCACGGAGATGAGGGGCAGATGCTTGTACGAGTGACTGTTCGGTTGAATTCATTAGAGCCGCCGCCTACCTACAGTGGGGGGGGGGGGAGAGGTGTGCTAACGCACTCATAGTTTTCGCAGGCGGAAATCTCGCCCTGGAGGTGCCGCTGCTCGTAATAAAGGTTCTGAAGCTGGAGATGCAGTCTGTCCACCTCTTGCCGTGCCTCCGCTGTCTGGGCTTTGGTGTCGCGTGCAGTGAAGCAAGCCGCCCGGTGTAGGCTCCGCAGCTGTGCGATGTTGGCTGTCAGCCGCTTCTGCTGCTGGGAGATCTCGATAAGGCGGTCGTTTCGCGTAGCCGTATCCCCAGGCGGGGGCAGTTCTGTCGATGCGGCGTTCTCTGCAGCCAAGTTGACAAGCGCCAAGGCTTGCTCCCGTGCCTCGATAGCCGCCTCTAGCAGGGACACGAGGCCGGGATCGGATACGATCGAGTTTGCCATTGCGGGTAACCGAGGTGATGGCGATGGAGGCTATCACAGGTCATTGATGGATGGAACGGCAAACCGTGAAATTCAATGGTCTATTACGGAGTAAACCATGTGGCTGTGTGGCTGGCTGTGGCTGCCGTGGCGACTAGTGGCGACCAGTGGCGGCTCAAATATAAAATGGACCCTTCTTGTGTTGAGCTCACATGACTTGAATTGGGTTCGTACGAAGTAAAAACCGAGCTTCGGCCCCACTGTAAAGTAAGTATGCATGAGATCCTCTACAACCATTGAGGGGCAGGCAATTCATGCAGTACACGGTGCCCACTAAAGACAGGAAATCAGCCGGGATTACCGCCAAAGGCAATAGTAATTTCCTTGGTGAGCAGCTCTCAACCTAATAGCATCCGGAATTTCTCGAAGCACGCTGTCCATCCGCCGGCTTGTCGGATTATGACACCAAATAGACAGGTTGGTATATCTGTTTCACTCTGCGTCATTTTCCCGCAGGAGCAGCGCTTCCGACTCGCCTCGTCCGCTCCTTTGCATATTTCGCCTCCTCAGCGCTCTTGGTCATTGTCGTTCAGCAATATATCCGGTGACCTATCAGCTTGCGACTTTCATCTGCAAACATTCCCCCTTGGATGCGCTCCTTCGTCAGCCGCATATTACGAGACGCCGGGATTCCTTTCGACCTTTCGGCCTTCCAACCAAATACTATGAGGGGTAGTACTCGCCATTTCCGCAATCAAATTTGAGAGTTTCTCTGCACGGCCGCCCATTTGTTTACCGAAAGAGCAACATGGACATTTCCAACAAAGTTGCCCTGAACTCCTCCTTCTCCTGCAATCCGCTTGAGGGAGGAGTCGAGGCCAAGACGACGGGCTCACAACAGGCAACCGAACAACGCCCGATGCGTAGGCGGCGTCTCTCATCCTTCAGTCGACCCAGGCGAAAGTCGATTGTGAATCAGATCATAGACAGCGAAGAGAGCCTGCTTCTGAAGGTGTGTATGTCTCGGCCGAGGGGATGAAGACAGGGCTAATGTGAAGCCAGCTGGATGCGTTCCTGGGCGAGCTCGAACAGCGATTCGAAAAGTTCGAAACCTACGGCGAGTTGACACTCGATTCCAGCATTGCTCGGGCATACCTGACGCTACAGAGCGTGCGGACACGATGCTCACACGTGTCGGAAGAGGTGATCGGGGCCGGCCGGCGAAGGCTGCAGATCATGGTTGAGACGCTGGAGACACGATACCAGGAGGCCCTGGCGGCGGCCGAGTCGCTCAACGACAAGGCGCGGGTCAGCATCGAGCTGCTGGACGACATGCTAGCAGATTTTGAGACGTACGCAAACAAGCTGCGCGAGCGGAGCATGGCCAACGCAGCCGACGCAGCCGGCATGTTGATGGACGAGAGCCGGCGCGTAGTCGACGGTGGGATCGGGCGAGCGCGCGAGGTGGTGGACGAGAGCCTCGAGCGGGCCAAATGGGCAGCCGGTACGCTCGAGGAGCACATCCAGCACGCGATTACGAACGCACGACAGCACGGGCTGCTGCACTACGAAGAGCTGCCGACGCCATGGCGCATCAACCCACACATCCTGCGCGGTTACCGGTTCAGCGAGACCAAGGTGGCCTGCTTCCGGTCCATGTTTCGCGTGTCCAACGAGCTGGTCAACATCTGGTCGCACGGTCTCGGCGTGCTCGTCGTCCTGGCCATCGCCTTCTACCTGTACCCGACCAGCGTGACGTTCCACCTTAGCACCAAGACGGACGTCTTCATCGCCGCGACCTTTTTCTTTGCCGCCTGCCAGTGCCTCGTCTGCAGCACGATCTGGCACACGATGAACTCCATCGCCGACGCCGACCTGATCTCGTCGTTGGCCTGCGTCGACTACACTGGCATCAGCCTGCTCGTGGCCGCTTCCATCATGACCACCGAGTACACGGCCTTTTACTGCGACCCCGCCAGCCGCTGGATCTACATGGCCACCACTGCCTTCCTTGGCATCGGCGGCGTCGCCCTGCCGTGGCACCCCTTCTTCAACCGCGCCGACATGGCCTGGGCTCGCGTTGCCTTCTACGTTGGTCTGGCCGCCACCGGCTTCCTGCCCCTGCTGCAGATCTCCATGACGCGCGGCTTCTCCTTTGTCTGGGAGTTCTACCTGCCCATTACCAAGTCGCTGCTGGTCTACCTGTCCGGTGCCTGTGTCTATGCCAGCAAGGTGCCTGAGCGCTGGTGGCCCGGCATGTTTGACTACATTGGCGGCAGCCACAACCTCTGGCACGTGGCCGTCCTCGGCGGCATCCTCTTCCACTATACCGCCATGCAGCAGTTTTTTTCCAACGCCTTCCGCCAGGCCCAAGACGGCTGCCCGTCGTACTAGACATGTCGCCGACCACTCGATACACATGCTCACGCGTTACGTTTTGATTCCGTTCGTCGCCGATGATAGCCATATTTTAGCGTTTGTTTTCTCCTGTCCGTCCCGGAGCATATGACTTGGAGTTATGTGTCTGTCCTGTTTCGTTTAGGAAGCCGGGCAGACTTTCAAAAGCGGCCTGTCCTTAAGCCGGCTTCAACCTAGACATAGGTACACTATCATAGCACGAATTTAAGCCTATGAGCAAACCTGAGCATGCCGGACGAGGAGAGTGTGCCAATATGTAGGTGCCATGCCATACTGCTTTTATTGGACTGAATACTTGTACACGTCAAACCATGAAAACCATTAAATCCAGTCGTGACCAACTCATTTTTTCCCTCTGAAACCGTGGATGCGATACATAATACATAATACACAGCATGCACGCCAATTGTCCTCGGTAGCATGCTGAACCAAACGTGTGCCCACAGCAGTTTCCGTTGCTGGGGCCTGTAAGTAGTAAAACAGAACGAGGTGGGCGGGAGTGCTGGCCTGTATATTGAGCACTCCCCCACCTGTGGAAACAAAAGAATGAGCCTTTTCATAGGTCGTAAAGTCACGTGCACCTCGTTGCCTCATTGAGCGTGGTTGACAATCTCGGTGTACACATCTGCCGGAAGCTTCCGAATGATGGTCAGCGTGACGCCCTTGATGGCGTCGGCCTGAAGGGTCGGAAACGATCTCAGCAGCTTGTTGGGACTGTGCACATGTTAGCAGCCGATGCTAACACAGAGAGAGTGAGAGAGAGAGAGACAACGGTGAAAACGAACCTAGGGCTGGTCAAGATCTGACTCCGAATCAACATCAGCTGCGCAACGATGCAGAGGATGTTCAGATGCGGCCCGTACGCAAACAGAAAATCCCAGAGCCGCAGGACCTCGGGAAGTGGCGGCGTGCAGGCGCACAATGTCAAGACCGAAGGGAACGCGTAGATCTCGGCCGTCAGATTCTTGGAGAGAAGATACAGGCTGAGCTTGGAGTCGACGATAGCCAACACCTTGTCCACGAGTGCCAGGCCCTTGTGCACGCCGTCCATGGCACCACGGATGTATCCAGGGCACTCCTTTGTCAGAAGGTGGTGGAAGGCAACAAAGGCCTCGGCCTCGCTTCGTGCAGCATAGAGGAACGGCGCAGCGAGGACGTTCATGCCCTGGACATAGGTGCCTGGCTCAGCCGAGACGCTGCTCTCGGAGCCTTCCGTTGTCAGGGTGAGGGCACGCGCCCGGTTCTTAGCGGCGGGCGACGTGTTGGTCGACTTTGGCGTCACGTCGACGGCGCCAGCCGGGCCCCTGGTTGGCGTCTCGTGCATCGGCTGCACGGCTGGCAGAGACTTGCGGGTCGACGGTGGTGGTGCCAGGGGCTGCTTGGGGTGTTTCTCTTCGCGCGAGTCGTGGAGCTTCCAGGCGATGGCATTGAGCAGCCGGATCAGGCTGGCTTCGCTGACGCGCCGGCGGAACAGCGGATCGGTAGTGAGCGTGCGAAAGGTGTCGTTGCGGATCTTGGAATAGGCCGGCGACGCGCCGCGATGGATGAGCGCGAGATAGGCGTCCGTTTCGAGGACGGGACAGTCGAGGAGGATAAGCCACGCATATATGCGAGCAGAGGACTGTGCACGCGAGTCAGCCGGAGCCTCTACGAGAATTGCAGACGACAGCCTTACCATGCCGTCGCTGTCGCTCTTGATGCCGATCTCGAGAATCTTCCATCGCAGGTTGTTCAGCGCGCCGACGACGTCGCCATCGGGTGGCCCGTCGCGAATCAGCCGGTCGAACGAGAGCGAGTCCAGGGCGGGCGACCGTCCGAGCAGCGGCCGACGGCTCGGCGTGGCCGCGCCCGTGCTGATCTGCTGCAGGCTCGTGGCGTCGCTGTTTGCCCGTCCTCGCTGGGGCGAGCGATTGACCCCGCCGGTGTTCCTGCGCGTCGGCGATGTCGACCGTTGCTGCTGCTGCTGCTGCTGTTGTTGTGACGGCGGCGGCGCATTCTGCTGGTACTGCAGCTGCTGTGTCCGCTGTTGCGAGAGGATGGACGAGATGTTGCCGACTTTGGCCCCCAGGTTGTGTGCAGACTGGAGCTTTCTAAGCGTCCTGTGGGTGCTCGGCGACGGAGGAGGGTATAATGCTATCGGTGGGGCGAGAGACGGTATGGTCGGCATGGCTGACATGGACGGCAGCGAGTCTCGCGCTGGACTCGGCATCGTGGGCGATTGATGGACGTTGACTTGCAACCAGCCAGTCGCCTAATTCGCAGCATGCAGCCAAAGCAGACAACCACTCCGTATCCAGCGAGACAAGGGGGAAAAAGGCAGACAACAACACAATACACGCAAGGGTGAGATCGCTGCTCTCTAGTCTCCCTGCGACACGCGGCTACAGCCTGTAGGGGATATATTTTTGGCCCTCGGCGGTGGAGTTGCCTTCGGTGGCTGGAGGCAGATGCTTTCCGGATGGCTGGCCGAATGCAAGACGTCGCGTTTTTTCGTGATAGCGCCGCGTAAATATAAGCTTTAGTGTCTCCCCGCTGTTGCCTTCAATGGAGGCTGATCCTTAATAGGAAAGACCGTCCTACGCTACAGTAGGAGCCTGCTCTGTGCGAGTATCTACTTGTACTCTGTACGAGTAAGTTGTTAGGGGAAGCGGCAGTACAGAGTACAAATGTCTTGCCATGCTAAATGCGAAACTCCCATCGTATCCGTATCATGCTTGTGTTTACGGAGTATGGGCAACGCCGTGACGTCTGACCTCTCGCGCCTCCTCAGCCAGTCCGTGATGGGCAAACGGCAAAAGCCCATACACAGTCAGGGGAATCACATGATCTCGCATGCAAGATATCAGGAGGTACTGCAGCTGACTATGTGTAATAAATAGACCTTGCGGTACCTTGAGTTATTGGCCTCCTAGTACTCCGTATATCTCCTGTCTTGTTTATATGGGTCTGTGCACGCCTCCTGATTGGACAGCTCACTCCAACATCGCGTGCCCCGCCACCTCCCACTCGTTCCCCGCCTTTCTCATTCTTCTCCCTCTTTCTCTTAACATCTTCTTGTCTTCCATTATCAACATCTGGAACCGCCTCTCCAAACCAACCCCGAAAACACATCAGCTTCAAGAAGCAGAAACAGCCCATCACACACACCCCATACACGTACGTTCGCTATCGTCTACGCGTAGTCACGTGCGTTTTCCCGCGCTGTTCTTGCTAACGTCAATTTTGCCTCGTTTTCAGAAAAACTCTTCCCCAAGTCTCGCAGAGAAAGCCGAGTTGATGTCAATCGAAAATCTCAAGATCAATGGTACGTGTGTCCTGGACTCTTATGGCATATCCCATACGCCACGTCTGGCCTACCAGCGTCTCCGGCACCCTCCAGTTGAGCTAATCGTGCGGCATTTGAACCACAGATCCCTTCGCCGACGCCGACGAAGATACCGGACAATCGCAGGCCAACAAGCAGGAGTACCTCCATATACGCATTCAACGTACGTCACGTCTCCTTCACTGGAAAGAGCGCCGGATTTGCGGTCTTCGCGAGACGAACGCGTTGAGCATCCCGACCGCTCAGCTAGACTATTAAGGGGTTGCTGACATCTCGGGTTCTACAGAGCGCAATGGACGCAAAACCTTGACCACAGTCCAAGGCATTCCCCCCAAGTTTGACCACAAGGTAGGTTATTCGATAGGCCAGCTAGCCACACTTCCAGCCTTCATTTCACGCGTCATTTTCAAGCTCCGTCGGTCTTTGATTTGCTAACGCGCCATATAGAAAATCCTCAAAGTCATCAAGAAGGTTAGTCTTTTGGTTGTTTCTCTACGTTTGATTGCACTGAGGACTAGAGCTGACCCCAACATAGGATTTCGGTTAGTACACCTCGACAGAAGCTGGACATGAATGACTCGGTATGAAGCTAACCCCTATTATTAGCTTGCAATGGAACGATCATCTCCGCTGCGGAGTCCAAGGGCATGGGCGAAGTGATTCAGCTCCAGGGCGACCAGCGCAGCAAGATCCGTAAGCATGTGTCCGCGACAACAGCAGCACAACCGCCATGACTGACTTACTCGACTAGGTGACTTCCTTATCGACAAGGATAATGGACTTGGTCTCGATGAGAAGACCATCAAAGTCCACGGCTTCTAAACAGCGCCACATCCTGTTTTATCGGTAGCCCATCCGCCGCCAGAGAACAGTTTCAAGAGCTTCTTGACGAACTGTTGCCGTTCTAACGAATACAGGCGAATGGTGCTGGCTTGACCACGCATCTTCCCTCCTCACCTCTTAGAGCAGGTTTGGAAGACGTGCTGGGCACGTTGACACGATAAGACCGGTGGGAAGGCTGATGATGAGAACTTCGTGACTGGTGTGTTCGGGACTGTTCGCTCGGTCCGACACCCTAGGATGAGTTCTAACGCGGCTTGTGGTGCGAGAGTCTTTTGTCCGATGAGAACTTATTTATCATAAACTAGAGGCTTGGCCTGCAGCGATTTTTTGTGTTGATACCCTACTTGACAATAACTCGGGGACAGTCGAAGTAGAAAATGGAACAGCAGTGGAAGCCGAACACATTCGCGCATTGGCCCATGTCGCCAGAGGCGCCGTCGCGGTACACTTGTGATAAAAGAATTAAACACCTGTCCGCCAAGAGAAGGGCGTGAGCCTTCACGAGGCCCCTACTCTTGGCGCTTATATTATGATATAAAGGGGTGCCACATCGGACTTCTCCGGGCAGCCGTGGGCTGGCTTCTTCCTTGACGACTCTGACCGAGTAGAACGCAAGGAGGGAAAATCGAATCTCGTAATGGCGCTCGAGACGATCCCACGACGATGCCTTTGCGATCAGCGTCCCCCACACAGGGTCGAAATAAACGTAATGCAGCCAAACAACGGCAGTTCGCTCGAGTGCTATACAAGGATCAGAGGCGGCTTTCCGTACTCGTACTCCGCACTTCGTTCTTGCTCGTTGTTCTAGCCAGATCACTCGTAAGAGAACAGCGGGACAACTTGGGTGCGAATCTCATGCCTATTCCGTACGAGTACAAAGTCCAGACAAGAAACTACAAGGGGTGGCCACCCAACCATGGAGTTGCCGACGCGTTTGAAGTTATAAGATACAAGGGTACTAATCGGCACTACGCTGTAGAGGCTAGACTTACTGCATAGCTCCCGCTGCAGTTGAGAGGTCCCGGTTCGTTGTCTGCTTGCGCGGGAGCCACACAAGTGGATGCCAATCTCAAGCTACAACTCATTGCTGAGCGGGAGGCAAGGGTCGCATTGTATAAATATGATTTGAATGAGATGGACGGGACTGTTGGACTGAACAGGCACAAGATGGGTGTGCCCGATGGAGGGAAAAGTATCTGCGGCTGGGCAATTTGACGATGATTCGACAACCAGCTGATCACGAACGGCTTGGCGCAACGCACGACAGGGAGAAAGGAACAAAGAGGCGTCGATAGGCCGGGATGCTAGCAAGGTGGTATCTTACGAGTACAAGAGAACAGAAGGGTCGAATGGTAAGCAGCAGCAGGACGATATTTTACATGTCGTATACCTCCGTTTTAGTCCCACCAAATAGCCCACTCGAGATGATGTCAATCGGAGCGTCGATGGCGCAAGAAGATTGGAGCTCTGTGATTGGATGCCTTGGACTGACCATTAAGGGTTAGTCGGGATTGGCGACTTATACCTACGCTACGGGCGCGACGGGAATGGGGGATGGCACGATGAGCGGACGAAAGCCAGTGCTAGGCCAAGCGGCATACCGAGCAATATGAATCTCACTTAGCTGTCTGTGCAGCTGCCACGATAAGTGACGCACCTGCTGCAAATTGGGATGCGAGACGCATGGCCGAGGCCCACACAAGGGACACAAGTACGAACGGCTCACGATGTCAGCTTCTGGAGGAACTGTGGTGGAGCAACTTGCAATTTTGATACGCGGCGCCAATGTCGAAAAATTGGCGAGTTTTGGGGGTACTTTGCCAGGTATGGGAAACAATTGCCATGCTGTGAATGAAGATGGAGTGCACAAGCATCTGGGCAATGATTCGTGGCCAGACACGCCATAGAGCAAGGGGCAAACTCGGCGAGGTCTTCATCCTGGCCACTGTACACTTTGGATATCTGGCATATGTCGCGTTTCTGCTCGACCATCGCCAATTCAGCCGCTGCACAAGCTATATACCTGTTGCGTGTGCGCTTGTGAAGGCGAGCACGGAGGCGAAGGAGGCGGCAAATGACAAAGAGCATTACAAGTCCATAGACATACCAAGTATTCTTTGACGTAGAAGACTTGTTTCCCGGTTATTATATGTGGGTCAAAAGGTACCTCCTTTGAATAGGTACAAGGGTTCACATCATCACCCAAGTTTGAAAAATCCCTTTAGACCTGCACTTACACGATGGCGCAATGCGAGCTAGCAAACTGGAGCTCTCTGCCATGTGCAGTGTCTTCACCCTGCATTGCCGACATTGCCAACAAAAGGCAAGGCCTGGACGCTCTTCCACCATCCCACCAACATCTGTCATCATTTCGAGTCTTTCTTCCCCCGAATCTGGATCTGCTGGTGCCGCAAGCCACTGGTTAAGGAAGGAGCCACCCCCATCCATTCCCTTCGCTGCTGCAGTCGCTGCTGCCTTCTTTGCGAGTCACCTGTGTGTGGCTACTTGTCGTCTGCTGACACAATCGCATTGCATCCTGGTGCTGCTGCATCAGGCTGAGCGGAACGTGCTTTTCGTGTTTTGAGAAGTCAGGCCCTGGCTGCTGGTTGCATTGCGTCTCGCTAGCCCCCGTTACTGTTTCTCTCCTGCAAGAATTCCCGTCGAGCCATCTGCGTTATCGTTTTTTTGACCCGCACCCCTCCCTCCATCTGATTTCTTCTTTGGCACCAGCTCGACATTTTAGACGACAGCGTCGAGACATCTCCACGGACGTCTTGCCTTTATACGGCGTACGCCGACATCCCTGGTCAAATCCAACCTCGGGCAGACCCTCTTGTCCCTGTTCTCCTTACACCACTAGTTCTTAAGCACATTGCATCGAGCTACCGTGGCGTTGGATACATCCACTTTTGGGCTATTGTATGTGCGAGTCCTATTGGAAGGCTCTCTCGTCTGAGTACGCGTATATATTGGACTCCGTGTCCTACCCTTTGTCGCACACAAGCCACTTCTGCATCAACTCCACGGAGGCTCTTTTGCTCTCTCATCCCCCCTCCCCCAATCTTCATCTGAAGATACGGGCCAGCACAGAAACCATCTGACACTTGGACTACTGTCCACTGCTTTCACTCTCCGCTTCCACTACCTACAGTCGCCATGCCGGGACCTAAGGCGACCAAGCTGGGCCACGCCTTGGCAAAGGGCCTTGGGATCAAGCTTCAACCACCCATTCAGTACCAGGACGAAGTGACTCGAGGGGAGTCTGTCTTCTCCAACAACGCCTATGTCGAGGAGCCGCCACGCACCATCGATGAGCTGCGCGAACTGGTTCCGACTGGGAATCAAGTTTGGGATTACGTGGTTTCGCTCTTCCCCTTTCTGCAGTGGATTGGCCATTACAATACTCAATGGTTGATTGGTGACCTTGTTGCGGGTATGTTCATGTCCTCATCTGCGCCAGCTGCCGCGACGACTCATGACGAAAGCGCAATTTCTAACAAATTGGACAGGCATCACTGTTGGCGCCGTCGTCGTTCCCCAGGGCATGTCGTATGCTCTCCTGGCCAATGTTGAGCCCCAATTCGGACTTTACTCGTCTTTTATGGGTGTTCTAATCTACTGGTTTTTCGCGACCTCAAAAGACATCACCATCGGCGTACGTCTTGTCCCAAAATGCATTTCCCTACTGTTGCCTGCTTTTGCTAACTGACTGCTCAGCCCGTGGCCGTCATGTCCACACTGACAGGCACCATCGTCGAAAAGGCAGCCGTCAAAATCCCAGACGTACCAGGACACGTTGTCGCCTCCGCCCTCTCTATCATTGCCGGCTCTATCGTCCTCTTCATCGGACTCATCCGCTGCGGCTGGATTGTTGACCTCATTCCCCTAACGTCTCTCTCTGCATACATGACTGGCTCGGCCATCAACATCTGCTCTGGCCAGGTTGCCGGCCTGCTGGGCGAATCCGGATTTAACACCCGCGCTGCCACATACAAGGTCATCATCAACTCGTTCAAGTACCTGCCGAAAACCAAGATCGATGCCGCCATGGGCCTGACTGCCCTGACCATGCTTTATCTGATCCGCTTCGCCTGCAATTTCTTCGCCAAGCGCTACCCCAAGCACCGGCGCATGATCTTTTTCGCCTCTACGCTGCGCACCGTTTTTGTCATTTTGCTGTATACCATGATCAGCTGGCTGGTCAACAGACACCGCCGCAAGCACCCGCTCTTCAAGATCCTCAAAAAGGTTCCGCGAGGCTTTAAGAACGCTTCTGTCCCCGTCGTGGACGAAAGAATCATTCGCAGCTTCATAGGTGACCTGCCCGCCACTGTCATCGTCCTCCTCATCGAGCACATTGCCATCTCCAAGTCCTTTGGCCGTGTCAACAACTACACGATAAATCCCTCGCAGGAGATGGTCGCCATTGGCGTGGCCAACGTCCTGGGTCCCTTCCTGGGCGGCTACCCCTCGACCGGCTCGTTTAGCCGCACTGCTATCAAGGCCAAGGCTGGTGTGCGCACGCCTTTTGCGGGCGTGATCACGGCACTTGTGGTACTTCTTGCCATCTACGCGCTGCCACCTGTCTTCTTCTACATTCCCAGCGCGACTTTGTCGGCGGTGATCATCCATGCCGTCGGCGACTTGATCACGCCGCCCGACGTCGTCTACCAGTTTTGGCGCGTCAACCCATTCGAGGTGGTCATCTTCTTTGTGGGCGTGTTTGTCACTATCTTCACCACGATTGAGAACGGCATCTACAGCACGATTTGCATCTCGGCCGCCATGCTGCTGTACCGCATTCTTCGGACTCGGGGCAGCTTCCTGGGCCGCGTAAAGGTCCAGTCTATTCTAGGCGATCAGGTTATCGGCCAGGACAGTCGCCTGGCGATTGCTCCGTATGGCACTATTTCGAACCTGGACATGGAAGTGCCTGCGCGTACGGTCTTCTTGCCACTCGATCACCAGGACGGATCAAACCCGGACGTCGATTTGCAATCCCCTTACCCCGGCGTCTTCATTTACCGCTTCGCGGAGGGTTTCACATACCCCAATGCATCACACTCGTTGGAGCATTTGGCAGAATACGTGTTCAAGCATACGCGGCTCACCAATCTGACCTCGTTTCCCCGCCCTGGTGACCGGCCATGGAACGATCCCGGTCCGACACGCCGGCAGCTGAAGAAGATCGCGGAGGGCGATGTGAACGCAATAAACGCAGCCGAGTACAACAGAGACCTGCCGACTCTAAAGGCCATCATTCTCGACTGCTCCTCGGTCAACTTTGTGGATGTCACGTCAGTGCAGGCCCTGATTGATGTGCGCAACCAGCTCGACCGCTACGCGGCTCCTGAACACGTCGACTGGCATTTTGCGTCAATCAGCAACCGCTGGAGCAAGCGCGCCCTGATATCTGCCGGCTTCGGCTTCCCGACCGAGTACCAGGATACGCCAGAACAGCGGTGGCGAGGCATCTTCAGCGTGACCCCGTCCGGCGACAAGCATGAGGCGGACGGCGAAAAGATCGAGGACGGCGAACTACGTCGAACGTTGACGTCGACAACTGCTAGCGCAGCCAAGACTGTGACCCTAGACATCGAAGAGGCGCGCAGCAGCGGTGACGGAGTCGGCTCGGGCGACGACGACCCGAAGCTGAACCTGCAGGGTCGGTCGGCTCACCGCATCCGGGGTATTGCCATCCACAGTCTGAACCGGCCGCTGTTCCACGTCGACCTCACCAGCGCATTGCAGTGTGCCATTGCCAACGTGGAAGCTCGTGAGGCAGCCTCGGCCGACTCGCGGCCAAGCTCGATCAAGGGATTATAATTTTTTTTTTGGCAACATAGCGGCTGTTGTTTGTGCGATTTTTGGATTTCCTTGGGTATGCGGTGTTTGGAAAAGAGAGCAACTCGACTCTTTTGAGTGTTTGCCAATGATTCCCCAGATATATAGTCTTGCCGCCTTGTTTACGGCCCAGGAGATCTATCTTGTTATGGCACATTATTTTTTGCATAAATTCAAGCCGAGATACACGGCCTTTTGGATTCTGAGACCAGGAGTATTCAAGTGAAGGATATCCACATTTGTACTAGAATCGCCGTATCCCCAAGCTGTGTAAAGTTCTAGTCGATCTTTCTGGTCGCCATGCACTCATCTTTGGGCGACTAGCTCACGTGACACATCCAGGTGCTGCTATCGACCTGGAGGCAATTGGGCTGCTGTGCGCAGTGATAATCGTAGTCAGTCGGGCTCGTTTGCACCATACATGTAAATTTCTTTTCGGGAAGAAGTCATGCTTCTACCGCCGGGGACATGACAGCCTTGTCAGCCGTGTCCTTGGCCGCAAGCACGTCCACATCGAGTCCCTCCATGACTTCCACTACGAGTCCGACGTGGTCCAGGAAGGCATTGACTGACACGCGCAGCATGCGATTCGTGGTGGCCTCGTAGGCGGTGCGCAGGACGGTCTTCAAGTCGTCGTTCCCGGCGTCCTCGGCATCCACAGAGTCATCGGCAGCCCGGACAGAGAACGAGCGGCGAACAGACGGCGACAGCTCCTTGTCGACCGAGAGGGCCTGCAAAGCAATGCTGGCTAGTCGAGCTGTGGGGAACGGCACATCAATGACTCTAACGGGCTGGTGATCAGCAGCCAGTTGCAGTGAAGGAAGAGGCAACAAAAACAATGAAAACAAGGAGACAGGGATCGCTCACAACGAGCACGGAAAGCTTGGGTCGACGGCCATGGTGGCGGTGTGGGAAAGGTAGGGTGGCCGAGGCTTGTCGCGCCGGTCTACTTGCCTGCACTTTTTTCCGAGTTCGAATTTTGTCTGGATGCGGGGCAATCGGTAACAAGCGCGATGGTGTTGTCGGAACACGTCAGATGACTAAATTCTTGTTATGTGCTAGTGTAGTTTCGTTGATGTGGCGGTTGCCGTGGTTACTGTTCGTGGCGGCCCAGCCCACTGGCCCTAGCGTAGTTAGGGGCTGGCCATTGGCTGAATTAGGGGGTCCCCCTGGCTGCCTTGCCTGCAATGCAACGCAGGAGAAACGACAACAAATAACAAGGCCGGTCAGACAACAAAATGGAATAAAAAATAACCCAAGAATAAAGCCGAAAAATACGGTAACCTCGCTTTATTATTCCCTTCAAGAATGCATACGAATACCGGAGTGCGCAATCCTCTCTGACCCGACCAACTTCCTCTTCTTTTCCTTTCGCCATCTTCGACTTTATTCATTTTGCGTCGCCCTGCCTCAGTCTTCCCTGCGGTGCATTGCCGTCGTCTCTTCCCCTCCTCCTCCTCCCTTTCCTCGGGACCTCCACCTCATCCTCTCTGCATCCCTTCGTCTCTGCATCGCGAAAGCCGTTGTCGGGCCCGTTTTCCCATCGTTTTCGTCCAAGCAAGCAGCCCCCCCTCTCCATCATTCTTGTTTACGGCCACTACCGTCTGCTTTCGTCACGATTTCGCATGCCTCTCCTCAAGCCATCAAGCGAGCCCTGTCTTGAGTCCTCTTCGTCTGCAATGGCACCGTCTACGAAAGCTCCCAACTTGGGGCAGATTATCGAGTATCTCCCGGGTAAGCCGCCATCTCTGCGTCATCCGACTCTCGCTCCTGCGGCTTCTCCTGCTGACTAGGCTCTTGTTGTTTTCTTCCTCGCCAGACCGCCTTTATCTCGCCTCTTATTTGAGCCCGCCCGATGCCGACACCCTCTTCCCGTTTGGCAACACGGCCAAGACGAGCAGGAGACACAGGTCTGGACGCGAGCCGTTCTACTTCACCGTCGATGACTCTCTCCTCTACAATGCCTTTCACCACGACTTTGGCCCGCTGCACGTCGGTCATCTGTACCGCTTTGCCCTGCACTTCCACGAGATTCTTGCAGCAACAGAAAACCAGCAGCGGCCAGTCGTCTTTTGGAGCAAAGCAGATCCCCGAAGTAGGTTGATTCCTGGCGCCTTGCTTCCGTGTCGTTGGCGCCTGTTCCCTGCTAATGATCACCCCAGGCCGGGCCAATGCATCTTGTCTGCTGGCGTGCTACATGGTACTGATTCAGTCATGGCCGCCCCATCTGGCTCTGGCCCCGATTGCTCAGGTCGACCCGCCATTGATGCCGTTCCGCGACGCCGGTTACAGCCAGGCCGACTACGGCATCACAGTGCAGGACATTGTCTACGGTGTCTGGAAGGCCAAAGAGGAGGGCTGCTGTGTCCTCGACAGCTTTGACCTGGCCGAGTACGAGACGTTTGAACGCGTGGAGCACGGCGACTTCAATTGGATCACGCCGAACTTCCTGGCCTTTGCGTCGCCGCAGCACGACCCTGTGACCCGGATCACGGAGACGTCGGAGCCTGAGCTGTACGAGTCGCTTCCGCGGACGCTGGATGCTGTGGATGCACACCCGACGCTGCCGCAGCCCTTCAAGAACGTGCTCCGGCATTTCTCGGAGCGCAACGTTGGGCTTGTGGTCCGGCTCAACTCGGCGCTGTACTCGCCGTCGTACTTTGAGGCTCTGGGCATCCAGCACCTCGACATGATCTTTGACGACGGCACCTGTCCGCCCATGTCGACGGTCCGCAAGTTTGTCCGGCTGGCACACGAGATGATCAACGTGCGCAAGAAGAACATTGCCGTGCACTGCAAGGCCGGACTGGGTCGGACAGGCTGTTTGATCGGTGCCTACCTGATCTACCGCCACGGCTTCACTGCGAACGAGATCATCTCCTATATGCGCTTCATGCGTCCGGGTATGGTCGTGGGCCCGCAGCAGCACTGGCTGCACCTGAACCAGGGCATCTTCCGCGAGTGGTGGGTCGAGGAGCGGGTCGAGCGCAAGCTGCGCCGGGAATATGCCGCTGCAGCTGCGGCCGCGTCTGCTGGCGCTGGAGGCAACCTGCCGAGCACGCCGATTCGCGCGATGCAGAAGGCCAATCTAGGCCGGTCAGCCCAGCATCATAATCAGCATCCGCAGCCGGCATCGACGCCGCCGAACCGCAGCGTCTCAGGCCGCTCACCACTCAGCGAGATGGACCAAGAACGCACGAATGCCGCGCAGGAAGACTATCTTCCAGCTCCGACTCCGGGACAGCCTCGCAAGGCAGTTCGGTCTGACCGGCACCACCCGTACTCGCGCAAGGCCAACTTCACATCCACGGTAGAGGAGGCGACGGAGACGGTGGTGCACGAGGACGAGGAGGCCGAGCTGTATGTGGTCGAGCAGGAGAAGAAGGGCAAGGACGGCCATCGGTCCAGTGGTGACAGCCGCAGTGCCGATTCGGAAGAGGAGGTGTATCTGCGGATGCGCGCACACCGAAAGACGACAACGACGACCACGACGACGGTATCGTCGCCAGATGCTGCTGCACGACATCGCAAGGCACGATCGGCCAGCCACAGCACGGCGGCGATACTGGCGGCAGCCCTGGAAAATGACGCGTCAAATGACGCCGAGAACATCGGTTCGGCCATACAGCGAGTCAAGTCGATCCACAACCACGAGGGCCAGCGCTCTAGCTCAGCGTCGGTCGTGATGGCCAAGGTGCGCAGCTCGGAGCGGACGGCCAGCGCGTCGGCAAAGAAGATGGCCAGTGCACAACCTGTGGGAATACGCAAGACCAGCGGTCGCGTGGGCAGTGCCGGCAACATGCCGTCAGTGGCGGCCATGGCGTCAGCGCAGCGCAAGATCTCAGGCATGCAGTAGCCGGATGGGATGTCCTTGGCGTTTTGATCTAATTGACGAATTACGACCGACTTCTCATTATGACTACATCTTCGGCTCACACTATCCTTTGGCGGCGATCGCTAATTTGCTGCATGCAGTGGCGTTTACAGGGCTGGCTTACACACAAGAGAGAAAAACGAGAGAATCAATGTTTACGAGAGGGGTCAAAGCTGGAGGATAGTGGTCTAACGTCTGATTTTATGTTTTGGGGCTCTAGCACAGGATTGGCGTTGGGTGTAATGGGAATGTCTCGACAATTGTTCATGTTCGCCTTGTTCTCTTTCTGCTCTCGCTTACTTGTCAAGACACTTGATCACACACATGCGCTGGATGAACGACGGAAAACTCTTGGGCTTGATCACATGGACATGGTATTGAGGAGAGGATGAGGTTCGCGTTGATTTTATGGCTGTATATCTGCGGGCTGCCTTGGATACTTGGGAGTATTGTTTCAATAAATGTGTTATCTGCTCACCCCGAGCTGCCGATCAAGGATGCCTTGCCGATGGAGCGTACCGACCAGCTCAACAGGCCATAGAGGTCTGATCTTCCTTCCCAAGGCCCAACAGCCGACCGACAGTAGCACCGGCGGTTAGCAGTGACAGGGCTGCTTTCCCGGCCGTTTTCCCAGATCACTTTCATTCCCGAAAGACCGGAAAAGAGGGGAAGGCCGTATTCCTTGTTTGGGGGGCCTTGATCGGATCCAAGAGGCGGAAGACAACAGCAGTAGTACTCCGTAGTTGGTCCTTGTGACTGTGAAGACCCTGGCTTGCAGGGGGGTGGAGGAAAAAGGACCGTCTTCGTCTGTCCCTTGGAAACTGGTCCTCGCCTTCACACACTAGACAGTCCATCCGACTCCAAGGAGACGCAGGCAGGGTCGTCGAGGCTCCATGCGGGATGGAAAGCGGCCGGTCACAACGGCCAGGACGGGAGACGTTCCCCAAAGGAGGGGCGTAGACGCGAGAGACGAGCTGCAGAAAGGATGGGCCTCCCGAATGGGCCTCTGAGCACAAGAGTCGAGCCGTCCAAGTCGGGGCATCGCGCAGGGATGGCCGGCGCGGCTTCTGATTGGACGGCCGGCGCCGCGTTAGGGTTGCGGGAGGCTGAGCCTTATGATTGGATCAGACCAGGGAGGGCGGACCCCTCTGATGGTCCACTCTTGCGGCCCAATGGCCAATGGGGGCTGCCGGCGCGACTTCTCCTCTGCAACCAATGACAAGACAGAAAAATAGCCGCCGACATTTCCATCGCATCTTTGATCGAGTACCACATTTGCGCATGACAGAAGACAAGATGCGCCCACTCCGGCGGCCGCGTAACCGCAACCACACCTCCAGTACGGCTTCGGCTGCTCCTTTGCTGGTCTGTTGCATCCAACTGACAGGCAGCGAGTGGATCGCATCCGTGCTGTTGGTAGCACTGGACGGGATGGTCGGCAGGACTTGACCCCGAACTGTCGCGATGGCCCCCTTTGCCGTTGGAGCCTCGACAGGCTGCAGCAGTACCAGTGGGAGACCGGAAGAGAGGACACACCTTCTGGTCTGATGACCGACCTTTGTGCTCGTATCCTGTTCCTCCCATCCACTTCTCACGTAACCCCTCTTCATCAGGGAGAAGGGACCCGGTCTGATCAACTTCCAGGCACACCCTGCGGGTCGGTGATGATTATGCAGTCTTCTTGCGGCCACCCCCCCAGCTACGTTTCGTTTGGGCTTGCAAGTCCTTGTGGTCTAAGCGAGCTAGAGCTCATCCGAGCTGGTCAAAAGGGAAAGCGAAGCTTGTCTTTCCAAGAAGCAGGCAGACAAGAGGACAAACACAGATAGTATATGCCTCTTTTCCTATTTATTGTCCGTCTGGCTCGTTTTTTGTTTTCCCTCTTCCTCGTGCTGCTTATGCTTCCATTCCAATGCATCCACCCACTGGCAGACTCAGCAAGCTTTCGCTGAACATGGTGCCGGTTACTCGCTCGCAGAGTCAGGCTGAAGAAAGATGGATGGAGAGTGAGGGGAATGGTGATGAAGAGAAAGAGGAAGATGACGAGCAGGACGAAGATCAAGAAGAAGATGACCAAGACGATCAAGATGACGATGACAACCAAGGTCCCGTCCGCTCGCCCATGACCGGCCTGCTGTATGACGTGGACGGGCTGGACGACGAGATGCAGGAGCTGATCCGCGAGCTCTTCCGACCGCTGGCACCCGAGGAGACGCCGCCGATGGTCGTTGAGTGGTGCGGTGTCAGCAACGACCCAGACGTCTATGCGTTCCAGCTGCGTGAAGTGGTGCCGCGTACTATTCGCATCGGTTCGCCCAGCAGCCGAATCCCGCGGCCGAGTTGCAACTGCACCGGTTCAGCTGCCCAACCGTGTCGCCATCTCATCTGGCTGATGGACCAGATCGCCCGACAGATGGTCCACGACCACAACCAGCCGCTTGTGCTCGATGCTCACGGCTTCCCGCGTGTCCTCGCTGGCTCCCGTGCCCATCGCCGCATCGCTGACTTCCACATCGACGTCCTCGCCCGCACCCTTCACTGCAGCCCCGGCTCGCCCATCCGTCGTCGACCCGATGTCCACCGTGTCCGAGAGGCCCGTGAAATCCTGGCTGGTCTTGCTGGCGTGCGTGACGACGTCGGCGTCGATGCCTTTGCCCCGGATCTCTTCGATGTCGCCCCGGAGAAGCTGCGACAGATGCTGTGGGGACCAAGAAACGAAAAGAGGAACAGGACGAGCAGTCAGATAGAAATGGAGAATGACGACAGCTCTTCCAGCTCTTCCAGCTCTTCCTCTTCCAGTTCATCCAACTCTTCCTCCTCTCGCTCCCAGCCACTCCTTCGCCTCGTCGACCTTCAACGCACAGTCTTGCGGCTTCTGCTGTCCAACGACGAGTTTTTCGGTTTGTTTCTCAAGCTGCTCTCGCCCTCCGACAAGGCTCGCGACCCCTTTCGCAAGATCCAGCAACGTGTCGAGCATGTTCTCGAAATTCTGTCGACTCCAGCCCCAGCCCTGGCCCTGGCCTCGGAGCAGGTCACCGTGGCCTGGGCAGCTCGACAAGTCCGGAATGCCGTCGAGCAGATCCGCATCTTGTTGGAACAGCCGCAACACCGCCATCACCGCCTTCACCGCGCCAGTGCCTGTCGTGCCCTCGTCTGGATCTTCAACACTCTCGTCCTCCATCACAACCGAGACGTCCACGCCGGTCTGACTCAGGACGACCGAAACTTGTACCAACGGCTGATTGGAAACGCCGGCGACGATCTGTCTGTCTCCGAGGCTGCCTCCGGGACCGAGGCTGCCTTCTTCCTCCTCGACGAGCTGCAGCTGCTCTGTGACCAGGTCCAGTTCCGCACCCAGCTCGAGCGCATCCGTCGCCGCATCCAGATCAATGGCTATCGCCAGCCATACATGCGCCGCTTCGAGGCCATCCTCCTGCAGATGCGTGCCATCCGGGCCGAGGATGACTCCGAGGAAGAGCAAATGGATGACGATGACGATGACGATGACGACGACGACAACAGCCACAACAGCTCGCCACCACTCCTGCAGACCCTCCATGCCCCGTCATCGCCCGCGGCCGGATCCAAGCGCCATAGATCCGCCGTCTTGACCTCGTCAGATCGCGGCGAGAAGCGTGTCCGAGAAGCGGGGTGCTGTCGATGATTCCATTTTTTTCTTCCTCTTTTTCTTTTCTCTTTTCCCCCTTTTTCCCCCTTTCTTCTTCCTACCTTTTCTCCTTCTTCTTTTCCTTCTTCCTTCCTCCTCCTTTCTCCTCCCCCTTTCGTCATGTTATTTACTTTGTCGTCATCACTTCCTAATCACATCCGAGTGCTGCATAGTCATAGCAATAATTTGATTAGTGTTCTCGATAATGGGGTATCTTACTTCCAACCTCTCAAAACGCCTGCTTAACAGTGCACGAACGCATCTATGACGGCCGGCTAAACGGACAGATGAATCTGCCGTCGACGTCCCAGGCTCCTCTCCTCAATGTAGTACTGCAAGACGCTGTGGTCCATGTAGTGCAGGATGAGTCGCCAGCGCCGCGGCGACCTGGCTTCTTGCTGTCGCTTCTTGGTGCTGCTGGCGAGGTCCCACATGCTGGCGCCGGCTTCGGGCACCGGCGACACGGCGATGCCCAGCAGACAGCACGGCGGCCGCAGCTTCTTCTTCTCTTCCACGTGTCGCGGCAGAACCCACTCCGTGCGGAAGCAGCGCTTCAGCCGCGGCGAGCTGCCGTTGCCCGAACCTCTGGACGTCAGGCTGCCTCGAATCAGCCGCAGCACTGCCACGCGCCCAAACATGCCGCCGACAATCACAACCCCGATCTCCGGGATGCTCTCGAGCAAGCTGAGCCGATGGTAGTTGGCGTTCATGTCCCAAATATAATTGGACGCCACCGGCGGTTCCATCAGCTTGTTGGAAAACACGCCCCACGCCTTCTCCATGCCTGTGGTGAACAGATCTGCCTCTAAGCCAAAGGTCCGCAGGATCGACAGCCGCTTTGCCATCTGCAGTAGCTCCGGTATCTTCTCTGATCCCGTGAGCATCAAGTCCTTGACTTGCCTCTGTCTCTGCGGCGCACACCGGAGGATGGTGACCAGTTTCGTCATCGAGAGGTCGGGCCATGCCAGCGATAGGCTGGGACAGATCACCGATCCGAGTTGGAAGTCGTGACTGTGATGCTGCTCCTCTGAACCGTAGCGCCCGTGGTTGTGTCGGTGGTGACTGGGCGTGTTGCCACTGCTGCTTCTGCTGCTGCTGACGGTTGTGCAGCTTCCCTGTCCGTTACCGGAGTCATATTCAGACCCATCCTTGTACCCTCCGCCGGAGAAGGACGTATAAGTGTCCACAGGCAAAACCGAGTCGTGTTCATCCGAGCTGTCCTCCCCCCAACTCTCGTCGTCAGATTCTTGCTCCCCTTCAGCTTCCTTGTTAGCTTGGCTGTCGGTGGCAAGTCTCTGGAAATTTTCCGGACAGGAGAGGTCATTATCGCCTGTGAAGTTTAGGAGATCTGGAATGCCCAAAGAGCCTGCGGCAGAGGCACCTGCTAGTGACATGGGCGGCATTCGCTTCGACTTAACAAACGCCTTTGCGGGAAGAGGTAGAATTCCCCAGCCAATGGGCCGACTGTAGGGGGTACATGGTGTTAGCATGGGACTGCCGAGCGCAGAAGGGAGGGGACAACGCACTCGCCCCGAACCGGAGGAAGAATGACGAGAGCTCGGTTCACTCCGACTTTCCAGAGATCGAGGAACCAGGCATTACCGTGGATATCCACTCCGATCACTTTTTCGGCATCCCCGTTGGCGTCGTCAATAAAGGCAATGCCCGGCATGTTGTGGCCGGAAAGCCCGAGAGGGAGGAGAATGCGCCAGTTGCGATCACGCAGGTGGAGCAGACGGAGCAGCTCCAGGTCGGACGTCGGCCTGCCGTCGGCGGACGCGGCCGGTGGCCGATGGAACACGCCCAAGCGACCGGTAGAGCCGGCAGAGCGAGACGGTGACGGCGGATAGAGAGCAAAGGCAAAAACGTTGACCTCATATAGGTTGGAGCTGACGGCGATCAGGCGCGACTGGGCATGGATGGCCAGGCCCCAGGCGGACATGCCGACAGTCTGGTGGAAGAAGGGCTTGGGCTTCTTGAGTGGCTGCTGCTGCTGCTGCTGTCGACGTCGCGGACGGCGTGAGCGGCGTTCGAGGTAGTCGCGGATGTGGTGGGTGTAGTAGGCGATGACGTCGCCGTCGTCGTAGCCCAGCAGGAGGATCTCCTGGCTTCCCAGATTGCCAACGATGGCGTGGTTCGCCTGGTGGGGGAACTTGGGGTCGATGTAGCCACCAATGGTCCGGGCGGCGCTGCTGGGTCCCGGACAGAGGATCAGCTGGGGGCCGCGCAGGATCTCGGGAGCTGGCTGTGGCCGGTAGACGTGGATCTTGTCCTGGTACACGGCAAAGTAGAGCTGGGTGGTCTGGTTAGCAGCAAGCAGGCAGACCGACGCTTTGACGACAGGAACACATACGTTGTACCGCTGGGACAGGGCGGTCAGGTTCACTCGCGCGCGGGCAACGCGTGGGATGTTGGTGCCGTGCAGAGGCACCGACTCCTTCAGAGGCACCGTCTGACTGGGGCCACCGGGGCCACCCGGGTCACCGGGGCCAGCCATGTCGACGTGTCCCGACAGAGCATTAGCCATGGCAGCAGATACGAGGCCGATATAGGCAGTACCGGTAGCCACATGGGTTCCCAGGCCGTCAAACACGGTGTGTACTGAGCTTTGCATCAACTGCGTGTTCTGCGTGTTCTGCGTGTTCTGCGTGCTCGGCTGATTGGTCTGGGTCGCAAGGTCGTTCATCAAAGCGTTGCTCGTGCCTCCTGTGATGCCTTGATTTTGCAAGAGGCCGTCCGCCATTCCATCCGTCTCACTGCTGTCGTAATCTTCGTCGTTATGGGCAGCACTTTCATTTCCGCTGTCGTGATCGTATTCGTGGTCGTCTTCGCTACTATCGTTGTCATACTGGTGTTCGTCCTCATCCTCATCGTATTCACTGGCTTCATCCTCCTCAGATTCGTCCTCACCATCCCAGTTTTCGTTGTCACCACTCCCTTCGTTCTCGTCCTCAAAGTCCATGTACTTCTCCAATCTGGAGTATATCACTTCCCTGGCAGCGGAGCCAAACTGAAAACTGTCAGGAGGCGACTCGGAGGGAGAGAAACTACAAGAGACATAGCATACCCTGCTTTGCAACGTCTGCACGCCGCAGGACGCGTTGACCCAGACACACTCGACATCGCCTGTCGGACGGGACGAGGCGTGCGAAATCCTATACGGCTCGCCAGGCCCGGCAAAGGCCAGTTCCCCCGGCACCTGGCTGGCCATTCGGGGGGATGCTATCGATAAAGGCAGTTCGATTCGACGATATTGGGGGGGCTATGGAGCAGCGAGTCGGCAGCCGGGAAACTCATCGATCAGAGCGATTTGGAGTAGGAGAGAGGAGGATGGAGAAGATTGGTGGGGAACGTGACTAGCGCCAATAACTAAAGATCATAACACAATGACTCCCGCAAGGAGCAGATGAAACGAAATAAGCGACCGGAGTCTGGGGGCTGTGTGCGTTCGCGTTCTGCAAACGGGATGTTTTTGAGCGAAAGATGAAGGCCCTGAAAGAAAGGGAATCTTGATCTGCCTTTTCTCGGCTGCTCGCAACAAAGCATTCTGGTAAAGCAGGTACCGCTGCGGGGAAGGAGCGAGAGCTATAGACGCTAATGACGTATCCACCATGATTGCTCGAGGACAATAGATTGTGTCCCAGGCACAAAACGCCACAACACAGCCACAAACGGCTTACGATTCAACCTCAACCGAACATCTCATCCCAAGCCCAACAGATCCCGCAAGCGGTAGTCCAGCACGGGCGTCAGCCAGTCGTCGTCTACCAGTTTGTACGTCTCCTCACTGCCGTCAGTCTTGCGCGGATTAACGGCCCAGTAGCCAAAGTCAGCATCGACAGCGGCCAGGAAGCGCAACAGGTGCTGCCAATAACAAACGTCGCCGACTGACGGTCGATGGGGGGCACCAAACTCGGCCACCCAGACGGGCACGGGCCCGGAATCTCCGGTCTCAGACTCTAGCAGATATGACCAGGCTGACTGCATAGCTGCCGCAAACGAGCGGTAGGGCCGCTGGACGAAACGGCCGCCAAGACTGCCCCAACCAGACCAGCCGTAGACGTGGACTGAGTAGACGACGCGATGGCTAACTTGGAGCTGCACTGGACGGGCAGCCACGCCGCTCAGGTCGTTGCCTGACCCGGTGCCACCCACAACGATCAGCCAGGCCGGGTTCAGGGCCAGCAACCGCTTGCCGCAGTGCTCGGCTGCCGTCGCCCAACGCTCCCAAGACATCGTCCCCCACAGCCCGCGAACCTCGTTGCGCAAGTCTGCTCCGATCACTCGCTTGTTGTCTGCCAACCGGCCCATGACCGTCTCCTAGTGCGCTATCCACGCATCTTCCGTCTGTCTCACCCGGCATCGCCATCCTGGCAGCCACCCTGACAGCCATCCTGACAGCCATCCCCCCTCGTTCGCCCATCCGGCGTCACACGGATTCACTCCGCAGCACCACCGCGCCGCCGTGATGTGGTTGTTGACAATGACGGCCAGCCCGGCTTCTGTCAGCGCCTCCACCGTCGCCACAAACACGTCCAGCGCCCGCTGGCCTGCCAGATCCGCGTTTGCTACTACTCGCTCGGCCCTGATCACTGGATTCGCCATCACCAGTTCGTCTGAGTACGGCAGCCGTACCGTGTTGAAGCCCAGCCGTCGGATCGTCTGTGCAATCGCTGCTCGGTGCTGCACATCTAGCCCACCCACCACAAAGTGCTCGTCGCTCGCCCCGTACCAGTTGACTGCCCGCAGCCGGAATCGCCGCTGCTTTCCGTCCACAATGTCTCGCCCCTGCGTCCGCAGCGGCAGCGCGTACTCTTCGATGAACCATTCCTGGCTCGACATCGCTAGTGGCTGCTGTGCAAACTGCTGCGATCCGGCGTCTGGCTCCCATGGCGCTGATAGCTTCGCTTCTGCCGTCCACACATAGCCCAGGAAGCTCCCTAGCAACAGCACTGCCAGCAGCAGCAGTCTCTGCCTGGTCTTTCTGGTCCTTCTGTACATCGTGCACAGCATTGCTGGTCCAGTTGTGTTCGTGTTGCTCGCCGTGTGTTGAGACGTCGGCCGGACAGCAATCCGGCATATTGCTGACATCCAACAACGTAACATCCCGTGACCATTGCCCATCCGTCACAAGCCAAAAGCCAAAAAACAACTGGAACGTGCACATCAATTATACACATACACCCAAATACTCGTATATACATATAAAATACACTCGCTGTGGCATCCCTTTCCAATGCCCGTTATTGCATGCACAGACACCAATGTTGGCACAATCCAGAAAGTATGATAACACAATATCTCGTAGCGACAAGCCAGGGCCATCCTGTCATTTGCTGCATTCCGGTCCGCCGCTCTATGGCGTGCTTTGCTCGCATTGTGCTAGCCGCTTGCCAGCTCAACGCATGTCGTCTAAATCTCGTACACTTTTTGCTCAAGGGGGGTATAGTCGTGCTGATGCCTCTTTCTTCTAGTAGTTTCGCTCCTCTCACTCTCGTTCACGTTCGTTTTCGTTTTGTCTTTTTGGGCGGCCGTCTGTCACGATCCCTCAGATCCGATTCATACCCAGCGGATGCCGGTTGTCGAGTTCGGCTTGCGACGCGTCTTGACTGGGACTACGCGTCGTGTGTGTTCGCGGTGGTGGCGATCTTGCCGTCCTTGACGGCGCAAACGTCTCCTGTGCGTCCCACCGGATAGACGACAGCGATGTGTTTAGTGGTCGCGAATTCGAGGACGACCGCGACGGCGCATTGTAGCGGGCTGCCCGATTGAAATAGTCCGGCGTGCGCCGACCGCTGGAGCCGCCCGTGATGCTGGTAGAACGCTCCACACGGGCCGAAGCAGTGGCTGCCGAACTGCCTTCTTCTCCTAGGCTGGCCAGAGCGCCCATGCCCACCAACGGTGTAGGCGAGTCTGGGCTGTCTGTCGACCTGGACATCTTCCATGCCGATGCTGGTGCCGATGCTGGTGCTGGTGCCGATGCTGGTGCTGGTGCCGATGCTGGTGCTGGTGCCGATGCTGGTGCTGGTGCCGATGCTGGTGCTGAGCCTGTGGTAGGATCGATGGTGGTTATTATGCCATTGTCCTTTGCCATGGGATACCCCGCCGAGGAAGCACCCCGAGAAAGCATCTCGTACGAACGTGTGTCTTTTTTGAGGTCATCGAGCCGTGCGTCAACGGAGACGAATTCGCGCTGCTTGTTCTGGTACGCAGCTGGCCTGAACAGCTCCGCCCAGCCGGTTACAATGGACCAACGGCCCAGCAGGACTACCAGCCACAAGCCGTTCATCTAGAGAGAGAGGTCAGTGCCAGCCAGGGGCTCGGAGGCAGGGTCGTGCTTACTGCCAACAGTATGAGAACAGCACCGACGGTCGACTTCTTCACCGTGAGCGACCCTGCCAGGTATAGACAGGGATCCTTCTTGCCCTCGTTCTCGACCAGGCACACCAGCCAGTCGACCGCAATGGACGGCTTGTGTGCCAGGCGGACCACCGTGTTGTCCTGGAAGACAAAGACGACGCTGAAGAAGATGACGTCGACACAGATAATGAGCACAATCGCGATACCCCGCCACTGCAGCTGGATGACGCGGCGCACTCGACGGTACGCCTGACGCGGCGTCATCGTGCGGATACTGTTGGTATACGACGGCAGGCCCGAACCTTCCGTCGAGGCCGCGTTGTCCGACAGCGACGCCAGGTACACCTTGATGCAGTAGGCAAAGGTGAAGAGCTGGATGATAATGGCCAGGCCAGCAAATACGAGCAACGGAATCCACAGGTCTCCCAGGCTGTTCTTGTGGTTGATGTGACAGGTCGCGCCCAGACGGAATGAAACACCGCTGAGGACGGCAGCCAGGATGGTGCCCAGAATCGGGATGCCCCAGCCCGCTGCCAGGGCAAACCACATGAAGCTACGGCCCACGACCACCTGCCAGCAGATCTGCAGGTGCAGAGACATGGACCGCAGAAACACCCACACCACGCTGGACCAGCCGCCGAGAATGAGAATGAGGCCGGACGCACCGCATATACTGCTGGACTGTATGCTGTTGGGTGTGATTGGGTCGGCACACTGCTCTGGATGGCCCGCCAGCGGGATGACAAAGCCGAGCTGTACTGTCAGTCAGGATTCCAACCGATGGAGAGCTGGGAGAGCCACGGAACACCAACGTACGCTCAACAAAAGCACGCCGGTCGTCAGGCAGATGCTGAGATAGTGCCGGTGCGTCTTCTCTACTGGAAGCATAGCCCATGACAGCAGCAGCGCAACACAGCAGATGGTGCTGATGACGGCAATCCACTCGGCTGCAGCTGTCAGCTGGTTGAAGTTTTCTGGGTACACCCAGTCGGTGAACGGGCATGGCAGACAGCACGACACGCCTGTCAGGTTAGAGCACAATCGTCCGTTGGTATCTACATTCGGGGTGGATGGGGGACGAGTTAGATACCGGGCTGGCTGGCTGGCTTGGAATGGGAGCACGCTTCGGTCGACTTACAGCCTGTGGTGGATTCAAAGTCGGACGCCAGCAAGAAGGGTGAAATGCATGCCGCCCTCTCAGCGAGAGCGAAAGTGTGGTCCATTGCGAATAAGACAAGGGCTTGAAAAGCAGCGTAATATCCGGCTCAATGGCTCCGTCACAGGCAAAGGCCCCGGGGGCGACCGTGTCTCTCGTCCTTATAAGTGGCCGAGGGCGGGGAAACCGAGAATGTACAATGGCTGCCTTTTCCTGCTGCACAGGCGCAGCCGCCTTTGGGATGAAGGGACAGCAGACGAGATCGTCCTATGCTGATGAGCTTAAGAGCCGGATCCCGACAGAAGAAACGAGAGGTCCGGTGGCGGTGAGGTCGTACTTAAAGCAAGGCGAGTTTCGTTAAAAGAGGCGCAGTAGCGGGCGAATATGCGTTATGCGGTATGCGATATGCGATATGCGATACTATGTATAGACAAAGAAAGCCGTAGGACAAAAGAGCGGCGAAGCCAAGGACAGGTGTTTGGTAGGAGCTGTGCGTCGCACATATATGTAAGTCGATTCGAGGATGCAGTCGGGGCGCTGGTGCGGTCGAGCGGCCGAGACACAAGGAGGAGTGGGAGCAAGGAGGAGTCCTCGCCGAAAACAGAAGCAGGGAAAAAGAAGGACGAGAAAAAGGAAGACAAGAAGCAGTACGAAGTACAAGTCCAGTCTACGACATAGGAAGCAGAGGAAGGAGTGGCCAGGAACGGCAGCAACGAACGGGGCCAGCTGTGTATTATACCTCTACAGGAATACTACCACAAGAAGCATATGTACTTTATGAGATGCAGGAGCTGGCCAGAGCGATGAGAGACAGTGTCTCACTTGCCTGCCGGGGTACTCTCTTTACAGCAAGATACTCGTGCACTTCCGTTCCCAGACGGCATTGTGTCTCTTTCTGTCGATGGAGGGGAATAATGGGACCGGGAACATGGTTAGCAAAGTGGAACCCCTAAATTTTTCGCTGTTTGAAGAAGGGGGGCAACTTCCCATCCTATCTTGGAGCGGGGGGCAGGAGCCCCTGGACCCAGACTTTTCGCCCTGGTGATCCAATCCAGAAGGTCAGCACTTGCTCCAGCCAAGCAGGGCCAAGGCACCATTTCGCGCACACGGCCGCTCACTCGTCGAGGCCGCGCTTACCTCATTTCCAGCCGCCTGCGGAGCAGCGAACGAAATCCCAGCACTAGGCCCAGGCCGGCCACAGCACACGAGTAGAGCCGTACAGCCATTTGAGTGGCCTCTGGCGCTGTCGCGCATTTTGCTCACTGCCTGGTTGAGCAGCCTGGCCATCCTGATTGGGGCAGCCCAGCTACAGCACTTGTTGCACGGTCCTGCACCGCTCTCACAGCATCAACCACTCACAATGGCCGCCACACCTTCTCGAGCAGGTGGGATTTCCTCTGCAGACTCGCCATTGGCCGGCCGAAAACGACTCCTCACCGGAGCAGAAACCGTTAGAGGCGTTCTTCTCTCTGTCATAGCCCAGCGTAGCCGATCAGCTCCTCTTTCAACACCCCGGCTCGCTCCATATTAGATACTCGTACGGACTTACTATGTATGGTAACCCCCTTGAGCAGTGCGCAGTGCAAGGGGGAGAGGGAACCAACGGCACAGTATTGAGCAAAGTTCGAATACGGCAAGGGCGTAATAAGATACGAGTACCCCGTATCGTTCCCCTGTCACAGAAGAGGCGCAAAAAAAAGAAGAAAAAAAAAACCAGCCCCTGCTGCCAACCCCTCGCCTCACTTGTCCATTGCTCGTCTCAGTTGCCGTGTCTGGTGTCTGAGATGCGCTGGTCTTCTGTCTAAGGCTGCCAGCCACCGTTGCGGTGAAGAAGCGCGACGGCAAAAAAGAAACGACAACGCGGGAAGAGGACGCACAAAAGAAGAAGAAAAGGCTCGACATCCCAGGATCAGTCCGCAACCAAACCACCAAGATGTGCTCGCGAGGAAATTGATCGGCAATAGCATTGATGCCCGATCGACACGGTACATAGTATGTGCAATGACCCAATCCTTTGATCCTCCCAAGGACCGCTCACGACACGTCTATGCCGTCTATGCCGTCGTTGCCCCTCTTTCTCTGACCTGCCATGCGGGGCGTAGCCGAGATCTGTTTGCGTGCTTGCATGTGAGGTCCAGAGAAGGCATTGTCTGCAGCAGGGCTCCGTATCGTCGCTTTGGCTCCCGACTGCAGTAGTCGATGTGCGCCAAGGGCTCCCATGCGCCACGCGACGAGATCTGCATTGTCCAGTCATGTAAAGTCTGGGTCAGATTAATCGGTAGTCACGTGCCTATCATATCCCCGCAAATTCCCTCTTTCGTCTGTTATGAAGCTCTCCTATTTGCTACTAAAATCTAGCTAGAAACCTTGCTAGACAGGCTGTTCGGAAGCCTGTTGGGAGACTAGACGTATATACGGAGTACTTCAAAGAAACGAAATTAATTGATCGAATTCGTCTATACGTATGTATCTTACGGAATACGGAGAACGTAGCGACCTCCGCAAATCGTGCAAGGAACCTATTTTCAACGGGTCGATTAGCGTCAGACAAGGTAGAGATCTGCTCGTAGGGTTTCCAGCAGATGAAGCAGATACAGCCACCGTACGGAGTACACGATGGGTTCTTTCCGGTACGATGTGCGTTTTGACAGCGAACGCCCAGATCAAATCTACTTGTTTGAAGGACATCCGCGGAGACACCTGAAAATCCAACATGTCGGCAGTCCAAGTATGGATCGATGAGGGCATTTGCAGGGGTTTCAGCCATATGGAATTATCAGCAGCTGTCCAGCGCAACGTCAGTAACGGCAATGCAACGGAGCTGACTGAACGGGCAACCAACTCGACAACGATGATTTTCGACGATTAGCCGGAGATAATGCCTATACTGGCATCGGCTTGAAGAAACTCGTGCGGTACGAGGTGGATGGGATATTATTCGGACTCGCCACAGGTGCACTCACCAGATCTAAACGGTGGCAAAATCTCGCTCGACCTTGGCAGCCTTACTTGACAGGGGCTTTCAGGCGTGCAATGGCGACCGTTTCCACCGTTAGAAGTACTGCTCGATTGTTCACAGTGGCAAAGATCTAAAGACGCGCCTGAAAATACCTGACAAGGGGCGCAAATAATACCCCATCCACCTCGTACTATTTAGTATCTCGCGGAGTAAGTACGGAGTGCTCGTCAGCTGGAAGTATGAGCTACTTAGTCTGTAAATAGTACCGCTATTTGTAATCCTTGGCAGCTTTTAGAGCATGGCCCCGCCGTACATAGTACTATGTAAGATACATTGTAAAGCAGGATACAGCTTGTAGACAACCGTCTCCTCCCAACGATGCACAGACCCTGACTCTGTTGCGTGTCATCTTCAGGCATTAAACTCAATCTGGCCAGCAGGGATCCATGCCCTTCGCCTACGTTTTACGGAGTACACTACTATGTACAGCTAATGCAAGTATACATACGGAGTACAGAGTATCAAGTAAGGTATTTTTCTTTGAGGCCCACTGGCCAAGACCATTCATCAGGCGTTCCCCTTCCTCTCTTTCTTCATCTGGGCTCTGTCCCTGTACGGAGATACGAAGTTTCTGGTCAACTGTTGAAGCGCAAGGTCGACTCCCTGTCCAGCAAGGCCATGCGATGATGAAAATGGCACTGTCTGCCAACCATTGCCAACCATTGGCTCCCAAGCTGCGGCAGCCCGCCACGCATGAAGAGGAATGCTCATATTCCGTATTCGTGCAAGTGCATAAGTGTGTCTGGTGATCGGGGTCGTGGCTGTCAGATTTTAGTGTCTCTTCGCACAACTATCTAAAGTCGGGCCGGCAGCAAGTACTGCGCGCTTCTACGGAGTACTTCTTTCCTACAAACGAATACGGAGCACGACGTAGAGAGCCAGAGGGGCTGTTTGGCAGAGACATGGCATTTTTTCGGCTCATGTCAGAAAGGAAATTGTGATCACACCCGCTTCTAGTTGAAGAAATGCATCAACTGCGACGCAACCCAACACGCCGACGCCAACGCTTACTGTGTACGTAACAGTTGTGTTCCATATGGCGTGTCGTCGCCGAGCCTTCCTTCGACTGTCCTTTCTTTCGCTGGCGTGCGAAAGTCCCTTCCTGCCGCGGCGACATGTAGCAGCTCAATATTCACGACATGGCTTGCACCCTTTTCTGTCATCCCTCTGCACATTTTCCCTTTTATGACCAATTCTAACGTTCCCTATTGGTGCTTAGCTCGGCCTGTCTTCTTTACGAGTAGACAAGTGCTCCGTAAGATACATATACTCCGTACATACGTAGTAGTGATTCCAGAAGAGAAAGAGAAGGCCTCTTCTATCCTCGCTCCCGAACTCGCCCTGGCTGTGCTCTGAAAGCAGGACAAACCTACAAAATAGTGGCTTATGTGCATATATCCGTTAGAAAGAGCAATATACTACGTATGTAATCCGTACTCCCCGAATCTTTTGCTTACTAAATGCAACACTCCGTACTCCGTACTCCGTAAAAACTGACCATCAGTCCATCCCAGGACAGGAAGAGAGGTTACATTGCCCCCGGGGCTCCTTCGCATCCCACCCTTGGTCGCCCGTAGACCCAAAAATGCTACTCCGTATGTACTTGTGACAATAAACGGATAGAGCAAACTGATCGTACTTATCTTACGAAGTACGCAGGATATCGTAAGATTCAAGTAATTCGCTACCCATGCTCCATTATTCTCAGGTCTCTGCTGCCCGCTGGCGACGCTCGTTTACCTAGAGTTGCGAAAACCGGCCATTGCATTTCCAGTGAGAAAAAAGAGGAAAGGAAAAAGAACCAATACATACGTCGTAGTACACACTCAGTACAGGGCCGAGGTTGGCGATGCCGCTAAATCGTTTCAGGGCAGTCTACCGAAGCCGCTAGCAGTCGGTTCGACAAACCAGGAACACAAGCGCGAAGGCTCCGTGGGGATGCGGTATACTATCTTATGGAGTATGTACGGAGCACTCCGTTCGAGGAAGGAAGATCTACTCTGATGTCTCGTCTGTCTACGAGTTGCCAAAAGCAGCCGTTTATGCGG